ACATCAGCAATGCCAAGACCACCGGTAGTTTCTTCTTCACGAGTGCTCGCTCCACCTGCAGTTTCTTCATCATCCGGTACACCTGAAGTTTCGTCATCATCAAGACCCGGCTCACCTCCGATCTCCCCACCTGCGGTCTCCCCACATGCGGTCTCCTCACCAGCTTCCTCCTCCAACCCATAAAACTCCCTTATCGCCTTGGCGTAGTTCCGCACACGCATGGAATCTTTGTGTAACGACCGTTTGTTCCATAGTGTCACGCACCTCCCCTCCTTTCTCAAACGTCCTGCCATCTGGATGTATGTCGACACTGGCGGCACGTACCCCACAAGAAGCACCAGTCGCACCTCGGCTATGTCAATGCCCTCGCAGACCAGCTTGTTCCCACTAGCACCTTGGTATCCTGGTTTTTGAAGTTCTGTATCCTCTTCACCTTTTCCTTAGCTTCGAGGTCGCCATGGACCCAGATGCAATCGATATCCAGATTCAGAGCAAACTCCTCCACTCGGGCTTTCTCCCCAAGTACAACAATCACTTTTCCGTGCTCCTGCTCGTTTATATATTGCAATGCAATAGTATCGAGCTGCCCCTGCTTGACTTTCTTAAAAGTCTTTTCCACATGTTTCAATAACACCTCCGTTATCATGTCCCATATCTCGACGCCTTCAAGATTCAAAAAGTCCAATGGTCTCTTTAGCCCCTTCTTTTCCGGCTGTGGCTGTTAGTAGCACCACCTTCCAGAACTTTTCCAAAGGAACAGCTGGAATGCCTTTGAAACCGGATGCTCTGAAATCTCTTTCGTCATACATTTATGACACGGAAGGACTGGCGTAGTTGATAGATGTATTTCACTCAAGAGCAGCAGCAGGTCTTAGCTGAGATCCAAGTTCTTCCTTAATTACTTTGCCGGCTGGAAGCACGTCCTTTGTACTAACATATAGCTTGATGTCCTTCAACATTACCGCTATCCTTTCAACATCACCGCTACCCTTAAGCGTCGTCCAGTTCGCCGAAGCTGTCTCGAAAGAACCACAAAAACACCTAACACCGCCTTGAACAAGGATAAACTAGATATAACTAAGCCTTCTATTACTGAATCAACTAGCTGTGATAAAATTCACATTTTTGGCAATGCAAATTATCTTACCAGTCTGTAAAGGCAAGACGCTTATTTCTTCACTTGAACCCAATGACATGCAAATGGATAAAAGCATAAAATCAAAAATATCTTCAAGTAGAAATAAAGTAGCAGAAACTGCTTTCCGCTTTGCTATTGGAGTAGTGCCATTCAACCCAGTTCAAGGAGACTCTTTCTTATTATTTGACTTATCTTTGTACACTGTGCATATCCTCGCATATTGGTGCATATGCTTATTCATGAATATGCATATATATGCACAGTAGCATAACGTCATGTGATAACGATTCCTCTACTCCCCAGCAGCACTTGCGTATTTAATGACTGGATACTTTTAAATGTAATCGAGAGGAATACTTTAAAAATCGTAGAGAAACAAAGTAAATCGAAAATGGACCAAAATTTCCATTTAAAAAAAGTGTGTCTTAATTTAATTGCGGGGTACAATGCTCTCTGATATCTTCGATTAGACGCTCTACAGCAGAATTTATTGGTGAATGATAAAGCAAGTAGTCGTGGGCAAGCCGCTCTTCCCCAATGTTACGTGTGAAGCAGGATGTCAGAAGCTGCTCGAGGGGAAATGAGCGCAAGTTTCGCTAAATTACGCTCCGAGAGTTGTTGTTTTATGCCATTCATCTCATGATAAAAGTATGCTTGCCATGTAGTGGTAACTCTTCTACCAAGGCTCCGGTTGGAACTGTCATCTTGGAAGGTCATGCGCCCACTGGTCTTCACCCGATTGCCAGGACAAATGAAAAATATGTTCAAGTTTGATATTGTACCTTGATTGCAATTGGTATTTACTGACAGGCATATTAATCCCGCCAATTACTCCTGATTCGCACAGAGGGCTCAGAGATATTTAGCATTCAACAGACAGCTGGTGCTAATTCCGTCGCTTGTTTCATGAAGCGTTATGGGCAGTGGGCGCTTGCAAACCAAAAATAGCCTGGGATGAAGGAGAGCAAGGGAGAGATCTTGCGTGCTTTTAATGCCACCCCAGAACAATTAGAAGATCAGGTCAAGGTCAGTGCGCAAGAGTATAATATCGAGCCCGTCACTGCTATCGCTGAGCTGATCGCGTAATTTTCTCATTGGAGGTCGCAAAGTTAAAAATTTGCAGCAATATATTGAAGTTTTGAGCATCAAAAATGGCTCAGGAGCAGAGTGAGCTTCTTGAGAGCGCTGTAACTTCTGATTTAGGTTTCCAAACTCTTTTATGGGTTCAGATCCTACCGTAACTGAGAAGCCCCCTAGTTTGACCGGTATGTCTGTGCAGCTGGCTTTTGATTGATTGCTGTTGGATATGAGTGACAGTAGTTCTAAAGTTTATGATGACATAATGGCACAAAGGAACCAGAGCGCTTGATTAAACCGGGCAGCTCAAGACTCCGATCAAAAAGGTGTTACAAGACTCTAGCGAATGCTCGACTGAAAAGTTTGCACTCCAGTTGCACCCTACTCGTTTCTTATGCTCGTCTCTTATTCACATATTAGGACTGTGTGATCTTTTTGGTTCATTCGAGATTGACCTTGTATTAGAGAAATCCACAAAGAGGTATATAAAACCTTCATTCACGAATCAAATTGACACAATCGCTCATGGAATAGCTAAACACGACTTTTAGCAAAACTTTCTACCACTAACATGGCTCGCTTCATCAATTATGACTAGAGCTATTGAGAAACTCAGTTGTGAATTCATGATTCTAAATCAGCACCCCCATTTCATCAGCAAAGACTACTTAACATGGAAAGTCATGGGACAACACAGTTGCGAATTCTCGAGGGCCTAGAACAAGCACTCAGTGTAGGTTTTGATGCCCTCGAAAGTTCTAAGATTTGAGGATATTGTTGCTGAGTTTGCACCAATTTTGAAGGTGGTAAGCAGCGCTTCGAGCGGCAATGAATTGGGCTTGAAGCTGTGATCATCAATGTCTCTGCGATTACACTGAATTTTTTGCGATTGCTCATGGCTCAAGAAGGCACCAGTGACCAGTTTAGAGGGGACGAAGAGTTTGCCGTCCAGCGCGCAAGGCTTTTGACAAAAGTGCGTACGAACCCGGACTTTTTAGTTTGGTCTGGTGCAATCGAGGTTGTCAGCAAAGAAATCAACAATTTATTAGTACTTACTGTGCACTCTAAGGCGCGATGAGGCAAAAGCAAAAAGTATTGACGTTGCTCGTCAGGAAGTTGATAACCAGTATGAGCCCTTGAGATGGATTAAGTTTCACTAATGCTGCCAAAGAGCTCGTGAATGGGATAAAGTCTACTACGCTCTACCTTGGGGTGCTTCTTCTAGGGGCGCGGACGTTCCCGGTCTAAAGAAAGAACACAATATTATAAGTATCGCAAAGATTAGTGATTGACAACGATCTCCATAGTAGCAGTGTAAGCAAGCTATCAAAAAAATATCGAAGCTTGTCTCTCTCAGTAGCATTAAGCTCACTGAAGTGTTTATAGTGTGCTGAGATTTTACATCTCTCCATGACTCTTTCAGCTATTCATCGGATGGAATGACTTATCGACATGAAAGCAGCTTATTTTGAACCGTAGTTTGACAGATCTATGACTCTGGTGGCAAGCTTTTCCGTAAAATATCGGTCATGTGTAGTTGCAATAATAATACCTGGAAATGTCAATAAAGCATCTTCAATAACTTCTAAGTTAGGAAAATCAATGTGATTAGTAGGCTCATCCAAAACAAGTATAGAGGATTTTCGCATAATGATCTGGCAAAGCTGTGATTTACGGCGACACCCGACACTCAAGTTCTTCTGAGGAGTCTTTAAGTCGTGCCATTTATAGATCCCGAAGTCACAAAAATTACGAATTGCAGTCTGCCTCGAGGCATTGATTTTGGTATCTTCCTCAATTAGCTGTAACGGAGACTTTTCCAAAGGAAGGTTCTCTTGCTCCTGGTCCAAATACCCAACAACTGCGTTCCCGCTGATAGAAACTGACCCATGGTCCGGTTCAGTAAGACCCATAAGAATTCGATTCAAAGTGTTTTTACCAGAACCGTTGGGTCCCTGGATAATCAGTCTTTCACCCTTTGCCACCGTAAAGGATACGTTGGCGAATATTTGCTTTTGGTATGATTTTGATACTTCAACTACAGTTATCCCCAAAAGAGAGCTGAACGCAGAAAGACCATCGAAATCGAAAGATACCTGTAATCTCTCAGGAATAACCTCTACTAGATTATCATTAAGCTGCTCAACTTTATCAGACATCTGATTTACAAGACCCGTAATTCCCTTCTGTGCCCTTTGTTCTTTATTATTGTAACTTAATTTATCTCTATCCGACCCCGACCTAACTATTCGTGCCTTAACTCTAGATTGTGCTTGTGCAGTCTTAGACTTCAGTTTCTTGAGCTCCTTGTCCTGGAAACGTCTCTCTTCAATTAATCTTAGTCGTCTCTTACTTTCTTCTTCCAAGTAGTGCTTGTAGCCACCTTTAAAATGTGCAAACTTCTTGGTGTGAGGTGACAGTTCCGAAATGATGTCTGAAACTGCATTGATTAAACTACGATCGTGAGTAACAGTTACAGCAGCGCCCGTGTATCTTTTCAAAAAAGACTCTAACCATTCAATTCCTATATTGTCCAGGTGATTTGTTGGTTCATCCAGCAAGATGAAGTCAGGCTTTAAAATGCTCAGTGCACAGAGAAGGGGTTTTCGTCTTCTCATTGCCGCTGAGGAACTTGAACGGACGTTTAAATATGTCATCACTCAGCCCAATGTGAGAGGATTGCCTGAATATCTCATGCCCTCCTCAATTGCTTAAATAAGTCTTTGTAGATGTTTCATTCACAAATAAATTATAAAGTAGCCCACGTCTTTTCTGTGCTTGTCTGATCGGAGTCTTTCCAAAACTAAATAGGCCAGTGCATCTTTGTTTCTATAAGTGTATGAATTAGAAGATATACAAACAATAAAATACCTAATCTGCGGTGAACAAATGTTACTCGCTTAGTCACAAGCTAAACTAGATTTCTAGTCAAACTTGTAGGAAATCTTGGACCCATAAACCTCCTCTTTTGTAAGAGTCACGGCACTTTTCCATTCTGAAATGTTCGCAGCGTCAATAAATCTACCAGGCTCACAACAGAAACCTAATCTCTCTCCATACTCTTCCAAGAAACCGGGTCCCTTGGTATAGAATTGAAAGCTGGGCTCGGTGGTAGAGATCGTAAGTTTGACGCCTGACTCTGGGTGGTAAGCTTGCAAAACAGTCTTCAAACTATTTTTGCGAGTGTCTATAGAAGGTTTGCTTCCGGTAACGAAGCAAGTGTCAAATTGAGGTCCGTTTTTGGCCAGCGTTAATGCCGAGACATCAGGGACCTTGGTAATTTTGCCAGTAGCGCAACCCTTGGAATCAACCTCAACAACTTGATCGGACAGGATCTTTACATTGGTGCCATCATATCCAGTGTCTTGAAACGTGTTAAGGTTGAAGTACGTGTGGTTCGTAAGATTCATGATGGTAGCCTCACCGCTCAGAAGTTCTCCTTCATACTCTATTGTAAGCTCCTTAGCCTGGACATCTATCTCATAAGTAACTTTTGTTAAGACGTCTCCGGGGAATTGCGTATTAGTATCCAAAAGCACAAATTTCGCAGTGTATCTGTTTTTTGAAGGATTGATGACAAGAGGTCCAAGGAAGTGCCTTTTGTGATACGAACTGGACGAGCTGTGAACTGCAGCGCCGCTTTCGTTCAAGTCTAACTGATACTCAGCACCTGCAATGCTAAATTTGCCGCCACGTAAGCGATTGGCGTAGCGTCCCACGGTGGCGCCCAAGTATGGGTTACGGTCATCGAGATATTCTGACTCATTCGCGAGACTCAGTGTGACAGACTTGCCATCAACCTTCAGATCCACAATGCTGGCTCCTAAATTGCTCAGCGAAACTTCGAACCCGGAACCGCGGCCAATAGTTACGAGTCGCGATTCATACTCATTTGGCGTGCCAAAGAAGGTATCCACAACACCTAGCAATTGATATCCAAATGGATTATTTGTCGTCCAATTCCATAGATCTGCGCATGCATCAGCGACCTTGAAATGCGTACTCCACTTGAGCTCCTTTGTTGCCCGGTCGGGCTTGGCAGTCAGGTTCAGCACGTCACCAGCTCTACGTCCCACAATCTCATATGGCAAATCAATACTACACGTTTGGCAAAAAGCTTTGTAGACTTCAAGCACGGTGGATCCGGTTCCGGAACCCAAATTCCACGCCCGGTACAGACCCTGGTTGTCGTTCACTTGGTCCAAATATTTTAAAGCAGCAATGTGGCCCTTAGCCAGGTCTACTACGTGAATGTAATCGCGTATGGGAGTGCCGTCGCGAGAGTTATAGTCGTTACCAAAGACGAACAGTTTTTCTCTTCTTTTCACAGCAACTTGAGCCATGGAAGGCAGCAAGTTGTTGGGAATTCCCAGAGGATCTTCGCCTATAAGACCCGAAGGATGTGCCCCGATTGGGTTGAAATATCGGAGAACTGCGAACCGCCATTTTTCGGGGTCGCTGGTGTGCAAGTCCTCGAGAATTTCTTCAATGGCCAGCTTAGTCTTTCCGTAAGGGTTGGTAGGGCCCGTGGGACACTCCTCAGGGATGGGAATCATGTCAGGAAACCTGGTGGCATCGCCGTATACTGTCGCTGACGACGAGAATACGAGCTTGTATGTGCCAAACTTTTTCATCGTCTCCAGGAGAACCACAGTCCCCGTAATGTTGTTGTGGTAATATGTGAGTGGTATCTTGGTAGACTCCCCAACGGCCTTGAGGCCAGCGAAATGAATCACAGAATCGATTTTGTACTGCTCAAAGACTTTTTCCAGAGCGGGCCCATCCATCAAGTCCACTTTGAAAAATGGGATTTCGGTTTTACTCAGCACTTGTAGTCTCGCAATAGGCTCATAGCATGAGTTGCTGAAGTTGTCCACCACCACGCACTTGTAACCACTGTCGATCAACTCAGCCACTGCGTGTGATCCAATGTAGCCGGCTCCACCAGTGACCAGTACCCACTTGTCGCTATTCCTTGTAGCACCTGTCATTGTTGAGAAAAGCTCCTAGTGCTCTATTGAAGAAGGAAGGGACACACCAGCGCTTACATTCCTTCTATTTATGTGAATACAACGAGGTTGCAGAGCCGTTTGGCCTGAAAACATAATTATGTAATTGTCTCCTCATAGTGGCAATACCCCGGATTTCAGACAACAGTACCCCGGATTTCGAACAACAGTACGCCGGATTCAAAAGAGAATAATTTTAGGAAGATATTTGAAGACAACCGTTGGGTCAGAAAGCGGCAATGGCTTATAACGAACTGGAAAAACACTTTATACAATGATCTTTAGTCTCCCAGCAGTTCATATATCTGCTATTTGAAGATGTCAGTTCCTTTAATTAATAGTCGGGATCTTTTTTCCAAGCACAAGACCCGTGTAGATCGTGTCGTCAACGATTTTCAAAAAGTTTATGATGAAAAACCCGATTTCGTTAGCAGATCGCCAGGAAGAGTGAATCTCATTGGCGAGCACATCGATTATGAAGACTTTTCTGTGCTTCCAATGGCCATTGAGGCAGACGTCTTGTGTGCTGTGGGCGTTTTGGCTGCAGGAAAAGGCCTGTCGATAACCTTAACCAACGAAGATAAAGCATTTGCTCAGCGTCACATAGAACTTCCATTGGACGGTTCTGACGTCTCCATCGACCCTTCGGTATCGGACTGGAGCAACTACTTCAAGTGCGGGCTTCTGGTGGCGCAAAAACAGCTGAAAACAGAGTTTCCCGAAAAATTCGGCAACGCATCCTTGGCAGGCATGAAAGTGTTTGTGAGTGGCAACGTGCCAACAGGGGGTGGTCTGTCGTCTTCTGCGGCGTTTATTTGCGCCGTGGCATTGGCTGTCGTTCGCGCCAATACCGAAAAGAGCTACAAAATATCCAAACAAATGCTCACCAAAATCACTGTCAAGGCAGAGCACTACGTTGGAGTCAACAATGGAGGCATGGATCAAGCTGCGTCAGTATGTGGTGAGGTGGACCATGCTCTTTACGTGGAATTTCAGCCTCAGCTAAAGGCTACATCCTTCCGATTCCCGCAGCTGCAGCATTCGGAAATCCAATTTATAATCGCCAACACAATGGTGGTGTCGAATAAAGTTGAGACAGCGCCTACAAACTACAATCTACGGGTCGTTGAGGTGACAGTTGCCGCTAATGTGCTTGCCTCAAAATTCAAGGATGCCTTGCGTAAGACTGGAAATTTGCAGAAAGGAACACTGCGGGAGTTTATGGACGCCTATTATTCCCGTGTTCACGGTGCCTCGGAATCCTGGGACGGAAACATAGAAGACGGTATCAAAATGCTTAATGAAATGCTAGAAGTGGTCGAACAGACTCTCACTCAGCGTGAAGGCTACACCGTTGAAGATGCCGCAGAGGCCCTGCAATGCTCTGTGCAGGAGTTCACCAAAGATTACTTGACGAGTTTTCCAGTCAGATTCGATGTTTTGAAGCTGTATCAAAGAGCCAAGCATGTGTACTCAGAATCGTTGCGTGTGTTGCAAGCACTGAAATTGCTCACCAGCCGGAAAGCAGGTTCTGACGAACACTTCCTAGAGTCTTTTGGCGCGATGATGAACGGATCGCAAGAATCGTGTGACAAGCTTTACGGATGCTCTTGCCCCGAAACAGATGAGTTGTGCCGGATTGCCAGAAGTAATGGAGCCTATGGATCCAGGCTCACTGGTGCGGGTTGGGGTGGCTGTACGGTTCATTTAGTGACCAGTGATAACGCCGACTGTGTTTTGAACGCCCTCATTGAGCAGTATTACCGCAAAAGGTTTACAGAAATGTCACAGGAGTCTTTGGAGGAGGCGGTGCTTGTCTCGAAACCAGCACTAGGTAGCTGCGTGATTGAACTGTGAACCATTTGGCCCTGTATAACTCAGAAGTATACAAATACATGTATAGACGTGCCTTTTATATTGACAACGCTCTGTCCACTCACAAAAATTTCGGAGCGAGGCAAATCAGATGTACTGTTTCCTTTCGCTAGCTTAGATTTTTGAGCTATTCGGACATAAAAGGCTTCCAGTCAAGCTCTTTAATCGACAGTATCAACTATATCATAATTGCGCCGATAAAGGAGCAGCGTTATTTTCCAATACGGTATGTGTATTTATAACTTCTCTGTATAGTGTGTGTTACCTTCTAAATCTACCAACCGCTTCGCAGCTTGTTCGGCAGTCAAGTCTCTTTGAGGCTCTCCGAGCAATTCAAAGCCAACCAAAAATTTCCTCACAGTCGCAGACCTTAGTAGGGGAGGGTAGAAGTGCATATGAAACCACGCCGTATCTTTTTCCTCTTGGGTAGCGTTAAGCGGCGCTTGGTGTAAGCCCATGGAGTAAGGGAAACTCGTTTCAAATAAGTTGTCGTACTTGATTGTCAACGTTTTTAGAATTGTAGCTAAATCTCGCTTCTCCTTATCGCTGAAGTCAGTGAGGGAGTGTAACTGTTTTTTGCTAATCAACAGAGTTTCGAAAGGCCAAACTGCCCAATAAGGAACAACAACTATGAAAGAGTCATTTTCCAAAACAAGCCTTTCCCGCTCTTCGAGCTCCAAAGCAACATAGTCGCCTAACAAGCAGCTGGAATGCTGGTCAGAGTATTTGGCAAACGCTTTGAATTCATTTTCGACTTCATTGGGAATGGTGCTCAAACACCACGCCTGTCCATGAGGGTGGAGATTCGAACATCCCATTGCAGTTCCCTTGTTTTCAAAAATTTGCAAGTACTTGTATGGCTTGCCCTCGACTTTAGCTTCGCTCTCTAGTTTCAAGTAGAGCTGTGTCCAGGCCTCAACGACATTAACAACGTCGCCGAGTGGCATAAGAGGGAGGGTCAAATTGTGTTTTGGGCTGAAGCAAATCACGTAGCAGTTTCCTTCAACTGACTGTACCTTCATGAATCTTTCTTTGAGACTCTTACTTCCGCCACTATTTTTGAGTTCTGGCTGATTCAACTTTACAGCTGGAAAATCGTTAGGGAAAATAAGGGTCGATGAGTATTGCGGGTTGATTTCTCCTGATGCTCGTTGATTCCCTGGGCAAAGATAGCATTTCTCGTCAAATTCAGGTTCGTTCGGCCTTGAAGCTGTCTCCTTTTGGCCCAACCATGGTCTTTTGGCTCTATGTGGTGACACCAGCACCCACGAATCTGTTAAAGGATTATACCTCCTGTGTGAGTTATCTGTAAGATCGAAATCAAGAGTCATGTTGATGGTCTTGCATCAACACTAATAGATGCGCGTAGCATGGAAAGTTTAAGCTACCCATATATAGTTTTTGGTCACTGAAGATTATATATATCTGGCCCATTGTAGTGCGAACTGCATTTCCCTTGTTGTGTTTGCAAAACGCACGTGTTAACATGTTCAGCCAATAGTATGGGTTTTGTCACTTTTCACAAAAATGTCATATTTCCGGCCGGCAGATGCTTCTTTGATTAGCCTGAATGCGGTTTACCATTTGCTATTCGCTACTTCGGCTCAGGGCTTCAAAAACCTTGTGATTTTCAGTAGTCCATTATTCAAACTCACGTCGTGGGTGTGAGTAGCTTTCAGTGGCCTTCTCTAGACTACGAAATTTTTATCAGCGTCATGACTCTTTTCAGAACTACGGTAACTGCGAATTTGATGCCTTCAATTATAAGTGAAACGCTAATTGACACTATTTATTTCACTGAACAGTGAAGTAGCTCCGCTCTCTTCACTAATGTTGAATCCCAACGCTATTAAAGTACAGCCACGTTTCTCGCAAAGCACACGAGAGATTATATTGCACTGGTGCTGCAATGGAACTTTAATTGTAAAGCCGTAGGTGATTAATCGAGGCTCTTACCAAGCCGTTTGCAATATGCCTCATCCAAGTGGTTTTCCATTTGGCGTCTTGACGCCAACAGGCAAAGTTACTCTTGGATAACTAGCCTACGTCGCCTACTGGTAAGTGACTGAGCTGCCGCTGGGCACCAGCAATCCATCAAGTTGAAATTTCTCTCCGGTTTCGCTATGTTTGTAGTTCAAGCGGAGTCGATACCTTTTTCTCTGGATGTTCTTCGAACAATCTTTACAGCATTCCAGTAGGTTTCATTTTTCTCCCCTTCCCAAGTTAGCGAACCCAAAATTCAGTCTTGACATGAATGCCGGGTTGACCTTTACATATACATCCTCAGTGCCACTGAGTTGATTCTTTGGTGGTATACAAGGATTTTTGGCAGCTTTGAGCTTCTCGACACAAAACCACCTGCTAACACCTTTCAAGAATTCGGATAGTAAGCGAAATAAGATGGAATGTGTCATGATCTATGTGCTACTGCTAAGTTAGCGTCAATTGCTTAGTGAAGATCTATGACATAATAGTACAAAGTGATATCATCGAAAATTGATCAATCGATGAACTATTAGATACATCGTCTCAAATTGAAGACAAGTACCAGACAATACCATATAGTGATCTGATAGTTGATTGATGACTCATTGGATACTACTAATGTATCATTAGATGTATTGTATAATAATTATAAGCTGAGTTAGCTTCTATGCCCAGCTAGTTTTTATAGAGATACCGACCACTAACTCACTCAACTCGACGACTTATCCTCAGATTCAAGATAATTACGGAGAGATAAGTGAAGACCTAGATTCCAATAAAAGTTTTTTAATTCATCATGAACGACTTAAATGACCGGTACAGCAAGTTAACCACTACTGACGCAGATGCGCTTTAATAGTTTTTTTGTGTCGATGGGAGCCCTGATTTGGACAAGGAGTATCTCTTTAGGTCAGTGCACTGCTTTTTGAAACTTGTCTGAAAAACTGTCGCTAAGTAGATAACTAATATAGTCAGTTAATATCGGTATATATACAAAAACCTGTATGATGGGTATTAGTAACAAAAAGGTTCTGACCGATATTTATTGTACCAGCCCCCATTAGCTTAGAAGCAACGATGTTGAAACACATAGAAACTATGTGAGATCTGAGTCTAAAATTCAGCATTCCCACTCACTATCTGATTGGTTATATCTAATTAATTATCTCGCTCTGTCACTTTGTACTATTATGTCATAGCTATTCCCCTTTTGATCTTATTCGGATCTGCTTCATTATGCAATTGACGCTATATTGAAATAGCACAGGTACTCTGAAAAGCTGAGGCACTCTTTACTTAAAGTGTTCAGACCTTATCATTCCTATCGGTATTGGAATCAATGTGGCTATTCTAACATGAAGAGTTGAGCACATCACATGACACGAATACAAGGATTCAAAATCGAAACTAAACTCACCCATGGAATAGATGCTGTTGAACTTTCCACAACTGAGCAAAATATTTCAAGTCATCAATTCTCAACGTACAACTTTGACAATTTTTTTACCGAGGCTTTAGTTTCCTTGTTTGCTGTGTATTCCTTATGCCTCATGTCATATATCCAAATTCCAGCAGCTGACCAGCTATCCGGAAAAATCAATCTGACATTCTTTCTGCACGAGCGAACAAAATCCCACGACGTGGCTAGAGAACAAAAGTCCCCATGTTCTTGAAAAGGAAACTAAAGAATGGAAATTTGTTGGTGACTTATACATTCTGCCTAGAGCTTTCCTAGGAGCATCACTCAAGTGATGTAAACCAGTATTTTACCTCGGGCAGCACTAGATTCACGCACGTCTTAAACATCTTGCCACTACGCTTCGTTGCCAGACTCCATATCAGGTAACTTTCTGCCGTTTGTTATCATTCAAAACAAAAGCACCATTGAAATATACAAGGGTCTACTCAACATCTGCGTTTCCCTTCAAACATCATACTCAGTGTTCGCCTAGAAGTCTTTAATGAGCTTTACGTCATATATAAAGGCGGGGATTGTTGGAATCACAGAAAGATCAGGCCATATGGCAATCGCCGTGTGATGCCGAAATTCTCAGAGATGCTCCAACCGAAGAACCTACAGAATCAAAATGAGCATTTTAAGGTTCTTCTTGAGGATTTCGCATTGCAGTTGACGAAAGAACTTTTGGAACCTATTTAAGGGCTAAAGAGTAATGCTATAGAGGAAAAATGTTGGAATCTTTACTAACCGTTCATCAACATCACTGAAATGGCTAAATATTCGACTTTTAGCTTAGCTTGTGTTTTGCTATACTTGAATGACGTGGCAACAGCAGCTAGCATCAACTCCTACAATGGTCTAGGCCTTACTCCACAGATGGGATGGGACAATTGGAACGCTTTTGCATGCGAAGTCAATGAAGAGCTTCTCTTGGGAACCTCCGAAAAGATTGTGCAGCTGGGTCTTCGTGATCTTGGATACAAGTACGTTATTCTTGATGATTGCTGGTCCAGCGGCAGAGCGGCAAATGGAAGTTTGGTAGCAGACTCTAAGAAATTTCCCAATGGCATGAAGCACGTTGCGGATGAATTGCATGGCAAGGATTTACTTTTTGGTATGTACTCTTCAGCCGGTGAGTACACCTGTGGTGGCTATCCTGGCTCCCTGGACCACGAAGACGCAGATGCCACTAGTTTTGCTTCTTGGGATGTTGATTATTTGAAATACGATAATTGCTTCAACCGTGGTCAGTTTGGCACTCCGGAGACTTCATTCAAGCGCTACAAGGCAATGTCCGATGCTTTGAACAAAACTGGAAGACCAATCTTCTACTCATTGTGCAATTGGGGTCAAGATCTCACTTCCTATTGGGGATCAGCGATCAGCAATTCCTGGAGAATTAGCGGTGACATTACTGCTTCTTTTGACCGTCCAGACAGCAGATGCCCGTGTGATGAAGACGACTATGATTGTAAGCTGCCGGGGTTTCACTGCTCTATCATGAATATACTCGGCAAAGCTGCTCCCATGGGTCAAAACGCAGGTCCTGGTGGGTGGAATGACTTGGATTGCTTGGAAGTTGGTGTTGGGAGCTTGACAGATGATGAGGAAGTCGCACATTTTTCTATGTGGTCAATTGTTAAGTCGCCGCTCGTTATTGGAGCCGACGTCAACAAGTTGGATTCTACATCGTACTCAGTCTACGCTAACCCCGCCGTGATTGCAATTAATCAAGATCCCGCTGGAGTTCCTGCGACTAGAATATGGAGAAAACAAGTACCTCAAGTTGACGGTAATGGAAAAGGAGAAATCCAGCTATGGAGCGGGCCACTCGACAATGGTGACCAGGTAGTGGCTTTGCTTAACGGAGCTTCTATTCCTATGACTATGACAGCTAAAGTGGATGACATTTTTATCGATAGTGATGAAGTGTCCGTGTCTTCATGGATAGCTTACGATCTATGGGCCAACAGATTGGCGAATAGTACTGCTTCGAGCATTGTCCAAGGTGGGAGTCTGGACTACAGCAAATACTACAATGCAACAGAATTGCCTTACGCCAGTGGTTTAGCCAAAAATGATTCCCGTTTATTGGGTCAGCCCGTTGCCAATGTGTCTATCAAGAGCCCTCTATCTGCCTATGTACCAGCACATGGCGTTGCTTTGTACAGATTGAAGAAAGCCTGAATTCGTTTATAGAATAGCGGTATTGATGAAATGATGTACTGATACCAGAGGAAGCTTAAGAAAGTGCTTAATTATGCCTTTTAAATACTGACGGAACTCTGTAAATTTTAAATGGTTTCACCGTGTATATATCTGCCCTACTAGATTGGTGTACTAAGCTAATACCACAACAAAACATATTTAGCTTCAAAAAGAAACATTTAAACTTTGAGAGCATAATTTCAAAGCAGCAAAGTCAGTGAAAAACTGTTTCAAGGTCTTAATGAAATCGTTTTTCTTCAAGACAAAGCTTTATGAATGGGTGCTATTTCAATCACATTTATGAATTCTGGCTATCATACCGGAGCCAACACGAGCAGATTTAAGACTGAGATTTGTATTGGTTATTGCATCCAAGACCCTAATTGATTTTTCTCGGTACGATACCCACAAAAACTTGTGTAATAGAGCGTGTTGTGTTCACTCCGCGCGTCATTTTACCTCTTGTTCATTTATTCATGTCTTAAAATCTCAATTATGATGATAAGGCATACTTTTTAGAAAGGTGCCTAAATATGACGCTGAGTATAGCAGGCGCCAAAACAAGAATATATGAGGCTTGAAAAATACGCAAATCGAAAAGGAGTCATATTATAGTTCTCAATCGAACTGATATCCAAAATTATACTCTCGTGGTATTCAATTGCTTCAGCCACTCATAGTTCCTAAGTTGAAATCTTTGGCCTCCAGTTTTGCTACCCGGATGGGCTTTATGCAGATCTGGAATGGCATAAATTATCTTTGAGCGCTCGAAGACTCAATTTCTTTGACAAAAAAAATGATAGATTACCTACGAGTGATAAGGTATAATATACACTTGAAATTCGTTGATTATCAGACTTTAAGTAGGGTCAAAATGATTGAAATAAATGTGTATCTGATATAAAACTTCGAATAGTTCAAATAAGAATTGCAATTGATAGAAGTTAAAGCTCTACAGATTGTACTTATGACCCAAGGTCTGGCAAACCAAAAGATAATTTCGTGATAAAAGCTTCTGTCCGTGGATGCTCAAGACTGTTCGGATGCTCAAGACTATCCGGTTGCTCCATTAGAAGGCATTTGGAGCATACTGGAACTTTTTCAGACTTTGGTAAATTGAAGAGGATTTTCTCTGATATTTCTGAGGTTGAATTTCTCAGAGTGGGAACTAAGCTTGCCACAAACTTTGCGCTTGCAAGAAATAGAGAATGGTGCGCTTTCGTTACAACAAATGGTTTCAAGGATTGTCTTTCGATCGGTGACCAGACGAGACCCAAATTGTTTGCCGAAGCTATTAACCTCTGGATTCATTACGCGACCTTATTTTTGAGACTGGCGAGAGAGGATCCTTTTTATAGCATGTGACCCGTCGTCATATATATTACTGCATAATTGCGCATGCGTTTCATGTACGACAGTGCATAGATTTGCATGTATTTCCTCTACCCATTACCTGCCCGGGTACCAAATGACTTGAAACTCTCTCGTAAAAGTACTCGAGTTACTCCGTGATCAATACTGACAACCGTAAGTCGGAGAAACCAAGTAAGCCGAAGGTGGAAAAAGGTTTCCATAAAGAGTGTCCAAACATGAATGTCTTGCGCCGTATGATACTCTCTGTTATTTTCAGGCAGTCGTGATAAAATAATCTTTATTGGCTTATAATGAACTCACCATCAATCGACAGTTTGTTCTTTCGCAACTTTAAATATGTACCAGGAAGAAATGGTTTACATAAAGTTGACATTTGATGCCAATAATGCTCAAGATTTGCACATACATTTTCAACACTCAAATACTGCTTTTCCCGCCATCGACTTGTCGCATGCTCCTCACAATTTGAAGCGCGTACCAAATCTGCGCCCGGAAATTGGTCGAAAGAAGCTTGCCAATGCCCTTTAGTTGTCTCTGTAAGAGAACCTTTTGAGGTCTATTGCGCTCTAATCATCTCTGTAAATATATTTCGAGTCGGTGAGGTGACTAAATTTCTGTAAGGAACCGATATCACAAGTGTTAACGCAACAGCAGCAGCTGTGGTTTACAACTTAGTGGGCCGCAGATAGACTAGTGTGATCTTGAAACGCAGCAGTAACACTGCAAGGTCACTCAATTTCTGAGCACTTGGTAGTCTGAATTTTGTGTGCGTCACCTATTATCTGCAGACGCCCTAATTTTTGAGATCTTTCGTTTATGTCTTGGTCGAGTTAGATAAGGCTACTATTTTCTATATTCAACTTACTGGGTAGCAAGGCGCTGCCAAGCAATGGTTTTATCTTGCGAAATAATCGTTGTTGAATGAAGCGCTGGTCAAGTGTTGGTACGAATGATAACTGTATCTACTACTGCGTTAGTCGAATATAACACTATTTTTCATCAACGATATTTGCCGGTCTTGAGCATATCATACTCTTGGATCAGCAAACCAAAAAGCTATTGAAGCACTTCGTCGAAGCTTGCACACTTAAAAGGCGTGGATACCAAAATTTCAAGACGAAGAATATGAATGCCAGCCTAGCGGCGTACCGCTTTACTACTTGATCGAACAATATTAAAAAAACGTCATGATGCATAAATGGCCAAGGGCTTCCAAAGCATCTTTTGCCTTCGATGAATGTTTTCTTAACAGATCTTCAGCTCTGCCTCTGGAGAACAAATAATTGGGAGAAATATCTTACAAACTGTCCGATGAATCGATATACTACTCATTAGGTATTGCCTGGTGTACTTTATAATTTATTGTACGATTAGTTAAGGCAGTGTATTATAATTTTTACACTCAATTGTATAAATGCCGACAAGTCGTTCCATCAGGTGGATCAATTTCATAACTGAGAGAATCACGCAAATTTATATAGGATCCATAATCTAATACAGATCGATCATACACACCATGGAAGACTGCAGTATAGCTTGCTAACTACTCTTGACGCAAATATTCCTCAGTAGATTTTCATCAAGAGCGCCAAAAATGAAGGTCTTCACTTGATCGCGGGTTGTGTCCTACCAGCAACCAATAACGCAGCATCAAGTGGTAGGTGATAGAAATGCTCGTTTCCTATAAGCCACTCTCTCAAAATGTTAAAAACATAGAAGGGATTAAATAGCAGTTTATGAATGATTGAGTTTCCGATGCCAAAACAATGCTCCAAGTTTTTCTTTTTCTGCTAACTTACCTAACGAAAACTAACAGAAGGAGGCCACGTAGGAGGGATTTACGCGCAAACGTAATGATGGGTAAACTTATCTTTTGGTTCGAATTTCACCATACCGTTAATCATCCGATAGCCCAAATCGCCAGGAACGATTCATATAAATGCGTGGATATTTCGATGTCTGCACCTTTTGATTGCAGTTTAGCATTGTGCTACCTGTCTTTGATCATTTCTTCTCATCCTTGCTTATTTTTTCACATAACACTCAAAAACATCCAAAAGCCCGCAAGCAAGCTATAGTGGTCGATGGTGATTTCTTCAACAATGGCTTGATTACTGCTACCAGCTCATTTTTACACCTCTATTATGAGCTCTGCCCTTTTTTTTCCACACGTGATGCCCAACTGCCTTTATCGCATGAGCTAACTGTGTCGCTACGAAGAGCATAATTACTACTTAAACCGCCGCAGATGTTTTCATGCCTTGAAAGTCTGATAATACAGCTTACAATGGTAGGTCATCGACATATCCCACGACCACGAGCCTCGGTGCATGCAAACAGGCGGTTTTAAGATTTGATGCTTCGAATTCAAGCGCAATTCATTTACGAAAACGCAAAGCAAGGTGTACTAGCGGATGAAAGTGCTGTGCAGGAAATCTGAGAGAGAATTGGTGAATGCATGCATTGCCAATTCAAGCCCGCTCTCGATTGCTGTTGCTGAAGCTGCAAGGAAATAGCTTGCACACGGTAACATCTAATCTCGTAAACTATGGCATTTTGTTTAATAGCTCGTTTACGCTGATACATTGGAGTTCGTTGTCAATCACTAATCTTTTACGATCCTCATCATAATGTGTTCCTTCTTTAGCCCTTGAAGATCCGGGAACCCCCATGCCCATAGGAGAAGGCCCCCAAGATGGAGTGTAGCAGACTTCATCCCATTCACAAACTCTTTTGCAGCGGTAGTCCAACTCAATCCATCTCAAAGATCCAATCAGGCCTTCAACTTCCTGGCGAGCAGCTTTAATATTTTTGCTTGCTTGTAAAAAATCAATTTCATCATGCATTGAAGAGCGCACAATAGGTATTAGTAGATTGTTGACATCATAGATGACGTCTACAATTTGGCCGACAACCTTGACTGCGGCTGACCAAATTAGAAAATCCGAGTTGGTGCGCAGGTTTTTCAAAGGCCTCACGTACTGGTACACGGCGAACTCTTTGTCTTTACTAAAGAGGCCATTGGTGTCTTCTTGAGTCATGAACCTTAGAGAGAAATTCAATGTCACAGCAGTTGCATTGATGGCTACAGCCTCATGCGTCGATTCATTGCGGCTTAAAATGCCGCTTATCACCTTCAACATTGGTGCAAACTTATCAACGATTTCGTCAAAGACTTGCTGCCAGTCGTTACTTTCGTATGCATTAAAACCAACACTCAATGCTTGTTCAAGGTCCTCAACCATTTGCAACTGTTTGTCCCACGACAATCCATTGTTAAGCAATCTTCTGTTATTTGGATCAGGGTTGATGGAAGTCCTATTGATGCCAGTGACCAAGTATCTGTAGTCCAACTGAATTCTCTTATCCCCTTTATCATGGACCGCGCCTGCAAGCAACCAGTTAAAACTCTTGATAGCATTGAAATTGGACAACTTTTTTTCCCACGAGTCCTCCTTACTAAGAATGGTCCTCTGCTCTTTTGTCAAGTTTAGTTCCACTAAATTGTAGTTATCATCAATTGGCCAGCCGTTCTCCTTTGAAAGGACAGTTGGTGGCGGTAATCCGAGGTGATCACTGGGGTATGCCATCTCCAAAGAGGAAACCAACTCGACATCATTCGATGAGAAATCGCACAAAATAACTTCAAAGCCAACCTCAACTCTCACAATACCATTCAGACCAAACGGCTTTCCCCATTTGCATATTCTTGAGGCGAAAAGCCGCTCTTTCATGCCTCTGTCTTCGCCGTCATCTGTCAGATTTAATTTGTCTTTGATCACGTTGGAGAGCATTTCCTGTGTGTCCATTTCTCCTGTTCCATCTGTTTTCGCGGCCGAGGCACCGTCAACGTAAAGGAGTTTATTCAAATCTTTCGTCGCTCTATATGTTAGCATTAATTTCCCAGTGTCCCGATCAGGTCTCCCCGGCTGACTTTCGATGCTAGCGCTCGAATTATCGTTCTCGCCAGATTTAAAGCGATCGTGTGGACGGCCGCCGGGTTTTCTTAGAGAGCTTCTGCCATAAGAGGGGGGCCTGAGGCCGAAACTGTAGCTAAATTCGTGATCCATCGCCAACCACTCAAAAGATTTTGGAACTTCGGTACCTGCATGATACATCAAAGTTCCTTTAGGTATTATTGCCGGGAAGTAAGAAACGCCAACGGGATGGATATCGGAGGCAGATTGTCTCAAAGCAGCGCGAACAGAGTTGAACAAGGCGGTACTGTTAGCATAATCAAGTTCTCTGGTAAATTGGAGGTAGTTATCCCACCGTATAGGAACGACTTCAGGCCCAGACTTTTCATTATGATTCTTAAAAGAGTCGACAATCGATAAACCTTTGTCGGTTTTGAGATGTGTGGAAGAATAGAATAGTAATATCAGCAATCCGCCAGCAGCTATCAATGAACCCAAAAGCTTTGTTCTCAACATTTTCCTGGCCCGCAAAACTTTTTTGTTCGCTCCTCTATAATTCTGTTCGCTGTTTAAATATGTGGATGCATCTCAAGCCTCCTTTTCGATAAGCATAAGTGGTTGGCATCAATATATATATTTTTTTATTATGCACCCCGATTATGTGCCTGTAAATCTAATTTTTCATCTAAATCTTGGCAGATCAAAAATGCTGGCATCAAAATCTTTCTTATATTCGTCACGTTTCTGGTGCTATCCGAAGTGTCAACGGTCTCGGTGAAGTTGCGCAACGCTCTGCACACAAAGCAGAATAGCACCCTGAATTTTCGTTCGAGTCTGCACCCTTGATTGAAAAGAAAGCGTTAAGAAACGTAATCAAAAATCTTTCTAGCAATAAGATCAACCCGTTAAGGACTTCCTATGATCGAAGTCTAGAAGTAATTCGCAAGCGCGACGGCCAGTTTGAAGCCGTTAGTTTGAAAATGCTTTCACGAGCTACCTCGACATGAGAAGGGCGTGATGTATAGCATAAATCTCGATTGCTTTGACTGAAGTTTAAAAACGAGCTCTTTTGAGCCAAGCAACCCATCTACTTCTTGTAAAGAACGTTTGAAGACGTAAAGTGTCGAAATCTTTACAGCGTCAGAATAGTACGAAGTGATATGTGGTATGTTGTGTATCTGAGACTGTATTAATTCAACACGTAACGCGATGTAACAGCAGTAAGCTGTATTTATCTTATCAAGACAGCCGGGTTGATTTTTTTACATGAACTGATGAGATGGGCGCATCTGGCTGATCAAGTAAGGTGTAAATACCGATGGTTGTCAAATGTTGAGGATTATATTCTCGTGACAGAAATTTACGGAGAAAATATCCAGCTAATGCATATTTTCGAGTGAACGACGGTTTATCATGTATATTGGCAATTTGATTTGCAATCACAAATACTTGAACCTCGTCAATAGAAACCAAAAACCAAAATCTTTAGATACCGGGAGGAAGATGACTGTGCCACTTATCTATGCCATCCTATCAGTGCTGAAAGTAGCCGTCTTTCTAACATTGATGTTAATAATGTCGAATCCCTGTGTTATTGCTGGATAGCGTAAAGTACATATTGAAGTAGATCAAAATAGGATCATAACGGTAAACAAGAGCTAAAACTATACAATACATCAACTCGAGCTTTACAAGAGTACCAGGCGATAGCCTAAAGTGGTCCGATAATTGACTGATGACTCAATGTATATTCTTAATGTATCGTACGTTGTATCGTATAATTATTCTAAGCTAAGTAATTAGTTTCATGCTCAGTCAGTTTTTATATTAATACCGCTAGTTGTTCCATTCTTTGGATCAACCTCATAGCTGAGAGAATCACGGAGATCTTAGTAGAATACCAGACCCTAAAAAGAATTGATTAACACATCATAAACGAACTAGATGACCTGTTCAGCGAGCTAACTACCACTGACGCAGGTATGCCTCAATTAATATTTTTTCATCGAGAGAATTACTCAAAAGTTTCAAGTTAAAAGTGTTATCGTCTTTAGTGTTCAATGGCTACTAATTCGTCCAAAGTCAAGCGCCGACGCTTGATGGCGATCATCACTTCTTACCATTATGTCATTATTTCCTGCTCTTCATGCTCTATCGCAGTAGGATAAAAGAAGGCATACACATATGAAGCAAATAATACATTAAGACCACAGACTTTAAGTACAAACTACAGCCGTTATTCTGAACTCAATTCAGTACCTGTCTTCTTACAGCTGCAACTAAGAGTAAATACGGCATTTGGATGGAACAAAGATAGGAATTTGGTCGCCCATACTGTCACAGATATCTCCAACATAGCCAGTTGCTTGAATTCCGTTGGCATACATTGAGCTCCAGTTGTTCAAAACATCGTCTACGAAAGTCAAAACCACCTTCCAACTGTTTTTCAAACCGACGTCAGTTGCCGAGTCTCCCATCATACGCGTTTGGTATGCGGTCATGCTAGGTGGGGGTCTATCATAGTTACTAAATGCCTTGACAAATGCAACACGAGAAAAATCCAGTTTTCCATTCCGAGCGGCATGGAACATGGCAGCAGCTCTTCCAGTATCATCTTGATTGGTGTTACAATAGTTGGCAGTTCCATTCGATAGCAGCCTCACGTAGTTCTCAACGTTTGTAGCAGCGACATCGCCATGCCAGTAAGCATTAGAAGCGACGGTGTCACATTTTGCGATGAAAGGAGAACGTCTGGCAGCTGGATACTCATATTTTTCACGATAGGCGATAAGGTCGTCGGAAATCTCCGTCATTTCCAAATCTTTAGACAGGTCAAAAATTCTATCGATTAAATCTGTATTGAATTCAAAAAGCTCTGTGTCAACGAGCGATGGATAAACTGATGGGGTTTGTCCGCCTGCCCAGAAGTAATTTCCAGTGAAGTTTTCAGGCAAGTCGGAACCGAAAAACATGGAGCCTCTCTCAAATTGCATCACGAAACGGGATATAGCCACCCCACCTGCTGCAGCGACCCTAGGGTTGGCACCACCTGTTCCACTTACTAAAAAGTAAGTTTGAGTAAAGTCAAAAGCTCTCGAGTTCATAAGACTTGTCCAAGCGATGGCTGCCTTAATTTGGGTCGTAGCATTGAACTGACAGATCTGGTAGTCGTTGGTACAAGCAACAATGTCATTGAACTCGGTTTGAACAACCGTAGTAAAGTTGAATTCTTTGATATAGGCGAGCTCTGCGGCGTTCGCGGCGAGCATGACCTTAGGAGCTATTTTTTCTTCACAACTAAGGCCGAAGGCAACAGAAACAAGACAAACGAGCGTGGCTAGAGGAAACAAAACCATACTAAATGCTTATATTTAATCCCGGGCTTTGATTGACTTATCATGACAGCTTGATCGTATTCAACATGGGGATCTTCGCAGCTTATATGTGAATTACTTTCAAGCTTTTCGAAAAACTCTGACGCCTTTGTCAAACCTTTGATTGTTTTCTCTGCGGACCACCCAGCCGGAAGCTCTCAGTTTAGGAAATTTTCTTGATAAGATACAGGTACCTGCTTTATGCAATCATCCTAACAGTTTCGTAAACTCTGATGTTGAAGCACTTAGAATCAAATATGGTTCCTGCTCCGACAATTGCAACTTTGTTGCTGATCGGCATCGCCCGATGAAACTACGCTGTGAGTTTCGCTATCAGGAAAAAATTGAATTTAGATCTCTCAGTCACCGTTTCGGGAAGTGAAGATAAGAACTATATTATTTGAGTCTGATGCAAGACTGAACGAGGAATATCAAGCAATGAGTAAACACAAGGCCTCCGCCAGAGTACGTGGCTGTCTACACGATATTCTAGACATCTTCCACTAGGAGCCATGCACGGTAACGTGTGCAAAAAATGCAGCCCTTCGTCATGCATCAGAGCTGTGAGTTGCATACAAATCTTAGGGTTACCAATCGATTGATATTTCTATAGGAACTGGTGTCCTTCTAGCAATCTTAGAGTAGCATCTTCTGTAGTACCATGTGAACATGATGTGGGTAGTTTAATCGACGATGGCGCTTTTACCAAAATGCATATGATAGGAGCTATTACTACGTAGTCTGGACTTGACAAATCGAGATGAGATATGCAAGCTTCGAGTTGACAATAATTGTTCAGATAAAAAAGAGGAGACATAAATAACTTTTTTCTCAAAACAAATGAACAACTAATTAGTTCTCAATTGAGTTTGGGATTCTTACTTGTGTATAAAAAGTAATGAGGCGTATTGCTGGCAAAAATCACACCGATGAACTGAAGCAATTTACGATCGTTGAAGCCTATGGGTAGTCTGCAAAGCGTTTCGCTAAACTTAAAGATGTAATTCACATCTTCTGTGCAAGTTTTATATGAAACCTGGCTTTGCGAAGAGTGTCTTGAAATTAATGTTGCTGTTGCTTAGCTCCACGCCCGGAGCAGTGCAATAATGCTCTCAATCTCTAGATTATGAGCAGCACCTTCGTCGATTGAAGCGCTTGAGACTGAAGCAGAGATATAGCCGAGCTTCATGTTGGATGAGACTTGGGGTGACACTGGAATGATTAGGCAGCCAGGTTTTGAGCCCAGAGAATATTCCATTGTTTCTTTTCACTGTCAGAATCCGTGTGCTTTTTTTAGATAGCGTCAATTGCATAATGAAGTAGACAAGTATAGGATCAAAATGGGGAACCATGAAATATGACATTATGGTACAAAGTGATGTCATAACGGTCGATGGAATATTCAATGCATTATATATCAGTGAAGAAAAGTATCAAAAGACACCTAAAAGTAAACTAATGGTCGACTTATGAATCATTAGATGCCGCCTGATGTATCACCTGATGTATTATACGATTATTCAAGGCTGTGCAAGGCTTTCTGCGCTCGGTCAAATCTCGTAAAAGCATAGGCAAGTTGTTCCACCAGATGAATCAACTTCACAGATGCAAGAATCACTGAAGAAGTACCGAGAGATCACGAAGTCAGTGCGCTCAGGAAAAGCCGTATATCCTTTCTACTTAAAATGTGACTATCTTAGTAGTCGTGCAGTAATTTCCATGCAGCACCGTTTTGTGGAGACCCTTCTGAGTGTCTGGTCTCACGGCTAAGAATTCCGCATATCCTTCATTGAGCCCTCAGTCTGTGGCCTTTTCGACGTGAAAATCAGGGTCTTTGATGTTAAGCACTAAGTAACCTAATTCCTGTAACATGTAAACTGACTAATATTTCCCAATTATCTATCATGACTATTCATTGAAAATTGATCAGAGAAAATAATGAAAAGACAAGAGGCTAGCGGAAATTCAATATCTTGGGCGAAATAATGGTAAGATCCAGCCTATTTTTGTCTTGCAAATTTAAGCTTTTAACGCAACTGCATCATTATCTCGGCCCTCGTTTGGGAGTCCATAACATACCTCAAATTTAATTGGGACATGAATGTATTATCGTTCCTACACACATTGACGTAATAATATGACATATGTAGGGTACCTACCATCTAAGCGTGTAATCGTAAGACTTTATCACTCATAGACGCTACAGATTCTGGGACCTGGGGCGGCTTAATGAGCTGTCATACCACCGGAAGCGTACAGCGTTTGGCCCGTCATCCAGTTGCCGCTCGAGACCAAGAATGAAACAATTGGCGCAATGTCTTCAATTTTTGTTAATCTGTTGTCAAATGCTGCGGACTTGTAATACTCTACTGCCTCAGGCTGTTCCTGTGAGTAGAAAAAGGGTGTGTCCATGGGGCCTGGAGCAATGCAGTTGACAGAGATTCGCTTTTCAATAAGCTCTTTAGATGCGCTCTTGGTGTAATATTCAACAGCGCTCTTGGTTCCCTGATACACGGCATATAATGGCGTATAAGCAGCCAACAGCGAGGTCACCAAAGATATAATACTACCACCGGGGCTCACGTGCTTGGTAGCTTGAGCAATAAAGAAAAACCCGATTTTGTTGTTGACGAGATCCATTTCGTCAAATTCTTTTTCGGTGACCTCGGCCATGGGTTTTTTCAAAACCTTACCCACGTTATTGATAGCAACGTCGATAGAGCCGAATTTGGCCTTGGCCGTTTCGAACAACTTGGCTACATTCTGTGCTGACCCCAAGTTGCCTTGGTAGAGCTCCACCTTTACCCCGTACTTGCTTGAAAGCTCATCCGCGAGTTTCTGCTCATCACCTTGAACTGAATTGTAATGCAAAAACAGGTTAGCTTTATGCTTGGAAGCGAGCTCGATGGCAGTTAGTTTGCCGAGATTCTTGGTCCCACCTGTAATTAGAGCAGTTTTCCCTTCCAAAGACATATTTGATAAGATTGATTGGCGCGATCTTGTTCCTTTGCTTTATAGCAACTTCTATTTTCCATGAGAGTTCAAACAGCCAGTTGCTACTCCCTTTATATATTCTTCAAGCTGCATGGAAGCATCCCTTATGACAAGTGTACTCGAGCACTGCCAAGGTAAAAATTCACGCTCTTTACACGGAGTTTTCACGGCTACTAAAAATGAACGGGCTTTTCACGCATTTTCTCGAAATATTTCACTAAACACGGTTATCCATAAAGCAATTCGACACGAAGAATTGATGAGTCCTGTATCTGTTCAGCTATTCAAAAGGACGAGTAGTGTGAGCGTACTTCGCTATGTTGTAGAAATTAGAACGAAGATCGAAAGTGGCTCGCGCTATTACATTATTTTTGAAACGAATTCGTGTGCTGCAAAAATCACTATTGGGCTTCTCGTCAGGCAAGCGCTCTAGTGGCCTTATTTCTTGCTAGCGAAATAAAGTCAGTCATGCATACTTATTTAGATTGTGTTTATCACTAAGGGCCATTCTCTGCGAGAAGAGAATTTGGCAGTTGGCACTACAAGTGCGGAAACTCGTTTCGCGGTGCATGGCATCACATAATGTTCACTGAAAGTGATGCCTATCGATCAAGTTTGATAGCGTTAAACTATCTTAGTACATATCCCCCAATGAACTGTAGGCTCTTTTTTCTGGATGACAACAAAACTCATTCCATAGTTCCTTTCACCAAGCACAAATTCGCAAAACACTTACAAGCTTACACATAAAAGGCCTCTTTGATACATTCAATACTATCTTTGACTAGATTTGCACCCTGAGTTAGCCTCTCGTTTATTACCATGGCAGTATGCGGAACACGTTTGCATACGGTGATCTTGCTATCAATTCCATTAGCCTTCAATTTCTCGTGATAAGCCTCGGCCTCCGATCTTAAAACATCGCATTCAGCAGCGGCTATGTATGAAGGAGGAACCTGTCTGAAACTGGTTTCGGGGAAGAACAATGGGCTTGATTCTGGATTGCTCAAAGTTTGTCCTGCTTTTGGCAAATATATCTTTCTGTACCAAAGCATTTTCACCGCCGGTAGTTGAGCGGTCTTTTCATTCTCCTTCCATGAAACGTGTGTTTTGGCAGTTGCGGTATTATCGGTAACAGAGACTACCATCATTTGAAACTTCAGCGGTGGTAGTTTCTTTGAAAGCGAGGATGACGCATATTTATGCGTCATAACGGCCGCTAGATTACTGCCAGCGGAGGATCCTGCAGGACACACTTTATTGTTGTCGATTTTTAGCGCCATGGCGTTTTCCATCACGTACATCAGAGCCTCGAACGCATCGTCGATGCAGGCTGGGAATGGAAATTCGGGGGCCAATCTATAATCCACAGTAATAACAATGCATTTGGCCAATTCAGCAAGGTGCGTACAGTAAGAGTGTTCAGTGTGGATGTACAAGGCCAGCCGCTGGCTGGCATTCTCCCTTTGGTACAAACACCCTAGCGGGAACTAGGCTATCTGCTGATGTATATTTTCTTGGAATTTCAAGATCATAAATGTAGGCCATTTCCATTGGCAGTGCTCGACCAGCGATAACATTGCCCCAGCCTTTGTTTTCGCAACAGGATACTTGTGGGTCTCCAGGATGTCGGGCCTTTCACACAAAGCTTCATTAAAAAAAGCGACATACTCAGGGTCAAATCTGTCCTTCATTGAAGGGTCGATCGTCAATGGTAACGGGCTCAAAGGTTCTGGTCAGCTAAAATCCTTGTTCAAAACAGTATCGTAGATTGACATTGCTTATAAGAGACAGCGTCAATGCACTAGAGATCAATATTTCCAGATGCTACATACCTATCTTCATGGAGTGAATGGATCCATTTGAGCAAGCACCATTGATGCCTAGATATATATTATACATAACGGCTGATAGCATTATTCGTCGTCTACGATGCTAAGCTCCCCCCACAGATCTTTATCACAGATAAGGTGAGCGCTCTTATCAGTGTCACGTGGCATTCGTAGTGGGGGGAGTGGAAAGTGGGGGGAGAGATAGCCTTCTATGTTTGAAAAAATCTAACAGCGATAGGGATATTCTAAATAGCGGAACAATGAATGAGATAGTTTCATTTTGAGCATTGATATAAACCCGTAAAGTGAACTCTAGCAAAAGACAGGTGAGTAAAATAGGCGGACTAAACGTGAACAGCAGAGCTCAAAGTCATGTCATATCCTTACAAGTACACCGCTCACTCTGACAAGTGGGTGCTGGTTGAAGCGTTCAAGGGCAAAAGACTCTCGGAACTGCCAACACCATCCTTCATCGTCGACAGAGGAATATTTAAAGAAAACTGTGCCAAGATGTTGCGGAATGCTGTTCACCTCAACGCAGACTTCCGTGCTCACGTTAAGACTCACAAGACTCTCGAGGGAACTTTACTACAGCTCGGTTCAGGGGAGTTGAGAACCAAAAAAATTGTCGTTTCGACACTTATCGAGGCATGGGGTTTGCTGCCACTTATTAAACAGGGTTTGATTACTGATGTTTTATTCAGCTTGCCGGTAGTTAAAAGTAGGCTCTCAGAGTTGACTGAACTCGGTGCTCTAGTCCCGAACTTGCGCTTGATGGTTGATAACAAAGAGCAGTTGGAAGTTCTTGCTGAGTTTAGTAAGGAATACAATATACAGAAGAAATGGTCTTTGTTTATCAAAGTCAATATGGGTACGAACCGGGCTGGGTTTGACGAAAGCTCAGCTCTTGACGAAGCATTACATGATTTGCTCAAATCGCCTGCCAAAGACTACCTATCCTTGTACGGATTTTACTGTCATGCTGGTCATTCCTATGCTTCTACAACAGAAGATCAGGCAAGATCTTTCCTATTGAATGAAATCACCAGCGGCAATGCTGCCTGCAAAAAAGCGTTGAATATGGATCCTTCGTTAAAGTTACAGCTTTCCGTTGGAGCCACGCCTACAGCACATGCATCACAAAGCTTGGATATATTATCCATTGGAGAATTGTATGGAAATCTAGAACTCCATGCGGGAAATTACCCATTTTGCGATCTTCAACAGATGAGTACTCATTGTATCGGGCTAAATCAAGTCTCCTGTAGAGTTCTCGCGGAAGTCCTGTCTTCTTATCCGGGAAGAGGATCAAAGGGGCCAGGTGAGCAATTAATAAACGCTGGAGTCATTGCTTTAGCCAGGGAGTTTGGGCCTCTTCCTGGGCATGGAAGAGTCTACTCTTCAAAGGAGTATGAAAACTGGATAGTAGGCAGGTTAAGCCAGGAGCACGGTATTCTGACTCCTTTGGAGCATATGGAAACCAAGATGATACCTTTAGGAACCAAAGTTGAAATCGTTCCTCAGCATAGCTGTATTACGGCAACTTCATATCCATGGTATTTCATTGTTGAAAACGGAGACATCGTGGTAGACATTTGGGTTCCCTGGAGAGGTTGGTAATTCGAACTACATTAAAGTACTACAGGCTCGCTAATTGCAACAATAGACTTAAGGTCGGAGAGCATGACTACCCTTATTTTACTGATCATTAACGTCGTACATATCACGACAAAAAATAATCTCGCTTCCCAAACTGCGCTGAATACAGTTATCCAGCAAATTGGCATACTCTCTCCCAACGTCCCACTTGCATTTCGCATACCCATTTCTAAATGAAATCAACAACCCCACCAAAAAGTTTAACTTACTCACCTTAGGAAATGCGTCATAGTACTCTCGTATTGTGTTTGAGTAATCGTCAGTGTTCATGTGTTTCAATTGCGCAAAAGATTTTCCCGTCAAGCTTTTGAATTCGTTCCTGATTCGACTAAGGTACGTTGGTCCGTCCTCCATTGCTGGAGCGCAGCCTTCAATGATTTGAAAGTTGGACGAAGCAGACTTGAGCAAAGATTCAGGGCCAAAAGAATAATGCGCATACGCCCAAAGTGAAAGAATTGCGGATATTACAATATTGGGCCGGTATATGAATGGGTCCTTATCAGGTTCATAAGAGTAACTGACCACTTCCATCGAGCTCTCTGGAGACAGCAAAACCTCGCAAAGCAGGATAATTGAATTTATGACACACAATGGACCAGCCTGAGATTTTGCCCATTTGCCGATTCTTTTGACCACGATCTCGTAGTCTTCCTCCAAAATCGGAACATTCATTCTCCTAGGAGCACCAGCGTAAACAATGTAGTCGTAGTGCGCTATTTTCATATATATTTGAGCAGCGTGATAGACTGGACAGCTGCAGCGCGTGTCCTCTGGTCTCATTATAGGCGGTACAGAAAGGTGGTCAAAGCTAAAATCATTACCACTCGGATAGACACTAGAAGACGTCAGACAGCAATCTCGCATAGGTAATTGGGTTCTCCAAACTTCTAAAGCAGATGATATTGTTTCTCTCCAATTCTCTTGGATATAATTCCATCCAAAATTCGACCATTGGGATATGTTTTGCTCAATCTGGAGCATTAAATTAATTAGCCCTGCTAAGAGTATTTGCCTACTGAAAGGGCCCACGTCGATCTCCTCCTTTCGCAACAACTTTTGTAGCGCCTCGCCAAAAAGAGGCATCTTTACAACGGTTAACGGAGCTTCGTGCCTATTAACATCGCTGTACTCCCAAAGCTCATCCGGACAGGGAAGGGAAAGCTTGATTTGGTTGGCAAAAAGGTTGAGAGGATGTCCATAAACAATTGCATGTACACTATCGATGTAAAAAGACATCAACGCTACTCTCTTCATTGACTCACTTTCAATCCATGTGCTCCATAAATTCTTCGATCGGCTAACGTCAGTTCCGACTTCTTTAAGCGGGTCACCTCCTAAAATAGGGCTTCTTCTCAGAAGCTGGACTTTGGCCCCATTATGAATGCAAGCTCTTTCGTGCATAGACCTGGATGTACTCGTGATTTCGTATGTCTCTAAAATAATCAAACTTTGAATAACCCACGATTTACAAGGCGGCTTGGCTTGTTCGCTAGCAAAGATTAACCACCTCAAAGGATCAGCTATTATCTCTGCCAAACCATCGGGGTCCACGAGTTTAAGATTTTCGATTGCTAGAGTTTTCTTCGAGAAGGATGCACCTATCATTATCATGCTCAGTAGTAGCACGGGCTGGACATCGTGAGTACAAAAGGAGGGTCTGTGCAAAATGGGGTATTGACAATGGTACAAGAGCCAGTAAATCTCGAGGAATAATTCTAATTTCTTAACAGCAAAATCAGGGTGATTCCGCAGTGATGGAATATGTTGCGCCATCTTCGATAGCAGGTCTTCATCAAGCTTTGTTTGGCCGTCTGCATTTGGAAACTCAGGACTTAAGGCAAAGATTTCTTGTAACATGGCTGATGTCGAAGGGCCCAGGGGATCGTTGTAGGATACATGAAAAGCACCATTTTCGGGCTGATTTGAAAATCTCCCGCTGGGAGGGGACAAATTGGTAGGATCGCTAAGTAGCCACTGGATTGATCGAGAGGGCAGAATAAACTCCGAATTCGGTACTTTACTCTTCAAAGTATTATCTGCAGTTTTCCAGTGTGATTTTGGTTGATTGTCTTCGTGGAAGGTTTGAGGTCTTGTCATGCCAATCAGATTTGTCGTAGTTTTCATAGTATCGTTTGCACCAGTTATCCTATGAATAGGGTCGGGCAACTCTAATGAAGCAATCTTGATCATGTCCAGTGCTGTTTTCATCCTCTCACTACTTCTTGAAGTTTGTATATCTTCTGGCTCATCCGCAACCACGTTTTCAGGAACGGAACTCGACGCGCTCTCCTGGTATGTCGCTTCTTCGATATTACTGGTTTGTTCTACATGATCAATTTCGTAATTGTTTTTGATGTGTCTACCTTCGTGCTTCTTCTTTACGTCTAGTCTTGAGAACATTCTACCGCACCCAGGCCATTGACATTTTACCTTATTTGACGAGTGGTTGGCTTTATGGCGAGTTAAGTGATCTGACCTAGAAAAGGCCTTATCACAGTCAGTAAAAGGGCAACTGAAGGGACCAGCCCCCCTTTTCCTTCTCTTTTCATCCATGCCAATCGTGCAATTCAAATAGATCGGATCGTCTAGCTTGTTGAATTAAGTGAAAACAATATCCACCGCCCTTAAAAAAATGTAAATAAAGTCTAAAGATTGATTAAGGAAAGCATGCGTTCAACTGGCTACCGAGATTTCCACAGGTATATTGTCACTAGGCGTTTGCTGCATGCATGAGATGCTAATTGTTGTGAAATGACAGTGTTAGATAAAGAAGATCAGTAAAATTAAGATCCAGCCATCAAGCGTATTGACACGGTACAGATCGCCATCGTATAAGACTAAGCACTTGATATGATATCTCAGATTTTCAGTACACTATGAAGGGGGGCGTTGTAGCTTATCATGAGTAAGGAGAGAACCTATTCAATAATAACTTAAATTGGTGGGGGACATAATTCATTAGCTACATCACCTTATCTTGGTGGGGGGCCTAAGATAACGGCACAATTACGATCGTGTAATTGAATACTCACTCAGTAACAATCAAAGCATGCTAGGGCAAAGGTGGCTTCCAGCTTTCATTTAAAAGAGCGAGCGTGAATATTTGAAAGAACATATCCAGCATCCTTATTCTCTTCGTGAATAGTTCCGTTTTATTTAGTAGGTATAGCCTTCTCCGACTTTAAGATGTCAAAAGAAGTCAATGCAAAGGTCAATGTGACACGTTTGGACGTGAAGAGGAGTATCTACGAAGAAGGTAGCTCTTCTGATAATGAGGCTGGTATTGGCGAGGTGAACATGTTCGACAGCTCTCCTGAGAAGAAAATATGTTGGAAGCTCGACTTCAGAATTCTCCCCTTGATTGCAATAATGTATTTGTTCAATGCGCTCGACAAAGGTAATATCTCCAACGCCAAGACAGATCACCTTGACAAAGATTTAGGAATTGAGAGTCAGGAGTGGAACAACATGTTGTCCATATTTTACATTCCTTTTGTTCTTTTCGCCTTCCCGCTTTCTTTAATTATCAAGAAATACAACGCCGCTAATGTAATTCCAATGCTTATATTTGCATTTGGCTCTATTTCGATGCTGGCTGCTACCGCTTTCAATTATGGCTCAATTATGGCGGCTAAGTGGTTGCTAGGCATTTTTGAATCTGCATTTTTTCCTGGTATTATCTACTATCTGAGTACCTTCTATCGCCGTCATGAGCTTGCTAGAAGACTATCGATTTTCTACGCGGCTGCGAATATCGCAAATGCTTTTTCAGGCTTACTGTCATTTGGGATATTTCAAATAACAACCAGCAAACTGCATGGTTGGCAAATTTTGTTCCTGGTTGAAGGTTCTGCAACTGTCATATTTGCAGTTGTTGCGTATCTATATTGACCTAGAAGCCCTGAAACATCTTACTTTCTAACTCAAGAAGAGAAAGAATTCGCCAGGTGGAGAACTGAAACAGACTCGTCTGCCAAATCCACCGAAAAAGTTTCATTCAAGGATGCTGTCAAGGTTTTCAAGCATCCTATTGCTATCGCCTGAGTGTTTCAACAAATTTCAATCGGTGTTCCCTCAATTCGATAAATAATTGGTTTCCCCTGATCGTACAATCCATGGGTAGAAGTACTGTCGAGACTAAAATTTACACTATTGCTCCAAATATCTGGGGTGCACTTGCACTTCTCGTCCTTTCTTTTTCTTCTGATTGCACTAGAATTAGGTCCGTTTTCATCATGATCGGTGTCGCTGGAACATTAGTAGGTTTTGTGGGTTTTGGGTGTATCAACACCAAAGCAAACATTGGCGTGGCATATTTCAGCTGCTTCTTAATGACAACAGGTTCATCAGTCTCTTCTGTCCTGACTTCAACGTGGTACAACAACAACACTTCAAATGAGAATCGCCTTGTCGTCATCTCCGCTATTGGCGTTCCTTTAGCCAACGCCGCGGGTCTAATATCAACCAATATTTTCCAGGCAAAAGATGCTCCAAAATATCTTCCAGCGCTAGGCATCACTGCTGTTTTTTGTGGTGCAGCAATAGTGCTGATCATTGGTGTCGTCAGCTACATGGTGTTCGATAATAAGCGTAGAAATAAACTGCAAGGTGTTAACCTTACGTACAGAGACATTTCTACATCAGAATTGGCTGAAGGTCCGGATAATCCTAACTATAGATGGATGTACTAATTGTTGTCTGGGGGTTTGTTGTGATCTTCCACGTTGTAGTAGATATTATATACTGGTTGTTTTTGTCGATTGTTCTGTTTCCTTGACGACGTTTCATCAAAGATTAATGATATGGAGAGCTCTGAGTTCATGAAATTAAACCTAGTGTTTTTTTCTAACACTATGAATATACATTTATATAAACGTTCTGGACCTTTTGCTACGAATTGATCATAAAGGTTCCATGAAATTGCATGATTAGACATAGTGTATCACTTATCTGATTTACAATTATGTGCTCTGTAACGCAAGCCCTTGTGTGATTTTCGCGATGTTAAAGATGATTCTGATCACAATATACCATCTTATACAGCTGCTAATCTGGACGCTCCTTATAACGTAAAAGGTGGTTATTGTTCCCATGTCGCGTGTTCCGAGATTACTCACCAGTGATGTATTATATAGTGACATGCGCCATCACATCAGTGTTCTAAAATATTGGGAGTCAGTTGGTGCCCTAATGTATCATTTTCATCGGCTACTCAAGAGATGCGACAGCTTCCAATTCGTACTTAATAGCAGCATCCGTGAAAGCCACTACAACACAACTTCGTGCGGGCTTCTGTGGAAAGAACTGACCGTAAATTTCGTTCACAGTTTTGGAATTCTCCGCATGGGAAATGAACATTGTGACTTTGAAAACCTTATCGAGAGAAGAACCCGCTACTTGAAGAATTTATTCCAAATTTTGAATAGCCAGATAGACCTGATCTTCCACTTTCTCGGGAGTCTTTCCGCTCTCGTAGTCGGATCCAATAATTCCAGATGTAAAGACGTGACCGTTGCTAACAAATGCTGGCGACAATGTAGGATGCTCCTTTCCATTAATGGACTCCCATGTAATATTTTCGGCCACCATAACTAAAGTTTGGATATATAGACGTTGCCAGATCTAGGAAGGGTGAGGCAGCTGGTGATCTGAAACAGTTTTCGTTTTTAAAGTGCTTTTATCCCATTCCACTTTATCTGAATAGTGTGTGCTTTGGCGGGGGGAGTAAACAGTGGGGTGGTAGTGGTGGGTTCCTATCTGATAATGAAAATTTCAACAAACGTTAGGCTCTTAATCTAGATTAGTACTTGCTGATAAGCAAACTATCGTCATTTGAACTTCCCCATAGGGCAAATGAAGCTTATCTATATCCGTCCAAAGACTTAAGAGATTTCGGCAGAAAGATGGCTCTCGAGCGTTTTTGACCCACGTTGGTTGTATATGATTGTAGCAGGAGTACGCATTGGTCGCTATTCTACTATACTTCGAGATCAATGACCAGTCGAGCTATGTCCAAGGACACATGCAACGATTCTGCCAAGAGCGAAACGATGGCTAGCAATTGCAGTCGCTCTGAGGAATCCTTACAAGCGCTGTCGGGCTGTCCCTCCAGCATGAACACGCGGGACTCTGGACATCTCGACCGGATCATAACACAGCGGTTCGAGCCTGAGGACGCGATACGTATGAATGCTAGCATGGAAAAGACTGCAACGGTGCGAGGAAGCCAAGAAAGTGTACCAAACCGCTCCATCATCTCTCGCATCTTCACCAACAAGCCAACCGGTAGCATCGATTTGCCGCCCGACGGAGGCTACGGCTGGGTGTGCTGCCTGTGCGTAACCCTGATCATGTTCTCAACGTGGGGCGCTAGCTGCGGGTTTGGAGTGTATCTGGCATACTACTTCAACAACGGAGTTTTCGCAGGTGCCTCCAAGTACGATTATGCCTTGATAGCTGGCATGACTGTAGCCTTTGGGCAGGGCATGGCACCCGTGGCATTATTTCTGACCCGCGTGATGGGCTGCAAGGGACCCATGTACATCGGCATTGTGATGATGTTTCTTGGCCTCCTTTTGGCATCGTTTGCTACCAAACTATGGCAGCTGTACCTAACACAGGGCGTGCTGGTCGGTATTTCCAGTGCCTTACTTTATGCACCTGCAACCACGGTTCTACCTGGTTGGTTCCTCAAAAAGAGATCCATGGCGCTTGGTTTCTCGCTGACTGGTACTGGAGCTGGTGGTGTAACTTACTCCATGTCCGTTAGCAAGCTTATACAGGAAACTGGAGATCAGCGGTGGGCGCTTCGTATGATGGCCATAGCGTGTTCTCTTACCAGCATAGTAGCCACGCTGCTACTACGACAAAGAAATCCTACCAAACCTTGTGGCTACAAATCCTGGTCGGCAATCGTGCAGCAGTTCAGACTAATATTTTCTTTACGTGTTGCAACTATGTACAGTGTTGAGCTGGTGGCCGTATGGTTTGCATTCGCATTGTTTGGATACAATTTGATGGTTTTCACTCTCTCACCGTACGCTGTCGCCAAAGGCCTGCCTGCCAACCAGGCAGCGCTTTTGACCACTTGCTTAAACGCGGCACAATGTGTGGGTAGACCCGCTATGGGGTATCTTGGAGATAGATTTGGCCGGATCAATATTACCGTGATGTTAACTCGATTTTGACTATTTTCATGTTCGCATTTTGGCTTACCTGCCACAATTTCATTCAACTATTGTTTTTCTCGATTTGCATTGGGTCCTGTGTCGGTGTTGCTAACGTCATGAGTACGGTGCTAATAGCCGACGTTATTCACCCAGATGATTTTCTGCCCGCTTGGAGTTTGGTAAACTCGCTCGGATCACCGTTTTTATTGGTCTGTGAAGTGATCGCCCAAGCACTAACCAACTCTTCCAATCCTGCTGATCCATATCTTCACACTCAGATATTTGCTGGACTGTGCTTCTTCTGTGCGCTGATACTCATACTATTGTTACGTGAAATGAGCGTTAGATCGAAACTAGAGAAAAGCGTTCATATCATGAGTTCCAGTAGTGTGGATACCTCTAGAAACTGTGGTGACAAACACATCGATGAGTACAAGTTGAATGAAAAGCATACCATGTACAGTGCTTTGCTTGAGAGGGGTTACAAACGCTATTTCCAACGCATGTTCCATTTAACTAAGGTGTGATGTGGGGGAACCTGGCAACAAAACGTCGGCGTAACGTTTACGTTGGCACATCGACAGAATAGTTGAGAAAAGTTGTAGTGTGAGTAATTGTAACTTACAAGCGCCTCATGAAGCAAATTCGTTAGAGTATGGCTCAGAAAAATATCAGCTCAAAGAGTTAAACCTAGAGATATGATCCATGTAGATCAATAATAGAACAGATTGTGCATTGTATTCACAAGAGTTGATTCGAAGTCCTTTCGATTAGCACATAGTATCGATTTGTTATCAGGTCCTTGTGCAAATGTATTCACAGAGGGTATCGGTTGCACATCAGAGGAGATAATAAACGGATCACTCTAACGACACAAGAATTAAGCAAACAATTCCATGATTAATTGAGATCCATTGTTGTGCATAGCTTCAAGTAAACTGCAGCGGCGGAGATCTTTCCCACTCCTCAATACAGACGATCCCGTCAAGAAAGCACAATTGGATGGATATTCCTCTTTCTACCTGCAGCTTACTGACGGTCGTTATGAAACCTCAAACTCAGTATTCTAGACGCCATTGCCGCGGTCTTCGTACGTGTTCGTGATAAGAAAAGTAAAGAAAAAGTAAATAGTGCTCGAGTGTACAGCCATGGATTGCACAACTCAACAGATTTTTTCAATTCCTCAAGCGGAACCAGACCAAATCCCTTACCCACTTGAACTTTATCATGAGTGGTGAAAAGATGCTAATGCAGCTCCGTTAGGGTACGCAGAAGAGAAGAACCCTTTTACGATTACGAAAAATATAAAATATTTAGAAACTAGATGTTAACCATTAATATCATCAACTTGACTATCATCTGAATTACATCACATGGAAAACGAAGCCGATTTTGATTCGGAGTTCGTTCGAAAGTACGGACCAGTGAATGTTGAGTGGATCGATCCACCACCGAATGATAGACTCTTTGTGAAGCCGCATGCGCTTAATTACTTCTTCAATGGGAAGTTGTATCGTACCAGACAAGAACGTGGATCCGCCGTTTTCGAGCTCTTTTTCGATCTATTATACGTTGGAATTATAAGCAATTTGGCTGAAGCCGCCATCGAAGAAGCTACCGGTTCCTCTTTTGCAAAATACGTGCTTTTATTCATGGCAGCATGGCAAATTTGGACAGATATGCGGGAGTTCATGGACTACTACTACAATAACGATCTAAGTCAAAAGTTGTACGTGCTGTGGATAATGGTGTTGCTGGTAGTCTTTGCCAATAACGCGAACGAAATTCTTGAATCGAAGGCACAAACGGGGATTGTTGTTGGCTGCTACATCTTGGCCCGCTTTTCGGCGATTTCCCTTACTTTTGTTTATACTTTTTTCATCGAAGAACACAGACAGCAAATGCGTTGGTTCTCCCTGTTTACCTGCGTCTCGCTCTTAATTTTTGGCTTCATTATAATTGCGCCCCTTCATGGAAAGATTGCAATAGCAGCAGTATGCTACTTTTACGATTCAATTGCCTACGGAGTTACATTTCATCCATGGTTCAAAAAGCTCATAGGGGCGCGGTACTCCACTGCTATTAATATAGAGCACGAAGTGGAAAGACATGGTGCTTTCGTGGTCATAGCTCTTGGTGAATACCTGTACAGTATAGTGGCGTCTTCTCCAGCAGCCAGCGGCTTCAACGAAAGAACGGCGCGTGCGATTAGTGTTCTAGTGGTTGCTTACTGCCTTTCATGGTTTTACTTCAAGGGAGAGGGCTCTCAAAAAGCTATACATGCACTGCGGCGGAGTGTCTTGTCAGCTTACTCTTGGATTTATATTCACGTACCGCTCATGATTTCTTTGATCATTTCTGCGGATGCGGCAGGCGCTCTTACAAAATCACAGCATCTTTATGCTTTTGAAGAACAGGAAAATGGTGTAACTGAGGAAGAAAGACCAAACTACATACATTCGGTCCAGATATTCTACGGTGGCGGCCTTGCTATTGCCATTATGTGCACTTGTGCTTTGGCATTCTGTGACAAAAGCTTAGACCCAGCAGGGAAAACAAAAGTATCGTCAAAGTACCGTATTATTCCCCGTGTCTTGATGGCGGGTGTGGTTTTCGGAATCTCTTTCGCCGATATTAAGATCACTCTATATATGGGTTTGATTGCCGTTTTCATGGCCACACAGCTTCTCTACGAAAGCATATCTGAGTTGCCTTCTAGAAAAGGTGACGAAATCGCTCTTTCTGATTGAGATGTGGCTATTCGAAGGTCATCGGAAAAGTTTCTCTTGAGCCAAAGTCATCATCGCTCAAATAATTCCAAATTATGGATTAGATGGCACTTCCGTGTTTTCAAATTCCAGAACATGACTTGCGACAACGTTGCCTTAGCCGCTATCAACTTCATGGTATGATCTATTGCAAAAAGTAGTCTGCTGAAATCTTGTCAGTTGTGGTGGTTTCGCATGATACAACGTCTAGGAAACCCTCCAGAATAGCGGTCGGCGATTTCGTCAAGCAGCGTAAAGTCACTATGGGCAATTTATAACTGAGGTCTATTCACGATGATAGGCTTCTCGAGGTTTCTCGTGATAGCTTCGAACAGTGCGAGTAATAATTAATACCAAAACCTAATGCTGGTCGAGGACAGGCGCCGATAGTTACTGATTAAATACAAACTCAACTTTAGTAAACAACCTCTGAATATTAAATAGCGAGGCTCGATCGTGCGTGTCAGAACACTAGTAAAGTATCCAAGTGCCATAGATCAGAGTGGAGGGCACTACTGCAGGCGAAATTGAATCACATTTCGATAACGATAAATCTGGGCGGTAAGAAGACTAAGTGTGCGTTCGTGACATTCTCCCACTATCTTCTTTTTCAAGTTAATTTAATGACTTCGTTTTATTATCGAGTATTAAGATCGGCGGATATTTTTGTGACATAAATTTCAACTAGGCATACAACAGCGTTAGCCACTTTGTACTTTCCTGATAGTACACAAGTATCGCTGGACGGAGGTACCCATTTATGCATCAATTTTGGCAATTTTGCACAAATTCTTCTGACGACTCGACAGATCTAGGACACTATATAAGGAGATCACTTTTTCCTCTACATAGACCCATCCAGAAGTGCACTAGAACAAACTCTGCAAATTAAAGGTTCATTTATCCAATTAACGCTCCGCAATTGCCCTGCTTTATCGCTGCCGGAATGCACACTATATATTCCTATTCAATATCCCCCAGACACCCACCAGACTGGATAACATTGCTATATACGTCGTACAGGTAGTACAGATAGCTGTCTACGTTGCGGATAGCAAACGATGAGTTCGTTTTGGCCATGGCTAGGATCTCGTCAACGTCTTCTGTGTACTCGCCAATGTACTCATTTAGACTCATCGTAGGGACGTGGAAGAGACGATGGATCATATCAATACCCATGAACTTCGAGGGCGCCACAGAAGCAACGGTACCATTGGAGCACATCTTGCTCGCGGGCAATTTTGCCACGTAGAAGTAGTCGCAAATTACCGTCTCTTGCGTCGCATTCGAACGATGATGGCCAGCATAATAATTTGGGTTGGCCGCACAGAGGCCGTCGATATCGTCACACCGGAACAGCGCATCTTCTTTAGGGATCTCGGCCACCGCTTCCAGTGTTCCGAGAACTGTGTATATGCTGCCGTCGCCGAACCACCGCTGGTAGATCTGGTCGTTACTACCGTACGCCATGATCCTGCTTCTGGCGTGCGCGGTCACGTTGAGCGTTTCTTGGAAAGCTTCTTGTAGGGCCTCGAGATCGCTACCGTTGCAGGTTGGGTAAAAAGTGGGCAGCTGAGGACTATCCCATTCTACTGCCTCAACATTTGCTTGCTTAGGACGAGTTGTACTAGCTTGATTTGTTTTCCGGTCCGCAGTAATACCGAAAACCATCGATATCACGAGTATAGTAATCACCAGCAAAGCAGTGGAAACTGCTAGCCCATGGCGAACTCTGTTGCTTGACGTCCTGAGGTCTTTCATAGCGTATACAGGCTTTTTAAAACACTTCAATTCATGTTACGACTAGCGAGTACTCATTGGCTTTTTCTAACTGCTTTATATATTTGCTTAATTTTCAGCTTGTTTTAACCACTAAGGTAGTGTAAGCGGCAAATATTTTTTCAAGACCCTGAGGGACCCTGCAGATAAATGAAAGCTGGGTGAGAAAACGCTGGGGGCAAAGAAATTGCATCGCCTAGAATAAAGAAAGACGTGAAATTTTGAAGCGCGAAGGTTCTATTCTTTGGGGCTGTGATACTGTACATAGAGGAGAAATCCGCGGATACTTCAGTGATATTTTGAAAGCTTGAGAAGGTTATTTGATAGACTGTGTGCCTGGTATTAGCGATTGGTCGATGCAAAAGGTACATACCAATGGCTGTGAGTGACGATGGCAGCTCTTTTACAATAGTGGATAATAATAAAATGAAAGTGCTGCAGTGCGGTATTAATCGACAAGAATGGTGGTTACGGCATTGTCGAAATCCAGTGTGCCAGTATGGTGCAAAGTGATATGCAAGAAACTATGAATGTGCACAGCACCAATTTTTTTCGCAAAGCGATGTTCCGCGACTAAATTGTCTGTTTCTCACTAGAAAAGAGGTTGGATTGATTAGATTGTTTGGTATCGGGGGCGTTTTCCGATGTCCCAAAAATGTTAAACTACGGAAGCTTGTCGAAATTTTACTGTTGTCCTTAAAAAGTGTATCGTGCAAGGAACGTAATCAAGTCGACACATGAGTCAGTATCCAGAGTAGGAGAATATAGCAAGAAATATGAAATTACACATTGAAGGGAATCGGCTTAAAGTTGAGTTTTTCTGCGATGAAAAAGACAACCTCGATTGCATGAATTGATTAGATCTCACATCCTCTCTTCCGATTACGCAAGACTAACGAAACTCATACGATGCTCCTAGCAAAAATCATGGGGCGGGAAATAGCTTGGAGAGAAGAAATAAACCACTGAAAATCTGTATTGCAGCATTTTACAATGTGCCTTTTGCTTGTGACGTTTTATTTTACCCAGTAATCACAAGCTTTTCGGCGCAACCATGTTCATTTCAAAGATATCGATGGGATAACTAATTAACGACCAAATGATCAAGGTGAAGGAACTAAGAAGCCAGAGAACTGATAAGAGGCATCACCTTACATATCCTAGTAGCAGCGTCATCGCAAATAACTAACGATAATTTCCTCGGCTTAACTAAGGCAAGTTAATTCAATATAATTGATGTTCCTTCTTTTTATATGCGGGAAGAACTTAAGTCTCTACGTCGGAAAATTGATGGTATCCTTACTTTTTGAGCGAATTTGCTCTATGTGTACACAATCTGTTAAGTTTACTATAAAAAATCCCTGATGGATGACCGCTATGTTCATTGATAGTTTTTTTCTGCAGATGGTACTGCTACTTACCTAAGTTTTGAGCTCAGCATCTTTTTTGACTGTTTGAGATGCTGTAAACGGTTGGGTAAAAGTTACAGGCTCCATCACTTTTTGAGATGTTGCCACTTACCTTATTGCTAAACCTATACTCTTCTTATGCCACTTCCGACGATATGACCTGTCTCAACAACACTAATGTCCTACCAAAAGTGCTTTGCTTTTGAGCGCACAAATCTTTATTTTAATTACTCTCAATTATGATGTACGTCCTTGGCTGAAACTTCAGATTTACCCTCTTACCAGTTTTCAACAAATTTTCGTGTCGTCTTGCCTTGATATCATAAATTGTGCTCGAAATTAATAATCATACTAAAGGTTTCATCATCAACCAATTATGGTATTCATTAGACATGAAAAATGAGATACCCACTGAATCCTCTTGTGAGTTTAAAAGCCTTACACGACTTTATTCAAATCAGAAACGATTTATAAGTATGTATAGTATATCGGCTCGGCATACGTTAAGCTTTAACTCCACACATCCCCTTGGCGTGTGAATACTCTACTGATGCTTAAGATTATGTTTTAAGGGCAACCTAAAACGTGTGTAGTTGATGCCATACACCTTCAATGTTGCTAAAACCTATCATTGTGTCATGCGTCTTTTATAATTTTAGGAAAATATTCAGTTCCTTCAGGATATTCGTTTGCTTCGATGAGTCCTGTTTCGGCTGAATATATGGCCCAATGATTTATGAGTTCATCTAATAAGCGCGGCTGTTCGCCGCTCAGATCGACTGTTTCGCCCAAGTCTTTTGACAGGTCATATAGCTCCCATTCTCCTGACCCGAATGGTTTAGGCACGTACAGGGCTTTATAATTTCCCCTTCTAATTGCACGCTGACCAAAAAGTTCCCACCCTGTGACAGTGTTATCGTCATGAACTTTGTTTGAAGACTTATTGAGGAAAGAGGCCCATGAACTTCCCTTAGGAATGTGGACTTCCCGTCCTTTGAAATGTTTTCCTGGGTGAGGCACGTCGGCAAAATCAAGTACAGTGGGCAATATGTCCATTACAGTTGTGAACTCATGAACAACATTTTGCGCGGCCCATGCTTTGGCGAGTTTTGGGTAGTGCATTATCAATGGACAATTAATGCCCCCTTCAGTTGCCCACATTTTATACATATATCTAGGAGCTGTAGCTGCCTGCGCCCAAAGGTCCCCGTAGTAGACGAAGCTATCGCCCTTTCCAATGTTTGTGAATGCGTTATTGTACTTGTTAGTTATTTTATCAGCAAAGGATTTACCTCCGAATGGTAAGGCTTCCAAAAGCATACCTTCGGCACCATTATCTGACAAGAACAATATCACAGTATTATCGTATTCCCCACTGGATTTAAGCTGGTTGATGATGCGACCAATATTTTTATCCATCTCATCGACCATGGCAGCGTAAACCTCCATTTTCCTGGCGCTGATATTCTGTTTTTCTTTATCAAGCTCATCCCAAGCCTTTTCTTCTTTGGTTTCCACCAAGTGTGGGACGGCGTCTTTAGCAATTATTCCTAGATTCGCAGCTTTCGCTAGCCTTTCCTTACGAAGTGCGAGAGGCCCTTTGTCATAGAAACCTTTGTACTTATTGATGGTCTCGGCAGGTGCTTGAAGCGGCCAGTGCGGTGCTGTGTATGTGAGAAAGCTTAGGAAGGGCCTCCCCTTGCGCTTTTCATCGTTCTTCAAATATTCTAGAAACTTCGTGGTAAAATAATCGGTACTATAAAAGTCGTCTGGCAGCTCTTTCTCAGGGTCTAGACGTCGGCCATTTTCCTGATAAATGAAGGGCATGAACTCCTTTTCAGAAGTGTCGTATTTGAAGTGATTTCCCGCACCTGGCAGCAGAGTAAAACTCTGCTCGAACCCCCTCTTGTCCGGCCAATACGGTTCATCAAGTCCTAAATGCCACTTTCCTGAAATAAATGTATAATATTCTGGGGTTAGGATTTCAGGTAAAGCAGCCACTCTAAAGTTTAGATAGCCCTCATAGCCTGGCTTGCCGCCAAATTTCTCGGGAAAATTCCTCGCATATTCTGCCATCTGTCCAAGACCAGCCAGGTGGTTGTCAGTGCCAGAGAGTAGCATCGATCTTGTCGGAGAACAAGCAGAAGCAGTGTGGAACCCCGTGAACTTCAAGCCCTCATTAGCTAATGCATCCAGATTTGGAGTATCTATCTCACCACCGAAGCTGCCGAGATCTGTGAACCCGAGATCATCTGCCACAATGATCAAGAAATTGGGTTTCGTAGAGCTCATGACAGGCACCTTTTGAAAAACCAAATAGCGGAAACAGCCATCACCTTCTTCAAGTATGACAAACAGATGTCGCTTATAAACATTTTGTTCATCCAGTGATTGGTGAAGCAAACCTAACCATGGCGTCAAGACTTGGCGTTTGTGCTTCGATCAAATGACTATCTTACACTGTCAAGACCATCGAGACTTTTCTATGGTCACCTGAGTAGGAACCACGACTTCTATCAGGAGTGACTCTTAATGACAAAGTGATAAGTCAGTTGTAAATGCGTATAGCATCCTCCATCTTGGCAGCAGCAGATGACAGCTCTCGACGCAGGCCCTAGAGAATGATTCGCGAAGTTTTGCAGGTGTACTTCTATCTCAAATACATACTTCGAACACGGGAAATCCGACAGTAAAATTAGCAAGTTAGATAACGCATTTTTTATCATTTGGTTGGCTTATATAGCACAGCTGCCGAGAGCTACTGAGTCTGGGAGCGTTAGGTAGATATATGGTTCCATTGTGCTATTCATAATCTGTTCTTAGCGATTGATGGCAAAATAGCTTCAGCTATGAGCTTTTCAGAATGCTTCAAATGTAGCCGGTTGTATAATGCGTTTTAACTGATTCAATTATGGAAGCCTAGAATGTTCGAGGCTCTTTACTTTGGGCATAGTAATATGTACAATTACTATTAGCCTCTATCTCCCCCAACAGGTTAGAAATGTGTTAAAAGGGCCCTTTACAGTTAATTCGTTTCTGTTCTGAAACTTCCAGTAATAACATGTCTTGGTGTGGGACAAATTGAACTCGCCTGCAGCTTGACGCGTCCTTCGTACTGTTTCTATAATGTTGAATTTCCAAAATGACATATTGATATATATTGACAAAAACTGATAGAGATGCAAGGAAAGTGATACAGCTGCGGTTCATTGCACATCTTTACTATCGTACCCAGAATGGCGCATCCAGTAATCCAGTCTGGAACGTTTCATGTTTTCAGCACTAGTCTATCGAAGTAATGTATAAATACTGACACTGTGACGAGGTTCTACTTCTGCATCTAGAAAAGCCACGGACATACTTGCATCGTCGAGTTGATAACCAGTTTCAAATAGTTGAATGATATGATAAGATACTACTAAGATTTTCAAGGAGCTCACCCAAGGCTACGGAGATCCGGAAAGAAAACAATATCATCGAGCCGAGTTTTTATGAGACAATAGAAAGCTAGCCAACTTCTTGTTAAAATCAACTGTAATTGACTAAGGAAATTGATTCTCGGATGAACGCTGTCAATTACTTTCCATGAGTATTCCACTAAGAGGTTAAAGTCTTGTTCCGAGCACAAATCAACGGTATTTATACAGTCCAAAATGTGAATGAGAATTGAGCTAAGCGCAGTAGTATTGTACATTTCGTTTCTCTTGAGCATTGATAAGCAATTAGTAAGGTCTAAATCCCTTATCACCGACGACAGCTCTAGGTCAAGAAATGCTCGATACAATTTAGCACTATTGTTAATATTACTCTGTACCATTGTGTTGCAGTGTAACTTGGTAACATTATTACTCACGTCCCGACACGCACTCAGATTGACTTCATCCTGTCCATTGACAACTTCACTCGCAACTTTGAAGAACTGAATCTAGTCGACAGTGACAGATCTCAGAAAGACTAAAATAACAACAGAAAATATGAGGGTATAGCATAAATAATTATGTATTATGTTTTGATCCATTAGGCATCAGCACCAATGTTACAACCTTTCATGAGTGACCAGACCCATTAGGTTGTTCAGACTTTTGTTTCTACATAATAGAAAGGTCAAAAGTTGGGCTAGAGGGTGTAACCTCCAGAATGGCAGGACCGAATAGGATTGAAGTATCCGTTAGGTTTCCAGAATTGTCGGAGGTGACAAATGCATACGACTGACCGGAGACTTGAGAAGGAACTTCAGCAGAAATCATACCGTTTGATACCATGCCTTGCACTGGTAGAACGTCCAATCCACTAACAAAAGTGATGTATGATTGCGCGGATGGAAGTTGACCATCAACGGAAAACGAAATCGAAGTATTGACGGCAAGTGGCATGCCCTGAGTAACGTTGAGACCGGGGTAGGCCTTTACTGGCAAAGCTGCATTCGAGTCGGGACAGGAAGTAATAAATTGTGACGCAATCGAGTAGACAGCATTTACACCCATGGGGGTGCCAAATGGATTGGCCATAGGTACTTCTCCAATAGCATTACGCGCTGCGGACTGGTGAAGCGCTTCGGTGACCAGAATGGATGCAGCTGCCGTTAGGTAGGATTTAGACGTGACCAAAGGCGCGGCTCCGAGATACGCAGACACACCAACACCTTCGATGGTCGCCGCAAGTGCTACAAACTCTTGTGGGTCTGTCATGGGAAATTTATAGGAGCAAGCAGCGACCGGAGTGGCACCCGCAGCCTTGAGGCCGGCCTCCAGGTAGAGGACGTGCGCCTCCTCGTCATGTGCAATGTATTTCAGCTGCGAGTAAAAGTCTTCCGTAAAGTTCGCTTTGACAAACTCGTCCACCGACCAGGTGGAAAGCGCTTGTTTGTAGAAAGCATTTTCAAGATGCTCCAAAGTCAAAGCAAATTGCAGGATGTCGGCGTCACCAAGGGCGGCCCTTTTTTGTAGAGCGACAGGGACGGCTAGTGCCGAAGTGGCAAAGAAAACGGAAGCAGCGTGGGTAAATCTCATTGTAAAGTAGGAGGATGTATAGATTGACGTCAAATCAGATTCTAGAGCGATAATTTTCCTACAGCCAAGGCGCGGCTGCGGCCCTTTTGTACCAAATTTTTTAAAGTTTCGCCATTTAGTTTTGGCACAACCGCGGTTTATTTGGGAGAAACCCCATTCTCGTTCCTCATCTCTGTCATCCTGAACTTGGCGCAGCAAGTGTAATAGCCTTGCTCACTTAATTAGCTCCACTGGTGCGGAAATATGCCTCCTTGCGTGAACAACGTGTGAATGATGACGGACGCATACGACTAAACGCATACACTGCTGTCATGGAGTGCCACCTAAGTCCTTGCATCAGAGGGATTTTCCGTTGGGTAGTAGTACTAGTTCTTGCGTTGCTTTGTTCCCGGACCGCCTACAATAGAGGATCCCAATCCCAATCGCAACTAATGCAGGAAATGCTTTTTGAGGGTTCGCTGTGATCATCATTGATGTCGATATCCGGAGGTGACGATTGTTTTGAGTTACTCCTTTGGGGTGGTTGCAGTTGTCTTCAACGCATGGCTTAAGTTCGCTGAACCTGGCAACAAGGTGCCAAGAACGTGAAAATATCCATTTAACGCATGCTGTTAAAACGTCACCACTGTGATTGGTGCAGAAAGGTTGCAGATATCCTTTGATGAACTAAATTTAGGCTGTACGATCAGGTTGACGGTAATGTCTACTACGACAAGTTGCTTAGGGTTTCGCAGTCCACTTCGCTTTTCCTCGTTCCGCTTTTCGTTTCTTCTCAGGTCTTTGAAATTTGTATTGACAGCTTCACGGACTTTGACAGGTACTCAGGTTTATCAAAAAGGTGTCAAAACGTAGCCTGGGAAGCAGATAGCAACAACGCTAGGAACGGGGCTGGGAACAACTGCGAAGGGGCAAATTACGTTGGTGAAATCTTGCATCGTGCCACCCCGAAGTAGCATAGATGTTGTTCCGCTTAAGATTTAATGTATTGTCCCCGCCTCTGTGACAAGGGGACCCGCTTAGGGGAGAATAGCAAAAGGTGGCTATGGGGTCAATAACACCTTATTGCTGCAAAGTTTCCTATCTTGTAGGACAGAAAAATAGATGTAATCTCTCACCTTAAAACAGATGATGATTGTGAAAAAAATATTCAAAAAATATGAGCGGTACGAGAATCGAACCCGTGTCCCAACCTTGGAAGGGTTGAATGATAACCACTACACCAACCGCCCTTATTGATGAAAACCAAGAAGGCACAACCGGTCTAGTACGCAGAGAAAATGACCGCAGTACCAGTACGGCAACAGCAGAAGGAGCTAGTGAGCTCGCATAGGCTTGACAGGAAGCCTAAGTTTTGATCGGTTATCGAAATACTTCACGAAGCACGATAGTAGATAATTGAATCTGCAATGAAGGTCAAGATAATAAACGACCAGTGCTTGTAACCTTCAGACTTGATTCTCGCTGGTGTGTGACTTGTATATCGCGCTCCAAGCTCACGGTTTCGCAATGCGTATCTCTTGTGTGCCTCTTGGATCTCAAAAAGCTAACCTGCGGCGTATGGTGGATTTGTCGTGGTTTACCGCATGAAGGCGGGATAGCGCGGCGTCGTCTTTAGTCTGGCTTGGGGGGCTCTCTAGATCTTTGAATTAAGCTCGGTGAGCCTGTTTGTAAAACGCACAGTAGTCTTACCTCCTATATAATTGTATGTGGTTTACATTCCTATTTGGATCTTCTCCAATGTACTGATGATTCTGGTAAGATAAATATTATAAATTGGATATTGATTACATTGACCTCTATTGTTCGAACGCAGTGTGACTACAATAATGCGGCCATTGCCATGAGATAAAGCATTTGCTTTTATTCGACACCACGTCGTATTATCATTTCGATTCATAATACATCGCATTTATCACTTGATCCGAATGTGTCGCTGCCAGTAACCCTTAACAAGGAAAAACCTCAAACCCTTTTACCGACAGTAAATGAACTTTGTAATGTGACTGGTATCCGTTGAGAGTATATGCATTCGTGATATTTTGAGACCAAACTGTACCTCTCTTTCTCGCGTATCAGTCATGTCTCGCTAAGATTTTATCGAAATAAAATTTAAGTCAACCCTCTTTAAATCGACTATTCCTGCACTTCTTAATTCGATGAGAGAGGGATATCCCGTCTAAATATGTCCCTCCAAATTGTTTGGTGGAAAATCTACTTCCATCTTTATTACCACCAAAGAGTGAAATGTTCATCCACGCAGCCTCTTATCTACAAGCTGAAAGGTCAGTTTAAAACCCGAGTGCACTTTTTATTCATTTCGATTATCGCGTTGCTACGAAGTAGCAAATGTATCTGCATATTAATTTTACTGGAAGCATAATCATAGAAATGTCACAGTTGAGGGCTCTAGTCTTTGGTCACTCGAGTGCTCTTAGTTAGAGTCTATCCTTGGTCGATAGCGAGGGTTTTCGTCACTATAAAAACCAGTTACCCAACTCAGAAAAGCTTTGATGAAGATAGGAAACGTCAAATGAAAGTTGATTGATAATTGATTGGATTTAAAGAAGTTGAGATTTGTTAATTGAGTGAATACATAGATAGTTTGATAAATAGCGGTAGTTCAACGTACATCAAATTACATCAAGATCAGCCATCGTATGTAAGGTTGAGGACCGTTTTTGTTCGACTCCGAATCGACCACAAAATACGGAACAGGATTAAGTCAAGGACTTCAACAAATGTCATCCTTCTAATTACTCTTTACAAAGTACAGCTGTCAGTCTCAATACTACAAAATCCCAAACACTAAGGTATTTATAGATTCCATGTCTTTTTATCTCGTTATATCAAAAATATCATTGCTACAACGTATCGGGGACTCTTACACGACGATTGGAAGTGTTTTTGACCTTTTAAATACAATTTCTTGGCTTGTTCGCATAGCATACATAAAAACACTCATTCTAGGTGGACGAAGTTTTTCTCCTAAAGCTTCGCTGTTCTTGCCTGTGTTGTAAATGTTCTTATGACACTGCCACTCGCATGAGGCCCACAAAGTGCTATAAAAGGGTATTGACACCGTAACGTCCTTGGACCATGCTATGAGAATCATTTCACCATTATTCGTGGAGCAATAAGTACGCGGTGAAATTTTCCCTAATGTCAAACCGTAGCCAACCGAAGCTTCAGCTACGGGTATTTGAGTATTGCCAGCACAGTACCGCCCGCGCGCACCGGGAAGAGCTCCATTACTAGGACAGCCCGAATTATTTGCCGATTTTGATACTGCTCTGAGCTTCGATTCATCAGATAGCTGGAAGCACTGCTGACGTTCGCAAATGATGGCGCCGCCCTTGCTAGAAATTCTTCGGTATTTTCCATACGTAGCATACTGGCTAGAGCGTCAATGCTACTCTTAATAGATAAGACATGGTCAAAGGCCAGATTAACCCAATCATTTGACAGCTCTAGATGAGCTGTGTTGTGTGCCCTCAAAAAATCCTCACTGGTGACATTGTTTATAACTATAGCTATGGTGGACCGTATCTACAGCACTTTTAACTGTGCCAACAAGAGTGTGACAAATAGTGAGAAGAAATACGATAATGATGGCTGTCATGTCAAGCAGAATGGGTATAGCCGATGTGATAGGGTGCGAATAACAACATAGGATGAAAAGATGTTTACTTTTCTTAAATTTTTGTTGTCACAGCTGAAAATGTGGATAGACTAAATTGTGATGTTGCAGATAAGGTAATTGTATATGATATCTAACTCAAAGTTAATGGGAGAATTTCCACAGTGTGATTAAACAGATTGGCTAACGCGTGAAAAAACTGTTTACAGGTCAATGCTGATGCATCAAACCAGAGCTCCTATAGCCATCGGCATCAGCCTGATTTTCGCCTTGCGAATCATGGAAACAAATGGGATGCGTGTAGAAAATCGAAGTTTAAGCGAACTGTCGTCAAAGATATATTTCCGATGGAAAAACTCAAAACCTTACTATCAGTTTAATGTGGCTCAGTTATTTTTCAGCTTTCTTATTCACAGTAGTAGATACCAGTAAATTATACTGACAAAGGAAGACCAATCATGTTCACGTTAAGTTACGCCGACCGCATATTTCGAATACATGGCCATACCGCTCGACTTGTTAACCCATTAAAATCGTTCGCAAGACTGATTGTCAATTTACTTAAAGACTCATTCGAATCTGTTTACTTAGACTAGTACTTTCACACTCCACAGAGATTCCATGGAAAAATCCTAACGGTTTCAAAGCGAGCAGCTTAGTGTTTATTGCTTCCGACCGGCACTTACCTGATACTCCGGGTGAAGTTTCTCCAGCGCCGAAGCCATAGTAAATTTCTCAAATTGATATGCAGATGTGTAACGGTTCTTTCTGAGCTTAACAAGCCCTTATATGTAAAGAAAGAACACCGTAGGATTGCTGTGTACACGATGAAGAGAAATATTACCAAAACTTTTCATAGATCGTGATATCATGCCTTTGTCGCTGGAAATTCCCATTGAAGAGATAATTTAGATTAGGCGAAATGAATACCTACTTGATGGAATGCGTAGAGAAGTCTGAGAAAATCCGTTTGGTCGCATTTCCCCGCTCTCTTGTCCGATAGGCCGGTTTCTTTAAGGACAGTTTCGATTTTATTCTTGACAATGTCTAGCATCGAGTTCGTGTCGTCGACCATTTCGGAACCCGAGTTGACGGATGCCAAGAAAGCCTTGTAGTTTTTCTCAAGAATCTCAAGCACGGTAGTAGACTTGAACCCTGCTGCGATGGTTCTATTTTTACGTACAAACACAATCCGCAACAAGCCATCCCATTCGTGGTAATCGACTTGCGGTCTAGGGTTTTTGATCTCAAGCCGCACAACACTGGATTCTACCTGTGGAGGAGGTCTGAAATTGTTTTTTCCGACCTTCATGATGTGTGTGACATTGGCCCACATTTGAACATTGGCGGAAAGCCGACAGTATAACGAATCACCAGGTCTCGCCAGCAGCCGCATGGCAAACTCTCTTTGAAACATCAGAATCGAGACACGAGGAGGCTGCGGCTGATTGATAAGTTTGAACACTAGAGGAGACGAGATCTGGTAAGGTGTGTTACTAATGCAGATGTCGAAGTAGGGCAGCTCGGTCTTCATGAAATCGCCCAGCAGAATATCCAATTTTTTCTCGCCAGCGGTGCCGTGGACTCGCTTGGTCAGTTCGGCGCCCATTCTGGGATCCATTTCCACTGCCACGACTTTGCGGGCCTGTTCCAAGATCCGCACCGTCAGGTTACCGGTACCAGGACCGACTTCCAGAACCACATCCGATGGTCTGATTTGTGCTTTGTCGACGATCCCCTGCGCGACTAGTGGATTTTTCAGGATATGCTGGCCCAGATCTGTATTGAACTTGAACACAGAACTCATATGTTTGTCCGCGGATACTTGAGGCCCATTGCCTGTGGCACTTGTAAACTTTTTCTTAGGTGCTTTGCCCATCACTTCGACTGTTGTATGTACGGTGTTGCTTTCGAAGGAAGCGTGGTTTTTGCGAGAGTGTCCAAGGGAAGTTGAAGCGAACGAATGACGATGATGAAGTAGTGCAATGCGACGAAATGCGATGCGATGCGATGAGCTTCAAAAATTTTTCAGGTGACTCGAGAAGAAAAAAAAGTACTCGCGCATGTGACATAATCAGGAAATGGATTTTAGCCGCTGAGATGAACTTATCCCAAAATCAACATTTTAGCTAATGGGGAAGAGCGTGTGTTAGTTCAATTCTGACGGACTGGAAAGTGACGGTTAGTTCTTTGAGTACTACAAGTTCAGACTTTGAAGTTCATTCTCTTTTATACGGCGCTGTTCGCAGCGGTTGGTAGGTCTTGATGTATTGCGAAGTAAGTTCGCGTGTGCAGTAGTAGAATTATGTTTGAGCTAGCTACACTGCGACCCTTGGCCTAACGCGGGGCTTCAGATTCAGCATTTATTGTTTTCCAACAGGTCATGCCAAGGAAGAGCGCTAATCATAAGATAATGCTATCTAGAGAATCTGAAATCGGGCCGAGAACAGGCACCAAGTACAATGACACCTCATCATAATTTGTGGATATATTCCTATAAGTGACGTGACAGAGAAGCTGGGCCTTTGAAATTGCATAAGAACCAAACGTTAGGATTCACGAACAAACATATTAGATGAAATAAAAGTTATAAGTCACAAATGCCTCTGCTACCCAGAAACGAATAAGAGCACAGTATAACAAATACGGTCAGCAATCTCTGCGTTTGTGCACAAACAAAGCCCGTCTCTCGTGCCGCATAAATTACTGCTAGCACTTCCAGGCCTGTTGTAAGTGTTTGATGGTAGAAGCTTCGTAGTATAACTCAGCGACGGAAAACTATTTGGAGCTCGCCAGCCAAAATTCAAGCCTTTTCAGCTAACAAGCCAGCTTCTCCGGTCGCTGCATGACCCCTTGCCTCGTAGCATGCCACATTATTTGTCAAAGGTTAGTTTGCGCACCGATTTCAGGGGAGAGGATCCAGACTGGGGATCTCTGCTGTTGCGCGATGGCGATGCTGAGTTAGATTTTGCAGGGCTGCCACTATTTGCAAAAAACTCCCAAGTCCCAGCATGCTCCTCGACGTTGAGATCCGCCAGCGGTAGTCTCGAGCTCATATCTTGTAATTTCCTGGTGCTTTTTTTATCCTGCCTCGAAATGTTTTCCGCATCCAAAGGTATCGAAGAAGTGTCCTGTCGCAGGCTCTGGTATTCCACTGCAACTAATTTTTGCTCCACTGCCGTTTGCTCGAAAAACGTGAAGTTAGCATCAGAGTCGGTAGGTTTCTTGACTTTTCGTACCGGGCTCTCACGTTCCAGCTTAGCAGCTAGAATATTTGTTATTTTCTTTGGAGAGACAGAACCTGTGCGATGATTTACGTTCTTGCCCGAAAGCGCACGACGCAGCTTGCTCGGAGATTTTGTATTCATTTGGAAAAAGTTGGTTTCAAAGAAGTATGGTCAAGGCGATGAGAACAATCAGGATGTACAACTAGAAGACTAAGCTACAGTACGATTTAGCCATTCTTTAATAGCAGTTTTCTTGTCTTGATATATATTTGATGGCTTTCTTTCTAGTCACGAAAAGCACGCGCTCTCCTTAGTCGCGAAATTTCTTGAAAACGCCAATATCGAAACCTAGATGGGTAAAAGAGAAAGAGCATGCGGAATCGAACAGTCATTCGAATTTCCCGTGGCAAGCTGAAGACCAATTTCAGAAAGTCGCGTTGGTCAGAACTTTATGAATTCCCATTTGTTGTTCACTCTATGTAATCGTATTGAATCCTGATAAATAGCGTTGAAAATATGTATCGTTCACCGCTATCACTGTAAAGTGGAACGTGCCTGAAGCCTCTTCGGAGATAGCCTAGCTTCAAACAGCAGCTGGCAAGTTCGAGGTCGCCAGTTCTGACTTTGAACTGAAGGAAATTGAAAAAGTTATCTTCTAAAATGATCTTGAATTTGGTTTCCCAAATGGGACTGAAACCATTATCCCGGCAACCATGCGTCGATCCCGACGTCTCCGAGTTCACGATTCCATTCATAACCTCTAATGGTCGCAGGATCCTAGTACCGTAAACATTTAATCTCACGCCAAAACTCAACGCAGACTGTTTCTGCTTGAGGTCTTTAGGTCTCGGCAGCATTTGCGCTGACAGTACCTCCACTTTAACTACGATTTTTTTCTTTCTCAGAGCCACGTACGTGGCCTGAATATCGCTCGCCTTGTTAACATCGTTCAACATGTAATCTGGCTTTAAAACGTACCCAGAATGCCACAGCGGTCCCTCATCCAGTGGCAATTGAAACATTGCTTTATTGAGCTGCTGGCCTAGATCGTAGGTTTGCCAATTAGTAGCCACCATTTGAGCGCCGAGTTCCCAAAATTTGATTGGGTTAAAGTTTGAAGACTTGTACCTGAGAGCATGCGGGTACACCCGCATGAGAAACCGCCGATTGTGCTTTCCAATCGCCAGTTTCTGGGTTTCATCCTTCTTTATCAAGTTTTCAAGCTTCTTCTCATTCAAGGAGAAACAGTGGTTGAGAGTTTTCGACTCCGGCAACGAGAAATTCCTAAATTTGAGTCCGTGAACCACTGAAATTGATACGAGGCTATCCACAACATGCATTTTTTTCGAGATACTTAATCTCCTCCCACGCTTGTTGCTTGATTCGAACTCCGAATCATATGAAGAGCTTGTAGATGAAGAAGAAATAGAATCTTCGTCCTGTGAAGTCCTGGTCATTCTCTTCGACTTCTTTACCTTCAGGAGGTACCTGTGCTTGAGTTCTGCCGGGGATGGCAGCACATCGTTTTGAGTACCAACGTAAATTTTATCACCTAGTTCCTTGTGTAGTATAGTTTCGATAGCGATCTGGTTTTCCAGCTTGCAATGGATCTCCAGGGATATGACTAGCGGATACGGTGAAGTGATAAAGGAATACTTGCGAACCACTTTGATTATGTTTCTCAAGGGCAAAGAACCCGTCAACTTACCATGACAGACCACAGGGCCTTCTTCTCCGTCCCAAATGTCAATTTCTATACAGCGGCACCCTTGCTGCAAAGCATGAACATAAGCTTCGACCGTGGGCGATTCTCCAAGCTGCTTGCCTTGGAGATATGTGTTGTGCGATGACGAAATAAAGTATTTGTTAATTGGAAGGGAATAATCGGTAATATTGTCTTCCAAATACGGCTGCGCTGTCAAGTACTTCTGAAATCCTTCCAGGCTCAATGTGTTGTTAGAAAGACGGAACCTATCAAAATCAATCACTGATTTTCGCAGATCCTGCACTTCATGTTGCTCGTTTGTAAGAAACTCAAGAAAGTCTTCATATTGCAGTTCGTCTTTACCCTTAGTGATTTTGTGCCAAAGTCTGAGTAGTTCTTCTCGTCTTTTTAACCTTTGAACAAAACTTTGAAACTCCGTGAAACTCAAAAGCTCATTACAATTAATGTCAGCAGCGTCAAACAGTTTCCGCAAATGACTGCTTGAGCAGAATATATTGAATTTAGCACACAAATCTTTGACGTCCTGGAATGAAAGCACATCGACATCATTGGCAGCCTTTTCATCGGGCACATTAGCACGCCAATGTACATTAGCGAACATCTCATCCTCAGGGTTTGATAAGCTTCTCATCAGATTGTGCCTAGAATCAACAATACTCACAATTCCGACGTATAAACATTCGTAATCCTCCTGATTATGGGCCACTAGATGCAGCGGTCGGAATTTGGTAGCTACCTGGTATATAATAGTAACCCAAAAGCGAGCCGCAGAGGGAGAAGCTCTATAGTCGTCAATATAGTTTTTCGCCATTTCTCCCGTCCTCACGTCTTTGATGGAGTCGAGATCTATACTTTTCGCATCACGCCAATGAAGGATTCCGCTTTTCACGTAAAAAACGTAGTCAACCTGCTTTTTGCGAGTCACTTTAGTTAAGCAGATTCCGTTTTCAAATTTGGTGTAAAGTCTCCTTAAATAATCGTGGTCCCATCGGGGACCTTGATGGCCTTGCTGACCTTCATGAAAACTCCTGCACAGAAAGGATTGATTGTATGTCAAAGGGCCTAACAAATCGGAGCCTCTGCGCGGCTTTGGTCTGGAAATATAGCTGGTGGTCCTCCGAAAAATTCGTTTTAAATTCTGCCGTGTTGATTCTTGAATTGCGTTGTCTTCATGATCGTCTTCAAATCTTGGCGACGACCTCTCGACTAAGACCAGTCCATCTCTGTTACTCCGCCTAAGCCATAATTGTGGACTCAGTGAATTTGTTTCTGGTCGAGGCTCGTTGGCATTCACACTTGCCATGCTGTATACTCACGGCTTTACACTCACGTTTTGCCTAAATTCGAACAGGTCCAAGCTGTGGAGTTTTTCAAGCGACACATTCAGTGAATAGCCGAAGAATTCTAAGAAGCTTTGAATTGCCTAAGACTTCGTTTTCTACAGGCACACTTTAGATCTATAATTATACATTATTCGTGTCCTTCCAAAACTAATTTTTCAATTAGTTCAAAAATCGCTTATGTAAACACATAGTGGGTAACTGACACTTTTCGAATTCTACAGATCCTGGAAACTGGTTGGGGCTCTTGAGTTCTACTTTCATGGGATCGTTCAACTTCAAACCCATTGGGTTTGCAACAGCTACAACTGGGCCACAATATACAGGAATCTGAGATCTTTGGGATGAAAAACTCGCAATCTTATGCAACAACTTAGAAAAGCAAGCTTCAGTGCTCATCGTGCTCGTGATACTCACTGAGTTGATATCCGATCCAGCGGAGTCGTCTGGTTTTGGTAGCTTGGGGATTCTGTGAAAGTTTAGTGGGATGGGCTTAAGGGGTTCCGAAGGTCTGAAGAATGGTTTTATCTTTTCCACCGACTTCGGTGTGTTGTTTATCATCACGGGCTTGATGTTCATGCGTTTAAACAGGAGAGCACCAACGCCACTTGTGCGCCTTTGACTTTCGGAGCTTTTGATCCCGGAAGCTTCTGTCTTTTGTAGGGATAGGCTCTGAAGGTCAGAAGATAACTCATCGTCGATATTGTCGTCATGCAATTCTAAATTGTCTATATCTGTGCGCAGAACTAGCCAGCGTGACGCAAGTTCGTTGGCTTGAGCTGCAACTTCTGCTTCGAGCACAGATGTTGAGAGGGCCTGGTACACAATGTTGAAGTTTTTCTCTATTATCCTTTGTAAACTTAAAAGTCGTTTAGAGTTTGACGATTGTAGCTCAGGACCGGTGTCATCATTCGCCATCCTATGGGAGGAGACTATGATTTCTGCTTCCTTTATATCCTGGCTTACGACATTATTAAGACTCTCAAAGAGCTCTTTCCATCTAGAGTCAACAAGCTCCTCCTTCAGTAAATGGAAAACAACATTCAAAGCCTCGTGTTTTTGACACACTTCCTGATACTTTTGTTGCAGTCTGTCCAGCAGAAACTGGTTGTCGCGAATGTTTCGTTTACCAAAATTTTGTATCTTAGAATTCAAAACTTCTTTCATGCTACTCTCCAGAGGTCCCATAGTTTCCGCTATGGATACAAACTTCCCAAAATCATCAGAGTCCTCAGAAAAAGTCGGCACTCGGCTAAAGCCCGTGTCCGCGCTTTCGGAAAGGACACTGCTTACCCTTTTTCCGCTTTGAAATGAGTTTCGCCCCTGGCCTGCAGATATTAAGTGCTGCCTTATTTCAAAGCACTTCTCAGCATTTTCATCTATTAAAGTGCCAAGTGAGGAGAGGTGATCATTAAGGATTTCGTTAAACTCTAAGCCGGTTTCCAATGTATACTTCGATGAGATTAGTACCGACTTTAGATTATTGAGGCCAAACCAACAAGGCTCAAAGGTATCAATGAAGACGCAAAACGCTTCATGCGGTGGTTCCAGCTCTATCTGGTCCTCGAGATAGTCAAGTAAAGAGATTAAATCCAACTCAATCTCAAGCACCTTTTGGCTCAATGCATAAAATTCGTTTTTGGATTTTCTCATCAACTCAAACCTCTCTAAAATCTTCTCAGAGTCACATCGCAGATCAAAATTTGAGATGAGAACTTCTCTCACGAGTTCCCACTGCTTGCCCAACGCCGAAAGTCTTTCGATCATTACTACATCAAGCACGTAGTTCCCTTTTATACTTGACGCTAAGTTGGATAAAACTTCGACGCTTCTCGAAAGTGTATCCGATAAATTTTGACTTGGCAAACTTGGCTCCATCGTAACTGCATCAGTGCTCAATTCTATAGAGTCACTCCTGAGAGCGTAATTTTATCTCAACAGTAATCCTTGTACAGGAATCCGCTACTTGTTTATTTCTAAATCAAACCGTTATCGTTTAAGATTATATTATTAGAACGCAGTTTGGCAACCGCGTTAGATAGATGACCCACGAAGTTGTTCAGCCCATCAGTACGAAAACAAGTGCCGCCATGGCGTGTCTTAGATCAAGTCTTGTTGTTTTGTCTTATGACTATCGCATTGAAGTTCGGATTGGTATAGTTTAAGGATATGGTTAACGAATTTCCGTTACTGGAAGCCGTGTGTTCTGACCGAAATGATAGAATACAACACATGGGTCATCTTGTAAAAGCTTTCATATTTGGGTTTCAATAGTTAGTTGTTTGCTCGATTTATCACCGCAAGTTGCATTATATTCCAAAGGTTACTTGCTATATTTCGTACTGTTGTCAATCCGAGGGACACATGAGGAACCTCCAGAAAGTTATCAAGTGACCCATTGAATTGAAACAGCTAGATCTCGTACCATCAACGAATACTGTCAAATTTAGTTCCAATCAGCTTGCCGTTGTTGGCGGATGATTTATATCACTTTTGACCGGCTTGTCACCTAACCATGCACGATGTTCACACGCCCTATATACACGAATATTGGCATCTATTTAATCTATCATATCCCATTACTATCATAACGCTAAAGAGGTTAGGAAACCACAAGGTGCTTTTCATGGAGTTAGTTTTGACGATTTCTGATCAAGGCTAATATCGTTGGCAACATGTTCCAGCACTTTATCATCTATTTTTCTTTCAGCTCTGTTCTCATTTGCTTCATTCTGAATTTTGGGATTTGGGTTGTTGTTTTTCTTGTCGCTGAGCAGTTTAAAGAGCTCGCTGTTTTCGTTAGCGTAAAGTTCCTTGAATTTGCCTGTTTCCACAACAGAACCATCGTGACCAAGAACAATAACGTTCTCGGATCTTCTGATTGTACTCAACCGGTGTGCTATACTAATGATGGTTAATTCGCGACTCTTCATTAGTCTCCCCAAAGTATAATTGATGGCACCTTCACTTTCAACATCTAGCGCGGACGTCGCTTCGTCCAGGATCAAAATTTTGGGTTTTTTGATCAAAGCACGAGCGATAGATATACGCTGCTTCTGACCACCACTCAACGAGGCTCCCCTTGGACCAATGACAGTATCGTACCCGTCAGGAAACTTCGTAATGAATCCATGACAGAAACACTTCTTAGCTGCTGAGCGAATTTCATCCATTGAGACATCGTGATTCAGGCCATACGTCAGATTATATTTGATGCTTCCTGACATAAGCATAGGCTCTTGCTGTACCACACCCAAATGACGCCTCAGCGACTTACAATTGACCTTCGTGATATCTTGGTCATCAATGGTTATGTGACCGCTGGTCGAGTCGTAATATCTCAGCAATAAAGATGCAATTGTCGACTTGCCTCTTCCGGAGGGGCCAACAATACAAACATTCGATCCGGACTCTATTGTGAAATTCAGGTTCTTGAAAATTTGGTTAGTGGGCCTCGTTGGGTAAGCAAACGATACGTTGTCGAATTTGATTTTACCTGATACTGGAACAAACGCATTCCCCGAAGTTGGTCTGATGGAGGAAGCGTGGTCGGTCATCTCAAACAATCTGGATGCGGCACCAGCTCCTTTCATGAGCTCTGAGTAGAAGTTGGAAAGACCAAAGACAGCGGAACCTGTATATTCTGTGTAAAGCATGAAGGCCGTGAGGTCACCGACAGTCAGGCCTCCCTGAAGCACAAGGTGTGACCCATAGCCTAACACAATGAGGAAGCTCAAATCTCCCAAAATACCTGTAGAACTGAAAAACGTGGCGTTAGTCAGTGCCTCCTTTTTCCCGAAAGCGAAAACCTTACGGATAGCATTGTTATAGCGTTTCAATTCTTTTCCTTCCGCGACAAAAGACTGAATAGTTTTTACGCCGTTCAGCTGCTCCTCCGACACCCTCGTCAAATTACCAGTTGATTCCTGCAAATCTCTAGATATGGCTCTGATTTTCTTACCATAAATTGTAGCCCCGACCAGTAAGGGAGGCGCGAATAACAAAAGCGCTGAAGTGAGGGAGGTGGAGATACTTACCATCATACCGATACCGACACCACCACAAATGATGGCCTTGAAGCCGTCAGACACATTTTGGGTCATAGAACGAGAAACGACGTAAGCGTCAGAACTCAATCTGGAGATTAAGTCACCCACTTTGTTTCGATCAAAGAACTCCGCATCTTGATGTATAATTTTTTTGATAACGTTGGAACGTAATCTGGCAACGAGCTTTTCACCGAGGACCCGTAGCAGTACAATTCGACCAAAATTTGCAACTGTTCCAAGAACCAAGGCCCCCGCAAAAATTCCGAGAAAGTCATACATTCCCAAATCATAGACAATAGGGGGCAGATCCTTTAATTCTAAAGGAGCAGTTGCTGCTCCATACGCGTTCTTGATTGAATCAAGCACTAAACCAATTACCTTGGGAATAGCCATGCCAACCGATGAGCTAATTGTCAAGAGCCCTACCGCTACGCACAAAAGCTTCCAGTCATGGCGTGCGAGCCCAAACAGCCTCAAGACTTCTTTGAAGCCCATTGCAGCCCCATCGTCATCAACACCACTTTCTAACGTTTTTGACTTGTTCTTGGCCGGTTTCTGAGCGTTTTGACAGTTTGATAGCACCGAAAAGCTCCTGGATGTTGTGCTAGAGAACACGACGCCGTAATGGGGGCCAAAAAAACCATATTTAGACGACTGATGACAGGATATGCTGACGGCGGTATTAGGTCGCAAATGCACGAACCTAGCCAAAATTGGGCTCTTTAAGCCTCCAGCTAAGATATTGGGTCGCAGAACCCGAAGTGACCGAGCTAAAAACATATAACCAGGGTCAGAGAGCGAGAGTATTCGGCTATCAGCTCAAGTTTTCAGCTACGAATTCTTGAATTGGATATATCGATTTTATGTAAATCGTTTCTCGTGAGGACGATATGAATTTGAAGAAACACGATAGAGCCAAAGCCTCGATGAAGCACGACAAAGAACTGATTGTATACTGTGTAGAGAGCAATATTCTGGTAGACTAGAGCTTAGCAAGAGTGAGGAAGAAAGGCTTGAGTCTCTAATGGATGGAGTGTACAAGTTGTTGTACGTATCTTGAGAAAAGTTTCCAAACTTTTGTTACATCCCTTCGACACCCTAAGCATTCTAGCCTCTTTTCTGCGCGAAAGAGGGCGGTAAAACGTCTCAATACAAAGCGCTAATTACTAAATTGAAGAGTGGCAAGCATCTCGCGTCCAATGAAGAACTAGCGATTAAACCACATTAGCACTCTAAAATTCACGTAGTGTAGTTAATGAGTCTTTCGATATCTGCAGCATTCACAGCCTGTGAGCAGGTGGATTTATTGCCGTCTTCTCTAAAGTAGCATTCAATTCGTATTTTAATAATGACAGATTCGCAATGAAAGAGCACACGTCCTTTCGGCTTGTCCAGGGAGCTGGTTTCAGTGGCTCATTTGCATTAGCTCCGCATGCTTCGAGCATTTCCCGAACCAAAGGCTCATGACCGAGAATCCGGCTTCTCACCGTTCTATTCACACTACGCTCTTCTCTCATCTGTCAAAAAACACTGCACTTGCCCACACACACTCCTCTACCAGTTCAAATTTTCCATTAAATTACTGGCTGCTTGCTCGGGCTGCGACTTCGCGCCCTCCGTTCGCAACTTCATGAATATATACGTTAGACTGCCCATTTATACATTGACATAAAAACCCGTCTCTCGTCGCTTCGCTTACTTCTTCAAAGCCACAGGCTCGGCGACGGCTTTGCCGTTCTCGTAGTTGACAAACTTAGCCTCGCTTCTGCCTCTGGAAATAACGGCGGTGCTCTGGGCTTCGGTCTTCAAAGCAGAACGCACCGTTTGTGCGGCAATGGCCATGTAGTTGTTGTAAGTCAAACCGGCTTTTCTCCACGCGGACATTTCTAGTAGTATGTGTGTAAATGGAATTGGCTGCAAACGAGAATCTGTTCCTTCCAAACTGACAATTCAAGGATGTATCTTAATTTGGTATAGGATAAAACTTGGATTGTAATGAGTTTATCAATTCTCATTGGTGAAAAATTAAAAAATCGAAAATTTGGAATTCTCTGATAACTCTCTACGAATTAATGCGGATCACTGTTGACGACTTTTTGTTTTGATCACTTTTTCATCGATCAACCGCTTTAACAGTAGTGTCAACTCATAAAATTGTGAATTGAGCTGTAACTAGTGTAGTAGGTCCGATTGAACTCTACACGGTATTTGCATCGCATCTCTTGCATCTCTTTCACTGGTAATGGCTGAAAACCGCGCGCCGAATGTGGCCCAAATCGATCGAGACCTGTTCTACAAGCTGGCATCTGATCTTTCTGAAGAGAGGCTCCAAGCGACCATGGCGCTTGTCACAGAACTATCGCAGCTGCCACAGGAGTCTCCAGAGTGGAATTACGTGCTAAACCGGCTCATGAAAGGTCTTTCATCCAACCGGAACGGCGCTAGACTCGGCTTCGGGCTGTGTTTGACGGAAGTGGTGTTCTTGGCTTTGCAGAAGCAGGTTTTGACCGATATCGACCACTATCTACGTCTGCTGCTTTCCACACTATCGAAAGATTTCATGAAAAATGGGAAGGAGGAGCGTGGGCTGCTATTTGGCAAGCTGTTCGGGCTTCAGGTTCTGCTCAATGAGCCGCTCTTCTCCCACGTATTCAAAAGCGCTGGTCCCGCCGGCGGCGAGTTGAACCTTGACTTCACCCTGGAGTACGCTGGGGCCTTAATCGATGTCGCCGTGTCCAAGACATGGATCAGAGAATCTTCCTTGTACACCCTCTACCAAGCTGTTGAAAAATTGGCGCCTTTGTTAACCTCTTCAAAATCTCTCAACGCAGTCTTCGAGCTTTTGGACTCCAAAAGCCTTACTTTAACCAGCGAAGGTCTAGCGATTTACCTCTTTTTGTTGCACCGTTGCCATGCGACCTGCAAAACTGCTCGCTTGGATCAGCTCGTGTTGAGGTCCCCATGGAAAAACAACGACCCTCTAAAAAGAGGAAACCTGCCACTGATCGCAAATGCACTCAAAGAGGCAAATGTATCAGAAGACTCTTCCTTGAAACAGAAGGGCGTTTGGGCTCCGAGACTACATTTTGTGTGGGAGGTTGTACTCTCATGCCTTTTCGATGACGGCAACAGCGGTTTAGAGCCTAAAGAGCCCTCGAGTAAAAAAAGAAGAAAGGACGGGGATTTGAAACGAGAAAACATCGGGTTCCCAGAATTTTGGAAATCTGTTGTTGACGACTCTTTTTTCAACGAGAAATCTTCTAGCGAAAGGAAATATTTGGGTCTCTTAGTTTTCGAAAGAGCATTCCAGCTGTCCCCTACCCAGACTACCTCAAGCATTTTCTCAACAAATCTTCTGAGGTGTATTATTAATCAAAGCAGTAGTGCTGAAAGGAATCTACACAGAATTTCACAGAAAACACTGGCTTCTATCGTTGAAGTTTGTCGAGAGCAGCCAGAAAAGACCGCAATAACCTTCGAAGCGCTCGCATTTGGCGAAAACGGCTCAGTGAACTTTGACCAGCTTACTAAATCTAAGACAATCACGACGCTTCTTTCCAATAAATCCCTTCGTCCCGAACATTTGATTACGATTGTAGAGATTTTAGCAAGAAATTTGTTGGGCAATGTCGGCGATCTCGCAAAAACTAAATATTCACTGGATACAATGCTTCATTTGGTGAGAGCACACAAGTCAAATGCAGACAAGATCTGGATCAAACCGTGTTTCAGCGTACTTACTCAGCTCGGATTCTTCCAAACTCAAGAGCTTCCAGAGCTAAACGATGGTGAACAGCAAAAGCAAGTTGTAGGACCAGTGGCAATAGAGAGACTATATTCAGTATTGGCAGACTTGATATCCGTCGAGCAAGAGACCTCCGCAGTTTGCTGGCCATACGTGGCGCTCAAGAAGATTCTTTCTAAGCAAAAAACTCAAACTCTTTTGAACCCAATAGATGAGGAACTAAATGAAATTTTCACCGATTCGTTGGCGGAACTTGAAAAGATTTCCAAAAGGCTGTCAAAAGACAAATCAAATGCACAACTGCGCGCCCTCCAATTACTTTTTTCAATTAACATCCTGCAAGCATTTTCTGGCGAGGCTGATTCCGTTTCTGTGCTAGAAGACCTTATCGCTTTCTCAAAAACACTCTACGACGATGGCGAAAACGAATCTTATGCCGGATTTATCGAAATTTTGCTTTCCTTGGCGGCTCAGAAAAAAGCTTTACTAAGGAAGTCGAGCATGATAATCTGGGAGTCGTTTGTTAGCCAAGTTTCAACGGAGGATCTTTCCGTCTTACTAGACGTGCTTTCGGCAAGGGAAAACAAAGAGGGCTTCGCCAACCTTTTCGAGGGTGTGAGCGAAGATGAGAACGAAACTGGTGATGAAGATCTAGAAGAAGGCGAGGAAGAAGAAGAAGAGGATGATGTGCAGGATGAAGAGTCAATGAGTGAGGATGCTTCAGATGTTGAAGAAAAGAGCGATTCCGACAGGTCAGACTATTCTGACAATGGTACAGAAAGAATCGATAAAGAAGCTGCCAGTGCTCTTGCGAAGGCCCTAAATTTACCAGATTCAATGGTAGACGCTAAAGGCGAGGTACATTTCGACGACCTAGGAGACACTGAGAACGAAGATGAGGACGAAAGTGCAGAAGACCTAGACGACGAAAAAATGATGGAATTAGATGGTCAACTCTCTGAAATTTTCAAACGCAGAAAAGAGGCGCTGTCACAAATCCCAACTGGTAGCAAACGGAAGCAAGAAGTAAAAGAATCTAGAAAGGATGTTATAGCATTCAAGCACAAAGTTGTTGACATGCTCGAGATATTGATACGCTGGGTTGAAGGGGAATTGAAACAAGATTCCAGCTCCCAGCCAAATGTGCTTGAAAAGATTACTCACGTCATTGTACCACTCATTAGCTGCGTCAGAACCACCATGGACAGACCTCTAGCTGAAAAAATATCGAAGCTTGTCAAAAACAGGGTCACCAAGCTCAAGCTTCTATCATCACAGTCGTACGAGGGCTATGATCAGGAAGATACGATAGCGTTGCTAAAAAAAGTGCATGAGCTCATGCTTGTCAAAAAGCCAGGTCAATTTCAAAACTTGTACTTTTCCGTATGTTCATCGGTCTCTATTTTCTTAGCCAAGCTACTAATCGAGATATCTCCATCCATGGTGACGTATACTGCTTTGTTAGAAATTTACAACAAGACGTTAAACGAGTGGTTCAAAACAGGAAAATTTGGGGTCAGCGTGTTTATAGAATTCCTCAATTGGTTATCAATCAAGAAACAGCAGCAGATTCCAAACTAAGTAATGTCAAAAGAGCTGAAAGAAACTCAGGAAAAGCTCTTTATGATACTCCTTTATTATACTCTGACAATGAATTGTATAAGGTCATGGAGTGAAAGTAATGCACCGCCATTTTGTATTGCATAGATACATTTGCTATGTTGGGAGCGTCAACTTACGGGGCTGAGACTGTAGTCTTGGAAGAGCCGCTTATGTCGTGGGGTATAGTTAAACGAGAAACTAAACGAGGTTGACACAACTAAATCAGAGCCTAAAATACTGGAGAATCATATTATGATAATAGTCGAAGAATCAGTTAAACGAATTGCAAATCAATCCGTCAAGTATAAAAATGCAGGTTAAGGCATCGCCCCGGATATCTCGAGCTACTTCACATCACTTGCAACAAGCATAATGCCATCGAGAAACAAAGTATTAAGGAACTTGAACGCTGTTGAGAGAAAAATTCTCTGCGAAACGAGTAGCGGCTTACGGAATGGTGCTGTCTTCTCTGCAACATACTTTGCTGGTTCTGCAGAACGCGAAATTTCCGATAATGCGACTTTGCAGTCAGAAAAGTGCCATAGGCTCACTGAATCTGCAATCTGGGGTGCTCTATCTAAGATTATAGAAGATCATGCAGAACTTCGTTACACCGTCAATTCGGATTTACAATTTGAGCCTTTGGCGTCCATTAAATTTAACGATGTCGTGCACAAAGTTGAATTCGAGTGTTATAAAGATGAGCAGGTCAATTGCTATGGCGGTGCTCCACCTTACTTACTCCGGCACATTTTCGACAAATGCTTCTTTACATTAGGTAGAGGCAAGCCCTTGTGGCAATTGTTTATAGTCGATGAGTCGATGGTCATATTCCATGGCCATGAAGTATTATTTGATGATTTTGCAGCTGCAAATTTCCACAAAACGTTTCTCACTGTGCTGAACTCGCTGAAGTCGCAGAACACCAAGAAAGTGACGTCGCAATTTGTCTTCCAGCACAGACATGGCCTTTCTCCTCTGCAAACGTCAATCTTTGACAGACAGCAACTATCACTTCTCTCTATGATCTACAGTCCATTGGGTTCGAGCATGCCAGCGCTCCTCAAAGATTTTTACAACCTGGCTATTAAAAAGCCTTTGCACTTTATTGAATACGGCAGATTTGAACACCACACGCCCACTATATTGAATCTTCCGAGTGAAAACTTAAAATTCAATCAACTGTGTGGCAAAGTAGTCTTCGGAACAGTGGGAAACATGAGACTGAATGCCTTGCAAAAGGAATTAGATCGCATGGGTACCAGCTTGCAGGCTTTCATCACCGCTGCCACAATTTTTTGCCTCGAACCGATAGTGGATACCACGCTAGCGTCCTTTTCGATATGCGTTCCAATGAATCTTAGGAAGTCAATAGACAAGTCTCCTGAACTGGGGCTCTTCCACAAAAATGTGATTATTGATTGTCCAGCAGGTCTGCGCGGCGGCGGAAACCAAAAGTTTGATACATTCAGGCAGGAAAACTTAGAAGGAGTAACACTGAATGATGCAGGCTCTTCTAAATCTGACTTTGACACGGAGTCACATTTTGAGAGTGTCCTTTCTCTGGTGTCTGGCAAATTGAAATCAGCCCTTACTAGATGGAAAACGTTGAGGTTTGAAGACGACGACTTGAAGTGGATGAAAACTGAAGCTCTCGATTCCTGTTCTCCATCTTCATCACGAGTGGTTGAGATCAATGACTTAACCGGTGTCGATTTTTCTACCTCGCGCGATGATCGTTACCATATTAGGGACGTATGCGCCTCAAAAAGCAGAAACTCTGACACATTCATTTCAGTCTCGTATTGCTCATCATCATCAACTGGCCTCACCCTTGGAATTCACTACTACGAAAACTCAATAATCGATAACTTTGTCGAACGACTAGAGACATTTATAGACGCTTATCCTAACCTAGTTTAGTAGAATACCAAGTTTATATCTGATAACTTAATGCTACTTTTTCACTCGAGTGAGTGTATATCGTAATCTTTAGGAACGTATGGGTTAGTCAGTTTATTGGAAGGTTTCCAAATCTGCACGATGTTTTCTTCTTCCACACTTGCCATGAGCCAAGGTATGCTGGAATTGCATGAAAAGTCATTTACAGCGCTCTTATGACCAGCGTGCATCATAAGCAGTTCTGGAACACCGTCATCGGCATCTTCTTGGGGTTGCTCTGCACCTATTTGAAATAGATCCCACATCAAGACTCTCCGATCAGAGCCGCCGGAACACAGAATGCCATCTCTATGAGAGGCGAACTCTAAGCTCGTAACGGCATCTTGATGTCCTGACATGCTGTGCAGCGGACTAACAGGCTTACGCAAATCGTAAACATAAACTTGAGAATCTGTGCCTGCTGCTGCAAATAAATTGATAGAGTGTTTGCTGAATGCCAAAGTATTAAATGGTTCGGATTGTGGCAAAACAGCAAGGGGATTATCTTGTCTCTTATCATGTAACATCAGCGTCTTGTCTTCAGAGACCGAGCCATACATATTTGGGTTCGTCTCGTGCCATTTTGCTTCATTCACGATGTCGGTGTGATTGGTGTCAACCTTTGTCGGCGTTCTTCCGGCAGCCTGTACATCCCACAAAGCAATTGATCCATCGTCTGAACTCGACAAGAGATCTCCTGGTGATGCAACGCTGAAATTGAGTCCATATCCATTCTCTTTGTGAAATGCAAATTCCACTCTTAGAGCATGCTCTTTCTCTTGATTTCTATCATACAGGTAAACGGTACCCGAGCCGTTTATGGTTGCTATCAGGTTGTTATTGAATGGTGCGTAGCGAGCTCTGGTAATTTCCTGATTGTGTTCGAATTTTTTGATGATTTTGATCTTTGATTTAACTAGTTGGTCATCGCTGCCGGATGCACCGCCGTCTTCTTGTCCTGTTGCCGATTCGTCTTTCTCGCCTTTGAGAATCTCATCTGGCAGAGTCACAGATGCAATCTTCAGGTAGTTCTGCTCTTCTCCAGACGTATGTGTGCCCAATATCAGCTCCTGTTGTGCGGATTCTGCATTACCTGGTAACCATTGAATGGTAAGTGATGGCCATAGGAGCTTCGTCTCGCTAACAAAGTCGTACATCAAGGGCACATTTGATTTCCACAAATCATATTCCTCGTCCACGGTAAGCTCGCGGTCCGGTTCCGTTGTAGTCATCTTGGCTTTTGTCAACATTAGAACAAAGACAATAAATAGGTTCGATAATTTTGAGAACTTGATTGATATAAAAGTTGGTCTGTCATCGAAGCTTCTCACAAAATAAAGTATAGGTGAATAGTCCAGAGGAGATCCACAGAGCCTGCTAATGAATTACATGCCTGAAAAGCGTGTTTTTATCAAACTTCTATATATGTTGTTTTTGTCGAATGGTATACTAATGTTTGGTGAGGAAGATGTTTGTCCGTATGCCTATATTTGGCCATTTCTTAAGCAATTGAGGTGACGCATACTGTGTTCTTTTTTATTGTATCTAACGTCTCTTAGTTGTTTGTGCTAGATCTTTCACAATTACGTTTTCAACACCGCCCATGTCCTCCAACTTGTCTTCTTCAATTCTGACTTGCTCGCGTCTTTCCCACCAGCGATCCTGACACAGATCAAATGAATGTTTTTTGAGATGTTTACCTTTTGCATCTCTGTTATTAGAAATGGCCCACTGTAAGAATTCGGCGCCTGTGCGAATATAGAAAGCACGGAGAGTTTCGAAAGCCTTTGGGTGCGGTAACCAAGGTCTGAGGTCTGGAATCTCTGGGCCGTCTTCTTCGACGTCCTCTTCTTCATCCTCCTCTTCTGCAACCAGCTTCTCATCTGCTGCTTCTTCCTCATCGTCGTCATCATCGTCTTCGTCATCGTCTTCACCATCAAAATCTTCGTCGTCGTCGCCAAGCTCTTTCGCCTTCTCCAGCGCTTCTAGGTCTTCCCAAAATAGCTTGACACCATCCAGCTTATTCAAGTCGACGCTATAAAACGAGTTAATGTCATAGTCTTTTTCCCCAAATTCCCAGATACCTCCAAAGATGAATAACAGGTCGTCGACTACCGTTGTAGTGGCATTGAAACGCGGGTGAGGTAATTGAGTTAAAACAGTGTACTGCTTGGCCTTGCTTTCCTGTTCCTCTTCTTCGTCGAGCCTCCGCAACTCTTTCTCGATTTCATTGTCGTCGTCATGGTTATTATCATCATCATCTGCCAAGTTGGCTTTCTGTAGAATGTCGTTAAGTATATTTTCCAGTTCCTCGTCTTTATTTCTGTTATTCTTGGGAGCTGCAACTGCTCTCCTCTTCTGTGGTCTCATCTTCAGCGAGAACCACCTGTTAGACTCAACTTGATATGAGAAGAGGTCATTGAAAAACTCCGAGTTCAAGCCTTCCTCTGTTTCTTCGTAATCATACACACCTCCAAAAAGAATACCTCTTCCCTTGTGATGCACCATAGAACAGCCAACTCTGGGAGATGGCTGAAAACCTTGTTTCTTGCGTCTTTCCCACCTGAGGGCACTGCTATCAGATTTCATCTTTAGATACCAGCAATCCGTTAGAGTCTTACCCTTTTGCAGGCCCTTCCCAGCCTTTATCTTACAGTAGCCACCCCATAAAACAGCTCCATCAGGAGTTGGAATGAAGGAATGTCCAGATCTCGCCTCGGGAATAGGATGGTTCGGGGGGAATTCAACTTGTTTCCACTTGTAAGTAGTTATGTCAAACAACCAACAATCTTTCAAATACGCTGTGGAAGTGCCCAGATCTCTAAATCCACCGTGCATAATAAAATAATTCTTCCAGACTGTCATGCGGTGTCCAGAACGTGCACTGGGCCCATTTTTCTGATCGATCTTAGTCCATTCCTTGGTCGTGCAATCTAAAAGCCAAGTATCAGAGTAGTGGTAAAAGGTGTTTTGTTTTGGAGACGAGAATTCACCACCATGAAATAGAGCTACGCCACTAGGATGAGTTGCAGCAGCAGCAGATGATCTGGGCATTGGGGAGTTCTTGGACGTTATTTTCCGCCATTGATCGCTGTCCAAAGAATACGTGAAAAGTTCGTTGTAGAAAGCAGTAGTCGACGTTGAAGGATCCGTGTGTTCACCGCCAAAAAGAATGAGCTCGCGTTTTCCGTGCACCGGATTCGAGATCATACATGGGTTGATGCGCTGGCTGGGCCGTTCTACATTAGCAACCACAATTTCCTCGAATTGCTCCTGTTCTTTCTTGTAATTCGCGAGAACCTCGTCTATGTCCACATCGTCATCATCCTCGGAGCCTAGCTTCTTGCTTCGTTTCTTGTCTTTGGTTTCAGACTTTCCCAAGTTCTTCTTGTTCTTCAACTCAGCACGAGCCTTCTTAGCTTCCTTGTCTTTCTTGGTCTTCTTAGCCATTCTCGATCTATTGAAAGGCTTTCTTTACTGGCTATTCTTGCTAAAGCTATTGAGTAGTAATGATTCTATAAAGCTAAAGGTAAGAAGATATAAGATATAAGATATACTTTATTAGTTTCGCATGCTCATCACCAAAAAATTTTCTCGATGCTCAATACTTTTCGACAAGTTCACCAACCACTGAGGCCAAACGGTCGGCCTGCTCTCTTGTTGCTGCTTCGGCGTAGACTCTGACAGCATCTTCCGTACCACTAGCCCTCACGAAAGATCTTGCGGTGTCGAATTTTGCCACGAGAGCGTCAATCTGATCTTGAAGTCCCACTGGGCTCACAAGTTGTCTCTCCGCATTCGTAGTCTTGAAGACGGTTCTGTCGGGAACCAAAACCTTGATGAGTTTGTTGGGCAAGTCGGTGTACTCTTGGTCCCACTTTTGAGGAGACCATTTGAGAATGGACAAGACTGCCAAGACGCCCAACATATCAGAGATGGCATCGCCAACTGTTTGGTTGATCAACTTAGAAAAGGATGACAAAATTTGTAGTGCTTTGTGGGCAGAAGTTGAGTGCGAGGCGTCCGCGAGTTTTTGGTCCACGAGTTGGCTAAATTTGGTCGAGAAAACGACGGTTCCGTGGCCATTAGCCTCGAAGTATATTCCGATGTCGAATTTTACAGCTTCATGGTGTAAGTGTTTGACTCCGGTAGGCGTGCACTTGACAGGCGTTCCCAAGACTTGCTCAAGGTAACGGGTTGAACTGCCGTTGGCATAGGCGGTTTGTACAACACCCAATGCCAACTCGTCTTGTAGGTGGGCCGTTTGCGTCAATTCTTGAAAGAATTTAGCAAACAAAGTTGCCATCTTGTCACCATCCAGTAATTGAAATTGGCCTTGAAGGTCGCAGTAATAGAACACAATGCGGTCGGCATCACCGTCAAACGAACAATTGATATGCTCAGCACGCGTATCGTTAGAGATTCCTTGAGGTAGTTTCTGGTTAGTCTTGACAAAATCAGCACCGCACAAGTGGTTTAGAGCTGACGGCGTCTTCCAGTCATCGTTGACCACCCTGAACGTATTGTTGAACATCTCACGTTGTGAAAGCATTTCTTTAACCTTTGGAGCACCCACACCATTTGCCGCATCAATCGTCAGCGCGTAGGGCAGCGACTGAATACCACAAAGCTCTGCGATCTCATCCCAAGCAGACAAGAACTCTTGATAGTACAATTTTTCGTCTATGCTAGTGTTCTTGGGCAGCTCGTTGGCTTTGCTGGTCAGGAAATGCAACTGTGGAGTAGTGAGCACGCCGTGGTCGAGAACCAGAAGGTTTGGTAACACGAGAGTACCCGTCTTGAAAGCCGTCAACAAACGAGGTCCAGATTCACGAGAGTCCCGTGCTACAGTGATGCTACCATGTGCATTGCTGTTTAATTGCAACTTGACAATCAGCTCTTGCAACTTTTGTTCAAAACTTGTGAAACTCTGGGAGGCACTGTTTGCCAAGTCAGTAGCGTGTTTTTCCCAGCTTTGCTCCAGCATCTCGCCGCGAGGGTCAACAATCTTCACACCATTATCTTCGGGTGGGTTATGAGACGCTGTGATCATTACACCCACCGTTTGGCCTTTCAAATAAATCGACCTTAGGCCGGCCAAAACGCCTGTGGTAAACATAACGGTGTCCAAAACATCCGCTTTGTAGCGGAAACCAGCAGTGCCGTAGGCATACGTGAAGCCACGCTTACAATGCTTCTCGTAGAGAGATTCTAGCGCTTTTCTCTCGAGCATTCTTCGCGATGGTCTGTTTCAATGTAGGGTTTTATTGAAAAGCTTAGAAACTTTCCAGATACTATAATAAAAATATGGAAATATTCAATTGAAAGAGGCTACGAGAGTTTGAGGTTTGAGATCTAAAAGGACTTTCTGTTGTGCAATGGCACCTCCGACGCTTGTTTGCCAAAAGCATGAATTCAAGTCTCTGTGGAAAGATGTCAAAGGCCCCTGCGTGTTGAAATCGTTGATCCAGTACGAGTGTGAGTTTAATGGCTACGAATACGATTGTGTGCCATTTAAAAGGGTTTTCGAGGAGTGCATCACTGGAGAAAAGCTCAAGAAATTCAGAAGAGAGGTTACTAATGAGAGGACCAATCAAGCGGATGAGATGGTGCAGAAATTTTGGTCAAGTGTGAAAAGAGATGAGCTGTGAAGAATAAAGGTGAGGGGCGCGTGTTCTACTGCTATTGATTAACATACCAAGTAAGGAGATTCACCTAGCGGTACGTAAATGTGTCCAGCTGCGTTACGCTGATGTCCGTCAGCGCGTAAGATAGAAAATATTGACAAGTCGTCACTACGATTGTAAATTTCTAGAGCATGATCGATTCCCTGGTAAACCGTGATGTTCAGATGTGCACTTTTCATAGCTTGGGCTCTTCAATGATCTCATAAGCTAATGCGCTGGGTACTCCATATTCCAAAATGGTATGAGAGGACTTCGGAAAAAAGGTTCGGCGAGATCTACTGAGGTGGTCGGGATCTAGACTTTGAGATGCTTACAGCTATTGGTATTTCTGAGCGTTTTTTCAGGGCAGCGGTGGCCTTCAAAATTGACTCCCGTCTAAGGTCACCCCATCGCTGTCAGTCTTTCTCTCAAAATGCTGGGAGCTTTTCTTGCAAGCCAGAACTGTTGATCTCAGAATTACATCAACAGCTCTCACAAGTGTGCGGGAGCCAAACAATCCAGCGAACTTCTATTTTTCTCTGTGTCGAAACCGCCGGACCTGATATACCGTAACACAGCGTTTCAGAGATACATTTTACCCGATAAAGCAGCATCCATGCGTCACCTGTGGTAGATACCACACCCTCATGCCGTCCCGCCGATAATTCAGCGTCTTTAAATTCAGTATTTGCCGTGATTTTGCAATATATCTTAAAATTTTTCAACTTTAACCCTTGGGACTTCACTTATAAGCTGCAAACATTCAGAATTTCACTACAAAACTAATTGGCGGCTCTGCAAAAACTTCCATGTCCCTTGCAACTCCAAGTTTATTTCAGGTTCGAGAATTTTCAAGACTACAACTGGCCAAATGCCACGCACTTTCGTGAAAGGAAATACCCCAAAGCCTTATGGAAACAATGTTTTAACTGCTTCGCTACTAAACCGTGCCTTTTACAACCTTTAGTGGTGCTTCTATAGCTGTGTTGGCTAAATCCGAAGACGGCTCCGATGAATTCATGAATTTTAGTATTTTCCTAAGGTATATAAAATATACATAATTAAATTAGCACAACATTCATCGAAATTGAGTAATATTAATCGTGAATTGAATAGAATAGCTCTATACACATCGGGATGTTCAAAATCACGTCTGAAGTGGCCAACAAGGGCATGTCACAGGGTTCTGCGACCAGATTGTTGTCATCGTCAGCTGCAGTCGGACGCAGCTACCATGTGGAAACCGATGCATTTGGAGAAATTAAAGTTCCTAGTGATAAGTACTGGGGTGCTCAGACGCAGAGATCGTTGGAGAACTTCAAGATTGGTGGCGTCCGCGAACGGATGCCCGAGCCGCTCATCAAAGCGTTCGGGATTTTAAAGAAATCCGCGGCCATCGTCAACGAGTCTTTCGGAACGCTAGATCCTAGCGTCTCAAAGCCAATTCAACAGGCTGCCGACGAGGTCATCAAAGGTGACTTGATGGACCACTTCCCACTTGTGGTGTTCCAGACCGGTTCCGGTACCCAGAGTAACATGAACGCCAACGAGGTCATCTCCAACAGAGCCATCGAGATCGTAGGCGGCGAGATGGGCTCCAAGTCGATCCACCCAAACAACCACTGCAACCAGGCCCAGTCGTCAAACGATACTTTCCCCTCCGTCATGCACATTGCCGCAGTCACCGAGATCACCCACTTGTTGCTCCCCGAATTGACCGCTTTGAGAGACTCTTTCGCTAAGAAGTCTCAGGAATTTGAACCTATCGTCAAGATTGTCAGAACCCATTTGCAAGATGCTACCCCACTTACTTTGGGACAGGAATTCAGTGGTTACACCCAGCAATTGACCAACGGTATCACTCGTGTCGAACAATCTCTACATCATTTGAAATACTTGGCTCAAGGTGGTACCGCTGTGGGTACTGGCTTGAACACTAAAATTGGTTTTGCCGAGAAAATTGCCGAGCAAGTCAGCAAAGAGACTGGTATCGACTTCAAAACCGCTCCTAACAAGTTTGAAGCTTTGGCTGCTCACGACGCCGTGGTCGAGTGTTCTGGTGCCTTGAACACTTTAGCGTGCTCTTTATTCAAGATTGCTAACGATATCAGATACTTGGGCTCCGGTCCTCGTTGTGGTTACGGCGAGCTTTCGTTACCCGAAAACGAACCAGGTTCCTCGATCATGCCGGGCAAGGTCAACCCAACCCAAAATGAGGCAATGACCCAGCTGTGCGTCCAAGTCATGGGCAACAACGCTGCCATCACTTTTGCCGGTGCCTCAGGTCAATTCGAATTAAACGTCTTCAAGCCAGTCATGATCTCAAACCTCTTGAGCTCTATCAGACTATTGGGTGATGGCTGTCTCTCCTTCAGAATCCACTGTGTGGACGGTATCCAAGCTAACAAGGACAAGATCGCCAAGCTTCTGCACGAATCTTTGATGTTGGTTACTGCTTTGAATCCAAAGATTGGCTACGACGCGGCTTCCAAAGTCGCCAAGAACGCTCACAAGAAAGGCATCACTTTGAAAGAATCTGCTTTAGAATTGAACGTCTTGACTGGTCCTGAATTCGACCAATGGGTTGTTCCAGAAAACATGGTGGGACCCAAATAAACTTAATATTTATCCATAAATAACTTCATGCCGATATGCATATTCCTATTTAGATGAATACGCTATTGTCCACTATACGAAGAAAGACTTTTGTCGTACAAGATCCAGAAAATTCAGCTATAAATGTAAGTAAGAGATCTGGAGTATAAGAGTCTCATTTGCCAGGTATTAATTATTAATTCTTATTGAGTCTAGCTACGGCTCTAATCATTGTGTCGCCAACCTGTAAATTGTGGGTAAGCTTGCATAAAATCTGTCTTTTCTATTCGCTACGACGTCGTTCTATTGGCCAGATCTACATAAGATATCAACGTTTATAAGATCTAGGGCAGGAGCACGATGGATGAAAAGCTAGCGGTCTTGCAAGAAATGCAAGAACGTGGCCATGCTCGAGAATTGGGCCACCTTGAAAACTATTTTGCAATATGTCAACGTCAGGACTTGTATACGAACTTTAGTATGTTCTGCGAACTAAGTGATGCCTGTTCCTTCGAGGAATTTACATTTGCATTGCGATCGATCTGTCTAGAGAACCCGATTTTACTACACACGGTTATTCCCAAAAAATGGCCAAATCATCTGGAATACTACGCTAGCGAGGAATACACGTCCAATCCAGTTTCCAATCATGAATTTATGCGGCTTCTTGAAAATGTAAACATGTCAGACTTATTGATGAACACCCAAGATGAATATGCAGAGGTAGTTTCGAAAATCTTTGAAATCTTTAATCGCAATGGCGGGCATTATACGAGCGAAATATTCGATATGACAGCCGCTATCAGAATACCGTATGGTGATCCTGTTAAACCAAACTGGAGAGTTTTGTGCTTCCCGGGAGGTTCCGAAAATAGTTGGTCAAAGTTCCTCTACATTTCAAACCATTGTTCCAGCGATGCAGGCTCTGCCATGAACCTTTTCAAAGATATCTCAGCTCAACTTAACAATCTACCGGAAAAATTGCCAACGACGGACACGGTCTTCGACTATTCTTCCGATTACGAAAAGATAGGGAGGTTGCCCATTCCAATCGAGCAGCGCGTTGATTATAAGCCTCCGTTGACCTATTTCCCTCAGTTATTGGGAGCGCAATTTTTGAGAAACCATTTAAGCTACCACTCTAAGGGCGCAGTTGTCTCCCGCATTACAACACCAGACGAAGGTAATCGTGCGTATTCCCGCTTCCTCAACTTTACTTCTGAACAAATGCAAGCGATAAAAAACAAGATTAAGACTCAAGTCAATCCGCAATGTACTATGACGCCCTTTCTGCAAACATGCTTGCTTGTTTCTCTCTATAAGTCTGGCAAAATATTCTCTGGATCGTTCCGAGAATGGTTTATGGACATGGTGATCCCAATGCGTACATCACAACTCTTGCCGGATGACGATGAGGTCCGTGACATGTACAAATATGGCGCCAATATTGGTGGATCCCGTTACAACTACTTGATATCGTCGTTGAACATAGGTGATGATAAAGAAGCTTTTTGGTCCTTGGTCAAATATTATAATGACGTTTTCATCAAGGCTAAAGAAAATAAGCACTACCTATATCCGCTAGGGGCACTAATGCTAGACTCAGTACGCCAGAGAACCAATGTAGATAAAATAGTAGTGGATGATCTGTTGGGACTCCCTCGTGACGGTGCTGTCTTGAGCAACATCGGTTTTGTGAAGCAGGCTGCAGATATCAAAAAGTACAAGATTCAAGATATGGTATTCTCGCAGACGCTGGGAAGTTTGAGACATAGCTTCACAATGAGTGCTTGCACAACTGCCGTTGGTGGTATGAATATTGTTGCATGCGCTGCTCATGGAACTGTCAGCTGCAAGAAGGATTGGGAAGACTTGTGCGAATTATTCAAACAAGAAGTTCTTACCATATAGATAATTCAATTAGAAATATATTCATTAAACACATTGTATACCCATAGGCAAGTTTGGTAACGTACAAATCTAGCAAAAATTAGACAACGAATGTCGTAATGATCAAATAAGTTTAGGTCGTAGACCAAAAAAATATGGTTGCTAAGAGATTCGAACTCTTGCATCTTACGATACCTGAGGATTCCACTGTTTAACAGTGTTAAGTATTTCTTGAATCAGGCGCCTTAGACCGCTCGGCCAAACAACCTTGTTAGAGTAGAACTGACAAGTGTAATGTATAGAGCACTTTGAATATCACGCACCAACAGATCTTTACAGTGTCATTAAAGGAAAACACATTAAAGTTGCGTGCTGTGAATTTATTGATTCAATACTGTATCAGGCGCTTATTAGACGATATACGCTTAAGAATTACCTTCCACGGGTTTTTCTGCTTCGGTGCCTCTATAGGTGGATATTCGCCGCGAGAAATACATCACAATCAAATTCTTGTTTTTATTATATCTGAGTTTTCAAATACAACACCGTTGCACTCAACATGATCTAGGAAGTCTCTCTATATTTTGCCGCCTCTAATCAAGGTTTTCTTGCTACCAACAATCGAGATACTATATCGAGCTCTTGTTAAAGCCACATTTAGTCTTCTTTTGTCCGAAGTAAATCCTACACTTCCCTTGTGGTTGCTTCTGACGCATGAGAGAACGATGAAGTTTCTCTCGTGGCCCTGAAAAGCATCAACAGTAGCCACTTTGATCCCATTGATAGTGCTCACAATGGCTGACCTTCCAGGATTGCTTTCCGCATTTTCTAAATCAAGCTGTCGAATTACAAACGCGCGCTGAGAATTGATCAAACTATCCCGCTCCATTAAGCTGACAATGAGGTCTCTTTGGGCAGCGTACATGACAATGATACCTATTTCCTCGCGTGGAACATTTTTGTGCATTACTTGGTTGTGTACAAGGTCAAGTACTGCTGCTGCCTCGTAGTGGTTTTGATAAGATAGACGCTACCTGGCCCCTTTGCCTGTTTCAATTTTTGTCTCTCCACCGTAACTCAAGTTGAAAAAACGTAAAGCATGCTCATTATTTGGCCATATTCTGTCCTCTGCCGTTACACCATCCTTTAGCTGACCCCCATGAAATGCATTTCTTGGGAACTCAGATATTGCTGGATGCATCCGGTACTGTGGGTTTTGCAGGCACCGTTCCGAAGTGTCCTTTCGAAAAAAGACGTATTGGTGCGGGGCATGTTACCAAAGCAGGAGAGCTGCTTCTCGTCTCCAACAAGCACTATTTTCTTGAGACCTGGTAGCGTCAATGGTACGAGAGCTGAAAGTTCAGACGCTTGCGTTGACTCATCCATGATCATCGTCCCAAATTCATAGTAATCTTTGAACACTAGACTTCCAGCAGTAAGGTTCGTAGTACAAATGACCCTGGCTTTACCAATTTTAGCTTTCTTTAGTGAGTATTCCTTGCACACTAACTCTTGGTAACATTTGGGATCAACTGCTCTGACTCCCTCTTCACGAATATGTCTTTTGACTAACTTGAGGGGGGCGGGCAAAAGACCGAATACTATGTTGTGTAGACAAATTTGACCCAGCTTATTTTCGTTTGTGTACTCCTGCTCTTTTTCCGCAGATGATACTCTCAACATTGTGTTATTATCGTAGTGCTCCAGAAGCCTGTCGCAAAGGTTGTCCACTGCAATGTTTGATGGCGCAACGCACAATATTGGCCACATCTCATTTTCTTCCAGCAGTTGACGGACAATCTCTAAAATAACGGAAGTTTTCCCTGTGCCTGGAGGACCCTTAATGACCGTGACCTTATTTTTCAAAGCTGAACTTATTGAAAGGCGCTGAGAATTGTTCAAATGCTTCCCGCTCGATGCTGTGAGTTCAGGGGCAGCACAAGAACTTGGATGTGCCTTTCCTAAAACTAAGTTGACAAAGTCTGAGCTTTCAAGCCCTACAATTGCATCCAGCATTCTCGTCTCAACGGCTCCTCCAGGTAGGAGCTTGAGTTTTGCAATCGACCAATCTCGCAACATTCGAGGTTGTCTGAAGGCGAAAAGCTTGAGAATCAATTTGATACCATTTCGGGTGCTTTCTTGCGAGGCTACGTATGTGTACCACATCTGACTGTCATCCTCTAAACATAAACACATGGCTTGTCGCGTAGAGAAGGGAGAAAATGAAGGGCGCTGCAGAAATGGAGCTTGTTGTAACTCTGGGCTTTGAGGGCATAAACTAATGACGCAACTCGTTCTTAAATCATTATTTGGATTTTCAATTTGAAAGCGAAACATTGGCTCAACTTGCTCAGAGAACTGCATCAATAGTACTGGTAGAATGTAACTTCTGTAGCTGGTTACAGTTGAAAAGTTTTCCTTGAAAGGAACGTATTTCAACTTCCTTGGGGTCTGTGTTACAGAACCGCGTTGCCCGATACTGTGCTTTGGATAGAGCCTTGGATCGTCTAAAGACTTGGGAAGATGCTGGGGGCGTTTTCGAGAATTCTCACGGCGTTGCACTCTTGTCTTACCTTCAAACTTGTTAGCCTTTCCAGTTTTTTTGGCTACAACTTTTTTCTGCCTTCCCAAGACTTTTTTCTTAATGCTTTCGGTAGCTAGTGCAGTTCCGCAGTCTGTCAGTCTCGTCTGTTTTGATTCTTCGCATTTAATTTTAGTATCGGATTTCTGCACCTCTGCCTGACAGACTTGATTTGACTTTTTCATCTGAAAATTTCCTTTTGTTCTTCTACGATGCCCAGCTGCCTTTCGCCTTGCCTTTTTCGCTTTCTGTTTAACTTTAGATCCTTGCTCAACTTTCAGATCAGTTACAAATGGTTCTTCAATGGCTTTTTTCTCAACAGCAGCACTAGTTTCTGCCCGCTCAGGATCCTGGTTACGTTCCTTTTCATTTTGCGTAGATTTTACAAGGCATGTTTTGAGATCAATATCATTTCTTGAGTGCGACATTTGCAATGGCAAGATAGCTACAACTTGTCTGGTACCATATTTCATGTCGTTTTGCGTTGTATCGGCAGTAAAGCTGTTAATTGTCTTTCTTTCCATAGGTGAGACTTTATTTTCGCCAAACTTCAAAGCTTCGCTATTCTTGGCAATATCAGGTTTATCTTTATCATGAGAGAACATATCCAGGGCCTTAGATTCTGCATTTGACTCTCCATTCACCTTGCGTCCAATGTGTGATTTCATTATTTCATCTGCGGGGAGTCAGAAGTGGTTTCGATGAATACTTGATCATCCTCCTTCTCCGGTCTAAATGAAAAATCTCTAGTGGCAGGCAATTCCTTTAAAACTAAATTTGCACGGGCTACGTCTTTCTCACAAGTCGCGTTATTGCCGTTAGGCCTCTCATTCAATGAAAAGTCTTTACTGTGCGATAAGCCATTCTTGGCTGCCTTGGAAATAAAGGTGTTGCCTAAGTATGAGGCCATCCGATGTTCTTTCTCTTCTATAACATTACTTTCGCCCTTTGCAGGGAAATTTGCACATCTCTCTGCGTTCTTGCAAACATGCCTATATGGAAGTGTTGGCACATTCGCAAAAAGATTTACGCCTTTTCCTGAGATTGAAAGGTCAAATTTCGCTGAGGGACTTAGCCTCTGTGAGGATGTTGCAGAGCCAAGAGAGGCCATGGTGGATGTACAGCCTTCTTCTTTGTTCATGTGAAGCCGGCCTTTTGAGATTTCGGTTTTCAACCCATATGCTAAACTTTTAGGGCTTGCGGGCCCAGGAGGAGTTGTAATAGTTTTAATGTAATTACTCCGATAAGATCGTAGAAGTATTGGGGAGGACGCTTCGTCAAGTGAATGGTAGCATTCGTGACAGTACTTTACGACCGCAGAGGGCGCAAGTGTTAAAAATTCAGAATGACATAACTTGCACTCAACCGTTTCCAAATCATCAACGGTACTTAGACAATTGTCGTATAAGCAAAACTGGTCAGGATTGCAGTATTCGTCATTGCACGTTGGTAAGCAAGATTTGCAAGCAAGCTTGAACTCATTGCGCTGATATCTCAATAGAGTTGAATTGAACATGTTATTATCATTGCAAAAGTAACATTTTATGGAGTTTCTAATGTGTTTAGACTCGACGAAGTAATGAACCGATTCAATAAGGTGTTCTTCAATAACCCAAGATATAGATTCATAAGAACATTGAATACAGCGAAAGTTGGTCGCCATTGTTCAATTCAAAATTGGTCTCGACAATGAGGCCTCAAAAATGAGGAAATCTGTGCCTGAGGGCTCCTTTCTGATATCTTTGGGTCAGGCTCGCCTTAGAAAATATTTTACGGCATGTCAAAGTAGCATTATCAATATTGCTCATGCACAATGGCGATTCATGAAAATCATATTCGAACATCGCTTGCACCCTCTTTCGTTACTATGGCATCACTTACTTCTCAAGCCCATGAAAGATGATGTAGTTTGAACCAAAGAGGGCGTGCCTAAAACGCGGGAAAATAAAGATCTTGATAGCTAATTGGGCGTGTGTTGTCAAACATCTGAAAAGGAATGTGATTTGAATTCGTACCGTATCATTGTGCTGAGACATGTAGCTGATCATGCCTCAAATTCATGAAGTTGGCATCAAACGCCAGACCTGGGTGAACACCCAGGTCGTAATAAACAAGCAAAAGTGAACACAACAGGTGATCGCTAATGATACTGAGTATCCATCCTGCTGCAATACCTGGGCAAAGATAGTACGTAAAATCTTGAGCATAATGTTACTGTACTTTTTTCTTTCAGATGACCATGACGCACTCTCTTCGTATGACTCTCTCAAGGATGTGCAAAGAACTCGTTCAAAATTTCGTAAGCTCTATTTTGCAACGCCAGATTATAGCTGCCAATCAAAGAAATTCGTTGCAGATGCACCACACACGCATTCGCATGCTTAAGGATATGAAACCATTGGTGTGGATATAAAACCATCATTAAACTCGGACTTTCATGGCGTGGACACTCCATGAAATGGACTCTCACTTTAAAGAGTTTCGAAATGCAATGGCCCATAAATGCCAAGGCCCATAGGTGTGGATCATGATAACAAGTATTGTATCGACTGTTTGAAATGGAAATCGAACCATCCAAAAGTTATTCATTTGCGTCTTATTTCTGCGCGTTGAAATAAATCTATGGGGGAACTTAATTCGCAGCCGAACAGACCCACTAATATGGAAAGTGCTACCTGTGAAAACCTAAACGTTTCCGATTTAAAAAGTAAGGTCCCATTTTGAATATTACCAGGTTGCAAGATGTAACCTGATGAAATCCAAGTTGGGGTCTGGCAAATTTCACGCACGAGAGGTGACTGAATTCGACTGTCATGACCTATTCCGTTGCGCAAGCATGCAAGCGCATATGGAAGAGATTGTTGGATAAGTGACTGGTGGGGCGTTTCTGATAATCCTGGCGAAGTTTAGCTCAAGTTGGGCGTCTTTATGAGCTTTTTGTTCTTTTGACTCCCCAATACAGCATAAATGGAAGAACGCAGTATCTCAATAGTAAATTAGAGTGACCTGGGTTGAAAGTTGGCACATTATGAAGGAAGTTCATAAATTAAGAAACTTCGAACGAAATTCATTCACCATGAACGCAACTCTCAGATACCTTTGTGTGATTCTAGTAAAGCTATGCAACAAACCAGCTATAGGAGCTCACAGAATTGGGTTTAGTTTTATACTCTTTTTTGGTCGCATTGAATCGTACCCATCAAAGCAATGCCATACTCAGAGGCTTTTGATACAAGGATAAAGTTTTTCGAAGCTCATGATCTTACGGTGCAGTTATCGCGGTGCATATGAAAAATGACAGTGGATTCTATGCTTGAGCAAACATGTCTCTTTAGCGGAAGACTGATGAACCGCGATGAGCATTTAGTAACTTCACGGTGTCGGAATATCGATCAAATGAGAACTGTTATTTTAAGCAACAAAATTGTCCTAGTTTTTTTTTGACAGCTTGGAAAATAGAAAAAGATACGAAACGATAAAACAAACGGCAGAAACACTGATAAGCGCGTTACATTTGATGGCGATGTTAAGTTTGGCACTTGCGGTCTTTTAGTGGCGATCAATGCAAGCTTGCTGTAATTTTTTCCGTTTGGTTGAAGAAAGCGATTTCTGTTATCAGAATACATCTATGTCACTGACATCTTTTACGGTCATAACACTGACATCTTTTTTGATGAACCACTCACTATTCAGACAATCTACGAATAAGCCTTATATACAAGTGAGTTAAATTTCCATTACATTTCAATTCAAAGCGATTTCTAGATTATGTCACGTACTAACGTAGCTTTAACGCTATTGCAACGCGTTGAACAATTGAGGCCGTGACTCAAACTCAATGAAGAGATTGTTTTCTTGTCATAATTTTACGTCTGACTGTTTCATGAGTGTTGTTTAGACCATTGAAGGAGGACATCTACTATCAGGCAATGAATGTAATAGTAGCACCGGTCAGAAATTTTCGAAGTTACTGGAGGTAAATTAGACGCGAGAGAAATCCAGCAAAATATTTGATTGCATGAAATTTGTATTTTGTATTTTGTAATGGAGACATGCATTTTAACCGACATCGTTGTTATTACTTGACGAGAGAGAAAGACGTTCCGAATTTACGTAAATCGAAACGTCACCGTGTCTACGGATGAGCGAAAAAACGATGAGGAAACCAACCCAGCAAATTGCAAGGCAACCAGAACGGTCGTGGCGCGAAAAGGATCCAAGCGTCAGTTTTCGAGATGACACATTAGTATAAGGTGATAAGTGATATGACCGTGATCAACCAAGGCGAGTGCGATTAATATCCAGCTTAGAGCATTCATTTTGTTTCGGCTGTTTAGATCAGAGAAGAGCATAAAATCCAGTGTTTCAATGTCTGTGTATCCAGGATACTGTTTGGTACGTTGTCGCGCTTGTTGCGCACATTACGAATGCCTAGTCAGTATTAGCATCATACCACACATATTGTGGTTATAGTTAGAGCCTACTAACGCATAACCGTGCCATGACAACCCGGATGTAAGCTCCATACACCGAATATTGTTATGACCGTGATGCAAGTGTGGTAAGCTTAGTACATGGCAAAGGTATTGTACGTACTTGAGCAGGAGCATCACAGTTGCGCCCGGATGCAGAAAACGCGTACTTTATTTTATCGACAACATTGGATCTTCCACACTCTGCTAAGGCCTGTGTACCAAGAGGTAGCGGCAGTCGTGTTGAGACGGACGCTAACCTTGGAACTTTAGCTTTTGTGTGTTGTTGATCGTACAGAAATTGAGTCGTGTGAATGCAAGTAGTGCTAATGCACAATGCAGCCCGTATTTCTTGTCGGGTTTAAAACTTGCATTCGTTGTGATAAACACCATTATCGCCCACGCGATAACTAGATCTTGGTACGACAGCTGTTGATACCTATCTGGTGTGCTGATACATCATCAAGTCCGTGACTTTGCACTACTAGTTGAGGTGACTAGGGCTGGAAACCTGTTGATGCACATTCGATTTCTTCCCACACGATAACCGTGACTTTCTGGGTGATATATTCTGATACGTCAGCTGCTGTTTTGGTGGTGCACATTCACTTTGTTGTCACAGCCGCTGGATTGTTATCATTCTCCCGTTTCAATTTGCGGTATTGCAGCTGAGATGAAGAGGTTTTAATACGACAGTTGTCGCTGCCCTCTAGATTCGTCGATATTACACGTTATTCTCGATTTTCAGTATTGAAGCTGAGACAATCAGGCCTTGATATGTAAGAAACCCGTCGATTGCTCATATTATACATAGTCACAATTTTCAATGCAGCTGAGACAACCAGGCCTTGATATGTCAGAAGCCCGTCAATTAGCTGATGTTATACATATTCACAACTCTCAGTGAAGCTGAGAAAATCAGGCCTGGATATATCAGAAACCCGTCGATTGCTCATATCATACATATTTCCAGCTCTCAGTGAAGCTGAGGAAATCAGGCCTGGATATATCAGAAACCCGTCGGTTAGCTGATGTTATACATATTCACAACTCTCAGTGAAGCTGAGACGACCAGGCCTTGATATGTCAGAAACCCGTCGATTGCTCATACTATACATAGTCACAACTCTCAAAGAAGCTCACTCATCCAGGCCTTGATACGTCTCATACCCGTCGATTGCTCATATCATACATAGTCACAATACAGCTCACTCATCCAGGCCTTGATGTGTCACAAACCCGTCGATTTGCACAACTTTTGCTGAAGTTGCTCGACCTGACACGCCCGATACCCTTCAGTTATTGATGTCTCACACACTGCCAACTTTCAGTGAAGTTGCTCGACCTCACAATTCACACGCCCCTCGTTTTGTCACTCCCTCACAACAGTCTCGCCACTCTTTTCCAACCCTTTCTCGAGCGTCACTACCACAGTCATAGCCCACAGTCTGGATCTCTTTGCAAAGAAGCTTATCGTCTTGCTCAGCTCACTATCGCCTTGTTCACTATCGTCTTGTTCACTGATAACAGATAACGAAAGCGGCAGAAGTACTCGCGGTACTCGCCCCCTGGAGGCGCCGTGCGAGACGATGTGCCCCTTGCTGGGAAAAACGGAGCACGTTGTACGGCGAGGGGGAACCAGGTTTCCCAACGGCTGGCGGGTATATAAAGGGTGGCGTTTTGCCAGGGCAAGGGGGTAAAGTTCTTGACTGTTGCTGGAAAGTTATCGTTCTCTCCAGGAATAATACAAGCACTCGAAAGCGGTTGGCTTGTCATTATCGAAGAGCTGGACACAGAACAGTACAGAAAACGCTGGATTGTAGCAGGGCTGTGATCGAGTAGAGACACAAGCAAGACCAAAAGCAAGACCAAAACCAAAAACCATGAAACTCCAAACCGCGTTGCCTGTGGCCATGGCCGCAGCCGTCGGTTCCGCGCTCGTGCTGCCAGACCTCGAGGAATCGTCGCACCAGGTGGCCAAGCACGTTGCGCACGCGCTCGAAACCGCGCGCGACACGTCGTCGTCCGTCCTCGCGTCGTTCACCAAGGAAATCACCAAGACCGCCGCCGACAAGGGCGAGGCCGTCAGGCTCGCGCCGCTCGTGGCCGCGCGCGAAAACTACTTTGCCATCCCGCACCGCTACATCGTGGTGTTCAAGAGCTCCGTCTCGCCCCAGGAGGCCGATTTCCACAAGGAAATCGTCTCCGAGGCCCACCTGCAGTCGGTGGCCAAGTTGCCGCTCCAGGACGCGTTTTTCGACGCCACCACCGGGCGCCAGTTCGACGCTGAGGAATACGAAGGCGAAGAAGACGTGTTTATCGCCAACACCCCCGAGGGCGGAATCCAGGACTCGTTCGACCTCGACGGCCTGCTGCACGGGTACATCGGGTACTTCCCCTCCGAGGTGGTGGACTTCATTCGCATGAATCCGCTCGTCGATTTCGTCGAGCAGGACTCCATGGTGTTCGCCCAGGAGTTCGACACCCAAAACGGTGCCCCCTGGGGTCTCTCGCGTATTTCGCACCGTGAGAAACTGAACTTGGGTTCTTTCAACAAGTACTTGTACGACGACGCCGCCGGTAAAGGCGTTACCTCCTACGTCATCGACACTGGTGTCAACGTGGACCACAAGGATTTCGAAGGCAGAGCCATCTGGGGTAAAACCATCCCTACCAACGACCTCGACCAGGACGGCAACGGTCACGGTACCCACTGTGCCGGTACCATTGCCTCCAAGCACTACGGTGTTGCCAAAAATGCAGAGGTTGTTGCCGTCAAAGTCCTAAGATCCAACGGATCCGGGTCCATGTCTGACGTGGTTAAAGGTGTTGAATTTGCCGCCAAGTCCCACCAGGACGCCGTCAAGAGCAACAAGAAGGGCTTCAAGGGCTCCACCGCTAACATGTCTCTCGGAGGTGGCAAATCTCCAGCTTTAGACATGGCTGTCAATGCTGCCGTTAAAGCCGGTTTGCATTTCGCCGTCGCGGCCGGTAACGAAAACCAAGACGCCTGCAACACCTCTCCTGCATCTGCCGAAAACGCCATCACTGTGGGTGCTTCAACTTTGGCTGACGACAGAGCCTACTTCTCCAACTGGGGTAAGTGTGTGGACATTTTCGCACCTGGTTTGAACGTGTTGTCCACTTACATTGGATCCGAAACTGCCACTGCTACCCTGTCGGGTACCTCCATGGCTTCTCCTCACGTTGCCGGTTTGTTGACATATTTCTTGTCCTTGCAACCGGACTCCGACAGTGAGTTCTACCACGCCGCGGGTGGAATCACTCCTGCCCAACTTAAGAAGAAGTTGGTTGCTTACAGTACCAAGAATGTACTTGGCGACCTACCCGAAGACACCGTAAACTACCTCATCTACAACGGTGCAGGCCAAGATCTAGATGATTTCTGGTCTGTGGGCGAATCCGACAAGCAGGAAAAGACTGGAGAGGATTCCAAGTTTCAAGAAACGGTTGCCGCAGAGTTCGAAAACTTCATCGACTCCCTGGAAGAGAAAACCGATGTTCTCTACGAAGAGATTAGAGAGGTTTTCGACGAGATGAATATTCTTTAAGTGTCTAACAACGAAATTGACAACAACATTCACCAGAAAGCAAGAAAAAAAACCAAAAAAAAAACCAACAATTTCTACTACACCATGTCAATCTCAGCAGGATCTGTTAGTTGACAGTGCTCAAACCACACATATATAGTTCTACGTTTTTGTTTCCAACCTACCCTCGTATCTAAAATTTCATATAATTTGCAATAAACTTAGTGAATATTATTATCTATTATTTATTATCCATGATTGATCAAGTGCTCAGATAGAATTATTATCTGAAGCAATTTTGATACAGCAATAGAACGATTGCTAATATTGTTGTTCGTCAAGCTCTTTCATGACTGATTGAGTTAGGTCAATTCGAATATTAGCGGTAGTAGATATTTCTCCATGTACGAGATTGCATTGTTCCCAGAACAAATCAATGGTCTCTATACAATTCTGATATGTGAACGGGTAATCAGAACAAGAAATGAGTGGAATGCAAGTGGGGCTCGAGAGTACGAGCCATGTCGTGGAGTAGTGGAGCAGTTGAGAAAGTAATTCATAAATAATTTCTACTCGCAGAGCCTCTTTTGCACTACCAGATATCATCTAGCACTCTCAACTATAATGACGTCACTTTGTACTATTCTGTCTTCATGCGACATAATAACCCACATCTCAACAACCATAGTGTGCTACATTTGGAACAGGAAACGGGAAACCTTTCCCATCCGCGCGTGCCATAGCAAGCTTTAGAACGAGCAGGACGTCAATATTGATCCTTAAAACTTGAATAGCTGACCTGGTCGATCACCCACTTTTAAGAATTACAAGAGAGCCACTTTAGCATCAGCAAACCTGTCGAAATAATAGCCTCTGGCCCAAGAAATCAGTATTTGGGGCGCTCCGCCATAGGGGTACCACAATCCAGCTGGAGTATAGGCTATTCTCCGCGAAATTTTTTAGTCGCCGTCCCGACCATTCATCCCCATCTCCGAGATCGAATAAACTTAGGACAAGCATCAAAGTACCAGCACAAGGCACCAGTAGTAAGATGAATAAGCGTTTGGCTTCTAATGGACCCTCCAACCTTGATCTTAATTAACAATGGCGCGTGTGAAGTGACACATGATTGCTTAATGCTTCCAGTATTTCCCTACTGCCAAGCCTTTTAGTTCAATGAAAAGGGCAAGTGCACTTCCCTGAGACGTTTCCGCTTTCTGCCACGTAGCTAAGATGACCATATAAACTATTAGCGATGATACCATACCCTGTGCGAGATACCGACGATCTTTCTATCAAGCATAATCATAAACACGCCAACTCTAGAGGTAGGCACGATAGACGGCCGGTTTCGCGCCCGCCCGTTGTCAAGCAGAAGCCCAAGAACGGCAGCTCAGTGGTAGGCAAGCGCTGGAGCGCCTGGACCTTCGGCAGACCCAAGTCCAATGATTCTAATATTTCACCTGAACCTAATATTCGGGCCTCTACACCGGCTATACCGGACGATTCGACCCTCATAGATGCAGGAGACAAGATAATAACACGACGGACGCAGGTCGTCGAGTCAGTTGGTCCTTCAAACGCCCAACCGCATATGATTCCCTTTGTACGCGCGCCAGCTCCCGTTAATGCATCGTATCACAAAACATCCACTGTTTCCCAGCAGAAATATAGCCCACAAATGCTCGAAGGACTTGCCCCGCTTAAAGAAACTGCGGACAATAATGGCAAGCTAGTAGCGATTTTCGTGCTGTTGGTGGTTATCGCACTTTTCAACGCAATGACCGGAAAACTCATCGAAAGCATAAAACAAAAGACTGGACTAAATTGAGCGTATAATGCTTGCTTATAACACATTAGTAGTCAACCAGACCGAGTGGATCCGTTTGTTCATCTTGATGTCCTGACGCTTGATGTTCATCGTGCTGTACGAACATCTAAAATTTTCCAAGGCTAATGCGAGGATGCGATGAGATGAGATGAGATGAGATGAGATAGATGATTAGAGTTGCGTTAGTAGAAAACTCCTACACCAACTGCCTTAGTACCCAAACAGTCACAAACTTACAATGCGCCAGAAAAGAGCAAAGTCCTACAGAAAGCAGATGTTGGTGTACCACCACAATTTCAAATTCAGAGAGCCGTACCAGGTTCTCGTGGATGACCAGATAGTATGCGACACGCATAAGGCTTCGTTTGACCTGGTCAAAGGACTGCAACGGACGTTGCAAGCGGAGGTGAAACCCATGATAACCCAGTGCTGCATTCAAGCCATTTATGAGACCAAAAACCAGGACGCCATAGACCTTGCCAAGTCTTTCGAAAGACGACGTTGCAACCATCCGCCCAAGGAAGCCAAGCCACCGCTAGAGTGTCTGGAAAGCGTGGTTTGTGTAAACGGGACCAACAAGCACAGGTATGTGGTGGCGAGCCAGGATCCCAAGATCCGCGGTGTGCTAAGAAGGGTGCCAGGAGTGCCTATGATATTCATGAACCGGTCCGTCATGGTCATGGAACCTCTCAGTCGGTCCAGTGAGAGGCTGAGCAAGGATCAAGAGAAACAAAAACTATACAAAGGCCTCAACGACCCACAGCTCGCCGGAAAACCAGCTGTCGAAGACACCACGCACAAAGATGGAGCTGTCACCTCAGAACAGACCGCCAGCAAGAAACGCAAGGGTCCTAAGGGCCCCAATCCACTCAGTGTCAAGAAGGCCAAAGCCTCAAGCACTGCAGGCGACGCTACAGGGGACCTTGCCGACTCCAAACCCGTCGTTTCGAACTCGGAAGCCAAACCAGCCCGCCGTCGTAAACGATCTCATAAATCATCCGCGCCTGGCGAAGAAAAACGCGAGGATAACGCGGAAGATCAGAACGATGGCGACTCGGGATAGTCTTTAATCCAGTTCAGTGGGTCCTCAAACCTCACATTCAAATACAGCATTCATCTTCGATATAAAACAGTTTATTTTAGATTTTGTATCATTTACGACGGCGATGGGTTAACAATTTTGACGCGTAGCTGCAAGATCCCAAGACCTGTAAGTAAACAAACAATCTTTAGTATTTAGCTTACCATCTTGTAAATAAATCAAATCCGAACAAAAAAAGCCGATTCCCATCAGAATAGGGCATTCAGAAAAGGTTCAGCAGCTCCGGGACATGGCTATGTCGGATGCAGATGAGCTAAATATCACCGTGGCGGTTCGCTGTCGAGGCCGTAACGAAAAAGAAGTGGGGGCACGCAGTTCTGTGGTTGTGGCAGTGCCAGACGTGACCGGGACTAACGAGGTTTCCATAAATACTTCTGGTGAGACTGGGATAGCCGCACAGATCAACTCTAAAGTATACACCGTCGATAAGGTGTTTGGGCCAAGCGCAGATCAAGCGCTTATTTTCAAGAGCATAGCAGAACCGCTGTTCCAAGATTTCATCAAAGGCTACAACTGCACCGTTCTTGTGTACGGCATGACGTCCACCGGTAAGACATACACCATGACTGGTGACGAAAAGCTTTACGACGGTGAATTGAGCGAAGGTGCCGGTATTATTCCTCGCGTGTTATTCAAGATTTTCGACGCATTGGAGGACGCAGACGGCGACGACTATATGATCAAATGCTCATTCGTGGAGCTGTACAATGAAGAGCTTAAGGACCTGCTGGATGAGGTTCAGGACGCCAATGTACCCAAAAAGCTGCGTATTTTCGACTCCGCCGGAAATCACAACAGCAACAGTAGAAATAACTCCAGGACGAATTCTCCGAAATTTGCAGAATCTCATGCCGCCTCGAATTACTCTGCTAGACGAAGGATAAGGGCCTCCCCTAGTGTCTTTAGATCCGCCAAATCAACGGTAACTAAGCCGCCCCCATCCACAGAAATAAGCTCTGCTATCCATATTCAGAATTTACAAGAACTCCATATCATGAATGCCAAAGAAGGGATAAGGCTTTTACAGCGAGGACTCAAGCAAAGACAAGTAGCCTCCACTAAGATGAATGATTTTTCAAGTCGATCTCATACTATTTTTACCATAATGCTTTACAAGAAATGTGGTGATGAAAATTTCCGCGTCTCAAAAATGAATTTGGTTGATTTGGCTGGTTCCGAAAACATCAGTAGATCTGGTGCACAAAATCAAAGAGCCAAGGAGGCTGGTTCTATTAATCAAAGTCTACTAACGCTGGGCAGAGTAATAAATTCTGTAGCCGATAAAAATGCTCACATTCCTTTCCGTGAATCCAAGCTGACTAGACTCTTACAGGACTCACTTGGTGGAAATACCAAGACAGCTTTAATTGCCACGATCTCCCCGGCAAAAGTCAATTCTGAGGAAACTTCTAGCACTTTAGAATATGCCTCCAAAGCCAAAAATATCAAAAATAAGCCCCAGGTAGGGAGTTTCATTATGAAAGACGTCTTAGTTAAAAGCATTACTGCAGAACTTATCAAGATCAAATCCGACTTATTATCAACCAAATCTAAAGATGGAGTTTTTATGAGTCAAGAAAACTACAAGGAACTTACCAATGAATTGGAGAATTACAAAACTGAGGTTCAAGAATGTAAACGGGCGAATGAGCGATTGAACCTTCAAAATTCAATACTTATGAAAGAGAAAAAAATCAGCAACGAAATCAACGAGTCGCAGAAAGCTAAAGTTCGCAACCTCGGGAACAACATCGAGTACCTTTATGACAAAATTGATAGGCAGCACAGAAACGAGCAAGAACTTTCAAACGTTGTTCAAGAGCTAATGAATGCTCTTCACACTATGCAGAAGTCTCTTCAGGTTTACGAGGACCAAGGACAGAGATTTCAGACTGAAATGGAGAGAGTCCTCTACGAAAATGTCGGATCCTTCAAGAAATCTCTCATTAACGAGATCGCGAAATTGAAGGATAATATTGACGAGGATAGCATTGATGTGGATGTCAATATCGACACCCTCTCAAAAGAACTCTCTAGGATATTTGAATCCTTGAACACCTCGAGCAATGACATCTGTCAAAAATTTCTTCGAGAAATTTCGGATCAGACGCCCAGACAATTTCGAGAAATTCATAACCAGGTGGAGCGTATTACAAATGTTGTTGAGACATACTCATCTGATTTGATGACTCATCTCAGCAGCATAAGTGAAGAGTACAACAACTTGAAGGATTATCTCAATGAGCAATTCTTTAAAAACAATTTCCAAGAAGCCCTCGATGTACATGTGGATCGCACGTATCATCAATTGAAGGTTTCGGCTAATTCTGTATTTGCCCAGCTGCGTGAAATGATGAATGAGCACTTAGAAACCAACAAAAATTCTATGATGCAGAGTCTGAAGAGTGCCGCGACCGAGGTCGTCGCAAAGGAAATGGGGCTTTTAGACCCAGTGAAACAAGCTTGGGAAACGTCATTACAGAACATAAATGAGTGCGACAAGCTTAACAATGATTTTGAGAGTAATATGGGACTAGCAGTGAGAGCAGTAACTGATAAAATAGATCAAGCCGAAAACATGTCCGGTTCGGCCATGAGAGATGTTGGAGAGAACTTGTCACAGCTCAAGGATGCTTCTGCCAACTTCCAGAAAAACGGTGTGATAAGCACGAATGTTAATTGCATTAAAAGAAAACATGAGTTACTCAAAACTCAGGTTCAAAACAGCGCTAATTATATGCACGCGGCTACACAAAAGTTTGATGAGATTGATGGGTCAATACAGGATTTACTAACCTCACAGGCTATTCCACAACTTCGGAGCGAAGAGCGAATAGAAGGTCTATTGGAGCAACTGAATGACAAACCGCTAAGGCCACTAGGACCGTCAGGAAAAACTCCAATGAGAATCACTCAGCACGCAACTATTAATTCCGATCAATTACTCCCACCACGCCAAAAGACCTATTCCATATCTCCTATTAGGGAGATTGACGGCAATAGACGCGCAGTTTCTCCGGTGAAACGCAAGGCAGCGGAGGAGCGAGATCTAAGAGAACTCAAAACTCAAAAGATAGAATAAACTCCTTATACTAATTAACTTAATTCTAATGATGCCCATTGTATTTTACTTGCTGTGATAACCTCAGATGCTTATAAAAGACGATAAATAGTTTTCAAGTATGGAGAACGTTATAGGGCCCCAGGTCTCGAAGCATACTTTCAACTTCCTCTCTATCTTTTTCAAGCCGTGTGCAGATTTTATCGAAGTTTTCCACGTCTCTCACGGATTTGAGGAGAATGAGTTCCTCGTTTCTTCTGGTTGCGATAGATTGATTCATCTCATTCTTTCTTCTCTCATCTGCCGAACCAGGAGTCATAGACCTCGTTATGTCAAAAGCAACCTTGTTGCGAGCATCAGAACCAGCTGAGCTTAAACTTCCTTTCGTCGATATGTCCCCGGAAGACCGATTGAAGCCTTTACCAAAAAGTTTGGACATTGGGTTTCCCGTAGAAGAAGGGTCCAATTGACTTTCATTAAGTGCAAGCTTCCGGTAAACGTCATTTAAAACCTCCTCCGCGGCATCTGCAGCCAACATGTTTTGCCTTTTGCCTTTCCTCAGTTGAGCTTTGGACTTCTCCAATCCAACTCCAATATCTGCACTGGAAAGAATGCTGTTGAGCGGATCTCTATCTTTCGAGGTTAACTCACTTCCACTGGCTTTGGAGTCTTTATGAGCGTTCAAAGATTTAACCACCTCCAAGAATCCTACGTTTTTCAAAACAGGATATGAATAGCATCTATAGAGTAGTCCGTGAATTACTCCAAATGTTATAAATCGTCTTACGTCGATTCTCGCAGATCGCATTTTCTCAAAGTGTATCCTGTACCATTCTTTGACCGTTTGACCCTGCGACAAGGACCTGTACATATCAAAGAGGCATGACTGGGAAGGAAGCGGCCACATACCTTCACCGTGTTCCCCGCCTTCGGACTGTGAATGGCCAGCGTCTGTAGCACTATGGTAAGGGAGTGAAGAATTATGCGATTGTGGAGTGTTTTGATAAACGTTAACCGATGATGTAGTAGCGGATGTAAATGACCCGTCCCTTGTGGTATATGTCCTCCCCTTGCGAAGTGTATCCAATGTTCCGCTGGAGTTGCGAGTTCTTGGATTATTTTGATTGGGTGGTGCGAGCCTTTGTTCAAACGGAAGGCTAGAGATTTGCGTGGAGTCTCTGAATGTGACATAGGTTTGGCATTCTGCTGCTAGAGAGGAATCAGAGAGGAAACGATTGATTTCACTGGTTGGAGCGTAGATATTGCTGAATTGAAAAATGTCGGCTAATATGACACAATTGTAGTATATGAAGTGCTTGATGCATTCTGTGACTAAACCGACGTAACTATCACTTAATCGTGCTATTTTTGCAATACTGTTTATACCATCAATGTAGGGAACAATTCGTAACATAGTTGGATCCCAGCTCGCGTCTATCAGTTTGGCCAAGTTGACCGTAGAAATGGGTACGTCCTCAAATGAGAGAGATGAATTAGGAGGAGAAAGAGGCGGAAATAGCTTAATATCAACTGAATTGCCTGAGTCAATCGGTATTAAGCACTCGGAATAGTTGTTCAAGTCTTGAAATATCTTCGCGATCAAATCGTCGATAGCTAATCTCTGTTTGGAGCTTTCTAAGTCTTTCAGTATCTCCTGATACTTCTCGAATGCGTAGCCCTGCCCCTGAGACTGTACGTCCCCCCCAAGCTTGAGAGGACCTGGAGCTTCGGTCTCCTTTACTATCTCGGTGGTGGAATGCTTGTGGGTATCCCTGGCCTTCAATTGGAAATAAACGCTGCTATTCTCAGCCTTTGACAGTATTTGGGATTGCTCTTCCAACACCGCAAACATCTTACCCAACCTCTCGATAGCTGGCTCGTAAGGGGACGTTGCACAGTCATACGGAAATACAAAAACAAAATCGAAGCTAAAAGAATTCCGAGCGTAATATGGAGCGACAACGTTAACTGGATAGCAAACTATCCTGTATGATCCATATTTGAGCGTTAAAAGTTTGTTGCAAAGTTGTGCTTTGGGAATCACGTAATTTTTGATGGTATCGAATCGTATATCGCTGGCTTCGAGGCATCCTGGGGGAAATTCATGTCTAACCTTGGTACCTTCAGTAGGATGAAATACACTATAGAATACGCAGTGGGCAAGGACGAACCCGTCCATGTGGGTGTTGGGCATTGAGTTCTCTCGAATGCTTGACTTAAAAGCGGTTAATGTATGTTGGCACACACTGAAAGGAATTTTACAACATATAGAAAGATAGTCACGGGCTATAAACATGATTTCAACATGACATCATACAAATGGATAATCTTCTTCCGGCACTAAGCACTGTTCATCCACACATGCCTTAAGCCATCTAGTGTTCACTATGTGGGGCACAAATCTAGCAATGGAAACCTCTCCCAGGAATTTTTTGGCGACTTCTTTTCTTAGTTGCTTGATAGAGAAACAGTCCTCATTCTTTGGTACGGAATGAGCTATGATTAAATTACATTGACTTATGTTCTCAACGATGCTTCCTCCGAACAACTTAATAGTGGTTTTCATTTCTTGAACTTCGGTCAATATTGGGCTATTTGCAACAACATAAACTTGGTAGCGCTGTAACATAAACAGGGGAGCCGCGTCCAGCTCTGACAAGACGCCGATTCGAGACTCAGCAACCGTCTTATATGAGGCCTCAATCAATCGCTGCAATTCCACTCGGGATGAAGGCCGACAAAAGCTGTCGCCAAACTTGTCGACTCTCCTTTTGCTGTTATCGAGTAACCTGCACGATGCGTAGAAGCAGTGCTTTGGCTCCATTCGCACACGAGCCCCGCTCGCTATACTGTCAAATACCCAGCTCGGGTCAATGATATCGTAACCCCTTTCGAATAGAGACCGGCACTCAATCGTCGTTTTTCCGCTAACAATCCATAGACTGGACAATTCCTCCGGCTTAACTGTAATATTATGCATCAAATTGCCACCATGTTTCTTCACTTCTAAGGCTATCAATTGCTTGTCGTAACGTCTCCCACAAAGGTCCACAAAATCACTTAAAATATAGAAATTTATTCCTTCAAAAATCTTGGTCTCTTGGACTGTATTCAGAGCTCCGCTATCTTCAAGATAGCTGAGTTTTGGAATTTTCGGACTCTTTCTCTTCCTTGCAGAAACTTCATGACCTCTCTTCTTGTAGGCGTAGTAATTATGAGCTCTTTTGGCTTGTTGATATTGTTCAACGGTAGCACAGCTTGTCCAGTCCTTGTCGTCTCTGATCCTTCGACAATAGGCACCATGCAGAGTACTGCCAACCTTATATTTCTTACCTATCTGATCATTGTTATCGACAGATCTTGCCTTTACCTCCAAAACTAGTGATAATCGGGGGTCAATCCATTCGACTGGTTGTTTGGTACCAAATTCCAATAGACTTTCGGGTGGAGACTGGACCTTGAATGCCTTCCACAAGCCTCTGGTTTTCCTGTCAATTTCTTTGAATTCCTCGTCCGAGACACCGTTGGCAACATTACAAAAAGAAAGAACTGTTAGAGTGCTAGAGGAGTTTTTACCAGAGCTTTTTTCAATGATCAACTGTTCTTCTTCACTCCTAGTTTCAACAAGGCCACACATAAGGGAGTCTTTTTTACCTGGATCCCGACCAATAATTATCAAATCCATCGTCTCGCCAAGATCTTCAAAGTATTCAGGTTTTATCTTAACCCAGTGGTCGTTCCGGGCGCCAATATCATACGTAGAAGAATATTGCTTGAGAATAAGGCCCTCAGAGCCCATTTCTATAGCCCGTTGTAATGAAGTCGTAATAGCGCTGGGATCTTCAGATCTTAACCCTGGTAAAATTTCGACAGCATAGGGGACCGGTGTTAGGATCGCTTTCAGATACTCTTTCCGTACATGCAGGGGTAATCTCGTGAGGGACACTCCATTTAGGTAGACCAAGTCGAATATCATGTATAAAGGCCTATAACCCTCGTTTTCAATGCTCGCACTTGCATTAACAAGCTCTTGCACTGCAGACGACTTGACAATCCCAAATGGGAGGACAACTTTTCGATCTTTGTCAAAACTCACCATTTCCCCGTCTAGCACGCAATCGCGAACATCATCTTTTAACCTCAAAAATTGTGAAACAACGCCTTGTTGCACACTTTCTCCGTATAAGTGTGTATAATCCGTGCCCCTTCTACTAAGGAATCGCAGTTTCGAACCACCCTCCATATAATGTAGCTGAATTCTTTCACCATCCATTTTCTCTTCGATTAAGAAATCACTCTTCAACTTGACGCATATTTTCTCATAGGAAATGTGTATTCTTTTGGCAAGATGTGGGGCGAACGCGTACCCAATATTTATTGAGAGATCTGTCCTTCCTAGCCTTACCGAGGGGTCCCATAATTTTTCTGTGAGAACCTTGAGATCTGACACAACTCCTAAGTAGTCTTGGGCATCAGGATGCCAGCAGCTCAAAAACTTGTGCTCTAAGCCGCCAATAACTCTCACTTTGAGAATAATATCAAAAAAGTACCTTAGCTCCAAGAACGACATATGTTGCATGCAGTATTGGAAAGAGGGTGATTCTGATAGGCCTGTAAAACCCCATTTCGTGGTAGATGCTTCTTTCGATAGATCACTGAGCGTCTCGTTGAGCTTGTCAATTGACATTGATCCCAAGTTCTCCGGTTCTCTCCTTCTTTTTGAGATCTCTTGCACGCAAAAGTGAGATAGGTTGACGCCTCGACCGGCATACTGTTTCCAATTAATCAGCCTTCTTTCGGTAAGCGAATCTCTTGGTAGGTTTAGAGATTTACAAAGGGCCTTAATTAATGTGAACTCCTTTATGTTGTACGTCCTAATGTCCCTATATGGAAGAATTAAGCGCAAAACCGGATAGAAGTTATCACCAACAGTTGTTCTCCAAAGCTTTATGAAGTATATGATAACCTCAAGGTACTTTACGGTAGCCGATTTGCCATACTTTGGACGGTTTTCACTTATGGTATCTAGTTTGGCAAAAAGTTCAGCGCAGAGCCATCGAAAATCGGGCGATGGTGCAAAATTTTTTGGTTTATATTCACTGCTCAGCTGTGATGAACTTTGGGAATGGGGATCGGTCGAATCATTCATGTAAATGAAAATGCCCTTAATATTACCATATTTACGTGCAGAATACATTTAATCACATATATCATAAACGTCTCTGGAAAAAAATAGTCGCGGAGTACGTAATTCCGTTATTAAATTGTATCTACAGACAGAGGCTTTACCCGCTTCTGTGTTGTCAGTGCCGACAATAAGAAAGTACACTTAATCAGTACTGAGTATCCTAGTTGATTCTAGGTAATGGAAAGCTTGCCAACTCTAATGTCAATAGTTCCCATTTGATCGGCGGTGTCGATGATGTTACCTAATGAGTCGTAACGATTGATATCTCGTGAATCCTGTTTGCCGGCATTTTTCTGAGCGTCACCCAGTTTATCGTCGTCGTAATCGGGTTCTATGACGTTGCCAAGACTATCGTATTTAATCGCTTCGTGACTTTCCACATCAGAAAGCTGTGCCTCTTCGTCTCCCCCTTCTTCTTCTTCTTCTTCTTCTTCTACTTCTTCCCCGTCTTCCTCTTCAGTTTCGTCCTCGCTGTCAGTTTCGATATCTTGAGCCTTCCTGTTCACGTTTCCAGTCAGCCATAAGTCATCGCCGTCACTGTGGTTCTTGCGCTCTTGGGCTTCCTTTTCAATCTTATCAAGCCATGCGTTTTCAGCTTCTTTGACCGATTCCGAGTCTGTGCATTTCTGATACACTTCAAGTAACTCTTTGTTGATGTCTAAAAACACCAACCCCCATGAAAAGTGCGACAACAGCTCCGTGGCAAGGTCCACACGGCCCACAATTGCAAAACATGCTGCCAGCGCTTCGACACAGTTCAGCCTCCAAGGACGCCCGTAATTTACCTGGTTAGCAGCCACCAGGTACGGTAGTAACCTTTCGTGCTTGCCGCCGATCTTATTAAAAGGAACCTCATCAAGTCGCGCCCATGAACACTCGACGACTGCTGCCCCGTTCTCTTCCACAATTTGTAGATCATTGGGGCACACCACACCTTTTCCGTTGGGAGATACCACGATGCCTTGGAATTTTTGACCTACACGTAACGATTTGATGACCCCAAGTCTTTCTAGTTTTTTGCCGCTGCATTTCTTTGGATCGCACTGTTCAAAATCCCACATTGCAAGTTTAACTGGGAAGTTCTTTCCACTCCTATTGCCACCATGTTTTGTTTCAACATGCTTATTGTTGGATCCATGCCCAGCTTTGCCAGAGGTCCCAAATTTATCTTTGCTTTTGCCTTTGCTACCTTTGCTCATTTCTGAAGCTATTTCAAAGACGCAAATAATATGATGCACCACTATCAGTCTACAGCAGCTCCGAGAGATCTTTACTTCGAACTTTGTAAATATGCTGTGCTGGAGATTACCCGAGCAGTTGGTTTCCTCGCTAATTCAAATAGTCAGTTTAAATAGCTTTACATACGAATGATGTAAATCATGAGTTTTAGAGTTGTTGTCACAAAGCATACCGTTCACAAATAGTAGAGGTCTTGCCATTGTAGCCTCAAATTGTTTCATACAGGCACCAAGGCAATCTCATCACTAGTAGAATGTGTCGGACTACATACTTTGTCAGTATTGTACAAAGTGATGTAATGCCAGGTGTCACGACTATACACGCGGCATGAAATCCATTAGCATCGAGCTATGACAGCACCAAATACGCTATCTATTGTTGTTGAGCGGCAGTTTTGTCTTTTCACATTGAGTGATGATACGGGTGCTTTCGGTCGTCGAACAATACACAAAAATCGATGATCGAGGTCATGCTCGCATCCAGAAAATTCATATCATTTCCAGCCAATCCTAATTTAGTACTCAAGACTACGCATTATATCCAGTAGATATCATTAGCAACCTAAGTTACTTGAAACTAGTTGATAGAGACCAAATCGACATATGGAGAGCCAGAAATCAAATATTAATTAAAAACAAAAGTCGCTGACTCAGTAAACAGTTTAAGCAATTACACATGCCGAGAAAAATAAACGCAACGGATATACATACAGGTTTTACATGTACGTCTGTTTGTTTAATGGGCCATGTGCTCAGAGGTGAAACTTCAAACTTTGGGAGTTTATGAATCAGCGAAATGAGTCTTTGGTGAGATGAAACCGAGTTTTGTCGAGAGCTTACGCTTCAGACAACGCACTTAATTTAGTCGAATTTTGTAAGGAACCTTCTTTACGTTTTTTGTTGAAGGACAACTTACGGTGATACTGGTCCACGAGCGAAGATACCGTGTGTGAGAATTGAAGGATTACTTCCGGTAGTTTGACTCGTTTTAGGCCCCAGTGAAGAGTCGAAAATACTACTGAATTGAGGAGTTTATTTCTCAAGGCCAAAACTAAAATCCGAATTTGGCCTGAAAGCGATCTTCGAGCAAAAACTTGCCACAATACTATAGTAATGGGCGCCCGGCCGCTCACTGGGGCTCAATGAATCAATAGTTCAATGCTCAAGTCATATAATATATCTCGTCAACTGCCGTTGAAAGCATAGAAACCTCGAAAGGCAGTCACGAGAGGGAAATGACTATGTTACTCACAACGTCATTCGACTTCCGATTATATTGACGTGAGACACTGTTTTTGGCCAGATACATCTCTTTTGATGATACCCCCAAAGAAGCTAGCTAAATGTTATAGGCCTGCTACAAAAATCCGGGACAGGGTTTAGATGACACTGATGCCTAAACCTTGGCAGGTAAAGCGCATGAAAACTTTTGCCAGCGTTATCACCTGATGTGATTCCGACTCATTCGTCTAGTGTAATCCATAAGGCCGTTCGCATTGGTCTATTACCATTGTTTGAGCCTCCATCTAGGCTATAAATCAATTCTTTAAATTAGACGAAACATGAACTTATCTCTGTTGATTTTTAAATTAACATACCTTACGAAATAAAGTGAACAATGAAATGTAAATTTAAACGACTCGGGTCCTCGGAACTGAGGTACCTTTAAGTGGTCTGACCTTGATTCAAAAATGCCTTACTACTTACCTATTCTACGGAATCCGCTTTTAAATGCTGTCTTCAACTGCCCAACTCCACAAAACTCACCGTTAAAAAAGGTTTTCTCTCAAATAGGGAAACGCAAGTTTGTATTGGTAGCGCCGGCGGCTGAAATTCTTAACGAGTATGAGGATCTTGAAAGCGGACTGCTAGTGCAAGATTTGTGCTATTCCGCCGACTTCGTCGCTGACCATATACTGATGTTGGACTTCAGAGAGGAAATGTCTTCCGAGGAATATAGGACGCTTAGTGGGAAAACTGTAGCAGTTCGCAATCAGCAGAGTTTTATAACTACTGGAGATGGATTTGATACACGCAGAAGGTGTCGAATCCTTGAAACAGAGCTTCTCACAAACTTCAACGAGTATCTTCAAGCCTCGGCCACATATCCCGTTTTACATGTGGATTTTCCTTTTACCGGCCGTTTGGCAAGACGAGACGAGTGGCAACTATTACGGGTAGTGGGGCCTCTTGCAGAAGATAGACAGGGAAACGCTCTCGAGAGCGATGGTGGTATGACCACATCCGGGCATGATGCCTCCTTGGAACAAATGCTTCGCATTCATCCTACGCACGCAGCGAGACTAAGCGGCATCTTCAAAGCCCAGAGAGAGGTATTGGCAAAATCAAGATACACCGCAACTGCCCTAGCTTCGCATTTTACAGAAACATGCGAAAAAGTGATAGACATCATCGGTCAAGATGAAGCTTTTCAGAAATTACCGAATCTTCAGTCGCATGTCCATGAGTACGCTGAGCTGACTTTATATGATTTTTTTTGGGCTCAGCTAACTAATTCTATGAAAGGCCAGGAAATTGAAACTCTGAGCGATTACAAGGTACTGAGGAACATCTCAATATCGCAAGTCCCTACTTTCCTTTTCCCAAGCAATCGATCTAAGTTTGATCTCCGATATGTAACACAGGTTGAGAAAAATCTGCAAGAAGCTGTTGAATGCTTCAAGAAGTTGTCTTTAACCAACAGCCATTCTGCGAAAGCTAAAGTTATCGTAGAGTCTCTTCAAACCATATCCAGAAGCATTTCGGTTAATGGAAAGGTAATTCCGATTGACGCAGATACATTAGTTAGTCTTCTGGTTGTTACGGTATGTCGGGCTGAAGTTCGGGACCTGAAGAGTCATTTATTCTACTTGCAGGAATTCGCCAAGAACTCATCACAGGTCACATTTGGTATTTTAGCATATGGTATGTCGACTTTAGAGGCTGTGCTAAGCTATTTTGACAACAGCAAGAAACTGCATATGCTTGAGAAGAATTGTAGTGTGAACCGAGATTTTTGGACATGGCTATCCACTCCCCAACTTGAGTATGATATGAATAGTTTTCCCGCATTCGAGAAGCTGCTGAAAATAAGAACTTCTTCAGGCCACTCTATTCTAGCGTTCTGTCTGCAAAACAGAAATCATGAACTCTTCGAGCATCTCGCAACAAATTATGAAAAGTATTTCCCCTTGGAGGACTTGCTACGTGATGAAACAGTCGAAGGGTCAAACTTGTTGATACAGATGCTCGACAGCGGTTGTTACAAGCTTGCTGAGACGTTCGTTAGTATGCTTTGCCACAGCTGTACTCGAGAAGAGCTTGGCATTTTTCTAAATCACCCTGATCGTTATCAGCGGACATCGGGGCACTATATCATGCATGCCCCAAAGCTCATTTCAAAAATAGGAATTTTACTGCATTGGGAAAAGCAGGACTGTAACGGTCATACACCACTATTTGCAGTTATTCGAGCTTATGATCATCCCGACTATGATTTGATGATTTCTGAAGCATACCAAAGCGCAAAATCCTGGTGCAAAGCTCAAAATAGACAATTTAGGATTTCAAAGCATGCCGACAAGAAGGGAAATACGTTGCTTCATGTCATAAGATCAAATTGTCTTGTTTTACTCAACGACCCTTTTGTTAGAGTAAACGCTACAAATAAAAAAGGGCTCACGCCTTTAATGGTTTACGCCAAATACAATCGGCTTGATAATGTAAAATTCATTGTTCAGGATAATCGACTAATCATTGACAAGTATCAAGAGGGCACATATTTGACGTGTTTCGACTATTTTAAGAACCCCACTATTTTAAAGGAACTGGGAAAACTACCGTCAAAATTCGCCTCTTTTGGGATCAATTCAATTTGTGCTCGAAGCATAAAGTTCGAAAGCGATGATTGGGTCATGTGGATGACTTTTATGAGCAAAAGTAACCATACATCAGCCGTTGTGATTAAGCGACCGTTAACATTCATTCAAAATTATATGCTACTTTTTCTAAAAGCGAACCCTACAACATTTGTGCCTATCAAAGATCTCGTGGAAGAGTTGCGTGAACTTTCTAAAATGAAAATCATATCCATTAATAGGATAGAAACGCAGGACTTTTTGAAGAAGGCTTCCATTGTTTTAAGCGTTATTACGCAAGATAATGATTTTGCTGACGCTTTTCACAACTCCAACTTGAATTTGGATTTGAAAACAGGTAATGATAAAAAGCTTCATTCTTCAGACTTTAAGGGGACGATTGAGCCCGAAGAGATGACCAGCATTCAAAAAATTCTCAAATATTACCGAGCTGAACTGGTAGCTTTCAAAGAGGGGGCGCTCGTTCTGAAAAAACTGGCGATATTTGGAGATCTCAAAAGCTCGGATCTCAATAAGTCTCATAAACAATTCATCAGCAGAGCTAATACTTATTTCTGTTCAAATGACGCTGTTAGTGGAACGATACCCGATCTAGACTCATTACTTCATAGAACTGCGTTCGGCTCTTTCGTTGGCAATGTAAGCTTTTTTCAAAACTGTGCTGAAATTCTAAGTCGAAATATCGAGAAGGTCTTGACTGGCGACATTTCAAAATGGTGGCAAACCTACGGCGAACTAGCTGCTCTTCGTCATGAATATAACAAGAACTTTCCGGGTTCCATAAGACCCAACGTTACAGCCAACCCCGGACTCTTCGGTTCGTATATCGAAACCAAAAGGTCAAAACTGGAGCAAAGTATCTCTACGAAAATCAAACACTGCAGTAGTATCCTCGTGAAGCTCGGTTTGAGTATCAGAAGAGAAAACGAACATTTAGCAGTTGAGGTTAACAAATTCATTAATTTCAAAAATGATTTCTGGAAATCTGTGACAATAGAAGAACACGCAGAGCTCAACATAAAAGTGCTGCGGGATCAGCTTGTATGCTTAGAAGAGCTACTTCATGATTATAAAGACAAGTTCGATATCGATCGTGTAAATAATTTACATATTGGGACATAGCCTTCCTAAAAACTGCATTATTCTTTTGCGCCACCGCCGAACATGTTTTTTGCCATATCCATTAAGGCTGGGTCTTTCATCATGTCAGCCATATTTGGAGTGCCGTTACCAGATTGAAATTTTTCAGCCATTTGTTTGATGGCAGGGTTGTTCATCATGTCACCTAGGGCCCCAGGGTTTTGCATCATTTGCTGAGCAGCTTGCATGACTTGAGGGTTGTTCAGCAAACCGCCTAGACCACCACTCAACATTGAGGAAATATCTGGGAACCCGCCTGCGCCGCCAGCACCGCCAGCTGGTGTGCCTGCATTATCAACGCTTGAAGAAGCTGGCGAACTCTTCTCCAAGTGTAGAGATTGTTCTACTTTCTTCATGGCAGTGTCATAATCTCTTTTCATAGCGTCTGTTGCGTTCTCGCCTTCGATATCAAGAACTTTTTTGTAAGCGTCCAAGGCCTCTTCTGGCTTGCCTAAGGCGTACTGAGCAAACCCCAATCTAGAATAGCCCTTCGAGTAAGAAGGATTCACTCTGATGGCAGAGTCGGCGTCCTGCACCGCTTCCTGGTACTTTTTCAATGAGGAGTGAGCTGCGGCTCTGTTGGCGTAGTAAACGGCGTTAGAAGGCAAGACTTCGATAGCTTCCGAATACTTTTGCACCGCCAACTCAAAGTCTTTGGCAGCCATGGCTTTGTTACCTTCAAGTTTCAGAGTCTCAGCTTTGGCCTTGGTTGCGGCGTCCTGAGGTGGAATATTAACTTTAACGGCTTCTGGAACAATAGTAGAAGCAGAGGGACTAGCGCTTTCAGTGGCGTTTCCAACGGACGATCCCACGATTTGCTCCAGTTTACGCCCTTCGAAAGCATTTTTCAAAGTGCTGCCGACGGAGGACTGTTCCAATTCGAATGCTTCAGTGATGCAGTCCACCGCTACATTTAGGGAGTCAATGTACTCCTCAGAAACTTGTTTAGTCTCAGAAACGCGCGACAGATAGTCAACAATTAGACATGCCAGTTCTTTATTAGATTGAGCCATCTTGATAGTGACAATAGAAGTACCTTAGTATAGATCGAAGAGTAGATGTATCAGTGATGAAAATTGGCCACTTTATATTAATATTTTTTATGACAGGATCAATCTCTAGTATACAGAATATTCCAGAAGTTAAACAGGTATAATGGTGAAGCAAGACTTTAAGGGCGGTTGCAAGATATGTGGATGATACAATTACATTGCTCTAATACAACTTCTGCAATTAAATTATTTGAGGAGTCTCGGCTCATCATAGGCAGTTTGACCAAAAAAACCTCAAAAAATAAAGAAATCTTCCCCGCCAGGACTCGAACCTGGAATCTCCTGGTTTCAGAAGTGGATACAATCGTAGCCAGACGCCGTGACCATTGGGCCACGAGGAATAAGATTTCTTGTTGAATGATAAGATAAATCAGCGTTACATATGCAAATGTGAGTTGTAAATGACATGTATACTCGGGGCTGGTTCGGAAGACGTTTAAGTCAGTTATCTAGCAACTTCGACCGTGGCTACGATATATAATGCTTCGGTGCAGGATCAAGCCCACAGGTTGGGTTTCTCACACACAAGCGTCGCTTAGTGTGCAGCACCTAAAATCAGGTCTTTTAAGGAAGTTCTGTGATGATACCTGCTTTAATAACAGAAATAAGAAGATAAAATTCACTGCTTCTGGGCTATCAATGACGTGTCGGGATTCCGTTTTACTTTGTTTTTCTTTCAAAACGTATTTAATATTTGTTGACAGTCTTTAACTTTCAAGAAGTTGTTTTGGGGATACCGTCGTGACTTTCAGTATACATTGCTTCGAGTCTCAGCAACAGTGGGTGGCATCTCATATATTACACAGGGCACTATGTATGAATGGTGTTTAAAATTCTAAAAATGACTTGTTTCTCATGTCGAATAACTTGTAGTAGTTCCAAAGCCAGAAGAGCCCGAAACATGAGAAGCCGAGCGCGCAATTCATAAGTACCCACAAATCAGGCAAAGCTTTTGGTGGCTGTACAAACATATCGAGATAGTGAACGCAGCCCATAATAATATATGATGTAACTATTGTTAGTTTCCAAAATATATTATCAGGAAGGAAACTCCTTCTCCTATAAGTTTCTGCCACATCGCTAACGGATGGGCCTGGCGTCAAGAATTTTGGCAAGAAACGAGGAGTCACAAAGCTGAAGTTTCCAATTAGCCAATTGCTTAACAACATCATGACAACGTACTGTAGCGTAAGGTTATCTTTCTTCAATAAAGGCCACAAAGTGAAAAGCGCTACGTTATTGATCCAACTCACCATAGACAGCACGTTCCAATCAGTTGAACAGTAAAGCAAGGTTATGGGGAGAAGCGGTACCAAAATCGATTTCTCATGAACTTGGAAGCTGAATAGGAAAAAGGCCATTGAGCACGCGGCTAACCCAAATGGCAACATATGTTTCTTAGGATACAGAAACATCAGCACAAAGGATGGAATGAACCCTACAGCGGTAGCATACACTGAAAATCTCTGTAGGTCGTCCTGTGTATAGTTCTCAGAGTACTTGAATAAAACATTGGACACACACCAAAAATTTGCGACCTTGTCTTCAAAAATTCCTCTGGCGAAGGGGAAAATTCGGTGGATCGACTGGAGTACATTTTGGATACCACCAAAAACGTACAGGGGCGAGAACATGATGCAAAATGAGATTATTGTAGACAAAGCCACAGATGTGAATCTAGGCAGATTGAAGGTCGGCGAGAAAAGTGACCTGCTCAACAAATATGCAAAGAAAATGGGTGAATAGTACAACGCCATCTGCTTGAAACACAGCGATAACACGAAACAAATTGCAGCCGGCCCATGGAAGCCATCTAGCAAGTTGTTGATAGCATAAACCGTCAAACCAAGCATAACAGAGTTATATTGGAAATGACCATGATCGATCAATATGAGCGATGGTTGGAAAAGTATGGCAGCAGCCGCGATATATGTACCAATCGGAGATTGACGTCTCTTGATCCCAAACCATTTGGTAAAGTAAATGACCCCTGGAATATATAGCGCTGCTTCGCTCACGATAACGGTGAATCTCATGTACGATTTGAGATCTGGAGTTACTAGTCCACGAGATGAGTTGAGCGCAAACCATGTAGGGCTCAAAAGAGACCCTACTTTACCAAAGAAATAGGAATGGTAGGCGGTCAATGGAGGATAGTCCAGCCCCCAGTAGTTCAAATCAAACCAATACCACTGCGAAATAGGAAGATTTGTGGTGATTTCCATCCAGTGTCTTTGAGCTTCAAAGTCTCCATGCATTGGGCTCGCGTTTTCACCAGAAAATGATCCGAGGCCTACGGCGCATCGAATCACTAAGGCAAATATGACAATCACATATTCTGCATAGTACTGGTTCGCAACAGGTCTAAAAGGAGAAAGAAAATCATAAAGAGGAGAGGCAAAGAAAGACTCTTTGGAGAATTTATCCTTCGCGACCATAGCTTGACACGAGGATATGTGCAGTAAAGGTAAATGCCTTTTCGTAAGAGTTAGGGTCTACACAATTTTTAGTCAGAACTTGTGAGATGCTGTGATACGAGGTTGATGAGATTAACTAAATACATTCAATATATTGAGGATGATCCTGTTGGTCGATTCATACACGACTGTAAAGAAACGAGCTCTTCACGATACTCATCTGTAATATACTATGCGTTTCTTTAGCTAAGTGAACATACTTTAAAAGGACCGGTAGTTTTATGTAAACAAATGGCGGCTATAGCTAGCTTGATGCCGTTTGCAAAATCTCCGAGGTGAGATGTGTTCATTATTAAACTGTTATCAAGTATCAGCGCTTTAACTTTAAATTATATAAATAGCAGTTCGTCCCTTGAGGTCTAAGCCCTATGAAGACGACTTTTCAAAATCTGAAAGCCGATCTTGAGCAATACCGTTGGAAATAGAGGACGTCCAGCCAGGAGCTCGTTCAAACCCATTCGTACCGCTTTGATAATTACCGAACACTTTTATCATGCGCTCACGAGAGGTCTCGACGAATGGGCCATGTTGCACGATCGGCTGCTCGAGCATCTGACCGCCGACAAGAACAAATTCTGAGTCATCGGAAGCACTAAAGCCTTCCACATGAGAGCCATCTGCCTTGAAAAAGATCGAAGAATACTGTGGGAAATCCTGATTGTTAACGTTTACGGTACCTTTAAGCACATACATGAAAACGTTGAAGTCATCTGGGAAGGTTTGTTGAAACTTCGTTTCAGGTTTAGATGAGATGAAATGATATAAATTCACAGGTGTGTAAGCAAGTTCACTGAGGGACTCAACCCCATATGACTTACCACTGATGACTCGCACTTCCAATCCATCATGAGGATTTGCAATCGGCGTTTCGTCCTTGCGGAGGTCTCGGTAACGAGGTTCGCAGTCTTTGAGTTTTTCAGGCAAATCAACCCACAGTTGTAGTCCAACGGCAGGTTCATCGGAATCAAGCTTTACAGGGATTTCTGAGTGCACAATACCCTTCCCCGCGGTCATAAATTGCAAGTCACCAGGTCTGAGAACGCCCTGGGACCCTGTGAAATCTTCGTGAGCGATCATGCCACCCAATACGTAAGTTATGGTTTCTTGGCCGTGATGAGGGTGATCTGGAAATCCAGCTGGAGGTGCAACCGTAAAATGATCTAGCATCAAAAATGGTGTGAAGTTACGGAGCTTCAAAGTCCCGATCGATCTTCTGACCTTAGCTCCCACACCTTCACTTTGTTCGACCGCGGTGAAGTACTTGTAGATGGTGCGAGCTTTGTTCATGGAGCTTTGTTGGTAGCCTTGCTTTTGTTGTACAGACATGTGTTGTTAAGCTTTTTGGACAAATTCAAGACTTGACCGGCGCTGGACTCCATATATATACCTTTCTTGCTTAGTTCAAAGTTGTTGCATTACTAAAATATTGGTGATGCTTCGCAACAACCTGACTAAAAAATGTCATATAAGCTGTGAATGTGCCAGTAAACGCGGGAAAGAAGCAAAAGACTTCACTGAGTAGGGTCAAACCATCAATGAGCCTGGAGAGCCAAAATGAATTGTTGAAAGTCCTAATTTGCAGTATTTTTCACTCAGAGGCTGTATATTGCTAAATTTTCATGTGATGATAACTCATCATTACGAGAAAGTTCGTAAGATTTCAGAAAGTACAGAATTGCACATCCCTTTCTGATTGAACAGTTTGACGGAAATATCATACAAAAAAGAACTGAATAGTTGCCGTCATGTCGAGCAGAAAGAAGAACATTTTGAAGGTGATTATACTGGGCGATTCAGGCGTCGGTAAGACTTCGTTAATGCATCGATATGTGAGCGACAAGTTTTCGCAACAGTACAAGGCTACTATTGGTGCCGACTTTCTCACAAAAGAGGTGACTATGGATGGTGACAAAGTGGCCACGATGCAGGTCTGGGACACTGCGGGTCAGGAACGGTTCCAGTCACTCGGAGTGGCTTTCTACAGGGGAGCAGACTGCTGTGTGCTGGTGTACGACGTTACGAATGCAAAGTCCTTTGAGAACATAAAATCCTGGCGCGACGAGTTTCTGGTGCACGCCAACGTCTCGTCACCGGATTCTTTCCCCTTTGTAATTCTCGGTAACAAGCTGGACGTAGAGGAGTCAAAAAAAGTAGTGAGCAACCGTGCGGCCCAAGATATGGCCAAGTCGCTAGGTAATATTCCTTTGTTTCTCACCAGCGCGAAAGGCTCTATCAATGTTGACACTGCATTTGAAGAAATTGCCCGCAACGCGCTGCAGCAAAGCCAGGCTGATGCTGACGCCTTCGAAGACGACTTCAATGACGCCATAAATATTCAGCTTGATGGTGAGCCTAGCTCCTGCAATTGTTGAACTGTCTAGCCGACTGGGACAACATCTACCCTAAATATAATGTAATAGTAGCGAAGATTCACTTATAGTTAAGGCCCATCACAGGCTTCCCAGCCCAGTCGTTATCCCGACGTTCCATATGATCAACTTAACAACTACTAATTCGCACGTGCGGACATGGTTTAGTAAAAATGTGATTGACAAGCCAATCAACAACGAACATTTGGACCAACTTCAGTAGACCTTTGCAGCACGACGACTAGTTCTTTCGAACCTTAGGGCAAGTAAATGAGAGCTGAATGTCTGTTCATGAGTTGGGAGACGTGAGTGCGCAGAACGAAGAGCGTACAAATTCCAACGAGAACACGAAGGAAGATGTAAATACTTCGATGAAAACTGGTGATCAAGGGCCAGATGTTGCTGAAGACTTGGTCCCGGACGTTATCCTTCCGTCCAACTTCAGCAAATGCTCTCGAGGCGACCTTGTGATTTTGATTTCAAGGATGCTATCTTTCCTCATTCAGATCAACGATTCGGCCATTAAGAGTGAGCATAATGAATTGACGAGATTTCACTCTAGAGTACCGCCACAGATTTCCGTGTACGATTACTTGATGCGACTGACTCGGTACTCAGCTTTGGAACCCGCTGTCTTGATATCATCCGTTTATTACATCGACCTGCTTTCAGCCATATATCCAGCATTTTCCCTCAATTCGCTTACTGTGCACAGATTTCTGCTAACTGCTACGGCCGTTGCGAGCAAAGGGCTTTGCGATGCATTCTGTACCAACACTCATTACTCCAAAGTCGGAGGTGTTCAATGCAGTGAGCTACACGTACTTGAAAATGAATTTCTGAAGCGGGTGAACTACCGAATATTACCGCGAGACGACAACATTTTATGTTGCAAAATGGAAAGACAAGAAGGCTTGTTTGTCACAGATACCTACCCTGAAGGAAATGTTCGTGGACCAAACAATGGATTCAATGTTCTCGATACTTATTACCGAAAGATCATAGAAATCGTGGGCAGCTATGACTCATCACCCGATAAGACTAAGAAAGCGCATTACTCGATGGAGCCGTTACTGAAAAAACATGAAATCGAACCATCTAACAAGAAAAGAGTGCTTGAGGACTCTGAAATCAAAACTAACTCGAATAAAAAGCCAGCTTAAGCATGATCCCTCCGTCCTGGCTGCTGAAAATACATGAGAAACACACTCTATTATTTTCCCTAATAGAATATTTGGTTAGGGAAGAATTCAAAGTTTTCAACAGCAACAGCTGGCTTCGGGTAGCTTTAAGAACGGGTTAGCAGAAGTAAACTTTCTGTGATTCACCATAAGTAATTGAAGAGTGTACTGCACGCTTAAACTGTCATTACCACACCATTCACTAAAATCCAGGAATGGCACATACCATGAACGAGAAAGGTATAATAAAGTTGACATAGAGAATCTGTAAAGCGCGACTGCCATTTGCAGTTTGAAGGACGACAAAGTGGCATCGGCAGTAGGTTCCTGGATAGAGAAATCAATAGTGCTATACACAACTCTCAACGGTGACGAATATATATAAGCTCTGATTTGGGATTGCTATCTAAAGTATTTGCGAACCTTTCGCTACCCGAACTTTGAAATTAAGCTTTTCGAGTCGGAAGAGTGGCTCAGATATATGCGCATGCTCGGAAGGCCAGCACTCATTGACCAAGCGATAGTTTCCCCAGTATTAATCACAGGTCGTGATAATCTCTGCAGACCTCTCAGGGAAGGTAAGTATTCAAAAACAGCCAATTTTTAAGCTCTTATTGTCTTTCGATCGCCGCTACCAAAGCTTGAAAATCAACATTCCTAACATAGCTACGACTTGAATAAAATTATGCTCAGACTCTTCTGATTCAAGCGCTGTACTTTTCGCCAACATGCGAAATGCTGCCAATGCAGTTTAAGCTCGGATACCATTTTGATAAAATGAAAGGAATTAAGACAAATTATGATGATCCTTATGATATGGGATATTCGCAACCTCCAATTTTCGTTGACAGTCTATGTACTTCAATTCTAGTGTATTTCGCCCGTGTAGTTGTTATTGGGAAAACAAAGCTTATAATGGACCTCTCTTCGTTTCAAGGATGCCTTGAGCATACTTAACAAGAATAAAGATAATAAATCCTTTTTGCTTACTACCCAGGTTTGTCAAACATGAGTGGAAAAACTGGCTGTTGGCAGAACTGAGCGCGATATAGTCTAAGACTAACGTAAATGGGCGAGTTCGATATCCTCGTCAAAAAGAAAGTAAAATAACAATAATAGCTGAGCGATATATGATTGACACGAAGAATAGAGAAAGAATAATGTTGACCATTTTAAGTTTTTACATGTTAATAACATAAAAAGTAGTTTCGGAAACCATAAACAGCTGTTATTTTTTAATATATTCAAACATAATGTGTATTTTACTAAAAATACAAAAAACAATAATGTTTAAAACATATAGCATAATATTTTGTAGTCATGTGATACCATTTTGTTGATATTTAAAGTATGTCAATAGTTAGCTATTCAATAATTATTAAAAAGGGCACACACCTTACTCAGCAGCCTCCAAGCGTTGAACAAATCGTCTCAATAATTAGGAGCGAAACAGTGATAACCAGATAATCTTTTATTTTTTTTTCAAGGAACGAAGTAGGTTTTAGTTTTAGTTTATTAATGTCAAGCTTTGTCTCGGTCTAAAGATCTAGCATAATTACCCGCCCAAATATGGATTGAAAATTTTAGCTGAGAAAAGCGACCTGCAGTGATGATGTCGTCCATCGCATCCCGAATACTTCGACGCACTTTATTGTACTCAGCAAAAGCATGTCAGAAGCTGGCACTGTCTCTGATGATAACATCTTGAGTCAGCTTGTTGGAACAATCAGAGCCTCATCGGCCATTTCTGCTCAAGATGTGGAATTTTTTAAAAGTTTAGACCCATCAATAGCAGGCTCTCTGAATCAAACTTCATCAACATTATTAAACATGATCAATGATGTTATATTGTCGGTCGATGAAAATAATGATACAATTGAACACGGTGATGAGGGCCTTCAAAGCTCTTGGAAAAACATAGGTGAGGTAATGGACCTCTTATTTGAGAAATCCGAACATGCGCTTTCGAGTTTGAACAGAAAAAACACAGCTCCTACGGGAAATACTTTACAATACCTCGACGACTCAACAAACGTTGGAGACAACGTTCCAAGAAAAATCCAGAAACCTCAGATTAATTTTCTGAGAGCTGTCGACAACTCAGAAAGCCGTCCCTTCCAGCCTTTGCTTAAAACAAAGCCCCATGCTTTGAAGGCTCTGGACGAGGCGCTCATACTCACTACGGAAGAAGAGAATGTTCCAGCCCACTATCCTCAGCCATACGAATATGAGATTGATAATCAGGAATACGATGAGTCTGTTCTCCAAATTAGGCCTCCATTGCCCTCTGCGTCTTGGGAAAACTGCGAGGCTACGTGGGTCGACAACGAAGAGTCGCTCAACCAGATGTTTGCGGCACTTTTACAAGCCAAAGAATTGGCTATCGACTTGGAGCACCACGATTATAGATCATATTATGGTATAACATGTTTGATGCAGATTAGCACACGAGAGCAAGATTGGTTAGTTGACACAATAGCTCTTAGAGATAACTTATGGATCTTGAATGAGGTTTTTACTAATCCGAAAATAATAAAGGTTTTACACGGAGCATTTATGGATATCATTTGGCTGCAAAGAGATTTGGGCCTCTACATCGTGGGTTTATTTGACACGTATCACGCTTCTAGGCTACTCGGATTTCCAAAGCATAGCCTTGCTTATCTTTTGGAGAGATACGCTCACTTCAAAACTTCCAAGAAATATCAGTTATCGGATTGGAGAGTTAGACCTCTTCCTAAAGCTCTCAAGGCTTATGCCCGGGCTGACACGCATTTCTTACTGAATATTTATGATCAACTTAGAAATGCTCTAGTAGAACAAAGCAAGTTAGCCCAAGTTTTGCATAATTCGCGAAACGTTGCAAAGCGTCGTTTTGAGTATACAACGTTCAGACCGAAAGTTACTTCATCTACAGTGTTTTCTCCAGTGGAAAGAGAAGACCCATGGAGATCGTTAATGTTCCAGTACAACATCCCACCTGAAAGATCTCTTTTGGTCAAGAAACTTTATGAATGGCGCGATCTTGTAGCAAAGAGGGAGGATGAAAGTCCAAGATTTGTTGCCCCTAATCAGCTTTTGGTTTCTCTTGTAATGAGCGCCCCCACAGAACCTTCCAGTGTGTTAGCAGTAGGAACTTTTCTAACGGATCACGTTAGAACTAATGCTAAGGCTCTAGCACAGTTGATAAAACGTACACTGAGCACTTCCAACGATGAATTGATAGGTATGACGAGCGCAGTCGAGGACAAAAAGCTGCAAAAGTTGTCCGTTAACGAAATAGAGAGAAATCTTGCTTATTTCACAAATTTTATTGATCACTTCACCTGTGGCGACCTTCAAGAAAGCAGGCTAGAAAAAGAATCAGCACTTTTTGAAGGAAAACCCTTACCAGCCGAATCGTATGTTACCTACCAAAAGTCTCAAACGGAAATTGTGAGTTCGCGCGAGCTGGAAAACAGGGAACTTCAGATCAGCAGCTCCTCTGATACTTTGGGGACCACTGATTTGGTTGAAATCCCAGTCCAAAACACAGAGGATGAAAGTAAGCCAGTCTCAAACAGTGCTACAAAACAAATCGAGAGCTCAGTGGATCCTATCGAGCCGTCTAAAGAAAGCAAAGACGAAGTGATAGTCTTGAAGGAAAAGAGACGTGTTCCTAAGGAAAGCTCTAGTGCAAAAGGAGAGGAGTCGTCCCCCAAAGAGATACTGGATTTTAAAACCGCGAAGAAAGTACTCTCCACTTCGAACAATACTTTTCCAAAGGGCAACAAAAAGAGATTTGACCCCTACGCTGCTGAGCACAATGGTCCTGAGGGTGTGAAGAGAAGAAAGAAAACGAAAGGGATGCAGAAATCATTCAAAGGATAAGAAATGAACGAATGTGTCGAGTAGAGGCGCCAAATAGAATTGCATTTTTGCGTAACACGCAGTACATTTTATAGCAAGTACATAGCATTGTAACATAATCTAACCGCATTGGTGAACGTTTTGTGAAAAGTCGAAAATAAACGGTCCTTAGTTTATCCGGCCTACTGTATTTAATGAGTTTTTGACTCAAATCGATTTTAGCTCGAAGGTATGAGCTCCCAAAGATAACCGAGAATAAGATATGGGAAAGCATTCATAGCACGGGCTCATACACGCCTTCAGCTAATAAGCTTCTTAATACTAAAGTTCTAGTTCACCCGTTGTCGACATGGTCATGGTGTCGGTTTGCCTATAAGTGATAAATAATTTCAACAACTACCAAAAAAAAAAGTGCTTGACGCCATTTCTCAACAACAGACCCAGCTTCCCGCATAATTTGCATTACTCGAAAGGCATTTATTTGATCGTAAACGACACTATATTTCAGTCAAATGCCATTTCTAGCTTATTTTTCCTCCTCTAGAAAATCCTTAACAATTATAGTGAGGTTTATCTACTAGAAGGTCATTTTAAGGGAATGAGGGAGGTCGAGCTGACACAACGAAAGCCAATTTCCGAAGAGCCAGAAGGCATCATGACGGAGGAAACAACTACCTTGATCGAAGGGTCCAATGTTACGAGGAAAACCACAAGAAGACTGTACACTTGGGACGAGATTCCAGAATGGCAGAAAGATAACGAACACATTCTGAGCGGCTACATCTTTGAAACGAAGAGCTTCAGAAGCTGTATAAAGAGTCTTTTCTATTTGCACAACGAGTCAGTGAATATATACACTCACCTTTTGCCAGGAATTTGCTTCTTTCTAGTAGCAATTTTCAACCAATATGCTATTGAGCACTTTGAGACAACCAGATTGATAGACTACATCATGATAGACCTTTTCTTTCTCGGTGGGTTTATATGCTTAATGATGAGTAGTTTGTTCCACTGCCTGAAGTGCCATTCGATAGAGGTGGCTGTCTTTGGTAACAAGCTCGATTATTTAGGAATTGTGGCCCTCGTGGTATCATCCATGGTCAGCATCCTCTATTATGGGTTTTATGATTATTGGCCGTTTTTTTTAATATTTTCGGGAATTACAGTAACCTTTGGAATTGCCTGTGCCGTCGTATCCTTGGGTGATACATTCAGGTCAAGAGAATGGAGGCCTTACAGAGCATCTCTGTTTGTGGCATTTGGACTGTCTGCTCTGCTCCCGGTGATAGCTGGGATCTTACATTACGGGTTCCATGCTACGTGGGCAAAAATACAACTCAAGTGGTTAATTTTGGAAGGTGTGTTTTATATCTTGGGCGCTGTATTATATGGAGTCCGCTTTCCTGAAAGAATTTCCCCTGGAACTTTCGACATGTGGGGCCATTCCCACCAATTGTTCCATGTTCTAGTCGTCATTGCTGCCCTGTGTCATCTCCAGGCGCTTATCGGAGCATATAAATTCGTTCATAAGAACTTGATAGGTTGAGCGCTGTAGACTATAAACATCAAGCCTACATTAAGTACACATTAAATATCTTGAAAAATTGAAGAATTGAGATCTGCCAAAAAAAAAGGTTATGATAGTATGCTTCCAACCAGAGTTGAACTGATGATCTCCACATTACTAGTGTGGCGCCTTACCAACTTGGCCATAGAAGCTTTACATTCGCCTGAAGCGCTCACACTATATATTACACAATCTCAAATTTGCCATTTAGAAGGTAAAAGGAGCTTGTTAGTAACCTGGATTTCACTCCCATACTATAGCGACATGTTAGAAAATTGCGATATTATAATGTCAAGTGTCTGGGCATCTTCTGGCGTGTTTGGAGTCAAAGTTAAAAAAATAGATCCAAATTCTGTAGACATAAAGCCAGTGAACTTGTTGAACGGACCTCAGAGCAACCTTGACGCCAGAGTAGCAGCTCGAAAAATAGTTGGAGCTAGGTGCATGGTAGATGCTAACCCGTGGTTGCTTCTGTAATCATTCAATATCTGCTCTTAGCGACTCCGCTTCTCCAGACTTAGCGTACATCTGTGCCGTCACGTCAAAATTACGGTGAAGTGAATCAGTATGAAATTCATGAGAAAAAAGAGAGGCTCCTGTAAGTTATTCATGGGTAATTCCGTTTTCGGCTATATCTCTTGGTCAAATTATGCATTTAAATTTAGATATTACCATGGTTTAAATGTCGAGAAGTCGCCGTCGAAACATTTTGTTCTTCGAGAGTTATCTCTTTATCGCAAAATCAGTCGTAGGTTCGCCTTTTTCCCAGGCCTGGATAATATGCGGTAGAATTTCTCAATCATGGCCCTTTCCTTGTTGGAAGAGCAGATTAAGTCTCTATTGAAAATCCCCCCTGGTGATGGTTTACCACTTACTCATTACCGGCATCGAAGGATATCCTCGACTAGTGGCATGCCTTTAATCCAGATGCCCGAATCATAATTGAATGTGTATCGTAATATTACATTTTATCTACTCGAGGATCATTTAGAATTTTTGAATGATCACATGAAAAGGATGATGTTGATTTGAAAAGAAGCACAAGTCAACTCTCCCTCAAAGGTAGATATTAGCATATGACGGTTCTTCAGGTATGCCAGTGAAATTAAAGTGGCCATGGCTCGGAATTGCGATCCCATCCTTTCTAGTGAGTTATATTGGATATACCTCCCATTTTTTCATTCTATCCAATTATATAGGTAGGCGGCGGTTGCTTGCTTTTCAACTCGCGCTATCAATGATATGGATATCGTACGTACTAGCTATAAAGTCCAACCCAGGAAAACCACCTTCCAACTTTTCGCCCAGGGAGGGACAGTGGAGGAATTATTGCCGCAGGTGTAACAATTTCAAGCCAGAAAGAACTCATCACTGCAAAACCTGCGATCAGTGTGTGCTTGTGATGGACCATCACTGTCCTTGGACCATGAACTGTGTCGGCCATAGAAACTTCGCACATTTCATGAGATTTTTATTTTGGGTCATCTTTACAACTTCGTACTTGGGGGTTATGTTAGGACAGCGAATTTTAGACCATTGGCATCTTCGTAACTCTCACGCTTTCGTTCATACTACGGAATTGTGTTTCTTAGCTATTAACACTCCATTAAATGCGTTCGTATGGCTAACAATGATAATGCTGTTCGTGAGGTGTGTCAATAACCAAATACTCAATGGCATGACGCAAATCGAATCATGGGAAATGGAACGGATCGAGAATCTGCTCCATAGAAGAAGATTAATACCTCAGCTTTTGGTCAACTTGAGAGAGTTCTATCCGAACTCAGAGTTAACCGGTGACGACGATAAACATCGATTGAATGATGGTAGAAAGCTTCCAGTCGAGGACATTGTGTGTTTTCCTTACGACTTGACCGTTTCGACGAACGCTTGTACTTTCATGGGCCCATTTTACAGCTGGTTATTACCATGGGGTCAGCCAGCCGGTGATGGTGTCAACTTTGAAACCAATGAAATAGCAACTTATGAGCCAGAGTCACCGCTGGAAGACAGATTCATGTCCCTGCCTTGGCCGCCTGATGGAGGTCGCCAGAAATCAGAGAATGTGAATCTAGAAACAGCTAGCATTGCCATTCATAGTAGCAGAGGTGAGGCTGTGCTAAAAAAAAGACCTTTGCCCCCCCGGTTAAGCTCCCAGAGAAAAGAGTGGCAGAACGAATGGGGCGAAAGTTTAGCAGATTTTGGCGTAGATGTAGATGCTTAAAGCTCACGTAAACGGATAAAATTTTATTAATTATCGTCATTTCATTTGAATCTGACGGCTTATCGTTACATATCGGTGGAAAAACACCTAATTCATTAACTTATATCTCTTCCGCGGTGGTCTCATCAGCCCTTAAGTCAGTGTCGTCACCGGTTTTGTCCACAGGCCCGCCATCATTAAGAGCTTTACTTTCCGCGATTGAAGTCTCAACCGGTGAAAATGCATTTCTGACAGGGTCTTCCTGGTTTTTTAACTGACCATGGCCTTTCACGTAATTCAAAACTTCTGTAGCTCTTTCGATACTCTCTGGCCGCAAGCCTTTTCTCCAACCACGATCACTATCCAGAAACAAGGCAACGCTTCTCTTCTTTTCGTCCCTTACTGAAAGTCCATCTTGCCCCTCCTTTGTAGGGAATTTATTGACAGCCAATCTTGTGAAGATATCTTTGGAGTCTGGCTCAATTTGTAGCTCGTAATTGTCGGGGCTTACCTGAATCCGAAAATGAGAGACGGACTGACCAATGGGCGAATATTTTGGTATTTCAGCATCCGAGTCGTCGCCATCTCTCAAATTCTTCTCGAGGAACGGAATTTTTATGTGCTCATGAGGAACACCCTCGGTAGGATGTGAAAGCGCATAAGAGGTCAAGTAATATTGCCAGCGATCTTTCAAAGAGTCTGGCTCCTTCAATGTTAAATCGTCCACTGCAACGAATTGAATACAAACATGATCAGTTAGTTTATTGTACTCAATGCGGAACATATTGTCTGACAGACCCATATGAGACCTGACTTGAAGACGGTAAAGGATCTGGTCTCTTCTACTCGTTGTTGTGCATGCCCTATCTTTTTCAAACAAAAGAATAATTTCTGATGTCTTAACATCTGTTATGATTGCATGCGCATGCTTCACTAGCGATTGTACTACCTTGTCAACAGTATAAATCTTGAAAGCTCTATTTTTGTAAGCTTGGCGAAGACTTTCCTCAAACCACTGATGTTCGATATCGTTTTCTATCAAACGTTTACAAAGGGTGAGTAATTGCTCATATGCGTCGGAACCCTTGAAGTCCAACCCCATATCGCTCAGCTGAGTCGAGTGCAAGTTGAGGTCCTTGGCAAATTGAACAACCTTTCTACTTTTTATCTCTTGAGTAACTTCTTCATTCATCTCCTTCACCTCACTCAACCTTTGATATAGCGTAGTCATGTGCCGGAAAAACACATAAATGTTGGTGCTGGCGAATAAATTGTACGTGTTTCGGTTCAAAACTTGCTCATCATTGTTGGCTTCTTCAAGAAGGTTTCCAAGGAGCCAAGGTTTCTTGGCTTCTTGCCTGATGAGCTCTTCATCCTCGATGTCCAAATTACTTCTTTCAAAGAAATTCTGCTCATCTGACGCAGGCTCTTCTTCTAGCCCATGGTCTCGCTTCTTGGCCTGCTTGTGCGTTCCTCCCAACAAATCTTTGAGTGTCTGCCCGCTCTCCCATGATCTTTTACGTGAAAGAGTAGTTGCACTTGAAGCCTTTTCACTCTCAAATGTTTTGCCCGGTCTTTTGAGCATGGAATACTCAACCTCTTGACGTGGAATGGAGAAAAATAACGACAGGAAACTTTTGAAAAATTCCGAAAGCTTTTCCTTGTCTGGATTCGAGTAGGAAGTGCTATGGTCGATGAAATTATTGACCAAGCTCAAAATATCGAAAAGCACACCTCTATCTTTAATATCATAGTCAAGTTGACTTTCTGGCTTAGGAGTGAAGGGGTAAATTCTTTTGTTCGTCTGATCCACTTTAATGCTACTAATTTCGGAGATTAATTGCTTCGCAGTGAGTAGTTTCTTGTCAGCTTGTTTGAAGGTAAGTCCCAAGTGATCCAAAGACTTATAGAAGACTTTCTGTTCCAATTCTCTCCAAACTTTGTTCCACTCACGTTGCGCTCTCCTCCATTCTTCATCTTTTTGTTTGAGTCTCTTCAAAACAATGGGAACGGAGACAGAAGGATTTTCATGAAGCGCGTCGATAATTTCAAAGCCCCTGTCCTTATCGTAAACCTTTCTAATAACTTTTTTGTAAATTGTCAGGGATGTATGACCTAGACCTGGCGGAAGCTTAAATGATTGTTTTTCTTCTGGGGACATATTTGAAATCTTGTTTGCAATGGTTTCTAATGTTTGAATCGTTCTCAAATTTGCTTCAATGTAGAAATCATATTCATGTCTTTCTTCCTCAACTTTGAACAGTGTTTCTTCGTATTGGTTTTTGCGATGCGCAATAAATCCAGAGTCTTCAGAAGCCCAAACTGGATGACCTACCCACTCATCATTGAGAACTTCCCAGCACATTTCATCTCTGCCTGAGCATGGCATGAATGTGTCCGTTTTAGGGAGTTTCTTATAGCTTGAACAACAAGCTTCGCATAGATCCAAGTCTAATCTATGTTTCTCATGAACAACGTTTTCGATGCACTTCGGCTTCTGAACATAATTAACAAAACTTTTGAACCAGTCAAAAAGCTCGACGTTGCCCCCAAGATAATGGTCGACCTTGTCGACAAGTTCGTCGGTGTCTATTAAATCTTGCGAAAACAGGTTCAAGATCTTGAGAAACTCGGTGTATACTTGTTTATTGCCCATGTATTTCTTGGCTCTATCAAAAAACGAAGTCTCTTCAATCAGCGTCAAGTCATTTTCTAAGGGCCTTATAGGTTCAGGAATCACAGGAACAAGACTAGGATCTAAGTCAATTTCGGGTCTAGATGTGGTTTCCATGTACTGTATTTCCTGATCATTTACTTGTGGAGAGGGGAAACCGCCGTCGGGAGGTCGGCGTACGTCCGAAACTGATAAAGCATTGTTTGAGATTCCCTGTGCTGAAACGTGGCTAGACGGGTGAGATATTTGTTGAGTTGGAAAAGTAGACGCAAGCGGCTGGACAGCCGGCAAATTAATTTCTGCCTCGTTCTCACGCCCGTTGATAGGTGGTGAAAAACTTCCCAGAGGTGGCAAGTTCTGAGCAGCTGCCTGTTGTGGTTGGTAGTATAGCGCTCCATTGTTGAATGGCTGTTGGAGATGTTGCCTGTGTTGTTCCAATTCTTGCTGATGATGCAGCTGATCTTGATGCGGTGAGAGCTGGGGCTGCCGAGGATGTTGATCTTCTTCCATGTGCAGATGGGGATGAGGACGCTTAACTTCCTGTTGCTGCTGCTGTAGCAAGACCTGTTGTTGATGCTGTTGCTGTTGCTGTTGCTGTTGTAATTGTAGTTGAAGCTCCTGTTGTAGTTGCAGCTCTTGCTGCTGCTGCTGCTGCTGTTGTTGTTGTTGTTGTTGCTGTTGCTGCTGCTGCAGTTGCTGCTCCTGTTGCTGCAATTGCAATTGTTGAAGTTGCTGCATTTGCTGCTCGTGAGCAGCTGTTGCATCTGGTAGAAACTTTTTGAAATCGTCTAGTAGATCAGGAGCATTTTGAAACAACGAAGTGACCTGAGCATAGACTTCGTGGATAGGTTTTTGCTCTCTTTGATACGTTTGCAGAATCTCCAGAAAGTGCTTGTATATATCTGGTTGATCCGCAAATCTGGTCTTGATCTTATTGACGTAGCTTATAGCGTGACTAAACTCCACGTCACCAGTATTTCTCGCTGCTAAGTATTGCTGCTGTTGCGGTTGTTGGGGCAGAGGTTGATGTTGTGCTTGCGATTGAGGAGACGATTGTGGAATTGACGGTCTTTGTAAATCGGTTGGTGCCTGTTGGTTAATCTGCTCAACGTGCTGCGAAGGAGGCTGTGGTTGTTTTCCGGGCGCAAATATTGGCGTTTGCAGGGCAGACTGCGTTGACTCCAACTTGGGCTGATCCATGGTTGTTGCACGTTGTGGAGTTGAAGTTTCGCTCAAGTTGTGCGGGATCGAAACAGTCGGAGCATTCACAGTCGTGGGTACAGCTCCATGCTGGTCGATACTCATCTGCCGATTAATAGTGTCGAATGGGGTTGTGACACTAATCGAATGTGGATCGTTGGGGTTAAGAGCACATTCGATTTTATATCCTTGAGGGAGAAACGTGTTGAGACCCTGAATGAGAACAGGATATCCCTTAAATAGCGTCGAAATGCGCTCAATAACGCCCAGTGTGTCAATAGCCTGTGATTTGTAGTCCTTCATAATATCGAGGAAATGATTGTACACATCTGGCCTGTTGTTGAATTGAAACTTGACTTGCTCAAGGTACGATAAGGCGTCCTTGAAATTCAGTGGTTTGAAGGACGGATCCTGAACGTGCCCTGTGGGGGGATCGGTGTTGTTTGGATTATTGGTAGTCTGTGCTGGATTTTGCACAGGCAAAGGATTATCGAGACTGGCAACGGAAAAGCTCTTGGAGCCCGTCATTGGAGGAAGCCGTTGATGCTGCTGCTCTCCATGAAGTCCGTTTTCCAACCCGCTGAGCGACGGAAGCATAAACTGGTGTTGAGGCTGGAGGTGCTGAAGCGACTGTCCTAGCCCATTCGAACTCCCGGCAGTGGTGGTTACCGGCTCACCTCCATTCCGACTCGCGCTGTTGCCGTTCCACTTCTGTGCATTTTGCTGGCTTTGCGCGGTGTGTATATTTTGAGCGTTCTGCGACATAGTTAAGCGCCGTTAAAAGTCAAACTTTCGCTCCGGCTTATTCCCTCGTCTTTTTGATGACCCTACAATTTGCGTTAAGGTCTCTAAACCGCGCTCTTCTGGCACAAACAGATTTGAACTAGCTATGTTTATTTGGCAAATTTTTTTCTAAAGGGGCGGTTATCGAAGCGAGAATATATAATATTTTGTTTGTTCGTTGAGGATGCTTCCTGAATTTTTAGTGGAAAATTACATCTTCACAATTTTAAAGCATGGTGGTACACAGGCAAGTCAAGAGCAGATTAACCGCGATTCGCGAAACATTAAAAGGATCTGAGACCAAATGAACGCTCCAGATAGATTTGAATTATTTCTCCTCCCGGAGGGTGAAGCTAAACTCAAAATAGAGCCAGATACCAAGGCGCCAAACGCAGTAATCGTAACGTTCGAAAAGGAAGATCACACGCTGGCAAACCTGATTCGTGGTGAGCTTTTGGAGGATCAGAAAGTCCTATTTGCAGCCTACAAGGTGGAGCATCCTCTCTTTGCTCAATTCAAGATGAGAATTCAAACGGAGGAAGGCTACGACCCAAAAGAAGCATTGAAAAACGCATGTAATGGAATTATCTCGAAACTGGGTCAGCTGCAGTCAAACTTTGAGACCGAGTGGAATCTACAGACGCTGGCCTCGGAGGAAAATTACGCGATGTAAATGTGCCACGCGTTCTAAGTTTATCGCCACACCTGTATTATAGTATTTAGTTGAAACTCGGAATAAAGGCTTGAGACTGGCCACTAGTCATCTCCAATAATAATCTTTCATCAAGTTATCCTCTAAGCTAATCCGGATTATGCTATTCAGTACTGCTACAGAACTAGATGACGCGACAACGAAGCCGACGGGGCTGGGCACCATCCGCTACAATTGCGGCTGTGCTATGGATACAATTGCGGCTTTTTGCTTCAAGCCTTCTTTCATCATAAACAGTTTGTCGGTAAAATCGATGTCGGGATGGCCTGGAATCTCGCCGGTCTTTAAAAGCTCCACCGTTGGGTACGTAGAGCTTTCACGATCGGGGGAAATGTACGTTATTAGAGACCCGCCCTCGGAAACGGCAAACTTATGGTGATCTTTGAAATTGAACTGGAACGTTCCGTCACTCAGCTCGAACATCACATACTGTCTATAACGAGTGTATCTTCGTAGAAAAACGTCATCTTTGTGATACTCCTCGCGAACGAAAGTCGAGATCCTGCTCAAATTCGCCTTCATGTATTTCGAGAAAAAATCTACCACCTCCAAGTGTCTTGCCAATTCTTGGGGTCTTTCAGTCAAGTTATAGTGACTTGCCACCCATCCTTCTCTTTCGTCGTAACTAATATACCAAAACTCTTCGGCATCTGCCAGCCTCAGCACCGTGGTTCCGTTGTTGAATAGTACACCAATGTCGTCCGTAGATAGTTGATACGAAAATCCATGTTTGTTGGAATAATCAACCCATTTGGTGACTACTATCGGGTTCTTGAGTTTCGGCAGCCTTGATTTGGGTAGTCCACCCATCCTTTTCTGTGCTTCAGCCTCCAGAATACCATTCAGAGTTAGATGGCACTCACTAGCCAAAATTCTTAAAGAAATTTCTGACTTGATGGCGTTCGTAGATGTGGCAACTAGGTCCTTCTTTATGGTTGCTTGTTGGGCTCTTCTGATTCTTGCTTCGCGTGCTAAATCATTCATTTTCTTCTGGGCTTCAAGGTCTACAACTTCCTGATACTTATTCTTGGTGCCACCCGGTGACAGCGATTGCGGCAAAATGGTTCTGCTTCTTTCTTGTTCAAGGTCATTTTTGACTAGTTTGATTGGATCCTTGGTGGAAGACGAAGAACCAGCAACAAAACCAGATTGCACCATGCAGTTTTTGAAGTTTGTCATGGATTGTGCCATGTCTATGTCATCGAATAACGGTACTGATGTCAGAACACTGGAGTCAATCCTTGGTGGAAATATACCTCTAAACCACACATAATCGATCATTTCGTCTAATGACGGCCTCTCCAAAGGATCTATCGACAATATATCTTTGATCAAGATCATTGCTTCTTGAGAAATGGATTTATCTTTTGGGAAAGCGTAGTCTCCGCATTTAATTCTCTCATAGATGATGCTCACCTCCTTTGCTTGGAAAGGTGGTTTACCCACAAGCAAGGCATAGATCATTACTCCGCAAGACCATATATCAACCTCGTAAGAATGACCAGTGTGTTTCCCAGTGAGAACCTCGGGCGCTATGTAGTTTGGTGTTCCGCAAACCGTAAACTTGCGCTCTCTATCGTTGGCTAACACGGCGGCCAATCCAAAGTCACCGATTTTCAAATTATAGTGCTTATCAAAAAAGATGTTCCCCAATTTCAAGTCTCTATGAATGACCCGTCTACTATGCATGTATTTTACCGCACCAATAATTTGAGTGGTGAAGAACCTTACTTCTGGTTCAGTCAGCAATTTCCTTCGTTTCAGAAGATCCATTAACGAGCCGTTCGGGCATATTTCTAGCAGAATGTAAACATTTGTGTCATCTTCAAAACAATCAACAAATTGAACAACATTAAAGTGTCGCATGCTCTTGTGTATTTGAATTTCAGACAGCAACTTCTTTCTAGTTTTCTCAGATTTTATCGAAATTTTGGCCACCGTCTTGGCAGCAAAGATCTTGCCGGAGTCATCTTTAATCTGAAAACATCTAGCGAACCCACCTTCGCCGAGGAAGTGGCCTCTGTGGTAGTCTCTGCCTCTAGTTTTGATGAGAGATGGTGGTGTCTTACACAGAGCAGAAAGTTTCTCCTTCTTCTTCTTTTGAGCTGGTTGCCTGTGTTGGTCATTGTTATGATCAAGACGCTTGTTGCTGCTTAGATGTAGGTTTTCCTTGCCGCCATTGTGCTTTGTTGGAGTGTACACGTTGTTTGTGCGAGTATTGAGTTGTCGCTCGTTGACGATCTGTAGTGGTGCTGCAGACATCTCAAATGATGTTAAACTTGCGAGAGCAATAGAGCTAGTCTGTGTTGAAGCGCCGCGCGGGTTAAACTAAGTTCAAAGTTGTGTTTGTTTTTGTGGCAGGACGTTCAATCTAGTTTAACTGATGATTGCCAGCTATAGTAGTAACAATCCTGAACCTGATATAGGTCTGGAAATATCTCCAGTGATCTCTTGAATTGGCTTCTCTGCTTTCAGCTGTCTGAGTCCGCGAGTGAATGAAGCCCACAGATTTAGAAGTTTTTGAAGATCTTTTTTGGTTAAGTAACTCCGCTGTTTCTTAAGATTCTTCCGTCGGATCCTAGTTCTCACCCCCAACTATAGCGTTTTCGAGCTAGAATCGGTTATAAGCACTGGATCTGTTCAAGACTTTGTCTTGCTGTGAATGTATATTTGCCGTTCGTGAGAATAGCGAATCTTAAGTTTTTCCAAACGTAAACAAAATATTTAGTTGAACAGTGGTCAGTGAATCGAAAAGAGAAAAATGTCAACACTCTAACAAAGTCTTATTGACATAAAAGTACCGTTATTGTGAACCGTTAAGCGCAGATAGAGGACTCGACAACAACGTCAAGCAAATCTGAGATGAGACGGAGTTTCTTGGCGTGGTTACATTTTAAGGCCCAAGCAACGAAATATGTATTTTTCGTACTCACCACAAATACAGCAGTCGCCTTCTCGTGGAGTTAGACTACAGTCTTGAGTTACTAGTAGAGCGGTTGAGTTTACGACGATCTAATGTAATCACTAAGCACAAAACCATGTTAGTCTATCTCACCGAAAGTTTCTGAATAGGCGCACAAATCGCTGCCTTTCGTCGGCCTTCTGATAGCCCAAGTAGCTCTCTAAACTTCATCTTTCCTGGATCTAGGAGATCAGTGCACAGCCTTGAACTCGAATTTGTGGCAATGTCGTAAACAATCTGCTCCTCTGCTAGAAATTCACGCCCAAAAAATCGGACGGAATAGAAAAAGATTGCAATAAGTGCAGAGCTGGTCTTGTCATCTACGTGAAGCGTTCCCACCTGAATTTAATGCTCTTGGACAGTATATCTCACTTTTAGAGCGTTAAGGCGGAGGCACATACTTGTTACCAAGCAGTTAAAAGGATCGCAAAAGCTTTTATGCTCTTGTTAATAATGGAGAAGGTGCTCTCCTAGTTCGCCTATGCGTTACAAAAACTTATCTACACCAACTTGCAAATCATCTTGTTCTCAGCAATTATTTAAACCCGCCAAGCCAGTTACAACGAAGCTGCTTTGAAGGCGTAGCATAGTGCTAGTTGCTTAGTAGGTAGATTGGATCAACCACTTTAGTAAAAGTTTTAAATTACTATGTTGCGGCATAGATAGAAGAAAACCTACCAGCGACAGCGAGAAGTTTCTGTATTTGCTGGTCCCTGGGTTTGGTCTTACAGCGGATTTCTTCCGTTATAGTTGCCTACTAGTCAGGGGTTAAATGGTATGAAAGCTGCAAAGAATCCAACAGAGAATGTCATGAATTAGAAGTGGAGATGATCTGGGGATCTCAGGTGAACATCTCCTCGCAGCTACTTGTCACCATTTTTTCGTCTTCCGTGTCTGCTATTTCAAAGGTCTTATTGCACGTCAGACTCTTAGCAGAAAGCTTCTTTGTGACCATGTAGGCAGCTCTGGCTCATCAGTTGGGACCTTTTTTTTTTGGGAAATGTTGTGGCTCGAGACCGATGTCCAGTCGAGGGAACCACTCCAGAAGTCCATCCAGAAGCCTGTCTCTCCCGACATCTTCGACTTACCTGCGGATCTGGAAAGTCATTTTGTTGTAATCCCTCTCAAGTCTGAGTGAGAGAATATATACGATTTCAATTGACCAGGCCAGGCTTAAATTAGAGCTCAGTTTACATCCCACCTTCAGAAGTGCTTCCGTATCGCCATTTTTCAACCTTGAAAGGTAGCGTTGTCATCGAACGTACTTCGCTCAAGACAACTACATGGTAGGATTGCAGCCTGAATAAGCACGTTATTCTAAAACCTACTTATCATTGCAGATTTCCATCATCCCGTGCCTGGTAGATGTGCAAGTGAAAGCTTCTCGCGTCACTTATTTGAAGAAGTTGAAGTACACGAAATCGAAAAAAAAGTCAAGAAACATTTAATTGAACTCATCATGAAGTGCATCTTAACCAAAAATAAACACGATCTTCAATGACTGTGCGGCTGAAAGACGAGACATCTTCAGAAGACGAAGACGCACCACTATCTTCATCTATTCAGCGAACCAAGAGAACAATTGAAGATTGTGACTACGAAGACGATGACCTGAAATCAAAAACTGTCAATACAGGCATTAAAAAAGAAGATAACGACGCGTATGACAGCGATGAAGCACTCTCCAAAGTGGCAAAACCTAAAAAAATTGTGAAACGAGCCAAGAAAGCGGTTTCTAAGAAATCATCGTCTTCCAATGCTAAGAAATCCATTAAAAGGGCTGCACCAAGAAAGACTCCTAAGGTTGTAAGAGAGGTTTCTGTTGAACAACAAAACGCCGATCCCGAGGATGACTCTAAGGAGTCGACTGAGGATGTCGACGAGTTCAAGTGGTGGGAGAAAGAGAACGATGACGAGTCTATCAAATGGACAACTCTAAAGCACAACGGTGTCATTTTCCCACCTAAATATGACCCTCTACCTTCGCATATCAGAATGTATTATGACGGGAATCCTGTAGATCTACCTCCCCAAGCGGAAGAAGTTGCTGGCTTCTTCGCAGCACTTTTAGAATCCGACCATGCTCAAAATCCGACCTTTCAAAAGAATTTCTTTAGCGACTTCTTAGATGTCTTGAAAGAAAGTGGCGGGGCCAGGAATGGGATTAAACCTAAAGATTTTAAACTTTGTGACTTTTCCAAAATGTTTGATTACTTCCAATTGCAAAAAGAGCAAAGAAAGCAGCTTAGTCCACAGGAAAAGAAGAAGCTCAAGCAGGAAAAAGAAGAATTAGAAGAACCTTATAAGTTTTGTTGGCTCGATGGGCGTAAGGAGCAGGTTGGAAATTTTAGAATTGAACCCCCCGGACTTTTTCGTGGCCGTGGTGCACATCCCAAGACTGGTAAGCTGAAAAGAAGAGTTTACCCTGAGGATGTAGTGCTCAACCTGGACAAAGAGGCCACAATTCCAGAAGCGCCAGATGGTCATAAGTGGGGTGAAGTTAGACACGACAACACTGTCCAGTGGTTAGCTATGTGGCGAGAAAACATCTCAAACTCTTTCAAGTACGTTCGCTTTGCCGCGAACTCTTCATTGAAAGGTATGAGTGACTTCAAAAAATTCGAAAAGGCTCGTCAATTGAAGGATTATATTGATGCTGTTAGAAAGGATTATAACAAAAATCTTAAGAGCAAAGTCATGCTGGAGAGACAAATCGCTGTAGCCTGTTACTTCATCGACGTCTTCGCACTCAGAGCAGGTGGTGAGAAAGCTGACGATGAAGCTGACACGGTTGGATGCTGCTCTTTAAGGTACGAACACGTTACGCTAAAACCTCCGAATACTGTCATTTTCGATTTTTTGGGTAAGGATTCGATCAGATTCTACCAGGAAGTGCAGGTGGAAAAGCAAGTTTTCAAGAACTTGACACTGTTCAAAAAAGCACCCAAGAAGCCTGGTCATCAACTATTTGATAGGTTGGATCCATCGATTCTGAACAAACATTTACAAAACTACATGCCTGGATTGACTGCCAAAGTGTTTCGTACCTACAACGCCTCCAAAACTATGCAAGATCAGCTAGACTTGATCCCCAACGAAGGAACAGTTGCGGAAAAACTACTCAAGTACAACGCTGCTAACAGAACGGTAGCTATTCTGTGTAATCACCAACGGACCGTGACTAAGGGTCATGCGGCTTCTGTTCAAAAGGCTATGGAGAGAATAGAAGAGTTGGAATGGCAAAAGATCAGACTGAAAAGAACAATCATGCAATTGGACGAAGCTGAAGTAAAGAAGAATCCGAAATACTTTGCTGAAGTAAAGGATCTTGTCAAAGAGCAAGAAGCTGCCATTCACAAACGCCTGGTAGAAAAGGAGCGCGAAAAATACACCAAAAAATTCGCAAGAGAAAACGAAAAGCGCAAGTTTGATAAGGAAGAGGAGCTGCCGGAGTCGGTTTTGCAGGAGTGGATGGAGAAAGCGGAAGAGATGGAAAAAGAATACCGACAAGAGTTAGATACGGGTAAAGTGCAAGTCAAGACGTCTGACATAGAAAAAATCAAGTCACAGATTGAAAAGTTGGACCAGAGGATAGAAAACTGCAGCATTCAACTCAAAGACAAAGAGGATAACTCCCAGGTTGCTCTGGGCACTTCTAAGATCAATTATATTGACCCACGACTTTCCGTCGTATTTTGTAAGAAATTTGGCGTTCCGCTGGAGAAGGTCTTCACTAAGTCTCTCAGGGACAAGTTCAAATGGGCTGTGGAGTCTGCTGACGAAAACTGGCGATTCTGAGATGCCTTGACTGATCTATGTACGGAGTATAGATCTTTACATAAGCTCTGAAATTTTCGCTGCATAATCTAATTTCGCGAATGTCGGATCCCTGCTTATTTTCGCGCGCTTTGCGAAAACGCGAATTAAAAGAAGTAAGTGGAAAACAGCCTAATGGTCTTTGAGCTCGATAAAAAGGCCAATCAATATGCGATGAAGAGACAGCATTAAAAGCTGAACTGTTAAACACCCACTTGTCGGCATTGAGACTGGGTCAACTTCAATAAGCTCGAGGAACCGTGCTCAGGAACGAAACTAAAGTTACTGATGAAAGCTTACATTCTTTGCTGTGCACTATTCACTCTGATATGCACTTCTTCAGCGACGCTGGAGTTCGATCGGACTTTTCAATCGCTCAGAGAGCGGGCGATGCCAACTCTTACCGCTAGTTCAACATCCGCTTCCCCATCAGCTGGAAGCAACTCAACAATCACGTCCTCGTATCGTGCTACCTTCACTCCGTTGGTGCCCGGCACTGTAGGCAACAGCAATATTCAAAGAACCGTCTACCCCAGCGGGACGGTGTTCGTCATCGTTGGGTCGATAATGGGCTTTGTGGGGGTAGTTATCCTCGTCACTTGGATTTCTTTGGCAGTGAAAGCTTGGTGCAGCGCGCGCCGTGAGTACAAGTCGCAGGCAGCGCAGACAATGTACCAAGCAGATCCTTTCATGTTCCACTCGAACGATTCTGATACTGAATACTCTGACGGTTCGGACCACAGTGACGTTTCAGAAAAGGTCCTTAAAACAAGAGGTTCTACACGGCCCAGTATATATTCCCTCGGGTCTCAGTCCACCCTAAACCTGCTGCAAAGAGGAACACAGACTGGGGCTGTGGCTTCGAGTGCTCATAGGAACTCCATGTTCATTTCTCCAACTGAAATCATGAAAAACACAACAAATGGCAAAAGCATCTTGTCTCTAGGCACGCCAACATCTGAGCAATCCAATTTCTCAAGCCCGGTGCAGAATACTGAAATTTTAGGAAAAGCTGATCCACTATATCAGCTTGTATACGGCGAGCAGCGCTCATATAGACCGCCCAGCGTCCATCTGGAAAAGATGTTTGATGATGATTTGTAGTAATACACATATAAAATTAGGGATATAAGTCGATAACAAGGAAGATAGAACGATGTACAATTGTAAAGAGCGTGGTAAGAAGCGAAAACGCCTACAGTCTAAACAAGCTGAGCAATGTATCCAAGCCATACTTTAATTGTTAATCACATGATTTTATCACGTGCATTAATACTGCGGTAAAAATCGATTTCTTCGAGATAAAAGAATTCATTTTGAGAAAACGGATTAGAGAAATTTGTAGTAATCTTCAGTTTGCCACTCCACGGATTTTATCGACTAAGACTCGATACCAAGTACGCGAACCCAGCATCTCTATAACCCAGCATAAATGGCCCGTTCCAGAGGAGGAGCTAGATCTAGACCAGCACCAGCTCAAACGCGCTCTGCGTCTACCATGGCAGCTCATCCACCAGCACGTCAACAACAGCAAGCTTCCCAAACCTCTGCATATTCACAGCCTCAAACTGGTGCCCAACCTCGTCAACCAGGCCTTTTTGCACAAATGGCTTCTACCGCCGCCGGTGTAGCCGTCGGAAGCGCTGTGGGTCACACCCTTGGAGCCGGATTAACCGGGATGTTCTCTGGCTCATCCAGCGCCCCAGCTGAACAACAGCAACAACAAATGGCTGCTGCTCCAGCTCAGCAACAAGGATTTGCTCAGGAACAAGCCAGAGCTTGTGATGTGGATGCCAGAAGCTTCACTCGTTGTTTAGAGGAAAACAGCGGGAACATGCAAATTTGTGACTTCTACCTACAGCAGTTGAAGGCATGTCAAGAAGCTGCTCGTCAATATTAAGTGAGATACTCATTCGCACGTGCATCTAGCACGAAAGGATATGTTTTGGAAGCGCTCAAGCTATACCGGCGGAGCGTCTTCTAGCGTCCTACTAACTTTCCATATTCCTTGACTCCTATATATATATGAACACCGCGACTAGAGAAAAGTCTGGGTTTAGATCTAGAACTTGAGAGTTAAGCATGTTTACCTACTGTACATAGTCAGCTTTTTGGGCCAATAGAAGGGCCTTGCAGAGAGATCGTAAGCTTTCAGCTCTATCTATGTGTCCAGCTCATCGTTAAGTGGCCCATAATGGATGCTTCTTTGTATGCCGTTCATGGCGATAATTGTCGAACGTAAATAAACAAAGATTTATTGATCACTGTGCACTCCTTATTTCAGTTTCCAATTGGCAACTCATCTCTGTTATCACGACTTACAAGGACGGCTTACCTCCATTAAAGCACTGCCTGCGAAGTTTTCAAGCTCCTCTTTAAGGCTAAAGATCAAAAGCTAGAATGATGAATTTACCCACACTCTTCCAACATTTTGGAGCACGTATATTCAAGCCGACCCCAGGTACATTGAGGCTCATGACATGTTCGAGGATTTTGCAATCGAGTTACAGCTCAGCCCTGAGACAGGTTCATAGCACCGCAAAGAAAGATCATACAACGCTGCTTAACAGTGACAAATTGGCAACGTTCAACGTTTTGAGTCTCAAAGCATTGAAAAACGAATGCAGAACTCGGGGTCTTAAGATTTCAGGGAGAAAAGGCGAGCTTGTTGATCGGATTTTGGCATTCGAAAATTCTGGGTCAGTTTCTGGTACGTTTCCGGCGGTAAGTGCACGTAAGCTACACAGCTTACCGACACTTAAAAACAAGGGAAGTTCAAAACATGTGGACGACGTCAAGCTTCCAGATGTTGCCGCTACTGAAGACTCTTTGGAGTCTCTTGACAAGGAGTACATAGTTCACATCACACCCCTTTCAGAAAGTGCAGATAAAAAACCTGTCACACTGCTAGAAAAAGAACTTCTCTCTCAACAAAGCGATTCGACCAGTTCACCACAAGTCTCGACCACAGACCACGAAAAGGTGATATTTCATGCCGATACGCTTGCAGAGAATTACGAAATTGTCAATGAGGACGCTGAAGCTGCTACAGAAACAGATAGCTACGAAAATAGCGATCCATCAGCAAGAAGTTCTCAATTGAATACTAAAGACAAGACTTTCTTTCTCAGTTTCGCGGCAGTCGTGGCGGGTTGGTGGTCGCTCAAATACTGGAGCAACTCTGATGAACGTAAGGATTGAGTGCATCGTGCCAATTCTAGCATAGGGGTTCTTGTCCTGGCTGCTTCGACTTTTATTTTTATTACTATATTCAATCATTTAGGATTTTAAGGGAAAATCAATAGGCTATTCATCAAAGGTATTTTGAAAGCATTGGTCATACTTGGCTATTAGTGCATGATGCGCATGATGTGCTATCAATATATTTAATAATAACTGTAATAGGACGGTTATATGACATCTCGTGAAGTGCCTGCAGGTTTGGTCTTCGAAGCTTGACGCATCAAGGTGAATATGCGCCTTTCAAAAGACTTCATGACAAGCTCTGTGACGCTTTTACCAAAGATTGAGGCAATGTTATTATAGAGACTAAATTTGAATTTGAATTTCAAATGTAGCTCGGCCTCAGTAGCGCCGGATCTCGATGGATGAGGATTGATTATCCATTTTGTTTGTAAAGCATCGAACAAACTGTGTGTTACTGAGTCTGCAATAACTACACAACGGTCTCTAGAATCACGCTCACATCTGATTTGACACACAAAGGTTTCATCATACTGCTGAAATCCAACTCTCAAACCAGCCTCTAGTGGCTTTCCGGTATTGGGGTCTCTCTTATCCACGAACGATTCGGTGCAGTACTTCATGAACTCCTTATACTGAGAGATTTCAGAAACAACATTGTATACCTCGCTGACTGGGGCATTTATAGTTCGATTTAAAAGAAATATCTGTTCTTTAGATAGACTTGAGCTTGAGCTTGAAAATGGCCTAGTGTACCATGCAGGATAGCTTCGAAAAGTATTCAAGCTGATGCTTCTACCAGCAGCCTTGATCATACGGACAGTGGCCTTCTTGGCCTTATTTTGAACTAGTTATATTTTGTCATCAAGGTACAATTTTTCGAGTTCTCAATTGAGGTCTTCTTCATACGTTTCGATTCTTCCAATTCAACATAGGTGATAAATGTCTTTTGAAATCAATTGGGAGAACCTAGTTGACGACCAAGCTATCAACAGCTCAATCAAAAGTTTTTTGAATTCTCAATTGCAGTCCATTTCCCTTCCAAGCTATGTCAGCAGCCTGCAGGTAACAGGGTTTCGATTGGGAGATACACCACCAAAAATCATTCTACGAGAGATCTCAGATCCCTTAAATGAATTCTATGAGCACATTTCTAATGAAAGGCTGCCGAAAGAGCATGAAACAGACTCCGAAGATTCAAGCAGCTCTCAAAGGTCGAATGAAGAGCCTGGCAACGAGTCTGAACGCGAGTCCCCAGAAAGCGATCTACAGCTTTTAGTCGAGATTGACTATAAGGGAGATATGCAAATTGACGTGAGTGCCGAACTAGCACTAAATTACCCAAGCCCTTCTTTCATGACTTTGCCCGTCAAACTCTCAATCAGTGATCTTGGCATGCATGTTCTGTGCTTGGTGGCGTATCTGTCACAACAATTATTTATCAGTTTTCTTTGCGATATAGCAGATCCTATTTTGGATGCCCGGGAGTCCATTATAGACTCAGGAAGCTCAACTTTTCTAGGTAAAAAGTCGCTTGAGAGGATATCTCTGATACGAAGCATCAAGATTGACAGTGAAATTGGTGAACAAGATCATATTGAAGGTTCTGTTCTACGAAGTGTTGGAAAGTTAGAACAGTTTTTACTGGAGGTTTTTAGGACGATTGTGAAGACTGAGGCTGCTTGGCCGAGCTGGATCAATCTAGACTTCAGCGAAGACTTATCCGATGACGAAGAGAGTGAATTGTCTCATATGTAGAATATACACGGTGAAGTAATTATGAAGATATATCATAAAGCAGTAGCTGCAATTTCAGTCAAACTTGCGGAATGCTATTTTCAATTGGCAACTCAGATCGATGTCTCGCATAATCATAAAAAAATGGTTGAAGGGTACGAAACCTAAAATTCTTAAAATTCACCCAGTTAAGGCTGTCACGCAATGAGCCTTTACGGCGACCTAGATGATCCCTGGAAGACCGATCAAGCTCTCAATCCACCTGCTGCACAGAATGAGTGGGCTAGTTTGAACTCTGATACGTTAGCTGGTTCTCATACTTTACATAGTGAGACTCTAATATCGGGCGTAGGCGCAGTTTCATTGCGACCAGACAATTCAAATGCGGCGAGGCTCCAAGTCGATGGCTCTAGTTTGCTTATGGGTCAACAAGACGGCTCGTCCCATGTGGAATGGGGCGACACTGTGGGTGAAGTTAACAACCAGGTATCTGAGGGTTTATCTACTGGCAATTTGATTAGCGGTGCTCCCTTCACTGGCGCTGAGACTCGCTCTACTGCAGGTGATGCTAATGAAGACTACGAAGCTTGGTCAAATGTAGTGAGAAAGGCATATGACCCTCTCTCTACTGATATCGTACTCGTCGAAGAAATTCCCGAAAGGGAAGGCTTGTTATTCAAACACACGAATTATTTGGTTAGGCACTTAGTTGACATTCCCGATACTGAGCCGTCAAGTGATAAAAGCGTAATAAGAAGATACTCCGATTTTGTTTGGTTGCAAGAGGTACTGCTGAAGAAATATCCTTTTAGAACCATACCAGACCTTCCTCCCAAAAGAATCGGATCTTCCACTTCCGATCTCACATTTCTCGTTAAAAGGCGAAATGGGTTATCGCGGTTCATTAATTTGGTCGTCAAACACCCGGTTTTGAGGAAGGATGACCTTGTCTTGACATTTCTAACCGTCCCAACCGATCTTCTAAGTTGGAGAAAGAACGCTAGTTATGATACCACGGAAGAATTTACAGATAAAAAGATAAGTTCCTCCTTTATCAAAATGTGGCATAAGAATATGGCTGAGAGGTGGAATGATGCAGATTCGTCCATAGACGCGGCCTTGGATATTTGGGCTAAGATTACAATATTGGTGGAAAGACACGAGAAACGATTGAAATTCATAGGCCAAGACAGGATGTTGCTTGCCTCGATGTTGGATGACTTTACCGAGAATACCACACGCTTATATGCCACCGACAATGGGATGGTTTCTGATATCAACGATCATTTGGGTATGGTTGCCAAGCGCTTGCATTCCTGCAATGCCTTGATAGCTGCAGAAAACCAGGAAATGAATGCAGATTTATCACCACGCTTCAAGACCTTTATTGATATACTTCTCGCACTTAAGGGTTTGTTTGAAAGATATAAGATAATGGCAGGCAACAATGTTCCGCAATTACAAAGGCGCATTGAAGTCAACACCGAACGCATGGAACAAATGAAAGGGAAGCCTGATTTGAAGGGTGCAGACTACGATAGAATAAAGCAAAGCATTCAGAGGGACCGTAGGTCTATTGCTGAACAGATGAATAAAAGTTGGTTGGTAAGAGAATGTATTCTTGAGGAATATGTGTTTTTTCAGGAAACACAATTTCTGATTTCTGATATCTTCCAACGTTGGGCTAGGTTAAACATGAAATACATGGAACTGAATTCAAACGAATGGGAAACAATACTGGACCGTATCGAGTCGATGCCCACGTCAAGATGAATTTTGCATATATAGCGATAGGAAAAATGGCCTCGTCATCATGTTTTCCTGCTTAGAAAAGTTTACTTACTGTTTTAGGTTAGGACTACCTCGATAGGTGGCTGATGAACACAATTTGATCTTTTTCTTAATGTACAGTTTATGAGGATTATGCTATTTTTTTATTGGTATTAGTGAAACCAACTCCCTTGATAGTGGCTATCAAATCGTCGCTGTCTGCGTCGTCTACAGGTTTCAGGAAAACCTCGGTGCCAAATATTTGTTTAATATATCTCAGTAGCCAGATGAACTTTTCGTCGATTTGAGACTTGGTGATTCTAAGTCTGCCGATATCTTCTTTGCCAATAACCATGAACACGATAGCCAGAGCCAACTGGCTTCTTCCGACGACTGCACTCTTTGAAATCTCTTCGAGTAGTTCATACGCTATTAGAGCGCCTATGTCTTCAGGAACATCACCAGCGTCACCTATGCCTTCTGAGAAGTACCTCCATCCCTTTTTGCTCTCGGCGACCAGTGTTATCCCCCAGCCAGGGCTTTTACCGGAATTGTCACCCCTCCAAACATCAGCGGTGATATCAACTTCGCATCCAACATTTTTCAATACTTTTCTTGCGCCATCTATCATCCGGTTGACCATAGAGGGACTGACTCTTGTCGAATAGGCAACACCTCGAATTGACGAAATCTGAGGCGATTCCAGCGCATGCATAGTAATTGGTTGTGCAATCAGCGAGTCAACAACCAAGTGCACTTCACCGCCACCGAGAGGCGGCGAGCCACGCTTCAAAGTATGTAGAGCACACTCCCGGACACCAAACTTCTCCATGATGGGCATCAGCCCCCACTTAATGGCCTCCAAGCCAGCATCCTGGTGCGAAGCTGTTACGCCACGGAAAATGACTGAAAACTTCTTCTTGGAGAAAGGCGCCAAGTATAACATTGGCTCCACATAGTATCCCACGGGTTTGCCAGGAGGACACTGGTGTGTATATGAGCCGCCTGTAATGATCCCTGGTCTGTAGATGACCGTTGTACCAGTATACGATATTTCAATAGAGCTACCGTTTGTCATAGCTTCCATCAGCCGCAAGAATGATACTTCATGGTCTCGCAGACCTGGGTTCAAGTCGTCCGACCTGATTTTCTCGACTCGAATAGGTTTTCCCGACAACGTAGCCAACACTATCAGCAGTCTGAAATTCCTGCATCCTTGAAAGGTAGCAAAGCGTGGAGTCGACATTATTTCTGCTGTCTTAAACCTCTGCTACGGCTCTAAAGATGATTTCAGTTCGTTTTTCCAGATTCTATAGCGATGAGCTTCTCCATCCGATGAGCTTGAAAAATTGAAAAATCTTCCCAAGTTTAATAAACCTTTTTTAACATGATAGAAAAAAGTCACATGAAAGACATAAGTTTGAAGATTGCGAGCTGTGTTTACATTATGAATTGGGTCAAGTGCCGTTCCTTCCGATATTGTTTTAGAGGTGTCGCTAGTTTTGTTAGGTTTTTATAGGTGTTTGTTGTTTCGCGAACGAATCTCTTCATTATTTGTCTCCTCACACCGCCGGCAGCTCAGATTAATGTTCAACAGCTGAATAAGAAATCCATGAACAATGGAGATCGGCACGGTTACCATGAGATTATCTGCAAGACCGTTCTGTTTGGCAGAACTTATAGAGAAACGTTTCAGTGCTCCAAGTCTGCTGATTACAACTTTGGCTTTTTGGAAACAGAGTGGCCTTCTTGTTCTTATCGGCTACGTATTTCTTTGATTCTCCACCTAAAGTCAGTTCCATCAATTTCAGCTCAAGTTCGTATCCTGGAAGAAACCCAATAACTACATTGGTGCAAATTGGGCAGAAAGTGCCAAAAAGTGCCTTTCTGCTTTGAGTACGTTGTTGTAATCAATTTACAATTTTCCGTTGCAGATTATTCACTGACAGCAAAGTCATGACTGGTGACTGTATGCTGTGCTTTTAAAGTATACCCTTTTGCTTCACTTGTACTGTCCCCATCAAAACTTTTTAAGTGACGATAACATTTAAGTGCAAAGCCTGGGGTCTGCTACAATAAAGCATTCAAGGGCTGCCAAATCTCGACTTTGTACGGCCTCAAATGCGCCAATAAATCTGGTTCATCGCGGTTTTCTTTTACGTTAGCATTGGCAGTAAATCGATGTTCGCACAAAATAGAAGTTTTGCGATACTTCAAGTCTAGCTTTGCTTCATGTATGGTGGACGCCATGCGGTACATTACATCTTACAGTAACAAGATAGCAGTCAAAATTTTCTCAGTTGGGGGGCCCGTATAGATTCTCCCGGACATTGTTTTCCCGCTTTGATATTGTTTAGCCGCCAATAGCATGAACACCCATAGTCTTAACACGGAACAGAAGGTGAGAGTTTCTGCCCTTTCGCAGTTGATTGTAAAGGTTTATATCAGGATGCGTCTCATGGACATTTTACGAAGCTCGTTTCATTTTCATAATATGATTCCTGACGCCTACCACCAACGTCAACAATCTTCTTGGTGAACACAAAAGCTCGTAGGTCGAATTCTTAGGAGTATTCACTCACCCTGTCCGACACAAACATAGTGCTGTGCTCTATATCAATATAGTATGAGCAGACAATGTTTTGAGTGCCGCAAGTATATTAAGAAAACATTGTTAAAAAGTCAACTAGGTTAACGGAAAAAAGAGTTATCATCACGCCTATATTCCAAACGCTTGTTAAGCTCCGTCACCAAAGCAATCGATGACCAGCGTCCAGGGTCAGGTTCGGACGATTAGCTATGAACGTTGGTCCAGCTGTGAAGGGCGATTGCTACTTTTTTATCAACATAGTGTAATCTTTAGAACTACAGTTGTAAAATAATTCGGTAGTAACTTAGTGGAGACTGTCTCTGGGTATAAGCCACCCCTAACCTGATCTTGGATTGTTCTTTGGGTACTTTAATTTTGAATATATTCGTGTAAAACTATCATATAAATGTTTGGCAAACGGAAGATGGTGAGCTCAAGTGCAGCAACATGTATGATTTTATGATAGAAGAAGGTTGTTTAAGGTAGAATCTGGTTTCTTTTGAACTGCTAAGGGTCTATTAGGAGATGGCTAAATCACCAAAAAGACAAAATTCTAGTTTAGTAGAAAATTCGCGGCAGAAAAGACCAAAGAAAGAAGAAAGAGACACAGCTTTAGATGATGAGGAACCAGCTTTCGAAATAGGTGGTGGACCTGCAAGCGAGAGCATGGGGCCTGGAAATGAAGATTTTGATAGCGATTTACCGACGCCATTTGACAACCTTGGCGAGGAGTCAAGTTCTGGTGCGACCTTGCCTGAGAGTAAGACACCAACAACTAATCTAGTGAACACAGACAACAGTGGCACAGACGACAAGAAAAAGACTAAAAATAAAGGCATGCAGCAGAGTACAAAGAGGGTGCAGCAGCCTTCCCAAACAGGCGGACACGGCTCCTCCAGCAGTACTACTGTGGCAGGTGGCATGGGATCCAACTCAACAGGTTCTAACACTCAACAGGCTTCCTCAAAAATGCAGACGGATCCTGACAAACTAAGTGATGCACTATTCTCTGCAGGTGTAGACATCCGCGAAGAAGAAGCGCTGCTAAATTCATCCATGAATATCACAAAGACCAACGCTCAAAACAACGGCCAAGTCATCAACAACCAAATTCCTCCACAGCTACCGTTTTTGCACCCCACACATGTTGCAAGCTTCATGAAAAGGGTAGGCACTGAGCAGAATTTTCATCAAGACTTCTCCAAGGCTCACGAAGTCTTGAGCTTAATGTCAACGGCATGTGAAGCATTTATGAGAGATATCATTACGAACTCCTTGGTGATTTCGCGACACAGAAGACGCTCAATAAAACTCAACTCAGGCCGTCGAAGTGAAGTTTCGCGAGCACTGAGAGACCTTGCCATTCAGCAAAAAGAACAAGAAGAAAAAAGAGTCAAGAGAAGGATATCGATGGGGTTGGAGAAGGAAACAGCTGAAGCTAAGATGGAGACTGAGGAAACGTTACACAGAGCGTCCAATGCAACTGCTAACATGATGATTGCTGGTGGCAAGAAAAAGTACAGTTGGCTAAACGCGGGCCCGAAAGCCAATAATAATTCAGTCAAAGTTCTGGGCAAAGTTTCTTCAGACGTAGCTGCCAGAGGGGAGATTGGTATCAGATACCGTGAGGCAAGAGAAGAACCTGGGATAGTAATGAGAGATTTGCTTAATGCTTTGGAGAATAGAAGAGTAGGTGTAAATACGGTTATCCCGAAAGGTTACGCACGAATTCGTGATTGAATACGAAGCGTCGCGGTGAATTAAATTAAAGACAAAACTAACGACGTGCACTCCATGAAATACATCATTTCATAACAATTTTGATGTAGATGTAGTATGATAACAAAATAAGCATGACATGAAGACATGTAGAGATAGTTTTATTCGGTCACCGTCATCAAAATGGCAAAAAAAATGATTTCGCCCAGGATCGAACTGGGGACGTTCTGCGTGTTAAGCAGATGCCATAACCGACTAGACCACGGAACCATTTATGAGAGGGTAATTCAGGAAAGAACTATATACCTACGTGGGCAAGCACATAGAATGTCTCGCCAAGTTCATGCACTTGTTTCCAAGCCAGTAATCTGTACTGTCCGGTTTCTGCGTTATTCGACGTTATTCATGAATGTTATAAACTGAAGTTTTCCAAAGTGTTTAGTCATCCCTGTTTTTATTGTTTGTTTTGAAATGATCGACATTCAACACTGGTCGTTTAACCAGGGCGGTTTATTAACGCTCACTAGAAGAATTAAATGTAAATATGAATGTTTTGAAGCAACATGTTTTATATATCTGTGTCTATTTTATGTGCTCAGAGGAGCCCGAGCGTTACGCCTAGTATAGCTGCGAATGCAACGTACCAGTTCATGGAGTAGCTTTGTGATAAAGCAACCGCATTGTTCTTCTTACTGGTACTGGAAGCCGTAGAAGAAGAAGATGCCGAGTCAGTGACAAAAGAGATTGAGCCGCTGTAAGTGCCCAAAGTTGTGACATTAGAGCTCTTTGTAGCCAATTTACCATCCCAACAGTAGTCCTTGAAGCATTGAGTACATTCTTCGGGTAGTGTCATATTTAATGACTCTTGTTTCCGCTTCATTATAGCGCAGGCGACACAGCCCGTGAATGCAGAGTCGTCTGTCAAGTTGTTTCTAGTGATGGCCTCGAATCCGTTTTGAAACATCTTCATACGCTGATCAGAGCTGTACGACATCTTGAAAGTACTTGTATTTGAGTTGTACGATTGTCTGTTGTTTGGCATGTACACAATCAGAGGTGGTGTGTATGCTAGGCCTGTCAGATTTGTTGCATCGCACCCAAAGAAAGTAGGTTTAGTGTTTAAGCCACTGTTCACAAAAGTATCGACATCTGGAACATATGGGAATGCAAGATCCTTGCCTAATGAACCAAATTGACGCTCGTACGTTGAAATCAATGAAAGACCTGCGGGCCAGTATTGATCGGTATCAGCACTATTGTCTAACGCGAAAATAACGTCCAAATCTCTATCTTTTTGCAGCAGTGGTAAAAACGGAATATTCTCTCCATCCTCACCACCATCTACCAAGTACAAGTTCTCTGCGGTGACGATACTCTGAGAGTGGTTTGAACTGACAAAGTGGGTGTCCTTAAAGGGGTTTGGATTGTAAATTGCAATATCGTCAGAATCGTTGGACAGATCTTGCAAAAAGTCTCCAACAAATCCCTTAATAAATGAACTTAAACCGGTAGTGTTTAATTGCAACAGAAACTGATTGAACAAGGAAGAAGACGTGCCCATAATAAACCCTGCATTGTCAAAACCGGCTACACATTTGCCCTGCGTGACAGGAGTTCCGTTCGTAACGTTGGTACCTAGGTACTTGACGTCAGTGAAGGCATTCAAGGAAGGATCCCAAGAACCCATCTCAAAAGGATTGAATTCGAAAACAGTCGAGTTGAGGTCGACAATTTGAGTACCGGGATATCTACCGTCGGCAACCGAAATAGGGAATGGCATCTCTGCGTTTTTGAAAACGTCGGAATCTCTCAAAGTGGACCAAGTATAGCCCTCACCTCCCCTGTAAAGAGTAGGGAAAAACTCATATGACAAAGCGCGGCCCCAAACATCGGTGAGCGAAGCATTGAATCCTGCATCTTGTTTTGCTTCGACCGCATCTGAGATTTGGTCCCAACGAGACGCACTAGACAGAATATTGATTCCGCCTGGATTCAAAAGAGAGTTGCTGATATCCCACAGCTCGTCGTCCTGTCCCCTGTTATCGATAACCTGTTGCACAGATGTCCAATTATTCCAGGCCAGCGACCCCACGAGCCAGTTACCGCCGGAAAGACCGGCAAGATACGTAGCAGCCTGCAAAACCCCACCGAGACCGTGCTCGTTTGCTCCATCGGTTCTGTTATCCAAAGCCGAAAGCATACCGGCACCGCTTAACATGGCCCTGTAGCCACCTCCGGAACAACCCACACCCAGCTTGGGAATTTTGCCGGTGTTCCATAGGCTGTCGACGAACGAAGAGTTGGTAAAATTTGCCGTGGCTCGATCTAGAAAATCCTTGAGAGAGTCTTTGGTGTACGCATCTCTTTTTTCCAACCACGCTGTCTCGTTGGCTGACAGGCCGGTGGCTTCACGCACCAGGTTGATGTTGTCGTCACAGCTGACATTTCCAGGAGCGTAGCCGTTTGTAGGCGACCACGCTATTACGGCGTTTAAAACTAACGCAAGAGCGCCAAGCAGCCAAAACATAAATTTATATGGAAATCTGTAATTGAGACACTCCTTCCACTCTTGTTAAATTCCAGAATACATTTCATGAACAGGATGCATTCAATAAATATATATTTTCCGCTCGGCTAATGCTCGAAAGAAATATGAAATGAAAATAGAAGCGAGATGCACATAATTTTCATGATATGTGAAGGCGGATATAAACGCAATGAGGCTGAGCTGTTAAAACCAATAGGCCGCTTCGTTAGAGCAGCAACATATCCCAAGCGTTCTATAGATGTGCAATGGAAAAGCAGGGCTCTACGACCTCAAAGCGATGAGTCACAGGGCGTAAAGATTTTCGAGATTTTGCGTGGTTCCCGGAGTTTTTTTTTGGACAGGTATAGAGAGAAATTAACACAACGCAGCGACGCATACGCTTGCTTGTCTGGGATTTTCTATGAAGTGTTTACTTTTATTTGTACAAGAATATTTACAGAGGCACAACATTAACACGAGCAGAACGGTGCATTGGACGGGCAGCCGACGGCATCCGGGCTGCAGTTGGCAGAAGGGTCTTCGCAGTTGGGTAGATGCATGACCCACGAAAGGCGGTTGATTGCCGAGTTGATTGCCGAGTTGGTTGTCGAGTTGCTTGCCGAGTAGATCATCGAGTTGATTATCGAGTTGATTGCCGAGTAGATCATCGAGTAGATCATCGAGTAGATCATCGGGTTGATTATCGAGTCGATTGCCCACTCGTTCTTTCACTCGACCATGTTACCCGCCCATTTTGATGATTTTCTAAATCACGGAAGGGAATCAAACCCACCTTTATAACAAACAAACAACAACAACATTAACAACAAATAAACTCACGACACGCTCAGGGCTTTGAAAACGTCAAACAAGCGCATCAAAAAAGCCGAATTTTGGAGACTTTGATTTGTGCAAGTCTGAATACATCTTAAAACAACAATGTCTGGCAAAGCTCACGGCGGAAAGGGTAAATCTGGCGCTAAGACAGGCTCGAACTTGAGATCAACGACGCACTCAGCTCGTGCGGGTTTGCAGTTTCCCGTGGGAAGAATCAAGAGATATCTCAAGCGCAACGCCGCAGGCAGAACCCGAGTCGGTTCGAAATCGGCGATCTACATGACCGCAGTGCTAGAGTATCTCACGGCAGAAGTGCTGGAGCTGGCTGGAAACGCAGCCAAGGACCTGAAAGTCAAGAGAATCACGCCTCGCCACCTGCAGCTCGCCATCCGCGGTGATGACGAGCTGGACACGCTGGTGAGGGCCACGATCGCCTCCGGTGGTGTTCTACCACACATCAACAAGGCGCTGCTGTTGAAGGTTGAGCGCAAGGGCGCCAAGAACTGAGGTGGCGCCTTTGCCGGTTGTGCTGGGAAATCCAAGAAGTAGGAGCAAGGTATTCGTGCCGCTTGTGCTGGGAAATCCAAGAAGTAGGAGCAAGGTATTCGTGCCGCTTGTGAATGCGGCTCGACCGCCATAGTCATCGTCTCCGTGTGTATCATATTTAGCCCGTACTTTGTATCATGGAATGTATTATTTCTGGGGAATTTGCTCAATTTGTTTGCTGCCATCGAGCTTCGCTCGCAATTCCTCGATTTCGTCCTGCAGAAAGCTGATATCCTTCGCCACCTGATCTCTTCTGTTCAGTTCCTTGGCTCTCTGTCTAACTGTTTCCCACACCACAACGCTACCTGTCACTCCAAATACAAAAGCTTCACTCAGCAGCGTAGCTCCGCTTTCCACGGCCCGAGCATCATTCAGAGGGCGCACTTTGATTTCCTTGTCGAAGGTGGAGGTTAGCCTCGACCTCATTTTAGCGTCCACACGATGCATTTTCTGCGCCAATCCGACGCATATTTCTTTGAACTTATCGTGCTGTTTGGCTTGAGCTTTCAAAATATTCGCAACCGGGCGAGTCACTTGTCGGATCAGCAGAGTTCCTAATTTAACAGCCAATGCACTCATCGAAGTCACCGCTGTGCCAATACAGATACAATTATATTTATAGTTTTTAAACTGATCGCTTTTTTTACAGGAGAATAATATAATGATATTCTGTTCGGCTTCTCCTAATTAAATAAGGCCCTGCCACACATGACTTTAAAGTTCACTCAAACATAACCACTCTCACAGCGTTTTTCGTCTAAATCGGACCAAAGAAGACGTTAGCGGCCGAGCTTTTTACATTTTGCGTTTCAGTTTCGTGTTTCCGGTAGTTTTGGAAGCCTTGTCCCAGGTTTGTTGAGTTCCGTGGCTTCTCCTGTGGATCAGAGATTTAGTAAGATAAAAGTTACCATTTCATATTGAGAATAAGGACTTCAGCGTGCTACCATTTGAACCGAACTACAAAGCTAGATGGTGGTACACAGGATTCGGAAGAGCCAATTCGCAGCGTACACGCTGGCCACATATGTGGGTGCTATTTGGTCTGTATTTACATGCGCACAATCCAGCATGTCTTTCCTGGAAGCTTCAATGAAGCTTTGCGAAGGTATCAATGTCATCATATTAGCCAATTTCGTACTAATAAACACTATTCTTTTATGGAAGGGTTTAACGAAGCTATTATTTGGCGAACTAAGGCTATTGGAGTACGAACACATCCTAGAGAGGCTGTCCTTCACAATTGTCAATAGCTTTTTTGTGACATCTACGTTCTCTGATAATGAATTTCTCACCGTATTGCTGTTCACAGGCGCTCTCATTTTTGTCAAAGTTTTCCACTGGGTATTAAGAGACCGCCTTGAATACGTATTTCAGAACACCGACGAGAATACCAGGATCCTCAAGCTTATGTGCTCCAAGTTCTTTTTCAATATTTGTTTCCTGGCGTTAGTGGATTATAAAGCGGTCAATTTTTGTATCCGCAAGTCTATGCGAAACAGTAGCGGTATTTTGAGCAGCTCCCCGATTTACCTAATGTTTGGTATTGAATTTGCAATACTTCTTGTTGACGTGTGTGAAGTAGCACTGAGATCGTTGATCAACATCGTTGAGTTGCGCGCCTTTCAAAACGCATACTCAAGAAATGGGGATGATTCACCAGGCCTTGAGGGCAAATTCCTTTACGAGAAAATTGTTGAGTTCTCCTCTCGCTTTGCTAAATTATGTTTACATGCTTTGTTGTTGATACCATTTGCAATGCCACTCATGGCGATGAAGGACATTGTTCTAGATATCCTGGCGATATGTCAAACTGGTCGCCTGATATGGAAATCATGGAAGAACAACAGGCAGATCGATGAAAAATTACCTAACGTCAGCGAGGCCGAGTTAGATACATCTGACGACAAAATGTGCATCGTATGCATGGATGATATGATACCGGCCGACCGCGTCGCTCATCCCAAACAGAAGCCGAAAAGACTACCATGCAATCATTGTTTACACTTAGGGTGCTTGAAGAGTTGGATGGAAAGGTCACAGACGTGCCCTATTTGCAGAGTCGCTGTTTTCGACGAAAAAGGCAACGTAGCTGCACCATCGAGAAGCCAGTCTAACACACAAGGTCCCAACATGGGCCCCACGATGGACGCAAGCGCTTCATCATCTACGGCTGCCGGCCAGAACGGATCTTCAGGTTCGGCAGCTGCATCCACTTCGTCACACTCGAACATTTCTTCTGTACCCCCTCGATGGTATGCTTTTTCAGCAACGCCTTCACAAAAGGATGATTCGGTTGATTTGAAGGTGAGTGACATTGAAGGTAACGCACTAAGAATGACCTTAACGCACAAGAGGCGACCTGAGTTTGACGTCCAGAACAAGGCAAGTCAAATTCCTCAAAAAATTGTCATACAGGATTGCTCTTTCAATAACAATCATGACATTGAAAGGTTCAAGAGGAGGGTTTCCGACCTGGAAGGTAAGGTGAATGAATTAACGAAAAAGGCAAGGACCGAGTAGGCAAGGAAAGAGAATCTTTGAATCACCATAAGATCCATAGGAAGAACTGCCAATGCAAAGTAAATAGTGAGATATGAATGTTATGAATATACGTCTTATATTGTGGATGTTCAAACGCAAATCAGCGTTTGTATGCTAATGCAAAAACCTCATGGTGATTCTCAACTACTGCTGCTGTCCGAATCGAAGCCAAAATGAACTCTTTCGCTTCGGCCAAAGAAATCCTCGTCGTCGTCTTCACCAACGAAGGATGAAACATCTGGAGCCAAAAACTCTTGGGTATCTAATTCGTGTGACAAAATTTCCGACCCTTCCTCACCTGTGGTATCAGAATTCGATGGAAAAACATCACTATTTTGATCATGGTAGAGCCTCTTTTCGAAGCTTGCTAATTGCTCTTGAATGACACGATGGGGAAAACGAAAATCGTCATTCTTGGCTAGACACGCTTTTATGCAGTTATGAGTTTTCGTTATATGCTGAATGACTTGGTTTCTAGCAATGTCTTTTTCTAAGCCTGAGGATTTCTCATCTTCGTGACTAAACCGTTCAGACAATTGGTCAGCGCTTATTAAATGACACATGGCATAAATAAACCAAACTTCAGAGTCTTCCATGTAGGGTGGAACTAATACCATTTCTGAAAGCTTTTCAATCAGAGCTGGAAGTCTGTTGTTAACCTTACTGTATCTCTCAGCATAGCTTGAATCACTTTCTGTACAACAAGCGATTAACGATTCCCACATCCAAGCTATGACGAATTTGGCAGAATGGGTTTTCGAACCAGATCTGAATACGGGATCCAGAGATCTGTTCATGCTATGGTTGAAGTTGCTTTTGGAAGTGTAAATACTACTGAGCCAACCCAAAAAATCTTGACTAGTACCAATATTTTTGTTACTTGCACTTAATTCACGTAAAATTCTCACGCCGGCACCCCACATACTTCTGATATCTACTCCAGGCAATCGTAGCAAGATAGAAAAGCAGCGGTATGCAGACTCCCAGCGATTGGTCATGATATTGAGATGTAAAAGTTCGTTAAGACGCTGGAGGTGGGTGTCGTAGTAGGCAAGGGAGGGCTGCGAGAAGATTTCATGGCCATTTTTCATCGCCGCATAGTGTAGTTTGGCGGATTGCGGGATGTGTGCATTTTTGGATGCCATACGTCTTTGAGCAGACTGCTCAATATGCCTGCACTCGGCATATGATATTGTTTTGGAGTCCATTGGCGTCGCCTTGCTCCTAGAAGTATTCCATATTTCAAAAGTGTCTTGTGGTTTCTCGTGCCTGCCGTAAAATTCTTTTTCGCTATCGTGATGGAAACGATGCTGGTGGGAATGAGTATCGACGCTGTATTCTTCTGCTTCTACATCTGAAAGCTCAGAGTCAGAGCCTGCGTGGCCCAGTACGCTCATAAGTCTTCTCCTACGTCTCTTCCGTTTAAGCCGTTCAGAAACCGAATCTCGGTCCAAATCTGCGTCGCTAGCCTCCTCTGCAGCGGAGTTCTCAGGCGTTGGCAGCGTCGTATTGGGACTCAAAGTGTCTCTGATTTTGCCAAACTCCCGGTGTAGCGCATTGATGTATTGGTATCGCAGTTTCCGTACTGTTCGTATTCGATTGTTATTTAGTGTAGTGGGTAGTTCAAACATTAAAGCAATATATCAAAGAACAAGCATTGAGGTTAAAGTTCAGGTGAGTGTAGTAAGCAATATGAGCAGGGAACAGTTTTAACGAGTTGCTTGCTGCTTTTGAAAGAGATGAGATGCGATGATCTACCTCATCGCACAAATTTTTTATTTCGATATCCGTTATAGGTGACTCGAAAAGGGCATATTGGAATTTAAATAGGTATCCCATGAAGCGTTTGGCTTCCTCACTGCCAATCTACGGCCAATCTACGGCCCCATTTCTATCGCGACTAGCAATAATTGCTTGACAGATTCATATTCCGGTTCGCATTCCAATTTTCTGGTAAAGCTAGTGGCCGAAAAAGAGAAGACCGGAATCTCAGGGCGATTTATAAATTCATGTTTCGTGCACGGCATCAAAAGAGTAACAATACCATGTAATAATAAAGTAGAGTAAGGAGCGCTCAACCGGCTTGTGAAGTAATGCCCCACGGCTTCCAGTTCCATGACCTAAACTTACCAATATGTATATGTCTCCATTGCAACTTATTCAACATTAGGGCGTGTGGTCTAGTGGTATGATTCTCGCTTTGGGTTAAGTTCGGGTTAAACTCGAATTACATTACACAAGCATGCGAGAGGCCCTGGGTTCAATTCCCAGCTCGCCCCAATAATATTTTTTGCTGTTTTTTTAGAAAATAAAGAGGTACATTATTATCAGGGCTTTATTTTGAGAAGCCAGCGACAGATTATACGGAAGCGATCTCAAAACGCACGCCAAGTCTTTTCCTGCGCTGCGCATTTCGTTTTTCTGAAGGTAGGATCGCTTCCAATTGCTAGAAGAAAAGAGGTTTATGAACAGAGAGCTTGCAACTAGGGCACTAATTCAGCGAATGACGATTCAATAAAAATCTTTCAAATTCTCGTCTGTGTAATCGATCATTCGATTCTCTGTTCTTTCGCTTCTTAGTCGTTCTTCTCTTCTTGGCGTCTAACTGTCTATTGGCGGCAATACCCTGATGGTTAAAGCTTGAAGAGTTTTGATGATAAGAGTTTTGATGAGAAGAGTTGAAGTTCGCCAATGGTGGTGAGCTAAGGCCGACTTACCTGAATGGTTACAATGAACGTATAAGGCTTTTCCGGCGTATAAATGGAGTAATGTTGCTGAGTTGAAGTGTCGCCATTTGTCTTTCGTGCTACCTCTAAATCAACCATTAATGACAGCCGAACAGAAGGTCAATAAGTCAATTCCAATCACTCTTCTTTCGGGGTTCCTTGGATCTGGAAAGACGACGCTTATGGAGAAAATCCTGACAGCAAATCACGGTTATAGAATTGCCGTCATCATTAATGACATGTCAGAATTGAATGTGGACACTGCTTTGATTAAGGACCATAAGGTCTGTCAAAAGGAGGAGAAACTAATCCAGCTTCAAAACGGATGTATCTGCTGTACTCTTCGTGGAGAATTGTTGGAAGAATTGGTGCGCATTGGCGAGCGCGGAGAAATTAACTACATTGTCATCGAATCAACCCGTATCGCTGAGCCTATGCAAGTAGCGGAAACGTTCGCACAAGAGTTTTCAGACATATTGCTAGACACACCAGCCGGCATTCCTGAAGAAGAAGAAATTCTATTGAAAAAAGTTTCTGAGATGGGTGGTTTACAAGCTATTGCCAAGATCGACACATGTGTCACTGTTGTCAATGCTTTGAATTTCCTTTCTAACGTCAACACTGCCCAATTTTTGGCCGACAGGTGGGGTGAATCAGGACAAGGCGAATCTGAACGAACTATCACCGATTTGTTGGTGGATCAAATTGAGTTTGCCAACGTCATCATCGTCAACAAAAAGGGACTGGTAAACAAGAAAAAGCTGCAAAAAATCAAGAAGATGATCACAGCTTTGAACCCGATTTGCAGAATTGTCACCTCGAACTATTGTAGCATCTCATTAGACTCGGTACTAAATACCGCACTCTATCATTTTGAAAAAGCATCTATGTCAGCTGGATGGTTACAGAGTATCAACGAAATGACAGTTCGCGAAGGTTTCGGCGACAAAACGAAGAGCGTATTGACTCCTAAGCCGGAAACAGAAGAATATGGTGTCAATAATTTTGTTTATCGCCAAAGAAGACCCTTCCACCCTGAGAGGCTCTATCATATGATTAATGACAACTTCTTCGTAATTGAGCAGACAAGAGTCGATGAAGCTGAGGAACAAGATGACAATGAAGAATCACAAGATGAAGACGATAATGAGGAAGATAAAGGCGAAGATAAGGAAACTAATAAAGTCGGTGATGAAGATGATGAGGTAAACGAAAGTGGTGAGGAAGTTGAGGAACTTTCGGAAGATCAGATCAATAGGAACAGAGCCAGTTCTCCCTTCGGAGCACTACTGCGCTCCAAGGGTTTCTTCTGGCTGGCAACCAGGTTTGTTGTCAGGGGAGAATGGTCCAGCGCTGGTTCAATGTCGACAATCAAGGGTGGTCTACCTTGGTTTGCAATCTCAGGATTAAAATATGTTCCACCAGAAGCTATTGAGCTTGTTAAAAAAGACTACGAAGGCCCATTCAGTGATCGTCGTAACGAATTGGTTTTTATTGGCTTAAGCCTAAATGTGAAAGCTCTAACTGAGGTTTTAGATAATTGTTTATTGAATGACAAAGAGTTTGATCTTTTAAAGAAAATAACCGACAAACACAATGACCTGGGAGCTGATAAAGAGCTGGCAAAGGTTTGGGATGACGATTTGGAAGACTGGATGATTTTGGAAACTTAGTGCTCGAAGAAAAGCAATCCTATAATTAGTACCGAGACATTGTTGGTATTTATTTATTATTTAATTATTTATTTATTCATTTATTTATTTATTAGTTGATATTTATTTTTTTTGGAATTAGACAACTCTTTGATGTCAATATAAACTCTGAGCACCTATTTCACTCATAACCCTCCAGATCATTAGAGAACAGGATTACACAACACTAACCGCTTACCAACCGAGCGAAGGTAGATTAAAGACTTCAAAGTTTCGTTTATTCTGTTATCAACAATTTAAATTGGAAAAGCTCAAAGATTATTTACATGTTTAAAGTTCATTATGTACCCGATGCGGAGCAAGTGTTTTTATATAGCCCGCTTTACATCATGCCTGGCATACCTGGCATTCCACCTGGAGGGCCAGCGCTTGGTGGCTGAGGAGCGTCCACGATGGCGACTTCAGTGGTGGCCAATAAAGAGGCAACACCGGAGGCATCGACCAAACCGGATCTCACGACCTTGAAAGGATCGATAATACCAGCTGCTAGCATGTCTGTGTATTCACCCTTGGCAGCGTTGTAACCTTTGGTAAAGTCGTCGCCATATTCATCGATGATTTTACCAACAATGACGGAACCTTCCTCACCAGCATTTTCGATGATTTTTCTGGCAGGCCTGGTAATGGCCTTTCTGATAATGTCCACTCCTAATTTTTGGTCAAAGTTTTCAGTCTCGACTTCGTCCAAGACCTTACAAGCTTTCAACAAAGCGGTACCACCACCTGGTAGGATACCTTCTTCAACGGCAGCTCTAGTGGCGTTCAAAGCATCGTCGTAACGGTCCTTCTTTTCACCAACTTCAACCTCAGAAGAACCACCAACTCTGATAACAGCAACACCACCAGATAGCTTAGCTAGACGTTCTTGTAGTTTTTCCTTCTCGTAAGAGTTCGTGGTGGTCAAGTCGATAGAGTTTTTGATTTGTTCGACTCTAGCGGTGATGTTGTCTTTACTACCGTTACCGTTAAGCATAACAGTATCTTCTTTGGTGATGGTGATAGCGTCACAAGATCCTAGATGTTCCACGGTGCAGTTCTCAGGTTTCAAATCCAACTCTTCGGTGAACACGGTACCGCCTGAAAGGATGGCAATGTCACCCAAAGTGTTCTTTCTGTTGTCACCGAAGCCTGGAGCCTTGACGGCACATACTTTGACCTGACCTCTGAGCTTGTTCAAGATACAGGCGGCCAAAGCTTCACCGTCGATGTCTTCAGCAATGATCAACAATGGTCTTCTGGTCTGGTTAGAGATTTCCAAAGATGGCAAAATGTCTTGGATAGATGAGATTTTCTTCTCACTTAGCAACAACAATGGTTTCTCAAACTCCACCTTGTTGGACTTAGCGTCGGTGATGAAATAAGGAGAGATGAAACCGCGATCAAATCTCATACCCTCGGTGACTTCGAGCTCGTCCTCCAAAGTTCTACCCTCCTTGATGGTGATGACACCTTCTTTGCCGACCTTTTCCATGGCGGAGGCCAAGAGCTTACCTACATGGGCATCTCCGTTGGCAGAGATGGTGGCAACTTGAGCAATTTCACCGGATGTGGTAATTTCCTTCTTGTTGGCACTGAGGAACTGGATGACTTTCTCGACTGCAGCTTGTGTACCTCTTCTGAGGTCCATAGGGTTGCAACCAGCGGCAACGTTTTTCACTGACTCGGTGAAAATCGCGCGCCCCAAAACGGTCGCAGAGGTGGTACCATCACCAGCGGCCTCGTTGGTCTTGGATGCTACTTCCTGCAAGAGCTTGGCGCCCATATTCTCGAATTTGTCCTCCAAAACAATGGCCCGCGCAACGGTGACACCGTCCTTGGTGATCTTGGGCGCTCCAAAAGGTTGCTCGATCAACACATTTCTGCCCTTTGGGCCCAACGTGGCCGAAACCGCTTCAGCCAGCGTTTCCACACCCTTCAACAAAGCAGCTCTTCCCTCCACGCCGAATTTCAGCTCCTTGTGCCCAGAGTAGTTACGACGCACTACTGACGCCAAACGCTTATTCAATGACCCTCTAGTGGCTCTCAACATGTCTTTAAGGATATTATTTCGTGGAGCACTTCAGTAAATTGTCACAAACACACAAGAATGGTTGGTATTTCCTTGAATCTGTTTGATAACGGCGCGTTTCAATCGTCTTAAATAAATAAAGGGCCGTGGGGACAGACATACTAATTTTTATATACTTGACGATCGACAACTTACCCGGGAGAAAATTTTTCGCTCTAGAAAATTCCGGCAGGCAACAATATCTGACTGATGGGCATGATGGAGCAGTGGAGGACATTGAATTAGTGTTAACCAATGGCCTCAGTCATGGGCTTGAATGTGGTTAATATGTTACCTACTGTTAAATCTATTACATTCCCTCTTGTCTGTTTAAAATCGCTTTCGATTTACAACATTTTAGAAAACATGCGACAGAATTGTACATAGTGATATATACTATGACAGAATAAGACCAACAAAGAACGTAGCTGCTGTCACAGCTATTGGAATATGACCCGTTTTGTCCGTTAGCTAGTGATATGGGGCTTGGTAGACATTCCAGCTAGAATGAGCTTTATAGGGCACTTTAGCATGTACAGTCGGGAGAGTTGAGTTTATGACGATCGAGGACAGCTGTATTGACCTATACCAGGCTCTTGTAATTGAGTTCCCCAAACAGGCTGCCTCATGGGACTCGTTGATCCATTTTTGAGAAATGCAGGCAGCATTCGAAAGCTCCTTGGGGAGCATCAATCACTTGATTCAATTACGTCACCGGCTAAAAATCTGGTTTAAAGCAGAGCATGGTTATATCCACTCGTAATCCCCGTAGATGGCTATCCAAATATATCAGATGTCGGTATCTTGTTGCTCAAAAATGCACTGAAGTTAAGTAGTTTGCGAGGGAGGTGCTCATTTCGATTGCATGGGATATAGAGTTGGCGCCATTAACCCAAAAGAGGGTGGCACATACCTCCGGCAGTAAAAGAGCAGCTAAGCGTTTCAGCAACATAGACTAGTATATCTGTAGTTCTTCAGTACCCTACTCGCGCAATATTTTGTATTCAGATAGTGGGCACTGTTGTTAATCAACATCTACAACCAAAGCGAAACTTCTTGAAGCAAGTGAGCAAAGAAAACAATAGACGCGTATATAACCAAGAGCTTAGCTCGACAACACTTGGCCAAACCAGAAAGCTACTGCCCTAAATAATAAAGATGGATTTAGCACCTCGATATGGAAGTCTCGAGGATAGTATTTTAGATACTCATAATGATGATACTCCAATTGATAAAAACCGGATTCGAGAGTCGACCGTTCCGCTGGAATCGTCAAGCGCCATAGAAATAAGAACAAGTGTGCTGAGCGAAACCGGCGCCTTTGACAGAGAATTACCTAGCTGGAACAGAAATCAGGTCTTTTATGCATGGCTTTTAGTGTGCTTTTCTACAGGTCCGACATCTTCAATGAGCAAAGCTTACATACCCACAGTTATTCAATCTCTTGCCCACGCACTCGGGCATAAGAAAAATACTCTCCAGAAATGTTCTGAGCGTGGCGATGACTGCTATGTTAGGTTTGGCGGCGGTACTGTTCAATACACTTCTTATGTCCTGTATCTGAAAGCGATATACACTGCACTGGAAGGCCTGGTAGCCATTTTCGTCATGACGTTTGCGGATTACAGTAACTTTAGAAAATGGTTGTTGGCAGTTTCTATCATTCTGTTTGGGCTGTTAGCCTGCCCTTTCGTGGCGTTGTCTAAAGAAACCTGGGCGTCATTGACAGCAGTCTCTGTTTTGTACTGTCTAATGCTTATTGTGGAGACGATCTATCAAATAATAGAGGGCTCCTATGTCCCCATATTTATGTCTGCCGCCTCGCAGAAAGTTAGACCTGTGGATGCTTCATATAATCAAGGCGACGTAGCATTGAGACGGGGCGCAAAGGTCAGCGCGCTGGGGCTGATTATGGGAAATCTCGGAGGAATTCTAGCGCTCATCATCGGTGTGATAATTAACTACACTAGTGGCACTCCGCGCACTGCTGGCTTTCACAATTATCTTCTGGCAATAACCATTGCTGGAGTGATGACAATGTTAATTGGAACAGCGTCCATATTTTTCATCCCCAATTTGCGCGGACAAAGATGGGGGCTCGACAACTCTAGACCAAATTCAAGAGAATTGTTGGCGCTGCCAGTGCAGAAATTCGCAAATATTGCGAAAGATGTCTGGAGATATAAAGAAGTCTTGAAGTTCGTGGTGGCATGGGTGCTTTGGAATATATCTTTCGCAAACTACCTGTCTGTCAACGCCCTGATGTTCCGTTCCACATTGGGACTGACCAATTCCAATGCCGAGTACACCGTGTGGCAGCTCTTGGGCAACATTTTGGCGCTAACTGGATCTTTGGTGTGGATGCTGCTGTACAATTGGCAGTGTCAGAAGAATTCTAACACCAATAATGTGAAGCGTATAAAACAATCGCTCTACACACTGCTGTTTTTCGGATGGTTTGCCAACTTGTGGGGGGCCCTAGGCGCGAACCCAGGCTGCAAAATCGGGTACAAGCACAGATGGGAGTTCTGGGTCGGTCTAGTATTGTTCATGAGCACCAGCAGTGCCATCCGATCGCTGAACCGCGTCGTCTACAGCGGGATGCTGCCGAAGGGCAAGGAAAACGAATTTTTCGGACTCGAGATAATGCTGGGACTTCTAACCGGTTGGTCCGAACCGCTGCTCATCGCAGTAATCAGCGACCGCACCGGAAATTCGCGCATGCCCTACATACCCAATACTCTTCTTTTCAGTGTTGCAGTCGCGATCTACTATTGGTGCGACATAGAAGCTGGGATGCGCCAGGTGGGCAAACTGTAGCACCCGATTACTGCAGCTATTTAAAATTAGCCTCCCGGGCGGAAAACGGGCCGACAATACTACAAAGCAACTCCGACGAAGAAAACACACCACAGCTTTCGGGATCGTGGTTCTAGTGCGCCAATTAACTAGTATTTCACCTCTGCTCCAGGCTTTCTTGGATTTTGTATAAATAAACAGGATCCAGTGCCTGCCTCTTGGAATCTGACGGTCCTGCTTCTTGATCTAAACGCTTCAGAGAATGTAGTGCTTTCTACTTAATGAACACTACATCAGCACAGCCACCTGTCAAGATCGAGGAATGATTCATGAAGCGTTGTTTGTTATTTTCATTTCGTGAAATATTCTATCATTCAAGAAGGGATGATTTTTTTAATGCAAATCCTTTGTGCACCTCTAACTGTCAGTTCACGCTCCAGTGAAAAGAGCACTTGAAAGATCCAGTTAGATCTTTAGGACGGACTGTGTGCATTAAAAACACACTGGCTTGCGATATTCAGCTACAAAGCCTGAAGGGAATTTTAATTAAAATTTTCGAATAATCGCACCATCGTAAGCTCATCCGATCGCCTAAATTACGGGAAACGGTAAAAGACAGATCCGTGATAAATTAAGATTCCGCCGCAAATTTCTTTGCCAGAATCACAGGGAGTTGCTCAAATATAAGGTCCTTCAACAACAACCCTTAGTTCCAATAGAAACTAGAAGTTACGCTTGGATATTCAGCGCTTGCAGATTGCAGTTCCATCAATAATCAATTCCGTCTCAAGTTGAAGAATCCGCTGAGGGCCCGAAGTATCATCATGAAGAAACTCAAGTCTTACATGCACAACTACAGCCGAGCAGTGCTAACAGACGTCGGCGTCATGATCAAGGACCAGCAATCCTTCTCCACGGACGCGGTCAAGGACAATGCGGTCGACGATAGCGGTCCCGTGACCGATCCGTTTGTAGATCAGGAAGAGGACGAAGCGGCGGCCGCGCGAACCAGCTACGACGGCGCGTCCTTCATCAGCTGTGTGACCTGCCTGAGCGACAATGACAGCGAGGACCAAGGAAACGGCGGCCGCTCGCTCCCCGCGAATACGCTGATTCCTTACGTGAAGATTCTGTACGCGCGAAAAGTGTGCGCGGTGACCACAGAGCTCTCCCACTACCGGGATGAAGTGAACCAGAGCAACGATGGCGACGCCGACACCCTTGGCGCTGAGTTCTTGTCTACCCTCATCGAAGTCACTATCGCTAAGCCTCGACGTCACGATTTGGTGCCCAAGAAACTGCTTCTATGTTTCGGTACCACACTTTCAGAGGAGGACATCGTGGAAACGCTGATGCAAAGAAGTTACAAGGGCACCAAGCGGGGCAAGTCGATATTGGTGCTCGTAAACCCACATGGTGGTAAGGGCCAAGCTAAAAAGCTATTTGTGTCCAAGGTAAAACCTATCTTGACTGCTAGCAACTGCATGGTGGACACTTTGGAGACAACGCACCGTGGCCATGCCATGGAGATAGCACAGACCGTCAATATTGACAAGTATGATATTATCGCTTGTGCTTCTGGCGATGGAATTCCTCACGAAGTCCTTAATGGACTGTTCCGCAGAGAAGACCGGGCTGCCGCATTTAACAAGTTGGCGATAACTCAGCTGCCCTGTGGGTCTGGTAACGCGATGAGCTTGTCGTGCCATGGCACAACGAATCCCACTTACGCCGCGCTTAGTGTGGTGAAAGCGCCAGAAATAAGAATAGACTTGATGTGTTGCACCCAAGAGTCTTACAAAGATCACCCCAAAGTGTCGTTCTTAAGTCAGACTTACGGAGTGATAGCAGAGTCTGATATCAACACAGAGTGCATCAGATGGATGGGGCCTTCCAGATTTGAACTTGGTGTTCTTTTGAATATCTTGCAGCGCAAAAAATACCCCTGTGAGTTGTACGTGAAGTATTTAGCCAAGTCAAAGAATGAGTTACGGGAGTACTACAACTTCCATAAGAAAAAACAAGAACAAGCTAATAACGACTCTTCATCTGACTTTTCAGAGTCATTGGATGTTGAAGAATCAGACTTTACACTCAAATACGACCTATTGAGTGATATACCTGAGGATTGGGATATCGTGGACTCCAGTGTCACAGGAAACCTAGGCATTTTTTATGCCGGGAAAATGCCCTATGTGGCGCCTAACACCAAGTTTTTCCCGGCAGCTTTGCCCAACGATGGAGCTGTCGATCTTGTTTTGACAGACTCCAGAACGTCTCTAACAAGAATGGCTCCCATATTATTGTCATTGGACAAAGGGTATCATGTTTTGCAACCCGAGGTAATCCATTCGAAGGTTACTGCTTATAGGTTGATTCCCAAAGTGAAGAATAGCATTATTTCTATCGATGGTGAAATGTTTCCTTTTGAGCCTCTGCAGGTTGAAGTCTTGTCGGGTCTTTGCAAAACATTATCATACAATGGGTCTTACGTCGAAACCGACTTCGAGTCGATGTAGATTAGCCAAAACCTATCTTGCCACTGCTGCATATAGACACTCCACAGGACGGAAATTAGTGTTTGCTAAGCGTTGATCGCTTTCGCCAGCAAGACATATGTACCATAAGGAATCATTCCAGATCATATAAGAATAATACAGAAATATGGATTTAAAGGTGGCTGATGGTCAAGTTTTTTGTGTTACCGCCGCCCTAAACCTACCGGCGTTTACTCTGATGAAAATGACTTTAATATTATTCGTATTGCTTCTTATGTACTCGCTAACACTGACAGCTCGATTGTTCTGGCTCTTCATTGTTCGTTGTAATATCGATTACATCCGGCTTATTTTTCGCAGAAGTGTCATCCAGCAGAGCGCTACCGGACTTTTGGAATTCTGGCAAAGTTTTTGCTATCTTTCTGAATAAGTTCTTGACGTTGAAGCCCACCTTAGTAGAGGTTTCAATGAATATCTTAGCGTTCAATACCTCCGCTTTCTTCTCACCTTCTTCGGTCGACACCTGTCGCTCGTCTGAAAGATCGTTTTTGTTGCCCACGATACACAAAACCACATTTTCCTCCCCGCGTTCGGTTTTGACGTCTTCTACCCACTTGTCGATGTACTCGAACGATTTCTTATTCGTCACATCATAGACCACAATAGCGACGTGGGAATCACGTATGTAAGAAGGAATGAGTGATCTGAATCGCTCTTGCCCTGCAGTGTCCCACAGCTGGAGCCTGATTGTTTTGTCATCAAGATACATTGTCTTCGACAGAAAATCTATGCCAATGGTTGCTTGATAGTGATCATCAAATGTGTCATACATAAACCTCGTTATAAGAGAAGTCTTACCCACGCCTTGCTCCCCTAGAAAAACAATCTTGTATTTCGTCAATGACTTCCCAGCCCTATTGCCACTCATTATCGAACTAAATTAATTGTTGTGTAAGCCGGACTTGTCGCTTATATCAAATATGCTGAGCTTGTCGAAGAGTTCGGGTACTTCATGATATTACAGGTTTACACGTTGATACACGTCAGTAGTGATATACAATACAAGTACTTGCTAATTATTGATGAGAGAAGGTTCGAGGCTCTCTGCCTGAGCAATAGCTACATCACTATCAATTTCGATGCTTTTCGTATTTTGTTTACGTGCTCAAACTTGACCGCACTTGTCCGACTGGACAAAAAGCCATGGTAGTTTGTAGGACGACAAATTTAGAGAGAAGCTCGAAATTATGGTTTTACAGGTGAAAGATTTGGGAGACCGTAATCCAACTAGTGCACATATGTTTCAAAGTTTGCTTTAGCGATATTTTATTGGCAAAAAGAGGGCCAGAGATAATACGAGAAAATCTGACATTGCACAAGAAATTTGTTACTTGAGAGCTGGGGCATGTCGGAGTTTGATGCTAGGCCTTAGGGGTTAGCTGCAGCAACATCGAAGTGCTCATGTCCTATCTCTGTCCCAGAGTGTTTTGTTTGAACATTACTGCAACACGTATTTTTAAGAATGCCATTGATTCTTCTTTAGATCGCGGCAGCTACTGTAAATGAACCTTAGATACAGACCTCTCAAATTCAGTTAGAATCTAATTTAATTGATATAATTTACACTTATAGGATTGACTAAGTCGAAGCTAACAAAGCGCAGTTGTTCGCGAGGGGAAAAAAATATTCCCTCTCGACTCTAATGGCATTCTTCTGCCATCTATTTCTTAGCTGACTTTTTAATGCCACCGCTGACCAAAGGTTTGCCGTTTTTCATGTTAGCTAGCAAAGCTTTCTTTGCAGCAGCGTCAGCCTTTTGCTTCTCCTTGTAAGCGGCTTCCTCTGGGTCCATATCTTGCTGGGACTTCTTCTTGGTCTTGAGAGGTTTCAATTTACCACCTTGACGACTTGACATTGTGATGTATGTGCTTGTGTTTTGCAGGATCTTTGGCTATTGAGAAGTTCATTCATTTAATTTCAAAGCTGAGCTTATTTCCAAAAATTTTATCAGCTGCTCAGACGGGAAAGCTCAAAGAAATTAACAAAGAAAGCGAGCAGATACCACACTTTATTAAATGAGAAGCAACATAAGTACTTTACGGTTGCCTTTCGGCAAATAATGTGTGTTGAGCACAAGTCCTTGTCGTGAATTATATTGATCTATGCAGAGGCGTATATAAACCCTGACATACGCCGGCATAAGCTATGCAAAGCTCATTGTAAGAAAATCTGCAAATCGTAAACTTTAACCGTGAAATATCGTCTTGAAACAGCAACTATGGCGCTCCATAAACGCGCGGAAAACTACCACCATGTCACAATATATACAAAAATGCTTTCACGTGCCTGAGACTGTAGATTACATCTATTCCGGATACTGATTAGTCAACTTATTTACTGCTATCCTTCAAGCTCACAATTCTATTCAAGATAATCTTGCTGTTCTTGCTATCTTTATCGAGAGTAAAGTAGCCGACTCTCATAGCTTGGAATCGGCAAACCTCTTTGCGCCCCTGCTCTTCTTCGACATAGAATTCAGACTCTTTGGTACTGTTGACGACCCAAGGAGAATTCTCGATCACATAGTTGAAGTTATGCTCCACGACAGATTTGTCGTGAACGAGCTCGCTCTCTGGGTTGATGTCGTGTAGATAACCGTCTGGGTGCGACGAAGGGTTTTCAGATTTGAACAGCTGGTTGTACACTCTCGTCTCGGCAATGCGTACTGGCGAAGAAAATTTAGCAGAGACAGGCACCCATTGGATGTAGGTCTTGGGCTTCTTAGGCTTAGCATTTTCGTTATCATATTTGACATGAATTCTTACGACCTTACCGTCAGCATCCTTTTCCAACGATTTGAAAGAAACAGTGTAAGGCACTTTAATTAAACCCACCGATTGCTCTGGGGTCAATCTGAAAAATTCTTTGTCATTCACAGCCTCTGAAAAGTCAGATCTTTCGATGTAAAACTTGTTGGTGAACGGCACCGTTCTTTCACCAAAAGCGGGAGTGCCTGGTCTGAATGGAATAGTGACCAATTCCTCATAATCTTCAGGAATATTGTCAACTATCACTTCAATAGGATCAAGAACCATCATTAATCTTGCAGTATTATCCTCCAAGTACTTCCTGATGGCAGATTCAAAGCGAACCACTTGAATATTTGTAGTGCTGGTAGTGACACCAAGGGTGTTGATGAAAGAAAGGATAGCCCCTGGGGGGACACCACGTCTACGAATAGCTTCCAAAGTAAACAAGCGTGGATCATCCCAACCTCTCACAAATTTCTCGTTCACCAGCTTCGCAATCTTCCTCTTAGACAGGACAGTCCCGGTAATATTTAGTCTGCCGTACTCCCTTTGAGCTGGTCTAAAGACATGGAGCTGGTCGCATAACCATTCGTAGCTTTCTCTAGACAAGTAAAATTCCGTGGTACACAATGAGTGAGTGATATTTTCAAATGAATCGACCAGACAGTGCGTGAAGTCATATGTGGGGTATATTTTCCATTTGGCGCCAGTTCTTGGATGAGGAGCATCTAGAACTCTATAAGCAATAAGATCCCACATTTGTGGGGATGGGGATGTCAAATCCTGTTTCATTCTCAACGTTGCTTCACCTGGCTTGTAGAAACCGTCTCTCATTTTTCTGAACTCGATCAAATTCTCTTCTGGACATCTTTCACGATCTTTGCAGCCGTATCTTTCACCACCGGGCGTACCGTCCTCTTTGACACCACGACCGCGTTTGATCTCTTCGCCAGTCCAGTGGCAAACATAAGCTTTTCCATTTAGGATCAGCTTTTCTGCCAGATCGTACAATTGATCAAAGTAGTCGGAAGAGTAGGTGATTTTCCAGGGCTTGAATCCTAGCCACGACACCATACTCTTGATAGACTCAAAATATTCTGGTGCCTCGGCCTCAGGATTGGTATCGTCGAATCTCAAATAGCACACACCGTCGTGAAATTTCGCATAACCGAAATTCACCATGATGGCCTTAGAGTGACCTATGTGCAAGTATCCGTTAGGCTCAGGAGGAAACCTTGTGCGAACTTTGCCACCAGTTGCTTTGAGGTGCTCAGCCATCAGCTCTGGATACGCTTGGGGGTTTTCGCCAACTTTGTGAAGGTCGCCCAGAAAACCCTCGGAAAACATGGTTCTCCCGGTCTCAGCTGCGGCTGGCAATCCAGAAGAGCTAGATCCCACGGCGGGTTTCTTTGCGGCGTCTTTACCCTTCTTCTTCTCCTTTTTAACTACGTCTCTATCGTCTTTAGGACCCAACACCTTTAAAATTTCCTCGTCAATGATAGGTTTGAACAGACGTGGCTCAGCCCATCTGAGTTCAGGTAAGCCTTTAATGGTAGCCATAATGCCCGGAACAAGCTTGTATCTCTCTGCCAGAATGGCAGCCTTGTTTTCGGTGATGTATTGAACGACACGTTCTCTGACCTCGACATCAGTAACTACAATACCGACACCAGCTTCCTGTTTGAGCTGCTCTAGCGTTGCAGCATCTTGGGCTCCTTTCACATACTTGAACGCTGCATCCACTTGCAACGGGGTTTTGAGATCGCCATTCAAAATTTCGTCCACAATAAGTTTCTGATTAACCAGATCGCCTCCCTTGATAAGCTGTGCAAGGTTGTGAACTAGTGTCCTGCTTGATTTCTCCCATTGGTGGTCCGCTGGAACGTCCTTGATGAGAGATTCGAGTGACCCCGAGACCTTCTTGTTCTTAACGATTTCTTTGATTTTAGGCTCCTCAAAGCCAATGTGGCTGAACAAAACTGTTAGATCGTCCACTGAACTCATAATCACCTCTTATACGGCAAATCAAGTGCTCTAATATCACAATTCTTCAGTACCGCTTTTTACTGGCCTTTATTTGGCCAAGTCTTCACAAGTCAAACTTGACCATTTCAAATTTTTCAAGGCAATGAGCATCGATAAAGGAATTCTGATCTAGAACAGCACAAAACAAGTGAACTGAAGCCAACCTACTAAATTTGATACATCTGCTGGCATTAATATAACCGGGAGACATTGCCCAAGGTACTGTAGGCACTAGCATCTTCCTCATATGCCAATACCAAGATCACTATTAACGAGTATATTATTGTTATTGACAATTTCCTTTGATTAGAGTTCTCTTTTAGGTGGGCGGCTAAGACTCTGATACATTATAAAAGCGAATCGACAGAAGAAAGTAGGATCCATAACCATTCTGGACCTTCAAAATATGCCAAACTTGGCGGAAAAACAGCTAGAGGACCTTGAGCGTATTATTGATGTTGACACGAGCGGTGGAAAACCAGGTTTAGTAAAGTACTTGCAATCGCGCAACAGTGCAGATTTCGAGAAAAGTGGAGGATTACACTCGCCTAATGTTGTATTCAAGCTTCTAGACACATGTGAAAGAAGCTCAGTTGGGTACAAATGGGCCGTAGTTGACATTGTGGCTCAGTACTTAGGCAGATTTGATCATGGCCACGATTTTGAATTATCAAGGACCGCCATTTGGCGCAAGTTGATGGTATGCTACAGAACACTTGTTCGACCTCAAAAACCTTTACCCTAGGCCATTGTGCTTTTTGCGTATTGCATTTCTAACAATAATCTTAGAGTTTTACAATGTGGGCCGATTTTACGGACTTGGACCCGCATTTATTGAAAACTTTGTTGTCTTTGGCCTTCAACTGTGACACCCCTGACGCCTGGAAAAGTATAGCCTTACTGCTAAAAATTGCAGGTGATCGCAAAGACAGATGTAGTCCCATCCTGGCGTCGCTGGTTCAGGCCAAATATCGCGCTGAAATTGGCCGCACTCTAGAACAGACCCAAAACTTCCAACTCGCCGTCCATCTCATAAAATTTTTGGCGTTTTTGTTCCCGAAAGCTACAGTTTGCAGTCCCGAAAGTGGTCCTCAGATTTGGGAAGATTTGCGCCAGAACAATGCTTTTTTTGGTGACCTGGACTACCCCAGTAAATGTCTCGGCGGTGAAATGGCGTTTTGCGCATTTGCACTGAAAAAGTTGGGACCGTTCCCAAACTTTGGTACTGTGAGGAGTTTTACATACACAAACGAAGGTGCTAAAACTAAACGCAGAACGAGATCGGACATAAAGTACCTTCAGCACATTCATGGTATAATTAATCTTTGGCAAACAGGAGCTGAGTTCTATGAAATTGAGGTCAAGAATTTGGCAATCACAACCACGCTCACAACAGGTCTACACTTAAAGCTGCTGGGAACTCCCGCCACAGTAATATCTGCATCTAACGCTAAGCTCCTTAAAGCTTGGAGAAGTGCGAGCACTTTTCTGGTCGATTTCGACGATGACGCTTTATCTGAGAAAATTGCTAAAAGCTGCCATCGTTACAAGGTAAGTGAGGTAACCTCATACATTCCTCTCAATTTCAATATCTCGAGCGCAGATGACAGCGGTGCATCCCAAAGTTATGGCTCATTGGCACTGCCAACACCTAGAAAAGAAACATCTTCTGTTATTGAGCCGCCAAGTAAGATTGAGCCGCTGAGCGGGAATGTAGCAGAAAAGATCGCCAGTGCGTCTAGTGTGATTGTGGCGTCGAAAGTGGTTGCTTTACCAGAGCCAAGTAAATTAAACGGCATCTCGAAGCAGCGTATCCCTAACGGACACCTACTGTTGAAGCCGCCAAACCTGGTATTTCCCAAATCTAGAATTCAAAAGGGAAAGCCGAAAGTGAATGCTAACAAAAGTGACGAATGGGACTTTGATCGTTCAAGCCGCTCATGCCAGATCGACAACACGCAAAACTCGTCTAGTATTTTAGCCAGCACTTCCAACGTTGTAGCAGATATCGACGAATTTACGGAGGCTGAACAGTCTCCATTGGTAATGGTCTTGAAGAGAAAACAAGCAAGAGCCATAACGAAAGGCGCAAATAACCTGACAAAAAAGCTGACTGCTTTCGCAGCACCCACGGTTTCCAAAATTGACTCTCAGTGCACAGCGGCGGAAAAGCTCACCGATGCCTTTGTGCAACCCGTCAAGCATCAGAAGCCCAAACCCAAGCCGATCAATTCCGTTAGCAAAGAGGATATTTTGCAGCTAGATAGCATTTTTAGTAGCCTGGGGCCTCAAACACACTCGAAGCAGCATAACCGCGCTGAAAAGGTCCCAGTGTTAGGGTCCCCGGGGGACGCCTCCGAGAGACCCAGGATTCCAAAATCCGAAAAGAAGCGGAAGCTAGACAAGAACATCGATGATGACAAGCGGATGACCCGGTCGCGTCCTCAGCTTGAGGAGATGCCAGTGGTGACAAAGCCACTGGAGCCTGAGAACGGAAGAATGAGACAGGAGCCTAATAAAAACAAAGAGGTGGCTCGCGACGAAGCTCCGCCCAAGTCAGCAGTGGCTGTTGCAGAGTCCACAAATCTCGATTCGACGACATTGGTAACACCAATGGCAAATGCCAAGCCTTCGATTAACATGGACCTCTTGGGCCCGTCTTTTACAAACCAGCTACAGGAGCAAATCTTCAACTCAATATCCACGTTTTCTGACGGGCTGACACGCAAGATGAATATTCTTAACGAGGAACTCAACCACAAGATCTGCTCTGAGCTGTCACAGAAGTACCAAAAAATGTTTGATCATTTGCAAGACAGTTTCCACCACGATGTATCGCAGATGTCACAATTTATGCTAGACGTCAAAGATCTTTTACATCTACCCGAAGATCAGTTGGTCAAGACCATCCGCGAGAAACAACTCAATTAAGAAGAGAATTGCAAGAGAACACTGCTATCATTTATGATCCCAACTTTGGATGCGAACATCAGTTCACAGTATTAGGTCGCTGAGCAATCGAAGATGTTCATAACTCCTCAAACCAACTGTCAATTTGGAGAACGATTGTCACGCAGCAAGTCGTCGTGTTGTTGACCGGCATCTTGCAATCTGAGTGGTTAGGTTCGGTTGGGTTCGCTGCTATGCCCTAAGATTACCCGAACACATTCGTCTGAAAACACCACGCACATTTTTTGAATTTTTCACTTCGCTACGGAGTGCCCAGATTTTGAAAAATTTTTCAGTGTTCTTGAAGAAAAGCTGTTAAGCTGTGATCTACTTGTCTTTGCAAGCTCTACTAGTTCAGCACAAATAGCGAGAAACAGATTCAAAGATGGACTCCAAGACCCCAGTTACTCTAGCCAAGGTTATCAAAGTTTTGGGCCGTACCGGCTCCCGTGGTGGTGTCACTCAAGTCCGTGTTGAATTCTTGGATGACACTTCCCGTACCATTGTGAGAAACGTGAAGGGTCCAGTCAGAGAAAACGACATCTTGGTGTTGATGGAATCTGAACGTGAGGCTCGTCGTTTGAGATAGAGAAATCGCTTTATGTTGCATATGTTGCTGAAGCCTTTTTTTCTATTATCAAACTACCATCTTTCACAAAACTACTGAAGAGCGAGACCTGAGGACTACATGAGAGCGAGCTTAAGAGAGAAAATTGCAGAAGACAAAGCGTGTTGTTCTGTTTTTGAATCTTTGGTATTCAACGCCTGTTAGCCCAGAGACAAAAATACAGCGTTAAATCATAATGGACTCCAGATTTTTTTGCGCGGTCTGCATCAATTTGCATCGTGGAAACAAAAGTCACACGGCTGTCACCGAGGATGACGGCGAGAGACAGGTAGTTTGTGGTAAAAGTTTGCCGACGGGGAGTAATTTATGCTCGTCAGCCCAGCGCACGGCTTTTTCAAATGTTTCTGGTCTACGTTCCACCTGCGCAGCAACGAAGCGGAGATTGAAGTCTCCTGTTTCTACTGGTTGCTGCCTGCAACGTTGCCATAAGCATCTTGTTTGTGCGCGTCGGGTCATTGACCGTTGTTCGCGAACTTCCATCCACAAGCCTTGGTGGGAACACCTCTGAGCTCTCCCATTCTTGCCAATTCCGTGTCTTTTTTTGCTGGAGTTGATTGGCGCTTAAACTGGGCTAGAAAAACCTTATGTGTGATACACATCAAGCTTTTTTACGAAACTCAAGCCAATTGACCTACAACTAACTTTCTTATCTGTCGCCGATCTCTTTTCTACACTCACTCTACCATTGCATCTTCACATCCTCTTTTTAACTGCTATATACTGAACCTACTTAGTCTTATACACGTATAAGCTTTTTCGTCCATGATGAAGCGGGAATAGGTGACCGCGTGAATGTGCAGCAGTTTACTAGCGAGCTAGGTGTTTCAGTAAAGTTCACTGCATACCCAGGCGAGTTGCGATCATAGTTGAATTTCGACGAAGTAAGATAGAAAGTTCAAAGACGTAGCTAGAAAAGTCGTCGCGCAGAAACCAGGAACACCCCAGGTACACCATAACTAAAGTTAAGGCATGGCGACAGGGCCTCAAAAAAATTATTATTCCAGGTATTCCGTATAGCGAACACGCTTAGAACTATCTGACAGAACTTCCAGCCTAAGCTCCCTGATAGATTTTATAAAAAGCAAGCGGAGCCCATATCTGACCAGCAGCGAGTCATGCAATTTAGCGGGTTCACCACCATCTAAACTGATTGAGATATATGTCACTATATACTATAATGTCATATATGTTATTTGAGGAGAGCTTTACAGTACGGCAGACACAACATACAAGCAAATCGAGTTCTTCTAGCAAGTTTACCGCATGAACTCCATGTACTTCGTAACAGTCGAGTAAAGGTATCTCTCAATCATCGCTCACATTTGTACATGTCTGCTTCATCCTAACGGGCTAATGATCCAAAAACGCCCATCATCGTGCAGCTCTTTCAACTATTAGAACGAGCCATTAACACTAATACCATGCCCCATTCCGCTGCCAGGGACGGTTTTTGCTTATTAGAACTGGTCAGACCGATGACACTCACGTGCAAAACTCATAATAATTAGTTGCCAACTCTCGCAGACTATATTTATACGTTTGACCCGCCGAGATCCATAGACGTTCAGATGGTACATGGCGCCTTCGATGGTGTCGAAAAGAGTAATAAGACCAAGACTATCACCGGTCGCCATGGAGGTTCAAAAAAATACACAATTGAGGATATAGAGCGAAGCTTTCTCGATCAGAAACCCAAGCTTGATAACAGGGCTTTGAAAGACTCACAGCTCAAGCGGGGCTTACTGGACACAGCGACAATCACAATGGGCGCTAACATACACCCAGAACTACGAACAATATCTGATATGGTCCCAGAAAATCGAGAGCATGATGCAGAATCCGCAGATCAAGATGATCTCATGGAAATGGATAATGTGGGATACACAGATCAAACGACTTCAACAGCATTTGTAGTTGACACAAATTTTATTTTATCGCATCTGCATATCTTAGAGGACTTGCGTTGCCGAAGTCGTGATTACCAGCACCAGATTGTTATTCCGCGTACAGTTATTCATGAATTGGATGGCTTAAAAAATGCGACCGATAAATTCGAAAAGAAGCTTTCGGGATCTTCTGAACCTGAGACTATAAGTTTGCTGGCGCGTAAAGCTAATGATTGGATATATACCCACTTGGCGAATCTAAACTCTGCTGTAATAGGACAGCGACTTAATCAAAAAACAGAGTACCGTAGTAAGAAAGATGATGCCATTTTAGACTGCTGCCTCTACTATAGAGAGAAACTGCACCTTTTCACCGTTCTAATGTCTAATGATAAAAATTTGTGCCTCAAGGCACTCACGGAGAAAATATTAACGGTTTCCTTCCGTGAGGGGATGTCAGCAAATATTATAGCACAGAGAGTTTATGAAGAAAGAAATTTTGTTTTGAATAACGCCAAAACTTCAGGCGGGTTTGGGATATCTCCCGAGCCTAGCCTCATACCTGAAGCGCTTGAGCACCCAAACATCAATTTTGGGCGTATCGCACAACAAGTGTATCAAGAGATAGAAGCTATAGTCCCATCGGCAATTGACTACATCATGCATACAGAGTACGGCGATGAACTAGATCTCACAGATTATCGGAGGGCCAAGATTAGCAACCTACGAGCATGCTGTCGCTGTGTTGAGAAGTTTTGGGTATCCGTATTTTCTGCTTATTTTAGAGAAAGTGAAATCAACAAACAGTCATGGAGTAATCCTGAGTCTTGTCTCGTTAGTGTGCCCGCGCAGAAGACTGAATTGGAAGATCTAGTTAATTTTTGGGTGTTTGCTCTGCAATGCTTTTACAAAAATCGAGATGATACTCAGAAAAAAGCTTTAACGGTTTTATCTGAAAGGTGGACTAAAGCCTATGTTACAGGTGACATATGATTAACGCAGTGTTACATGCGACGTTTCGCCTTTACTAACTAACTCGTACTTTACCGAATTTCCGCTTTTTCTTGCTTGGGGAACCATCAGCGGCGCGACTAGATGCATCCTCGAGTTGTGTCGCTGGAGTTTCTGAAGATTTTGCCTCCAACTTACTAAATGGTTCTGTTGAATCATCTGTCCTTTTGCGTTTTTCATTTTCAAGTTGAGGCTCCAAATAGGTATTGGGACGATTTGGCTGTTCTTCAATTAGCTCTCTCTGCATGCTGACATTTCCGTCGTTAGAAATGAAGGATTCGCTTTGTTCGCCTCCTGTTTCCAGAGGCCCAAAATCGTCGTTTATAGAGGAAGATGCATAGGCCGTGTTCGTCTTGGACTGAATATCTACCTTTGCCTTTTCGAAGATCATATTCATCATTTTGTCCACCTCTTCATCGTGCGAAGTATGTTTGGGCAGATCGCTCGGTTTCGAACTCCACTTTTTCAACCAGCTGTCGAATCTGAATTCTTGCAAAGTATCGTTGTTGAATGAGCCAACAGGTGCCCACTTTCGAAGTACGCTTTCAAAACCTAAATCGCGAATGCTACTTGCTAGAAAGTTTGTTGCCATGTCCCTTTGCAGAATGATCTTTCGTAGCTCACCAACGAGGCCCCCTTGAAGACTCAAACCGTTAAATAAATATTCTGAAATACAACGAGAAATCAATAGGGCCTGCGATTGATCGACACGTCTAATTGGAAAACTCAGTTTGAGTTCTACATTACCATCAAAGGCACTTTTCAAAGTGATTATGCTCCTATTCTCTAATGAAATTTGTAGGTGAGCAGATGGGTTTCTCACGAGATCGAACACATTTTCAGATATACCGTTGGCGGACTCAACCACTATGCCTTGTTCGAAAGCCTGTTCATTGATATCTTCTGCATCAAATTGGATGATTAAGGGTTGTTCTGAAACGGTCGAGAGGCATAGAGTCAATAGCTCCTCGGTTGGACGATCCGCAACAGAGCCAAAAAACAGCTCTTGATCGATTAGGTAAGTTCTCCAAAGTATGAAAGTGCCGAAATCAATGCTTTCTATCTTGGTAGGTGTCTTTTTCTTCATTTCAGTTTGATGTTAGTGCTTCCAAGCGGAATAAAACGCAAGATAAAACGCATCACATGAACATGAACTGGTAGGTTCATCTTACTTCAAGGTTTATAACGTGAAAAGTATGTTTTGAATAATATATACAATAGTCTCATTTGATTACTCGCTGTCACCATTGTTTGACGATGACCCGTTAGGAAAATCTTGCATCTCAAACTCCTCCATTGAACTTTTTGATTTTTGTTCGTTGTACGAAGGCACAGCTTTAGTTGGGGCCTTCGATGGGTTGTCGTCGAGCAAACCTTTAAGCTTGTCTTTAGCTAACGATTTAGTCTCGTTTATCGCTGAATTGGCTAGAGCAAGAATCGGGTTCCAAAGATTGAGCTTGTGAACGAAGTAAAAGGCCACACCAAAGATCAAGAGAAGTGTGACAAAAAGCGGGTTTCTTATAACCATCAAAAATTCGTTCCAGCCGAGAACAGCAATTAGTGCATACACGTAAACCGGTATGTGGCTTGTTGTCCGAATAATGGATCTCTTGGCCTCAATTACTGTGGTGTTTGACTGGCGCTTAAAGTTTCGTAAGATCTTTTCCCGCTGAGAAGCAGTCAGAATATGAGCAAAGCTCTTTTGATGATAAACACCTTCCTCATCTTCAAATTCACCTTGGAGGTCGACTTCGTCGTCAAGCCCGTGTGGGACTTTGACCGGAACATCAGGAATGATCTCAGTATGATTAGCGGTGGATGCGAGAGATAAGACACCAATAACCTCAAGCGCATGCTCCTTAGCAACTCTATAAGCCGTATCAATTTCTTCTTCGTTCTTCCATAGCCTAGGAGAGTCATTCTCGTCGAACCTAAACTTATTTTCAAAGCGTTCTCTAAGAATAGAAACAACGTTGTCTTCCGTAAGACAGTCATTTACTATTTCATGAAGACTTGCCCAAGCACCTGACCTAATCTGCTTGTAAACCTTCTCGTTTTCGGCTTGAGAAAGACCTACCTGGAAATCGAATATGTTGTCCTCAAGTCCGAATCTTTGGGTAGTGCGACTTATGATAGTATTAAAGCTGTCCATCACATGGTCCCACAAATTCTTGTCTGGATGTGTAAGGAGAACTATGATATCTTCTTTAATACCGTTGCTGATTTCTTTACCTGAACGAGTGATGATTGTTTTCAGTTGTTTTTGGCTTTGAACTGTACAGGCCTGATCTAAGACCGCAAGAAATGTCTCCTCTTCGTCCTTTAAGGACGATACCAGTTCCAGCCTTAGGAAATCAGAAACGAAACTTTGGAATTTTTCAATGGCATCGCAACGCGCCGTTTCAAGTTTTGTGACAAATGAAGTTGGTTTGGTTCTTTCCAGCAAATCTCTTTCAAAAGCAGCTACCAAAGCTTCGATGGTGCCAGCGAAGAATTTTGAAATAGTTTCTTTACATTTGGCTTCGATATTGCTAGCCAATCCCTTCTTCGTTTCGATGTAAACTGGCTTGGCGTACCGTGAAGCATACGTGTCGTATTCTCTCAAACATTCACTTTTGAGCTCCTGTAGTGTATCAACAAGCTCTTGTTTCTGGTCTGAACTAAAAGCTTCGTTGGGGTAATTTTCTAAGAATGCGCCAAAGGATTGCTGTGCGATTTCTTCAGTTTTGAACTTAGCAACAAGAATTTGTTGAGTAGGTAAGTCGAGGTCTTTATTCGTCTCAATTTGATTCCAACAATTATTGGCGTACATAGTCCATCCATCAATTGGTAGATTATGATGATACGCTGGCTTAAAATAGCTGACATGCGGATCGCTCTCGTTAGCAAACCGAGAGCCCAATGTTCCAACGTTTTCCATAAAGGCGTCCGGCTGAAGCACCTTGTGGGCCAATGCGGTGAATTTGAGATCAAAAAAATCGGCTAAAGTCTTGTCCTCACAGCCTTCAGGTTTCGTCAAACCGGCCCAGATCTCTTGCAATTCAGCTTCGAGCGTTTCTTGAAGACTAGTTAGTGGCGTAACACCTACGTGATCTCGAATAACAAATAGTAGAAGCACTTTATGATCGCTTCTGTGGCCAAAAAGCGACAAATTGACTTCGAACACAGTCTTTAGCAAGGCCATGTTGTTGCCTTGGTACAGCCCAACTTGTTGTTCCCACATGTTGACAATCAAAATCTCAGAGACGGCTATCGCAAATAGCGCAGCCTTGCGCTCAAAATCCTGGTCCTCTCCGCGCTCTGCACCATCAGACCCTTCTACATCTAGTACAAATAAATCTTTGATAGGTTCTTTCTTGTTGCTTGTGACAGCAACTTCTTTTGTGTGACCAAGCCAGATACCCTTGGTGGTTTGTTGACGCTTCTCCTTCGCGTTCATTGTGTCAAACTTGGTTCCAAATACAGCATTCAACAATGTTGACTTTCCGCTGGACTGTGATCCAAAGACCGATATGACATGGTAATCCATTCCGACATCTCTGCTGTTAGTGTGCTTATTGAAAAAGTCCAAAACATCAGAATTGAATTCTTTCTCCTCATTGATAAGTTGCATAGATGGTCCGAGGCCAGTCATGGCTCCTGAGTTTGTAACGATTCTAGTATTTGTGTCCCAAACTTGTTAATTATTTAGCTTTGGAAATGTGAACTTTATATTAGGGTACTTGTAAACGAGTGTGAGATCAAGTCGAGAAGTGAGTAGAGAAACAATTATAGAGCGGAGGTATTCTTAGGAAAGACGCACAATTTGCTGTTATTGAATTGAGCGGTAATTTTTCGGTTTTTGAAGCTACTAAGATGGTGAAATGCAGATGATCGGGGAACCGTTTACTTGCTCGCGTTGTTATTTATCGACTCATTTCCGTTGATGGGCGATAAGTAACAAGGACAGGAGGAGGAAAATCGCAGGAAGGAGTCATTGTATTTCTGACAGTAACGAAGATGCTATCAGTTGCATGTAATTTTGCTTAGAAGGGAAAGTTTCTTGTATCCCTCTTGTGCATCCTTTGATGACAGTAAAATATAAATTACTCAACTTCTGACAATTGATAAAGCGTAACTTGCGCAATAATGCACTTCGGGATTTGGTCTGGATTTGAACATCATAATTCCATATCTCGTCAGTGTGTGTTTTTTTGTATTTTAGCCAATTAAGCTGTCATTTGATAAATTATTAAGATTCTCATAAATAGCACTCTTCCAAATCTTTCCTCACATAAAATCTAATTCGGTGTTAGCCTAAAAAGAACAAGGCCAAAGCAGCAGTGAAGAGCATACCAGGCTCTTCAGTACTTGGCGTTAACAAACATAAAGATATTAAGGTGAGAGCAAAACGTACAAATTGTCCCAGTGGGAGCTTCAGAAATATTTTCTATGCAGATGAGTGTGGATGCTCCTTAATAAACCTGGCCACAGACATGGACACACACTAGTCCATCCTTGTGTTATGTTCAGCAAAGTTTTCAGTACATAATATATTCATATAGGTTATTACATTGTATTGTGAGTCATTGTGAATAGAAAGTGGATGTTAGTACAGGCGTACAAATGTGTAGGCTAGGTTGAAAGCTGAGCCTCATATCTCGGAACTTTAACGTACAGTTGAAAGGTTTTTGTGAGCAATTGAAGTCAGACTTTATTTGGTTTTAGGAAAGGCCAAGAACACCAAGTGACAATAGTGTCAACTGCGTAGATTCATATTTAACATGGGTCAAGCTATCGTTCGATAATGGACTGACAAACAATAAGGACTCTTAATAATTAGGACGTCAAGAAAAAGGCCAAGCAAGGAAAGTAGGAGATTGATCGTCACGCAAGAGCTCTACTTTATTGGTCTTTATGATTAGAGTACCCGATTAGTCAACTGCGCCAGCACAATTCGCCTGTCACTAGAATTAGAAGAGAAGTATAGCATGAGTAGTCAAACTCCAATACGCTTTCCGTTTCTGGTCTTACTTTGCCAATTTTTTTTATGGTTTCCTTCACTCGTTTTTGCAATTGATCGCTCTAATTAATTTTCTGCCTGGCAAAATTGATTGTAATACCCAATCCTTCGAAGTATCAAGAATCTGACTTCAAGCACAACTAGGATCGTTAGTATGAGTAACAACAGCAGATTAACCAAGACATTGGCTCGCTTTCAAGCACGAATTGAAGCAGGCGACTTCTACGAGGCACATCAGACGCTGCGGACCATTGCCAATCGTTACGTGCGGAGCAAGAACTACAACGATGCCATTGACCTGATCACCCAAGGAGCTCTGGCATTGCTTACTGCCAAACAAGGTGGATCAGCCACAGATCTTATATTCTATTTACTAGAAGTCTACGACGTCGCCGAAATCAGTGTCAGCGAGGTCTCCGTGGCGAGGCTAGTGCAACTTTTGGCCAATATAGACCCAGAAGAACCAAACGTCAAAGACGTGGTAACAGGAATGAACAATTGGTCGATTAAGTTTGGATCTTGTAAATACGGCGATCCATATCTGCATGCTGTTATCGGTTCCAAACTCGCTGACGGGGGCCACGTCTATGAAGCAGAACGCTATCTCGTTTTGGGAACCCACGACTCAGTGGACCAGTACATATCGCTTCTTTGGGATTGGTACACGCAGAGTGGAGATATCAAAACCGCGGGGGACTTTTTCTCACGTCCAATTTTCAATTATCTCTTCATAGGAAATCTTCAAAACGCATATGCCGTTAAAGAAAAGTTCTTGCGCAAATTCATTGAATACACGGGCGCAAAGTTTGAAACAGTTACCAAAAATGGATTTGAGATGTTCTATTTCGACGACTACGCAGACCTAAATTTCTTACAGCTGTTGATTCTCACTTGTCAAACCAAAAACGCGGATTTATTCAAGAACCTCAAGGTTCATTACGCGGGATCCATAGAACAATACTCAAGCCAATTGGAGTATTTGGGCCAAGAATATTTCGGTATCAAAATTCAAAAGCCAGTTAACTTTATGCAAGATATCATGTCCGGTCTTTTGGGCGGTAAGTAAAGTTTCGATGACCATAGCTCTACTAGTACCTATAAACAAATTACAAAATAATGAATTCCATTTAAATGTTACAGGCCGTTGGCAGTTTGCTGCTTGCTCTTTGCTGCCGCCAACCTGCACGGTTAGTCTTTACAAAGGTTCGAGCGCTCAAGTGCTTCCAGCAACTCTGGTCGTTTGGCCCTTATTAATTGTTCCCGCGCTTCGCTGTATGAAAACCACTGCCTACTGCGCTTGTGAACCTCAGGGTACTCCTGGGCCAAAGACTTTACTTGCATCTCGTAGAAATGGAATTCCGACCTGGGTGGATGCTTGCAAGCCTGTCCGTCATCTTGAGTCTCAAATGAATTGATGTCCTTGTTCCAGTCCTTGGGTGGTCGCATGTCTTCGATAACGCCCAATTCTTTCACTATGTCCCCCAGAGCGCCAGCCTCTTCCCACGTTTCGCGCATCGCCGTAGTCTTAGAATCTGGCTCGTCTTTTTCGACACCACCTTTTGGCAGAACCCACTTCTTCTTATGAGCTGACGATTGAATCATGAGTACATGTCTCTTTGATTCGTCTAGACACACACATCCAGCTACCAGTCTAGCACCAGTTAACGTAGAGTAAACTTGGTTTTTACGGCCTACACGGGCCGTATCCTGCTTTTCAAAGACAGCCATTCTTTAATTAGTGTTAGCCCTGAACGGAACTTTACTTGGCGAACATCAAATCCGTTCTTCACTAAACAAGTCTTTAAAATACTCAAGAGCTTTAGTTGAACCCTAACTTTCACCTTGTGATTGAATTCCACGTGGCTGTTCGTGACTTTTAAACATTGAACTTACATGGTTTAGAAATAGCTTGATATTTGCAAATCGTACTAACTTGTGGAATGAGCTTTTTACATTTCAACTAATTCAATAATGCTGACGCATTACTCAAATTGCTACGATGATTTGTGGTCAAGTCAACACTTCAGGATTACCAAAATTGATGTCTGTGATGAATCTACTGCCAAGTGTTGTGTCTGCCCTTCACTACAATTAGAGTCGGCAAGATGTTTGAATTGAAGCCCAACGGATAAATCGCTTCGATATGAGCACAAAGAAAATAAGAAATTGAAAGAAAGCCAACAGTACACACTAAGTCTTTTTGTTTTAGAGTGACGAGCACTGTCTCCGAGATGTCAGATGAAGATTATTAAAACAATCAATGCTTAAAAAGTTTGTCTCGAAGTGTTTTCTTTTTCGGCTCGCCAGCTTTCTCTTTGGATTCCCCGGTTTCGTCAGCGGAGTTGGTCTTTTCAGGCATTGTACCGTTTGCCGAAGAATGTTCCAAATCATCAGTCTTGGGAGGTAACGTGAGTTTCTTATTTGAAGTAAGCACGCCAAAGATGAAAGCTGCTCCATAGCAGCCAAGGGCCGCGTACATGACGTTTTGAATACCTTTGACGAACACTCGAGAAAGCTCCGAATCTGGGCCATCGTAATTTTGACCTCGATAGGCAATCAAAGCTTCAATACTGGTGAAAGGTGGAAGTCCTGTTACAACACCCCGGAGTTGATTTTTCACAGAGTTGGTAAAGATCATAGTAGCCGTGATTCCTCCAAAAGCCATTCCGAGAGATTTTGCGAAAGTGTTCACGGCAGTTGCCTCAATGAACATTGTGTGGAAATTGGCGGCGTCCCTGTCGATTTGAACTTGAGCGCTGAGTAACGTGCCTTGTAGAGCACATCCGAAAGCCGCGCCGGGCAGAATACAGTACCCAATAGTGTTGGAAGTGGTGCTCGTAGTCTTAATCAGAGTCATCAAACCCGCTCCTATCAGACCTACTGTGACACCGAAAACAATTATTGGTTTGATGACTCCATAGGTCGAAGAGATTTTTCCAATGATTATAATTGCGACCATGGTGGCCACCAAAAATGCCCACAGATGCATACTCGCTGACGTGGGCCCATTGTTGTGAACGAGCTGGTAGAACTGAACAATGTAGACCGACTGCATGTTGAAGGCGAAGCAAACAAACAAGTCCGTAAAAGAGCTCGTTATAATGCCTGGTAACGTGCAAAGAGACCACCTAAGCAGAGGAATTGGTGCTGTGTCTCGATGACGGGCGGTCCAATAGTAAAGAATGACAAAATCAAATAGAAACCAGAACACGATTAAAAATCCCCCCACTGTAAGATACGAGATGATCGTGCCAGAATACCACGGATATTTGTTTCCACCGAAAGTTATTCCCAGCAAGAATAATACGAAGCCGGTCGAAGAAATTGCGAAGCCGACGAAGTCCAATTCGAATACAGTAAAGTGGAAAGCCTTGCTCCAGAAGTTTCGCGTAAGTAAATGCCCATAGTGGTATTCTTTGAGCATCAAGCCCTTGTTTCTCAAAGATTCTTGCAAATGCACATTGTCGGGATTATAGCAGAGCGCAAGCATAACCAAGGCAAGCCCACCGATGGGTAGGTTGATGTAAAAGCACCATCTCCAGCTCACATTTTCGGTAAATGCACCTCCCAGCACGGGCCCTATAGCAAAAGCCACTGCAAACGCAAAGCCAAGAACCATGATTACCAGGCCTCTATTTCTTTCCTCTACCAACGACGTTGCGACAACAAATACCAAAGATTGGATACCACTTCCTCCACAGCCAGCCACTACTCTACCGCCAATAAGCATCCCCATGCTATTGGACGTAGCGACTACCAGAGACCCAATTTCAAAAATAACTATAGAAATGGTCAAACTGGTCTTCAAGCCAAAAATCGATGCCAAACGTCCCCAAAGAAGAGTGAACAGCGCATTTGGTAACGCGTATCCAGATACTAACCACCCGATACTGGCATATTCCCCAAATTTTTGCCCTATTGTCTCATACAAAGTTATAACGATGACGATGTCCAAAGCCGCCAGGAATAGCGTCAGCGACAGCGAGAATAATGTAAGAACAAGTGAAACCTTGATCATCAGTAAAAATGCTAGCTATGTATGAGTTTTAAATTCAAAGATTATTAGCTGAAAGCTAAGAGTGTTGAATAACATAATTCACAAGATCCTTGATTTCAGGCCTGCTCTTCATTATTTTATTATGTATAGGTAAGAAAAATCAGAGTTCCCCGCATATTTAATGACGCACTAGGCACGATTTATTGACACAATGCATTTAGATATACCGGAGTTTATAGAAGCTACAAAACTTAAGATGATGTTTCAATGATATTACTTTCAGAATTATTACTGAAAGCGCTGTAAGCTCACTTATCATCGGTCTTTTGTTTTGACAACTTGTCGAAATACACTCAAACCGTTGTGAGAACTTTACGGAGGGCATGGGTGAGAACAGCTAAAGGAGTTCATTCTTGCAAGGGCGAAAAAACTAGATTAATTGTATCCGGAAACTGGGCATTTGCGATAAAACTGCTAATTGGAAGTGTCACAAGAAATTATTGGCTTTATAGCCTGACGCTAATGACAATGCAACATGATTTGATATTAAGGGCATGACGATGAAAAGAGAGCGGGCTGCACTACAGTGGAAATTAAATCATGAACATACAAATGCTGATGCGTATCTACATTCATTCGAACTCGATACAGACATAGCGCTCCAAAGCTGATGAGGGGATGAGGATTAATGGAAGCCAGGAAGATACCCAGAGTTACGAACACGAGAAAAGGCGGCAGAAGTTTGAATACATGATCGAATAATGTTTGGATTAATTCTAAGATAGCTACATATAAGGGTAGTGGTGTTTTTAACGTAAACTTTGTTTCCACTTGAAAGTTATGTGGCGGCAGAATCGGGAGCTATGGAGGCCACATAATTTTTTGTCGAGTCTTCATCATGGCTCTTTTCAGCCTCAGCATGCGATTTGTTGACGACGATTGTCTCTTGCTCAATGTCAGTAGGATTATTAGGTTTGGGACCCACAAATAATCGCTTGTTGGACATGAAAATGGAAAAGACAAAAGCCAAAGCAGAACATCCAAGAGCCGCGAAAAAAACGTTTTGAACAGCTTTGGTGAAGACTTTGGCGAGCGGTGAACTTCCACCATCAAAGTGTTTGGCGTGGTATGCGATCAACTGTTCAATATTGGTGAACGTAGGGACCGCGAAGTCCACGTTAACTAATTGGTTTTTCACGGATGTGGTGAAGATCATGGTGGCCATGATACCACCAAATGAAATGCCAATAGCTTTGGCGAAAGTGTTGAGGGCAGTCACTTCGATGAACTTCTGGCGAAAATTGGGATCGTTCTTTTCGATTTGCACTTGAGCACTCAACATAGCGGACTGCTTAACAGCAGCAAAGGCAATACCTGGCAAAATACAATAGCCTATAGTTTGGCCCAATGAAGAGGTGCCCTTTAGCAGGGTTAGCACCAGCAACACCGCAATGCCGCCAATCACAGCCAGGGGTTTAATGATACCATATTGCCTGTTGATCTTACCTAGGCCAATGAGGACAACAATAGCTGGCACCAGAAAGGCCCACATATGCATACTGGCCGATGTGGGAGATTCATTCATACCAAGCGCTACACTCTAATTGTCTAGATACATTGCACGAAATATTGTCAACACCACACTTGAAGTTTCCTTCATAATTTTTCTCTAGTGACATTTGTATCGATCAAACAGCGAGCAATCAAATCTCCTCATCCTGCAATTGGCAACAAAATGTGGTGAAGGAATAGGCTAAATTTGAACAGTTAAATTTACAAGAGTATTTTCTGTCAATTAGAGTCAATTCTTTAAGGTTGCTAGTAATGTCGTCAAAGGAAAAATACTTGTTAGCGACGGCTGGTCACATCTCACCAGAGCTCCTCAACTAAATTGAATATAGAAATACCAATGGTTTTAACCCTATGTCGAGGTCCTACTCCCACCATGAAGGGGTATGTATCACCGCTTTCATACTCAGTAGTAATTAAGTGAAGTGATTAGCATTTAGCTACTTTCACGAATTGCTTCACCGAACTCACTTTTTGTGATAGAGATCCAGAAAGACATAGTGCTTAAAAAACCGATAGAGGGGACATAATAATTATTGAGTTCATAGAGAAACTTAAGGTTTATATACACGAGAAGAGGCATTTGAGGTTAAATTGGTTTGGAAGTGCGGATAATTATATTCCAGCGTCAATTTGGGCACTACTCAAAAATTACGCAGTAGCAGAAATGGGCAGTACGGAGTCTGTAGACTTTCTTGCCGAGTCTTCGTTGTGACTAGTACCTTTCTCAGTAAGCGAGTCTTCGTTGTGACTGTTATCTTTCTCAGTGAGCGAGTCCTCGTTGTGGCTGTTGTCTTTCTCAGCAAGCGAGTTATTGACGTTGATCGTCTCTTGCTCAATGTCAGTGGAGTTATTAGGTTTGGGGCCCACAAACAAGCGCTTATTTGACATAACAATGGAAAAGAGAAAAGCCAAAGCGGCACATCCAAGAGCACCGTAGAAGACGTCTTGAACACCTTTGGTGAAGACTTTGGCGAGCGGTGAACTTCTACCATCAAAGTGTTTGGCGTGATATGCGATCAACTGTTCAATATTGGTGAACGTGGGGACCGCGAAGTCCACGTTCACTAATTGGTTTTTCACGGATGTGGTGAAGATCATAGTGGCCATGATACCACCAAACGAGACACCCATAGCTTTGGCAAAAGTGTTGAGGGCAGTCACTTCGATGAACTTCTGGCGAAAATTGGGATCGCTCTTCTCAATTTGCACTTGAGCACTCAACATAGTGGACTGCATAATAGCAGCGAAAGCAATACCTGGCATGATACAGTAGCCGATAGTTTGGCCCAATGAAGTGACACCTTTTTGCAAAGTCAAGAGACCGCCACCAGCGACACCACACGCGCCGCCAATTACAGCCACTGGTTTAATGATACCAAATTTCTTATTGATATTACCGAGGCCAATGATGACAACCATGGCTGGAATTAGAAAAGCCCACATGTGCAAACTGGCCGCGGTGGGAGATTGGTTCCAGACCACTTGGTAAAACTGGATCAGATAAACAAGTTGCATGTTGAACGAGAACATGGAGAAAAAGATGGCCCATGAACCGGTGAGAACACCCATCATTTTGACCGAGGACCAAGGCAACAATGGCATGGCGTCCTCTGGGTTTGACAAGGTTTTACCCCAGCGCGGCAACACCACGAAATCGTACAGGAGAAATAATAAAATGAGAATCGGGCCAACTACGAGGTAGCTGACGATTGTTCCGGACCCCCACGTATGTTCATTTCCTCCAAAAGTTAACCCAAGGAGCAGAAGCACGAAGCCGGCGGAACATAGCGCAAACCCGATGAAATCAAGCTTGAACATGAACATGCGATAGGTGTCGACCCAAAAGCCGCGAGTCAGCACCTTTGAATATTGGGTTTTTTTGAGAGCGGCAATCTTGGTGGTAACGCTTGACTTCAGCGGTTTCCCGGTTGGATTGTAGCACAGGAAGAGCATGACAAAGGCGAACCCGCCAATAGGCAAATTGATGTAGAAGCACCAACGCCAGGAAACGTGATCAGCAAAAGCACCCCCGATCACTGGGCCGATGGCGTTGGCGAACATGAAGGCTAACCCCAGAGCAGTGATGACCAATCCGCGGTCGCGTTCTTCGACCAAGGAAGTACCCACAACGAAGACCAGCGACTGGATGCCGCTACCGCCAATACCTGCAACCACACGGCCGCCGATGATCATGCCCATGGAGTCGGCCAGCGCGACGATGAGCGAGCCAATCTCGAAGATCAAAATCGAGACCGAGAGACACGTTTTGAGGCCAAACAGCGAGGACAGACGGCCCCACAGGAGCGTGAACAGCGCGTTGGGGAGCGAGTAGCCCGTGACCAGCCACCCAATGCTGTTGTAGGCGTTGAATTTTTCAGAGATCGTGTCATACAGCGTTACCACGATGACGATATCCAGCGCTGCCAAAAACAGCGTGAGCGACAGCGACGCCAAGCACAGGCCTGTAACCAGTTTCTGACTGACCATGAGAGCGACGAAAGAAGTGTCAAACAGGAATTCCAAACAGAGACTTGAGAGGCTTCGAAAAAACTCGAAACTGCTGATTTATCGACTCACACACTTCCAAGACACACGAAAACTGCTGATTGTTTTGCCAATTTTTGTCTAGTGAAAGCCTTTAACCACGTAAACAGGACCCGTCCTCCATGGATCTCCTGCTCGTTCTTATACCATCCTTTCTGATCTATTGTATCAGCGTGTTAGGTCCATGTATTTGTCAAGAACCTTCCAAGTAGCACTGACATGTTCTAAATATCCGCTCAAATCCGTCCACCTCGATGATCAAATTGGTAACGCTGGGTTACGAGGAAAAAAAGACAAAGCGCTTGGCACTAGGCACGAAAAAAAAGCAATGCAGAAGGAAAGGCTTAGGTCAGCAGATCATTTTGTCCCAAAGTGACACGCCGAGGGCAATGTCCGCGGATATGGACGGAGATTATTGGAAAAGGGCGTTGGATACGGTGCGATGTCTGAAACACGCCCGGGGTTAGGAAAGTTGGAAGGGGGAGCGAATATGCGAATCTACGCTGGCGCAGAGGGTTCTGGTTCAGCAAACTGGGTTGCGAACATCTGGGTGCAATTGTGGGATGCAAATGAGGTTTGAGGGTTGAAGCGCTGTCGTCGCAGACAGCTCGTTCCTTTGGAGCTACTAGAGAATTTACTTTGCTGGCTTGGTTGTCGGGATATCACTTTGAACGACTGCGTCATTACGCACTGCAATCACGTACATCGCTGCGTGCACTTGACAGGATGCCTGTGGTGTTGCAAGAGAGCCTCAATTGCACAAGAAAGAGGATCAGGTAGGACGGCGTCAGGAGCGAAGACATGTCAGAAGAGTACAAAACCTCAGCCAAGAGGCATGTCAGGATAGTACAGAGTGACAAACAGGGAGTTTTGTTTCCAGTCGATAACGATGCTGAAGCCGAGATGCTGATAGGGCAAAGGCAAGACACCCATATTTTATCTGGCGGTTCAAAGGACAATCGCTCTTTAGCAAAGCAGAGAGCCCATTGAAGCTCCTTTTTGGAAACGAGCTGTGCACATTTCAACAAAGCAAGTAGTGTATGTATTCGCATTGCTTAAGTATCATTCCGCCTGTGAGTTCGAGGCTGGTACGTCTGTCAGGATCTATGTGCTACTGCTAAGATAGCGCCAATTGCACGGTGAAGAGCCGTGCCATAATAGTACAAAGTGATATTATCGAAAATTGATCAGTCGATGAAACTATTCGATACATCTTCTTAAACCGAAAACAGGTACCAGACGATACCCTATAGTGGTCTAATAATTGGTCGATGACATGAATAATGTATCATAAGATGTATCGTATTATTATTATAAGCTGAGTAATAGCTTCTATGCCCAGCCGATTTTTATACGTACACCGACCAGTTAGTCCAATCGGCGAATTATCCTCAGATCCGAGAGAATCACGGAGAGATAAGTAAAATCCTAGATTCCAAAAAAAATTGCTTAATGCACCATGTGCGATTTAAATGACCAGTTCAGCTAGTTAACCACTACCGACGCAGATGTGCCTTAATATTGTTTTTTATCGGAATCTATTCCACGTCACAATAGTACCAAGTGGTGTTGGGCACACTGTAGATATCCCTACCTGCATTGAACCCCCTTGTATCAGCAGCATGCCATCCTTGTCTTGTAAGACTAGCCACAATAAATTATTTACAAGAATTGATAAGACCGACGCACCCGGCCAACCAAGAAGTATTGAGGCATATCTGCGTTGATAGTTAGCTTGCTGAACTGGTAATTCAAGTATTTCATGATGTGTCTAATTAATTCGTACCAAGGTCTGGGATTACGTTTATATCCTCGCGTTCGTATCAAAACTGACTGAGCGTAAAGATTAGTACTCAGTCGAGATTAATCGTACGATACATCGTACTACGATAGATCAGCTAACGATAAATAAGCCTCCAGTAGATTATCAGACCAGTTCAGGGTACCATCTGATGCTTGTCTTCAGTTCGAGGAGATATATCGAATAATCCATATACCGATTATGCTTGATGATTTCACATTATGCCATAGTTTCTCATTATGCAATTGACGCTGTCTGCCAATAGCACAGGGATACTGACAAGAAATGTATGAGTTCAACGTTTCTTCAGTATATTGGAAGCATATTCTCACAGAGGGATCTATCCAGCCAGCGCTTAATTATCAACTAGAGCTACTTGAACATTACAAGTAACCTCAAAGATCTGTCGATCGAATTCAATCTCATTAAAAAATATAAGCTAAGATATCGGCAGACGCGCCTCAACAATATTGATTTCCTATAATAGGGCAATCATTCAAACTCTTCCATGGTTTGATGTATTCGATTTTGATTTTGCTTCATGCATTGAAGTTTCAACTCATGAGAGACCTATACTGTAGGTTCACGATAAACTATACCTCCAATTTCATAATCCTATGAGCTACAATACTTTCACAAACAAAGCCTGAATACAGAAGCAATAAGTTTAGGCGATGGCACTGAGATCAGCTCAGAGTTCTTATTATTTTTAGTAGAGTTCTCAAGTTTTGCTGCTCCCTTCGAGCTTTCTTACATTCAGCTATGAGCCCTGCATTTGAATCAAGTAATGTATAATGTCTTAAATTGCAGCGTTTTTCGTCGGTTTGTCGCCCTTTTCTAACCTAGTACCCAAAGGCCGTTATCAAGAAGCATATCAGAGCTCTTTGGTCAACAACAGCAAGCCTCGAGGTACTCTTCCGGGGAAACTAGGAAAATATATGGGTGTCCAAAAACTTGTTTATGGACTTTCGTGCAAGTAGAAGGATAAATGCAAGGCCAACATCTGGTTTATAGTCTTTCGTGCTAGTAGAAGAACAAGTGCAAGGCTAAACTTTCTTTGTAGTCTTTCGTGCTACAGTGTCTACCTAATGTACATTGCTAGGGCTGTGTTCAGAATTGGCAAATATGTTATTCAACACAAAGAAATTTTGATGGTTATCACCATGTTTGCGATCGACCTGTTGATTTTTGTGAGATGTACAGCTTCCGGCGTGGTAGGCGCACAAATATACAGAGAGCGCGGACCCTGAAGAAAGAGCAGAATTTGTTAGAAAGCCTAAATGAGACCTCTATACTTGAACATCAAGTAACACTGTGTACGGAAAGCGGTGAGTAACTCATTACTTCACTATCACTCAAAATGTCGATAGGTTGCGCCTGATCGATAGATACCAATCTCAGTCCCGCGCGGTGCTTGACCAAATCTAATCTCAATTTTCGGATACTTCGCCGCAGGGCAGGAAAAAAATCACATTTAAGGGCTCTCGGTCATTTGGTGTCTATCTCGGAGTTGTTGGGCATGTTAAAGGGCAGACTCACAAAACGATTTTTTATGTAAAGTTACAAACTGCGTGTTGCGCATTCGGAAGATCTACGCTGCAATAATGATCAAAGAAAAGGTGCTCCAAGCAGGTAAAAAACCTTCGTAACGCGAAGAGATTTCCTAATGTTTTCCAGCACGACAACTTCCTAATCTGTGTTCAACTGCGGACCTGAATAGATATTAATATGTATCGATCGGTTGAATTCTAGTTTGTCATAAGGTGATATAAAATTCCGATGTATTCATTCTGGATTCAATCACTACTGCTTTCAAGTAAAGATGATCGAGGGCTACCCAGCGTCTAAATAGCGCTCGATAATTCAAATAATTACTCGCAGCTGGTGTCGATCAGCACCATAGGTTTCTGTGAATTTGTCAACCTTGTCAAAAGCCGGCATATCTACATTATGTCCATCTTTCGGCTGTTTCTTCTTATATTCTATACTGTGTTAGCTTCAGCTAGCTACATCACAATTAACAGACCCTCGCGACTATTCACGCAAAACTCAGGGAACCTCACTTTGAATGAAGTCATTTTCTTGGAGCATCAGGGCTATTACGGAAGTGAAGATGCCCATCGCAACATATACCACAGCATCTCAGGTACCAGATATCTGTTTGCAACATTGCTAGAGGTAGCTAGCGGTACAGATTTAGGAGTGGCACGAAGTGAATGTGTCGAAAACGACTATCGGGCGCTATTGCAGTCACTCGGATACAGTGCGCGTGTCGATTATGCAACTGCGTGGGTTTCTAATCACTTGTGTTTCCCAGATGCGTCAGCTGGATAGTAAATGCAGTGTGAACACCACGTTATTGGAACCATTTCCCACGCTTAGGCTTTCCAAGCGCATTTACGCCCCCATCCTCGACTGACGCCCCATGTCAAAAGTGCATTAATTTTCATAGTTGGCGAGATAGCCACTGAACTGATAACCGCCTTAAGATGGATTACTGAGCGGGATACTAGGGTTTTTGAACGGGGAATGGCATAGCTATTATAGCCAATGTTGTTTGAGTATACCATCTAATTTTCAAATGAAAAGCCGAAGTTCGAGAGCTTAATACGCAAAAAGAAACTTAGAGGTTGGCCTCTTAGAGCAAAATCTTGACAAACTGATATATATCATGCTAAACATGCCTCGTGTGATAAACCTGATCGAGTAGTCGAAAAGCTACAGTAACAAGAGTTCACGTTAGTGGCTTGAAATAACCTACTTTTTCGAAATCGCCCAAGTTGTCCACAACACTAGCAAACCTGATTTTAATAGTATCCTAGTATTTCTTGTGTGAGAATTGGGCAACATGTCCTTCCATGGCTATTTATATGTATAGAATAGATCATCGAAACAGGGATAAAGCCATCAGTGCCATACAATCATTTTAGTCCACGCGATCTAATAACATTAAGTGTGGCAGAAAGACAGAATATTTAATTACTCAAGCCACTGTCTTGAGGGTGGGTTACGAATCGCATTTGTTTCACCCATCTACCACCGGTCCGACAAGCTGTTCAATCACTTTTTTCATATTTAAGTAAATTCGAAAAGTCGTATATATAACAGCATGTCGCATGATACCAACGTCTCATTTTGGAAAGCCAACACGAGTGAATGCAAAAGAAGATAATAGACAGATTCGTCGCTTCTATCCATCTCGGAGTTGTAATGCGAATTTCACTATATATGGCTTGATGTTTAGACCTTATACGGAGCATGTCTCAGTCGTTATCAGTTACCGTTATCAGCTACCGCTATCTTTTTTATGTAAGATCGGGAATCGAATTTTGGGAGGATTGATTACACAATCACTCCATTTTGATTAATCGAATTTTGGGAAGATTGAATATAACAGTCACTCCACTTTGATTATACTTTGGAAATCGGGAAAGTCATGAAAACTCCGATCTACTGAAGCTGGATCTACTGAATCTGTGTATTATTTAAGGACTGGTAAGGACTGATGGTCAAGATCTTGTGGGATTGTGTCTGTGTTACTGACCAATTCTTAAAGCACTACCAACTCTATCAAATATATCGAATAAAATGACAAGCAAGCCATACTGCCACTCTATGACAATAAACAAAGGTCGCCTTAATCAAACCATCCTTGAAACAGGGGAGCGGTTTGGTGGCGTTGGAAGATGGGGAGATAAAGCTCACGAATTTGGAATGAGAAGACTAGCTGGTACTAGCGTGGATGGTGCCATGAGGGACTGGTTTGTGAAAGAATGTACCTCTTTGGGCTGTGATATTAAAGTTGATCAGATAGGCAACATTTTTGCCACGTTTAGTGGACGAGAAAAGGGTAGTAAACCTACCGCTATTGGATCACATCTGGACACGCAGCCTGAAGCCGGCAAGTACGACGGAATATTAGGTGTGCTCGCGGGTTTAGAGGTTTTGAGAACCTTCAAAGAAAATGGATTCATTCCTAATTACGACGTTTGTGTTGTTGTTTGGTTCAACGAAGAGGGAGCTCGTTTCACGCGCTACTGTATGGGGTCTAGCGTCTGGGCGGGAACCTTGGACCTCGAAGAGGCCTATGGTATGCTGTCCGTCACGGATGTGGATGCGGAGTCTGTTCGTGACTCATTAGTCAATATTGGTTACTTAGGTGAGGTGCCGGCATCATACCTCGAAAACCCAATTGATGCGCATTTCGAGCTTCACATCGAACAGGGACCAGTGTTGGAAGATGAACAAAAGACAATCGGTATTGTCACTGGAGTCCAGGCCTGCTATTGGGAAAAATTCACTGTCTTTGGAATTGGTGCCCATGCCGGTTCGACGCCCTGGAGGTTGAGAAAAGATGCCCTTAAGATTGCCATAAAAATGATTTCCAAAGCTGAAGAAATTGCCCACAAATTTGGAGGACTTTTCACTTGTGGTATGATCGACGTTAAGCCTTATTCGGTTAACATCATACCCGCTGAGGCATCCTTCACACTAGATTATAGACATGACTTTGATGAAACCCTATTCGAAATGCTGAAAGAGGCAAGAACCTTTTTCGATGAGCTCGTTGAAAGCGAGAGTATGTCTTACAAGTCCGAAGTCCTGGCTTACACCCCTGTTGTGAACTTCAATCGCACTTGTGTGGATTGCGTTACAAAATCTGCTTTATCTTTGTTTGATGAGACAGTAGTCAGAAACATACAATCCGGTGCGGGCCACGATTCTTGCCAAATTTCTACACGAGTTCCTACTTCTATGATTTTCACCCCGTCGAAAGATGGTCTGTCACACAATTATCTCGAGCATACTTCTCCTGAAGATGTTGAGAATGGCTTCGAGGTTCTTTTAGAAACTGTGATAAAGTATGACATGCTAAGGGCAGAAAAACATAGTACTTGATTTTTCCTTTGGGAGAAAATATCTACTAGCTAAAGCGGAAAGACACATATAATTCAAAAAATTAAGCTCTTTCCACACGCACTGACTGTATAATTCTCCTTCAAAATGTTTAGTTTGGAATTCGCAAAAAACGGATTTGTGTGTGTACTTGTAAGTCAAAACTTTTCGTGTCTATCTGCTGTGCCAACATCGAGATTATGAGCGGTTGAAGGATGAGGTGAGAGTCTGATCTCGGAAAGAAAAAAACAAACGAGCCTCGATAGCTGGGTTTGGGGTTTCGGATAGCGCCTGTGAGCTTTGATAGCTGGGTTTGGGCTATTGGATAGCGCCTGTGAGCTTGCTTCGCGCTTGGGAGTTTTCTGAACACTGTACGTGCGCATGCGCATCGCGAGAAACAGAAAATTTGGAAGAGATGAGGTAAAAGAGACTGAGAATATAGCTTGGAGTAAGGCCAGCGATAACGAATGCCAAAAAATATTGCATCGAGACCATGCCAAGAGCGCTCAACATGACAGCAGTACGAATGTTTTGCGGACGTGATCTGGAATCACACCTGGCACGGTAGCGTGAAATCGCAACCACGTCGAAGCTTAGTGTGCTTAAATTAGCCACATTGGTTTGAGATGGCTTTTGTCACTTCACACCTACGTGTCGTACCGAAAACAAAACAGCATATCTCATTACCAGAAGCAAATCCTGCGATACCAACATGAACACCGGCCTCTATAGCTTGGGTAATTACTGAGAGCGAACGTCGAACCCCACAAGCATACTTTAAATACAGCTATATAAACACTACTTTTTTCATGCCCACAGGCATATTTCCACCCTCGACATGTTCACCGAGAATTGTAGATATTATTATTTTATCAATATCTCAGAAACTGCACTTCACCGCAAGCCATCGTCCAATGGCATCCCTGCAAATCTGCAGACCCTGTCGTACTTTTACGAGCACTGAAGTTTCAATGTGTGTGGGACCTTATGAGCTTTTTCGAGGCGGAGAAGTTGTGGCGCTTTCCTTCCTTGTATGAACGCTCCCGCTACTGCTCCCGCTACTGCTCTCGCTACAAGCTCCGTCCTACAAGCTCTTGTCACACGCTGATCGCGAGTACACGGCTCTGAGGCGAACGGATAGCGACTCTTCCGTAGACTACTACCGGCAGTTTCCTCATACATCCGGCTTCCACCCGCCTTAAAAACTCGGATAAAATCCGTCAAGTATTTGATCCAATGCGGAAGAGGTAAGTATAAAATACTGCTTCATGACAAGAAGATGCCTGGGCATCGAATGAGCGTAAGCTCGGTCACATTTTCAGCGTCACTGCCAATGGGGCGCTCAAGCGGTCAAAATAAATACCAGAAACTGGCGTCAAACCTTGAAAGTGAAACCCAAATTCGCTTTCACCCAGGCCTACTCTCGGCAAGCGCTGGTTCATTTTGTCAAGACTCCACCAGCTGGCATGGAAAGTAGCTCGTAACAGATCAAAAACGAAGGACAGGGTTTCGAAATCGCTGGGCTGGGCACATGACCTGCGAAGTGAATCTGGCAAATAAACGGTGTCCTGGGCGATTTCCACACGTTTCGAAACCGCTTGGGACTGTGCCTAGCGCCTGGGAAGTACTTTGCAAAACAGTACTGCTAATTGCAGCCCAGAATCAATTGCCATGGGCCACCCAGAAATACCACACTGGCACTGCACGAGTGTCTGAGGCTCACGGCCAACCCCGGCACCTGAAAAACGTTTCCCAATAAAATCGGAGATGCTCTCCTGACTCTTGGTGTGAGTCTCTACATCACGCACGCACCACACCACCCACAGACACACCAGTATTTCCTTGTAACAATACACCAACAACTATCATATCATTTCGTCCTCTCGTGACATCGGATTTCAATTTTTTGAAAATTGGGAAGGGGCCTAAGAAGGAGACTTTCTCAGGCACAGAATTGATATAAATGTACAAGTGGCTGGGAAATTCAACGCTCTCTTTTGAAATGTTCCGATGAAATGCCCAGTGGCAGAAAAAGGCTAGCTTAAAACTTCAAAGCATGGCTAGAGACCCAGAAAACCATAACGGGGCTGACGAGCGTTCGGTTCCAGCAGGCAGACGAAGAAGACGGAAAGTAGTGCGCTCGTGCACTTTTTGTCGGCAGCGAAAGCTGAAATGCGACCAGCAGAAGCCCATGTGCGGTTCTTGCAGGGGCAGGAAATTGCCAGAATGTGTCTACACTAACGGGTTCAATTTCCAGCTGACGTCGGACGAACTGTTCAGCAGCAAGCCCAACGTGACGCTCATCCGCCGGATTCAAGAGCTGGAAGAAGCCCTTGAGAGAGCGTCGCTGGAAGATGACATTGCAACGGGCTATTTGGACCAGCGAGACCACAACACGGACTCCCACAATACGGATGCGTCCGCCACCAGCGGCAGCATTGGCGGGAGCATTAGCGGCAGCAGCACGAGTGGTAGTGGCACGAGCGGCCCTGGCACGAGCGGCCCTGGCACGAGCGTCAGTGACGACTGTCCTATGACCTTGGCTGGCTGCGACGCCGGCAAGAACCTCGTTTCCGACTTTCACGTGCTGCGCTCAAAGGACGGCCGCTACATCTACTACGGGCCCACGTCCATTCGTGCTGTGATCACCGCTTCCGGCGACCGGTTTGTCGCTGAGTACAGCAAAGTTTGGCGCAAAGTCAAGACCGAGCTGGACGCTTGGAAAGACATCCATGGACGCCTGCTCACAATGGACTACAGCTCTATGGAGTCCACCAGCACTGGCAGCTTGATTGAGTCTGTGATCCCAGATCTGCCCGCTTACGAGACCATCGAGAGCAAGCTTCATGAATTCTTTAACGACCCGCTACACACCTACTTTCAATTTATGGACAAAGACAAAGTGCTACACGACTTTTCTCGCTGCTTCATTCCAGGCTACCTTACCAGAAATGGCAGCGACAGCATTCCTAGGCGCCAAGTAGCTATGCTGATAACCCAGGATAACAAAAATTTCTTTACGATTGGTGTTGTCATGCTTATTCTGTGTCTCAACCATTACAAGACTAATATTCCTGCCTCTTTGCAACGACTATGTGTTTCCCTCATAGGGTTTACTACTTCCAAATCGGTTTTCGTCGAAAGAGCTCAATTTCTGCTACTGGTCTACATCTTCAGAGTTTACAATGGTCTCAGTGGTAATGGAAGCTCCCATTTGATTTCTCTAACGTCTTTATTATGCACTACGGCTATGAATTTGGGCCTGCACAAAGATATTGACAAATTATACGGAGATCAAACCGCGAGTGTGGGATCTTTGAGTTCTTTGAAGAACTTATGGTACTGGACATTGTTTGCAGATTTGAATGTTTCGTTTGACATTGGGTCACCTCCCTTTATATCACAGGCTCATTACGACGATTCGAAACTACCCACTATGGACCGCGGGCGCATTCCCTTACTACGAAAATTTCTACATGTGGGTAGAAAATGCTTGCATATTGTTTTTGATCGCACTCGCGCACCGTCTATGCTGTCACTCGTTTCGCTTTTGACATCATTTATGGAGCTAGAATTCCGGCCTTTGCGTTATTATACCAATCCGTCTCTTATTTCAGAAATTGATCTTTTTGAAATCATGATTTTGTCACCTACATTAGCGATGATGACGAACTTCTACAATTTGACCCGAGTTCAGGGCGAACCACTAACAATAAAGATCAAAAATGGGTTTGTTAAATCTATGTTGATAGCCACATCTGTTGCTGTCAACGCAATATTGAGATGTTATTCTATTGACGAACAACGCGTCAATCTTGTTGGACTTCAACAATCCAAGGTTTTGACGCCCTCACTTAATCTTTGCGTCCTGTTGTTGAATTCGCTTCCGATTAGAACTTTAACAGAAATATACGGGCTCATGTTCTATAAGATCACTCTTTTTGAAAAGGGTCTTATCATATCTATGGATGAAGGACTGATTGATGGCCCAACTTTAGATGACTTTTCCGTGCCCGATGGCCTGTTTCTGTCTTTCCGAGGAATTTTCAAAACGTTCTGCTCAATATTTGACGAACTGTGGAAGCCGGAGAATGCCAGGATGACGCATATGCTCTGGAACTCCCATTATTTTGTAATTATGATGGCTTTGGAACGTGTTAATAGGACTGTGTTTCAAATGGGTTTGGATAGCAGAACCCAAGTCGAAGTGACTCACAACTGGTCAAGGGTTGGTAATGATGAGGTTCCTGACGATATAGTGAAAATGCTGGCTGATGAGGTTTGGAACAATTACAGTACTGGATTTACGGACTTGATAGAGATGGATGCAGGCGACTTTTTGACGGATTTCGATATGCTTAATGGAGAGTGAGTGATTGGAGCTGAGGAAAACTGGGTTTGGCCACAAATAATAGTGAATATGGCCCATAATCCTTTGCAATGTTAGTTTAGTGATATTGTGCGCTTGACTCACGACTAACGGTTTCGTGTACATAAATAACTTGTAGATATGATGATATTATATGTTTATAATTAAATGAAGTTAGTAAAAAATCAAAACCAAATACCGTAAGATGAAGCTCCTTGAGTTATTTGCAATCGCTATTTTACCGGCTCTAGTAGCCTGCCATGTCGAGAAGGTCACATCCTTGGATTTTTTTTACGATACTGTGAATACGGAAGCTTATACTGTTGTAAAATATTACACGAATTGGTGCTCTCACTGTAAGCATTTAAAGCCTGTGTTTGAACAATTGAGTGAAAGTTTTCAGGATACCACAGTCAATGTTACTTTTTTAGAAGTGGATTGTGAAGCATTTGCATCTACGTTGTGTGACCGTTTGCCGGGGTACCCTATGGTGGAGGTGATCAAGCCACTTGCGGAACCAACGGTAAGTAGTCTCGAGGCGCCCCAAGAGCCTGTGGAAACTAAGTCATGGTGGAGCAAGCTTGTTGCAAAGCTCAACTTTAGCAGGTTCAACTCCGCATGGTATATGGACTTGGATAGGGTTGTTGAATTTAAAGGTAGCCGTGATTTCCCCATTCTGAAGAATTTCATTGATAAAATTATAGAGCGTACGGAACAAGAGGCTGAAGTAGCATACATCCTGAGCGACCGTGAGTGCACTAATGAATTGTGCAAGTCTATGAGGGCGTATTTGTCACAGATCAAAGATACTGACAAAGAAATACGAAAGCTGGAGAATATTCTAAAGTACAACCCGGACGAAGAGCTCGATGTCATCAAACGAAAACTGGATGTTTTACGAATGGTAAATGAGTCCCAAGGGAGGGATAATGAGAATAAGGGGACCCACGACGAGTTGTAAAAAGAAGCCACTAAATAGTAACCAAATGGTATTTTCACCACGAAGAATATTTCTGAACGCACCTGACTTTCTCAGGCCAAGGAAGCTGCGGTTTCTCAGGTACGATCATGAGCTCGACGATGGCTGGTATGTGCCTGGGTGCGACTCTTCCGAGCCAAATTAGCGAATGCGAAGGCTTCAAGTACATAATAACGTTCGCAGCAAACTTGTGGCCTCCCACATGATTCACAAATGCCACCGTACATCCGTCAGGTCTGAAATCAGAAGCATCACGGTAAAGGCCGTTTTCCTTTAATTGTTGCCAGAAGATTTTCTGCAAGATTGGGGCCGTGATGCCGCAGCGCTTGTCGCGCGTCTTATGGGAGCACAAGAATACAAACGAGCGTTCTTTGGCCTCCTCGATGTTATCAAGCGCGAGCAGCTCGTCGCGTTGGTTGGCTAAAAGCAGCGGGACCAACACTTCCAGCTGCGAGTTTACGTGGCCGACCTCCAACGATTTGATCCAGAGGAAATGTGGCAAAACCAACACGTCGTTTTTGGTGCCGCGCATCACCTCAATGTCCAGCATGTCGATGGGCAACGACGACACGTTGCAGCTCATGTTCTCGCCCTCGCCCTGTGGGAACCTGGACTTGTTGTCCTCGACCCACGTGGCGATCTTGTGTTGCACAGAGCCCTTCTTCTCATAGCACGCGTCGTGCTCCCAGTCTGTCTGAGACGTGGGAACCACGAAGTGGAGCTTTGAACTTTTACTCGATCCAAATAGCGAGGCGTCCTGCTCGACCTTCAGCTTGGAAAACTTGGCCTCATCTTTCTCCATCTCTGCAACATCCTCAGCTGGCGCACAGTCTTCACACTCACGGTCGCACACTTCCACGACTTTTTCGATCTTGGCGACGTCCTGCTTCGAGACATTGCCCGATCCTTTGAACAAGCTCAGAAGACCCATCCTAAGTCAAACGATTTTCCGAGAAGCAGAGAAAGAGAACAAGAAACGGAACGTCAATTGGCAATGTTCGACGGTCCCGGCTTCAAGACTTGTTCACGGTCAGATGCGAAAGGGAGCATTTGTCAAATCTTGGTGTATTTGCATTATATATAATGCGAATCTCACCTTGGATTCTTCTTCGATTTTTCCTCCGCACATCTCCGCTCCTATCCCCGAGGCCACGTGACGTGAACATCCCGCTAACCGCATACCATACCAATCCCTCGAGCTGCATGCGCATAATCACGCTCGACGGCCATGCGCTTACAGGGAAACGCACGTGTCTCGTGATTTGTAATCCAAAACTTTTTTTTCTGTTTTTTTCTTTTGGATTTTTTGGTTTCTTCGAAAACTGCGCATTACGCACGAAAAGCGGAATTGGATTCGTAATATCCATTCACGGCATCGTCGGAAGTTTATAAGCCGTCTTAAATTGGCAAGAAGATCGCAAGTTTAAGATTTGGGAATCCAGCAAGCGTAGCTTCTACGTTGAACAAGCACATCACACTGCTGGCTTGGGTTCGTTTTGTCTGTCGACAATCTGTGTGTTTGTTTGGACTTTGAAAATTAGGGTTTATCATGGAAGGTTTGCTAGAACCGCTACCGCTGAAATTCAGGAAAAGAGTGCCAAAAGCGTGCGACCATTGTCGCAAACGGAAGATCAAGTGCGGCGCTGTCAACACGGCTACTGGCCTGTGCGACAACTGCACAAAATTCAATGTTGCTTGCACGTTCAAACACCACGACGAGCTTGAGAGACACCGGCAAAACTCCGAGATGGAAAGGCTGCGAGTTGGGAGTGGAGTCAAGAAACCGCACACGAAAACGAACGACAGCGGCTCGGGATACGAGGCGCAGGTGATAGAATCCACAGCTTCTACAGGGCTGCAGTCCAAATCGCTGTTGCTGGAAAGGAAATTGGAGTCGCTCGAGACGCAGCTGGCAAGTCTCATCGCGATGATGTCGAGCCAGCCACAGCAGCAAACAGCGCAGAAGCGCGATTCAGAGCTGCAACAGCGAAAACAAGAGCTGCAACCTTATTTTAGTGGACGGATGCATACGCCTGACGTTTCCCCACGTCCCAAGCAAAAACGCTACACCACGTCACTCCTGACCAAGCGTCGCATTGCGTGGCTTCGGAAGAAAGCTCGCTCGTGTTGTGGTCACGATAACAACGCTAATGATAGAGCTCGAACTGAAGTGGATATGCCCGCGCCTATGACTTTTTCGCCCTTGATGGACGTTTTCGTAACTTCGTCCAAATGGTACGTCGCTGAGGTCAAAAAAATCATCGATTTTTCAAACCCGTTTGTACCGCTGCACAGCCCGCAAATGTATCCGCTGCCCCCGCAGCATGAAATTATGGATGGTCTGAAAGCTTACAATACTCAAATCTTCACCGGTGGCTATACCATAGTTCGGGGGTCGGAACTCTTGAACCTGTTTGAAAAACACTTTGCGGGCGAGAAACTCTCTTATTCTGAACTTTTGCTACTTGACATTTCTGTGTGTATCAGCACGGCTTACGATTTCACGTCGACAGACGACTATTTTCTAAAAGAGGGAACTGCCGAGCTTCTCACGCGCGAGAGCCACATGCTCCTCAATTCCATGTATCAGTACCACAAGGTATCACTACTCAGCGAGGGCTTTAGATCAGTGCAGGCGCTTCTCTTGCTATACCAGTACGTGCATTCCAAAGTCAGCGCAGACGTTGCCTACAATATCTTTTGCGTAGCCCAAAGGTATGCACAAGACATTGGTCTGCACAAACGCGAAACCTATCATGGTTTGAATTTCCAAGACGCATGCCAAAGGCTTAAAATTTGGTTTCTGTGCGTCTCCATCGACGCTCAGCTGTCTTTGGCGTTTGGTCGGCCACAGCTCATTAATTTTGCCGAAATTGACCTTTTTACACAAGAGTTCTACACAGACTTCATCAAAACTCATCAGTTATTACCACAGACAGAATTTGTTTCTGACAGCGTCGGAGAAACTAATAGCGTTGACCAGTCGATGTCAATATTTCTTAACGGCCCAGATACGGTACTAATCGCGGCATCTCACTATGGAATGGAGCTGAACCGTATATCTACCAGAATCTACAAGTCACTCCTCGCTAGTGATGCTATGGCCGAAGGTACATTTGATCAGGTACTAGAACGAGCTGTTAATCTCATAAATGATCTAAAAGAATGGGAAACTTCGCTTCCAGCGGCTTTGTCACTGAACAATTACGAGGAGCACATTAGAAGCCTTAAAAATTCTTCGAACGAACAACTTTCAAAAGTCAACATCGAACTTCTTTCAACTAGCGTCCTGTACATCCACTTTGAGCGCTTGTATTTATTAATTTTGGTCTGTCATATGGTATGCGCTTTCGTCGTCGATAATGAAGAAATTCACTCTCAATCCCGCTACAACACGGTTCTTATCAAAAGTAACTTGCTTAAGGACATGCGTGCTGCTGGCATGCAAGTCATCATGCTATGGCCCAGAGTGAAATGTGTACCGCATATGTTGCACAGGCTGTTTTACGTCTTCAGCGTAGGTGCTTACATCTTACTTTTCACATCGATCGGTTTCGCTCATCAGGAAGAAAGCGCAGAGTACATCAGCGCTCTTTGTACCACTTACGAATATCTCCTTCAGGCTGGAGACATTAAAGTGTTAAAGGACAATATTAAATGGAACGTTTCAATGTTCATTTACACATTTTTACTAACGTTGGCAATCAAGTGTTTCCAATCTTGCAACCCATTGGAAGCGAAGTACAAATTCGACGATACTGCTTTGACGGAGAAACTCGGATATTGGATGACGCGATGTGAACTGAACAAGAACATTGCAGTAGACCAATTACGGGAGCATATAAATATTTTTGCTCCCTCTGTTGATCTTGTTACGGAAGGATCCGAAGGCTGTATGATCCCACCTGGTAGCACCGGCGCCGACGTCGAGCTACCTAGAGTACTGCATCTCTTCAGTGAGATTGATGTGAATGACTTAAATTGTCTTCTATCTTCGCTCCCAATTCAGATAACATCGTTCGACAAGATGTGCGGTGGGTTGCAGAGTGTTGAGAGTAACCCAACACCGGCTACTTTCGCTCAGCCTTCGCCCGGTGTGGACGTCAACCTAGTCCCTGGTTTAGAACAAAATTTTAGTATGGATTTCGGACCCGGTGATGAGACGCAAGAGCTTGTCCCACCTGAACTTGGGGACCAGTCGGAGTTTGAGCAGATTTTGGACAATATGGTTTTTGAGAGAGATTTCATTTTCCCGGCCATGATGTGAGACGAAGACAAGGCAAAATGCCATTTGGTATTCTCGCTAGCAAGTGCTTCCATTAGTTTCATAAATGTTTACATAAGAAAGGACAAACCTTCATTATCGGTCATCCCATCAATTTATTTATTCTCTTGGAATCCAGGTACTGCCACGGCAAATTCCTCATCGACTAAACGTTTTGGGTTTTCCACACCAAATTGGTTTAGAGAATGAATGTCTTCTTTGGAAAGTGGAATGAAATCTATGTTGGAGACAATATTCTTTGGGTTCACTGAACGTGGTACCGTTACTACCCCTTGCCTGATATGGTAGGCTATCAACACGTCGTTAGGGGTGCATGCGTATTTATCGGCGATTTTTTGAACCAAAGCGTTTTTTACCATAGGGGCACCAGTGGCACCAAATGGCGAGAAAGCTTCTAAACGAATGCCATGATTAGTGCAGAAGTTGCGCAATTCCATCTGAGGCAAGTGAGGGTGCATCTCAACCTGGTTTACGGCTGGGACGACTTTACACTCTTTCAAAAGTCTCTCCAGATACACCACTGGATAGTTTGAAACACCAATGGCCTTAAAGCGAGGGTCCTTGGCCAAATACATTTTTTCTAGTTGTTTAAATGTGGTCAGGTAATCGCCGTCTTTGTTGTAGTGGGGAGAACCGTCCTCGTGGGTTGGATTTCTGCAGATCCCGTCAATGCCATCGGGGTCGTCGAGTCTGCTGTAACATAGTGGCCAGTGCTGAAGCACCAGGTCAACATAGTCGACGCCCAAGTTTTTGAGTGACCGCGAGATCGACTCGTCTGCTATGTCCCAATGGGTGGGCCACACCTTGCTAGTGATGAAAATGTCCTCACGCTTGATAACGCCCTCTTCAAATAGCTCCTTCAGCGCCTCACCAATCCGGTCTTCGCAGTGATAGGCCCAGGCTGTGTCGATGTGCCGGTAGCCGGCCTTGATCGCAGCCTTCACTGCCTGTTTCGTCTCCGGGATTTGCTTTACCACGTTTGCCGTTCCGAGGCCCAATGCAGGCATTTTCGTGCCATTGTTTAAGGTGAAATATATTTCTGTATTCTTAGGGTGCAACATGCTGTGTTTGTTTCTCTTTTGTTATTATCGGGATTACTTTGTAGTTTCCTGAATTGCTGGGGTTGCTAGAAATCTTTCCCCCTTTTTATACCATTATTTCCATGAACAATACTGTTGACATCTATTTATTGCTCATTGACACCAAATACTTTGCGCTTTGCTACCTCAACGCCTTTAGATCTTCGCAACAGCAGCAAACTTTAATAAATCACTGTTCCTGCTCATGTGAGTAAGACAAGAAATTGCATTAGCTCTCATTTCACGAACAATCAAAAATGCATCAAGCAATGCAAATATCCCTCGTTGAATAGGTTGCGATACCACCGTCGTATGATGAAGGGTCGCCCTAGTCACCAAACGAAGAAGGGTATATGTCACTTTTTCGACCACAGCAGAGCCAAGACATTCCGGCAAGCCACACGACGTTCCCGCTAATGTCACTTCACTTCTACAGCAGAAGCTGAGAAATCTCTTTGATGAATTTATTCTCTGAGTAAGCTGAGGCGCCGGAAACTTGCTTGAGCAACTGCAAAATTTTTTGCTGGCTCTGTTCCTCTGTTAAAGTGTCTTCTAACCCCTGGTCGCGGACGTCTTGGACCCATTTTTTTAGTAGTTCCTTGAGTAGTACGGTGCCCTCGGCAATTTCGGCAGAGGAGCATTTTTGTTTCTTGAGCATTTGAGAATCTTGTTTTAGATCCTCGAGCTCAGCAGCTTTGCGCTTGGCCATCGCAACGATCTTGCTGGGGAATTGGACTACTTCAGCAACATGGATCCCGAAAGACTGGTCGGAAATACCAGGCTCCACCTTGTACAGTAGCGTAATGTCTTCCGCGCTGTGAGAGCTTTTTTCCATATCTTCGATGTGGGCGATGACGTGCATGTTCTGCACAGTAGGCACCTGGTCCGCCAGAGACGTGAGTTCGTGAAAGTGGGTCGCAAACAACGCGAAGCATCCGATCTTTGTTGCAATGTGCTCCGATATGGCCCAAGCAAGCCCAAACCCGTCGTAGGTACTGGTACCTCGACCCAGCTCATCTGCAATGATAAGCGAGTTTTCCGTTGCATTTTTTAAGATAGAAGCGGTTTCCAGCATTTCAACCATGAAGGTCGACACACCTTTTAATTGTGAGTCGCCGGCTCCAACACGACATAAGATGGCGTCCATGACTGCGATTTCAGCGGTGTCACAAGGAACAAAACAGCCAATTTGAGCCAGTAGCGAAATGACACCAATTTGGCGGATATACGTAGATTTACCACCCATATTTGGTCCAGTAATGATTAGGAACTCATTTTTGCCGCTCTCCAACCTAACGTCGTTAGAGATAAACGTAACGTCATCTTGGACCTCCAAAACTGGGTGTCGCGATGCGATTAGTTCTGTTTTCCTCTGCGAGCCGATGCCGTGCATTTTAGGCCTAACGTAAGGAATAGGCGCATAAGACGAAACATGCGCAAAAGAACTCAGAACATCCAGATTTGCGAGCACGATTGACAGTTTTTCGAGTACCGGCGTGTAAGTAAGAGTGATCTGCACAATTTCCTTCACCAGGTCAGACTGCAACCTATCATACTCTTTTTGTAGGAAGGCGGTTTGCTCGGAAACATGTTTGAGCTCTTTTGTACTGAAGAAAATGCCGGCTTTCACTGTCGTGAGCTCCAGATACTTTTTATGTTGACGTAGCGCTTTACCGTCGTTTCTTGTCAATCTCATACACCACCCATGGTTATGGTGGTTCTCAAGCTTCAATTTTTTTTCTGCATCAAACCCTAGATCGTCGGCGGCGTCTAGATGTATGGTTCGTATGTTATTCTTGAGAGTATCGAGTTCGCCACGAATTTTAGCCAAATCTTCATTGAACTCTACCCTTATCATAAATTCATTGGTATTTTCGTATGCGTCTAAGTCAACGGTAGTCTCTACCATTTCTTGGAATTTGTCCAGTGGTGTGAGATGCTCGTTTAAGGGCTTTTGCCATGTTTCCGCAACTAAAGATTTGGTAGTGGAATCATTATCCAAATCCTTCAGATATTCATCTAAAACTTGAGATATCTCAGGAACCTTTCTTGCAAACTGGTAGATTTTCAAAACATCCTCCAAGCCTCCATTCCTGATCAGTTTTTTTGTTAATCTTCTTACATCTGGAACCAGAGGAAGGTAATCTGTTTGCAAAATTTGCCTTAACTCTAATTGATCCGTCAAAAAGTCAACAAGATCATGTCTCTTTTGTATCTCTTGGACATCGGTCAGAGGCTGCTTTAGCCACTCGTTGAGTAGTCTAACACCAGCGTTTGTTTTACATTTGTTCAGTAGTTGAAACATACTGGAAACTCTGCCTCCACTGCCAATAGAGCCATGGCTAACCGGCATGCTAGTAGTGCTCAAAGAATTAACAGGGAAAACGTTAAGTGCTTTCAAGGCTGATGCATCCAATTTCATAAACTCAGTCAAGGAATGTTGAACCAGGTCAAATTTCCCTAACTGTGATTCATTGTTCATGATTTGAAGATACTCAATGAGGGCATTGCATGATCCTAGTGCCAAGTTGGAGAACTTCATTAACGACATAGAAAGCTCATCCCCCACAAGCTTGACTAAATCTTGCTCTACATCCTTATGCGAAAATTCCGAGTTCTTTATGAACGTGGAGACACAACCGCAACGGTCCAGAACACCAACCATCTTTTTCAACTCATTTGCCATGGTTTCGTTGCTTCTTTGATCTGGTAGTAGACACTCTTTGACACCCATCTGAATCAAAAAGCTTTCCAAATTCGAAAAAACCTCGTTGTCTACAATATCCAGCATTCCTATTTTATGGGAACCGCTATCGATGAAAGAAACCCCTAAAACGCAATTTGCGTCCTGGGCATTGGGCTGAATCTTGATGCTGGTGAGTACAATGGCTGAATCAAGCGAAATGTTCATAAGATCGTCCACTTGTTCTATATTACCGGGGGATCCGCTTCTAAGCAACTTCCATGATTTATCGTATATTTCCACTTTCATGCCCATTTCTAGAAGGCAAAGTTTGAGTAGCCCTGACAAGACCTGCGTTGAAATTGTCACATATTTGAGTGGCTCGTGGATCAATTTCTCAGTACCGGGATCACTTCGACAGTCTTTCAGAACAGAATTAGTATGGTACACATTGTCAGCAACAAACAGGGCGTCATTTCCTACAACGGTATAATATTCGCCCTTGTCCACAACTCTAATTGTTTGAGATGGCTTTTCTGGCAAACTAGCAAATCTTCTGTAAAAACCTCGTTCCTCAGATACATCTGAGAACTTGAGCTCGGGCCGACTAGCAGACATTCTTAGCTATCAATTTTATGGCTATTCAAATCCGAGTATCAAGACTGTAGATATGTTCTTGTTTGGCTCGCTGAACTTCTCAGAATGAGCATGCCAGCTTCTTTTGACAAACGCGTAAACGCCTTTAATTTATGATTTTACTACGCGTAAACGTAGACTGTGACTAGTCCTCTACAAGTTAGCACTAAGTACGAGTCAAAAGAGCTCACTAACTACACTTTTTCGTATATAGTTATTATGATGCAAAAGTTAATTGACCTTTACGATGAGGAAAAAACCTGTGCTGATATACGGCTTTTTGTTTAGAAAGCATCAAAGTGTGAGCTTCTTCTGCAGACGTTATACGTAGATAGACATGAATTCGGACTTCGTCCCTATGACTCATAATAACATCGATCTTTTCGATTTCGTGACAGAATCGATACTATCATACGCATGGTCTCAAACGTTGTAGTAACAAAAGACGGTAAACTATATTCGTAGTTCATCCCAAGTGCTGAAATCTGCCCAGCTCCAAATGAATTTCAGTGAAGCTATCAGGGCAGTTTCAGAAGAAAACTTAATTTCCAACTACCATATTAGATGACTGTTCACCAATTTATGTCAAAAAAGGATTTCATTCCCTTGTCTGCCAGTTATAAAGTGTCACATTCGTAGAAGGTGATATCTAAGCAGAAGCCTTATTTCCTTCCAAGTGACCCAAAATTACTTCACATACTATCCTATGGTGATTCTCAAATAGTAGCTGCACGCTTCTTGTTAATATCTATTCCCAGTGTCTTCGTGCCCGGAAGTCCAAGTGGAAATGTGCTAAGCTTTCTACCCAAAATGTATGATAATGCGTACTATCGATTTCTGGAGTTGTGAGATCGGTCCGTAAAACCATAATCCATAGCCAAAATGCAGTCTCCAGATAAACGTATTAAAAAAATCTACATTATTTTTCATAGCTACAAAGGAAAGCTACTGACAGCATACCTTGCGGAAAAATCAAACGAGCGCTTTGCCTTCATCTGATTTTGTACTATATCTGGCTGAAATCGATCCTCTGCATCTTAGGTCGACCAAAAAATATTGATAGTCTCATAAGAGCGTAAACTGTTTTTTCTCGCAACACCAAACTTTGGATTTTGAGCCCATACGCCGTCAAGAAATTTTTTACAAAATCCTCTTGCTTCCATCGCGACAAGATATGACTGATACTAATGAGAGCTTAGCATCAGGTTATTCGCCAAGACTCAAACATCAAGTCTTCGTCCCATGTACACCATTGAAAAAATTTGAACTTTTGTGCTTCAACAACTAATAATTTATGAAGAGGGGAATGAACAGGAGATACTCGACTGCCATCATTGGTGGTCTCGATCTGAGATACCGAGAAACTATTCAACAGCTGGCGCGGCTGTTTGTGGAGTTGAGTTCTTATTTAAGATTGCAATACGGTGATCTTGTTTGGCAATTAAAACTCTTTGAGCTTTGCAATCTTTAAGCAGACGCGATATGTACTCCTCATGATCTTGCGATTGCTGGCGCAAACCTTTGAGCTGCTGTGATAGAAAACGGTTCGAACGCATATAAGAAACGTACTTGGCAAAGACTTGATCCAACAGATTTTTCTTTGCAAAGTGGCGATAAAACTCGGCGATCTTGTTTCGCTCTTGGCAAGCTTGCTCCATCAATTGTTGCTCTGTCACAACTGTGTTGCTTTGAGCCAAAACACAGCTAAATAGCTTGTTTGAATTCATGGACTCTAGATATGAATCGCACTTTTGCAAAGTTCTCTCGCACAGCGCGTCACGAAAGGAAATCATCAACTGAGCCATGAACTGCAATGACTCCATCTTGTGGCACATAGCAATTTCCAGTTGACCTCTCAACAAGTCCAAATCACGACGGCAGTCCAAAACTTTGCACCGCTCCCGCTGACAATCAGATTTGAGCTTGATATTTGCTGTTTTCGCCTTGGTAGCTAGTTGATTCAAGATAGAAAATTCCTTTTGCAATCGTTCGTTCGATTGTTGGAGTTTTCTCATTTCGTTCTCATGGGTGGACACCATTCCTATCAATTCATGGATTTTATTTCTTGAGGCATTGCTTTGTTCTTGTAGCATAATGTTTTCTTCTTTTAACGCACTGTGTTGAGATTGCACATTATTGTAATCGTCTTTCAGCGTTTTCTGTTTGACCTGCTCACACTTTTGAGATTCAGTGGCCTCCTTCAATTGCGTCTCCAGTGCTGTAGCAGTCTTGCGCCATTCAGTTTTTTGTGCTTCAAAATCTGTTTTTATTTCGAATACTTCTCTCTCACTTTCGTCTACTTCGTTGCGCGCTTCTCTAAGCTTGGCTTCAACAAGATTCAATTCTTTCCGACAAGCATAAAATCCTTCAACACTGTCCTCGTATTTTTCACGAAGCAGCGATAATTCGGTTTCCAGCTCGAGGGCCCGAGAAGATTCATGGCTATAGTCCTTAGAGGTCGCGTTTGCCGAGTTGTGGGCAGTAGTCGCACCTTCTGCATCAGTTAGCTCTCTTTCCTCTAATACCTCGTTGACCAAACGAAGAATAGCATCAGAGAACTCTTGGAGAGAGCGTCTCTTAACCACATCTTGTGAGGAGCCATCCAGAAGACCAATAATGTTCAACAGATTGATGTACGTCTTGGAATTTTTGTTAACTTGTAAATTGTCAAACTGATCTTCTAATGCGACGTAGTCTTGAGGAGTTCGGTAAATATGTTGATACTGTTGAACCCCCGTTGTTGTAGTGTCTTTCTTCCAAGTGATGGTCTCTTCCACCGGCGTTAGAGGAGATGCCAATTGCGACAATGTACCAGATAGTTTGCTATGCGATTGCGAGAGGCCTAAATCATCAATAACCTCATCAGATATATCGCTATCAAACGAGTGGACACGAAGCCTTTCTTTGAGCCGCACAACTCTTGCCATTGTGTCGGGACTCTCTTGAAGGTGCCGCGCATCAAGCTTTCGCTGGGGGCTATTCTCTAAGCTGTCTATAGCTTCTTCAGTGATAATGTTGTCTGCTCCAACGTCAGCAAGTTTACCAGCATTACTATCACGCTGCCCATCGAATGTATATTCCTCCTCTTCTTGAGTTGCTGCAGTGGTGTCATCACTTCCTTTAAATTGTTCGCCTCCATGTCTCCTGTGTCTCAATCTCCAAGATCTCCAAAATTTAGTAGAATTTGTGGCATTTGCGGTGGGTTCTTCAGCGGCCTCTGCCGCACCTGTTGTTTCAGAAAGTTGTTGAACTTCGCTCTCTGCAATTTCTGAAGCAGAATCATCATTCTGGGCGTTTTCATATGGTTCGTGCCTTTTGAACAACGAACCAATTCCTCTTTTGAATGGGGAGCCGCTTTTAGGTCTCTTCGATCTATCATCATTGCCGTCAAGGGGCGTTGCCTCAATATTTGCTGTTTGCGGCCTACTGGAGGAGTAGTAAGATCTCTCATCAGACTCACCACAGCCATCATCAAGTTTATCTTCGTCTGACGATGTTATCTCGCTGTCATCGCGAATATGGTAATTTTGCAGATTGTACTGATCTGATTCATCCACTAGTGGACGCTCATCGTCGTGAGGGCGGTAACTCTTTATAGCGAGTAATGGCATCGTGAGTGCACAATGAGGTTTATACTTGAATTACAATTAATCGTCTAATTGTGAACAAGCCCTGCTCTTGTGAAAAGATTCAAGCAATGTGAGGTTCCCAGGTATTGGTTTTGTGCAGTTAAATATATTTTGGTTTTTGATGTGAGAAGACAATTTTTTGTGACGCTGACACTAGCTATCCCGGTGTCGCATTGTGAACATTTTTGTAATATCCAAGTCACACGTCCACTAGAAAGTTAGCGAACTTCCGGGCTAATATATGTGTTATTATTATTTGGAGACAATATGTTGCACTAGAAGAGATTGAGCTCTGGTTTTCATTATAAAACTTTAAACTGAGACTCCGGTAGTTTGAACAGTGTCCGTTCTGTAGGCGAAAAACTGTAAAAAGATGACAAAGTCCATCAATAAAGTACCCGAACTACCAATCAGCCACGAAGCATTCACCAGTAGGTAGCGATATTCCAAGGAGATGCTGAGAACGGAAATGATGAAGGTGATGTTTCCAATACATGCGAAGAGGAAAAACAGAAAAGATATACCTTCGCAGGACTTACGTTGAAAATTGAGTAGGATCTGTGGAACACGGGAACTCAAATAGAGCACAGCACTCAAATAGCCAAAAAATTGAGCCATCCAATTCATGTGCAGGTCAGGTTCAATTGTAATTGGGTTGGGATCTTTCAAGTAGGAAATGTACCAGGAAAGAAACCCACCGAGGAATACTCCGCAAATTAGCAATGTATTGATGATGTAGTTTTTCATAGGGCTATCCGCAACTTCAGCTTCGGCGTCCAACTGAGCGATAGTGGAAGACGATGATGCGCCAGCAGAGTCTGCAGGGTTGATTGTAGCGTGGTCGTGATGTTTTTTGTTCAATAGAGGTTGGCGTTCATGGAAGACATCTTCCAGAACTCTGTCATTCATAGGGTTGGCAGGCGACAAATGAACGGGGTCCACTTGCTCTTCTCCCCCGTAGAACAAGCATTGAGCCAGCAGTATGACATCTGCGATAGTATAGTATCCGGCCAAGATAATCATGGTCGGAAGAAGACCCTGTAGAACGGCTCCGAAAAAGTTGAATATGTCACCTAGCAGCCACAAGACTACGAAGAGCAGCGACAGACCTTCCGCCGAGCTCCGGTAGAAATTCTCATATATTTGTGGCACAAAGACGATAATCCAGCATGCGATCGAAATGGAGCCGGTGATACCACTCACCGACTGGGAGTTTAATACAATAGGTATCATTATCCTAAAGTTCTGATGAGAAATAATATCAAAATGGAAGCTAAATTAATTCAAAAAGTCGTTTTTCTGAGGGGGTTCTTAATGTAAGACTCGAAAGTTGATTCGGCTGCGTGAGAACAGAACAAAAGTAGCTTATTTGTAGCGTCTTTTTCCTTAAAACTCAGGAAATGAGCGGAAGTGTGTCATAAAATTTTTTGTTAAGAAAAATCACCGTATTACTAGGGTAACTACAGAATCGAGTAGAGCTTTCATTAGAGAATCACTACCGTCTATTTATTGAGACTGGTGACAGTATCCAAACGCTCAAGCTGTTTCGAGAAACTCAAAACCTAAAAGAGATAGTAGTTGGCACCTAAGTCATTCGAGTAAGGAATTCTACTGAAGCCGTCGTTCGTTACCTTGAGACCATGTACATGGCTTTGAGTGACGAGCTTTAAATCCGTTCCCACCAACCTATGAATGCCGTTTCCAAGTGAGTTCGCCAACGAAGCGTTAAGCCAGCTAACTGCGAATCGCATTTATCCGCTGAATCTACTTGTCTATATTTGCGTTAATCTCTTCGTACGTCGCGAGTTATTCATCGTCTTGATCTTGGCCATCTTCGATTGGAGATTCGGACGTTTCGCGACTACCTGAAGCCTGCACCACATTTTTCAAAGCGTCTTCAAGCTTTCGAGGTGGCAAAACTGCCTCGAAAGCCTCCTTCCAGTCGTGGTTTTCAAAATACCGAAGCATTAGTTGAATCACGTGTGTCGAAGTTAGCACTTCTCTGCCTGTAAGGTTGATGTATTGGGCCAGGGGCAGCTTACGTGTTGGTATTCCAAGCTCTCGAGCCTTGTTGTAACAAAGCAGCTTATGTCTATTTTTGTCGACGATCCCGCCCACGATATAGGTGGTTCCGGGCTCCAAGGTTTCCAGGATTTCATCCGTATCCGCTGTGAGATAGACAACATTTTCCGAAGGAAGCTTAGCATCCTCTGTAAACTCAAAATGCTTCCAATCGTCGTAGTTAGAGTCGCCAAGATCCCTTTCGAATCGTTGCTTCAGCCGCTTGTCAAAGCTTGTGACCTTCACGTGCGCAAAATGGTTTTCGCGCCTATTGAAGCTGTACGCGCGGGTTATTTGGTTACTCAAGCTTATGACCTCTTTGTCGTTCATAAGGTCATCAAAAGAGCAGTCGACAATGATTTTCATGCCGGAGTCGTGCTGATCCATGTTCTTGCGCGGTTTCCGGCGCAATTCTTCAGGCACCTCTTCGCCGCGTTCCTTATACTCCTCTATCTTAGCCCTTCTGTTGAGCTTTGCGCGATTACGCTTCTCACGTCTAATTATAGCGAATTGTTCCTTAGACTCTTCCCATCGTTTTCTCTTCCATACTTTCTTCCATTGCGATTTCGACATCCCTTCCGGCACCGGCGGTAAGGGATGTGGATGCATTTTAGACTTATCTGGTCCATTACTTTCGTTAGCTTCGTCGCACATTAGAGCACCACAAGCCTGCCAAACCCTCTACTTTTCCAGTCTCTATAGCCCATCTCAGCTCATCGCATGTATATTCCAAAAATTTTCAGAATTCCAACCTGTAATATTTGAAAACGTAAAATTATCTCGATATCCAAAAATCCACCTCATTCAAGAGGTTAGTGCGAGACTTTCAGTGAACTTTATCAACTACAAAAAGCTTGAAAAGTCAAAGCAAAGCTCACAGTCATGGCTTCGGAACCATTGACTCTAGAACTTCCCTGGGTAGAAAAATATAGACCGCAGTTGTTGAAGGATATTGTGGGCAATGAAGAAACGGTTATGAGGCTACAACAGATCGCCCAAGATGGTAACATGCCACATTTGATAATTAGTGGATTGCCTGGAATAGGTAAAACGACATCTGTAAGCTGTTTAGCCCATGAACTATTAGGCTCAGCCTATTCGCAGGCCGTCTTAGAACTGAACGCATCTGACGACAGAGGAATAGACGTGGTCCGGAACCAAATCAAGCAGTTCGCCCAAAAGAAGTGCAGCCTGCCACCCGGTCGTCATAAAATTGTCATTTTGGATGAAGCAGACTCTATGACCGCAGGCGCCCAGCAGGCTCTGAGACGCACAATGGAGCTATATTCCAACACCACGCGGTTTGCATTCGCCTGCAACCAGTCTAATAAAATAATTGAACCCCTACAAAGTCGTTGTGCTATCTTGCGTTACGCCAAGCTACAGGACGACCAAGTTCTTAAGCGGCTGCTTGAGGTCAACGAAGCAGAAAATGTTCAGTACACGAACGACGGGCTTGAAGCCATCATATTCACAGCAGAAGGTGACATGCGTCAAGCTCTCAACAATTTGCAAAGCACTGTGGCAGGCTACGGACTTGTTAACGGTGAGAATGTCTTCAAGATCGTCGACTCTCCTCATCCGTTGATTGTCAAAAAAATGCTATTAGCTGAATCCCTAGATAGCTCGCTTGACTTATTCCAGGAACTATGGAAGAAAGGGTATTCGGCTGTAGATGTTGTGACTACCTGCTTTCGCGTTACCAAGAACTTAGATGAGGTAAAAGAGGCCACCAGGCTTGAGATGATCAAGGAGATTGGATTTGCCCATATGCGGGTTCTGGAAGGTGTGGGTACTTATTTACAGCTCGCGGGTATGTTGTCTAAAATATTTAGAATAAGAGGTTTGTAAGAAAGTTTCTCTGCGCCGGAAAACTACGTGTGAAGCCGTCATTATTTTTTGAGTATTTTGTTTGGCTCTTTTCAAAATATTATTTAAGTTTATTAGTGCCCCATCGAATTATCATTAAAATCTACACTGAGCATATAATGGAAGCATTGCAAGCAGTTGTTGGCACTCAAATCTCTGCACCGCAATCAGCAGAGTCAATTGATCCTTATGAAAGCTTTCTGGAACATGCCAGAGATCATAGTTTCCAAATAGATCGCTCGTCATTGTTGGCCCTGCAAGACATAGAACACAAGTCCCAGGAAACAAAGAATGCCATTGAACAAACCATACCGCCACTTCAGCAGTATTTTGCTGGCTTGAATGAAAGGTTCAAGAGCTTGACACGGGATCTGAGTTTGATCAGGGGTAAGTCACTAGAATTAAATGAACTATTGCTGAGAAATTCAAAGGATCTAGCAGAGATCTCTCCTCTTGTGAACGACCTTATTATTTCGCCTGAGGTTATATCACAAATTACGCGGGGCAAGATCAACGGCGCCTGGGTTGAGAATCTCGCTTACATTAAGGACAAACAAGAGATATACGCAAAGTACAAGGAAGAAGAGAGAGAAGTGCCGTCTGATTTCGCGCAGCTCAATGAGCTTCTGGATATTCTAGAATTATTGATTCTGGAGCGGAGTAAGCGCTTCATTGTCTCTAAAGTAAAACTTCTAAGAGACCAGCGCACTGTTCCGTCTCAAAGAATTCAACGACAGCTTTTGGAGGTGAAAGAAATTTTCCAATTCCTGGTCAAAAAAAACTACTCTTTGGCTCTCGAGCTCAGGCAGGCATATGCGTACACCATGCGATGGTACTATAAACAATTTTTTGGGCGATACATCAGATCTTTGACCATTCTACAATTCGTATCCATAGATTCCAACTTTGCGCTGGGCCGCGGGCTCTCCTCAACTTCTGCCTCTGCCACTGATAGACTTACTAATTATTTTTCGGGTGCCTATAAAAACTCGCTGATAGGTTCTGCTGTGTCAACCGATCAAGCCATAAATGAATATTTTCAGATAGAGAAAAGGCTAGCTGTATTAACGCAGGAGGACAACACTGTGATGGTTTCTCAAATTGCTGAAAATAATAACGCCCCTAATTTCCTTGAAGTGGGATTTAAAAATTTGAATCTGGCTATTCTCGACAATTGCTGTGTAGAATTCGCATTCATCACTGACTTCTTTCAGGTGAGCAACAATGTGGAAGATTTGCGAGGTATTCTCGAGCAGATTTTTCAACCAACCTTCGATGAGGCTATGGCGTACACTAAGCGGCTAATCACGCCTACATTTGATATGTTCGGAGTGCTCATTAGTATTTGGATTTCGCATCATTTGCAATTCGAATCTCAGAGAAGATTGGTGCCCGTGGTGGACGAGTTCTTGAATGGTCAATTGATGCTACTGTGGCCCAAATTCCAACAATTGGTTGACTTCCAATGTGACAGTCTGAGAAACTTTCCCATATCAGTCAGCGCCAAAAAACTGCAGGGCCGCAAGGAAGAGAGCGATCCTTCAGCGATGACTCATGAACTCACAGTTCAGTTTGCCAATTTTTTAATCAGCATCCTCATGCTTTCCATGACACACAAAGAAAACATCGACGAACGGTCTGAGCCGCTCTACAACTCAATTATAAGGATAAGAAACGATTTTGAGACAGTCATGACCAAGTGTAGCAAGAAGACGAAATATCCGGAAAGATTCTTAGCCATTAACTACACTTACTTGCTGAATTCGTTACAACAAAGCTCGGTGAGTCAAGAAAGACGAGAACAAGATGGCCATAGCTCGGAGTCGAGGCCGTCGCTCATATTCCAAGAAACGATGAATCACCTGGGAGGTCTAGTCGAAGCCTTTAGTACAATCACGTGAGGTAATAAAAATCGATGAGCGCGCGAATTGGGTTGAGTTCAACTTTAGCTTCGCTTAGTAGACCAAAGAAAGCATGAACTAAGACTGCCAGAACCATTATTGTGTCTCACATCAATGTATTGATAGTGCTTAAACTGCCCTAGAGTAATAGTACATCTACCAGGAGCATCAGAAAGCTTCTTATTTTATGATTTCACCTACTCCATCTCAGAATGAGGTAATCAAATCTCCATATGTTGCTGGAACCACTATTAAGGTCATCGCTGGACCTGGTTCAGGCAAAACTATTACGCTCATGCTGAAAGTGCGGGAGCTGATCACGCAGGGAATTGTGAAGCCAGAGGAAGTGCTAATCCTATCCCTTACAAACAAGGCTGTAGATAATGCTGTGCATAAGCTTTTGGATGTGTTTAGCGGATTGAATGGATCTGGTGGCGAAAATGATCAAGATTATGTTACTTCTTTGGTGTCACAGATCGATGTTTCCACAATCCATGGACTTGCAAACAGGGTGGTTGTAGAGAACGAAGGCCTAATTAATATCATTGAAGAAAATGGCTGGAGAGGCCTTTTAAAGCTTATCCCGCCTACTGTTCTGAAGAAGTATCCTTCTAACCGACTTGGATCTGCGCTCACTCCTAAAGTATTTGAGCGATTATTTCGGGAATACCAGGTTGGTGGCAAAAGAAAGAGCGAGGATACCACTATGGAACATATCTTAAACATCATGAAGGGATCTAAAGTAGTAACCGTTGATGAACTTATTCTTTTAGCAACCAAATATTTGGGGTCGGCTAGAGAACAGACAAACTCCACTTCCCCATTTACTCTCGATTTACTTCATAAGCATAAAGTGGTCTTTGTTGACGAGTTCCAAGACCTGTTCCCGTCCTTGTTGCCGTTTCTTGAGAGCATATGTAGGGATAAACAACTTATTATGTTTGGTGACCCGCATCAGAGCATTTACGGGTTTTTGGGAGATAATAAAACATTAATGCGGTCCTTGGAAAGAGCCCGATCTTCCAAGAAAATGGAGACTTATTATATGCGGGATAATTTCCGTTGTACACCTGAAATAAGCAAACTTTCCTCGTGTCTAAAAAGTGGCGTATTCGGGAGTACTGATAAGGATCAGGCAGGTTTTTCAAAGCCTCCGATGGGTCTCCCACCTTTAGCGTTCCATACCATGGATCCTGCTGAAGAATTGGAAACTGTCACTGATAATATATGCCAATTAGTGAGCCATTCTGTCAAGTTTTCCGACATCGCTGTTCTCACCAGGACTAATGCGCAACTAAAAACCGTAGGGGACCATCTGAAGTCTTATGGTATACCGTTAGAGAAACTGACCGCTCAACCAGATTGGATGACAGATAAGAATATAAGATATTTCGTTGACCTTTTGAAGGTTTGCATATTAGTCAACAAAGAAGAATTTTTGGAAGTTGAAGCTACTCGCACTATAAACTATCAAAGCGACTTCAGTATTATTGTGACACTCAGCGCCTTGAAAGGTATTAGCAACCAGGCAATTCAAGCTCTGTTCACTGAGGCTAAGAGCTCGAGTACTTCTCTTTGGCAGATTATATCCAAAGAGGAAAATTGGTCGATTCCTGTAGCGAACAAGAAAAAAATAAAGAACTACGTTAACAATGTTAGGTTGCTTAAGGAACATTTGAGAGCGAATTCGTATTCAGAACCAATTTTTTTGATCGCACAGCTAGCTAAAACTGCTGATAGCATCGGTTATTCTTTAGAAGACATTAAGAGCCCAGAGTCCATTGAAACGTTCAAAGACCACTTAACCGAAATGTTAACAGTCCTTAAAGGTTGTGCGCTTACCAGGCCAGATAATGTACCTTTGGTTAACTGGTTTTTAGAGACTCATTTCGATCAAAGTGCCTCACCAAGTCAGTACTTGAATCAGAAACATGGACATGGTCTTGGAAGTGTGAAACTTTCAACCATTCATTCTTCTAAGGGACTTGAATTCCCGGTGGTGTTTTTACTTGGAGGCGGCAATTCAGATTTTCCGATAGAGAAAAATGCTCTCTATGTGGGTATCACAAGAGCCCGCAACATTTTATACCTGGGTAATGTCAAGAGCGCTCTAATTTCGTCTTGCGTCTCCACTAAAACTGCGGAGATGCTCAAAAATGAAGGTATTTGGAAGTACTACAATTTGGATTTGGGAAGGCCGTACACTTCGAGGCCAACATCAATTCACTCAAGGTACAATCTTCTGAACAATAAATATGGACTTAAAACATCATCGAGGGCTTATGCAACTTTAGCTGTACGTGCATCGCATATCTTGAGATACATAATTAAATAAGTCTGCTCATGCTTTAATCATTTATTAAAATCCGTCTGGTACACCTTTCGCTGGCACTTGCTTCACATCTAAGAATATACCCCCACGAGCGAAGCCAAACCACTTGAATTGTGGGTTTGGGTTCTCATCGGACCCTCCTTCGCCTATTGGGTCTTGGAGCTCTTGAACTGTTTTATATGCCTCTACATCGGCGTATGGGACACCGTTCTTCGGATCAAAATACTGGCAGTCCCTATTAGTGATCAAGCACTTTTTTCTCACACCGTTAGGTAAAATAACACCTGCTGGAGCAGGCGTCTTGATATCTAGCTTCAGCTTGGTATCAGTTTCTTCAGCAACCTCTGTCAACAGTGTTCTATCGTATTCGCCGAACCCCGGGAAGTTCTCGAAGATCGATGTATCAGGGATGAGAGAAGAGCTAACATCTAGCCACTCGTCTTCTTCTTGTTTGTTGAAAATTCTAGCAATTGTTACAACGTTGTCAGAGCGAGAATTTAACGGTTGTGCCCACTGGGGGCCGAACAGACAGGGTCTTATATCATGAACTTTTGGGTTTTCCCCCGGATAAGAATAGATTGTTACGAAATTTCGCCCTACTAATTGCTCAGGCCCTTCGTATACTTCAGACACGTCTGTTTCCACCTCAAAATCATCTCCTGGTTCTTCAGAATTTTGTCTCGAGGAATCAGTGTCGTGAGACAGCTCTATATCAAGAGGTGTATTTGGTGGCCCACTATTATCGAACGTGTTTATGCTATTTTCCGAAGCGAATGAGACTTGCTTTGGTGCGGGTGCGGTCTTCAGTTTAACGCCTTCCGTAGATTGAGAGGCAAAATTGGAGCTGCGTTTTTGTGATGGCTCTCTGTCTTCGGTTAGTACCTCTGTAGGCACTTCCATTTTCTCATGTTGTTGGCGTGAAGCACGCGCGAGATCATGAGGAGGTGACTGCTCTGTCGAAGAACCATTGTTGATTTTCTGTAAGCTCATTTCAGATTCTACCAACTCGTCAGTATCATTCTGCAGCGTATTGTTAGCACTGGGCAATGATGAGGGCTCGGCAACATGAAGGTTTATTGATTTTTGGTCATCTCCTGGTAAAATACTAGTATTCTCAGACTTGTCGACGTTCTGGGTTGCATTTTCAGCGTTCTCGTCCAATTGAGCTTTCGAATCTACCGGCAATACCTTGTTATGTACTTCTGATTTGATGACATCGGGATGCTCACTGAGAATATCATCTCGGCTTTCGGGGTCTAGCTTCACGCCCTCGGTATTATCTTCCTTCTTCTCCTGCTTTTTCTCATCCTCATTACTTTCGTCTTTGTCTTTGATCTTCCTACGTCTGGTGTACTTCTTCTTCTTCTTGTGTCTTTTGCTCAGCTGTTGTTCCCAGTACTCACGGTCTTCTATTTCCATCAGTGGTGTTACAATCCATTTATTAGAGTGGACCCGCAGCATAATTTCGCCAGCAGCGAATTTGGCCTTCTTACGCAAATTGATCGCTATTCGAGTCTCTTTTTTGTAGATTTCTTCCTCTCTAAATTTGGTCAGACTTTGGGAATTGATTTTCTCTGTTTCTTCAGCCTGTCGCAGCCTGTCTTCCTGAGTAAGTTCCACAAAAGCCATTTTGGCCTTGGTTTGGCGCAACCGGTCTTGTATTTTCTCTCTTTTCTTCTCCGCTTGCGCGAGTTTCTCATAGATTTGTAGTTTATTGGCAACCACAGATGATCTCTTGGAGGTTCTTCTATTGTCCAGAAGCAAACTCTCAGCTTTCGGTTGTTCATACAGTGGTTTTGAAATCTCAGCAGACTTTACGCGCTTCCTTACCACAGGAACTTTATTCCTATGCGCCTGTTTGCGCTTTTTGCGTTCCTGCAGTTCTAGCTCTCTTTCACCAGCTTCTTCGTCTTCTTCACCGTCGCTGTCATCTTCAGACTCTGAGAATACATCATCCTCATCTTTTCGACGCTTAGGCTCTCCTTGAAACTCCTCATCGTCCTCGTCTTCCTGAAACAGAAGGTTGATTTCATCGTCATCTAAATTGGCGGTTCTTTCCTTCAATTCCTGACGTTCCTGGTCGATGAGTTTCTGCATTTTGTTACCGGCATTTGATCTGCGCGATCTACTCGCCATCAGCAACTCTTCACTATCCGACATGGCTACCTGTCAATGAGCTTATATGCCAATTTTCATAATTTGTTGTGTGTAGCTGATATGAGTTTAAAAAGGACAAGATAATTTAAAGATGGTTATGAGATGAGCTTCAACAGATAGAAAAAGATAGGATTTAGTGGTGCTTGTGGGTATTTGTGAGGTTTAGAGTAAGATCAAGCTACTTAATAGACAGCATCCTTATTAATTCGATTGTTTGGAGCAGAATTTGCATCTAAAGACTTCAGACTTTAGTGGTATTAGAACAAGAGGCAAACAATGTGGAAAGTAGCTAGGCGAAGCTATACAAAGTTTAACCCGGACTTTTTAAAGCCTGCCTCCGATGGCGTTAGATCCAACTTGAAGCTATCCACGTCGGCCTCGCAGGACGAGATTAATCATTTCACGGAACTGGCACCATCATGGTGGGATGTATGGGGTCCTCAAAGGATTTTGCACAAAATGAATCTAGTGAGAATGGATTTCATCCAAAAAACTCTACGTGACCAATTGAAGGCTGCCCCTGACACATATGTTCCGGGTTTCGACTACAAGGCTATTTTGCCCCCGCAAATATCTTCCGCTATTGAAGAGCAACTAAACCAAGATATAAGAACACAGCTTTATCAACAGCAATTGAGCGTTTTAGACATCGGTTGTGGTGGTGGAATCTTGGCAGAATCTCTTGCGCGGCTCCCTTTCGTAGCAAAAGTTGATGGTATCGATTTGACGCCCGAATGTATCGAAATTGCTCGTTCTCACGCTGAGAAGGATCCTGCCTTGGCTCCCAAATTGGATTATAGGGTCCAGCCGCTAGAAGAAGTCACTGGCACGTATGATCTAGTGACTTGTCTCGAGATGCTGGAGCATGTGGCGCAGCCCAGTGAGATATTAAGACATGCTTGGAGCAAACTCAACAAAGACGGAATTCTCATGGTAAGTACCATCAATAGAGATCCAGTATCGTGGTTTACCACCATATTTATGGCAGAGCAAGTTCTAAGGCTAGTACCACGCGGGACTCACCATGTCTCCAAGTACATAAACTCCGGGGAAATAAAACAATGGTTTAAAGAAGAGTGTGTTGGTCAGTATCAAGTATTGGACTGTAAGGGCTCCATGTACCTGCCCATGAAAGGATGGGTTAATCACGACTGTTCTGACATTGGCAACTATATCATGGCCATTAAAAAGATTGAATGACTTATCTAATTAGTAAAATAAATACAAACAACTTAAGAAAGTTCGACACACGATCTACGTGGCAGTTTCTAATTTTCCAGGCATTTCAGCTGAGGGCTCCTCATCAACAAACTGAGGAATTGTGCCACTGAGGTAGGACGGTATTTCGCCCGACGTTTCGCCTTCGTATGCCATATCCCCTTGCATCATGGAACCGTCCCCAAGGGCCTCTAGCTCTGCGTCAAGCTCTGTTTCGCTTATGTCGTCTAGATCTTGAACGCCACTACCCATGGCCAGTACATTTTGCAATTCCTCACCTTGCTCCACCAAATCAAGCATTTCGTCCTGCATATCCTGAAGCTTGTCGATGTTGATTTTTCCGTATTGCGCTTTCAATGCCTTGTTTGTCTGCTTCAAAGCATTCACCGTGACCATGGTATTTCTTAAGTTATCGCTGGTCATCTGAGCCTGGTTCATGGACCACGACTGGGAATCCAAAGAATCTCTCATGGATTCAAGTTGTTTGCGTTTGTTCAACAGCTTTAACGCCCTTTGTCGTAGGGGTTTCTGACCTGCAGCGGAGGATGTGCCTGAAATTTTCCGTTGTATAGCTTGAAGCTGGACGTTCAGTTGAGATATTTGGGTATCAAGGCCAGAGATTCGTTCTTGCATCGATTGTTGAGCTTCGTTCATTGCCTTATTGGAGTCTTGCAGCAGTTGATCGTGATTCTTACGACCCCCATATCCAAAGATTCGATTCATGATTTGATTAGAACTTTTATCGAAAGTCTTATGATGATTCAATCTTGACTTCAAGTGTAAGAGATCAATTTATTAATTTTGCCCTGTTAAAACTAAGAGTCCTTATAGAAAAATATAAGGCAGTAGATGTTTACTCAATACACGCAAGCGACTCCTAATCCTTTAAAAAGGCGATATTTCGCGAGTTATATCTGGCGAAGAACGCATTGAAACGAATGAGTCTACAATATCAAGTAGAAAGCTAGTAGAGTGCTGAAGGGGTTTCAATAGCTCAATTACGGTTGCTTGCCTGGAAGCTTAAAGAAGCGCCCAGGAAAATAAAGAAACCACGACTATTGGTTTTAGCTACGTTGGTGTTTGTTCAGGCCGAAGTTCTAGTTTGGGTAAGTCCCCTGTGTGCAGTGTGGTATGACGCTCTAAAGATGCAAATTGGGATTTGGTTTTTTCCGTTGCTAGAAATCATTTGGCTTTAGAGATGATAGTTACAAGCTGCGGGTGTTACTAATTGAGTTCCTCAAGCAAGGGTGCTACGGATCTCTCTATTGTGACCCTTCGTTTTCGCGCTAGAGCGCCATAGCCATCAATCCTACAATGCATAATTACTCACTCTGCTAAGCACTGCGTGAACTCAAGTCCTCGTCTCTGTTCATCTTTATTCAACGGTAGTTAGAATCCTTATGACATATAATCAATCTTTGCCGCAAGCACTTGCTCAGATTTCACAATTCTGGCAAAGGTGTTTGTTTTTCAGGCATTTAAATTGATTCCAAATTAGCATTTAACAGTGCCCTGGTATCTCCCAATGCGCCCGCCTAGTGTCTTTTCAATGTCTGGTGTCTTTTCTTGATACAATGTCTCATTTCCGAGGTGTTACCTGATAGTTTACTGTGTTACCTTTTCCTGCTCATACAATGAGAAGTATATGGCACTGGAGTTAGGAGAGAGACGCTCAAGTCAACCACGAATGACACACTTTGCCTCAGTTTTTGATGAAGCTTAGTCCATTGATTTTGATTTCTGAAAATTTTGAAAATCACATCAGCCGTCAATCATATTTGGAGCTCTCAAAAACTCATCGCACAAATAAAAATAGTCATTAAACCTTCTGTTATAGCCAAGTAAAGTTCCTGACTGTGTAAAATGTCTGCTGCTAAGACTGCTGAACAGCTACAGAAACTCTCCGTGAAAGAACAAAACATCACACCATGGGATGTGGAAGGTGCTGTGGACGAAAATGGCCGGGCTCAAGAAATCGACTACGAAAAATTAGTCAAGCAGTTTGGCACTAGATCCATCTCCGAAGATACGCTGCAAAGGTTTGAGCAAGTCACGGGCCACAAACCTCACCATTTCCTCCGTAAGGGTCTTTTCTTCAGCGAACGCGATTTCACCAAGATCTTGGATTTGTACGAACAAGGAAAACCATTTTTCTTGTACACAGGAAGAGGACCATCGTCTGATTCAATGCATTTGGGCCACATGGTTCCCTTCCTCTTCACTAAGTGGCTTCAAGAAGTTTTTGACGTACCTTTGGTTATCGAGTTGACTGATGACGAGAAGTTCCTATTCAAGCACAAACTAACAATCAAGGACGTCAAGGGATATGCGCGTCAAAATGCAAGCGACATTATCTCTATTGGCTTTAACCCGGAAAACACCTTCATTTTCTCCGATCTTCAATATATGGGTGGTGGCTTCTACGAAACGGTAGTGAGAACTTCCAGACAAATTACGGGTTCTACTGCTAAAGCCGTGTTTGGATTTACGGATTCCGACTGCATTGGAAAATTCCACTTCGCATCCATCCAGATCGCTTCAGCTTTCCCATCTTCATACCCTGACGTGCTAGGTCTTCCAGATAAAACACCATGCCTTATTCCGTGCGCTATTGACCAAGACCCCTATTTCAGAGTCTGCAGAGATGTGGCAGAAAAACTCAAGTTCTCAAAACCCTCTTTGCTCCACGCCAAGTTCTTTCCGGCCTTGCAGGGTTCAACCACTAAGATGAGTGCATCTGATGATACTACTGCCATTTTCATGACTGACACTTCAAAACAAATCCAGAAAAAGATTAACAAGTATGCATTCTCAGGCGGTCAAGTTTCTGCCGAAGAACACAGAAGATTGGGTGGTAATCCTGATGTCGATGTTGCGTTCCAATATTTGAGTTTCTTCAAAGACGACGATGAGCTGCTAAAGGATATCTACAGCAAATACAAATCTGGTGAATTATTGTCTGGTGAAATGAAAAAGTTGTGTATTGAAACACTGCAGGAATTTGTGCAAGAATTTCAAGAACGTAGATCAAAGGTTACAGATGAGCTTGTTGATCAATTCATGAAGCCACACAAATTAATTTGGGGCAAGAAGGAGAGATTGGTGCCTGTAAAGCCCAAGGAGAAAAAATGAATGGTGCGCGATCATTATTCTCGGACACAATATTACTTATATACACTATATTTTTTGATGCGATAAAAGAATCTTTACGATAGACATTGCATGATAGAAGTTATCGTTTTAACGCATTTGCTTGATCGTTTTCTGAGTTCGGCACAGCACTTTATTGCTGATTGCGTAGCCGGTACTCCTTTAATTGTTCAATAGTTATGATGTCGATTCCGAATTTCTGCTTCATTTTGATGCAGTCGTCCAACCTCATCATAAGTCCATCTTCGTCTCTTACCAGCTCACAAATGACACCAACAGGTGCTTTGCCAGCCAGTTTGCACAAATCAACTGCTGCTTCGGTGTGGCCGTCTCTTTGCAAGACACCACCGTCAACGGCTCTGAGAGGAACTATGTGGCCTGGTTTGAGAAAATCCGAGGGTTTTGTAGAGGCATCGGCCAGCTTCCTGCATGTAAGGGCTCTGTCATGGGCGGAAATTCCTGTAGTAGTTCCCTCAGCAAAATCGCAGGTTATCGTATAGGCTGTGCCATGACGATCATCCTTAGAAGACTTAACATCCATGTCTCGCATTAGAGGAAGGTCGATGCGATCTGCCACAGTGTTGCTCAAAGGAGCGCAAACGTAGCCCGAAGAGTAGCGCACCAAAAAGGCCATTTGCTCGCGGGAAATGCCCTCAGCGGCACAGATAAGATCCGCTTCGTTTTCCCGGCTTTCATCGTCCAGGACCATCAAGAATTTGTTCTGTTTGAAGGCTTCCAAGGCCTTTTCGATAGAAGTAAAATGCTCAGACATGGCTAACACTTAATTGGGGTGGTTGATAACCGTTTGGATGAGTCTGGGAGATTCGTTTACCTTAGCGATCAGCCTTTTTATGTACTTTGCCAGCTTTTTCTGGAGTTGGTAACATGACTAAAAGGCTAATACCCAATTACTAAGAGTGACACCAGGTGCTACGAAGTGACAGCGTCCTGTTTTTGAGAGTTCGTCAGCGAATGAATAAGCAATGAGATGGGAAATGCTGTTAGTCAAGTTACTGGTATTGATTGGATCGGAAGAACTTCGAGAAACCAGAAACTTTGTTAACGACACTGCCTAGTGGACTAATCTTCTGTAGCGTGGCTTATGGTATTGTGACATTCAAAACGTGAAGCTGATTCTGAAGCTGACTTAGTCGTGCTGAAATAAGCCGTTTGATCGTGGCTCAAGCCTCGAGAAGTTATGAGCAAATTGATATACCAGAATCATATATCTGGTAGCGTGCGCCCTTTCCTATGTCGATATATACCTCTATTTCTGAAACGCTGTCAACAAGCTTCTTATTCCTCGTGGCCCAATGGTCACGGCGTCTGGCTACGATTGTATCCACTTCTGAAACCAGGAGATTCCAGGTTCGAGTCCTGGCGGGGAAGAAGCTTATTTTTTGGGTATCGATTAAATACAAAGTTGCCGATCCATAGAAAATTGAGAGTATGTGGGAAGGTGTCTGAAAACATTGCGATGATGATGCGCTCAATACAGCTTCGAAAGTTGCATTGAGTCAATAGTGCTGCAATGGTCTTCAATATTTTCAAAAGTATTACTATCATATCGCTTACAACACTTACTATTACTCTCATTCATACTCCAGAAGGCGCTTAGTTCCGTAGTAATTGTCCAAACACTGCTTCTCTAACTTGATACTACAGTTTTTGTAGCAGTAGTATTCTTACCTGTAGCTACCATAATTATAATAACACAAGCTCACTATCCACAATACTCGCTGAAGATCGTATTATTTACCGGTGCTGCTTTCTCTCTCGTAACGCAACGTTCATTGATGCTTAAATTACTTGTCAAGTGTTTTCTAGTTGAGGTGCGCCTGAATTCTTAGAACCGTGTTTTCTTGCAAGAAAATGGGGTCCGATGTGGTTTATGTATATGTTCATGTATGAGAGAGTCTGTTGTAGATCATCATGCACAGGGTGTTTGAGCACTTAACCTAATGTCGCATGGTAGCGGGAATCTGTTGATCCCATGGTCGAAAATAATAATATATCTACGCCTACGTTCTTTCAAGACCAAAGCGGGGCCTATGATTTTATAAATTTATTATTTCAAAACTGTAACAACATTAGCAAGAACCTATTGGTATGACAGTTCATGTTACTCTTACTACGGTTTTAAGCTCTATCTATGTCTGTAACTAGTCGAAATTTCGCTGGGGCTTTTTATATGGCAGCAATGCTGTAAATTGTTTAACCTGACAGTATAATTATTGAGATTGATCTCTAGCGACCGTCTTTGAGGTTGCTAGAAATGTTGGCGGCGGGCAAAGTGGATCTCAATAGTAAATACGCATTTGTTGATGCATAGATTCGATACTGGTTTCTAAGAATACCTGCCATTGTATTTGGCCCGACTGTGCAAGGCTAAGTGACAAAAATTGTTCTATGACCAACATCATGGTTTCGGACACTCCACACTTTTCCAGGCTCGTCCATAACTCTTCTAGGTGCTTTCAGTGGCTTCATGTTTCTCGAGTATATATCTAGGCCTTTTTGGTTTCAACACTTGGGCGGCTCGGTTATGTGGGCATCCAATAGCGGCTTAAATTGTTCCACTACGGTGATTGACAATTTGTGGGCTTTTCAAGTACCCTATAGGCCGTCAAGATCTCTGTGGTATTGGGATGGCATCAACAACTGCGTAAGGAATATGATCAGAATACGATCAAAACGTATGACATAATAGTACAAAGTGACAAAGGTAGATGTTTATTCAAGCACATCCGTCCAGATAAATTGCTGAGGATAGCGTCCAGTTGCGCCTATAGCCTTAACCAGTATCAATGCGCCTAAGGCTGTCAGAAGAACACTTCTTGTTACCACAGCCCGGCATACAACTAATTGTATATAAATCGATGGTTTATTCTCTATGTCGAGATTCTAAATGTTCACATCTAGAAAGACCACGGAGAGATGAGAAGAGACCCAATTCCTAAGACAAATCAATTCGAAACACCATGAACGACTCAAATGACCATTTCAGAAAGGTAATAGATATGGCAAAGTTGTCGATAAGGCATTTAACTCTCGCTCTTGCACAAAACTGTGTTAATTTGTATTTTTTATGAATGTAATGCTGGGATTGTTCGATATGACAGCATATGTCGCTGCCATATGTCAGCGTTCGCAGTGGTTCCTCGTACGAAAGTAAACAACTTGTATCAGTATCTGTGTTAGGAACGAAAGGCAGTAAACGTTGTTCTCAGTCCCCAGTGGGCCTATGCTGGGATCGTAAGACAGCAAGCTCCGGCTGTCATTGCTACGTGAGCATCTGGTGGCATTACTCAACATGACAGCAAGCTCCAGCTCTCAACCACCAGTGAGAAAGCGAGGAATACCTATAATTGTGTCACAGTGTTGGTTGTCACTCTTTACCAGGGAAGCGCTCATATTTCGTCCGTAGTGCTATTTCGCGCGCCCAAATGTCCATCTTCTCTCGTCGTTCTACTTCTTGTTAGACTACATTTGTTACAATACTGCTCATGATAGTGCTCGAATACTGCGCGTAATAGGTTCGTAGAATAGGTCCTGTAACTCTGCTCTCATTGTGGTAATTTGAAACTACCGCACGGTATGCTGGTTCATTGACAGAGCTTGTTTCTCACTCAATATAACTCCTCTTACGCTTTGGAAATACTCTCACACTACTCCTTGCTTCTCGTATTGTTCACCACTACTACAACCATGTTGTTCTCATCAACACTCCTTCTATAGTAACAAAACCATGTTATTCACAATCCCGCTGTTATTCTATGGCACTATTCTCGCTCTTTAAAGTACGAGCTCCAGCTCGTATTGTTCAAATTTTACTCTCACAATATCTGCTGAAGCGCGTACTGTCTAACAGTACTGACTGCACTCTTTAGCGCTACTCCCACTCTTCACAACATCGTACTATTCAGTACTACTGCCCGCACTCTTTAGTACTATTCTCACTGTTCCCAATACTCGCTGACGCTCGCATTCTTATCACTTTATACCTACGTGTCGCATTCGGGAAAAAATTGCAGTGTTCCGAAGCTGATTAAGCTCAGCGATGCTAAAGTGCCGTGTACTTAGTGAGGCTTCGGTGGAACTGTTGAACAATACGAGCTTCAGCGAGTATTGGGAACAGTGAGACAGGTAGTGATGAAAAATGCGAGCTTCAGCGAGTGTTGCTTGATAGTGCTAAAATCTTGCTCTACAGTATTTCCATTTACTATTCGATAGAGTGTTAATTTAGAGAGTGCCACTCTCACTCTTCAGACTACGAACCGCAGTGAGTATTTGATAGTAGTACCCTCCTCTCTCACTGTTCGCAATACTCGCTATAGCACGTATTGTTCAGCAGTCCTACAATCTTGTCTTTCGATAAAAAAATATATTCAGTAATATTGAATAATAATACCAGCCTCACTCTTGACAAAGTAGTACCTTTCTCTCTCATTCTTCACAACACTCGCTACGGCTCGTATTTTTCGGCAGTAACACTCTCCTCTCTCACTGCTCACTATGACTCATTGTAAGCACTGGACTTGCCATTTTAAGAAACACTATCTACAGCCGTACCATTGCCAACTCCTAAGGCTTGGCAGTGGAAATTTTGTAGAGCAAAAGACCGCGGTTAGATCCGCTGCAATTGTAGCCAGTAAATAGTAAGCAGGCGTTCGAGACTGTGCAACGGTTGTGCGACTTAAAAGTGGCATTCCAGTACCTCAGTCGTGATTCTACAGTTCCCATCCATCGCAGTTTTTCGTTTGGGTACCATGGCATCTTCAGACGTCTCCAGCGTGTCCAGCGAGTCCGGTGTCTCCGGCATCTCGACAAGATCCAGCTCTAAATTCGACGACGCCGAAGCGGGGGTGCGGCCGCTGCAAGCAGCGGCTTCGCACGGGTCGCAGCTGTCGCTCGATACCCAGGCTTCGCTCGAGCACCAGTTCGAGCACAACTTCGATCTTGACGATGCGGTGCGGATGTCGTCCTACCGGCCACACAGCTCAGTGCTGGCGAACGGGCCGCCAGGCGACTCGAGGGCGGTCGAGGATCTTCCCAAGATCAATAAGGTTTTCACAGACGCAACCACGGGTGAGCTGAGCCTGCCGCCGGACGGAGGTTACGGGTGGGTGTGCTGTCTGTGTGTTACGCTTGTGATGTTCTCAACCTGGGGGTCCAATTGCGCTTTCGGCGTGTTTCTCGCCTACTATCTCAACAACAATGTGTTTGCCGGAGCTTCCAAATACGACTACGCTTTGATCGCTGGCATCACCGTCTGTCTGGGCCAAGGTCTGCCGCCTTTCGTGATTATATGCATGCAGATATTCGGGTTCAAGGCGCCAATGTTGCTGGGAACCGTGTTCCTGCTGCTGGGCTTTATTCTGGCATCCTTTTCCACCAAGCTGTGGCAACTGTATCTAACCCAGGGCGTTCTGGTCGGCATGGGAATGTCATTTGTGTATGCTCCTGCTACCACGGTTTTGCCCGGCTGGTTTCTACGCAAAAGATCCTTCGCATTGGGCATATCGCTCATCGGGACTGGTGCAGGCGGTGTGACCTATTCGCTTGCCGTTGGTCAACTGATCCAGGAAACCAAAGATCAGAGATGGGCATTGCGCATGCTCGGCATCGCCTGTACTTTGACCTGTCTGGTAGCCATCGCAGTGATCCGCCAGCGTGTAAAACTCGAGCCCATTGGACTCAAAGACCCGTCGCTGGTGAAGGAAAAGTTCATAAACATGTTTTCGCCTCGCATACCTCGCATGATGGCCGTCAACCTGATAGCCGCTTGGTTTTTGTTTGCATTGTTCGGTTATAACCTGATGATCTTCACTATCTCACCTTACGCTATAGCCAAAGGCTTAACAACGCATCAAAGTTCTTCTTTATCCGCAATTCTAAATGGAGCCCAGAGTGTTGGAAGACCACTTATGGGTTTGATGGGTGACAAAGTTGGTCGCACCAATACGGCAACGTTATTAACTTTGCTCAACATGATACTTCTTTTTGGATTCTGGTTTCCAGCCCACACTTATGTGCAATTGATCGTTTTTTCGATTTGTCTGGGACTATGCATGGGCGTTGCCAATGTCATGAGCACAGTTCTGGTGGCAGATTTGGTCGACGCTTCGGACTTCCTGCCGTCCTGGGCCTATATCAATAGCGTGGGATCTCCGTTATTGTTACTGCCAGAAGTGATCGCTCAACTATTAACAGATGAATCCCACCCAAGTAATCCATACGTTCATACTCAGATATTTGCCGGTATGTGTTTTGTCGGAGCACTGTTGCTGGTCCTGGCATTGAGAGAGTACGCTGTCAAAAAAGCTATAAATGAGCGGTTAAGTCGAAAGTCTCAACAGATCAAGAAACTCGAGCTTTCGGCGCCTGAGGTAGAAGAATTAGAAGAGGGCAAGGATCTGCTGCGGCAGGAATCCAAATACCGCAACCTCCTCGGAGGCGGGCCGTGCAAGTATGTTGTTAGAGTGCTTTACCCCATGAACGTGTGAGAGCTTAGAGCAAGTAAGTATGCAAATAAGACTAAGAGTAAATCAATGACTGTCAAGATGAATTTCTTTCAGCGAGTTGCATCTACGGTGTTTTTGCCCAACCTTGGTTGCCAATTCAGATATTAATACGTTTCTCTTCCAGGTGAATCAGTAGTCTAACGTCTAAAAAAGTATTTTACATCATCATAAAAGGCTGGTTGGGCGCTTAAGGTTTCCAGGCTGGCCGGGGTTCGCTTTCTGGATCCTGAATGTCAGTCGACTGGGTGTTTCTTAACCCCCAAAGATAATCGTCTCAAACTCAGCCAGAAGGTCCAAAACCAAGACAGCCTACAGCTCAATACCGCCAGCTTGGCATCATAAAGCTGGTGGTGTCTCCTACGGCTCTCAACTTTTGTTACGTCCCCATGCAATAGTAAATCTTCGTTTGTTACTTCCTCTTTTATATATATTACAAATTTTCACGATTCTTACCCTGAGCGCTAACCTGTGCTAGGGCTCGGACTTCTACCTATATCAACTGAACCATGTCGTCTAATATCAGATCTCTCACGACGTTGTAGCGCATGACGTAAATACCACCTATCGTAAGTTCAGCCTCTTCTTGTAGTTCCTGGATTGTAACAGGGTAGAATTGCTGACCCATCTCGTTAACTTGTAATCTTGGATCCGAATCCTGCTTGGCCTTAGGACCATTCACATACACGAATACAAACCGGTTCCACTCTGGCTCATCGACCATTTTGACGGACCCGTCGTTGTCGTCCACGGCCTGCAATTCTGGAGGCATGTGTCGAAGAATAGCCCTGTTGAGTAGTTTCAACATAATTGCAGAGTGTCGGTCGTGATATTCGAGCTCCTGGCGCGACAGAAGCTCACTCAGCGGCAGCAGAACATGTTCATCATTGAACTGCCTCAGATATAGGCTGTATTTGTCGATCTTGGCTAGTCTGCAACGCAGGAAGCTTCGCAGTACAAATTTGAGCCGTTCTAAATCGGCCTCCATGCAGAGCAACGGCAGCTTGTTTGACAGTGCATTATTGCTTGACTCTGAAGTACTGTTTTCCGCGCTGGGATCTTCCAAATAGCCCATCGATACACATTCAATATGTTCCAACTGTTCTTGGACTCTGCGCAGCGTTCGCTCCATCAGCAAGTGCGGATAAGGCAATAGCTCGGGGCTCATTCTCTCATTTCTCCAGTGAGCCATCAGCTTTTCGAAATCTCCCACAGCAGACAACACTGGAAGATGCCGAAATTTGTCGGTGTCGATGCCGTCGCTTCCTAGGATGGTGGTATCATTGGCAGCGTGTGAATTGATAGAAGAGTCGATGGCCGTGGTGTCTCTATCCAAGTCGGCCAGAATATCATCAATATCGATGTTCATGAGTTGGGAAACGGTAAGTAGGCGCTTTTTCCTATCTTTAAATAGTGTCTTTTGGTGATTTTGGCAATTTACTCAATAACATTCACCAACTGAAAGCTTTAGATGATTCGAGCAAAAAGGTGAAGCCCGCGATGGATACGCTGGAGGAGAAGCGAAAGAAATTACAAGAGCTTCGAGAACGGCGAAGGCAAGGCCAGAGACCAATTTCTGACAGCTCGCGGGATGATCTGGTCAACCATTTGCTGAATTCGAATAATAATGAGAATCTGCCTCAACCGCTGGAGATGGTGAATATCGCGACTCAAACCGAAGAGACTGAAAATTTGACGAAACTAGAGTCCACAAATAACGATTTTCCAACGCTTCTGACATACGAAAGAGCAGTCCAGACCGATCCAGTGGAGTTTAAAGAGCCTGACGAAGCAAACCAGGAAGCCAATACGGAAACAAGCTTCCTTGATGACACTGGAGAGGATTCATCATTCTTAGAAGAGGGCCCGATCTCACAAGTACGGAATGTGGTACCTCATGTTGTTGAAGACCAATCGCTAACCGTGGGCGTCAAATCATTTTCGCTTTTGGAGGCCCTGGACAAGACTAAGGCTTCGTTGACAGAAAAAGAGATTCAAAACGTTCAGCACTTTCGAATTTCTCATATACTAGACCCGGACTCTGCAGTTCACGGTGAAATGCGGTGCGTGTGGGTTGATTACTACGCTGAACTAGCGCTGGTCGTATTGCAAGAAACGCAGACAAGTCAAGATCAATCTTCAAACAGTATAGTTTCCGTTTACAAACTCAGCACGGCAGAGCTAGTAGACACAGTTGTATTTCGCGGCCAGGCGTTTTTACGGGGTCAATTCATTCGTAGGAAGCGAACCGCTGTTACATCTGCACTTTTGACATCTTATAATGGAAAGACCATACTATATGAAATACGAGCAGTACCGCAGTCGAATGGGGCATTGGGTATCGAGAGAAATCTCATTGTGCGTAATTTTCATCACTATCCTGTTTTTGCAGTGTGGCAACACCATACGGTGGATCCCCGAGTGCTTGTCGGAAGTACCGATGGGACTGTCAGCGAATTGGATATTCTACGAATGGAACTGTATCGGGATCCGGCCTCCGCGCAGCATACCTCACATTTTAAGATTCTCCCAGTGTCCCCGTCATCACTTCTACTATCGGAAGAGTTCGGTGCAGAGCTGCGGTCTGGCTTTCAACGTCAACTTGATAAACAATCTGCGTACGACGAGGTTGCCATTACCTCTATGATCACAATGCCGCAGGATCCGACAGTAGTGTACGTTGGATGCGAAGACGGTGGAATCTATAAAATAAATCATTGCGAGCTCAATTCTGACTCTACAGTGATTGATACGAACAACAACGGATTTGTACCTAAGATCAACACTGAAAACGATGAGATATTTCACGCACTTCCAATTACGGGACTATATAATTGCGACAATGCGCCAAATCTAATGCTGTCCTCGGCCATGGATTGGGAATGCAAAGTTTGGGATGTTGTCAACAACGAAAAGGTCGCTACCATCGAGCTGGACTATCCAGTGATCAATTGCGAATGGGTGAGCTCCCAAGACGCTTACTTTATTTTCATACTCACGCCAACTGCCTTATCAGTTTTTAATCCAATGGTGATGCCGGACTATTCACAAAATGGCACAGTCTCCTGGAGGGCGATCAAAAACCCCGTTGAAATTTTTAGCATTAGTGTAGATCACTGTGAGAATTTCAGCTACTTTACCAGCGTCAAGGTCTTCGAGGAAAAAGGCAAGTACTACGCGCTGCTGGGCGGCGACTCTAACAAGCTAGTGTGCATGGAGGTGGAGGTACAAACTTAACAGGACGCTATAAAGAAAAGCGTCTGACAACAACGACAATTGAACTGATAGCGATTTTTATGCCAGCTACCGAAACCCCAAGTTCCTTTTGCTACAAGGAATAGAGAGTAAAGGTATCGAAGAGAAAATTATTGTGCCCAAGGTTGGCGTTGCTATTGGTCACAAACGCTACTGCATGCTTCCAGTCTCTAAGACATATTGTGGTAACATTTGGGCCACCTACGTTCAGCTTCAAGGGTCTTGGAAAGTTGTATAGTTTCTATAGCCTGCCTTATCTCGAATGTCAAACCTTCGCATCAGAACGGCCGATATATTCTATATTCAATAGGCTGACGTTGAGTAATGGAGCACTTTAAGTAGTTGACAATCACCACTGTATTTATTGGATATTCAAGTCCGGCCTATCTACATCAGTTCCCTTGACTATCTATTTTATCCACCTTCCTCATTGAGAAACACTGACATCCATCTTATCGAAAAAATAAGAAGTAAGACCTTATCAAAAATTATTCGGGACTTTTCACCTTGTGATGTCGATAACGTGTGGACTAATCGATGATTCCGCTGGTGAGACTGGATGATATATGTCGTACCCGATCGAAAACACATGTTACTGAAACAACAAAGTAACTCTTATCATGCTCTTATCCCTGCCCGCTGTAAGCACTTTCCCTGCGAGGAAAGTGCGATGTTAGCTCTTTTCTTTGGGCGGATGGTGGGAGACTGCAATCGACGGCGATCTGCTAGCCAGCGCTCAACTAAACATTTACAAAGATGGACTGTCTGACGCGAAACTATATATAAGAGCCTGCATCCGCGAGCTTTTCTCGTAAGTATTCTTGTAACTCAAGAACTATCAACCATTGATACCAAAATTAGCAATGACTGTCTCTACAACCTCTCTACCCGAACCATCTTACACTTTCCAAGCTACGGTTGACGCAGCTGGCCCACAAGTGGTAGGTGGTAAGGGTGTTCGCATCAGCATTGAAAAAGAAGGGCAAGTCTACGACGATATGCTCGACGCAATTTCAGGCGCTGCCGTTGGCTCGCTCGGCTGGGGCGACGAAGATGTTTTCGAGATCATCAACAACGCAGCACGCAGCTCGACATATTCGTACCCTCCTTTGATCACAAACAAGGCGGCAGAGGCACTTTCCAAGTTCTTCGTTGACAATTCGCCCAAGGGAGCCTTCGCGGCCGCATTGTGGTGTTGCTCTGGTTCTGAGAGTAACGATAATGCGATTAGAATCATTAGACAATACTATTTGGAACGCGGTCTTCCCAACAAGGTGAAGCTCATCAGCAGAGCCAGCTCTTACCATGGCTTCACTCTAGGTGCACAGTCTATTTCCTGGAATCCAAGGGTTGATGCTTACGAGCCTTACCTCATGGATCGCGAAAAGATCGTCATCCAAATCTCTCCCGCCTACAGCTACCGTTTCAAGAAGGACGCGGAAACTGAGGAAGCCTATTCTCAACGTTTGATTGATGAGCTTGAAAAAAAGATTTTGGACAACGATCCTGACACGATTGCCTCTGTCACTGTTGAAACTTTGCCAGGCTCTTCTTTGGGAACTTGTCCTCCTCCAAAGGGCTACTTGAAAGGAATTAGAGATCTCTGCAACAAGTACGACTTGATTTTCCACTTGGATGAGGTTATGTGTGGTACCGGAAGATCCAACCCTAACGGTAAGTTGCACTGCTGGGAGAACTTCTTGGAGCCATGCGATGCTCCAGATATTCAGACCGTTGGTAAGACGCTTGGTTCTGGCTACGTTACCATTGCTGGTGTTTTGGTGGGACCTAAAATCAGAGATGTCTACCTCAGCGGCTCGAACAGTGTCGCTGGTGGTCACACTTATTCTTCCCATGCCTTCAACTGTGCTGTAGCCTTGGGTATCCAAGAAAAGATTAAGAAGGAAAATTTGACAGCTAACATCTTCGAGATGGGTAACCTCATGGGTCAAAAGCTCAAAGACGCTTTACTCTCCAAGTCTAACATCGCTGGCGATGTGAGGGGAATAGGTGGTTTCTGGTCTATTGAATTTGTCAAGGATAGAGCTACTAAAGAGCCATTTGATTGCTCCCTTAATGTAGGCGGTCGTTTCAAAGCTGTTTGCTTTGACAACAAACTGTGCGTTATGGGTATGCCTGGTAACCCTGATGGAAGTTGCGGTGACCGTGCTTTGCTTGCCCCAAGCTTTATCATCACTGAGGAGATTGTTGATGAAATTGTCGAAAAGGTCGTGAAGTCAGTTGATATTTTGAGTAAGCAACTGCACGCTGAGGGTGCTTGGTAATTCGGCCCACAACAGTCAGTACCTCGATTTTGTACCTTGTATATTGATGCTCTACCTTCTATATTGAATATAATGATTATAACCACGACTCGAAAGACCTCATGAGACAGTGATAACTTGGCAATTTAAATGTTGCTGTCCTAAATGCCGAGAGGCTACACCCTCGTTAACAATTCTTGAGCATATATATGGCAGGTAGTCTTTTTGACATGAGGACCGTAGTGCTACGTGACTCTTCAAATATAATGTTTTGTTCGCGTTTTGGGACTTTAAATGTCGGTTGATCACTAAGGGAATTTACTTTATGAGGCGCCTTGGGAGTAGAAAGCACTCCACGCCATTCTTTACCCGCTTAAAAAGCGACGACCCTCTGAAGGTATTAATCATACCGCGCTGCGAGTTTGACTTTTCACCAGTGCAGTAATGTATGTATTAAGTGGATTTGAAAACATCCTATCGTCCATGCTTGGACTTGAGGTGGTCCCACGACAACAACTAATTGAGGTGTTAGGACGCCGATCACGAAAAGAATCACAAGATATGTAACTTTCTCGCTATTCTTTACAAATCTAAAATCAGTCGCGAGGAGAACAAAACAGACTTCAATTTCTGTTATTCTGAACAAGAATTATTTTCCTCACAGGTTCTAGACATTTTACAAATACGTCGATTTGTACTGATGTGCTACCAAGGACCACACAACAGTGAATATTGAGCTGCTAAAGTACACCTCCAGCACATGCAGCGACAGCGACAACAGATTTCCTTACAACTTGAACGAGTAGTACTTAATTATTAATTCCTCTACAAGCTATAGTGACAGACTAAGCACTCGCGTTGTTAGATGGGAATTAAGTCTACCGATTGTTTACAGGAAATTGGCGGAAGTTCAAGTAACACGCTACCACAACACCCTGGGGAGTGAAGTTGCGAAGCGTTAGGTAAAGGTGTCTAATTTGTGAAACACACCCGCTTGACCACTGTGACCAGAAATCATTTCTTTATGACCTTTCACACTTTTCGCCAGTTACAGTGAGTTTCAATGATTTCTCGAGCAGGTAAACTGACACAGCTAATTTGGCGCCGGAATTTATCACCATCATCTTTTCCCAGCGGAATAATCAACCGTAATGGCCTGGCTGTCTGTTAGACTTTTGCTCATCATCTTTGGTATCTCTGAGCTTTTGACTTTCTCTAAGTATTTCGCATGCGATGCTTATCAGCTTACCTTACAAAGAGGGATCGTTATCTCATCTCTAGACCAAATCACGGATCATATGTTAAAGGGCGACAAAGAGCTTACTCCTTTGAACAACGGTTACATTGAGTTGCCAATTCAGGGTCGCTGGTTGTGATTTCGGAACTATCGTAGTAGATTTCAATTTGATAAGCTGTACCAATTCATATCTTAAGAAACATTGGGAACTGTAGCCAACTCTGCCGAATAGTTACGCCAGAAGACGGATAGGCACATAACCAGACCAAAGTACATAAGCAGGAGCTATTTCGTCTCTTCTCGCTTCCAGACTTGTGGCAAGATGGATCAAAATTTCAGGGCTCAGGTCTAACTGTATCTTCCGGTACCACATGCTTCTTCCCAGAGTGTTCCAATTATCAAAGAGAAGGCTCTCTGCATTGCGTTCCGTGAGAGCGGGAGCCGCGAGGTCTACTTTTTCCAGCAGGAGTGCCTCGTCGCTTAGTGCTAAAATCGTGGGCCCACGTAAACAGGTTTTAAGGGCGTCCGTTCTAACCGCGACGTCGGCTTCTGCTGCTCTTCTCCTATATTCACTACTAGATCCAGTACCTGGTGCGATAGAAGCAAGCGACGTCATGCTTCACAACCAGGTTGATGATTGCTGGATTGTGCTCGACGGCGAGGTGTACGATGTTACGAACTTTCTTCAAATGCACCCAGGCGGTGTTGGCAGGATCATGGAAGTTGCCGGCGGCGATGCCACTCGCAAATTCTACTCTGTTCATTCCGGGTCCACCTTAGACAAGATGAAAGATCAATTAGTACATGTTGGCAAATTGAAAGGCAAGTTCACCGAAGTCATTTCTGAGGAGGAGATAAGGATCTCAGAACAGCGCAAGAAGCTGCCACCCTTAAGTCGGATATTTAACTTATCGGACTTTGAGAGTATTGCGAGGGAGATTTTACCTAGAAGCACGTTTGCTTATTACGCTACCGGGGCCTCAGACGAGTTCTCAATCCGTGAAAACCACTACGCCTACGGCAGGGTCTTTTTTAGACCTAAGGTATTACAAGATATTGCGTATGATGTAGATACCTCGACGGAATTTCTGGGCGCAAAAGTGAACTTGCCAGTTTATATTTCTGCTTTTGCTGGGTCTAAAATGGCGCATCCTCTAGCTGAATTGAATTTGCAGGCTGCTGCCGAAAAGGCTAATGTGATGCAAATGGTTCCCAAACAAAGCTCCTACAGTATTGAGGAATTCTTCGAACATGTTCCCGATAATCAAAACCATTGGTACCAGTATCACTTTGACGACGTGGAGCAACTCAACAACGTTGGCATTTTAATCAAGGAACTAGAGTCTCAGCCTACCGTAAAAGGACTCTTTTTGAATGTAGATCTGCGCGATATTGGCAACCGTGAAAAGGATACGAGACAGAGGTCCGTTGATACAACCACTAGCAAGGACCTGTCTTCCATTGTTACAAAAAACATGTCATACGCTAAATTCACTTGGAAGGACGTGGACAAAATCATGGCTTCCACACAGCTGCCAATTGCCTTGAAAGGTATTCAGAGAGGAGAAGATGTGGTCTCGGCTGCAGAAAGGGGGGTCAAAGCAGTTGTGTTATCGAATCATGGAGGTAGACAACTAGATTTCTCGCGCCCTCCACTCGAGGTGCTCGCGGAGGCTAAGCAAATGCTCAAGGAAAAAGGCCTGGAGGACAAGATAGAGATTTATCTTGACGGCGGTGTAAGAAGAGGCTCTGACGTTGTCAAAGCCCTGTGTATGGGTGCCAAAGGCGTAGGTCTTGGTAGGCCTTTTTTATATGCCATGGCCGGATACGGCGAACCTGGCATTACCCATCTATTGGAGATTTTAGAGGGCGAGATCAAAAACAACATGAGGCTTCTTGGGGTGGAGCGTATTTCGGACTTGAATGAAAGCCTAGTCGACGTGAACAGTCTCAAATTCCGCAACCCACGGGCCAACGATGTTCTATACGACGAGGGCTACATGTCACTGCGCTTCCCCGAGTTCAAGTAAGAAGCCTATCGAAAGGGCTGTCACTGCTACGGTAGCCTTTGCCAGCTCTCGAAGAGGACAGTTATTGATGATAAAAATCTGTATGAACCCTGACAATACGAGTGTCGCGAAAGGTAAAAAGTGATGACAATATCAAACTAAATCAAGTTTATTCCACCCGCGCACCTGGCGCAGCACATTGTAGAGCTACCCAACCACCAATGCTTTCGCTGACCGCCACGAAAACCAAATCCGGAAATTCACCATGCTGCAAAGCAATATATATCGTTCCAAATACTTATCTATTTAATTCATTATCTTTTCTTGGCATGACGAGATAAAATATTATGCTTCGAATTTAAGGTACCAAGTAATAACTGGTAATAACTGAAGTAGGTAAATTTTGTAGTCGATTTCCCGAGTGAGTTCCTCACTAATATTGGATTGTGAAGGCTGCTATCAAATTTCCTTTAATCGCAGTATGTTTACTCGCCACAACAAAAATCCAACCCTTATGGCTAATCTTCGAGGAAAATAATCCCAGGATATTGATAAAAGTTGACAGTAAAATTCTGCACTCGGATTACAAATTCCGGAAGGTACCCGATCAGGCAGGTAACAAACCCAGCTGACAAACGTTCAAGCGAATTCGAAGCACTCACCCTTCGAATCGCCAAGAAATCCCAACTACAATGGCAGTTCTGTGAATAACATATAAAATGGTAAATTAAGACCTGCACCTCACAATTACGTTGAAATATCGAAAAAACTCAAACTCACAAGCCAACTATTAAATTCTACTATTCATATTATGTCCTCGTTTCCTCTCTTCACTCTAAACACAGGAGCAACCCTTCCATCAGTTGGTCTAGGAACGTGGCAATCTTCGGACGAAGACGCCTACAAAGCCGTTCTTGCTGCTTTAGATTGTGGTTACAGACACATTGACACCGCTGCTATCTACCGTAACGAAGAGCCTGTTGGCAGAGCAATCAGGGATTCGAAAGTGCCACGCAGCGAATTGTTTGTTACGACCAAGCTATGGTGCACCCAACAAAGAGAACCTGAGGCAGCTCTCGACGCTTCGCTGAAGCGTCTGGGATTGGACTACGTTGATCTCTACTTGATGCATTGGCCTGTGTGTCTCAACGTCGACAATGTAAAAGACGACAATTATCTGGTGATTCCTACGAAAGCAGATGGGAGTCGAGACGTCGACATTGAGGGCTGGAACTTCGTCAAGACCTGGGAACACATGCAGAAATTGCCTCAAACAGGGAAGACCAAAGCGATCGGTGTCTCAAACTTTTCCATCAACAACCTGAAAGAGATTTTGAAGCCCGAGCTAGGATTCACAGTGCCTGCAGCCAACCAGATCGAAATCCATCCTCAATTGGCTCAGGACGAATTGATAGATTTTTGCAAGTCGAAGGGAATCGTGGTTGAGGCCTACTCTCCTTTGGGCTCGTCGAGTTCTACCCTGCTCTCAGATCCCGAGATTGCAGAAGTGGCTGACAAGTACAAGGTTGAACCAGCACAGGTATTGATCAACTGGGGTGTTGCGAGAGGCTACTGTGTTTTACCGAAATCCACAAATCCCAAAAGAATTGAATCCAACTTCAAGTCGTTCAACTTGTCTTCAGAAGACACACAACGAGTCTCCGAGATCACCAAGAAACTTGGGGTCAAGAGATACGTCGACCCCAACTGGAAGCCTTTCAAGGCTTTCGTTTAAGAAAAGAGTTCAGCATATTCGAAATAAAGATCTCGGGTCGAGATGAGCACTTACCGATCGGAAATTGTAGAATCATGATACTAGCGGTAAATAATCATTAGCTAACTTCAAGAATGGATGGCGCCAATTAATACCATGTTTAGCACTGTGCAGACCAGAAAGTTTTTCTTGGGCCAGCAAAGTTATGATATCGCTAACGAATGCCCTGCGTATGGCATAGCGAACCCTTCTGCACACTATCCCGCTTTCAAGCTACTAAACGAAAAATAAGATGGTAACACGTTATTATCTATTCACAACTACATGACGTTGCCCTAACGGACATCATATGACGATCCAGTCTAATTTCCACTGGGAATTTCGGCCACACACTCAAGTTCAACCTTTAGTCTGGAGTCTGGAAAGCTCACGACGACACAGCTTCTTGCGGGGGCGCTTGGGAAGAACTCTTGGTAAACCTTGTTCACACCAGCGGCATAGCTTCCGTCTGCAACAAACAGGAGCACTTTCAACACATGGTCGAAATCCGTAGAGGCCGCAGCTAGAACGTTCTTCAAGTTTAGCATGGCATTTCTTGCCTGGGATTCAACGTCTTCTGGATACTCGCCAGATTTTGGATCGTTGCCCACACATCCAGAGGTAAACAATAGCTCACTATCTTTCGCAGTAATGTAACCTGGAGACAAAAGGGCGTGTCCCGTAGCTCCGACTTCCTTCCACTCGAGTTTTCTGACCATGTTCTATTATATGATGCCAAAAGCGCGGTTTCTCACAAGTGACAAGTTTTTTGTCAAAGTCGACTCAAGAATCACGATACTACTTATATAGGTCTTGCTAGCGAGCTAGCGAGTGATTCACAGGTGTCATTTTAACGATCTTATCTCCGAGAAAGATAATCACCACAGTTTATTTCCAAGGATGTTACAAACCGCACTAACCCTAACTACTCAGTTATGATAAGGAAGTATGCTACATATTCGTTGACTCGCAACCATTTAGGGAATGTAAATTTCAACATTGAGTTTCCGTTTTGGTTTTTATCTGAATTGCCAAAACTGATCGACCTACCTATCAGGACGAAATAAACGAGATAGACAAGACAGAAAGTGACTAAGGTTCATTAACATAAGCTTGTATCAGATAGTCGGAGATCTTGTTTTGTCATGCTCGGAATTTATATAGGGCGAGCACTTGTACCGTTCCGTTAAAAATATAGATATGTTCAGTCAACGTAGACTTCGCAAAGTAACGAAGGATCACGATATAGAGGAACAAATATGACGGAAAAGAGCAAGGTGTTACTGGTTGGCTCTGGTGGAGTAGGAACAATTGCTTCGTACGCTTTGGAATACGCGGGTAAAACAGCTGTCACCTCTGTTCTGCGTTCGGACTATTCCAAAGTGGTGGAAAAAGGGTTTTCGATCGACTCCTGCGATTACGGCCAGGTGCCTGTGTTCAGACCTACCAATATTGTGAATAGTGTGGAGGCAAGCAAGGAATATGGTCCTTTTGAATACGTGGTAGTAGCTACAAAATGCCTTCCCGAGATCGACAGCATGATCGATGTCATCGCACCGGTCGTAACAGCCGACACAGCTATCGTTCTGATCCAGAACGGCATTGGCATTGACGTTGAGGCTAAAACCAAATTTCCTCAAAATATTGTCTTGAGCGGCGTTAGTATGATCGGTTCTGCGAACAGAAATGGGCACATAGAACATGAAGCCCCAGACTTTCTCAAAGTAGGATACTTTGACAACGAGAATCTAGATCAAGCAGATATGGAAAAAGTGTGCCGCAAATTTGTGAAGCTCTATTCGAATGACAAAAACGAATGCCACTTTGACGAAAATGTAAAGTTTTCTAGATGGCGCAAGCTGGTTTACAATGCCTGTTTAAATTCCGTATGTGCTTTGACTGGTGTCGACTCGGGCCGCCTGGAGCTGTTTGGAGGCGTTGACTCTATAATTCGTACAGCCATGAGGGAGGTCATTACGATTGCCAAATCTGACGGAGTTGAATTGCCAGAAGATGTAATCGAATTTATGATTCGCTCGGACGATCCAGTATACTACTGTCCGTCCATGCTGGTGGACATTAAAAAGGGCAACTTGCTGGAAATCGAAGTGATAGTCGGGAACCCAGTAAGAATTGCGCAGAGAAATGATGTTTCCGCACCCTATCTCACACTCATTTATGAGCTTCTCAAGGTGGTTCAACAACATATTATGGAGCAGAAGGGAATGATCACAGTACCAAAAGAGAGGCCGGTTCCCAGATAATCTCAAAAGTTTAGTCAAGTACCCTAAACGATAGTAATCCAAAGTTAAATACATCAAAGTCATATCATTCGTATTCAAATTAGATAGCGAAACATATTTCTAGATTACGCTCTCGCAACACTTCCCACCATGACTTTGACGTGCGCCAGCATTCTTCCATAATCATCTTTGCATGAAGTGCACTTTCTACTCCGTCTTTGATCAAAGAGTCCAACTGGATCAAACAGATTTTCCGTCTTGGAGCAAGAGACTCTTCAATAAGTTCACACCCGCAGCAAAAAAAACAAAATAACAAACATGATGGGACGTTGTTTCCTGTCGGCATCCTTAGCTCTATTAAATTTGTCATTCTACAAAGCAGATCGTGCACCATTGAGCTTTCATGTGTCATTCCCATAACTCTTCGACGCAGTTGCAGCACACCGGTCAACCCAAAGAGCAGATTTGTTGCTCTGAGAATAGAATGCTGGCGTAGTTTATCATCAAAACAAGTCCCTATGGTGCCCGAACTTGTAGCTTCCGGATTATCTTCTTGGCTCATTTCGCGAACATTTAACCAATTGATGATTTTGTAGTCCAAGTCGATGGTAGCACGAAATAGTGCTGGCGTAGGAGCATGCATTGACGAAATTTCATTTTCTAAAACTATATTGGCTACCTGAGCCAAAAATGACAGGACAGTAACTTCCATGCCATTGGTGTAGAAGACCCCGTCCATTTCATCGTTTTTTTCGGGTCGCGTAGGCAAATTGAATTCAATTTTCAGCGATGAATAATCTTGGGTTGGTGAGCCCCGGAAATGTGCTGATGAAAGAGTACCTATCACTCGAATGTATGCAAACCATCGTCTGAGAAAAAAAGAAGGTCCTTCCTCAGAGGGGTATTTCAAAAGGTTCTGTTCCACGTTAGGATGGTTTTTTAGTTCACGAATAATAATTCCTTCAGCTCCATGGAGATGGGTATACCATTTGTTATTGTCAGTACTGAAGAAAATGCACAAGCTGGCCAGCAGTAGAACACAGGCGAGAACCAGGTCATCAACCCCATTTTGAGCGTACGATAGCTGCCGTATAAGTTCCACGAGACTCTGTTTCTCAAGATTCTTGACCAGTTTGTCGGAATAGGATGAAACTGAAAGGTCAGAGTGGCCTTCCTCCAAAGCATAGCACTGATCTTCTTGTTCGGCGCGAAGGCGCTGCTTTAAATGCCTGCCCCCAAAAGCCATAATGATTTTCATCAAAGTAGGGCTGTGGAGTGCTAGCCGTGGTACAATTGTCCGGAACGGGTTGCTTTTGGCGTCTTTATGTAGCGGCACAAAAGTATGGGCAGTTTCGCATACATAAAATTCGAAAAACGCAGAATATTGAGCAGAACTATTCAACAGTACAAGGCCTGGTAGATCCATAGGTTTAAGCAATCGTGGCAGAGGTGCTTGTCCTGTCCAAGCCACTGCTTGTGATTGAGCTGCAGGGGATGAGCCTATACCATGCGTGTCCTCAACCAATTCCCCGAAATTTTTGACCATAGTCATGTTCTCTAAAGCTGGTGTCGCTGATTCTCTAATTGACTTTCGATCCTTTCGTTTCAGTGTCCCTCTGGGCTCTTTTTTCACAACTGTTGCCATTAGTACACCATCTACCAATCTGGTGTTTGGAGGCATCTTGATGCGTTTGGTCTTGTCCTTGTAGGGCCTTCCGCCCCACTTCAGCGTTAAAGGATACATGCATCGTGCCTCGTTTCCATTAGTACTGCAGTTGGTGCATCTGGGCTTTTTGGTATCACACTTAAGTCCCTGTGTTTTGCAGGTATTGCACGGGGGTTTACTCCTGACAGCCATACTTGCCTAGCCAAATTCGAACGCGTGTCTAAACTTCTTCATTTGTGGGAGAACGTTGTTATTTTATACCAGCGGGTTTCTGAAAGGACGTGTATCGTGGCTAGTGCTGATTACGGCGACGATTGTTGATAAGACATCAGATGAGAACACATGATAATCCTGATCCATGAATTCATGAAGTTGGTTGCGTGAAGTAGGCATTGAAACAGTATAGCGGCTAGAATTCATTCCGTGGCTCTGCATTTATGAAGGTCGCTGGAAGCAGAAGAAAATTCGGTAGCCCTTCAGAAGAGATCAACCTCTAATATGAAGCCCAAATTCGAAGACTGAAAGTGTGCTTGGGATTATAGTGCTCTGCTGCATTAGCAGGCTCGAGGAAATATGGCTTCAGATACTGAAGCATAGGGATGAAAGCGTAAAGGTTTTCTTCCCGCTCCGCTCATTGTTTGTTCGCAAACCGGCTTGTAGAAAGTTCTCTTCATTTGACAGCGGCTGGACAGAAAGTCTCTCGAGACAAGCTGTTATTCTGCCGTTCGGATTAAAGATATTTATATGGTTGACAGCAGCAGCAGCAGCAATATGGTAGCGAATTGCTTTCTCAGCAGCATAGTGTGCCGACCACGGTGCGAGGAAGGAAATGCCGAAGCTTAAATCTTCAAGGGCCATTTGTACAAACACCCTTGATGATAGTCTGCTGCTCTTATATGAACCCATGAGTTTCTTACGCCGATATGCAGCTCGTAAGGGGATCATTCTGAGGTACGAACGCCCCATCACCGGCGGCATTCAAGTATTGCTAAGTCATTACAGTAGTACGAGTGGCACAACGAGTAGGAATGCCAGGTCGTAGAACCATTCTCCTCATTTTGTGACTCGCAGTATCTTGTCAGAAGCTTTCATTTAAAATTTGGAAATGACTTGAGATGGTTTAAGGTGTGAGAGGTTTTGCTTTGCGCCACCTCGCACTTAATCTAACCAAACGCTGGTTGAGTTTCAAAGGTCATTTGTAGAACGCTTTATTACGCCCAACTTGCTTGAAACTCGTTTTGTTTGTTAAGGCGGCAATCAAGATATTCTTTTTATACAATTTTTAAGTTAATGTGCCCGCCAGACTAACTCTTCAAAAGATAAATTTGACAAGGAACATGGTGTTCAACAAGCTCGTGTCGTTCCAACTCGACTATGCGCCACAGTATCATCTCTCAAAGTATATTTCATCGCGTTCCGGGCTTCAACTGATCCATATCAACAATAAAGCTTCGCCTTTGGTTCAAGGCTACTTTGCCGTTGCTACGGAGTGTGCAACGGACTCTGGAGTGCCACATACGCTGGAGCATCTTATTTTCATGGGTTCTCATAAACATCCTTACAAAGGGCTCTTGGACACAGCTGGAAATCTGTGTATGTCGTCGACGAATGCATGGACTGCGACGGACCAGACGGTATACACTCTGACATCTGCAGGGTGGCCGGGCTTCAAAAAGCTGCTTCCTGTTTATCTGGATCACATCTTGAACCCAACTCTCACGGATCAGGCGTGCACCACAGAGGTCTACCACGTCGACCCCGAAGATCTGCAAGAGAAAGGCGTGGTGTTTAGTGAAATGGAGGGCATCGAGTCTCAAAGTTGGTTCATCACAATGTTAGAAAAACAGCGAAAACTTTTCAAGCAAGGAAGCGGGTATCGCTCGGAAACTGGTGGTTTGACAAGTCAATTGAGAGAGTTGACCAACGACGAAATCCGAAAATTCCACAAGGCCATGTATTCGCCTGAAAATTTGTGTCTCATTGTGTCTGGTAATGTTCCTGAAGATGAGCTCCTACGCATAGTTTCAGAATTTGATCTGAGCTTGCCAAAATTTGAGAAAGAACGATTCAGACCATTTCTGGATACACAAGAGTCTCAAATTCCACCTCGCAGAGATGAGATCACCCTTTCAGAGGCCGAATTTCCTGAAACCGATGAAACGCAAGGTGAAATACTTATGTCCTGGATCGCGGAACCCTACAAAGCACATTTGAATGATCTGGCGGTATCTTTGTTGATGGACTACTTTACCGAAACGGCTTTAGCTCCCTTCAATAGTCAGCTTGTTGAAGTTGAGGACCCATTGGCAAACTTTGCGGAGTATTGGACTGATGATTACATGCGCACAATCATAAATTTAAACTTTCATGGGGTGCCGGTAGAAAGATTACTAGAAGCCAAAGATAAGATATTGGAGATATTGAGCACACACAAGATTGACATCTCACGAATGAAACAAGTGATAGACAATGGAAAGTGGGATTACGTCATGAAATGTGAAAAGAATGGACTTACTATATTGAGCCAAGTTTGTATCACAGACTTTCTCTATGGGGACGAAAATGGCAAGATTCTGGAAGATAGTTTGAAAGATCTGAGCGACTTTGACAAGCTTTCAAAGTGGACTCTGGAGCAGTGGCAAGACCTACTCGGTAGGGTTTTCATTGAAAATAAGCCCGTCATTGTTCTGGGTAAACCGAGTGCTGTTCTGTATCAAACTCTTGAGGAGCAGAAGCAGAACAGAACAAAGGACAGAGAAGTGAAACTAGGTTCAGAAGGCAAAGCTCATTTAAAAAAGAGACTTGAGGATGCGCTGGCTCATAATGGTGCTGATATTCCATCTAACTTGCTGAATAAGTTTGTGGTAGAAGATCCTGAAAAGAGTGTGACTTTAATTCATACAAATGGCTGTTCCACCGTTCAAACGTCTGTTGCTGATGTGGAGAACGAATGGGCACGCAAAATTCTTGACACAAAGCCTGAGTCGTTTCCGTTTTCTTTGCATTTTGAACAGTTTCCGTCTCAATTTGTTGAGCTGCGTGTCATGCTTAATACTTTCAAAGTAGACGACGTTGCTTTGCTCCCATTATATCATGTAATATGTGAACTCTTTTCAATGCCCATGAGGGCCGAGGATGGATCTATTATCGGATTTGAGAGCGTCGTGTCCAGTTTGAAATCTGAAACAATTGATGCTGAAATCTCCATGAGTCTTGGCAACAGCTTTCCAGATTTACTTGAATTTTGCGTTTCGTGCAGAACTGAGGACTACGATAAGGCTATCAAGTGGATAAAGCATTGTCTATTCGACATGATTTTTGATAAGAAGAGGGTGAGGGTGTTGCTAGAAAAGTACTTAAGCTCAATAGTTGAGCTCAAAAGGGAAGGTGACCTAATGGTCAATTCCCTCTTCAACAGACATTTCTACTCCGAAAGAACAATGAAAAAATCAACCGATGCATTATTTGTGGAGCAGATACTTGGTGACATTCTGGATCAGATCGACGATGGAAAGTATGAACAATGTGTTTTGCCAAAGCTTAATGAAATGCGGAAGCAAATGGCAGTCGATTTCCATTCATACCATATTTTAGTGTTTGGCGGTATCGAGAAGATAACAAACGTTTATGCACCATGGCTTGATCTTTTGTCTAAAAGCACTTATCAACACACTTCAATAGAGCACGTCCCACCTGTTCCGCGTCTGATCGACTCGCTGTCACCTTTGGGGAAGCGCCCAAAAAATCTAGCACACATCATTACTACGCCTGCTTCCGAATCATCTTATATGACCACAGCGACGGGACTCGGAATCGATATGAACTACAACCACCCAGATCATGCCGCCATCTGTCTTGCTGCTGAGTATCTAGGATGCGTCGAAGGTCCGTTTTGGAAGGGTATACGTGGGTCCGGCTTGGCTTACGGTGCGAACATCATAAAGATGGTAGAGTCAAACGCCATTGGTTTTTCTGTCTACCGCGGTGCTGACATCATTAGCTGTTATCAAACAGCTCGCTCTATCATCAATGACTTTGCCCTCGGAAATTGCGAAATTGATCCTCAACTTGTCAAAGGCGCCGTGAGTAGTATTATTAACGGCATTGCTTCGAGCGAGTCAGACTTCTTCTCTACAGCACTGATGAAGTATGTGGATGATGTTTTCAAGAAAAGAGGTCCCAATTTCAATCGCGACTTTTTGAAAAAGCTTGGAAAAGTTGAAGCCAACGACATTCAAAAAGTACTTGCCAAGTATTTTGTTAACATTTTTGATTCCAAAAAGGCAACCGTCTTTGTGAGTTGCCATCCTGCGAAATTAGACGCCGTCAGTAAATTCATGGTGAGCGAAGGCTACGAAATACTTGTCGAAGAGCTTGAAAATGACAGTGAAGATGCGAGTGATGACGAAAGTGAGGGCGACAGCGAAACTAGCGAAGGAGAGAGTGCTAACAATACGCATTCGGATGAAGAAAAATAGACTTGATTTGATGCTATTAGAGTTTTCAGTTTAGCGCGGCTCACGATAAGAAATTGTGTGTAGAGGTGCGAGAAATAATCTCATTGCACCGAAAATTTATATTTACTATAGATCAGAGAAATCTAAATACAGTTGTTTTCCAGCATAAAATGGGCTTCACTGTACAGAAACGTTGTATTTTTGCATATGTTTTCTTTCCGTCCTTCGGCAGAGACGTCACACTTTAAGTCGAAGAAGTGCACTGCGTAGAGCGCCTCTGAGACGAAAATTCTTAAACAAGACGTCAGCGTAGAGCTCTGTGAAGCATTAACTTTGAACATCATATATACGTGTTCGATACTTTAGTCACGCCCTCGATTCAAGCTCTATGGTCTCACTTCTGGTAAATTACAATGCGACGCATTAAGATAATTACGACTGACTCAACATACGTTATCTCTTGAAGGGACGATCGGATCTAGCTAGAAGCCTTGAGCCCTTCCCCGATGACATGGACCTCTGATTGGAGCTCGAAGATGGAGTATACGTACTCGCCGGCTCCGCTGTCTCAAAATTGGTTTCAGATAATGCTAGTCCTGCCGGGAGTCCATTCGTTAGCTTCCCAGACAATGGTACTGGCTTCGTCAACTTCTTGCCTTGTTTTCCTTTGCTGAAAACAAAATTGTCAAACAGGCGTTCCGGTTTGGATCCATTTGAAGAAGAATTAAAGGTTGCAGAAGGTGAATGTTTGGGAGGCGACTTCAAAGAAGCTTGAACAAAAGCAGGAGAGGCTTTAGCTGTGAAGGAAGTTGTGGAAGCTAACGCAGGAATTGCGAGCCTCGCAGCTTTACTTGCAGCGAGGCTTGGATCATCTGATTTGCTTTTCTGTAAAAGTCGCTCGTGATTAAGCTTCACACTTTTGTGACAGGTAGTTAACCAACTTATGTCGTTTGCTTTACACTTAAGCACAAATGACTTATAAGGTGTTCCAATAACAAATTGCGAGTCAAAAGTTTCTTGGCTCCCAACATCGGCCACAAGTTCTCTTAGCTTTACGTCTTTCTGGGACATGTTGATATCGAACTCTAAGTCAAAGAATAAATTGGTTTCAGGCTGAATCTTGTGTCTCCGGACAAATATCAGACAACGTCCAAAAGTTGTGACAACAACGACCCTTTTCAAGAAGTCACTTGCCGGCAGAGGGTCTCCGGACTTTTCTGCCTCTTCGATTTTTACCTGAAATAACTTTTTAAATTTGCTTGAGACTGCGTGGGTTTCTCCATCATCTACTTCACCCTTTTTGAAGGTATCAAGCACGACATCGTTGGAGATAGACCATTCCGAGTAATAATCATTTTCAGGGAGAACATGGTTAGCATTTTCGCTTCTGAACCCTGTAACTCCTCCACCAGAGCGCGCTACTTGTGACAACAACGTTGTACGCTGCGAGGAGCGTTCAGAGTCCACCAAGGATGCATTGGCTTTACTGAGTTTTTTTTCAAGCAACACTGTTTTCATGCAAGTCATTTCCAACTCACCCATTCTCAATACCCGCTCATCAATGTTTTTGAGGTAGTACGACCACATTATATCAGTTTTTGTCATCGATGGAACACCTGGTGCCACTGATGAAACAAGCGGAGAGCTTCCAAGCATTGGAGTTCGCTCCGACCGAGCAGTTGGAGCTGTGTGAGGTGGCCTGGGAGAGGTTTTGATTATAGTAGAGCTTTCAGGCGAGTCAGACCTCACTATATTAGAAGGAGAGGGTGAAGATCTCGGAGGCTTTTTTTGAAGCGCTAGGGCGGCGGCAGAAGCTGCACTAGTAGTTCTTCTATTGTTTTGCCTTCTACTTTGAATCTCTCTTTTGGCGTTTTCGAGAATCTGAGCAGTTCTCGTATCAGTAGAAGGTTTTGTAGGTTCTTGCTGTTTTGATTCTCCGGCAGGTTCAGGAGTGGGAGGCTGAGAGGGTGATTGTGAGCGTACACCTTTCTTTGGCATGTTGATCACAAGACGCGGCTTTGTTTTATCTAATGCTGCAACTGGTTGCATAGCTTTAGCGGTGACTTTGTAAGGTGTTATCTCTGGCGCGGGCTTTTCCCAAACACTGTTGTCATCAAAATTTGAATGTTCAAAAAAGTGATGCTTTTTAATCTGGGATGCTTCAAGTCTACTCTCTGGCGTCTTGACTAGAATTCGTTTAATTAGATCTCTTATGACCAAAGGGAACCCTGCTGTAAACGCATATTGAACTTTCATGACTTTTTGGAAAGTTAAGTATTCATTGGTGGCTTTGAAGGGAGGTTTGCCCGCTATCATTTGAAATAAAATGCAACCGAAGGCCCAGATGTCGCATTTGTAGTCCACATAATTATCATTCAAAAGCTCTGGAGACACATATTCGGCGGTACCAACAAACGATTTAGACCTCTCCGTAAGATCATATGATCCAGATTTCTCGTTTTTGTCCAACAGTTTGGCGGTACCAAAATCTGTTAATTTGACTTTCATATCTTTGTCCAGCAAAATGTTTTCGGGTTTGATGTCTCTATGCACAACACCTTTGTGGTGTAGATAATCTATGGCGTCTAGAATCTGAGCTGAGTAATATTCTGCACAATCTTCGTTTAGGCTTCCAAATTTCTTCACCACGGAAAGAAAGTCGCCATTTGGAGCATACTCCAGGAGAAAATAAAGACTTGCCTCATCTTGGAAAGTAAAGTACAGCTTGATAACACCTCGACCGTCGTTGAGCCGCTGTAGTGTGTTCTTTTCGATGTTGACGTACTTCACCTTTTTTTGACGAATCAAATACTCCTTGTTTAGGACCTTGACTGCGTACTTTTTGCCACTATCGTTAGATCGAGCAAGCATTACTGTTGAGTAGGAGCCATCACCAAGAACTTCACCAAATTTGAAATCTTTAATGCCCTTTTTTATGACGTGTTTTGCCATCACGCCCGTTTCTGGATTGACAACTTCTTTGACGATTTTGGCTGCTCCTCTTTCTGCCCACTCATCTTGCCTCTTGCGCATAGCCGCATTCATGGACATTTCTTTAACTGTGCTTTCTGGTTCTAAGGATTCTGGGCTGGAGTCTGCGCTCAGCTCGCTATTGTTATCATCACTGCTCAGAGTAATGGTTTCAGGCTCGTTAGTTGATCTCAGTGGTCCTGAGTCATTGCCATGAAACTGAATAAATTTGTCGGTATCTGTCAAGGCTTTTTCCACAGGTGGCCTTGGTAAGTTTTGTCCGTAGCAGTGTCTGGACGAGGAGTGTTTTCTCGAGTCTGTCAGGCCTTCTGGTACCGAATTTACCGACAGCTCCGATTCTGCCAGTGCAGCACGATGCGCCAGTCTGAGCTTTCCGGTATCGATGCCGTCATCACGAGAAGGAATCAACGGTCTTTCGTATTCTAAAGACATTTTTATGAGAATAGGGTCGAGCTTAATATACCTAAAGGCTTGGTTGCTGCTTCGTTTTACCTTCTTTTTTGCTTCTAGTCTATAATAAGGAGTGCCAGCAGCTTGATCATAGGTTGTAATCGATCCAAGGGTTCCTGAAACGGCCTTAAATAGATTGTGCAAGCAATAATTGCGTTAAGATATACATTCCAAGGTTTTTCTGAAAGTTCAATATAGAGAAATTAAGAAACTCATTGTAGTTATGATTTCGTGAAAAAAGAGTGGAAGGCCAAACGTAGCCCAAAAGCCCTATGAAACCCTCGTGTTGCTGTTTGGCGGTATTTGAGTGTCTCTAATAAACTCCAGCTGTCTTTCGAAGCTCTTTCTGATCATCAAAAGCTAGATTTTTGTGGACTATTCAGGTGAACATTGCAACGTCTGACGCCGTTATAAAAAGGATCTTCGTACCGCCAAGATGTCTTTGTTAGGCAACGATTTCTAATAGTAGCTATTGGTGCCTTAGCTAACAGTTCTAGGGCTTTTGAAGGACAGTTCGCTATTTAGTAGCGATGACGACACAGCTGGCCTCGAACTTCGAACAAGAAGTGGACGAGTACGTGAGCCGCTTAACATTCCGGCGACGCTTAAAATCCTGGCTGTCGGCGTCTAATACGTGGTTTAGCTGTCTCGGCGGCGATAGGTGTAGCACGCGCGAGTATAGCTACGATACGGAACAGTTGGATATTTTGCTGTTGTTAAACGGGCTGAAAAGCGAAGCCAGCTCTGTCAGGAGTAGTTGCACCAGCTCTTGTTCTCCTCGTGCGGAAGTTCCAAGCATGGCGTCCGCCTGGGAGCCCACTAACTCACACAGTAAACCGCCTGGAGATTCCAATAGGCCCCCTACTACTGTAATAGCACGACGAAAACGTTTGGTAGAACTTTGTCGTCGATTCAAGTCTGGCCTTCGCAAGTCTGATCGTTCGAGAAGCTCTGCCAACCCATGGGATTGCAAGACACCCGCTGGTCCTCCCTGGGTTTTTGAAGACGAAGAAACTTACGGTCCGTCACGGCTCTGGAAGCAGAACTCGCATGAGTCGCATCCAGCACAGTCTACCAATATTCTCGCACTGCTCGAGATGCAGGAGATATGAAATGCATACCATCGAAGTGTCATCGTATTCCATATTTTCAACAACATATTCTTAGCATGTACGCTAGACCCGTATTGATGGACCCGTAGAGCATCACTCATCAGAGCTTCAACTCGTTAACGTACGTTCCAACAATTAAAAATGTATCTCAGAAATTCCTCCAAAGGCTCTCGTTGGATAACCAGATTTTTGCAGTTTAGACCCTATAACGCCACAACCTTCTGACTACTAGATTAAGCATCAATTTCGTCAGCGCGTCTAGTCTTATACACGTAGAAGCTCATCACATCCATTAAAACACAGGGTAGTTGCCCTTGGGCACTTCACGTGTCGCGCTAGTCGGCTTATTGTGAGCAGGGTGGTCAAGCAAGATATTATTAGTGGCTGAAATTGCTATCTAGAAGACCTTACAAATTTTACATATGTGAATCTTTCCTCCTCTGACGTCCTACTAGTATTTCCTGTAGTTGGATCAAGCTGAGGTATAATCAGATTCATCAAGTTCAATGGTCATGTCTCGTATACTAAAAAATTTCCCAACAAACTTAGACATAAAATAATTTATAAGGCACCGGCATACAGGTTTAGAATCACCTAAGACTCTAATTGTTTTGCCGTGAACTCAGTTGACGTTGTGAGATACTTGTACATTTGAATGAGTGCTACTTGTACCGTTAAACAACGGCGCAATACTTGTAAGAAAGTTAAGGAGGGGGAGAGTCATCAAAATGCCAGGAAATATGGAAATAAGGGTCTTTGCCACTACGGAGATCTCCCAGAGTGGCAGAGGGATAACGACAAAATCAAGAGTGGCTACGTGCGGGAAACAGGTTCTTTCCAAAAATGTCTTGAGTCACTTCTGTATTTCCACAACGAAACGTTGAACATATACACACATTTGATTCCCAGCGGCACTTACCTGGTGCTGTTGATGTTTTTCACAGATTTGGTCTTGATCCCAAAATTCCCTTCGACAAATATGTCGGACTATATTATGATCAACTTCTACCTGCTGGGGGCATTTCTTTGCCTCATGTGCAGTAGCTGCTTCCACTGTCTCAAACAGCACTCAGAGGCGCATTCTGATATCTGGAGTAAAGTCGATTACATGGGGATTATAGTACTCATTTCATGCTCAACTGTGTCGCTACTATATTATGGATTTCACGACTATCTTTTCCACTTTAAGGTTTTTACCATTGCAGTGGTCATTTTAGGGTCCTGCTGTGCTGCGTTTGTGCTTAACGACCGTTTCAACGCTAAAAATTGGCGTGCATGCAGAGCTGCGTTTTTCGTGCTATTTGGGTTCAGCGGGATTGTACCCATTTTTACCGGCCTCGTCAAGTTCGGAGTGGAAGAGTCATCTAAGAGAGTGCAATTGCGATTTGTTCTATGGGAGGCGTTCTTTTATATTGGTGGTGCCATTATATATGGATTGCGTCTGCCTGAAACGCTACTGCCTGGCAAATTTGATTTTGTAGGCCACAGTCATCAGATATTTCACGTACTGGTTGTTTTGGGTTCGCTTTGCCATTTCAGAGCTCTCATTGGCTCCTATTTCTTCTTACACACTGGCATAAGCACTTCCAGCTTATTGAACTTGAAGACAATATAATAACTTACTTAGTATTATACACATATGCGATTTTTCATCTATTAGAAACCCGCGCGTACTTAACGTACTGCACTATTGTGATCGTGAGCAATGGCCTTCACTAATAAAGCTTACAAATTGCCTGGTTTTAATATCGTTGCGAGATTACAAAGTAGTTCTGACGCTTCTCAATGTTGAAAATTTGTGAGCGGCTTATTCCCAATCTCAAGTACAATATTGCTTGAATCGTAGCCCGCATTTAAAGTCCGCGATTCTGGACTAAAGAAAATAAACTCACCCGCGTTCCTGGTTTTTTTGTTAGTTTGGGCTTGACTTCGCGAGGTAAATAGACGTAGAGTTAGCTAATATTTTGACGGAACTGAGGTCTAAAATTCTCCTCGAGTATCTGGCCACTTACGTGTTTATAGCAGGCATGATACCCAAGGAGAAGTTTCGTATTCTACTCTAAGCATGCACATGCAGTGCATATGTTTCCAACAGTTGTTGAGCACCACTATGAAGCCGTTTTCATATCTCTTTAATCTTAGCGACAGTGGCGTTAGAAATTGTACGATGGAATTGCCTTGAACTCCAAGCGAGGTCAATTATTTGATTTTGAATATGAGCCAGCCCAGGAGTTATGGCGCCTTAAGTGGAGTTACGGGGTACTTTGCAAGTGTAGTGCCAGCATTATAATGCCAGTACCGTCCTTTGCGACGTCAGACGGTGGGGGATAATGTCTTGCAGCAGTTTCAAAATTTATCATTTGCTAAGCAAAAATGGTATCGAGACGTATCCGGGTTATGAGTACTTAGCGTGCCAAACTATTCGTTTAGTCGCTCATCGTGTATGTTATCAATTCGTGTTACAATCTTGGTCTATTTGTCCCTATGTAATCTTTTCAGATGTGAAGAATGGGATCTCGACGTGGAGAAGAAATTAAGGATATTTGTATAGTCGGGATGAAGGGTTCTATTAGCTAGAAGCGTTCAAGACGAAATATCAAATCAATGAGCCTACCTCTTCACTATCCGAATTGTCATGCAGGATTAAATGTTTAGCTTTGTCACTCTGTACTACTATGGCATAGTTCTTGGTTCCCGTTAGTTTCTTATTCTGGTCTACTTGAGTATGCAATTGACGCCATCGAACAATACCTCAGGCATCCCAATTAAAATTTCCATTGACGCTACTACAAATAACATCACGGAACTGACGTTAGTTGTTTGAGCACCATATACGCAATAATGTTGATCTATACTCAAAGTCAATAACTTTTCACGACGATTAGCTACCCATCGCTTGCTGGAAAATTTGTAATTACTTGATTATAACACCTTAAAATCAATCAGTCCAGGAACCTGGTGATCTAGCAATCCCTCTGTAAGCTATGAACTCTCAGTCGGTGGCTCTAGCGGCTTACAGAAACGGCTTAAGAGCGACAAAGCTGGCTTTTGGACAAGATACTCGCATGCTTTTGGCAGCGAGGTCCCAGATGAGAAATGGGATGATAAACCCTCCAAACCCTCAATTGTCATCAGACCAACAGGTTCAGTACTTAAATGACGTGGCCCAGTTTCTGAGGCGTAACATTGTACAAGGAAAGAAGAGCGAAGATAACAAGTACAGTCTAAACATCCACGCTGATACTGAGCTTGGTGACAACGAATCCTTAAAACTGGCCAAAAAGACACTAGCTTCGCAAAACGGCGGTTGCTGTGGTGGCGGTCAGAAGCTTTACGATTAAATTTGGGAGAGTAACTGTGCCAACAGTCTTGTAAGAACATGTATATAGGTAAGAGTAATCCCGAGTATTTCGGTTCTGAAGCGAGGTGACTGGAGCGTCCCGCGAGCTAGTTATGAAAGTAATATCTTAACTCTATGTTAGATCGGCTGATCAATGAAAGTCTACTAAGTACTCTCTTCAATGTTGGCTATTTCTTCAGTGATTTTACCAAATATTTTCAACTACACATCTATGTATAAACAACCAAAACGGAGGATCAATGACCGAAGACAAACGCGATGTTCATATTTCCAAGTCATTGGCGTACTTGCTTCGCCATGGTGCAGTCAAAGAGGGTCTGGATATTGACAGTAACGGGTACATACTAGTCGACGTACTACTTCAGCATAATAGGCTCAAGAGTTTGCATTGTACGTTGCAGGACGTCGATCGAGTTGTGGCCAACAATGCAAAAAAAAGGTTTCACATTAAAACTCAAGAAGGGCACTCACTAATATGTGCTACGCAGGGCCACTCTATAGATGCTATAGCTCCTGCAGACGAAGTTTTGCAAAAGGTCAGTGATTTTAAACAAATGCCTTCAATGCTGGTCCATGGCACCACCCTTAATAACTTAAAGCTCATAATACAAACAGGCTGTATCAAAAAGATGCGCCGAAACCAAATACACCTGGCGCCTGGGGTTACAGGCGTCGATGAAGGAGTCGTGAGCGGAATGCGGATTTCCAGCAACGTCTACATATACCTGAAGCCAGATGAGGCTCACAAGACTTTGGAAGTGTTTAGGTCAATGAATGACGTTTATCTGACTCCAGACGAGATTCCCCTTGAGCTATTTGAGAAAGTTGTCTTACGTGAGAATGCCAAAAATAAGTCTGCGGTGAATGAGGCGCGACAATTACTAGAAAACAGAAACATTCCATGTTTTACGGTCAGCCATGGAGATCAGTGCTGAAATAGCCAAGATACGAACCGTGTGAATCAATCGTGTACTCGATGGTTTTTTTTCAGAATCAGGGTTGCTCGGAGATAGCTCTCGTGTTTTTGAATTGACCATCTCAAGTCTTGCACACAATGTCGGCTTTCAGTGCATGGTGCGTCAGAAACTTGACTTGAAGTTTTAGGGGCACATAAAATCTGTGGACATCTCTCAACACTTTATATTACATGCTAAAATACATCGTGATCTGAAGAGCCAGTAAATAAGCATCGATGTTCTTTTTCGCTGATCACTTCGAGGTTTCGATTCTTTGACAAGACACAGCTCATCAAGCTCTCTTTTAGGTCCCAAATAAATACGGCGTAAAAGCCTAGGTACTCACCTGTCAAAGAAAATATGCCATCAAACGCTACTGTGGTAATGATAGTAGCCGAAATCTCGACAGTAGTGACAACCTTCTTTTAAGCTTGATTGCTGTTTTTCAACATGATGCAGATAAAATACGGACTATGCCAAAAGGATTAACGGTAGGCACTCCGATTGCCTGAAAAAAAAAAAGAAAAAAGCCCTTATCCCAAAAATTTTCAGGGTTCAAAGCCAAGTAGTTTGAAGCGCTATCACCATCAAAGTCACCAAAATACACCAAGAAATGATTAACGCAACACTCACTAAACCGGTAGTTTTCCCTTGTGGAACTATCTATAATCTCACTATTGATGATAGCACCACAGTGATGGAGGCATGGTGCTGTGGTTTTGCTCAGGTGAATGATTATGACGACAGAGCAAGTACGCTCCCTCACAATTTTACCGGCATTAGCTGTGGTTCTAGTGATTTTCTCAATATTGAAAATGATACGACATTACTAGAAGGGTATCTATGCGGAATTGGAGCACTTCACACAACCCAAACCAGCGGTTTGTTGACCACCACCACATCCGCTCAAAAAAATGGTGCTGGCAAATTGCGATTGAATTGGATCCACTTTTTAACCCTGTTTGGCGTGCTTTTGCATTTTCTGAATTGAGCCAAGAAGCGGTCTAGCTCCTCAGTGGTTAGCCGATTTTAGCGTGCACTGATTTAATTTGCATTTGCATAGCCACTGATGAGTTACGTTTTCGTCGCATTTTCAACAGATATTACCACTTAATACTCAACACTTAATAAACACTAGATATCGAGCTTTGCGTATATGAAGATCAACTACGACATACAACGTTTGAATAATGATACTCGAACAAAGTATTATCATGTGAGATATTTTACGGATTACTTCGTTTGACGCCAATGCTAAATCCATTGATCTTACTTTAGCCACAGTGAATCGGCCATCATACTTTGTTTCTACTAAGATGGTCCCACAATGCCAGTGAAGATTTGAACCTAGACCAATAATGGTCAACGATTTTCTCTATTATCTTTGGATGACAGACTCATAGTGCGTCAAAATGGTTTAAAGTGACATAAACGGCTGTATCCTGGTCAACATAAAACGAATCTAAATCATGAGTGATCTAAACCGCGATAGGAGTTGGGTAGCGTAGGTTCCATTTTCAACATGCAAATTAAAGGCAAACGGTAATCTTGAGCCTTGCAGATAATCTCATGGTCAAAATTGGCTGCGCGAGGGTTCTCATATAATATGTATTTACATTGTTGATCACTTCGGACGCCTCCACACGAGGAGAGGGACGGCATGTTCACTGCAGGATACAAACAATTTTGAAGTTGAGCACCTTGTTTGTGTGTTGCTCGTAATGCATTCGTAGACCAGCCGGGAGCTATATATAATTTATTTGAGTGTTGCAAAGTTCACAATTGATATCTCTGTCATTCAAAATTATAAGATGAACTGGAAATATGCCACTACACTAGCAACCTTCTTGATTCAAAAAAAAAGTTCGGGTCTGATGCTTACTAGGTCTCCAAATGAGTGGACAGACAGAGGATCTGCTGTTACTTCAACTTCCAAACATGCTAGTATTCGTTACCCGCGTCTTTCGTCGATAGTGCTACAAAGTTTTTATTCTGATCGTGAACCTAGTAAATAATTGAGTCTAATCCAAGCGAAAATAGTAGTTTCAAGACCTCCTGCAGCCGCCAAAGTTCGCTCAATTTCCGCCATGATTGTGCCCAGAGGTATCAGACATACCAAAAGGCTATACAGTAGTACAATCTCGCAGGACTTCCTGAAAAATGTTCTGGAGAGAGTAAAGGAAACTGCAGCCAAGAAACCAATCTCCAATTCGCCAAAACCTAGGACCAGAACCAACAAACGCTCTGGCGATGACTATGAAGCGAGGGGCAGCTTTAGAAATGGTTCTAGAAGAGCAGGAAACAGCCATGGTCCGGTTACGAACGACCCTACGACATCAAGGAGACCTAACATTAATGCCAATGTGATGAACAGACAACCCCAGTTCAAGCGTAGAGGTGGAAACGGAACTTCACCTGGCGAGACTGGATCCGCCTCTACGCTTATGGATGCTTTGGATTCTGTGCAAAGTAGCGGCAACAGATCTCAGCAGCCACGCCAGAACGTCAGGAAAAGCCGCGGTCTTCGAACTGCCCAACGCAGCGTCCCAGGTCTCACCCAAAAACCTTCTTCTTCCGAGGGAATTATTGCGCAAGCCAAAAGATCTGCGGTGTCGCACCAATACGTACCAGAGGAACCGACACCACTTGCTTTGTTGAAATATGCCCCCAAATTAGCGCATAGCTCATTTTCAAAAATGAGCGCATATGGGCTCTCTGCTTTGCAAAAGAGTGATTATCCTTTAAATCGCCAAATAAATATCGGTGTCGCGTCTTTCCCTTCTGAGCAGCCACTCAACGTCTCCCTCAGTCCCGAATCTACTTTTTTCGGCCAATACGCTCCTGCATCGTCATTGATATGGCGGAAAGAAAGGCTCTTCACTAACTTCAACGTGTGTCCAAACTCTGAGCTATTCGAGACTACCGTGGAAGGCAAGTACATGTCTTTGCCATTTACAAGCGAAAACGATTTCAATTCGTTAGCCAAGAGCAACAACAAAAAAACTGAGTTGGTTCAAAACAGTAACATTGTAAGGCTCAGCTTGGGTAGGTCCAATATGGATCCCGCTGGCAAGAACCTTGTCTTCGAAGTGTGCTCTGGCCTAAAACCGATTGCCGATCTGAAAGCCTAGTGTGCGAATTAATGCTCTTATATAACATGAACTTTCCAAACTTGTAAATACCAAAAGTGAAACCTATTTATTCGTGCGAGACTTAGCTCTGCTCTAGCTTTTGAAGCGAATCTTGGATGGCTTGCAACTGTTGTCTTAACAGTGCCTTGTGCAATTCTTGAGTCGCGAGTGTATTCTCGAAATTTATCAACACTGGAGAAAGTGCATCAACTATACTACCCAGCCCGTAATCTAATGGAATAAGCTTCAAGGCTTCTAGCAGGCTCTCATGAGAATCGAGGATGCGCAGGTGTTTCGCCAAGTGCGTCCGCATAAGTAGTTGCGAATCCCTTTTGGATCCCAAGTTAATGTAGTACAGCAGCACTCTAACAACGTTTTCTTTCCCTACCACCTTATCGATCGAATCAAAATCGTTGAATGCCATCAACTTGTCCAGCAAGTTATGTCCTAAAATTTCGTGTTTATCCTCGTCTTCAATAAGAAATAGCAATAGAATGCTCGCAGTGTCGAAATTTTTGATCCTGTCAGTTACCGCATCAAACATTGCTCTATCGTTCCCTTCATACATGAGCGTCCTCACCTTTTCTCCTATCTCTATAAGACTTGCGCACTTTTGGCTAGCTTTAATTCTGAGATCAAGAAACGTCTTAAAGCTTGGCTTCATGTAATCCAGGTCTTGTGAATATGATGTAGAAAGCTCAGCAAAAAAGTCCCACAATTTTTCCTTTTCCATGATATCTTCAAGTTTTGCGACGTAATAATCTATCATGAACTGTTTATCATTGAAATCTTCACTGCCTAGACTTTCCAGAATAGCTATCTTGGCCGTACTGTTCTCAGCCATCGCTACCATGTCTTTAATTCCTAGCCCTGCCCGCTCGAGAATCTTTTTTATATTTCTTAACACATTCAGACGCTCGTCACCATGAATCTCGAGATTAACTAAAAATACGACATCAGCCAACAAGCCATGCTCCTTGTAAGCATCGCAACGCAAAAGATGTTCCAAGTTAATCAAAATAAATTTACTCATTTCTGAACCTCGTTTTTGCTCTCGAAGTAAAGTCAAACAATTCGCATAGTCGCCATTGTGGTGATAAAGATCAAATATTATCGAACCATATCGTTCTTTGTTTTTTTGTAGCTCCGGCAAGAGATCAGAATAGCTGGAAGATTCACACTCAGTGATATCCACGTCGAGGCCATTATGAATGCAGCTTTCAACAACAGCCAAGTCTATACTTCGAAAAATGTTTTCTTTATCTTTAAGGCCGCGCAACTCATTATCGTGAAGCTTGTGGCGAAGGAACTTCATGATGCTGAGGAAATCTGTGAATTTATTTTTCAGCTTCAATGACCGCGTCTCGCATATAAAGTTCGTCAGCCCATTGGGAACCCAGGGATCGCCAAAAATCTTTACACTGCATAAATAGAGAAAAATGCGAATGTCTACCGTCGGTGAATAAATACACCAATTTGATACTATTCGTTGGTCAATTGATGAGGAGTGTAACGTTTCAAGGAGAAGTAGCAACAGTCGAAGAAAATGGGCTTCCATTTTGTTGAATGCGCTAATGTAACTGGAAGAAAGGTTATTTCCCAGAATACTTTCGATCTTGTTCATTGTTGACTCGCTGTAATCCGCTATCTGTAATATTATCGACTCTTTGTACAACAAGTGAATCCCCACAGCAGAATAAAGTACTAAGGAAGTTACTTCCTCATAGTTCGAAGCAACATATGTTTGTTCTTGTTCAATTCTGAATTCGTTGTTCCCAGCAATGAGAGGGACGAGCCTCAGTTTATCAACAATTTGAGATTTTCTGGAAGGATTGTTAACGGCGAAGGCGTGGCTTGTCTTGACCATTCGTAGTCTACTTTTATTGGTACTCCAAAGTTTCTGTACCACTCTGGGCTCATCGTTTGGTTCTACACGATAAACAAACGCACCGGAGTCACCATAGTCGACGATAATAAACGGGAGATCAATCAGTATGTCTAAGGGGAACTTCTCAAAAACTATAGTTCCCTGAGTTATGTCTCCTTTACAGTTCACGACAAGGCCCATTGCATTCTCGCTGCCTGAACTTCCGCACGCTAAAAGAAATTCGCCTGGGCTATACGATACTATCAGCGGCTTTAGGTCGGCACTCATCTCGCTGACACGAAATAACGGTATTTCTCTTCCAGATTTTAGGTCCACAATCTCGTAATTGGAGCCATTGGACGCCATCATTGTTTTGTGATATGTGTGGGCTTTGGAGATTGGCTTAGTACTCACCACGTCTGAGATTGAAACTCGCTTTCCAGTAACGTTTAGATATCTGATACCCTCTGCACCAAATGTTTGAATCTGATAACTCTTGCTACTGGAAGAATACCTCAAAATTTGGAAATCGCTAACGTAAGGTACGCTGTCCATGTTAGGGACAGGAGCGAATTCTGGCAGAAGGAAAAAGTGCAACGTCTCCCCACTTTGAACTAGTGCGATTTCGATTAGTGGCATGACTTTGATGCTCTCAATCGACGCTTTCTGGTCAGAATCAAATTCAGTCTGCGAGACTAGCATGTAGTTGTTGGCTTCCATTTCGAAATAATGTAAAAGATCGCCTTGATCGGTCCCCAGATACAAATTTTTGTCGTACGCATCAAAGCTCGTAAAATTAAGCTCACCTGGTAGCCACTGGATTAATACTTGCGGTGTTAGTGGTCCTGGAGTGCATTCAAGCTTGTCTATTTCTACAGCATTGACTTCAGTCACAGATGGTTCCCTGGGTGCGTCCTCTATTTCGCTAGTTGTTAGCTCTTTTTCTGCAGTCTCATCGTGCGTTTGATGAGAGTTTTTGTCATTGCTCATAACAGCTAAAGGAAGGGCTTTCTAGATACTCTTTGAACAGTTTAGTTTAGTTGATGGTACTATGCATGATATATCTCAGATATTAACGTTTTACGTTTCCAGTGATAGAACCCAAGCTGTCAATCTTTCACTATAAAATAATGTACAAGCTAAAATAGATGAGTAGTGTTAGAGATTTAGGCTTTGTTGTTCATGAGTTTCACCAGTAAACGAGCACCCTTATTTTTCTCATTGCTTTGATCAATTTTCTTGGCTACCTTCTTCAAATCTTTGACGAATTTTTTGTTGCCGGACTTGGACAGAGATTCGTAAAGTGCCACAATTGTAAAAGAACTGTCGGCGTTGTTAATCCAGTCAAGTAGATTAGTCTCGTCGATAATATCTTCGTAAAACTTTTGAGCGAAGTCAGCACCAAGGCCCTGGACGCTTTGGAGTGGTTCCACCGTCTTCTCCTTGGCGTTCCATTTGCCGCCTTGGATCAGAGATTTCAATAGTCTGACAGAAAATGGTCTGTGAATAGGATGAGTTTCCTCAGAAACGTCGCCTTTGTAGTAAGTTACAATGGAATCAATGATTTCCTGATGTCTCTGCTTGTCTTGCTCACCTAGTTCTTCGAAGAGCTCATCATTGACAAGAACCTCGTTGACAAACTGGCATCCAAGAGTTTCCTCCAAGATGATAGAGTAGTGCTTAGAAATGGTGCTCAGGTACATGGGGGCAAATTTATTGAGCAGTTCCTTTCTTCTCTGGTCAAATGGTTTTTTGGAGGTGTTTTTGGAAAGCTCGATGTATTTCTGCAATTCTTTCTTTACAATAGGTGAAAAGTACTTGCCATCTAGCCCCAACAAAATGTATTGAAAGGGTCTTCTACCGAACTTGTCGACAATGATATTCTGTAAGTTTTCTTTGATGGTGGGGCCGAAAGATTTGAACATCAACACGGTGTCATCCACGCACATCAGAGCAGTCACGAACACAGTGTTACCTGTCTCATTTCTGATCAGTTTGTCGGCATGATCTTTTAGATTTTTAATGATCGACTTTCTCTCCTTGGCTGTGGCTTTGGCTAACAAAGTGCATGCCACCTCCGCACCTTCTGGAGTGTGCACCAGCTCGGCAAATTTGTCTTCGAGTACCTCGATGAATTCAGAGATCTCCTTGTCCCCAGCAATTCGCACGTAGTCACGCATAGCGGCATGCAGAATTTGAAATCCAGTCGAGCCCTTATCTACCGAAGCGGTGATGGTTCCAATTAAATTTTTGGTGATGATGTTCTTCTTTTCAGCACTACTTTCACATACTTGCTCGAGGGTCAAGTCTTTGTGAGCATCTCTGAAAACAGCATATTCAGCACCCCAGAACTCACGAATCATTTGTTGCTTTTGTTCGTGAGAAGCGTATAGCACGTACAAATCTTCCACGACGTAGGCACCTTCGCGATGTCTCATAAGTTTTCTAAGGGAGCCGTGCAGCTCATCGATGATCAGTTGTCTTGATTGTTTGGATCCGTAATGTAGAAGCTTGATCAAAAGGTACTTACCATAGGACGACGTGGCTAAAACGTAGTATTTACCCTTTAGCGCATTGACAACCTGATCGCGGCGTTCTTTGGAGGAGTACTTCACCAAAGTTTGGACAACACGCGAAGCATCGTGCTTCATAACTAAATCGCTGATGCAATCCTTGGAAAGTTCCCAAACTTCGTTGGCTAGTTTTTCACGCACTGGTTTAGGAACTGGTGGGTTGTTTACACGCAATCTTTCCCATAGGGACTTGATCTGCTGAACCTCGGTACCAGACTTCCTTTGCATTTTACGTTCTTTTAGCAATTTTCTTTGCTCCGTATGCTGGCCGGGGCCGCTACTGGAAGTGCCTTCTTTATCTTCAGCACCTTCTCCGGCATCATCTGCCTCTTCGCCGTTTTCAGACGCAGATTCCTCATCCAATTCGTCTTTATCAGAGATGTGATCTAATTCATCTTCATCTGCAGACTCCTCGCTTGAAATAGCACCGTCCAGAACGTCGTCAAGATCATCATCGTCTTCAGCGGATGATGTGCTTTGACCAGCACTTTCGTCAGACGAAGGATCCGCGACGACCTTTGCCTTCTTAGTAGTTTTGATATCCTTGGAATTCAGCGCATGCTTTTTGCCATTCTTTTTAGCTATTATAGGAGCCATTATCGCAAGTTATTGTACGAGTTGTGTTCTAGTAAGTCCTAGCTCATCGCATCTCATCGAATTTGACTAAAATTTTTTAGCACTGAGATGCTTGAAAAAACAAACCTTAGTGTCAGTTTACGATAAAGCGATGCGATTTTTAAAAAGCCTTCCGTATTGCTCGCAAGTAGTACTGGAAGCGTAAGTTACAGAATGTTTGATCATGATGGTTTCATTATCCTACATATCTCTTTATATAAATCATTGAATACTATTTCTGTCAGTCATTAGCTAAGAACGGGAAAGTAAAAAACCGCAGTTTCATTCTTACATGCACGAAGCTTTTTGACAATTGCTTAAGTTACTGTCTAGCCATAGGAGTGGGATGGGCGCGACTAATGAAGTTTTGTTTTTGTTTTTTTTTTCATTCTGTCGTGCCGTTTCTCCTCCCTAGTAAAATTTGTCATACCTTTGTTCCCCTAACCTTCCATCAATTCATCAGAAGGCTTATTTTTATTATAACCTTGCAGTTTGTCATCATGGATGGCATCCTTTTGGTTTGCCATTTGTTGCTTACGTTTCTTGGCAAGTCTCTGAGAAGCTTTAATATTGAACCCGTCTTTGAGGATCATTTGCACTTCTTCGAGCTCCAAACCAGATAACTCTGGATAGCAGAAATAAATGAACAAGAATGAGACAAAGGATAAGGCGGCGAACAAAGCAAACGTTCCTGTGGGTGTAATGTTTTGCAACATGGTGAGAAATGTGGAAGCAATTACCATGGAACCAGCCCAATTGGTAGCAGTTGAAAATGAGGTACCAATTCCACGCACGGCTTGTGGGAATAGTTCGGATTGTTGCCATGGCACGGTACCGATACCTAAAGCGTAGAATGCGGCATACATTATAATGGACAAGATAACAACAATTCCCCATGCACTGAAACCACCGTGTTCGATCACGGCGTTGCCACCTCCTTCGAAACGAACCCCCATGTAATGAAACGCAATGGCACATACCACTAACGAAACGCACATGCCGGGAAGCCCGATGAGTAAGATGACTCTGCGGCCAATACGGTCAATGGCGAAAAAAGCCACGAGAGTAAATATGAAGTTGGTACCTGCCACAACAATAGATACTGCGGTAGAGTTTTTGAAACCCACGGTTTCAAAAATTGTGCCAGAAAAATACATCAAAGAATTCCAACCACAGAATTGCTGGATACCTTGCATTGCACAACCAAGGATAAGTGCTCTGAAATTCGAAGGTACGGTATGGATTTCTTTGATGGTGTTGATGACTCTTTTCCCTACCGAGTTTCCAGGAATGACCCGATTCAAAGTGTTGAGCTCGATGATCTTTTGTTGAATTAATTCCTCTGGAGCATTGTTGTAACTTTTGGCCAATACTTTAGCCGCTTTATCGAGTTGGCCCTTCATGACGTAGTATCTGGGAGTATCGGGTAAGAAACAAAAACAGCCAAATTGAACACAGGTGGGGATCAACGAGAGCCCAACCAGTATGCGCCATCCGTTGTGGACTTTATCGAGACCTGCACCGCAACCATAGGCGATCAGTTGACCGCCGGTTAGACACAAAGAATTGATGACGACGAGACGGCCACGTATCATCTTAGGTGCAATTTCACCAATGAACAAAGGTGAGATGAGGGAGCCGATACCGACGCCGAAACCCATGACCAGACGGCCCGCGGCCATCTGCCAAAAAGTATGAGCGGAGACTTGAAGCGCGGCGCCCACGACAAACAGTAGATTGGAAAACATGATGCAAGGCTTGCGGCCCCAGATGTCAGCACAGGTGCCTGCAACAATGGAACTCAGCAAGGCGCCGAGCGAGGTGGCTGCGGTGATGATTTCTTTGTCGCCGTAGGTCAGCAAGCGGTTGTCGAGGTCGGTTCCCATCGAGACCAGCGCACTGGAGATGTAACCGGTGTCGTAACCGAACATGAAGCCCGAAATTGACGCGACGAACGTCAGCACCACGATGAACCAGGAAACGTCCTGGTTGAAAGTGATTATCACGGAAGTATCGTCCTCGTCGTTGACGGGTTTGATTTGGATGCGGGAGAGAGCGTCTGCGTCGGCGTCGACGCCGTCGACACCGACTGGACTACCGGATGAGACAGCGGCGGCGCCGCTGTCTCCTTTGTCCGCGTGGTAATCCGCGAACTTGTGCTGGGCCATGGTGAAGCAGAGCGAGCGAGCGAGTGCGATTGGGGAAGCCGATGCGGTGCGGAAGACTCACACTAGTCACAGTCTCTGGTCCGTTTTTTTCGGGGAAACAGATTACGCTTGCGCTGTCTGGAAGGCCACTTCTTATAGCTGTGTTTTCCCCAGGAGTAGTTGTGGTTGTGTTCTTGTTTGTGTGTGTGTGTGTGTTGTGTTCGGAAAAGCGAAAAAAATTTTTCCCCCCCTTGAGCTGCTGCGGCGGTCACTACTAGCGGCGGGCCAGAGCTTGACCCGATTAGCGGAGCGGAAACATAACGGGTGGCGATTGGATTGAAGATCTTGAGTTCCGTATCAGAAAACCCAAAGTTTGGATAAAGTTGAAGGATCTGGGGTGGAAGTTAGGGATATATACATGTATATATATACACATTTGGGAACAACAATGTGTCAACACGGGTGCCTTTCAAAGATAGCGGGGGAGCTTCGACGTAAATAGTGACTCATGTATGTTCGGCGAACTTGCAGGTCGTTTGGGACGGACACAGCGTTAAGCACATGCACGTTCGGCGGGCGTGCATGCGTGTGCATGACGTCTGTTCGTGGTTCGTGATATCGTTATCTACGCGAAAAGCTGGTCTTTGCCGCTACGGGGGACCCGCGCGGTTCGAGGCATAGCGACGCTACTGGTAGAGTTCAATATCGCACGAGAGGGAGAGGGAAAGTTTGAGTAGAGTTGATAGAGGCTTTTGTAGAACAATGCCCCGTGGATGAGTTTCCAGCAAGCTTTGGTGTGTGTGTGTGTGTGTGTGTGTGTGTGTGTGTGTGTGTGTGTGTGTGTGTGTATGAGCGTGTATGTGTGTGTCTCCCGCGCCTTAGCACAAGCTGACATCTGCGTTGGAAGAAAGTTCTGATAATTCGTCGACATATATGTACATATCTTGAGCAACCGCGAGCATTAAGAGATTGGCGCCCTCGCACGATCGTTGTGATAGCGCTATCTTTCACGATCACTCGCTGAAGCGTGTAATTGATCTGGTGCTACTTGTCACGCTTCTGGTTTACTAGCGGAAGCTTCTCGGTTTCATCGCAGTTCATCGCAGTTCATAATTTGCCTTCGGCTTTCAGGATCTGGGCAGCAGTGTCACAAACAGTCTCCTCCAAGGTCTTTAGCTCGAACCCAAGTATTTTCTTGGTTTTAGAAATGTCGAATCTGGCATACGGATTGGTCTGGTAAGCACCTTCGCCAGCACACTTGGGAAGCGTCCCTTGCAGCTGTGGGAACTTCCTATTCAAGATGTCAGCCAGGTCCTTGGCGTTGAACTGACCTGACGACAGGCCCAGTCTCTGGCCAATAGCCTCGTCCTTCTGGAACGCCAACAAGTGGGCTCTCGAAACGTCGCGCACGTCTACGAAATCGTTTTTCAAACCACTCACATCTGTTTCTGGCCCCGAGTGCAAAAACGCATTTATGACCTCCGCGGAAGTGTTCAGCGACTCGGTGATGTTTGCAGCAAAGGTTTGTGGACCAAAGATCAACGCCGGGTTGACGGTGGTCATCTTGAACTTGACGGTATTCTTGTTCTCGTCCAGAAAATCCCAGGCGGCCTTTTCGGCGAATTTTTTTGACCCACGGTACGCATCTTGGGGATTGATCTGGCTCCCCTCCCAAGTCACAGGGTTCCAGCTGTCCTCTGTGTAAACGAAGTCCTTTTCCGCAAATTTGCTGGTGTCCTTTACCGCAGCGATCGACGAAGTGATCACCACACGCTCAACCGTTTGCGCACCGTACTTCTTGATCGATTCCAAAACGCTCTTGGTACCATGAATAGCTGGAATCAGCAAGTCTTTCTCGTATTCGGTGGTTTTAAAGTGAAATGGAGAAGCAGTGTGCAACACTACCTTTATCTCTTTCCCGTGCTTCTCAAACAGCGCATCGAACGCGTGAGACACTGCAATGTCCTTGACCACTTCCGTCACCAGCAAAGGGTTGTTGTGGAATTGGCTTTTAAGCTTGTCGCCTTTCTCTTCGGACCTCACCGTTCCAATCACTTTGTAGTTTTGTTCCAGCAAATCGTGCACAATGTGCTGTGCAATGAAACCAGTGCAGCCTGTAACCAACACGGACATTCTTATTGATGATGTGATTAGAATAATACACAATTCACATCCCCAATTGCCCTTCAGTCTTTAAATATCCAAATTTTTCGCTCTACGTATATACGCTTTCCTGTCTTGAAGTTGATGGACCTACCTAGATAAGACCAAAAGGGAAGGTCAGATAAATTTCGGGATAAGTTAAAGCGAGCCGAGAATTAATCGGGCCGCGATAAGAATGCCGTTATCGGTGACTGATATATATTGCGAAACGAAATTACATGCAATTCATGATATGAATTTGATGTCGGGCATCTCTTAGATGTTGTTCAAGTACACATCTTTGAATACGTTTGGGTTGACGTTTGATCCAGCCATGTTTTGGTCATCAAAAGGCACGGATTCTGTTTCCTTGGTACGCTGCTGGGAACTGTTTTTCTGCCGTGGCTTTATCGTTCTCCCATGCAAGGAAAGCAGGAAATTTTATTTCGCATTCATAGCTTTACGGCTTGTCGTGAGTTAAAAGTCTTTCTGGACGCTGAGGCATATAATTCAATTGATCTTACCAATGACAACCTCGACTTACGTGCAAGAGGTGTCTTTAATTGCGGGTGGTCTTCTCGATCGACCCATGACCGTGATATTCTTCAGCTTCAAATGTGCTTATAAGCCTATCGAAACGGGAATACTCGAAAAGTGTTAGCGGCCGCTTTCTGTTTTAGAACCATTCCTCTTTTCGCTGCCTAAATAGACTCCCCAACTAAAATACCGTTGCTATATGCAATAAATTTGAAGCTAGTTGACCGCGAAAGAGTTCAATTTTATGTTGCATAGACATTCACAGGCTTCCCCTCTGCTAGGAACAGCGATCGCTTGATTCTCATGCGAATGCCCCATGCTGAGAAGCTTGCAATTATTGCTATCACCATGGTTAGCCCCACTTCATGGATGTGCATCGCCATTGGCTGTTGATATACAATGTCTTTATCTCAGTTCCCAATGTTTTGATTGGCTTTCACAGTTCATCACGGATCCTGGAAAATGCATCGTCTACAGCATCTTCGACCATTGTTACCATAGACTCGACTGTTTCAGTCAACGTAGATGATGGGGTGGCGACAGTTCCTATTACACTGGACGCCATTAGACTAGACGTCGATTGTAAACCTATTCCTACTTGTACTTTTGGAATTGCCCCAAAAAAGGCTAAAATTGAACGGAAAAATCTGAACCATATCCACAATGCAAGCTTGACGGGCATCTTGAATACGCGTCTCCACAGTACCCAGCTGATACACAAAATAAGAAACGACAATCCAGAGTAAATCTGTCGCCTTTCTTGACCGGAGGAATTTTGAATAACCTTCACGATCTTAGATGAAGTGGTTAGCACCCCAGTCAAAGAATCGAACCGATCATTGAGTTTATTCAGAGAGCTGGTTTGATCTTGTAGTTCACTAATGTTCAATTCACTTTGCAGCACCGAACTCCGCAGCATGTGGCTTGTACGAACCAACGAGGATGTTATTTTTCTGTTCGTAGACAAAACTGCATGTTTCTTCGATTCTGGGCTAGTAGCATCGTGGTGGGAAGATGTCTCCCCATCGGTTGGTATTGTTGATCGGTCGTGAATTTCCATAACTTCCCGGCGGTATTTGTCGTAGCCTTCGACCTGAAGGTCTTTGAGATGTGCCCGAAACTCCGAATGCATTTGAGTTTGAGCTTTTTTAAACCGTTTTTCAAGCGTAGTGATGAAGTCTACGGCCCTGACCACATCCGCTACTTGATCAGCAGCTTCTTTGGCGAATGGAAACCCAGATTGGCGATCAATTTTAAGCTCGCCACCTTTGAACCAAGTAAGCCGAAGGCCACGGTGAAATTGTGTGACGCAGACGACCATTACTCGTACGAGGACCGCATATTCTGAGATCAAAGTAGCAGCATTGGCAGAAAAAGGATCCATAAGCAGCTGAGTCTCTAGTTTGTCCATATTGCTTTTGCAATCAGCATATTCGGCATTATGTAGCATCTCACTAACTTAAAAGACTCAACAATCCCAGGCAGATTCTCAACAAGCAGCTGAGTGATGCTTCTTGTAAGAGCTGTTCCAATCAAAACTCAGTTGACATGATTTTAATTATTGAAAATGTAACAGTTACGTTCATAATGATATGCGATTTCTAAATGTTACTGTGGTTAGCCGCTCAGCTTCTCAAGAACAACTTTCCCATCTTTACGACGTTTCAATCTTCAGATCAAGCACCCTTTAGTTTACACATACTATCTCTCGGGTATTGGTGTACCTAAATATACCATTTTAGAGATGGAAGACGCAATAACGTTTATCCAGAGTCCTAACGCGTCGCGTGTGAAGGACGATACTGGGATAGAAGCCAACGATGACACAGTCACTCCTCTGCTCTCGCCATTAATTCTGAGGTCCTCGCATTTACAGATTCCTCCAAAAGAGTTCGTTAATACAGTACAAAGCATGAGCGTACAGCGGTGCCACAACCTGATGTTTTTGTTGTGGGCTCTTAATAGTCAGCCAGCAGATGTTGAGTTGTCACTAGCCTTTAGTGAATGCGAAGCGCCATTTCAGCTATTCAAAGAGTGCTTTGGAGCAAGCAAGGACCTAAATTACGAATCGTTCTTAAAAATCAGGGGCTCCCATACCAAATCCTCGTTGTCCAGGAAAACGCCCAGTTATGAAGTGGCAGTTTTCCCGCAGATTTTGCAAAACACTAAGCTGGACCAGTTCAGGACTGACCGTCTGTTATCCCAGTACACGCAGCAGTTTGCGCGCATTTTGGAGTCGTACACATTACGGGGCTACCCTCATAAATCGGCGTATTTGAGCGCTAACATGTCTAGACTTCTCCAATGCTATGTCAATGATACCATATATGACATTTTCTACAAGTGGCGACACTGGAACCGCATAGTTGGCCACCAGGTGAGGTTTTCGCCCTTTTCTCAGCTGGTCGCCAAATTTTGGGACGCTTACATGGTCTTCCAAGTGGACGGGTCACTGCCGCAATTTGCGACTAGAATCAGTCATATTAGCCATCAACCTGACTCTCCCGATCGGAATTTGAGATCGAGGCATACCATTGCCGCAGGCGTTGCAATCAAATACGGGATTTGGATCGATACCGTTAATGGGGTTCTTCTCCTATGCAACACGCTGACAACGGAACTTATGGACGTGATTCCGAGTCTAGGGTTAAACCTAACAGTGGACGACAGTGAGCAGAATGTCAAAAAATTATTGCTATTCGTCAATTGTTGTTTGCTGGAGTGCATTACACAAGAGCTCACCAATGATCCCTAAACAAGGAGGAGTTGTAACTCATAAAAACCAACGTTTGAGCATTTAGAATTAATTCCATTTCTCGCTGATTCTTTGACACTTTCTATAAAAGTCTACTTGATCATTGCTAAGCGGTCTGAAAACTTAAACGAGCTGCAATTTAATATAAAATTTTGGTGATTCATCATTCAGGGTTTATTCCACAAGAAGACTAATAGCATCTAGTTTCAAAGACGAGGCAAGAGTGCGCTAGTCAGACAAACGCTTGAAGATATTCGACTGATTTTGCGGATTCTGTAATTCATTTATCATAGAGCTCTTTCACCATGGCTAAGAGTACTGGGCCTTTGAACCCCAAAACTACTAGCTACGAGTTCAGCGGAATTCCCGGGGTTTTGGGAGTCACTTTCGGTCTGCCACTAGTATGCGTTGTGCTTAATCAAATGATACGTCGCGACTATTTCATTGTTGGGGCTTTTTCCAACTTTGATGTCGCAGAGCTGTGGAATCACATTAAGCCGCTGAAGTGGTACCTCACGAACCGAGAACTATGGACTTACTACTTGGCATGGTTCGGGGGCCTCGCTTTGTTTGACGTTGTGCTTCCAGGACGTACGATGGAAGGTGTGGAGTTGAGGGATGGCACAAAATTACCTTACAAGATCAACGGTCTCGCGCTTACCTCTACCTTGCTAGCCACGCTCTGTATAAGATGGCAGTTAACTAATGGCGAAATGCCAGAGTTGCAATATCTATACAATAACCAAACGGATTTGTGCATTATTGTTATCATATTCTCCTTCATCATGTCACTTTTCCTATACGGTGCCAGTTTTATTCCATTGGCTAACAAGAATGGCCATGGCACTAGGGAGCGCGTTTTATCCGTGAGCGGCAACTCCAAGAACATTGTGTATGATTGGTTCATTGGACGCGAACTAAACCCACGCTTGGGTCCCTTGGATCTGAAGATGTTTTGCGAATTGCGCCCTGGTTTGTTGCTCTGGTTCTTAATCAACGTCGCCTGTCTACACCATTATTATCTGCAAACAGGAAAAGTTAATAATGCTATCTTGTTTGTAACCCTTGCTGAAGGCTTTTACATCTTCGATGGTGTTCTTAACGAGGAAGGTGTCCTGACTATGATGGACATCACGACTGATGGATTTGGCTACATGTTGGCGTTTGGCGATTTGGCCCTAGTGCCTTTCACTTACACTTTACAGGCACGTTATTTGACTGTTTCGCCTATCAATTTGAGTCGCCCATACTTGGCGTTTTTGGTTGCCACAATGTCATTGGGATACTACATTTTCCACTCAGCTAACAAGCAAAAGTCAGATTTCCGTCATGGGAAATTACCTCACCTAAAGAGCATCGATACGAAGCGTGGTACCAAACTGTTGTGTGATGGCTGGTGGGGCATGTCCCAGCACATGAACTACTTCGGAGACTGGCTGATTTCGCTCAGTTGGTGTTTGGCAACAGGATTTCAGACCCCTTTGACTTACTACTACTCACTGTATTTCGCGACGTTGTTGATTCACCGTCAGAAGCGTGACGAACATTTGTGCAAAATCAAATACGGCGACGACTGGCAAAGATATGAGTCCAAGGTGCCATACAAAATCGTGCCTTACGTTTACTGATTGCATTTGACCATGTGTTCCATTTTGCTATAGTTCGGACGATTTCTATCTCTATTCTTCACTGTATATTGTTATAACTAAAAGATTATGAACCTTCACTCGTCCATTTGTTCCTGTTGTACGTCCTTAGAGTGTTGAGCAATGAGGGCAGTCTGGTACTCGCACAGCGCCGTGCGCAAGCTAGGCACTAGTTGCTTGTTAACCAATGCATAGTGGTCTCCAAAACCTTCTGGGCGAATCTCGAAATCAGACTCGTCGTGTAATAGCTCTGGAACCACGATTTTGCCTTCACAAATCAAATTTCCGGACTCGTTTTCCAAAACCTGCGCAGCGAACTTTAAGTTCAAATCAAAATAGCAAATGACTTTGCCCTTCCGCTGCGAAACGTGAGAATCTCCGGAGACCGACTCAAGTTTCTCGATAACCACCTTGTGAGGACCACTTTGACCTGTCACATCCACAGATGTACACAACAGTTGCATGTATTCTTCCGTCCAAGGCAGAGTGTTTTTCTCGACCCAGTGCCAGTTATTAGGATTGAGAACCACCATTTTGAAGGAAAGATCAGAGCTCGCTCAAAAAGACCACTATCGCGATTGAAACACTCCGAGTTTTGTGCGAACCGATAAGTTCACCGACGAAACCACCTCAAGTATATAGACACAGCTCTAACCTACGGCAGTGTATGTGATCTAATATTCATCGAATTTTTCGAACTTTCCAGAGCGTGAGAAAAAAATGGAAAATGCCTAAAAATCAAGGACGAAGGTAGAAATAAGCATTTAGCACCCGCTTGATGGCAAGTCTCCCTTCGCGGGCTTTCGATTTATGGTCATCTCAGATGCCAGGACACCAATACGAGATTCGGTAAACTTTAGCCAAGGTTGTTGTGTCACGTGCCCAACTCGGCGATGTATTTGCGAAGCAAATTGCATGTCAAAGTCGGCGTTTTGAACTGCTAATAGCATCCCATTGTGCTCCTGGGAAGTACAGGCGTCAAACTGCGATATGAACCCGCGCGGTAGCGGCACCAGTACCACGTCGCACTGCGAGACGCGAGCTAGAATTGGTATCTGAGCTAGAAGGACTCTGGGCACCGCATCGGCATTGCAAACAAACAAAAATGCTGTTGTGTCGTAAGATGCTCCTTGCAAAAACTCTACAACGGAGTTGAATCCAAAATATAATTCCAGGGCCTCAGGAGCATGTTTGAAGACTTCGATCACGTGTGTTTTCACCAACTCTGCTACGAGTTGTTGCTCTTCCACGTACGGCCAATTATGGGATTCATCTGTGTAAGGATTATCCAGAATGGGCTTGTAGACCTGCTTTTTGCGAATAGATTTCTGCTGTAGTTGTTTCAAAGAGCTCATCTTTCTCGCTTAGTTTTATTTATTCGATGAGCTTAGGTTCCGATGATGCCAATCAACTTTTTTATCTTGGTGTAAACAGACGATAAAATTTGTATAAGCGCTGAATAAAATGGAATGTTACCTCCAGAAGAACATACCGTGCCCAGCTTTAGCTAATCGGGGTCGGGCAGCATGTTGGTTGAAATCAAGAGAATAGACGCAGTTTGATGGCTTTAGTTTTAGTCTCTTAAGCATCTTTCAAGTTAGTATAGAGTGATCAACTTCTGAAGAGCCCTGCGCTCTGACGGGTTCTCATGTCTGCTGCAAAAGTTGCATATACTCTATACAGAAGCTTCGAGACCGGAGACTTAACTTGTGATGTCTTGATCTTCTCTTATAATTTCGACGCCTAGCGGCCACGTTGAATTGCGTGTTTTGAGGAAAGAGTTCCGATCTGAACCGTAATTTCATTATTTAATGAGCTGGCCAATGGCGCAGGTATTGGGAGTACGCCACTTATCGCGCCGATGTGATCTCTACAGAAAACGGAAAGCGACTTTGGGATCCGTGTCATTTTTTGAATCACCTTAAGAGCAACTCCCTTTCTCATCAATAATAGAAAGGCCTTGCCATTCTTCAAAACCTCTTTAGATGGAGCCTCAAAATTTCTGTTTCTGAGATGCAACTTCGCTTTAACGTCGCCTTACACATAAACCATTTTATTCTCGTTTCTAGCTTTAGACAAACGAATAAATGACTCCCTGGATCTCTATCATCTAAGATGAGTTGTGTGAGACTATCTACAGTATCCATTTATTGGTTATTACTGTTCATGAGCTCAGCGATGCGAATACCTCCAGAATTCTCATGGATGTCAAGAGTAGGAAACGGAGGTAATGTATACATCATCGGAGTCTATGAAACTTATAGTGACGTACGAGAAGTTGCGGCTGTGTCGCTTGCGCCTTCATATCACTATTTTGATCGGCTCCGTTAGTTGTACTGTTGATCTTGGCGTAAATTCGGCTAGCAATAAACATTTCGTCACTTTATACCAAAATTTCATGGTCAAAGTCTTCAAGATTCGTAATCTCTTGTCAATGCCCAATCCATAGTTTATTCGCTACACTTCACAACCACCTAAAAGCGTCTCGCACACCAATTGCAAAGTTCTTAACTTTGTACAGTTTATCACTTCTTTCTATCCTGTCGTCGGAACTACACGAGACCAAATGTTTTTCGCTGCATGGTTTTCACAATTCTGTTCGGGCATGGAATTTTATAAAACAACGAAATACCGAAAAACCAAAGCTCTTACGCTGAAGGGTTTAGAGCTGCTGAGGGTATTTACGCGGATTGGATCATAACAAGATTGGTAATCTAGGCTTGGTTGAGACATAATTCTAGGAACTTTATTCACAAAATAGTTTGTTCCAGCCTTTAGACGACTCAAAGGAAGATGAGAGCAGGTCTAGTACCGCTATTAGGATCATTGGTGTCCCTAACATATGCCACCGCGACCTACTCGTCTGTTGGATGCTACAAAGAATCGGATCTGGTATCAGGTCTCGACTCCAAAGGCTCTTACACCTACCAAAGCACTTCTTACTGTCAGGAACAGTGTGATGACACCGACGTCGTAGCGCTCCTGGGTGGTGATACCTGCTACTGTGGGGACTCTGCATCAGTTCTGGCCTCGGTGTCAACCTCAGGCTCTGGGAATTGCAATACTAAATGTGCCGGATGGCCCTACGATACTTGCGGTGGTTCCGGATACTTACAAGTATATCTGAAAGCCGGTGTTTCTGTGCCGTCGTCGAGCCAAAGCTCCTCGGCGAGTTCCAGTAGCCTCTCAAGTTCAAGCTCCAGCTCCGGATCAAGCGGATCTACGACTTCTTCAAGTTCAAGCTCTAGCTCTAGCTCTAGTTCCAGCTCCAGTGCCAGCTCTAGCTCAAGTACTCCCTCGAGTTCCAGCTCCAGTTCCAGCTCTAGTTCGAGCTCTAGCTCCAGCTCCAGTCCCAGCTCTACTTCTAGTTCCAGCTCTAGCTCTAGTTCCAGTTCCAGTTCCAGTTCTAGCTCCAGTCCAAGTTCGAGCTCAACTACAAGCCCAACTTCGGCATCTACGTCAAGTTCTAGCTCGTCCTCCCGGATGCAAACTACTGTTGTCACTTCTTCAGTGTCCATCGTTACACTCTCTAACAATGATCACTCTACAATGTTTGTTACCCAAACTACAGTAATAGACTCGCCTTCTTCATCGGCGCAGTCTAACTCAAATTCCGCGAATTCAAGTGCCAACAAGAAGAGCTCGTTATCCGGCGGCGCCATAGCCGGCGTTGTTGTGGGTGCGATATTGGGTTCGCTATTGATCGCTGGGGTAGTATTTTTCTTATTCTGGCGCCATCGCAAACAGCAAGCAAAGGATCTAGAAGAAACGAAGCAGCATCAGCCGTACTCATTTGGTGATAGCGACGGTTCCGCAGTTCCGGCTGCCGCTCAACGCAATACCTCGTTACGTCGCACATCCTCCGAAATGGACCAATCTTTAAACAACGACTACTCGCAACAAACGCCATTTGACGACAGTTTTGGTCGAATAAGACTCAGCAATGGTTCATTACCAGACGTTACGCAGGAGCATGGGCCACTTCGTATAGTCAACCCAGACTCAGACTGATTAAACAAGAAAACAATTACTAAATTTATGAAAACTCGGGTTTGAACGTTCAAACCCACCAAAAGCCATAGGTGTCATTAAAGCTCACCACCATGTATCTTACTCTGCCACTCTCTTTAGAGAGTAAAATTTTAGAAAGCATATAATTACAATACCCATAACCTTCGGGATATCTTAGATTCTAGCTAGTCCGACTTTTTGCCCAGAGCAGATTATATTTGGGTTAATTTCGTGGTTTTTTTGTTATGATTTTCGCGGTTTTAGGTTAAAGCCGCGCGAACTTAAAGCTTGAATTAGACAGAGAGCTTCCGCCTCTGGCAGAGACCCGCGACTACCCAAGCTTATGTGAAACAGAAGTCGTAGCAAACGCAATGTATTTTTATCGCTCTTCAGATTGAGAAATCTCAACTTCGCAACACCAGACATATTGGGAAAAAGTGATCTCTGGGCGAAATTCACTGCGTGATATATACGCTAACAGAAGGTTTATGGTGTTAACTTTGTTCAATCAATGTACCGATGGATAGTTGAGCAGAATTATAATCCAGCCAACTACTTGAGTTTGGGCGAATTGTCGTCGTATCTAAGTGTTCTGCTCAAAATGTGGTACAGCGTGCATCCTACTAGGTGAGAGTGACTCCCTCCGAACTATATAGCGCTTGTTCTACGAAGAGTGTTCTTGAAAAACCTTCAAATATTTGATAGAACTGTTGACGATAACAACCCCTTTGGGCTCGTCCTTTTCCCTCGTCGAGCGTAGATAAATTAGGAGACATAGCTAAATGGACAGTAGAGCTGCCAATTTCCATCACTATAAAAAGGAATTAGCTGTCAACACGGAAAGTGGTAGTGGCAAAAAATATGCTTCCAACCAGAGTTGAACTGATGATCTCCACATTACTAGTGTGGCGCCTTACCAACTTGGCCATAGAAGCTTTTTGAATGACATCGTGAACGTTTGGGACATATCTGTAGAGTAGAATCAGTCACGCCTTGAGAATCTGATTAAAATTTTACACATCTTACAGTAGAAAGTCGAAGTACATCTAAATCAAATGTTAATTTCGGCCTAAGTTCCAAAGGTTAGACAACGTTGAAGATGCTCCTCACTCGTCCTTCGAGACTAATACAAGACGCTCAGAATAGTTTGAGGCGTCTGGCAGCTTTCCAATGCCGACAAATCTCTATACTGTCACAACTGCAGCCTTCGCAAGGATCTACTAAGACTTACAAGAGACTTGGTAGAGGTCCTTCTTCTGGGAAAGGTAAGACTTCTGCGAGAGGTCAAAAGGGTCAGAAGGCTCGTGGTAAGGTTAAGTCGTGGTTTGAAGGTGGACAAACTCCTATTTACAAACTTTTCCCCAAGATTGGATTTACGAACGTAACATCGCTGGAATTGAATGAATTGAATCTTGACAGAATAATGTGGTTTCAACGCAAGGGCCGATTGAACCTAGGGCCCAACGAGGTCCTGGATATGAAGAAAATGAAAGATTTGGGGCTTGTAACGGGGTCTATCAAAGACGGTATAAAGATCCTTGGTGACGGTAAAGAGTATTTCAACATACCGTTAAAAGTTGAGGCCACCCGCGCGTCCCAGGGTGCCATCCAGGCCATTGAAAAAGCCGGTGGGGAGTTCACCGCGCGCTATTTTAATAAACTTGGGCTTAGAGCTCATTTGAGCCCCAAGTGGTTCCTCGAAAATAGAGGCCGAATTCCTCTACAGGCTAGACCGGTGAAGAGGAAAGACATTGACTATTACAGCAATCCAGCTAAATCAGGATACTTGGTGAAGGAAAATCACACTCTCTTACAGCAGATTCAAGAAGCGAAATCTGGGGGTCGTGACAACTTGGCGCGGAAGAGCGCCAAGAAAACTGCTTTGGAATTGCAATTGGAAACCGTACAAACTGTGCAGGATTCGCAACCGATTCAAGCGACACCATCCCGCCTCATCGCCCTAGACTCGTTGAAAAACTAGGACCGGGGAGCTACGTAGTAATTCATCATTCATCATGTACATACATAATAAGGAGCTCGAGCTGAATATAGCTTGACGAGACACGTCGTGAGGGCTTACCAAGCCTGCGATCACATCGATTTTTCTTTCGAATTGACAAAAAAAATAAAAATAAAAATAAAACACTCACGGTGGGGGTCGAACCCACAATCTTCTGATTAGAAGTCAGACGCGTTGCCATTACGCCACGCAAGCAATTGTTGAAAGATTAGTCGACGTTTGTATTTATAAATGTGAATCAAGCTCACATATCCTATAATTCATAATTTAGGGTGAATCACCTCCACGGTGAGCAAGATTAGTGTGCTGGTTCCAGTCTAGTCACTTTCACTCTCGAAACCTAAATATTCAAAGCATCCAAAGCCTTCTAATTACTATCGCGTTCTGATCTTCAACTCTGTTTTACCTACATGTGAAAATTTTGAGGTTGACAATAAAAGATCTAACACTAACTAACCACCGAAAACCCCTAGAGTCAACGAATTCCTATATTTTGGCGTCCATCATGGCCGCTGGAGGACCGCAATGTACTCTGGTCGACAATTCCAAGAAACGGAAACGAGCTACGAGGGAAAGCTCGTTGTCTGAAGACCAAAAACGGCAAAATCACGTATCCTCGGAGCAGAGACGCCGCCAAGCGATGCGTCAAACATACGACACTCTAGTTGAAATGGTCCCGGACCTGACGGCATCCCAAAGCCGGTCAGAAATGCAAATATATGCTCGAAGTATGTACCAATTGATTCTCGGGCCTGTGCCGTTCTATCACTTGTCATTTACTAACTTTCTACGAACGTACAGGCTACAACTACTTGGCATGGTTATATGAACGGAATCGCCTACTGCGCGAGGAGCTAAAACAAAAAACCGGTTCTGATGCTCCGTCGCATCTGGAATGGAACATTCCTACCCAGAACAAATAGTATGCATGTATATCGCTAAAAATAATAATTTTAATATCATATAATTTCTCAAATGTCGAAAAAGAAAACGACCTCGGTGAGGATTGAACTCACGATCTTGCGATTAACAGTCGCACGCCTTAACCAGCTTGGCCACGAAGTCTACAATTTTTGATTGAGGTCTCGTAAAATGATACCGTATAATAACAGACAGAAACGTCAGCTGCAACTACACTTGAGCGGCAAATTTATTTATGCGCGGATATGCGTGATTGCTTTCATAAGCAGAGTTTTTGTTTATACGATGAACGTCGTTTATGTGCGAAATATACACTCCATTATCGATCCTTCCACTCGAAAACAAGAACACCGTCTTCTTCTTCCTCTTCTTCTTCTCCTCCCCATTCTCCTCCTCCACCAACAAGTTTCCGGTAATTTTGAGTCTAAGATAGTGGAAGCGCCCCTTCTTGATTTTGACATCTGCGATGCGTGCTGGACTTTGGATTGTTGCAGTCGTTGGCTATGTTATACAAACAAAAACTATTTCACACATATATACAGATTCCACTAACAAACACCTGGACGCACTTTATTTGGTTTTCTCACACTTTTTGGCATGGACGTTGGTAGGACCTCTAACACAGCTCTTCTGCCGACTGAAATATGGGACCACAGGCAGACACGGATTGTGGCACCGTGCATTTTGGGCAGCTCCACCTAGAACACCAGATTTGGAGCGCAGCATCTCCGGTTCATGCTGTTCTAAATGGCAGCTGAAGCGTTTCTTGCGCATCGTTGTTCTGGCTTCTTTACTCGGTATTTCTTTATACACCTTTTTTGTCGCATTGGGACTGTCGCCGGCCCTCGATGTTGCGATAATTCATAATCTCTCCATGTTCGAGATTGTTTCACTGCTTCTCGTGGTTGCAGGCGTGGCTAGCAGGCGTTGTCTACTTCGCAATTTCGCCCTGATGTTGGTTATCTTGCTTGGAATACTCGTCGTTTCCTACACCAAAGATACCTGTGACATGCTTTCCGGGAAAGTTTCCATAAACCCAAAAACTGGAGAACTGGACGATCCTTTCCTTTTCGATAGGTTAAAGGGCGCACTTATCTGCGGGCTGGGGTCTTTGACAGTGGGCCCAGCTTCTGTGATGTGGCACAATTGGACGGCAACAGCACCAATTGAATCCGAGGATTTAACTGCTCCAAACTTGAACGCAAGAGAAACGAGTTACATTCTTAACTATGAGATAAGCTCTGTTGGTGCTGTCGCTTTACTCATATTTGGGCCGCTTATACTGCTTAGCAGCAAAGAAAGCTCCATTAATCAAGTTGCAATTTTCAAATCTGCATGGATCCTTATCTCCATATTCGCCGGCCACATTCCAATGATCTTAGCACTGGTGCATTTGTCAGAACGGGTTTCGCCACAATTCACTACCACATGTTTTGTCGGCTCTATTGTCTTCGTGGCCTTAGCCGAATGGATCGCCGAGAGCGGTCAAACAATCATAACAAGATGGGAGGTAATCGGCTACCTTACCCTCAGTATTGCGGGTCTGATTTTAGCCTACCAATACTGGTCTTCTTCGTTCAAGAAATAAATCATAAAAGTCATTCATAGCACTAGCCTAAGTATATCGCATGTCATAAAAATAAAGGTCATGTTCACCACTTCAAGGTAACAACATTCTTTTTGCCCTTTTGGGTGATACCCGTTTTGATGAGGTCTAAGACTTCATCATCCGACATTCCTTTAACATCCCATTCCAATTGTCTCACTTCGTCTTTTGGCGAGATTAATTTGCCCTCGGCATACAATTGTGCCACTTTTTGCACTGTTTCTCTTTTCTCATCAGGATTATCTAACGAGTTCTTGGTTACCCAAAATCCTAAGCTCTTGAGACCCTTGAATATGTAAAGCGATGGTGGTAAGCTTACAGGCATCTTAGACATCCCACCATACGTTAGCATCGTAGCGTTATAATCCAACTTGCGAGCAATCGAGGAACTAGATTTCCCCCCCACAGAGTTAAGCGCCAACTTGAGGTGAGCGTCCGGGCCTAAGATGGAAGGAAGAGTCTTTTGGCAAAACTCCTTGTCGTTGTTTTGTGATTCAGAAATTACTTTGGTGGCACCATATTTAGTTTCCAGCTCCTTTGCCACTTCCTCAAAGTTATCGCGGTCTCTAATGACACTCAAAGTTTTGACGTTCTGCATTTTGGCTAACTGGGTGACTATTTTGGAAACGGAAGAAGTGCCGGCATTCTGAACTAACCAGTCATTTCCATTGGGATCCCAATCAACATAGTTGTTCAGCAGCTGGTAGGCAGTGCAGCCATTGACGGCAATGCTCGAGGCTGCGAATCTGTCGCAACCGTTAACTTTCACCAATTCAGAGGCATCTTGGCAAGTCCGATATGTAGACCACGTTCCAAAATTGGCTTGCAAAGGTATAACAATGTCGCCAATACTCAATCCTTGTACCTCTTCTTGAACATGTACCACTTCAAAAGCGCCCTCATTGCCTGCAATTGCACTGGGCTTTTCAGTGCCCAGATCGAGAGTTTTCGCAGGTTTGGAAGGGTAAACACCCTCAAGCTGATTTATGTCGGATGGATTGATCGGAAATGCCAGAGCACGTAGCACTATGGATGATCCCAAGCTTTTTTCGCTGGGATGGTAGTTGTGAAGTGAGAGCACTTTCGTGCAATCTTGAACATCGTGTGATGAATAAACTAAGGATTTGAATGTAGTAGGCATTGTGGTGGATACGAATCTTTTTAAACTTGTCTTAAGCGGTGACATTGGAATCGACTGGCTCTTGATCTATATATACCGAATGTAAATCCCACAGTTGTCAATTACTAATAGCAAATGTGATCATTATTACTAACTTTTGACATTTTCGCCTAATTAAATACGACCTACTTATGAGCTTTCGATTGATGACATTGACTAGATGCCAAAGTCTTCCCAGGTAGTACTCTTCAGATACTTTACTTTGGCCTCGATATAATTGCACATGTCGTTGTAGCTTTGACTCGAGGACTTGCTAGCCGCGATCTTATCGGACAAATAGCCAAAGTTCTTGTAACCATCCTTCATATCGCATAGATATGTATGGAAAGTGGACCAGTTGGCAAGCTCGAGATCGTAGCTGGTCACTTGATTGAGCTTGTTATCGTACATGCGGTAGTGACCTGAATTAACTGATTTGTATTCCGGATCATCTTTGTGATTTTTGAGAGCCTTAGCACCATCATACATCATGTCACCGGATTGGTACCATTCCCAGGGATCATATTTGGGCAAATGAGAGTGTACAAAAGATACTTTAGTAAACTTGAAGAAAGTGAGGTAGTCCTCAAATTTGTACGAACTCCGCATAAGAGCATGAAATGCGTTTTGAACTTCCACACTTTCTTCGCATTGCTTGCGTCTCTCGTCATTGTTATCACTGAACTGATCCTTGTGAGTTTTGTACCAATCATCGCAGAACTGTTGGGATTTATCACGAACGGTGTTTCCAATTACTTCGTGCGCCAAGGAAAGGAACCTGCTGTCGTCTATATAATCGTGCTGTAACATCGCGGTTCCTCTGAAAGATTTGTCGTCTGTAGCCTTTTCTAGCTCTTCTGGCGTCAACCTGATTTCGTCCTTTGAGTCAGCCCAATGGCCTAAGGCGTCCACTGGAGTCTTGACCTGGTACCACGAATCTTTACCATGCAGAACTCGGGTAGCCAAAACAAACGTATCTTTATCACCTTCACCAGCAAACCCTTGTCCCAACATCGGATAGTAGTACGAATCGCCATTATAATTAAAATAAAGACTCAACATCAGTGTGTCAAGATGCTTTTTCTTATCGACCATCAACTGACCGGACTCAGTGCCGCCATCAGGAATAGCATTGCCCAGATCATGAAATGGTGTATCTTTAGCATCTTGTTTGTACATGTAGTTAGGAGACGTGTCATCAACTGAATTTCGAGCGATATCTTTTCTGTCTATTTCCAAATTCATGGCTTCGTACAGCTTTGGGTGATGCAAGCGACGCCAGTAGTCAGGCCATAAAATAAGCCCTTTGTCTTTGAACGTTGAGTGTTTGAAATAGTCATCGATGGAGTTGACGACGTAATTATCCGCGTCCAGCATCAGAACTTTCTCAAAGCTAGATACCAACAGAGCCAGGGCCTTTATTTGGTAACCGTTCATATGTGACAGTGTCTCGTTGTCTATTATCTCATCCAGAAAAACACATCTTGTGAGCCCAGATGGATCGATTTTTGGAAGCACGTTCTCGCAGAAGCCTCTGTCGGCTTTGTCTTCGGGAGGAATAATAATTTCAATTGGAATAGCATGCTTCAATTTGACACCGCTATTTTCACGAATTGCTTTAATTGCTGGTAGCGCAAAAAGAGAGAACTTCCCGCCAGCCGAAATTACTATACCTTCGCCCCTAAAAGCAGGCGGGTCCAAGTTGTGAAACCTAGGAAGTAAATCATCAATCATGACCTTCCTGAAGTCTTCTTGGGCCACCCGTAACATCTTGACTGTCTCGTCCGGGATTTGCAAACAGTTTCGTAACGATTGTTCGGTCAATTTGCTGAACTTCGACGAGTCTGTGATACCAATGTCGCCGAGTTCGCATTCATTACTTTTGGTGCGGTCCAATTCACCCGCCGGAGAGTACTTTTTGATAGCTTTCATGAGCTCGCTATATGCCTTGCTCGTGTCCGTTGGAATTGCGCTGCTGGTGCGGAAATTCGAGGATTCCGCGCTCGAGAGAGTTTCCTTTTGGTAATCGCCTTCATCTACTGCGTACCCGCTTTCCTCATCTTCGGGCGAGTTTTCATCGTACATCAAGAGATCCATTGAATCATCAGAACCTCTGAAACCATGAATTACAGCTATCAGCGTCAAAAGACCCAATACGCATATCACTATAGTGGAAACGTTTTTATTCTTTCCTCGCCTAAAGACATGATTTGATTGTCTGAGACGCGATCCTGCTAAGTCCAGGCCTGCAGATGCTCTACCAGCCAGATCTCGAGCTATTTGGCCGACGCTCATGTACTTATTAGATGTCTTTTGTTATATGTTAAGATGTTTGCGCGGTGACTATATAGGTTCAATTTTTCCTAAGATCTAAAAAGCAGATCACGTAATGTAAAAATGGAAACTCAAAGGGAACAACGTCACAATTGAACCAGTTCTTAACAAGCTTCGCCTTTCGTTGGTTATAGAGACCAGTGATCAATATTTCGATGGATTGCTGGTGTGAGAAAGCAACTGTTTTGATTCTGAGACGTTAGAGCGCAACAAAAATTTCAAGCCCGTTGGATGAAAGTTGTAGTACTCACTATCTAATTGAAAGTGCTATTGAGCCATATCGCATCCTCGACAATATTCAAGCCCTTCAATACATCTTAAAACCGAGGTCGGATTTTATTTTATATCACTTTATTCCATTACGTCACACAGTCTCAACAAGCTAGTCAAAGACAGAACTGCTGGCAGGAGAGCTGGTAGGGGTGAGTTCCTTTGGAAGCTATATTATGTCGATGATGAAGACAATCCTTATAAACTTTTTGTGACTACGACGTCAAAGTGTCGGACAAATTTTCTTTTTGATCCAGTGCTGCCTGCTGGCTTCACGATAAGTCTACAAAGACCGGTAGTTGAGATAAATGACTTGTTATTGAGTTTTCACATCTGTTATACTCACTTTTGTTAACGACTGGGCTTTACGTCTGAAAATTACACTACTCGTTGCCCATAACCTCGATGTCGTCTTCCTCCTTCACTAAAAGAGAACTAATTGCATGCTTGAAAGCTAGTTCCAAATGGGTATCTCGGGATTATGACGTGGGCAGTAATATTGTTGACCTCATAGAACCAACCGGAACCGAGTTATCAAGCTTTGAGGATCCCGAACACGCAAACAATGAACCGCAAGAGCGAATCAATCATCTCATAGGCAAGCATATACTCAAAACGAAAAAGGGTTACAGCAGCTGGGACAGCTATATTCAGGATAGGAAGAGACAATACTATCAGTTGTGTTACGCGAATGAGCCCGAAAGTTTATATTTTGTACGCCGAACAAGATCTTTGAAGAAGAAAAAAGTATGAAGTGGAAAGGTGAAGCTAAAATTACATTTATAAATATTCTGGAATACAAAAATAATGCCGTTTGTCTATAATCTCCTGTAGGGCATGATGCTCCTAAAAAATTCCCTATTTCAAAAATGGCGTTCTAAGTAGCTTGTGCTTGCAACGTAGCTAAATCCCTGGAACACTTGTGCATCCCCTGGTCTAATTAACCGCTGAATATTGATGCAATTATTTTCCGTTTCGCTATCTAAGCGCATCTCCGTGAATTCGGTGTCAAAATTTTCAGCAAGCTCCCAATTTGTTATGATCGGCAAGATTGGCCCAGTGGTGCATTTTTGGACTTCGCCAGTTTCTAGCTTAGCCCAATCGATCTTCCGGAACACGAAGTGGGACTGGAAACTAGTAGTCTTAGCTTGCCCGGCCTTTTTCTTCTTCGGCTTGGGACCGTCCGTATTCCATAATCTATCCACGTCCCATCTCTTCGTGACATCCTTCTTGAGAAGCGACCCCAAAAAGTCTTTCATTCCTTCGCTGAAGTACGTTGGAATTTTGGGAGTTTTGTCCTTCATAATCTTGTTCAGAATAACTTTGTGGTTCACGCCGGTGTATGGCGGCTTGCCCGTCAACATATCATACACGAGACATCCTAAGGAGTACCAATCACAATTTTGCGTGTAGGGTTTACCTTCCAGAATCTCTGGGGCACAGTATTCAGGCGTTCCAATAATGGAATAAAGAGTGTCTACCGCTTCGCCAGGATTGAGTAGGTTGTCCGTCGCAGTATTACTATTTTTGGCACTCTTTTTGCTTAATCCGAAGTCCGTGAGAACTAAATGACCTCTTTCGTCCAAAAGACAATTCTCGGGCTTCAAGTCGCGATATACAATACCTTTGCTGTGTAGAAACTTTAGTGCGGAGCTAATCTCCGCAGCGTAGAAGGTTACGGTATCTTCGTCCAAAACACCTTGTTCTTTTAGGTGATAGAAAAGCTCTCCACCAGGTATGAATTGCAGGACTAGGTATAGTTTATGATGATCATGGAATGTGTAAAAGAGCTTGACAATGTTTGGATGTTCCAACTCGGATAAAATCGTTCTTTCAGCAAATGTACGTTCCAGACGTTTCTCTAATGCTTCTTCTTTATTGGGTGAGGTATCTGACTCTTCATGAATAAGGATCTCTGCTTTCTTTAATTGCTTCATGGCGTACAAGCGACTTGTATGCGAATCTTTTACGAGCAATACTTTCCCATATGCGCCCCGTCCCAGGACCCTGATCGGCCGGAAGTCCTCCAAAACACGCAGACCATGCTTTTTGAGAGTGCTGGGGCTACAAAAGCTCGAGTTGTCACTGTTAGCCTCGTTGGAAGGCAGCATAAGCCTCCTCGTATTTGGCGGTGTGACTACAGACATTTTGTCATACACCGAAGACCTTCGGCGCCCATTGACGATGTTCAAAGGTGAACTGGAAGGCGCCGCGAGATGAGAAGACCCAATTTCAGATCTTGGGTTTTCCGACAACAGATTTTTATGCCATAAAACGCCCGAATTTTCTTGTTCAAAGCCATCGTCTTCGCTGTCGATCACAGCACAGCTCCCATTAACAGTGAGCTTTCCGATCTCTTCGTCAAAGCTGAATATAGACATAACAGCGTTTAATCCATGCTTTACTGCTCGTGCTACCGATAAATTACTATAAGTTTGATGAGCAAAAACTAAATTAATTGAATATCAGACACACGTAAAAACTAAAATTTTGGTCGTTTTGAAACAGACAAATATATAATGAAATAACTACAGGGCAGATTTTCGAAGAGTATTTAATGCGATATCTAGCCCGGAAGTGTTTATTAAGACGCGTTTGAAGCACTTATTTTCGATGATATTTTTGTTATTTCGCTCCCGCGGGTCTTGATCTTTCTTAATTGTATTCGAACCATATGTCGCACGTTGCAGAGCATCAGACGTTCACTGTTTTGAATAAGGCCTTAAAAAAACATAAAGGGGATCGGATCATCGTCGATGGCAGAATTTACAAGTGGTTTGCTGTTCCGATTAGAAAGGGCGGTTGGCAGAAAAGCCGCCCAATTTCCAATCGACAGCGCTTTAATTTGGGAAAGACAATCATAATGTTCAAAAGGTCTCCGCCTGCGGTACGCACAGCCCTGTGAAGCTTGAACTGTGCAAACGTCGTGTTCACTGTATTCCGCACACAAACTATGGCCTTATGTCACTTCTTCTCTCATGGGAAAAAGGGATGTTATATATCCCTGCGGGCACCACCTACTTTATGTGATCAAATCGAAAGATACGCTTTTCTTTATAAACCCGTCTTTCAGAGGCAATGCCACAGACATGCCTGCTAAACGTTCATCGAAATGGCACAAGCCGGATGAGCATTCTCGATGTATTGAGCTTAGAATGCATTTCCAGAACCTTTCCACTCATGTCTACATCCGCTTTCGAAGCACACTATTCACTCCTGTCATTCACATAAGCAGTGCTGCTGCGGCGGCAAGCCACTTCGTTGCGTGTGAAAAAACACCTTCCCAACCCGGTGTTTCCGCTTCGCGGAACTTGAAACGATACCACTAATATTCGACAGTGCTCATGGAGTTAAGTACATCATGCCTCTCCGTCTGACCGAGAGCACCAAGTCGTCATACCAAAAAGCGATCGAAATTCATAAATGTCGCGGACAGTCGCAAGCACCCGTCGTACCAGTCCGTGCAAGCAATAACCACAGAGAAGGAGAGAGAGAGAGAGAGAGAGAGGAGGGAGCCCGCTCAGCGCTGCAATATTGCATTGCGAGTAGAACGAGACAGTCAGGCCCTATCACTTCGTACTTTCCTGACGCATCGTGGAAAGCGACACGGTGACTGTTCTCGATATTGCCCCTTCCACCGGCCTTGCACCAAGCATACTGCCACCTACGCATAACCAGCATGGCATCAGGTTCTCTAAATCGTACTTCAGTTCTTACATCTTTGAACCAGAGACATCCAGTTCTTCCTCAGGTCGTTTGTGCAGCCATTTCGGCAGTCGCTAACTATTTTTTCAAATTTTTTCATTTGCCAAGACTACGAAGTGGCTTGCATGTAGCCGTTCATTTCAATATCCAAGTTAACAGCCTCACAGCTTACGAGTTTATCTTCCCACAGTCGTCTCTTCAATGGCTTGAATTCGTCATCGGTGCACAGCCTTCATTGGCCGTTGTCAGTAGTAATTATCCACGCAAGTTCAAAGCGCAGCCAAGCCCTTTCCTTATTTTTCTCTTCTACAGTGAACTGACCCTGCAGCTCATTCTCATTGGCTCACAGAGACGGTAAGTACCTATACACAAAGCTTCAGAGCTGCGCCAAGAGATTCCTCCTGCGCCTCTTCGACTCGGATCCAGTTTTGAACCTACGCCTCGTAGCTCCACTGCTAGGTGTTGCAACAGGCACTGGAGTTATGCTGGGCTTCTAAATTTTGTGTAGATCTCGTAGGAGTCGATGAGCCAATTGGCAAGCACCGCGTGTGTTCCTGGTTGTCCCTGAGCTGTATTGAATAGGAAACCACGACCTTTCTAGCGGCCATTTTGGCAAGTAGGGTGGGAGTTGAAGTTCAACGGGAGAAGCGGAGTGACTGCCGAGCCTTGCAAAATAAGGCTTGGAGATGCCGATGCCGAGCCTTTGGAAGTACCCTTGCTGCTGCTGTGAGAGTAAGTAAGCTCATCATTTTATTTGGAGATCTCAATGCATACTGTATCACACCAAAGCGGGTACCGATTACAGCACGGAAAAGTATAAGAACAGAGCGAATCGAATGGTAAGACGCACCCAGAATTGTGCAATCCCAACAGCCAGGACCAGCTCCAATCTAGACTTCAATCCCCACAACCACTATTAATGACATCCAACGTTTCCATCTGGGACGACAAAATTCACGTTATCTACGTCGTCGAACTCGTCTTCTACAGCGGCCTCTTATGCGGTGCGGTAGCCGCACTACTGCGCAGAAGAGAAAGCCTGAAAGGCTTTTTCCTGTCAATCATTTCGGCGCTCAAGATTGCCGGCCTAGCCATCAGCTTAAACAGCGCTGTTAAAACAGTCAATGCCACCAACGATAACGGTGCCACGGAAATGCCCTCCACGGGCTTGGTTATTGCTGGAAGCATTTTAATTTCGCTAGCCACCACCCCGCTCTTATTTCTGACCCAATCTTTTGCTTTCCCTAAGATTACCAACAGATTGGTCTCACGTTTGGTCCGGCTCGCAGTGATTGCGCCCGCGGCGCTCAGCATTGCTGGCTACAATCTTTTGTCAGAAGGCAATTCCAATTCAAGCAGTGGCATTTCCTTAGTTAAGGCATCTTCGATCTTATATTTGGTGATTTACGTGAACATGGTAAGCTACGGGCTTGTGACTTTTTGTAAAAGAAATGGCGAAGCAGACCAGCTTCGTACTTTAAGCATGTACACGGTACTTTTGGCCATGCCATTTTTCCTCGTCAGATTTGTCTACACAATCGTTGCATCGTTTGATCTGACCTCTGACATTTCGGCTTTCCACAAGTTCGACATCTTCAATGGCGATTGGAGAATCTACCTCGCGATGTTTGTTGTGATGGAATTCATTGTGGAGCTCGTTTACGTCATTGGGCTGCACTTATTGATCAACCGTGAGGTCTTCGCTAGCCAGTTTGAAAACCAAACCAGTTCAGATGGGACAAAAAGCAACCCCGACAATAACTATTAGAAGAGGTGTACATTCATCCCTTTGCTATACTATTCCTTTATTACGCTGATATCGGCAGAACCGCAATCTCTCTCCCATATATTCCTTTCAATTATCTTAATTTTGAATATATAACCGCGGAAACATAAGTTTCTTACTTCTAAATATTATACAGGGCTGTCAGTTGCTTGTACGCTTTATCACTAATGAAGCCATTACTGTACAACACTTCATTGAGCACTTTGATCAACTCCACTATTTGTCGTTCGTTAAAATTCAGCAGAATAGTAGAAATAACAGTCTCCACCGTGACCCTTTTTTCGCTGATAAAAGTTTCATAGTAAAGGTTCATGAAGGAGCCCATAAGGAACTGACAGTCAACTCTATCAGTGATACCGCCATGTCCGGGAATAGATTGTCCAAAATCCTTAACCTTGAAGGATCTTTTTAGACCCGAGGCGAAAAAACCACCAAAGGGCGCAAACAATGATGCAAATGTCGCCAAATTCAAAGCGTGGAAATAAATAGGTTTCATGGTGATGGAGCTCAACCCGAACTTTTCAAAAACAACAGGTGGCAATCTATAGTCCTGAGGAATGAAGACGGGGTTCACATCGCACGTCAATGACGTGAAGAAATTGGTGTTGATGTCCTTTACGGGGCAGGTCATGTACGTGAATGGAGTCAAAAGCCTCGTAAGGATAATGCTTGCAATACCTGTGAAGAACCAGGCACCCAAAAATCCTTCCAAAGTTTTTTTGGGCGAAATTTCAATAAGCTGGGTACGTCCAAATGTGATGCCGCATAGGTACGCAAAGATATCGTTCACGATAACCAGGCCGCATGGCAGCAGGAACCAGATAAGCCCGTTCAACACGTTATTGATCACCAAGTGAGCCTGGAACACCACCAACAACAGCACCATGTGTGTGACACACAGGGAGGCGAATTGGAACTTGAGGTGACCCTTACGCAGGCTGCACACGAAGATGACAAACCCAAGCACGTAAAGACAATAACAGATGAACAGGTGATTCGAGGCCACCAGGTTCAGAATCCCGTAGTTGATAAAATAGTATTGGAAGAACTGGAACAAGGAGCGTCCGTCCAAGTAGTAGATTGTTGTAAAGAGAAAGTACCAGTTGAGAGTTCGGGTCAGCGGCAGGTTCTTCTCACGACCCGACATCGCCGTTACTCGAATGCACTCTTTGAACGCCGCAATCTGGCATGCCAGAATCAGCAAGACACACCAAAAGTGGCCCGACGCCAGTGTAATAAAAAACCCGCAAATCATAATGAGGGTCCATACTGTGCGTACAACGAAGTTGTAGGTTTTCGAGTCCTTCGCATTAGCATCGGAAGAGACCGCCTTATTATTCGTCTTATGACTTTCCCGGGAGCCGGAATTTCCGTTCGCTTCATTGCTGCCCTTCTTGACCGCTCCAGAGCCTTTCTTTGTCTTTTTAGAAGCCATTACCCTCGTAGATTCCGTCTTGTTCAGGTTTGTAGATCAACCCTACAAGCTTAGTTTTGCAATTAACTAGGGTTTGTTACTCGCATTCAAAATTTTCCAATCCGATATTCAATTCACATGGCTGAAATGACGTTCACACGTGATCATTTACAGGTTTGAGTTAGACGTCTGACTTGGCACTCAAAGTAGGCCCTGCTTCTTGAGCTCTTGATAAACCTGCTCACTCATGACATTGCCATCATCGTCTTCTACTTCCAAGTCGAGCTTAACGGCCCCCGGATGCACTGTGGTCACAGTGCGGGTCTTGAGATGCGAAGCTAAATTTTGGGCATCGGAGATGGTTGTGACACCTTGAAAGGTGGCAGTCGGCTCTATACCAAGCCGGCGCAGGCCAAAGGTGTGCCGTTGCTCGGAGAAATGTTTCTCAAACTGCCGGCGCCCTTTGTAGACGCAGTTTCCACATATTTCACATCTATATTCAATGTCGAGTCCCTGTAGCTTGTAGAGCCAATAGGGAATGGGGAATCCATCAGGGCCCAGCGGTAAACTAAATGATGCATCCGTTGCTGTTGAAGAATCCTCAGTGGCAGACGATTTCTTAAATTCGGGTGAAAATTCGACCTCGGGTTCTTGCGGGTCGTATGCTGGAGCCTCATAGGCAGCTGTAATCCGCGCTAGCTCCTGCGCACGCTCCTCAGAGGTAAATGCTAGTTTCCGCTCCACAAACTCCCGCGTGCGAGAAAGCTCGCTAGTTAAGAACGTACAAAACTGATGGAGTTTATGTTCCTGGGCCAAGAACGATTCATTTTTGACCCGATTGCTCAGATGCTTTTTGCCTGAGAGATGCGAGCGGTAGACGGTCTCGGCCTTAAAATTCTTGTCACACGGTATACAGTACAAAGATCCCGACAGGACTTCTATCGGTTCCGCGAGGTACGGTTGATATGCAATTGAAATTTTAGAATAGACAGAGTCCCACTCCAGAAGCGAATACGCTCTTTTGGCATAATCTTCCAGATACTGCAATAACGAGTTCACAAAATCCCGGTATCTGCTGCTGCTCCTGCTCACTGCAGGCTTCAGTAGAAAATTGTTGCTCTTGAACTTGTCCAATTCGTCCAAAAATTGTAGAAAAGTAACATCTCCATTCTTTACTACCCCGAGCCATTGCAAGTGATATGTGTTTAGATCCAAAAGTTCGCCGTATTGCTCATCTCTCGTAAATATGGCATTGATGTCGAGATTCTGAGCTTTCCTGGAAAGAATGTTTCTGTGGGTGGAAGTTGAGCTTGAAAACATGGCGAATTCGTCGCCAACATCATCTTCTGTAGTTTCTGGAAACTGGCTGTTGATGCTCTCAATCTTGGCGAGCAGCTGGTCTATGGAATTGTCAGACACTTCGTTTTCATTATTTCCAAAATTGATATTCTCCAGTAGACAGCAATTTCTTCGGTATGTGTCTAAAAAGGCCTTAATTTCGTGCTCCTGACTTAACAATTGTTTCCGACTTCGTCTGGGCTTACTAATCGAATACACTCTATTCCCTTCCTTTTGTGAAAGCGACTCCTCAGGAAACTGCCAATCCATGCCCATCGTCTTCCATTGATCAACGCTTCTGAAAAACAGTTCCGGGTTTCTGTTCAATCGGACAGCGATTGCATTTTCTATGGTTTCTTGCTGTTCCAAAGCGTCCCTAGCAGTTTCATAAGTTGCCATATGGATGAGTCTTGATCAACTTCAAACTAAAAAGCTCATCTACTGGTATTAATTTTTGTATAAATTTCAGAAGGCTAAATTACCAAAAGATGTGACAAACACCAATTTTCAAGCCATAACAGCCGCGATACAATATACAAATGTTCCTCTACATTTCTTAGTTTACACTTCAATGCTTCCTCCTCTTGGTAGGGCGAGCATTCTTAGCCTTTTTATTCTCCTTGGCGACTCTTTCCTTGTAAATCTGCTGAGGCGTTTTCAATTCGCTAGTCGAACCAGGTTTGTTAAAACCCTTGACAGAGATGCCGCTACCAATAGCCTTCTCCACCTTCTTTTTCTGCGTCTCGTAATCGTCTCTAAGCTTGTCGGGCAATTTGGGAGCTTTGACCTTATTGTGCTTGAACCTTCCCCCAATAGAACGTTGTGAGTTAGGCCCAGTTGGGTTACTGAGCATCTTCGAGGTAGACGCCGACTCCCGTGCACCAACCTTGATGGGTCCGAGTTTGCGGGCCTTGGACCATTCGTCAAATTTACCAGAACGGAAAGTGGCGGGAATTTTGTGACCACTTTCGCCCATGATATACTTCTTATTGTCAATACCTTGTGAGTTGACGTACTTCTTACGCTTTTTATCCCACTTGACAGTGGTTCCTTGTTTATGATTCTGTACTTTGTCATCGCCCTGGAGATCGAATGTTGCATTGGCTGCTTCATTAGTGAAACCACTCGTCAATTGCAGCTGCTTGTCCTGAATTTCGTTAGCTGGCGCATAGTGAGATATGAAGAAGCTAGGATCTCTAAACGACTTCTGTTTCTTACGCAGTGCCTGACCTTCGAGTAGCTCGTCAGCATCTTCAAATTCGCGGTTTAATACTTCTTCGGGCACCGAGTATCCAACCTCATTTTCATCACCTTTCAAAATTTCATCTTCAACCGTATGTCTCAAACCTGCCATTCTCTCTTTCTCGAGAAGATCTTTTCTCTCGCGTGCTCTTCTTTGAATTGGTGCAATCTGTCTCCGTCTTCTCTTCATTAGCATTGACATCTCATCATCATGATTACGGGCAAATTCAAACACAGTTTCTTTGTGATATCTCGTTTGCAGCTTTGCCAAAAAGTCTAATTTCTCTTTCTCGATATTCTTACCAAATCTTAGGTTTTGCTCGTCCCAACCCGAGGAGGCAACTTCCTTAGATCTTTTCATCGACTCCTGAGATGCGGGTGGACGTGTTCTAAAGTAAAGCCTTTCAGCTTTGACGGCAACCGCTTTCAGTTGCTGTAAATCGAAGCTAGATTGCAGGAGGCCTTTGTATAAATCACCACATGTCTCAGACTCAAGTCTAGGACAAGCACCTAGCACCATTCTGTTGGTATAAGAAACCTTGGGAGGCTTGAAAGTCAATTCAGAATTTCCCTCGGCTATCCATTTGGATTTCAGCATTTCAGTGGTAGCTTCAAACATTGGAGTTAACAGGATCTTCTTTCCTAAAAACAGCTCCAGATCCAAGAGATATGGCAATTCATTGTCAGACACAATGGAGTATGCCGAGCCTTTATTACCAGCTCTTGCCGTTCTTCCAACACGGTGCACAAAAATCTTGGAGGAAGCTGGTAAAGAGTAGTTCACGACATTGGCTAGCATGGGAATATCCACACCTCTGGCTGCCACATCCGTTACAACCAAGATGGTGGTCAGCCCAGCGCGAAAGTTGAACAACTGCTGCCTACGAGCATGCTGATCTAGCGTACCGTATAAATACGATACTAAGTATCCACAATCCTTCAACAGCTGAGAAATGTACTCAACATGATGCCTAGTAGGCGCAAAAACAATGGTAGAATGTTCTGACGGCAATTCATTTGCTGCTGGGAGTCTCTTACGTGGTCCCGACTTGCTCTTTTTCTTGTAGCGCTTCGATTTATCGTTCTCATCTTCGCTATCACTATCCTCGTCATTTTTGGTACTCTTTCTGAATTCGAGCAATTGCTCTTCAGTAGCCACTGGAATTTTCATCACTTCTTGCAGTAAATACAACAAATTGGCCTCTCTTTCCTCATTTTTAGATGACAGATAAAGCATCTCCAAATTTTCTGAGACCTTGCTTTCTGTATCTAGTCTTACTAGAACAGGATTCGACAGTCCAGCCTTGGCGAAATCAACTAGTGATGCAGGTAAAGTTGCTGAAAACAAAAGTGTTTGCCTGTAAGTCGGAAATGCAGCTAGTAATTCGTTCAATTGCTCCTCAAACCCCATTTCAAAAAGTCTATCAGCTTCGTCGAAGACCACATATTCCATGGACTTGAGATCGAGATTCATTTCAACCTTTAGATGCAGGAAACGGCCTGGTGTTGCGATCACAATGTCAGGGTTGGACATCATAAGTCCAAATTGCTCCTCCAGCGACTCACCACCGGTAAGCAATACACTGCGGAGATCAGATCCTCTAGAGAATTCACGGAAAACCTTGTGAGTCTGCATTGCCAGCTCTCTGGAAGGTGATAAAATCACGGCTCTTGCACCGATTTTAGCCGAATGGCTCTTGAGTCGCTCGATCATGGGCAGCACAAAGGCCGCCGTCTTACCAGATCCGGTTCTGGCCATACCAACTATATCACGCTTCTGCAAAATCAATGGGATGGTCTTCCGCTGGATCGGCGTAGGTTGACGGAAACCTTTCTTACCTATGTTTGACAGTACGAGCTTCGAAAGCCCAAAACTCGCGAACGAACCTTTCTTGTGCTTCGCATTGGCACTACTGTTGGTCGAGAAATACTCTGTGACATCGTCTGCAGCGTCTTGTGCATCTCGTGTCGGATCAGCTTCATCTTCTGAGAGTTCCAGAGCTGGGAAACTTACTGTTTGCTTCTTATTCTTCTTCTTCTTCTCTTTTGGTTTCTGCTCTATACTTTCTTCATTGTCACTGAACTCTATAACGTCCTGAACTTCTTGTTCTGGCTCGTTGCCGTTTTCATCCTCGCTGGAGCTGCTCTCGTCTCCATCTAAGGCGATGTTTCCCGCAATATCTATCTCCTCTTCGTCTGAAGATGCGTACTCTTCTCTTGGTCTTTTCGCCGCCTTGACCATGATCAACACAACAGTTTTTTGATATTAACAGCCACCTAGATATACTCAGAGGTGCTCTTTGATGATTATCTTTAAACTGAGCTGCGAAGAATAGTAGCTCATCGCATAGCTCATCTCATCTCATGAAATTTTTCATTATTTTTCACCCATAATAAAACCAAACAAAAACGTCAGCAACTGAAGTTATGGAAAATCGATATATATATATATAGGGCTATTTATAAGTGCATACACTTTATACAGGGCTAGCACTAATTTTGATGGGTAGCTTAAAATGTTTGGCACAAGTAGTAAAACTTTCAGGCCTCGAAGCGCGAAGAATACCGGGCTACGGGCCGATGATGATGCCGGGGAAATTTGATAATGTAGTCGTAGCCATGTCATCCGGTGTAGACTCATCAGTCGCCGCTGCAATGTTTGCAGACTTCCCCAAGGTGCAGGGTATCTATATGCAAAACTGGTCTGATTCCGAAGCCGCTGCAAGTGCCGGGAAAGAACCTTGTCACGAGCGGGACTGGAACGACGTGCAAAGAGTGGGCAAGCATCTGGGGCTGCCTGTGGACCGAGTAAACTTTGAGCAAGATTACTGGCAGGATGTGTTTGAGCCCATGCTGCAAGCTTTTCAGCGCGGAATAACACCAAATCCGGATATTGGTTGTAATAGGTTCATCAAATTTGGCAGACTTCGAGCGCATTTGGACTCAAAATTAGGTCATAACAATTACTGGCTTGTAACTGGTCACTATGCCCAGGTTCGTAATTTTCTGGATTCTGGGGAGCCCCATCTACTGCGCTCGTACTACAAGAGCAAAGATCAAAGTTACTACCTGTCACAGGTTCCGCAATCCGCGCTAGCAAACCTATGCTTGCCAATGGGGGCACTTACAAAACCCGAGGTGCGCGAAATGGCTCACCAGGTACAGCTTCCGACGGCCAGTAAGCCAGACTCCCAGGGAATTTGTTTTGTAGCCAACTCACAGCATACTAAATTCAAGAATTTCCTTCAGCAATACCTGCCCAGCGAAGAAGGAGCCATTGTTTCTATGGAACCGGGAACTCACGGCGATGATATGCGTGTCTGGGGCCGCCACACGGGACTATGGAATTATACCATTGGCCAAAAAGTAGGGATATCGATGCCACAGGGCGATCCACGCTATTCAGGCGCTTGGTTCGTAGCACAGAAAATTAAGGACTCAAATACCATTGTGATATGCCGGGGCCGCGACAATTTAGTACTCTACAAGAATAAAGTCGTAGTTCATGGTTTCGAGGCTCTTGGGGACTCCAAAGATGTTTACAAGGTTATGAAGGAAAATGTAGACCGCAAGGAAATATACATTCAATACCGCTCCCTTCAGGACCCAGTGCGGTGTTTGAAGGTAAGTATAGAGAACGATCAAATTACGATGGTATTGGATAAAGCGCAAAGAGCGATGGCACCTGGGCAGTATTGTACGATCTATCACAAGGAGAGGATTTTGGGAAGTGGTATTATCAAATCGAGCACCAGCGATGGGGGTGAAAAGGTCAGCTCTTAATAATTTGTTAAGATAACTATAGCTTGCGAATTGCTTGCGCCTGCACAAGTAACGCAACAGTGCTACCAGTTTGATACAAGTACGAGGATCAAACGAAAAAAGGTTGTCAGCTTTTAACCTTTGCATAGCCCAGAAATGTCATTTCAACAACCAAGATCTTTTTTAAGCAACGTTGCAGAGCTCATGAACAATGTTGAATCACGTTCAAAAGGCGCAATGAGTCCAAACAACATCGAGACCTCTCGAAGCTGCGCCAGACTTTCGCTGTCCATTGTTGTCCCATATTACATTGTGCGGGGCGGGGCTGCCATGACGAGCGAACGTCCAATTTCTTCTTAGTGCGGGAATCACAGGTCTAAGCGAAAGTAGATGTTTATCTGTTTCGACCTCGAGCTTGTCGATGTACCACGAGAGTATTACTCTCGGCGACATGCCTCTTTTCCAAATATGATCATTTTGTACAGTTCAGACATCTTCGGCCCTATTTAGTTTAATCTAGCTAGAACTCGCAAGAGACATGATATATAGGCAGATGGCATTAACCATCTCGCTAGCACTGTTCCTCGTATCCATCTAGTAAATCTTCTTAACCTTCGTAAAGATCTATTAAATAACACGTGATATCACTATATCTGTTCACTTTACATACGATACATGACACCACCATTAGAAACTTCAATCGAAATTTAAGAGTTAGCCTTCTTTACTGAAGAGCCTGTATTTCAATACTAGCTCTGTATCTGCCACTCGACACAAAGCTCGAAATATTAATAATGCCCTTTGAGAAAGAATTGTTTGTCGCTACGCAAGCGCTAAAAAAAGCGTCTCTGTTGACCAAACGCATCCAATCACAGGTTATTGCCAATAAAGACAGCACAATCACCAAGGAGGACACTTCTCCCGTTACTGTCGGCGATTACTCGGCACAGGCTATTGTTATAAATGCAATTAAGGCAAACTTCCCTCAGGACAAAATCGTAGGAGAAGAAGAATCCACAGGGTTAAGTGACTCATTCGTGTCAAGGATCTTGAGCGAGATTCAGGAAAATGACAAACATTACGCCAAGACTTTTGGTGTAGCAGACTCCCGTGCTTCAGGTATGCAATTCACCAATGCGGAGTACCCATTGAGTTCACTTGACGACGTCCGCAAGGTAATCGATATGGGGGACTTCGACGGTGGTGCCAAATCGAGATTCTGGTGCCTAGATCCCATTGATGGCACCAAAGGCTTCTTGCGCGGGGAGCAGTTTGCGGTGTGTCTAGCACTAATTGTGGATGGTGTTGTTGAGCTCGGTTGCATTGGATGCCCTAATTTGCAGCTTGCAGACTATGGTGGACAGGATACCAACATCGAGAAATCTCAAGAATTGGGATATTTATTCCGTGCAGTTAGAGGACAAGGGGCATTTTTCGCACCAACCATCTCCGATTTTGAATGGCTACCAGTCCATTGCAGGACTTTGAACTCCACGGAGCCAATGGTATCGCTAGAGGGTGTTGAGAAGGGCCATTCTGCTCATTCTGAACAATCACAAGTCAAGGAAAAACTAGACATCTCGCGTTCGTTGCACTTGGATTCTCAGGTAAAGTACTGCCTGTTGGTGCTTGGTTTGGGCGATGTTTACCTTAGGTTGCCCATTAAGCTGTCGTACGAAGAGAAGATCTGGGATCACGCTGCTGGAAACGTTTTGGTCACGGAAGCTGGCGGAATTCACACGGATAGTTTCAACAACGTACCATTGGACTTCTCGCGCGGCAGAACCTTGCAATCCAAGGGTGTCATTGCCTCCAGTGGGCCTGAAGAGCTACATGCAAGAATTGTAGCTGCATCGTCAGAGGTGATGAACAAAGCCAGCAAATAAGAATAAAATGCTAGCAGATGGTAAGAGGCACCCCTCAGCCAGGAAAGCTGTTTTGTCTGTAGCCACTATGAAGTGTTTTTTTTGCAAAGGCTAGCATTTTTTGGAAACAAATGGGCCTTTTTCAGTTAGAAAATATCTCGCTGATCGCGAGATAGAGACGGTGTATGTGGTGCTTTTTTTCGATGGCCAAGCTTCGCTGGGCCTACGTTCCTTCTGGCCTAAATGTAGGAAACGCCTTCAACAGAGTGCTGCTGGCATTCTGCTTGAAGTGGCCTGATTTGAAGTGTGCATAGCCAGAATTATATCGTTTTTTGATGTGTGCTAGCATGCCTCGATACTGACCATCTTGCCAAGTTAGCATTGCTCCAAAAACGTGAAGAAGGACATACAGGAACACTCATTTTTAGCAGCATTATAAGTAGTTTTACCAGAACAATGAACACATCGAACGCTTCAGTCTCGCAGCTTTGCGAATCTTTTGGTAATACTGCAAAGTTCACTTCCGAAATCATCCTCGATAAGATTTCATCACTTCGATAATGTTTGGATAGAAACCCGCTAAATGGTCTCAGGCTTAGTCAAAATACTCTGTGAACATGCGTCCGTCATCCATTTTACCTCGCGCCGTGCACTCGCCTCGATAATCGAGTAGTTTTTTGAGTAGAAGCAAAGTCTTCTTCAAATTGAAAAAAATTGTAATTCTATATTAGAAGAGAAGCCTTTGACTTTTACTTGGTTTTCGACCCAAACTCTTAGTCGCTGCAACAAACTGAGAAAGAAGTAGGATCAAACTTGGAATTGGTGGATCAAGAAGGTCTAGAAGGGTTCAATATTATAATAATGGAACAGCAACTTCACAAGGATAACGCTTTGGCAGATACTACAGATCCTGCTGTGATGGGTATTCCAGAGGTTGCAGATGTTGGTATAGTTCCGAAGATCGAACCGGGTGAGCCATTGGATGAAACTGGGCTCCAATATCACCATCAAGAAGTTTTAGTACAAGAACTTAATACTATCAGGGACTTAAAAGGAGCCCAAATGATGATAACACATGCCATAAATACTGTGCTGCGAGAGATGAGCTACAAGTCTGCAGATGACGACAAGAAATACAAATTCAAGTGGAGCAGTGTCTCGACGTATAACTTGTTGAAGTACTGTTACGATATTGGCCCTTTTTATGGCTTCGAAAATGGCAAGGATCCTTCCCTGCGGAAACTTGAGCAGAGCAGCTTCATATCGCTGAAGTGGGGTTGTGTGTGGTACGATGTGCTTAGATCTGTTGACTTTCCCAACAAAATTGTACCTACAGAGTTGCAGTGCAAAACTCGTTTTAAGTACCTATTGGAACAAGCGCATTCTCGGTTGTTCATCGGCGACCTCAAGAAAAAGTTCGTCCTGACCGGTGTGCCCAAATTAGATAACATGCTCGAGAAGGTTACGCGTCTGAAATATGAGGCAGAAGAACGCAAGACCGAGCTCCAAAAATTCGAAGGCCAGCGTACCAAACGCAGCGCTAGCGAGTTGATGGGTGACACGGCCGATGCGGGGTTGACGAGCGTGGGGCCCGAGATTGCGGACCTCGATCGCGTTGGTAGCGAGATGTCTTTTACGAGACGCAGAGGGGATCTATATGCGGCAAAATTTGCAGAAGACAGCTTCAGAGAAAGACAATTGGCCCTTCAACACGAACAAGTTGCACTTGAACACGAACGTCTTGCGCTCCTTCGCGAACAAGAGGTTCGTCAAGCTATAGACTCCAATGTCAAGAGGGCTACATCGGTCCTGAGTATTTTAGGCTACGCTCATGACCTGGACAATGACCAACTGCATATCAAGGACACACTACTGCGCGTCTTGCAAAACTCATTACACGAGTTACAAAAATAACCTGATCACCGACCTGCGGCCTAATCGCATATGGTGTTGTATCATCTCATAGATTCGGTTTTCACACGGCTGTACTATAATTAATGAAGTTTGTGGGGTAGAGGAGAATGAGTCTGCCCTTCTCCGAAAACTTGCTCGCGTATCAAACATTGTTTTGTGTAGCGTGTAACGCCACCATAAGGTTAGAGAAGCTCCTACTCACACACGGACCAGGCGTCCTTCCAGGAAGCAGACAATGAAAGTAATAATTCTTTAGTGGCATGCAGCAGGTGTTTATGAATGTTGATGAATTACTTCCCAAGGATCGCTAGATTATTGAAAGCAGCTCCCGGCGCAATGTACACTCGCTCCAGAGCTTCTCGGAATCACGGAAGGCATGCCAAAGAGCATTATCTCTCCAGCTTTTTAACCGTTAATATATTCAAGCCCGTCTTTTACGACTGTATCAATTTATCTCCCCAGCTAAAAAAAATTTCAAAGGGTATAATTGCCCATTTGATATTAAATGGCATTTAATAATCAAAATTTAACATATTCGCCACGCCACAGGCCAAACCCACATCTGAGGGGATTGCCAATAGTTTATGGGCCTTTACTTGCTTAAACTCCAGCTTGTGTGCTAGTCGCTGGTAAAAGCGCTTTCTAAAGTTATAGGAGGCACGAAGAACAAACTTTTAATATCCATCAAAAATTCATACCAGACCCTGAAAAGCAAGCTACTCAATCATAAATCTTCTTCGAATGCTGGCAAATAGATCAGGAACGTCGCTGCCGCAAAACGCGACTTTTTTCGCTGGCGGCAAAGTCATAGAGCCCGTGTACCTGAACCGAACCTGGAACACTACAACGGTTAATCAACTACTGGGGCTTCCGGGGATGTTTTCGACTTACAATGCCCCCCAACTGTTACGACTACGTGGTTTGGCTATAACATCGTCCTCCCTTTCAATATTGGCCGGGGTGGTTGGGATTTATTATATCGCATGCATCGACAAGCGACGTAAAGTGTTTCGACACCATTTAATCCTCTTCTTAATATCGTGCGACTTTATCAAAGCAGTCGTTCTGCTCATCTACCCAGTCGCAATTTTGATTGAAAATAGAGTTTATGGTTATCCCGCATTCTACAACACGCTCGGATGGTTCACCGCGTACAGCATCGAAGGTGCAGATTTTGCCATCGCAATTTTTGCCATCCATTTCGCGATATTGATATTCGTTCCGTCTTTGAAATGGCTGAACAGGTCTACTGGAAACATGGAAGGTGGACTTTATCGTGTACGGCACTATTTATATCCTGCCACATTTTTGCTTCCGATGGTCCTAGCCACACTCGCATTCGTTGGCTTCGACACATTTATGCCTGTGAATCTCAATGATCGAGTCATCTTGAACAACAACAATTTTGACTTCGCCTATCAAGCTCGACGAGGTGGTTACAAAGCCATGAGTGCATGGTGCTATCTACCACCTTACCCAATATGGTACCGCGTTGTGCTAAGCTGGGGTCCTAGGTACTTTATCATTGTTCTGATTTCCAGCATCTACATCAGCATTTACATTTTTGTTTCTAAGGAGAGTCGTAAAATTAAGAACCAGATCGGTTCTTTCAGACACAGCGAAAGTGTGGATATTCATCGTGAGCGAGACAGCAAAGGAAAGCTTTTGACTTTACAACAAAGGTTTTTAATATACCTAAAATTCTTCTTCAGAAAGACAGGGCTCTCCAAGATAATGCAAACTATTACTAGCTTCTTCTTTCTTTCTCTGGAAGACTACCATGATGACTTGGTGGGGGAAAAACGCAAATCACGTAAATTCTCTAAGGAAGAAACAGAAATAAAACCCACCGTCAAAGACACGTCGACTAAAAAACACGTAGCATTACGAACGCCTATCAAGGATAAAAGCGGATCTAAAGGACCATTTCATCGATCTTCTACCAACTTTTCAAAGCGATTTGGCAGGCGAGCAAGCTCCACCAGTATTAGCCCTTGCGGACCATCATCAATTCTTCTCTCAACAAATGCAGCTCCTTTAGCTGGTTCTACAAGGGGAGGCGTTCTCAACAGCAGCAGTGATATTGATCCATTTTATCATCCACTGAACGGCGAAGAAAGTACGGAAGCCGGAAAATATTCGGTACAGGATCTCAAACGCATTAATAACAGTCAAACCAATAATAAAACAGAAGTCGAAAGATGTAACTCAAGTTTCTCACTGGCTTCGGACAAGTTTGCACCTAATATTTTCAAACCAAACAGATCGAGAACACTGTCGCCCGTAAGATCCGCCAACTCGCTTGAGGAGACTTTAAGAGGCCTCCCTACCAATTCACAAATCGAGAAAAACTTGATAGACACAAAGAATAGTCGTGAAAACTCTAGCGCTGTAGCGCTAGATAAAGACCATGTTCTAGGGCTGAAGCAGAACTTTCAATCGGAAACATATCAAGACTTCAAGAAACGAAGAGCTCAAATACAAAAACAACTGAGATCTATTTTCATATATCCTTTCTCCTATGTCATCATATGGACATTCCCCCTCATAGTCGATGCGATTCAATATCACTACGAGATAATTCATGGCCCGATAATTTGGCTTGAGTACATTGCAACCTTTATGCAGCCTCTCAGCTGCTTCGTCGACGTGCTAGTCTTTCTCTATAGAGAGCGCCCCTGGAGGCATTCGTGGGCTTCGATTACCAAGAAAGACCTTTATAATAACTATTCGTTGAAAGGTGAGATTGGTGAACATACTATCAGAGGAATGTGCAACAGCGAGTTGGGTGCAAGAGGCTGGTTCTACCGCGGTCGGTGGTCCAAACTCAATTGTTGGAGGTATAAACCTCAAAGATGGAAAAGAATCGCATGGTTCTGTTATCGGTTTGTCAAGGGGTTAATTCGTAATTACTACGATTTTGAAGACAATTGTAATGATGCGGCTTACTGGGAGGAGTACTACATGGGGAAAAAGAGAGACACCCAGGCTACTGGAAGTTCCAAACTACGCTGTTCCGAAGCCTTTAAAGAAGTTTTAGATGTGGATAATTCCAGAAAGGACTCTTACTTCTCAAGTTCAACCGGTGATGTTATTTATGAAAATCAATGCTATGTGAAGGTTCCCTTTAAGTGGAGAATAGTTCATTTTTTGCCTATGCTTGAGGGCGTGGATTTGGACGAGTTAGACTACCAACTCCGCATAAATCAAAGTGACAGAAACTTGGATATTCCTGGCATGAGTCTGGCGCTGCAAAACATCACTAAACCTAATGTGCAGATCAGTGGCGAATCTTTTTTCAAGCCAGATTATAATATGACAAGAAGTACTTCGCTATCTCGTCCAGAAATCACGTCAGTACCACGAGCGTATTTGGGTGCCATGCGTCATAGCTCCTCAGGAGTTTCTCAAGCTACAGGGTCTCCTCTCAATAGCTTTTCAACGGAGGGAAATAGTGTTCAAGGCAGGCCATCTTCCTACACGGCTGGCGACGGCGGTCCACTCGCAGGTAAGAGTGAATCGAAGAGCGACAGCGCGAGCGAGGAGCTCGATAAGGAAGGAAACGTAGGTAAGAGAATGGGCTTGATGGACTTTTTACATGGATAATTAATTACTCGTAGTTTTCAATAAAAAACATGAATGAACAGTACTTGTCATTAATCCTCAGAAAAAAAAAATCATTTGAGAGTAGAGCACGATGAGATCCGAATACAGTTTGCTAATATCCACATTCAACTGTGGCAAATGCCTCCCACTTACCGAGCCCTCACAATTGGAAAAAATAGCATCAATATTAGTTTCCCCCGATTTCGTTCACGATATTTATGTTTTAGGGTTCCAAGAGCTGGTGGCCATTTGGCAAGGATCTTTTCCCGACATAGTTGAAACACAGCTACTGACATTATCATATGCAATCCTAAAGCGTATTAACGCATTGGATGTGAGTCGTGAATTCAAACTAGTAGCACTGAATAGCGTTGGCGCCATAGGACTCTTGGTCTACGTTGATACCAAGTTCATAACTACCAACATCTTAAAAGCCTCCGCCAGATGCGGGCTACTATTCTCAAGCCTCAAAGGCGCTACGGCTGTTAAGCTGACCCTACAGGCCCCGGACTCTGAGAACTTTAGTTCTTTTGTTTTTGTTACTGCTCACTTGGCTGCTAATGAGGGCGAGGAGCATTTGCTAAGGCGAGAAAACGATTACCATGCAGTCACAAATGCCCTTGAACAAGAACTGGGACCATTTGCAGCAAACCACGTATTTATCTGCGGCGATCTCAATTTTCGGTCTGGGCGATGGGCCACCGGCGAGACTGATTTTAGCAATACGGACTATCTGCGCGAAGCCGTGCGGCAACACGACGAGCTTAGTACAAGCAAGGGATCGGGGCGCATCTTCAAAAATTTCCAGGAGGCTCCTATTTCATTTGCGCCTACCTACAAGTTTCAACTTACCACTCCGAAAGAGTCGTACAACCCTTCGCGAATTCCATCATGGTGCGATCGCGTTTTGTTCCAAAATGGCCCTGTCAAACCTAAAATTTTGAGCTATACCTCATGCAAGAGGTCGTCTGCACTCCAATTCACAGATCATTTGCCGGTCGTGCTGCAGGTCATTGTCCCTTATGCTGATTTCGATTCCTCTGTTTCAAGCCTGATTGTCAAACAGGCCTCGACTCAAGGCTCGAGGACTATCGGTCGGTTAGTAGACCTCATTATCGGCTATTCAGGACGGGCCACTGATCTTTACGGGACTCAGCTCGTCGTGGCTGGCATCTTATTGGCTTTATGGGTCATTTACCTTACTTGCACGTGATTAAGAATTAGATTTTCGCTTCTAGCGATGAGCATGTAGCCTCTTCCATTTTATCGATAGAATTTGAAGACACTATTTATTTATGACCCACGCATGCTCAAAAAGATCTCAAGAGTATCGAGGAGCATCAGAACAATTAATAAAGACACTATGAATGGTTCTATTTTGAAAAATACTGAAGAGAGTTCACCAGAAACTAAAAAAAGACCGGCAACACCGCCTTCTATGACGGACCCAAAAAAAGATCTACGATCGGAGCCTTCCATGGCCATCGAAATCAAGAAGCAGAAGAAGAAGAACAATGGCGGACTAGGCGAACTCAGGGATAGCAAAGGATTCAAAATTAAGATTCAAGAATCTAACCAATTACGGAATAAGCAAGTGGATCCGGAATATGAGGTGAAAGTGCAAGGCCCATTACGCAAGATTGTGCCGTATTACTTCACGTATAAAACATTTTGCAAACTCAGATGGAGAGACAGACCTTTGATAGACATTTTTGTTAACGAATTTCGTGACCGCGAAGAATCCTACTACAGAAAGACCATTGCTGGGGGATCAGTGTTCCTAAACGAGAAACCGGCGAATTTGGAGTCCGTTGTAAGGAACGGGGATTTGATTGCACACAACATACACAGACATGAGCCACCAGTTACGTCGAGACCCATCAAGACTGTGTTTGAAGACGAAGACATTTTAGTTATCGACAAACCCAGTGGCATTCCCGTACATCCTACGGGAAGATACAGATTCAACACAATCACCAAGATCTTGCAAAGGGAAATGAAGGTTGCGATCCATCCCTGCAATAGACTCGACCGGCTAACAAGTGGCCTAATGTTTTTGGCTAAAACTCCTGCCGGTGCTGACCACATGGCTAGCCAGCTAAAAGCCCGAGAAGTAAAGAAAGAATACATTGCCCGGGTTATAGGCAAGTTTCCCACGGATCCAGTTGTCGTCGAAAAGTCGCTAAGGAGTATCGAGCCTCGTTTGGCCTTGAATGGTGTATGTGATCCTAGTGACGAAGGCGCAAAAGACGCTAAGACCGTTTTCACTAGAGTTAGTTACGACGGAGAAACTAGTTTGGTAAAGTGCCAGCCTCATACTGGTAGAACTCATCAAATAAGAGTTCATTTGCAGTATTTAGGTCACCCGATTGCAAACGATCCGCTGTATTCTAATCCTCAGGTCTGGGGCCAATCACTCGGGGAGGGTGAAACACATGATTATTCCAGCGTTATAGCCAAATTATCAAAGATTGGTAAAACCGTGTGTGCGGAAAGCTGGTATCATCCTGACTCTGTTGGTGAGCTTTTAACCGGCGATAAGTGTCTCGAATGCGAGACGGACCTCTATACAGACCCAGGGCCAAATGATCTGGATCTATGGCTTCATGCATACTGCTACGAGTCTACAGAGTCTGACGACGCCGGGATGCGATTGTGGAGCTATAAGACGCAGTTTCCGGATTGGGCGTTAGAACCACACCGCAAGTATATGGAGCTGGCTGTCCAAGAAGCTCAGAAATGCGGGCCTACAACCACGGCATTCAGTGTGGGCGCCGTGTTGGTCAGCGATGACAAAATATTAGCAACAGGTTATTCCAGAGAATTGACAGGGAATACTCATGCCGAGCAGTGTGCTCTGGACAAGTATTTTGGCTGTACAGGACGTACGCAGGTGCCACCTGGGACTGTTATTTATACTACAATGGAGCCTTGCTCCCTGCGCTTGAGTGGTCAGCTACCTTGCGTTGACCGTATACTGGCCCAAAACAAGAACATACGTACTGTCTTCGTTGGTGTCATGGAGCCAGACACGTTTGTCAAGAATAATACAAGTAAAGCCAAATTATCACAACATGAGATCGATTATGTGCTTATTCCGGGCTACGAAAAGTCTTGTACAGAAGCGGCTTTTAAAGGACACGAACGCAAACAAGGCTAGCAGACTTAAACATCTAACAGCTAGAGTATGAGCTAGGTTTTGCTGCGGATTGATTCTTTTATGATATTGGTCAGGAGCTTCGTAGAAAATTTTCTACCGTTTAAAGAGGAAGATCGTGATTTGTGAATCTTAAACTCAGCTCACACTCATAGGTAAAAACATAAAATAGAGCCATGTCCAAAAGAAGGGTTGGTGCCGCGTCCAAGGCTAATGGAATGTCAATTGGTCGTTCGAAGGAGGACAACAACTTACTGGATGCATTGAAACTCTACGAGGCCAAGAACTATAAGAAGTCACTGAAGCTAGTAGAAACAACTTTGAAAAAAAACTCGCAACATGTGGATTCACTAGCCTTGAAGGCTTTGAACTTGTATTGTACGGATCAAAAAGCCGAGGCTGAGACGTATGTGCAAAAAGCTTTGTCGAAAAGCAATGTTGGAGGCCCATCTCCCATCGGCTGCCACATTTTGGGTATTTACATGAGAAACGAAAAAAGATACCCTGAAGCTGCCAACTTCTTCCAGACTTCGCTTGACACCGGATCAACTAACAAACAGATTTACCGAGACTTGGCCACTCTGTACTCTCAAGAGCATGATTACAAAAACCTGCTTAGGGCCCGGAAGGCATACTGGGAAGAATTTATGGGGTACCGTGCTAACTGGACTTCGCTAGCTATTGCACATGATCTTAATGGCCAGCAGGACGAGGCTGCAAACGTTTTGACTAAGTTTGAAGAGCTTGCCAAGGGCAAGCTGGGCGAAACTGAAGCCTACGAGCACAATGAGTGTCTCATGTATAAGAATGATTTGCTTTACAGAGCTGCCGGTGGCGATTCAGAAAAACTCCAGCGGGTTCTCAAGCATTTGGACGAGATCGAGCTCGAGGTCTTTGACAAGTACGCGTGGCTCGAAAGACGTGCTGCGGTCTACTTAAAGATGAATGACAAACAAAATGCCGCGAAGGTGTACAGAACCTTGATTAAAAGAAATCCAGACAACTTCCAATACTACCGGTTTTTGGAGATCGCACTTGGGATTCAAAACGACGAAAAATTAAAGACTTTGCTTTACAAAAACTTGCAAAAGTTTTATCCAAGAGCGGAACCACCTAAGTTTATTCCATTGACTTACGTAAAAGGCGAAGCGGAATATGCTCAAAAGCTATCCGCGTACCTTTTGCCACAATTACAGCGGGGCGTCCCAGCAACCTTCGGCAACGTAAAACCCTTGTACAAAGGCGACCGCGAACGCACGCCCAGATTGGCTGAAAAAATCGTGCTTGATTTTGTTGCCAGTCTAGACTCCAATGGCTCTCCTCTCACTTACGTGTGGACATGCTACTATTTGTGCCAACACTACTTATATTCGAAAGACCTCACAAAAGCAAGAGATTATATCGATTCCGCCATAGCCCATACACCTACTTTGGTAGAACTCTACATTCTCAAAGCTAGGGTTTTGAAGCATGCTGGCTTGTTGTCCGACGCTGCCGAGACCGTTAATGAAGGTAGAAAGCTTGACTTTCAAGATAGGTTCATCAACACGAAGACTGTCAAGTACTACTTGAGAGCCAACTTGATTGAAAAAGCCGTCGAAGTTGTTTCTATTTTCACGAAAAACGACGGATCTGTTAATGGTGTTATGGACTTACACTTAATGGAAGGCTCGTGGTATGTTGCTGAAGAGGCTGAATCATATTATAGACTGTACCTAGAGAGCAAACAGAAGTTAGGTGTGCTGAAGGCTAGCGAGGATCCTGCGGAGGAAGAGGCGCAGGATGACCATGCGACACAAATTAGACTATTGGCCTACCAGACCGATAAATTCGGTGGGTTGGCTTTGAAGAGATGGAGCGCCATTTCTAAATTCTACAAACAATTCAAGGACGATCAACTCGACTTCCACTCTTACTGCATGCGCAAGGGAGTACCAAGAGCATATCTTGAGATGTATCAGTGGGGGAAGTCAGTTTACACATTGCCCATCTATGTTAGAGCCATGAGGGGTGCTGCCAGACTTTACTTCTCTCTTCACGATGAACTGCAGGCTTCGCAAGAGGACAACAATTCTACTGAGGAAACACCCGCTGTAAAAAAAGGGAATAAAAAGGCTAAGAAAGAAGCAGCTGCCTTTAAGAAACGCAGGGAGGACGACAAGAAAGCCGTCCTGGCATACGAAAAGGATGATGACATTTTGGGCGAGAAACTTATCTCGACAACCACTCCCTTGCAAGATTTCGCCGAAAAGTTTTATCTTAACTATGCTCGGGAAGCCACCGACTCCACTAGAGATTACCTGCTAGAGTTTGAATATCAGCTAAGATGTGGTAAGCTATCACTTTGTCTAGGAGCGCTTGTCAAATATGCTGACACCCAGGGAGAAAGAAACAGTATGGTCGGAGCAATGCTTCTTTGCCTGTTGGACAGAATCAAATCATCTCCTCAGATTGATGAAATGACTAAGAAGATCGCTTTGAAAGGCCTAGAGCGCCATTTTACATCGTTGCCGCTTGACCAACTGGAGAACAAGGAATTTGACTGGATAACTTTCTATAGAGAAAACTACGAAGAGTTTTCACTGGGCGCCTTATTGCTGATCCGTCGCTCTTTGGTGCAAATTATAAGTCTGGAAACTGTCAAACAATTGATCTTAGAGAACCTGGGTTCGCAAGAGCCAGCAGTTCAAGACTCAGTGCTGAAATATGACCTTAACTGAGAGTTTATGTTCTTCACTGTACTTCAAACAAGCGCTGAGAGATTATATACGCAGGTATAAACACTTATAAATGTTTGTTAGAAACAACGTGACAGGTAGGTATTTCGAAAGAAGCTACTTCTCAAGAAGCTGATCTAAAGAACCTTAAAGTTTCCCTTCAAAGCTAGTGTAATAGGGTGCCGCACTATCCATCTCATTTAAAACCATGAGCTCCATTCCACGACCTAACTCTGTGTCATCGTTGCCCTCTACCAGCGGCACAACGACAGAAAATGATCGGAGGAGAAGAGACAATCTGAACGATAAAATCCAGCAGCTGCTGGATAAGATACCCGAAGATTATTTCCAAGACTACTATCGTCGCAAAGATGTCATAGATATGGATGATGCACAAATGACCCCTGGGAGCAACGGTTTGGGCTCAGCGGGGTCGGTAAGTGCAAAATTGAAAGGTACCGGAACTAAAGATGGGAAACCTAACAAGGGCCAGATCCTGACTCAAGCAGTCGAATATATTACAAAACTGCAGGGTCATGTTGATGCCCGGAACAGGGAAGAAGTAGAGCTTATTTTGCGTGTCAAAGAGCTGAGTAAGCAAATGGAGGCACCCGTCAATGACATTAACCTAGAAAACACTAGTGCCGAGGTGGCTCTGGCCAAGATTGGCGTTGGTCCTTTAGCCAGTGTAGCTGATGAGTATTTTGAAAATGCAGATCTAAGAATTGGGTTCGAAGGGCCAAATCTCGATAATGGCAGCTGATCAGGAAGTTCAAAGTTAACGCATGCCATACTAGACGAGGCCAATGTCCGCAGTCCTCTAATACTGCTGCCTTCTAGTCGAAACGTTGATCGATTTGGTACTGACAAGCTTGAAATGCTGTACCGTCAACAGCCGCGTCAGAAGACCGCTCAGACCTCGAAGAATTCTGACCCACAATGCTTCCTGCGCGTTACAGTCGGATGAGCAGAGCTTTGGTAAACACGCCATGTGTAAACAGTTCTTGGCTGAAACATAGCAACTTGTCCTTTACAGATGCTACAAGCGGTCAAAAAACGAAAGAGATTCAATGTGAGTCTGACCCACCGTGAGCAGCTACTGTCAACAGTCTGTGATAAAAATCTGGCCTACGGCTATATATTTATTACGACATTTAATGCTCCACATATTGATGCGTTCAAACAGTATTAACTCGCCATGATAAACCTGCTGCAAATGATTGTACATATACAGTTACTCACAAGCTGGCCTTGAAATGACAGCGACTTTTTCGAATATTGCCGTCGATTATTGAAAAGCAAGATGAATTCCATAAAACTGGTTTCCCAAAATTGCTGATACCGATGATTTATGGCAAAGAGGTCATTACAAGCCTATCAAAATTCAAAGACCCATACGAATAGGGTCTAAGACCTTGTTCGGCCTCAATTGTCGAATATCATCGGACACGAAATAATGTGACAGCTTGCGCACGAGAATTTTTCAAAAGCTTTTGTTGATGAGAAGGAGAAACCGGTAAAGGGTGCGTTTGCCGATATTAGTAGACTATTAACTAGGTTTCTGGCTCCAAAATGAGTCTTGAAAGCTCTGAAAATGGAGCTCTTGGGAAGCGGCCTCTTACTGAGGTGAGTACCAATTCTCCGGAAATTTTAAGCTCGAAAGAAGAGGGATCGAAGAAACCTAGAGTTCAGGACGAAGAGAAGCAGATTTTCGACGATGCGCCACCGGCAGATGAGCTTGAAGATGTCGTCGACGATTATGTGCCGAAACAGGCTTCCGAAGACCAAAACGGTCACAAAATGGGATGGAAAGCGGACCAAAATGGGGAAAGCGCGCCAGATACCAATGACCTTTATTTGCCCAAGCCGGTTCTATTCCCAATCGATATTTTGCATAATCCGGATACTGGCAAGTACAAGTTTCCATTCATATCCAAGGAGGATTCTCTGGCCGCCAGGTCTTACCTAAAATATTACGGATCCGCAGAATTTCTCGATACACATTTGCCGAATGATTTGAACTCGTTGTACATCTACCATTTAATAAAACTATTGGGGTTCCAAATCAAAGACAAACAGCTGCTAGAAGCTGTTCAAGCGGTGGCGGAAGACGATATTTATCCGCAGGGAGTTTCTCTGCTGGCTAAAGGCAATGGAATAAATGGTGCTGCTGGCGTCACACGAGCTGGTGTTAGTAACACCCGCACCTCGAATGAACCTCAAAATATGGAAAAGAGCCCAGATTCAGATGGGAGCGATTATTTCGACGATCCATTGGAAAAAAAACACGCTGTGCGTTTAATAAAAGATCTACAAAAAGCCATGAATAAAGTGTTGAGCACGAGAATGAGATTGGCCAACTTTCACACCTTGGACGATTTTTGTAACAAGTTGAAGACTGCAAAGAAAGTTTTGGTATTGACTGGCGCGGGGATCTCCACCTCGCTGGGTATTCCGGATTTCAGATCTTCTGAAGGTTTTTACTCGAAAATCAGACACTTGGGACTTGACGATCCTCAGGACGTGTTCAATTACGAGATTTTCATGCAGGATCCCTCTGTGTTTTACAATATCGCACATATGGTCTTGCCTCCAGAAAACCTATACTCTCCGCTGCACAGCTTTATTCGCATGATTCAGGACAAGGGTAAATTGCTCAGAAATTATACCCAGAATATAGACAACTTGGAATCCTACGCCGGTATACAATCCGAGAAAATGGTTCAATGCCATGGATCATTTGCTACAGCGTCCTGCGTTACTTGCCACTGGAAGCTGCCAGGTGAAAGAATTTTCGAAAACATAAGAAACCTCGAGCTGCCACTGTGCCCGTATTGCTACAAGAAGCGCAAGGAATTTTTTCCTACCCATCCACCGGGATCCGAAGAAAATGGGACTGAAAATTTCAACAGCGTTTTTAGCCACGTCTTGAAATCTTACGGTGTATTGAAGCCTGATATCACATTCTTCGGTGAAGCATTACCTTCGAAGTTTCATCGTTTTATCCGTGATGACGTTCTCAAGTGCGATCTTCTCATCTGCATCGGCACCAGCTTGAAAGTGGCCCCTGTTTCCGAGATTGTGAACATGATTCCCGCATACGTCCCTCAGGTACTGATCAACAAAGACCCCGTAAGACATGCTGAGTTTGATCTCTCTCTACTCGGTTTCTGCGACGATGTCGCTGCTCTTGTGACTCAGAAATGTGGCTGGTCCATGCCTCATAGTAAGTGGCCTATTCTCAAAGACAACGACTATGAGTTTGTCGAAAATGAGAGAGGCGCCTACATCGTTCGTCCCAAACAAGCTGAACAACAAGAAGTTACGCAAGAGTAAGGAAAAATACTCGTTAAATAAGCTCTGCTTCTGTTGTACTCTCTAAACCTCGTTACGTATACTGTAAGAAATGCAAGAATTCTATTCAACTAAGCAAACAGGAGAGACGTGTCAATGTCATGCAAAGATGATCGCTTCCGCATTTAGACAAGTACGCTGTGTCAGGTGCCCAAAAATAGCTTGGTATCAAGTATTTTTGACCACCAAAATGGTTAATTTCGTTACTGATGTTATTGCCAGTTTGAATGTCTTGTCGACGACGCTATATACTTTTCATTGCAATCGGCTTGGAAATCACAGGAGTCAACACATTTGATTAATCTATGATAAACTTTTCGAGCAAAAGTTGCCTCGCTCTTATGGTGAACGAGATATCAAGTTTGAAATCTATTTTTCGAGGCAAAGAGGATCATGACAAGTTTTCTCGATGAGTAGCGGACTATCCTAAATAGTACAGTAAATATGTGCCAATTTCGACTGGCGCATGGAGCAAGCTCGGCTTGTCTAAGCGATTTATAATTTATTTGCAAAAATATTCGCTCGCTTACAGAAGTTACTACTTTGAGTATCTTGTTGTTTTCGTACTTATCAAACTTGCCACAACGATTGTCACTCGTCAGGTTGTTATAAGTCATTAGGCCTAAGTTTTCTCAACACAGGTTGAATAACATTTTAATAACATTGGCAGCACCAGGCTTAATAACTAGACTATTTTTTGCGATTTGAAAAGTCTCGATGGTGAATGTCATACTCACGTCATGTTCTTGATGGAACAGTGAGTCTTTTCTCAATGGTATACGAGCCACATTGAAAGAGAGAGACTATCTTAATCTTAGCTTATTTAAGTAGGGATATTTTATTACCTAAAGTGCCATATTTGTAACAACACTGGCATCATAGTATTCAAAAAATTGAGAGCATGCCGATTTTAGAGATTCATAGACTTGTTCTTTGATCCAATAGGTAGGATATTGATTTTAAATGAATAAGTTAAAGCACTCTATTTTCGACACCTTAAGAATGTGGACGCTAGGACTTCTTTTCACTTCAGTGTGGGAAGCAATGAACTATGCATAGTAGTTGTTTTTCACCGGATCTGAAAACTAACCTAACATAACGTACCAACTAATCGCACTTATCATGACCCTTTGATATCATTTTAGCCGTTTGTGTCAGATTTTTACATTTCTTGGTGCTACATTCTCCACACTCGAGACCTCATTCAACAAATCAGATCAGCCATTTTAGCTTAACTTATTTAGACATGGTATAGCCGAACTTATATAGAAGTACTACAGTGTCACAAACATCGAGATCTCTTGGAACATTAATTAGTATCCGAGGTACTCTGTGACGGGGATGATAAAAATTGTGAAGAAAAGCCAGGACGCCTGCAGGTAAAGAATAAGACTGGCAAGTACTCTCTAGTTTCTTCACTCCCCAAAACTCGCTAGCATCTTACCTTAGTTAGCTCTCTAGCACTCCCGCTGAGACCAATTGTCCTCGCACAGATTATTCACTTGCAGGGCAGTTTTTTAAGTCAAGGAAACCAGCTTGAAATATGTATACCATGTTGAAAAATAGCGGTGCTGAGCGTCAAATATTCATATACTACTCGGAAAGCAACCGTAATAGCATCAAGATAAATGTGTCATTACGCACAGCTGTCACACCAATTCAATTTCTCAGGCAGTATCTGAATAAGGCAGTTGACTTTAATGGTGACCTATCAAGAGACTAACCAAGCTAAGTTGATCAAATTCGAGACAATTCATGAGCTCAAACTACCAAAAGATTGAAGACATTCCAGACAAGTTTACTATATACGTCTAACGTGATTCGCGACTGAGTTATCGTGAGCGTGAGACTAAATTAGTGCGCTCTCTTCAAGAAGCTTCAATTGAAAGTAAGTGATAAACTTTGGTAGCCGCTGAGATTGGTTAGAGATGGATTACCAAAATCGGGCTGGCTCCAAGAAAGGTTCAGGTGGTGTTGCGTCTGCTTCGCAAGAAAATCTCCATCGCAGAAAACAGGTCGAAGAGCTTTTGAGAGAAGGCGAAGAAGTGCCTTACTCATTCCACGGCGTCAGCAAAGAGGCCGAAGAACTCACCAAGAAGAATCCCTATATATACAAGAATCATGCTGGTCGTCTGGTTTGCAAGCTATGCAATACTATGCATGTGTCGTGGTCGAGTGTGGAAAGGCATTTAGAAGGTAAGAAACATGGTCTAAATTTGCTCAGACGAGGCGGAAGCGCTGGCACCAGAGAGCAAGAAGTTATAACAGAAGAAGATGCACAATTTAAACAGGAAGTGGAGAAACTCCGATCACAAATAAAAGACAATGGACAACTTCCCCATTACCAAGTTGCCAGGATTCAAGACCCCGCCACCGGATATCGTGGGGTAGCAATCAAAATAATGTATGGTGATAAGGGAGCTAGTATAGATACCGAAGCTCGTCCATTTGTAAGAATAATGTCGAGCTTGGAGTTATCTAGCGAAGAAGGTGAAGACAAAAAATACGTGGTGGTTGCATATGAGCCTTTCAAAAATGTCGCATTTGAGATACCAAATCAGGAACTTTACATTGCTGAATTCAACACCTCAAAAGAGCCTTCAGTGGATGATTTTAATGGAAAATGCACGTATTGGGACTGCGATGAGTTGATTTTATACGTGCAGTTTTTCTTTAAAGAATAAGTTATTATGATTAATGTTACAAACAAACGTCCAATCGGGCGCTCCCCTCTTTGATCAGCTGATTCTTTCCAGCATGCTTTTCATGTAATTGTTTATGTGGGCGGCCAAAACTGAGTATTCTAACTCAATAGCATCTGATTCTTTTTTGAAATCATCTTTTAACTCTTGCATATCTCTTTCCAGGTTTTTAATCACGTTTCCATACAACTCTTTCTCCACATGTTCATCGATCTTTTGGATCTCAGGCATAACTTCTTCCGAGAACTGTTTTTGTAGGTTTTGGAGCGCCGCTGTGTTCTCATGCTGTTTGGTTCTTGTGGTATTTTCTAATTCTTTTATGCTCTCTTTGCGACTTTCCAATTGCGATTGCAAATTAGTTAACTTAACAACAACTCCAGAAGTGAGCAAGTTTTCCAATTTGGCTTCACTCTTTATGAGCTGATCTCTCATGTCTAGCAACCCAACTTCTCTGATGTGTGATTGTTGCAGATCGGTTGAGATTATTCCTAGTAACTCATAAAGGTCGGCAGTTATCGATTGAAATACCTCCATCGACTTAGAAAAGTCGCGATGTCTTGCTTGAAGCTTTGACAAACTATCTTGCTGATCGTCCAGCATTTGAGAGAACTCCTGGATGCCAGCTTGCAAGTTCGGTATATCCGCCTCTGAATACCGCTGCAGCTTATCGCGCTGCAGCTCCAGCTCTATGAGTTCGAATCCAAGGCTTTCTAACTGTGCCATGAGCTTGCGCTTATTGCTTTTGTAATTGTTGTAATCGATGGTGAAGGTTTCCTGAACCTGTGTAAGTTTCTTCAGCTGATTTTCGAGATTCCGATTATTGGCCTCGAGCGAAGAAATCGTTTCCCCAACAGCGAGATTAGAAGTCTCTCTATACTTCTCTACCTGCTGCTGCAAAAAGTTGTAGTCATCGAATTTCTGTCGCAGCTGGCCAAGAAGAGACTCTGTTTGCGACATGAATTGGTCACAGTCCAGCATACGCTCTTCCCGAAATCGAGCATAATTGACCACAGCGCTTAGAAATCGTTGCGTTCGAAGTGAATCAGGTTTGTAAAGATCCATCATGTTGAAATCTGGAACGCCAATGTCTTGGAAAAACTTGAAGCAAATCTTGTTTAGCGTTAGCATTTGCAACGTATCCTTGTAGACTGAATCCTCATCGGCTTGATCCTTATCTGGTCCAAGCAAGCGATCTCCACTTTGAATGAGGGCATCTGGCGATATTCCTGAAAAACTATCTATGATCTGCTTGTAAAGTGTCACAACGTATTTAGAAGATGGTCTAGAAATGTTTTCTTCGTTTGCCAACGCAAAGTCGCAGCTTTGAAGACACACTACCAGTTCCTGGAGGTCTAGGAGTGGGAAAACGTCTTTGTCCATATCGTCATTGATCTGACAAAAGCTTGACTAGTTTTCTATTATCCAATTTTTGATGTTTTGAGGGTTGTAATATTTACTTAATTTTAAGATCTTATATCCAGGTTCGAAGCCTGTAGAGTACAGGAGATAAATAAATACCCGAAATAACGCCTACTTAAGCCTCACTTAGGCTCGAAGTAAGGACAGCGATAATAGAAAATTTGGCTACCAGCTTTTTTGAAAGGATTAGAATCTGATTTGATTCCAGCAGCATTATTCTGTGATTCCGTAGGATCTTGAGTGATTATTACAATTAAGGAATCTTTTTGATGGGAATCATCCGTAAGATAGCTGTCATCGGCGGTGGTCCAGCAGGGATTATTGCTGCTAATGACCTCGCTCGACAAAAAGATCAGGACTGGCAAATTGTAGGGTTCGAAGCAAGGCAAAACTTGGGCGGCGTTTGGAGCGACACGCCAGGCTCGAAGATGGAATCTCCAGACGTATTCCAGCAGCTAAGGTTAAGCACTGCTGATAATCCCTTAACTCCTGAGAGTATTTTCAACTATGATTCTCCCGTGGTAGAAAATGGCAGAGTTGTTAGCTTGCGTTCTTTAAGTGCCACCAGCGTTAGCAAGCCGTTAAAACTAGTACGCAAACCATTGTTACGGGATGGTCTCATTATGTCAGAAAAGACCGGAATCTACGAAGAACTAATGACTAACGTGCCTGGTAAGCTCATGAAACTGAGCGCAACGGAGCCGGATAGTAGTGAAAAAGTTTCAAGTCAGCGTAACAACCCAGATATAGCGCCACTCATAAAGCTTAATGACGTCAAAGCGGGCATTGATGCAATTATTGAACAAACTCGAAGCGCTCAGGTTTTTAGACTCCACACTTGTGTCGAATATCTCGACAAACTTTCACCTGAGAAATGGATCATCATCGCCAGAAAGTCAGAACCCGGCAATGATTATGACGAATGGTATATGGAAACATTCGATGCTGTTATAATAGCCAATGGGCACTTCATGTGCCCCTACGTGCCATATTATATGACGCCGCCGCAAAGCGATCATTCAAATATCCACGAATTCAACATGCGCTTTCCGAGCGCCTTGATGCACGTTAAAGATCTTGATCTGTGGTACCGCAAACATCTACCTAAGTTGCAGAAAGAATCGCTCAATAGTAAGCAAAAAATTGTTATCGTAGGCAAAAGTTTCAGCGCTATGGATGTTTTGAAACGCTTAGTGCCGCTTCAGGACTCTGGTCACAATTTGGAAATCATTATATCCACAAAAACACCACCATTGCCAGAAAACAAGGCTAATCCCTTTTGCTGGTTTGACCAGTGGCTCACAGAAACCAAGAAGGTAGAGGTCAAAGGTCCGATTTCTCATTTTCTAACAGAAAGAAGCACACCTGCCTTGCAGTTTGAGGATGGCACAATTGCCGAGCAGGTCTCAGCTGTTATATTTGCTACAGGCTATTTGTACACATTCCCATTCATCTCCAGCAAACTTCTTGAAAGTTATCGGGTTTTGATAACACCAGATCCCAGGAATAATGACTCAAATCCATCAAATATGTCGCGTGTTACTGGGCTATACTTGCATACTTTTTCGATCGCAGACCCTACCATGGGCTTTGTTGGCATTTCAAGCAATGCCACATTCCAATCGTTTAGCATCTCATCAAGGGCGATTGCTGGTGCGTGGTCTAAGTTGAACCGGCTCTATGATAAGGAGAAACCGCAAGATGGGCCAATTTACGATTCTATATGGTCTCAGGTTCTCCCCTCTGTACAGGAGCAGCTAAAATGGTCTCAAGAAAGATTGGTGAAAACGGGAAATAGCGCTTTTTACCACTTCTACTACCCGCTTGATACTCTCTTCAATGATTGGCTTCAATATTGCAAGCCTCTTTTCTCTCAAGAAGATCAGCAAGAACAACTCTTCCCGGCAAACTCTGCAGAATTGTCCAAGAACGGCTTGAAAAAGCTTGAAGAATTATTTTTCGATAAAATGGGACCGGAGCGCCACTGATATTCGGGAAAGCTATTGTCCTCATAGCAAATCTAATAGAATTACTTGCCGTCTCGACGGAGCTAGTCCATCTTTATTGAATGGTCTACATGTGACTTGAGATAAGACTAATTTTGATCAATGCTTTAAATTGATGTTTATGTATTACTAGTTTAGGAGGGCGGGTGATATCGACCTGGTAAAACCAACTTGGAAGATGTAAACTTCACTCGATGATCAAATCAAGACAATAAACCCCAAGCGTTTATATTGTTAGAGTAGAAGAGTGCCAAGCATAGCCAACAGGCTCGAGACTTAGATATCATGACTATGAATACCAATACCAAAAGGCTCTCGGCGATGATTGATTCCTTCCATGATGAAAGAAGCGATGAGTTACTGTATCAGCACAATTCTACCCCCGGTACACCGTTAAAGAAAAGTACAAACTCAGTGTACGGTTCATCTCCAGAAAGCTTGTCACGGCCTCCGGCAGTTCACGATCACGGTGACTCTGGTAAATTGAATGCAACTCAGAATTTTAAGTTTGGCAGTCCCGGAAATCGAGAAAGTTTGATTTCAGACTATTCTGCAAGTATTCATGAAGGCGTGCCTGTTTACATTAAGTCTACAACAGCAAATGTGCGGAAAGAAGCGCCTGTAATTTATTCAGCAACGAATTTCCCTCTGTCGGAAGAAACTGTAGGTGAAGGATTGCAATCAGACCGCTCGAGAAAAGATGCAGCTGGTCTAGAAAATCATGGACCGAGAGATTCGATGGCGAATCTCAGGATTGAAGATCCAAATGCAAATCTAAGGTCTTCACTGAGACTTTCAGAACCTAAACGATCTCACAATAAAAAGAATTCATCTATTGGATCAGGCAACCTTGCCAGCGAAAGTGGTCACTCACATAATATATCTGCCCTCAGTGCGTCTATGGAAAGTAGCGCAGCCAGATTTTACACCCGCGGGGCTGCAGCTGAATCCAATGCAACTGTACAGCCAGTCGTCGTCGATAAAGAAGGGGCAGAAGTGCAGGAGGCAAGAAAAAGCAAGACTAACTATAATGTTTCTCCAGAACGTTCCTTGACAGCCAAATCAATTCTCAGCTCAGTTCATGATGGCAGCGATGTTCAGTCACTGGTGTCTAGCATTGTTCCCTCGCTGCGCACTAATATGCCTGATCGGGTACAGAGCAAGCTTCCTGACCGCTCATCAACCTCGGAATACAATCCGTCTATTCCTCCAAGAAGCAGCAATAGGCCAAAATCACATCTTTTCATTAAAGATGGACTCGAAGACATTCAAAATCAACTACAGCAGCAAATGCTTCTTGGAGATTCTCAAAGTGTCTCGCGCGCTAGTACCAATAAATCAAGCAGCTATTTTTCTGCTGCCGACCGGGCAAGTCATTATAGCGATGAAGAAGATAATTTCGGCAAGCCGGACGACGACAGCTATCTGCACAGACCGCTGCCGTCTGTTCCCGCCGAAGGCGAATTACATCACAGCCCCGAATCAATAAGCCGAAACGATACCATCCTCATTCCTCCAGCAGCACAAATAATGTCAGAGAAACCACCACGATTACCAAGTTTTCCAACGTCAATAATCAAGAACAATCAGACTTCAAGTTCCGATTTAAACTATAAGACTGGTAACGACGGCGAAAATGATGTTGATGATGATTACGAGGATATACTTGATGACACATTTCAGACACCACAAAGCCCTCCAAAAACAGAGAAAAAGCTCAAAAAATCCAATCATAGCGCACCGCGGCAACGGATGCCCCAGGAAGGTCGTAGTGGTAAAAACAAGACAAAAACCAAGCGAGAAATGCGTTCGTTTGATATCGACACTATTTCTCAGATGCTTAATGTCACTAAGGGCACACTCATAGGTTCAGAATTTGCAGACCTGGGCATGAAAACTGAGGAGAAACGAGCACTTGAGCGTCTTGTCGATTCGCTATCTCGGCTGACCGCTGATATGGTGCTAGATCCGGAGCGTTTTGAAGAGGGTATGAAAAGATTGGATAAAGCTAGTCGAGCCCTAGAAGGATTTTGAGGATCGCGATTGCATAGGAAAGGAGAATTCAAAATTTGTTAAATACTGCGAAACGTTAATAAGGTATATAGCTGGTATTCTTGTTTTATAATTAATTTCAATTAATAGAGTTTTCCATCTTAAACAGTGAAACTATTGAAAAATTCAATGTCATAATCAGCTTTCAGAGACAAATATAAACGAGGCCATATCAACGGCTTGCTGGATCTAAGCTGTTGGGTACGTATGCTGAAATGTGTACTGGGAGCTGGTAGAGCTCAGAAACGAACGTTGAGCCGCCTTGCCAGGCTTAATCAAAAACAAACGAAACAATCGGACTCAAGAGAAGCAGATGGGTTTAAGGATGAGCAGATATCATCAATACAGGAAAAAACTCTGTTTGAGCAGATCTTCGAGCAGATCATGAAGAAGGACGAGGAAAGAAAAAAGTCCAAGAATATTCTAAAACCTTTTTTGGCTCAAAACGTTTCGAGGTTTGACAAAGAGAATACTAGAGAACGAGAAAGCGTCCAAATTGTTTTCGAGAAAAAAAAGACTTTGGAGGGGGATGCCGAGCTCTCCAAGTTTTTTAAAAATGCTGTTGGGGATAATGTGGATGATACGGGTGGTTTGGCCAGAATTATCACGGACGACATTCGCAAATATCCGGTTTCTTTGACGCCAGCCTATTTCACAGATGGCAATTCTAATACCAGTCCGCAGGATGCTACAAATTCATTAGTGCCGTCAACAATGGATACTTATTTTGAGAAGGATCCTATTCCTGGTGTGGTTGTAGCGCGTGAGCGTGGGATTAACCCGAGAATTTTAAATCAAATCGAGACTAAGCACCGGTTGAGTTCAAGACTCGAACAACTACTGGCACCTCACATTCTTTATCTCCAGAATCGCATACAAAATGATAGCGAGTGCATAACTGTTCTTCAAGAATATCTATCGCAATATTTGAGCAGAGACCTAACTCTAGAAACCAAAGGCTTTGAGCACATTGAACAGGAAAGTTTGAAAGATCCAAAGAGGTTACCACAGCCTTTTCATATAACAATGCCTTTCATCATCAGGCACTTGTTAACAAGCACAGACTTTTGCTTCCCAGTGGATAGAAGGTACACTCAGATCTCTCTAATTTACAATTCATGCAAACGTGCTGCAGATGTATCGCTCTACTTGAACATGTGTAATATTGAATTCTACAATTTACTCATAGAGTACGCGTGGGAGAACTATCAAGACATCCATCAGCTCAAGCAATTGGTCACCGAAATGACCGCCAATGGTATACTGGGTGATCTCCATACCGTAGATCTGCTTGAGAGCATTGCTGAGAGCATGCGTCATATGAATGACGGCGTAGTTGAAGATTCAGAAATTCTTCAACAAGCGCAGACAGCGGGGGTCGTCTGGTGTCGGGAAAATGCTCATGATTTAAACTATATCGAGGATTACTTAAGGAAGCTCAAAGAGAGTCAAACTTGAACAGTCAATATTCGCCATATTGCCCGGCCTGGGCGCCAATCTTGTGTATACAGACTAGTTTTATTCTTAACAATCATTATGTACTATAACACCTAAGTTTTCATCTGAGAGCTTACTTATGTGTGATGCTTCAAAAATTAACTAGATCGCCAAATAAGCGTTGGAAGATTCCTCATGACACTTGCTGAGATTTCAGAGCGCTGCCACAATATCACCTCTAGCTATCTTGCTAATTCAAATGGTTCCGCGATAGTGGAAGCTACTAAAGAGGCAATTCAAATAACCCGGCAACAATTCTTGCAAGAGGTCTTCACTCGTTGGGATCCTTTCGGAGATCGGCTTTCCTTCTCGTACAATGGCGGCAAAGACTGCCAGGTGCTTTTGATCTTGTATTTGTCGTGCATGTGGGAGTACTTTGTGACCAACATTAGATCATCCCAGTACTCTTCCCAGTACCATCAGTTTCCCCTACAGTTTTTACCCACAGTTTACATTAACCAAGCAGAGACCTTTGGCACACTCGAGAATTCCATTGAGTCTACCAGAATACGGTATTTTCTTTCAGTTTACGAATCGCCGCGAAATCAAACGAGCATGCCTGAAGCGTTTAGAAACTATTTGGATGTAAACTCCAACACAGAGGCGATAATAATAGGAATTCGTCACACGGATCCTTTCGGGGCAGATCTTACGTGCATTCAAGAAACAGATAGCGGCTGGCCCCGTTTTATGCGGGTACAACCTCTACTGCATTGGAAGCTTGCGAATGTATGGAGTTTGCTGTTATATTCTAACGAAGAAATTTGCGGGCTCTATGAAAAAGGCTTTACATCCATAGGCGGTATAAACTCTACGGTTCCGAATCCTTCCTTAAGTATGAAACTGGAACTAGGACATTCGACATTAAAAAATGAGTTCGAGTGGGAAATCATGCATGCATATGGCAAGAAGGAAGCTTCTGATGAAGTTTGCGTATCTAAACTATCTGCCTCCGACGAACGGCTATTGCAAAACAAAGGACATTTGGATTATTACCCAGGTTGGTATATGATTGACGATTCTTTAGAGAGAGCAGGACGAAGCCGAAGCTAAAGACAATAAAATTAAAAGGTCATATGAAGCGTTGAATTAACCGAGGTAGTGAAACATTTCATTATAGTATGCGAGAGTTCTTGTATATACAGAAGGGTGATTGATATTGTGAGCTGACATGAGTCATATTCCTTCAATCGTGAGGTTTACCAGAAACCCGGTCGTAAAGTCTGGCCGCATGATAGTTGATGTTGCTCTTTTGAACTCCAGAATTTTTTCCCATCGCTTTTTCCGACGAGCACAGTTTCAATTCGCTGACCAAACTCTCGCAGGCTGGGTTCATGTGGCCGTTAGATGACCAGCATTGTAGCAGATTGGACATGAGTACCAAACATTTATTTGTTTCCTGTTGAATGATAGGTTTCTTCACCTTCAGTCTTGGCAGAGGTGGCAATCTGTGTACAGGGACTTTACTGGACATTTTTGGTCCACAGAAAACGCACAAGCTTGATGCTTGTATTCATATTCAAGTTTGATGAGGATCTCATATTGATGAATTTTTCACTTGCACCAAATAGCACAATCTACGAAGATATTGAAGGAAACCATCCAAGTGCGCTCAAATCGTTGTTTCCTACCAGGCGTTGCCAGCGTTGGAGCACCAATTGTGTCAGTTGCGCACCATACTTCATACGCCTCAGTTTTGAGATCTTTCAAACTTTTTCCACTTTTATTTGGCGCATTAGCATATCTTGAAAACCAAGGATGGATCATCATAATTGCACGAAATATAATGCTGTATTGTATGCTTGAACTTGACAATATGCAACCCGGCTTTGAATTGATATCGAATAACATTCTGATAATGCCTAATTGGGCATTACGAACGCATTTACGAGAGATTCGACCTATACTTCTGACCAAATGCATTATATACAACGATATGGCTCCGTCGTCTCAGCTTTTGAACGATTAACTCTAAGGGTGACATTCCTAATTAACTCTCAAATTAAGAACTTATCGTTCAGCTTTAGAGGCAGGGTGTGGCTATTTTGTGGGAGTAGCCCGGCGGCGTAGGTATTTGAGCGACAATACGGTGAGTGCATTCTGAGTTTTGTCCATTCTTTAATTACCCTAGGCACAATTTTGTTGGCGTGATTCAGAAACATCTGGCGAATGCCGGTCTCGGGTTTTTGGGTGAGAACGCCGTGCTAATGGCATACTAGGTTTCAGGTTTGATCTCCCAAAGAAGTATAGCAGCATTAATTAATCCTACTTTGGCAATGACGCATTCATTGATTTTTTGGGCAAGTTTCCTTGTCGTTTTGATGTTACGATGAGGATAGCGTATTCTCCCTTCTCCGAATTTCGTGTATCTTGAAGAGCCAATAGGAAGTCTCATCTACCCGTGCAGCTCACCTGAGAAAGCTGCATTCCTTGTCATTGTCTCAAGTGTGCGTGAAAAGAACGTATAGTGCTAATCATCTGTTCCGCATTTTGGCGATCAATGAAGAAAATATTGCGGGGGGTCAGCAAGTCTCAAATCAATCCTATATTACCTAAATGAAAATATTCGAAAATACGAACTTATCAAGTAGCATTGCATTTGAAGAATACGCGGATGCTTGGAAGAATGTGGTAGCCATTTCCAACCGTGTGAAATGTTTGGAGTCTTATACCGAAGGGATTCAATCACTACGATTTCGGCTATTGCAACAAGAAATCTCCGCACACAATCATTTACATGTCATATTCCGGAGTATTTCACCTTTTCAACTGGCATTTGCCGATGGCCTCTCAATGATGACCTCTTCGTGAAACGTGCACCCTCACCGAATTTTACAACGGTTACTCGCAGTAATTAATGTGGTATTTTCGCTGAAGTGTCTTGATTTGCAATACTTTAAAGTTTGCTAACCATGATACCTTTTGTAAAGAGATAGATCGCACGACAAAATTTCAAATACAATATTTAAGTGACTGAAAGGTGTGAATATCTGGACAGGCATCTCTAATAAGCAAAGCGTGCTTGGCGTACAGAAATAACATACCTTGATTTCTGTATAATTATTCCCTCTGGTGAAGGCCACATAAATTCTAACTCCACTGCATAACACGGTCTTGAAAGGAGAGCCAGATCTACTCGATGATTGCCACATATTGCGGGCGCCAAAGCAAGATTAGCCCCACAAATTAACTTCTGTCACAAGATATATTTCGGGACATAAAACTGAGGATTTCGAATATTTAAACTGTATATAACATCGTCACATAATACCTGACTTCTAAAAGTCGTCTTTCGATTGTTCACTTCTGGTGTAAGTCGGGCATTCTCAAAATCTGCTTTTCCTTGTTCTCACTAAACTCTTGCAATTTCAACAGCAGCTTCGAGTCCTTAAACTTGTCAGGCAGAGGTGTAATCGTGTAGTTTTTCGTTGCCCAATAATAAATATCCCAGTCAAGCTCGTCGAGCAACGAGTCGTATTCTTCCAACTCTTGTGGCGTCATGGAATTTAAGTGCTTGGCTGCAAAACGAGAGAGAAGCAAATCGGTCTCCAATATGCCTCTTTTGCGCGACTGATATACTAGACGGGCTCTCTTGCGTTCCACGGTTTCGCCCACACGTTTTATGGGAGCCACCTTTAGTGATATTTGTGTGGAGTAATCATGAGATACATTTTTAGCTGCCAAAAAGCACCTAGAAGCTACGTTGGGCGTACCACGAGTTATTGAACCTAGAATCTTAGCACAAAACATTATAGGATACTGTGATTTCAATCCTTTAACTGCAAATCGCTGATTATATATCAAATAGAACTTGATGTAGACTTTGATTTTACCTAGAAATTAAGATATTTATGATCACATGATAATGAGGCGACAGAGCGCAAAAGACATGGACCAGCCCAGCTGATCCGGTTTCGTTGCGCTTGGAACTCATCTTAGCATTACAACTTCTTGGATGTCAGTGACAAGTCAGTTTAAATTATTAATTTGTGTTTTGAGTTAAGCTTTTCCTAACAACTTTTGTCTGGCGGACATTCAATACGCGGGGAAGTAAATATCGCCGCTGACGCACGTAATCTCCTCGTCGTCTTCCGTGAACGCTCTGGCCAAAACGGTGTATTTGCCAGGTGGTACTTCTTGAGGGATTTCAACGGTTTTGTCGATCTTGTAGTCGCCGGCCTGGATGGGGCATTTGAGACCGTCGATGTCGTTGTTCTCGAGCTCTTCGCACAGGTCGTAGGTCTGAGAGAGTAGCTTGATGTATCCCAAGCGGACCTCGACGTCAACGTACGCGCCAGCCACAATGGTGTCCTTCGAGGAGACAGCGGCTGATACGGTCACGTTCTCGCCGCGAACCGGAGGGTTGGGGAACAAGTTCACCAATTGGATGTCCAGCACCTGCTTTTCATCAGCGTCGCACTGCATCAATGGCGAGTCTCCGGCAATTGGCCTGGACTGGGACCTCGTTCCAGGAAGCCTGAAGAACGCTGGAAAAACCGGGGAGGATGCGGCCAAAGCACACAAAAAGGTGAATAAAAGTACGCTAAATCTAGTCATCAGATACAACAGATGTGATTGAGCGATATAGAGTGTAGTAGCAGCTGGTAATGATGCTGGTTTCGCTCTTTGTTAAGTTACAATACGCAAACTTTGTGGAATGAATGGTTAATCTACACGGGGACCCCTGTGCTTTTTATATTGTACGGGTGAAGTTTATCATTTTGGTACAAAGTGATGTAATAAAATGTTGGACTGTAGCAGCGACAGAGGCAGCGACAATGACAATGACAATGACAGTGACAATGCCAGTGAGCCCAAAAACATCTGTTTGGTTGGCATCTGTCGAGTGACAATTTTATGTGAATTTGATATCCTTTGATTGATCGTAAATGCAGACTTTCCGGAGTGTCAGTTGCCGTTTTCATTGAGAACGTCAGTTACCACTAGAGGCTCCTTTGCATGATATTACATAGATTAATTAGCACTGGGCCTTGCAAGTAATTTGAAATTAGACCCTCATGCTTTGCTGTGCGACTCGAGCCAGAATAATATAATAAAAAAATTGAATGAATAATGTAGGTGCGGAAAAGAGTCATCAACGGTGGGTTCGTGATCGTCGTCAAAAATGGAGTGTCCAGTGGCTATGGTATTACGGGTAGTCAGCCCCGGTGTGAGGCGTGTCCTGTTGGAAAAATGCTTCTTTGCTTTCAGTGTTGTTAGTGCCGTGGTACTGGTAGTGTACAGAGTTTGGCAGGTCTGAGCCTTGTGGCTGGGTGCCAATCACAAGAAGTAGCCGCCTCGTTGGTTATTGGTATTCGTTTCCTGAATGTAGTCGTCGGGCACCGCCGAAAAGATTTTGAAAGTGGGCTCCAAATCTTCGTCCACCTTCATTACACTAGCCACGTTACCGCAACGGTAACAGTAGTTAGGAGCGGACCAAACCGTCACTACGTCTTTCTCCGGGAAATGGTATTTGAAACCTTCCATGACAAGTTGGTGTGCCCGTGCAATTAGATTCAGGCCGTTAACGTGGTTAAACTCGCGCGCCACTTTACTTCCAAAGAGCCACCCGGCACCACGCGGCGATACCTGCCATGCCTCTACATTGTCCGGATCACTCCACAGCAGATCCGAAAACCCACCTTCGTGTGGAACCTCTTGAGCTCTGGACAATACCCGAATTTGATCTAGCATACGAATTTCTGGGGATAATCCACCGTGAACACATAGTATTTTCCCATCAATGATGGCAGCCAGTGTGAGAAAGTCGAATACTTGGCAGCAGTACTTCCACACTGTGGTGGATCCGTATTTGTTCAAACACTCTTCGTAGAATCCGTATACCTGTGTGATTTGACGCGACTCGTGGTTACCACGCACGAGAGTGAGCCGAGCAGGATACCGCACTTTCAAGCACATCAAAAGCGTAAAAGTTTCCAAACTGTAGTAGCCACGGTCCACGTAGTCACCCAGAAAGATGTAGTTGACTTCGTCTGGGAACCCGCCTGCGGTTCTAAACAGCTCCAGAAGATCGTGGAACTGACCGTGGATGTCTCCGCACACCGTTACTGGCGTCTGTACAGGCTGGATGTTGGACTCCTCCATCAAGAGTTCCTTCACCATCTCGCATAGTTGTTTCATCTCACTTTCACTAAGTGACTGGCATTTTTTTATCTTCTCCAACCACTGGTCGGGCCCTCTTTCTACCATTATATTGTTTGCGTTTCTGAAAACCTAACGAGAACAGTGTGTTAATAAAGCGAGTTGTGGCTATTTAGTTGACCACTTAGCGTCTATATCCGAAGGCCAATCTCAGATCTTTTTGCTGAACCCTTTTCTATCAATTATTCCAGTCTAAAACTCCGCCTGAAAGCCCCAAGTGTGTTTTGCCGTATGATTTCCCAGCTGAATCAAAGCGTATGTGAGTCGAATTATGGTTTACAAGGCTGCTGTTAGCTATTTTCCTTGCTCAAAACTAGCTTTCTAATGTCTATTTTGTTTCTACATTACATATTTCAACAAATTTTCACTACTATCGTAAATGGTGATTTTATTCGACAAAGGATAACAGGCGAGAGAGGTTTAAGCATTGTTGGAAACCAAGACAAATGCCATGTAGTAACTAAGGGTAGCGCTCGTAGTAGCTACGGTGTATCAAATTGTTCCTGAAATTTTAAGTTAACCTTTATAAAAGCTTTCAAAATTTCGAGGATGGTGACTGGTGATTCCACCCGGCACGACAGCTTTTCAAGAACTTCATTGAACACCCAACTGTTTTTTATTATGTTGCATTGTGTCTGAATTGCAAGCAGTAAAGAACGATGGAGAATGTGTCATGCACATTTCAGGATAATGCATTTGGGCGTTTGATAACTTACGAGGAAAACGTATGCGCTTTTAGCAGTTAAAGTAGGGCACCAGCCAACGATTGAACGCTTAATTCTGACCTCTTTGATTTATTAGTAGCTCACTGAGGTTTTTTAGATACTCAAGATCATTTTAAAAAGATCTTTAAGAAGATCTTCCAGCTGATTGGATGATAATCTGTTTGGAAGTTTTAGGGAACCTGTCACACGGAGTTGAAAAAGGTATAGGCGCCAGGCTCGTTTCTCAGTGACTGTTATTGAGAGGCTCGGGACGCTTAGCCAGATTTTAAATGTAGTAATGGACGACCAACTCAAAATTCAATTAGACAGCTATTGTTCCAGTTTCTCCCACTCTCACAAGCTGCAATTTTGGGGCCACCATACTTGAGCATCGTGTGAATAGGTTCCGCAGAACAGTTAACATCCAACTCTCTCCGCTCACGAGTGTATGAGCCATACTATTCTTACAGGACCTTCTGTGTTTGTGTTTGCTACCTCAGAACTCGAACAAGTCCAGCAAAATGTCTTGACTCTGGGAAGTGAACGAACGGCGATCGAGTCCTCTTGGATTCTTGGGTTAGAATTTTCTTGATGGAAAATGTTTATATTGACGGCAAACAATTGCCTGAGCCCGAAAGTAGGCGGAGGACGGTGTTCAGTTGTCCAGCCAGGTATCTTCACTATTTAGCGGGAAGAAGGAAACTAGTTTCTCATTAACTGAAGGAAAAATAGAGTCAATCTTATTAGTCTTGGGAAACACACACTGCTTGCTGATAGGAAAACAATTTGCTTTCAGGAGGCCAAGGTTGACAAGTGCTTCAAGCACGTCGGGGACATTCTCGGGTGCTTGAACTAGCGTGTAAATTGGTTTGAGACCCTCAGGACGACCCAAAGATACTCTTACTGCCTCTTCCAAAAGTTGATAAGCCACTTTGTTCGCGTTATATGGAAAGCAAAAATCCAGGATAGTGCGTCGTATCAAACTGCGATAAATCAGCAGTGGTGTTTTTTCTAGCAACAATATTAGCAGCTTTTGATTGCGTAGAGCAGACTCATTCTGGGCCAGCCAGATATGGAAACGAAACATGCAACCAGATTTCACGATATGGGATAGCTGTTGATACATTTGTGCGATCTCAAAACCGTAAGCTTGACAAACTGATGTAAGAGGAACCTTACCAAAAAGTATGCCTGCTGGTAATAGGTACTTGAGAATTCTTTGTAAATTCCTTCTAGCAGATGCATTCTCAGTCGTATTCCTGAGGCAAGCGGCTAATAGCGTGAATGCGCTATTGAGCTGATGGAACGCATTGGAAACGCGATGATTGAGCAAATAGTAACGGCCAAGCAGATAGCGGTATTCTATCTGCTCGCGAACCGGATATTGCGAAAAGTTTTGGATTGCGGATTTTGGCTTCACGTTTTTGAAGATGTTGGCGCATGACGCAGCAGAGTCGATTTGCATGTAGATATTGTTTAGCTTGTTCGCTGTGTACAACAAAATTTGCTGTTTCCTCGAAAGGCCTTGAAAATTCATTGCAGGTTCTTCGTACCTTGGCTTGATGCTGTTGAACAGCTTAGTTATGATTGAAGACACATGGGCCAAAAACTGATGCTTGCGGGTCCCAATTTCTCGATGTTTACTATCTAGCTGCTTTGCGAGCGGAATAACATACTCCGTTGTGGTCTGGAAGAGCGTTACTAGCGTGTCGACGGGAAAGGAATCATTCAGAAGACAATTGGTCAAATCTTGATAGTAATTGAATATCAGATCCGAACTTTCCCACAGCGACCAGGGATTTACGTCTTTGCAGAACTTGAGAAAGCTGGTCACCAACATATTAAACCTAGTCCAGGGTCTTGCGTGGAGCCTCTGGTTTTCCACAAGACTCTCCAAGTCTTTGTCAGAGCTAAACTGTTGTAGAGCAGTCTGCAGTCGTGCGACGGTGGGGCCATTTTTCTGCAAGTTGACATCCATGCAGTAAACATCTCCATTTTTGAGTCTGCCGAAGAATTGGCTCAATTCAGAACTCTCCATAACCATCACTGACAAGGATTTTATTTTAGTTTATTTTTGAAGGGCATCGCAGATATATATTAGAAAATTTTTGGAAGCGACATGCCTGCATGGACAATACTTCGAATAATGAAAGACCATGGATGAAAGGTCCCAGGATGTCTCTGAGCATGACGTAAAGCGCATCCCTGGTCGTAAGAATGGTGGCAAGAAACACACTGGTTCCAAAAAGTCTAAAAATGAGGGCGGAGGGCCAGGTAATGAAGGTGGAAATGTCAAATCCAAGAAACAGCATAAAAAGAATAAAGAACAAGTTGCCAAACCACCAGCGCAGCATAAGTTGGTTGTACGCCTGCTGCCACCTAACTTAACCGACAAACAATTTTTTGACGCAGTTGACATCGAAATTGGCTCAAAGTCCGGACCTGAAGCTGGCAGTGAGTTTTTAACGCAAAATGTGGAATCTCGTTACTACGTTCAAGGTCACTTTTCTAGAAAGCCATTCAAGCTACCCACATATTCTCGAGCGTATTTGACGTTTCACGAGCCTGGTAAATTGCAAGAATTTGCCCGGAAAATTGGAAATTTAAGGTTCACAGATGATAACGATAACTCTATGATTCCTACTATAGCTATGAGCCCCTACGTCAAAAAATTGAGAGTCGAGGATAGTAAAGGAGTAAGGAACACCAAGACTTTGTTGGAGGGCACTATCGAGAAGGATAAGACGTTCCAGACTTTTATAAAGTCATTGGCGCTTCTCAAGGAAAACAGGCAAGAATACGAATATGCAGATCTCAGTGTCATCCAGCCTCTACAAAAAGCCCTAGATTTGAAACGTGAAGAAGAAGCGCGTATAAAAAATCAGGGAGAAAGAGCGATAGTGGCGCTAGCAGGAGAAGTGAATAAGGAAAAGACTAAAAAGAAGAAGAACAAGTTGAATAACAAAAAAAAGGCATCGGATACTGTTGAGCCCAAGAAGAAGTCTAAAAAACCAACCTCGCAAGGTGGGGGTCAGGATAAGCAAAATATGGTTATCATAGAAGCCGCTGGGAGGCGTGAATTGCAAAGAAGAGAAAGAATCAAGAAAATGGTGGAAAAAGAGTCTAAAACTGGCTCTGTGGAGATTACCAGCGCTGCAGAAAAGTCTAACGCTTCCAAGAATAAGAATAAATCCGCTAAAAAACCTAGAAGTAAAAAGAGACCTAACTCAAAAGGAAAAAAGAAGGACGGTAACAATGAAGCAAATGAGACGACATCTCGTGGCAACGAGAGTGGTGGAGGAAAAACAAGCTCCGCGAAATCAAAGCATAAGGATGACGAAAAGCGGTAACTAGAGACACTCGAGAAGCGATGGTTTCTTTGATTCTTTGAGGAACCCGGTATATGTCTACTTATATGCTTGTCATCTACACTTGTCCCTGCTTTGGTGCCATTTTCATATATATGTTCTGGCCGGTGTTAAGCACAGCGTATGCAAAGCTGAAAAATACAGACCATTTGTCAGGACTTATAAATTGCTGAGCGATGGACACGAAGGCAGTAGAGCTAATTACGCTACTTGTGAGCATGGGTCCATATTTGTTACGCAACGTGGCCTTCACAGCTGCCAACTTCTGGCACAACTGGCTTTTCTGGGAATCCATATTCACTAATGTAAGCGCTGTAATCAAGCCGAAGACTTGGATTGGACTCACAACAAACCAAGAGCCACACAGCTGTGAAAGCCGCTTCCATTTAGAACTTACGCGGCGATCGGTAAATATTGTGATCCATTGGTAGAAAAAATGATTGATGGGCGCATTCACCAGACCACCGTACAGAAACATGGCAAGTAGTTTGCGAAATTTCGTTTTTTGCAGTAGCAACACGAGCTTTTGGATCACAGTGGTGGGATTCTGGGCGTTTTCATCCTTAGAAGGTGTTGTATATTGGCTAATGAGTTCGCTTATCGCACCGAGCACTGCTCCCGTGACCATCTTAGTGGTTAAAGGATATCTTTTCAACAGAACATTGTATTTAGCGGCAGGGTTGGTCTTGGAGAGCTGCAGTGACATTGGTGTGGCTAGAAGATAGCTTCACGACACCCAGAATATCAATTCTTCGAACTTTTTTCGCTTTGATGTATTTATATAAGTATGTTCATTTTAGTTTTTAGCTTCTTATCTTTCGCATATATCCGGTATAGATGTCACGGGCCCGGTTTGTCGCAGGTCGCTAACTTACAACTACAAAGTCTAATACGAATATAGACTTACCGAAGATGTGGTAGCTGGAAGTGTAAACAATGATTAGTCGTTTGCCAGACTTAATTTAACAAACAACGAAACTCGAAACTGTTTTTGACAAATGCTGTCGTTTGAAAAATAGCTCATAAGTCTTGAGAACTTACGAAGCTATCTAGCCATTGAAGTAGGAACGCGTGGAACTGACGTACCGCGGTCTTCGAATAGGCTCTATCGTAACTATCATTTAGCACTTTATACTAATTTTCATTGTTCAAGCATTGCTAAAAAGGTTAGCGCACACGAATCAACCTCGCGAGAAAGCCATGTGCGCGCTAGACCGATTGAAACGACACTGTTCGTGTTATGAAGACAACTGCAAGCCTAAAGTACTCTGAAAGTAAAGCTTTCTTCTCTTCACGTGTAAATTTCAATCGAGTTTCTTCTACTCTCTATAAAAAATTTAGTTAAATCTACAATCAATTGATAGTCAGTTGTATGCAAGAGTAAAGCGCTTCGTCAAGATGAAGCTGGTACACTTCTTGATGAAATTGCGCAACGAACAGGTCACAGTGGAGTTGAAAAATGGTACAACTGTGTGGGGTACTTTGCAGACGGTTTCTCCTCAAATGAATGCTACATTGACAGATGTAAAACTATCACTTCCCAACAAGAGCGGCAATGGTGCCGTGGCAGGTATTTTTTTAAGTGGTGGCCAGCACAATAATGAGCAGAAAACCACTTCATTGCAGTACATCAACATCCGGGGAAGTACAATCCGACAGATTATTTTGCCAGACTCACTTAATCTAGACTCGCTGCTGGTAGACGAAAGACATCTGAACAGACTAAAGCGTACAGGTAAGCTCACAGATGAGTACAGCAAGAAGAGACGGATGGATTCAAACGGAAGTTCAGCAAAGCGGGTTAAGCGGGCCATGTAACGGGGATCGTGGCGCCAACATAGCCAGCGGTAGTTCCCTAAAATATCCATGTATAGTAAATTTTAATAGACTTTTTTTGAGGGTGGACATGTGTGTGAAAAGTATTGAATACGGCTTTCAAAATGCCGCTGGATAACGCTGCCCTTGCGCTTCACTAAACCCTTCTTTTCTTCGCTTGCATAATGTTAGCTGTCACTCCCATTGTTCTCATCATCACTGCTTCTAATGTCACTACTTTCGGTATCACTACTTTCAGTATCACTACTCTCATCATCCTCATAGATATTGCTCCACTGACATTGTCCCAATGGAATTCCCCAAATCTGTTTCTGGGTACAAAGCCAATCAACGATCTCATCAATGTGCAAAACTTCAACATTTTGTGTACCAGGCTGTGCCCAACAATCTGCACATAGTCCCATAGATTTGACTTTTCGGTAGTCGCCTATATAAATCTTCATCAGATCTTGCAGATGATCCGAGCTTACTCGGTCTTGCTTGCCAAAATCACGTACACTGCTAATTCTACCCTTGCGAGATCTTCGTGGTAAAAAATAGTACTGAATGCGCAAGTAGAGCAGTATCAGCACTACCAGGTATTTGTTGTCAAATTTGGACGATTTTTCGTTACCTTTTTGCAAGATTACCAATAGCTGGTCCCACTTGGGCTTTATATAAATTAGCTTCATCAAAAGGCATTTAAACTCAACTCCTCCGCACACTATTGGCATCTGACGAGCTCCACCACGGCAATTTCCCAAATCTCTTACCATAGTCTTTGTTAACTGAATCATGCTATTGCCTCTGAGGGAAGCTGTGTCTAGATTCACTTTATGGTACATTGAGTTGTGAATTTTAACTCTTGTGATGTGTGGTATCACCAACGAGGTAGATTGGTGGTTCAATTGCTTTTCTGACACATTTTCGTCTATGTGGAACTCCCGAGACATATTTAGGTCGGCTAAAAAGGCAGTTTAGTCTTTGTTTGCGTAACAGAAGGGTCCTACTGGATCATCATCGATCTTTACGATATGCCACGCTTTGGCAAGGGCTCGTGACTGGATCTAAGAAAAGTCAAATCATATCTTGAATCTAGAAAGGCTGCTATGTACAAGCGGTTATATATCGTGATTGCATTCTAGTCTATTTTGCGTTTACTACCAAACTTAGAACCATCTGGGAATCTTGTCTTGTTTCCGCTTTTCCAATTTTTTCATGTACTTCCGGCCCCTGACCTCAACAATGTAGTCATCGGCATTTTTGATGGCCGCCTTCATCTTCCGCATCTTTTCAGACTGTGCTAGTTCGTGTTTATGGCCCTTAGGCAGCAAAACACCTTTCATAAACTTCTTTTGGTCGTACTTTTCCTGGAAAAACAACTTGTTTCTGGGTGGTAACAGCTCTTGTATACCGTATTCATGTGCCACCTTGTACAAATCACTCATACGTCTTAGCGAGTACTTGGGATTGTGGTGTCTGCCGGTCACAGGATGCTTGTTGGCCAAAAATGGGTTCGCATCTGCAGCATTAGTTAAAGTAGGTTTGTCGCTGTACTTGAGGCCCGGTGGGTATTTCTTGAAAAAGGTTTTTAGTTTGCCAGGTACCAATTGAAAGTATTGCTTCATCGGAGTTGAAGACATGGTGCAAGACGGCCTCCTAAGAATTGACACCAAAATTTCCTTCACCCGCTCTAAATTAAAGTTCAGAGACTCTAAAAATTTTAAATGTTCAACTTAGTTGGTTTGTGTCACGTGCACGGAGATCAAGACCTCAGAGACACTGCAACTTTTAACACAACTCCAAGATTCGATCAGCCTTGATTCAGCTGGTCGAGTACAGTGGTTGCTCGAGTTTTGTACTATCTACCTTTTTCGGCAATTTCGGTACCTGCATATCTAATGAGAAGTGTTGAAATATTTTTTGATTGGTCAAGGTATCTAGGTATGCCTCCTTGACAACATTTATGCTTCTTGTGACAATCCCTGCCCTTTCTCTCTTCTTATAGTTTCTGAAGATATCCTTGCTGAATCAGTCTTTCGACATCTGCCTGTCTGACAAAAAATTGCGAGTCTTTAATCAGATTGAACACCCCATACTCGGTCTGGATTTCCCCAGCGTCTTTTAAAACACGCACGTCAATGAATACATCGCTGGGTGGCGTTAAACTACCGGAAAGGTCAATATCAGTGTAGTCCCCACTTTTCATATCAGTAATTAATTGAGCGTACTCTTTCAGATACTCCTGTTCGTGATGCGACAGATTCCCACTTCCCTGGTGGGCCGCATTCAGTGATGAAATGGCGTCTGAACCATTTCTATTCCATGCGAAACCATCCAACGCGTCACTTCGCAGCTTCTGATATGCCAACAGGCATCTTTTGTTACGTTCCATACACAAAAGTGTAACGAAATACTGGCAGCGAGCCACTTTATCTTGGAACTGGTTTTCTTCTTGTTGCTCTTTCAAGAAATCAGCGTTTTTGCGCAATTGACTTACTTCTTTGACGATATTTCTTATAAGTTCATCCTGGTACATTGGCAGTTGGTCAGCGCCCGAACTTCGATTCAATTGTTGAGCTCTCTTTGCCTCCAGTACCAGTTTACTACCCATGTCACAGTACATAATTCTGTGAGAAATGAGCGCAGTTTTTCTACTCTTTAAATCGAATTTCAAATGGTGAACTGATCAGAAGTGAGTTTTGATGTTCTAAGTTGAATTTAATTAAAGTTGACGCGCATTGTTCGAAACTACATAAGTGGTAAAACATCAATCAATGAAGACTTATGGCAAGCATGGAAGGTCCAGAAGCATAGTTACAACCCAAGAATTGAATAGTCAAGATTTCAGCGATGATGAACATCATTGGGATACTTTCACTAGCGATGGACCTTCGGAGTTGATAACACCAAAAACAAGTATCGATGATAGCACAGCGGATACAGTGCCAAAGCGGTTGACAACCAATTTTGACAAGGGGTCCACTGTAGATTTGGAAATCTTCGGCTTTTTGGAAGATCCTCCGCTTAAGAGGCGCCGAAGAACGCGTCAATCTAAAGCCAAGGCGGACAACGAGGACACAGATTGCGATACAGCAGACACCTTTTTCTCGAGCCAGGCAGAGAGGAGCTTCCAAAGCACTATTGATGATGCGAATTCAATGCTTTCCAAGATTGGAGGAGACCAACAATCGGAAAAGACCGAGTGGATACCATTTAGCCAAAATTCAACAAGCGCCAGCAATAACGAAAGCGATTTGGTCTCCAGAGTTACCTATGGAAATACAAGGACTATTTTCCAATGCAACGACGAAAAAGAAACCCTTTCGGACTCTGCAGAAAGCGCGCAGGACGCGCCCGAATGTGGGCAATCTACTCAGCATTTTAATCATTTAAAAAGTATGGGGGAAACACTTAGGTATCAGGACGACCTTGAGTTTATGCTTCAAAGTGAATTAGATATGACGACAAGTGCAAAGCTATCTCGTATGCTTAGTGTGGCTCTGAATTTACTCAACAACCCGGGTCTTCTACAGTATGTCGTTAAGCATTGCCAAAAAGAAGTATGGCGTTGGTCGCTGGATATGAGCAACAGCAAGGATCCTGTCCTACTCCAACTCTGTGCATTTGTATTAGATATCGTCGCACTAGGCACCGAAAACTCTTTGTGGGGCTTCTTGGACTTCAACAGTTTCATTTTGCCATTAATACAATTCGACTATATCTCTTCCAAAGTTCACGGAAATGATCATACCAAGGCCTGCTACCGGGAGTTCCTTGACCTAACTGGATCGAAACCGGGAGCTTTCTATGGTTTCAAGCTTTGGAACTCAAGTTTTGACCATCAAGAATTATTGGAACACACTACTTTTCAAGAGATAACGCAGCTCCTAAAAGACGATAGTGTTTGTACTTCGCAGGTACTCGAAATTGCTGAAAAGGCTCTCTGTAAAAAAGTCAGCGGTCCAATATGCTTTCTAGAACTTTTTGAAGTGCTATGCTCGCTTTTCTCTTCATATAAGGAAAATGACTGCTTTATCAAAGTGCTTGTTAAAGTTACCAATGATATAACTCAGGTTTCTGGTATTGCAGCATGTGAAGCGGCCAAAATATTGCAGAGGTCGTTATCATTCATATTCGAGCACTCTTCATTTCTCCTCTATGATACAAAAGATGAACTTATGGATGTGCTCATTTTGCATCTTGGATTGTGCTTGAATCTGGCTCAAACTTGCGGAGTTTTGGAGCAAGCACCCGAGACCAAAATAAGTCAAAAACTATACGGTGTATTTCAAGCTTTGCATCAGTCCTCGGACGAGTGTTCTGGTCGCAACTTCAATCAGAACATGTACATTCTGATATGCTGCTACCTCTCGCATCATCAAAGATTCACATTTCAGCCGGCTGAACGAAGCTTTGCGCAAGTAAGACTGCGAAACTTCTCGGAAGAGATAAAAGTATACAACAAATGCATTTATTTCAGTGTACAGAAAGTATTAGAGGCCAAATATGTATAATCTATTAGTTCCATGATGTTTTTGAAATGACTTTTCGAGATAGCATTGCTCGTGAGCACCTCATCTCATTAGGGAGCTATTCTTAAGAGCTCCCAGGGATCATTTTCGGATTCTCTTTGGTACACCACGCGGTCGTGCAAACGACTGGGTCTTCCTTGCCAAAACTCCACGAGCAAGGGAACCACGCGCACACCGCCCCAGAATTCCGGGCAGGGAATATCCTCTACGCCTTCAAAACGAGCTTCATTGTCATCGACAAGTTTCTTGAGCTCATCGCGATCCTTGAGAACAGCCGATTGAGGCGAAGACCAAGCACCTACTTTAGATCCACGAGGCCTCGTGCTAAAGTAACGTTCGGAGGTTTCACGGCTAACCTTTTCAACAAGGCCCTCTACTCTAACCTGTCTTTGCAGGTTTTTCCAAAAGAAGTTTAAAGCTGCTTGTGGGTTGCTCCTGATGTCCTGTGCTTTTTTCGACGTTTCCCAGTTGGAGTAAATTGTGAAGCCGCGATCGTCTAGCTCTTTGAATAGCAAAACTCTGGAAGAGATCCTTCCGCTTGGGAGCTCGGCAGAGGCAAAATTCACAGCCTCGGGAATTGTTTCCGTTGGATCCGCTTGCGCCTCGGCAAACCATTTGGTGAACTGTACTATAGGATCGCTGCACACTTGGCGCTCATCGAGCGAGTCCTTATCGTATTGGTAAGTTTCTGGAGCGACTGCTGAGGTGTTAGTAAAGTTTTCCCAAGACGCTGGAAAGAAGTTCTAGCGCATACAAATAATTGGATTTTTGGTAGGTTGTTCGGACATTTGATAGAAGAATGAGACTGTTGCTGATATTGAATCTTTACCTTGTGGCAGCTCTCATTCCACATTTTTAAAGGTATTTGACTCACTTTTCGAAGTCGAAACAATTAATAGCGATCTCATCATCACATGGTCCACCATCATCCCGTGAACGATCCAGCATTTAACGATTCGTTCTTGATTTGAATTTCAACTTATGCCATGTTACCTCATTCTAGCCCTCTGGTCCAGGCGTAGGATCCCAAAGTAACGACGACTAGGCTGAAAGACACGAAAATTGAGAAAAAATAGTAGATCATTGTATTGCGGAGCGGGAGACGATGACATTCATTGATAAAAGTGCTTACGGTTGTCAAACACCCGCAGAAACCATTTCCCAGGGCAATCACGACAGCGTCAGTGGTTGAAGATTGAATGATTGCGGATCCATCTTGTCGTTTTCCTCTTGTCAGTAGTGTAAAAATGGCTAACAATAGAGTTCCCAGAACATTGGCTGTGAATGTGCCCAGCGGAAAGTGCTTGATCTTGGAGTTTAGCTGCTTGGACAAGATGTAGCGCAACATTGTCCCGGGAAATGCGAAAATAGCCGAAAGCGTCCAATATCGCGAGGAATTGTTGTAAACAGCAGCCAGAACGATCTGAATTATAAGCACTGGTAAGGATATCACAAGCACAACCTTCCCGATAATCGTAAAGATCCGGTGAGTTCTGCGAGCCGCTAGTGATAGCTCTTTGGTCTCGAAGTTCTCGAAATATGTCGCAAACTCCTTGGCAACGTAAAGTCCAAAGATGTGACTACACATGGACACCAAAATTTGGACCAGAAGCACCGCCAGAAACTCCATGATTCCATATGCTCGATTTGGGAATGCATGAGCAGTAGAACTGGTCTGATTGGCAGCATGAATGAAGATTTCGACGATTAAGCTCGAATACGACGACAAAGCACCACAATAGCCGGTGGTGATTGCAGTGAACATGAGCGGGTTGAACACCTTGTAGTGGAACATCGTTTGCATCAGTCCCATGATGAAGCAAGCCGCAAGATTTGCCCATAACACCGTAGGACTTTGGACATATGAACCTGAGTAGTCTGTGAGTTTGGTTAGTCCCAGTCTAGAGTAGTTTCCCAGGATTGAGAAAAATATGAAAGCTACCGCTAACTCTAATTCTGCCTTTAATGTATTCATTGACACCTTTTGCTGGTGAGCTGGAATGGTGGATGATTTTGAGTTCGGGCTAGGCTCCATGGGTTTTTCAGTTAGTCTTGCGAAGAGCTCGCAATCGAAAACTCCTAGCTAATTGCGAGGTATATCTTCGAAAGATACGGACAGGAAGCTCTTAGAGAGGTTAAGTCAAGTAATATATGCCTTGTGGTGACGGTTGAGCGGTTGGTATCTAAATTTTCAACGATATGCCAAAAACTAACGCCCAGCTTTTTTTTCTTGGCAAACATATGGCCCACCTACTTACTCAAACGTGTTTAAAGGAAACAAAGCAGATAATGCTCTCGGAAATCTTTCCTTCAAAAAGGGCTAGTGCTTTCTTTGTGTCATTGTAGTAAACACTGACAGCAGGCAGCGTTTGAAAGATGCGGATTTAACACTCTCGAAAGGTCACTATCACTCTCATTATCTGAACATACACACCTACTTGAAGCTGGGTCTATATCTAAACACTAATGCACTCCACATATGGACTTCTCCAGAAAATCGCTGGACGTTTCAAGAGTGGCGACAACTACTAAATCAAGAAAGATAGCGTAATTTGGACGTGTACAGCATAACAATATAGCCGGGAGATGACAAAATTCGCCCAACATCACCACCCATTCAAACAATTTGTTAGAGTTTCAGTTCTCAGACGGATTTATTACAACGGATGATTGTTTTAATGAATTTCGAGCTCTCTTCCGATGTAAAATGAGCAAGAGAGTAAATATCGAGGATTAAAATTCTTGAGAGCATAAAATAGTTCTTGGCAAAGATTTACAGGCAAGGAAATGACATCCTGGTAGAGCTGGATGGATTAAGGCAAATTTTTAGATCACAGCCCGCTTCTTTTTAGACAATCTCTGGTATTTCTCAGCGCCTTCTCGTTGTTTCGGAAATGAGTATCTACAAGATAAAGAGCTTTCAACTCGCGGCCCATTTTGAAATCAAAACACTCTGATTAAACAATTTTGAAATACTCTCCAAGTGTTCAGGCCTACAAGTTGATCTATCGCTACCTTTGATATACTCCGTTCCTACTAACACAGAACATGATTAAACTGCAATAAGATACGATTGTGGTTTATGTTGTGCATTTTGCATGGTCAAAAGCCTTGCCTCTGCTCAAATTCAAGAGATCCCTGGTACAGAGAAAAAGAGTCCAAAAATTTTGAAGTGGCGTGCCAATTGGTCAGGCGCAATCTCACCAATATGACACCAACCTGAAGTTCCTTCTGGCAACCTCAGATCCTTCGTTAAGTGTAAGCCTTCTGAGCCCCTCCAGTAATGGACGAAATACAAATCAGTCAACAGACCTTTAAGCCGCTAAATGGCTTTTGGTTGGAAGGGAAAAGCCAATAAAAACCCAGAAAGGAAAGTTTTCTGTAGTTTTTTTGGTCGAGAACGTCTCAATATGGATATGACCAGATATTGCTCGCGGGATCAGAGTTTTTTCTCGACAAACTAATGCACCGTCTATACTCTTTTAAGCCGCGTGTGTCAACCTCACGGGGGCTTGGATAGATCCGGGACTAATCATGAAAAGGGCATTGTTTGAAACTCAAAAATGTCTCTTATGCGAGCCCTTCTCAAGTCCAGATCTCAGAGCTTTTCCCAATGGAAAAGGTCAGATACAAGCACTATTCAAACCCCAAAGCGGCCCAAGTCATATAAGCGTTGGGTTTAATCCCTGTGCTCAATTTGTCGGTAGCTGAGCGTAGCCCAAACCGGAAAACTCAACTGATCCCGTTTTTCCGAGCGAAGATAGGTCCATATCTATCGCGACGCCCGGTTGCACTGCGGAAGAGTGCTGCGCAAAGGTGTTGGGTGGTTATTGTGATGGGACTCAAGCCAGATTATGCTCAAGTGATCTGGCGCTTCCAATCGCGCTCCCTGCTGAGATTGCCCATCTTTGCGTGAGAAAAGGCCCAGGATGTAATAGCCTTTCCTATAGGCTTTTTCACGTCAAAAAAAGACTCACTCATAGACCAAACTTGAAACAAAACCCGATGAATCCCAGCGGCAAAAGCTGAGACTGACCTACTTTCTTTGAGCAAGAAGCGCTTGGTGAACTTTCCTTCCAGTTCTAGCATAAATAGCCACATACAGCAACAAAATTGCCTTTCTTTGCATTATATTTCAAATGTGTGAATGGTTATGCTAGCTGGGTTGCGTTGAATGTAAGAAGATCAAAAGTCTAAGTCAGTTTAATATAGTTTTCTAATATTCCGTTAGTAATGACTGCTGATAGCGAGCAGAAAAATAGCCGCTCAGCTTAAACTCGTCAAAGAGTTCATCTATTGGAATGACCAAAAGCTAAGCAAATAAAACATCTTTGATTCGATTCCACTAGATATATATTACATATCAGTGATAAAGTGCCAAGATGAGCTTTGGAAGACCTCGAACGATGGAATTTGCATCAAAAAAGAGTCCGTATGCGGACAAAAGATCGCGTACTGTGCATTTTGATGCACCAGAGAAGAGTGGAAGCCTTGACAAGTGGGAGTTCGAGATAGGTGACCGAGAAAAAGAGCCAAAGTCCCCGAGCAACTTGGTTCCCTCGACCATTAGAAGAACACGTTGGGTTCGATCTCTGACCGAAACTGATACTAAACATCCTGTGTGTTTGAAAATTAGGCGAGCTAATACCGTTTCCCTTCCGGTAGAGTGCTTGGGGAAAAGTTTTGACGACCTGATGCTGGGAGTCCGTGACACAGCTTCGGTAGAAATTGAGGACCTCAGTTCGAGCAAAGAATGCAGTCCAGTCAAAACTGTTATTGCCGAGGAAAGCTTGGCAGCAAAGCGGACAGAAAATGATCATAGATCAGAAGAAGGCCCTGTGCTCGATGTAGAGCGTAACGATGAATGTCATTCGTTTTGTATATTTGAAGTTCAGGGTACTCCGGCAACCAAAATAGACGCACACAAGGAAGGGGATTGCGAAGACACAACCCTGGCATTTCAAAGTTCCGGTGTAAGCGCAGGAGATCAGCGCCTAAGCGACAATAACGAGATGAATTTTGGAGAGAAAATACTCTCTTTCCAAGAACAGGCGCGCAATTCGTCAATAGATTGGGTTGATAGCGAGGTGACCATTAGTAACCCAGCAGCTTGCAAATCTCCCAATAATGGTATAGATTTGAGTATTTTGGCAGAATCCAGCGAAATGGACAACGCTGTTGAAGTCAAAATTTCTCCGAAGAGATGTTTTGACGAAATAGGAGAAGGCGATAAAGTGTCAGCCACAGCTTTCAATCAAGCTCGTAGTCTATCGTCGGACACATCTGGACACGTTGCTACTCAGTCTGAGGATATGCCAAGTGTTGGTCCCGCAGAGCATACAGACCAGCTCTTAGCTGTCAAGATTAAGAATGAGAATAGCGAGACAGAGTTTACTAACGAAGAAGAAACGTTGGGGTGTGTCTCGGTCTTTCAAATGATCCCAGAGTGTGCTTCACAATCTACATCGCGCGAACAAACTGTTGAGATTGTTTCCTCTGTTGAAAAGTCGCAATTAATATTACAAGCTTCCCTGGGTTGTCGCTTTGGTCAGTATCCAGAAACTTCCGGAACAACTGGGACCAGTCTCACGAGAGAAACGACTGAACTCGAAGGCTTACCCAACCAAGAAGCGGATGAAAAAGCCACGAAAATTGAACTTGTCGAAACAACAGCCTCGCAGGGGCTTCCCACTTCCCCTATGAAATTGGCCCCTTTAAAATGCGACTATGATGCCACTTGCACTAAGAGCACGTTCGCATTGTCAAATCCCTCGGTTCACAAATCGTTGAAAGAACTCATCCACATGGCAAACCATAAGTGTTACCAAGTGGATTCTAGCAAGGTTCAGTACAAGGCAGGCTTGTCAAAAAAGAAAACTGCCGGGCTACCACATCTTCACGAACGCTTTAACTTTCACAAGCGTTGACGGCAACTATGCAGTCAAAAATAAATGGTCTCTAGCGGGATCGAACCGCTGATCCCCGCGTTATTAGCACGGTGCCTTAACCAACTGGGCCAAGAGACCTTATTGTTGGAGTTGAATCAACTTTGAAACCTCTAATTGATCCATTTTCCCTGCGTGTCAAGAGGCCTTCTGTAGCTACATTGTCAATCCGCTTAGAGTTGGATTTGGCTTCTGTTATATTATGACCTTGCATTCAAAAAAGTCTAGCTATTGATAATTCTAACATATTATTCAACTTTTTTTCACATTGGGTCGCAACATAAATACTTTGTGATGAGCAAACGACACTACCGAGGCAGCGCCATAAAGCTACTGGAACTCAGGATTATTTTGCTGCAAAGATAATCCTCAAAGTTTCTCAATTGAAACGCTATGGGACACCATGCCGATTCTGATATTAAACCATGAGACCTGACCCTCTAATTGTCGCCAGACTTGAAGGAAGTCACGCAGGACCCGAAAGACTCCTGCAAGCTAGGGAAGCTAGTAGTGGCAGACGGGTCAAAAGCTGGTATTGCGACGGTCGATAATCTGCCTCGAATCTTCGGCCCCAATAACTTTCAATGAAAATGAGAACTTTACGAATTTGTGGATGGTTTCGACAGCCTTTGAAATTAGCACCACAGCTAGATTGAGTAAACGAGCTTCGACATGAATCTTTGCATCCCAAACGAATTCCGAAGACCATCTCAGGTTACAACTCCTCTTGGCTCTCCATTGCCTGCTCTTGTACGTTGCCCTCGACATCTGGAATTTCCGCACTCGACACGCCTGCGTAGAACTTGCTCCACAAATCGGATACACTTTCAAACTCTTTTCCAACCGCAATGAAGTTCTCTAGCGAGATATTCAGTCCGTTCAAGTTGTTTAGTATCGAGTCCATAGTTTGTCCAATGTCTTGCAATACCAGATCGCGCTGCTCTATAAAGTAGCGATCTTCATCCGAGATGTCGCTGAGTGGCTCATCATCTCTTTTCGTCCTCTCAGACATGCCTAAAAGCCGTTCAGTCGAGCGCTATTAGTTCTTTCAGCTATATTTGAATTATTCCCCAACCGTGAGACAATTTTATCAATATGTAGCATTTTGTTACCCGGCCATGTCGGCTACAAGCTATATATATGCTTCCCTGTTAGCAATCGACAACAACTTATACATTTCAGTTTATGAAACCATCAACCAGTATATTTGTCTGTCCGCATATATCCAACATGTGAACGGTCTACTCTAAGCTGGGATATTAGAGTTCTCGTAACTCGAACAACTTAAGTTCTGTCGCGGCTGCTATTTTCCAAGCTCCGGGACACTATTGTCGTTCAAACATGTCTGTTACGTAGAAACAAAATTAACAAAAGCAGCTGAAGCTTGAGTCCATCCACTGTGATATATTCAAGTATATGAGCTTCACTTTCTATCTCGTAACCTTTTTATAAAATGATCGGTCTATTCACTGACGTCGCCGTCGTCTATGTAGCGCGGCTCCAGGTCAAAAATCAGTTCGTATTTGCGCCATTTCTTGCGTAGCTCGCTCTCTGGATTGTCGAATTCAAACTCAGACTCATCATCAAAGTTATCCAACCAATCCCATGGCTTCTCCAATGTGTCGAGATTGTCCTCGATGTAGCGTGCAAGGTCTTCATCGTACAGTAAAGGGCTGTCGTTAGTCAAATAATTCCAGACGCTGAGGAGGTAGAATTTTAAGCTTCGTACTCCGCGCAAGAACCCTTTGTCCTCGGTCTCTGGTGACTTTGGAGGAATGCGAAACGTGTCATAACTCTTCAATATATCGTCGCGGGTCACGCATTGCGCAAAGTCAATCAAATTGACTTTAACGCTGCACCTTCTGTTTTCGGGGTCATTCCCATCGTATATCAACAGAAGCGACGAGCCATATAAACGATATCCTTTCAGCTTCAAGATCTCGGCATAAAGTTTATCCAACTGAGCAATCAATTGTGGTATTTGCCTCAATATGCTCGAGATATCTTTCCCATTGTACAAAAACCTAGCAAAAACGCGGGCGAATTGCCAGCCAATCTGGACACGCCTTCCAAAATACTTGTCCCTTTTGATATAATAGTCTTTATTCCAAATCTTTAATCCACAAATTCTCACGCCCAACTTTCTAGACGTCGTTTGACGACACTTTTTGCTCTGCGAAAGATGTTTGAATTTATTTGCGTCCACGCCATACTGCCTAGTTCCCATCTTAAGATCTAAAACACAAGGCTTATCAAGTTTTCGCGTTAGGTCTTCCAATAAAATGAATTTCGATACAATTGTATGGGAATTTTCTTCGAAAGAGATTGATTCGTGATTGGGTTCCTCTTTTGGCCGTGGCAAATCTTCCTCCATAGTAAATATTCCATCCTCTTCCTCCGCCGGATCTCTATAGTCATCGCCGAACGAATTCGGTGGTGGTATCGAATCCTCCTGGGATTCGACACCTTCGGAAGAAATTTGATTATCCGCATCGATTTTAGCCATTTTACGCATATGAAATTGTTTCAAGTCGAGCACGGAGCTATGTGAGTCGATAGCATTTGCTAAAATAGCCTTCGTAGACTTATCCAACAGGGGAGAAGGGGGTAAGACGCCAGCCCCTTTGAACTCGTCTGAATTTCTCCTTACGCTATTATTAAGTGCCACAAGATTGGTTGAAGAAATGCTACCTTTGGATCCCAGTTTGTCATTTAATGAAGAAACCCTGTTATGAGATTTACGCTTTGTGGGAGCAAAGACTTCCTTCAATATTAATTCCTGCAATTTGGTGTTTATCACTGTTGAACCCGAATCTCCAAACCTTGGAGCTCTGTCTTCAAGGCTATGTGAAGAGAGGTAAGAATCACTGGGGGCTGATTCTGGCGAATGTGAATACTTGTACCATAATGAATCCGGAATTATATGTTTATTATCGTCCAAAACCACCTCTGGATTTTTCAGTTCTAACGGGGGAGAAGAAGAGTGAGTGTTTTGGGGCTGGTTCCCTGATGGCCCCGTACTCGATATTGCATCCAATTTTTGCTGCTTTTTTGCTAGCTTAGCTCTCTTTTCACGTTCAACTTCCCTCAAAAACTCTTCTTTTGAATTGAAATGCTGCCTTACATTGAGAACACCGATGTAACGAGGAATGAAGTCCAGAAGCTCCTTGTGCTGCTGTTCAATGTTTTCGTACCACATGTTTTCTCTACTAACCAGAGCTTTACAGACCGCCCTTTCAGAAAACCTGAATATTGCTGTATGGCCTCCGACTTTATTGGTGAAAGGTTGTAATTCGACAGCCAAGGGATATACCTCGTCGTCTGGTTTGTGTTCGTCAATTTCATCCCGTTTAATACTCGCTAAAGCTTCTTTGGTTTTAGCTAGTGATTCTACTGGTTTTGAAGATTCGATTGCCTCCGTGTTGGGTCTTTTCTTCATCACTTGGACTTGCGGTACTATTGGTGCGGACCTCGCCATTGGCTTTGTGGTTACTGGATCATCAAGTAACTCGCTCTTAGTCTGGTGCGGATAGTAAGTAGCTGATGATATTGGTTTAAGCGGCAGAAGCTTGTCACGCTCGTCTGGTATAGCGCCTGCCTCAGAAGGCTGTGATTTTGGTTCGGTTTGTAACGGCACAAATTCCGTGATGGTAGCTGGTGGATCTTGTAGAAGCTGTGCTTCGTCTGTAGACTTATTGATGGGGTACCTGCGAGTGGAGCTGGTCACAGGGCATTTCTTGGTGAATCGACCCGGTTTACGAGAATGAGCCGGATTTGCGAACTTGTCTCGATTGAACCCCTGCCTGAAGCGTGAGATCCCGTCGTAAACAGAAGAAGAGTGTCGCCTTGGTAGTGCGATGCGAGATTCACCTTTTTTACCAAAGTTAGGCAGTCTCCACGCATGGTGTAGTTCTTTTGGGTCGCACGTATTGTCGTGCTGGGCTTTGTCATCCACGTTGTTGTGTCTATGTCCATTCTCGTCATCCTGAAAGACTCTTAAGTATGTGCTGGCTTTCCTACCATGGATCACAGGTGGCATTTTCCGTTTGTCAAACACATTCAAGTCTTTCAGATGTTTGGCAACGTCATTCAATTCATCCTGCTTGTTGTCCTTGGCTGTTGGCTTCATACTCTCTCCAAAACGTTTCTGATCAGTCTTTCCCCTTTGATAGAAACTGCTTTCACGCTCAAAACCTACCTTTTGTTTGTCCTTTAGGGTCTAGTCCTTTAGTTTGGTGTTCTATACCCATGTGTTTTTGATATTGAATTTTATTATTTATTATATCGACGATGAGATAGATTAGATATACACGAATTCGAAGTAGTAAGATGGAAGAACAGAAAATCGCGGCCTTGGAGTCAATCCATTTATGATAATGAGTGGAAGAGAGCAGCTTCATCAAACTCAGGAGAAGGTTGAAGATTCGACTTCGACCTTTTAATCATGATCGATTTTCAAAATATCATTATAAGAAGTCCTTAGGCCTGACGGAAAGAGAATTTCGACACGCTGGGTAGAGCTAGCTTGCTGCGGGCTCTTTGAGATCTCATCTATAGGGGGTGGGATATAAATTTTTTTGGCAATAACGTTGCGCCGTGCTTCGAGAAGTTCCTGTTTTTGCGGGACAACGGTAAGGTAAAAGATTATTGACACTTTTTGAAGCGTTTGGTGCCCGAGATGTTACTAGATTGATTGCTGTTTGCAATTGTAAGGGACTCAAAAGTTGGCACTTTTACCTGATACTTGATTATTCGAAATGAGAACGCCATTGGAAAGCAAGCGTTCTCTTCATACCCGTAGTACTTCGTCTGTTACGAAACGTTCTTTTCTCAAGAAGCTCGGCCTATAGTGGAATTTTCGTTGTGATTATCGAAGCCGTCTGTATTGTTTCTCTGCGTCATGCGCTGCCTCAGGTCTGACCTCTACAAGTTATCAATCTCTCTCTTTTTTTACGATCTTGGAATTCATCGAATGAAGTATGCCATTATTTGTACCTATGATCGCAGTCATTCGAGTTTTTAGTGCTGCCGATAGAGCTTCTCGTGTTGTATTACCTGATGCTCAGGCAAACGCATTGTATAAAAGTTCTATCCGGCGCTTTTGCAATTTTATTATAGCTCGTGTTGAGGCACTATTCGATACGTCAAACAGATCATGGACATCAGATTGTGCCCTATAGTCTTCCAAGCTTGATCTGAATATCTACGTGAAGCAGCCAGATGACTCCATCGTCCTCTATTGTAGCGATTTTTCGATCTTGAAATGGGCTTGATGAATTTTTTAGTATAGTAACAACTGCGTCTGGATTTTTATAAATGGATGTGATAGGCTTTCATTTAGTCGCTTGGTTTGGATCCGATGTTACTCCTCGTGCTGGTGTCGCGTACGAACAATGTCACTTTGTACCATTTTGACATTAGCGAAATCGCATAATCGAAACGTATGAGCTCCAAGCCATGAAAAATTGCCCGGTACGAAAGATGTCACCACTAAAATCTGATTGTTTCGTGAACCCAGTATAGTAATGATACGAGATTTCTACACCAATTTTATCTATTTCTGTCGCTATGACGTTTGGATATTTACATCTTTACTCTGTCTCGACACAAATCCGAATGAGTCTTAGATGCTTTTTGATGACTGTATTCCATGTACCATACGTAAGTGCACTCCTAAATGGCAAATAGCACCCTAGCTAAGAAAGTGTGCCAATCTAGTAGAGAGTGATATTATCTTGTCTCTTGATGAGACCCTGATTTAGCGTCAATGTGTCTGGTCAAGTTACCAACCCAGTAAATTTCCGTAAGAGCCTCACGCTGAGTCAAAACATCTGCCGCTTTTTTGGTTTTCCCACGATCAAAAGCGAAGCTAGTGACGAATATCGCTCTTCAGATAAAGGCAAAACATCGGACAGTTTCTCGCACAGAAATTCATGCGGTGCAAATCAATTCCAAGCCCGAGCATAGCCACCTGTATGATATTTCTAGCACTTTAGTACTCATCAAAGTACATCGCTTCCTCTCTGGCCAATCACATTACGTTATTCTTTCGTTTACCCGCATTTCTTCCCTTTGGCTTAAAAAATTAAATACGCCTAGTGGGATGTAAAAACTACTCTTGGTAAAAGAACCTCGAAAGCGTTTGAAAACTTGCCTAAACTCCTGTTTAAAACGTCGTCTAGCCGGCTTATTTGACGTTTGACTGACCGCTATAGTGATGTTTGTGAGATCCGGTGCTTTTGGCGCCCGTATGGCTGGCATGACTGCTGCCAGAAACTATGCCACTTTGCGTGAGATTGAAATGCGTTTGAAGTCGATCAAAAACATCGAAAAGATCACCAAGACAATGAAGATTGTGGCTTCGACACGTTTGTCGAAGGCTGAGAAAGCTAAGACCACTGCTAGAGAGTATTCTGCCTCTGAACGCGCGTTCTACAAGAGTGCCGAAACTAAAGGTGCTGAGACCGAGACTCCTAACGAGCTTGTAATTGCCGTCACTTCTGACAAGGGGCTATGTGGGTCGATCCACTCGCAATTGGCCAAAGCTGTCCGCAGAGAGCTTGTCTCTTCGCCTCAGGCGGACCTCGTTTGCATTGGTGACAAAGTCAAAGCACAGCTTCTCAGAACTAACGGCGACCGTATGAAACTCGCCTTCAACGGTGTTGGTAAAGAAGCCCCAACTTTCGAGGAGTCTGCCTTGATGGCAAACCAGATTTTGCAAATCAGCAAGCAGTACTCTACCATCAAGATCTTTTACAACAACCCCGTTTCTTCCATATCGTTCGAGCCTAGCGTCAAACCTGTGTACAACGCTGAGGCCATTGAGCAGTCTCCTTCTTTTGCCAAGTTTGAAATTGACAGCGACAACAAGGTCTCCCAAGATTTGTTCGAGTTCACTTTGTCTAACCAGATTCTCTCCGCTATGGCCGATGGTTATGCTGCCGAGATCTCTGCCAGAAGAAACGCCATGGACAATGCCTCGAAGAACGCCGGTGACATGATCAACAAGTACTCTATTCTGTACAACAGAACCAGACAAGCCGTTATTACCAACGAATTGGTCGACATCATCACTGGTGCCTCTTCTTTGGGCTAAGTGTCTGTGGTTGCACTATAAAACGTGCTTTTTAACGAATGACATATAAATCACAGTAAAGCTTTTACATACAAAGACTCAAATATATTCTAGAGGAAGCGAATAGTAAACCCTGGGCATTTCACAGGTAGACGAGAACTCTGATGGGTCAGAAAACTGAGGACCCTTTCAATTCCCACATGCTTTGGCATGCACTGTTATGTTACTGTATGAAATAACGTGGTCTCATTTTTGTAAAAGTGAGGGTAGTCTTATGCTCACAAGATCCACGAATTTCGGTATGTGTGGGAATCAGAGTTCATTATCTGTACGCACATTCTGTGGATGCCGCAAAACTTTAAGAGAAGAGAACTCAAACTAGCACCATAACAAATAGACGATATGGCACTCAGTTTGCAAAAAACGATTCCCTCTTCCGAATTTGTTCTTTTATGGCTCGATTTCACCTTTACGGAGTACGTCCTATCTTGGCCTTCTGGCAGGTGAGAATGCCACTAGAATATTAATTTCTTACACCAAGTTTTTCATTCCCACATCTTGCGTTCTTTCCAGTTGTAGCTTTGACACCGCTTTGCACTTTGCGAGTCTTTAGTTGAATCCTTTTCAACTCTACTTGCGTCACTATGAAATTGATATGTATTACATGAGAAACACAGTTGAGCCTTATGGACTGGTTTGATCAGAAAGTAGACTTGCAAAATATCCGTCATGTTCTTAATTTACATTTATTCCATGTGTTGAGATATTCAGCTCTGGAATAGTTGGGCGGCTATATCCCCTGCCCTGCTTCACGACTTTTTGGATAGCAGAGAAGAGAACAAGTACTTTGGATTTTTAAAATCAATTACAAGCGCCCCATAGCAAGCAGCTGCCCTGTATCTTCTGCGTAGATTTTTGCCAAAACATAAAGCCTCCGTGATTATGCACTGAATGTATTACGAATGGCAAATGATAGAGCATATAGTCTACCTGAGTGGATGGTCTAGACACTCTCTGAAACAGCTGTTGTTGAGCGCTGAAGCTTTTACCGGATCTTTTATAAAACTTATATGTAGCAAAACTTGTCCAGTTTCAAATATGTCTCAAATCTAAACAAGTTCATAAACCTGGCACAAAAATAACAGCAGAATAACAATGTTTCATGTAGTAGACTTGCAGAGCCACGATCAAATTAATGTACTTAAGTGTGATGTTTTCTTCACCATGTCGCCTTAGATATTTTCTTATTGACCAACTTCCACCGATCAACAATGATTTCAGTCACAATGTTTTGGTTTCTAGCCAAAAGAATGCCTCGATTTTTTGCGCTGTTGGTCGACCTAGTCGCTATCTTACTACTGATATTCCTCCTAGCTGGAAATAATAATTCCTCTCAAGCGTCGACCTATTTGACCAGCTTTCAGTTCTCCTCCGATTCTCCCATGTACGACATCGTGTCATCCTCATTCAATGCTGACAACAGAACCGCCGATCTACAGAAAGTTAATGTTCGCGCTGGCTACATGGGTATTTGCATCTTAGACCTTCCCAAGACTTACTCTGATCAATCGACGCTGTGCTACGACCGAAAAAACATCACGAATGCAGGTTTATTCGAAGACCTCAGCGTCAAAGTCTTCAATATTCGTGCCGGTGGGAAATCCACTGGAAATAGCACAGAATTCACAGCGCTTAACATCCTACAACTTGCTCAAGACACCTCTGTTCACCTAGTGCATCCCTACATTCTGATGGCTGTTATTGTCATAGGATTGCTGACATTTTGTGCTACCCTATGTGCTACAATTCCCAGGTTGCCGGGCAAGAACTACCTTAACTGGTTGTTGTTAATATTGAGCCCCATCCTGATGTTGGTGTGGGGACTTGGAGCGATGTGGACCGACGTGGCGATCCGAGCCAGCAGCTCTTACGTCCCAGATGCATCGATGGGCATTCTCAAAGTAAGAATGGGTACAAAGGCCAGCGCTATGGCCTGGTCTGCATTTGCGCTACTGATTGTCAACTGTCTCATTTTATGGGGACTCTACTTTAGAGATCGCAAATCTCTGAGCGACGAAATAGACAACATACGGAAAAGGCCAAACCATTTCGACTCTAAATACAATAGTGATGGCTCGACATTGGCCAGCAAGTACTGATAGTTCAGGCAGAAAGTCTTAAACTTTTCTGGAAAGTGTCAAATATTCCGTACAAGGCGCGCTGTTAACCTAAAAAAGCATACTCCTCATTATATACTTCAGCTGATGACCTTTAAGAGATCAAACTGTCAAGCTTGACACAATCACAATTGAGACACAAGCAAGAATCCAGACGTTAAGAGATTTCTAAACTCTCGATGACTGGCTCTGAAATCAGCTTTGTGGCGCTACGAGTGCTGAAACTTGTTGTTCGAGTACTTGCGCTTCCCTTCATTTTGTTATCGAACCTGCTTACACTGATATGTGGAGGATGGTTTGCAAAGCTAGATGAACGACATCGGATTCGAGACGACTGGTACATAGCGACTTACTTTTTGGTTGCAGTGCCACGTTACATATGGAGCGTCTACCGCGGGAAATTTCAATTCTGGTACACCTTTAAGCAACAAGTCAACCGAAATGGTGACCTACCATGTATCTCGTATCCAAGACCATTGGATCAGAAGGGTGAATTTGAGATGGAAACCTTTACTTACCGAGAGACATATGATATCGTCTTACGGCTTTCGTTCCTTTTGTACCACGAGTATGGTGTCAGAGAGGGCCATACGGTGGCCATGGATTATGCAAATAAACCAATGTTCATATTTATGTGGTTTGCGCTTTGGAACATTGGCGCAGTTCCTTCGTTTCTGAACTACAACTCAATCGGCGTTCCGTTGGTACATTCCATTAAAATTGCCAACGTCCGAGCTGTTTTCGTTGATTTGCAGGTAGCCGAAAATATCAAAGCGACGGAAAAGGAGATTCGCAAAGAACTGCCTCAGGTAAAAGTCAATTACCTGTCCGAGGAGAAAGTCTGCAAGATCATTGTGGATAAGGAATCGCCACAATTTTTGCAAGACGCCGGAAAGCGTTCCCCACCTTTTGCAACGGATTTCCAGCCTGCGTGTCTTATTTATACCTCTGGCACTACAGGTTTACCTAAATCTGCAATCATGTCGTGGAGGAAAGCAGTGATTGGCTGCTCATTATTTGGCTACATCATGAGAATTAAGAAGGGCTCCACTGTTTTTACTGCAATGCCTCTTTATCATTCAACTGCCGCATTGTTAGGCGTGTGTGCTGTTTTCTCTCAGGGTGGATGTGTGGCGATCTCGAACAAATTCTCGGCAAGCTCGTTCTGGAAGCAAGCCTACTTAACGAAATCTACGCATGTTCAATACGTTGGCGAAATTTGCCGCTATTTGCTACACACGCGTGTCTCAGAATATGAATCAATGCATTGCGTGAAAGTCGCCTATGGTAATGGGCTAAGGGCAGATATCTGGCAAGAGTTTAGGAATAGGTTCGGAATACAAGTGATAGGTGAATTTTATGCCTCGACGGAGGCACCATTCGCTACCACAACATTTCAAAGGGGCGATTTTGGTGTGGGTGCATGCAGGTGTTATGGAACGGTGATCAATAAAATTCTCTCGATCCAGCAAACGATAGTGAGAGTAGATCCTGAAGACGAAAGCACAGTGTTCAGAAACGAAAGAGGCTTCTGCGAAGTAACACCACCGGGTGAACCAGGTGAAATGCTTATGAAGATATTTATGCCCAAAAAACCAGAGGCAACTTTCCAAGGATATCTTGGTAACAAGAAGGCCACGAAGTCCAAAGTTTTGCGCGACGTTTTCCGGAAAGGAGACGCTTGGTATCGTTCTGGCGATTTAGTCAAATCTGATGAGCTCGGGTTGTGGTATTTTGTTGACAGAATGGGTGACACCTTCAGATGGAAGTCTGAAAATGTTTCAGCTACTGAGGTGGAAGACCAAATTATGAGTTTTGCTAATTACTTGATTTCTGCGGTGGTTGTGGTCGGCATTAAAGTGCCAGATCATGAGGGAAGAGCAGGGTTTGCGGTGCTTGAATTAGCACCGACAGCTAGGGGCTTGCGTGGTGATGTAAAATTTCTTAACGAAATGCTATCAAACCTAAAGAAGAGTCTCCCCAAGTATGCTCTGCCAACTTTCGTCAAGTTTGTCGACGAAATTGAGCATACCGACAACCATAAGATTAAGAAGAAAAGTTACAAAGATCAGGTTTTGCCACATGGAGCAGGTGGCGATGAAATTTTGTACTGGTTAAAAAATTCGGAGGAGTACAAGCCACTTACAAACACGGATTGGATCGACATTATGTCCGGTACCACGAAGCTATGATCATATAGCCATAAAGCAACGATACCAAAGATCACACTTTTATTTGCCGTAAAACGAGTCGTTGCGACAACACCTCATTTAAAGTCATATAGCATCATTTAAGCATATTTGCTCCAAATCATAATGGCCAAAATCAGTATTGTCAGGCACGGAAGTGCCAAAATTCGTGCCATTTCATATCCCTGGATTTTGCAAGTGCCTGTAACAACTTGCTTCATACTACCATCACTATCGAAAGAGCCTGTGGCATAGTAGCGGTCTAGAAGCTCGTCTTTTTCTCGCCAAATATTAAGTAGCCATTCGGTAAACTTGCTCTCGTCATCTATCGGTATATCGTGCACGTCAAACGCTCTAAGGTGGATATCCACAACATCGGGTGAGTGACCCTTCAAGAAAATGTTTCCTATTTTGTAGATGTCTTGACCATACTCGTGTTGTTTGACCCCAGAATATCCGATCGTGGCGTCATACACAACCTCGCAGCTATTCTTGAGTTCCTGGAGAGCAAATCTTAGACCTGTTACTCTGGGAAGCACTAGGTTTCTGAAAATAGGAAGATTGGATTTTGATGCGAAGATTTCGCTCTTATTCCTGGTGTTCTGGCTTAAATTTGTGCCTTCAGGAAAAATCAATAGGGAATAAGGCCAACAAATTTGTTTATGGTCGACTTCGGTTGACCCTTTATCATTCCAGATCTCAAGTCCATCGGCGGTCTTATGAGCAATTCGTTTTCCGGCCAATTCGCCAACGCCGCGTGCATTGTGGTCCATATCACTTAGCCTATTAGCTAAGTTGATCTTATCTCTGCTCCACTTACGATTCATGAAGATGAACTTGAAGTTCTTCATTCCGTATCCCATAATTGGTATGCGTTGTAGCGATTTCTTAAGCATGATGAAAACGTTCCCACCTAGTCCTGCTGTGTAAGCAAGCCACCATAGAAAGACCCAGTCGGTGTAGATCTGATGGTTAGAAATCATGACAGACTTTCGTTTCAAGCTCGACAGCAGTCTGCCTGTTTTGGGATCGCATACCACAAGATTCTTCGCGATCGTGTGATTGTCCGTAGTTATCCTTACTTTTGAAGGTGCCACTATGGTGAGAATTGTCACCAACAAGAGAATGAAAGTTTTCTTGCTAGAGTCCAAATGCTTCTGTCTTCTAACTGGGTCATCGTTGAATATCAACTTGGCTATAAGTTGATGTGTAACGATGGCGATGGACCCCTGAAGGAAAATCACAATAGATGCCAAAGTAATTACCAATTTTGCGGCTCTTTGCACTAGAAGCCTTAAAAGCATGGTAAAAGAGCTTTGTTTAAGAATTGGATAATTTCTGTGAGAATGGCTACTTTTACTTTTCAGATCTTCAATAGTTCTTTAGATTTTGTTCGGAGCTATTCATTTTTACTTATTAATGATTCATGAGAGATCACCGTATTGAATAATTTATGGTAGCGGTAACGAGCAAAACAGTCTCGGCATGTTTTAATAGACAGTTTGGGAATTACCTTCGCAGATTCAAAACCTTTTAATACTTTTAGATAGTAGAAGATGCGCTATGAATATTGATTCAAAACTTATTATGTTTTTAGATAGTAGAAGATGCGCCATGAATATTAAAGTCCTGTGTAATCTCATTATTTGCCTCAGCTCTGCGCGTAATCGTCTGTGTCTTGTTCTTAAATCTGTGGAGCACTTATCGCGGCGGCGAACAGGTTTTTACGAATCTTTCCCGTCTTTCACTCCAACATGTTGTACAAATTTTGTAAATCATAGGTTTCCCTCCAGTGATCACCTCTGATTTTAAGAAGCACTAGTACGGAGCTCGCAGCGATGACTATGAATGCTAGCATCGTAAAAGACCAGCCAGTGCCCATTCCCTCGAGCATTGGCTCGGTGACAAAGACTGCCACTGAGGCAAAAATCTGACGAATTAGATTATTGAGCGCAACTCCCGTGGCACCTTTGCCTGGCAAAGAGTCCACCAGATACGCCACTGTTGCGCCAATGGTCATCATGGAGGCATATCCAAATATAGCGGTTCCAACAAGTGGGGTGACCCAATGCTCGTTCTTGTCGAGGCACCACCCAAAAATGAGCAGCGAGATTGGAAAACTGACAACAGCGGATACAACGTTCCAGGAAATGCGGGCTTCGGGAGCCAGTATCCCATGCTTCTCTTTGTACTTCTTCAGTAGATTGTCAACCCATCTACCGCCGTAGATGGAAGCAATGATATAGGTAATGGAATTTGGAATATACAAAAGCCCCACATACAAAGGCTTGAAATTGTAAGGAGGTCTGGAGTATCTGTATTCGATGGTCATGTTCACAAAATACAAGATGGCAAACGAGATGGCCGAGAATATTATTGCTAGTAGCACAGGAGGAAATCTCAGAAAATGCAAAGATTTAAGCGGCCTTACCAAATAGATATATAGCGCCGCCCTCCACGACTTATACTTTGACTGTACAAGATCCTCGGATCCCTCGTTGTTTCGTTCGGTCTCCAATCTCTCCAGTTCGTTCTCAACATTAGTTTTCCACTTCTTAAGCTCACCTTCGCGTAAACGCTGCTCTAACTTGCGATCCCGAGTTTGAAGCCTTGTGATATGTGGTGCCATCAAATCGCCATGTGGTCCATCTTCATCAGCTGGATACTGTGCCAGTTCGCTCGTTCTCGTCATGATCCGGTTAATCTCAGCATCGTCTGGAGCTTGCTCAGAATCTGGTCCAGAGTCCGGTCGTTGAAGCTCGTTATCGCATTCTTCAGTTTTGGTCTCCTCCTGCGCTTCATCAAGATCACTTGTAGCCGAGTCTAGCTTAGCCTGGTTGCCAACTCTTCTGCTGGCCAAAATGGCTGCAATAGCACTTTTGCTGTCTTGTAATCTCAAAGTCTCTGGTAACAAGAGTGTCAGCGTAACTACAGTTACGCCAGCCAGAATGACTAAGAACCATTGCGTAGATCTCCAGCTCCATCTGCTCACTAGTAAAGATCCGATAATAGGTGCCGTTAGCGGTGCCGTTAGCGCGCCCAAATAATAGTAGCCTAAGTATTTTCCTCTTTCCTCTGGTTTGAACAAGTCTGCGACAGTACCAGCACCTACACTCTGTACACTAGCGGAGGATGCACCACAAAGCATGCGGAATACGATAAAAGCCTTTATATTGGGTGAAAGCGCGCTTCCGATGCAAAATGCTAGTAAGAGAGTGAAACTGATGACATAGACAGTCCTGCGCCCTTTCAGCTCAGACAGAGACGACCACCAGATCGGCAAAATGCCAAGACTTAAGAGATAAACCCCCACGGAAACATTCACCATTATTGTGGACGTGTCGAAATCGCGTGAAATAGGATTAATCGAGGGATAGATGATGGAAGTGCCCATGGGGCCCATCATAGCAGCAAATGCGATCAGAAGTACGATCGCACCTTTCAGTCTAGGCGGGTAGTCCCGAGCGTCTTTGTACTCTGGAACCAACGTCAGATTGGCCAAAATTCCCCGTCTCTCTGCTCGGGGCACCATCAGGTTCTTGTCCCTAAGACTGGTTTTCTTTGCCAAACTTGTGCCATCGCCAGCGGGCTCTGTTGGGTGCAGACTTTGTGGATTTCCTACATAGTTTTGCGGGAGAGACTCGACTGAGTTACTTGAGTGCAAGGAGTTGCCTCCCACACATGATTCGGTTCTTGACGCGGTGCTCATCGTGCATGCTTCACGCTATACTTATAAATCGCTCTCACAACGTCGTTGATTGAAGTAAAGGCTTTACTTGATGGCCTTCGATTGATATTTGGTCTCAGATGCCAACTAACAAGTGGGTCATAAACAACAGCTTCGGAAACAATGGCGTATCTGCTTTGGTATCTTTGATCTTCTTGGCTCTCCTTCACTATGAGTCTTGGAAGATGCGATAGGTTGTGATGTCTAACGCTTTATGTCAAGATTACAGAATTCCGGCGGAATTCTAAGTATCACTTTGTATTATCCTGACACAGGCCTTGCTGTTAAACGGCTTCGAGAGAGAAATATCGTCGTCGACAGCATCGATGGCTTATTTACCGTAAAAATTCCATACATACTACTCAGCTTGCTCTCTATGGAAGTTACTCTTTCAAATTCATTAAATTATTACACAAGAGTAAGCACATCAATCTATATGCATTTTATGGTGCAGTCACAATAACACTTTGTTTAGATCCTTCGACGGATTTTGTAATCTATTAGCACCAGAAACGGTAAATTCTGTAGTACAGTGGCTTGGCAGCTAATCTAGCTTTGTCCTCCAAGATTTCGTGTTTGAACAGCTCCATATCGCGAGTTGTCAAGCCGGTGTCCAGATCAATCTGCTTCAAGGGAATGAGGAGCGAGTTCTTTCTGTTGAAAATCAAGCGGTGTGCAACGTACACAACAATCATGATGGGTATACTGAGACAGTACTGGAAAAACTGTTTGGCACTGGACTCTTCCCCCAATGGGGAAGCCGACACATAGATCTCACCAGCGATCAAAAGTACGTTAAGAACAGCTCCCAAAATACCGCCATAAATGCCAAGCATTGATTTGTGGGCAATTTCGTCGGTAGACCTTCCTTGGGCTCTTAACGCTAGGCGGTAGCGCACTTGCGATGCACAAATACAGAACCAAGTGAAGAACGACGAAATCGAACACAGAGCAAAGAGCCAGGTGAAGGCTTCGTTCTCTTTTTCTTCATCTGCAACCAAAAATCCTAGCAAGCCGAAAATACCACAAATAATGATACCAGTTAGAGGTCTTCCTTTTTGATCGACATAACCACAAACACGGGGCAACTGGCCACTGGCACCAAGGGCTTGGATGACTCTTGAAGAAGCGTAAACACAAGAGTTGCACACGGACAGGACGGCTATCAAAACAACCGTGTTCATGAAATGAGAAACTTTGGTGCCCATGGAACCTTGGCCACTCAACGCAATCACAAATGGCGACGCGGACAAATCTTCACTGCTGTTTCCACCTAATAAACGATCATCGGTGTATGGCACCAAACATCCAATAATAATAACGGTGGTGATGTAGAAGATGGCAATTCTATAGAAAGTACCTTTGGCAGCGCGGGACACTGATTCGACCTTGCGAGATTCGGATGCAGTCAAGACCACGAGCTCAGCACCACCAAACGAAAAAGCTGCTGAGACAAAAGTGTTACACAGCCCTTTGAACACAGGCTCGGCAAACGAACCGGGATCGTGCCAATACTTGGTTCCGATATAGCCGGTCGAGTGAGGACCTCCACCCGAGATGAGTACAATTCCGATAATGATAAATATGACAATCGCAACGACTTTGAAGAGCGACATCCAGAATTCAGCCTCACCGTAACCACGAACACCAAACAGATTCAAACTCATGATGAAAACGTAAAAAATAGCAACCCAGACCGCAGGGTTTACTGTGTCGTTCCAGTATTTTATGGTAATGGCGCAACCAATTAATTCAGACGGAAAGGAGATGAGCCACGCGAGCGCATAGTTCGTGGATACCGTGAATCCGATCGAGTGCTCCATGAATCGCGTCACGTGAGTCGAGAACGACCCCGAGACGGGATACTGACATGCCAGCTCGGCGGCGCTTTGCACCACACAGAACATCATAATTCCCACGATCATAAACCCGATCAACAGCGAACCTGGACCGGACGACAGTGAAAATCCCAGCCCGATAAACAGACCCGTACCGAGCGTTCCTCCGATCGAAATCATCATCAAGTGACGCTGTGCCAAAGTCTTTTGGAAAGGCTGGTTGGCCAGCACGTAGTTGCGGCGCTGTTCCTCGGTCAGCAGCTCCATGTCCACGTCCTGGTCCTTGGCCACGGCCTCCGGCCTCTGGAACGACCGGGTGAACCGGTTGAACAAAGTGCTTTCGTCATATTTCTGGAATGGCTGTTGCGTTCCATCCACCGACACCACGGCTGACTCCACGCTGGAGCCCTGCTTGCCGTCTTTTTCCATATCTAGAGTCTCAACTTACTTGAAAATGGACGCAGTGATTAATCGTCAAAACAATATACTACTTTCGACGCAAATTAATATCAAATGCTACCAGATAATCTGAAGATCTCAGTAGGCTTGAACACTTTTCTAATCCTTTGTGTCGTCTCTTCAACAAAACTTTGTCAATTTTCACAAGATATACCAAAGATTACTCACGAAAAGGAAATATTGATTTTGAATTTTTTTTCCACGCAGGGTATTAACCGATGCATGGAATCTATAATGCTTATCATATCAAAGAAGGGACCATAATTAGTTGTTCAATGAATGGGTGGTAAGTCAAAGGAGTGGTGGAGACGTCAAACTGACACTCGGATATTAGACGCGATGGTTTTCCATTGAGGCAGGCTTTTTCCAGAAGAAAAATAACGGTTTGGAGAGAAAGCTGTAGTGAATATTCATTCTGGTGCGGCTGCTGGACTGTGGACCCTGGACCCGGACCATGTGAGCCAACACCTTAAAGTGCGGACGGTGAAACCGTGAGGAGGGCTTTTTCTTTCGACATTAATTGATGGATTCTGCCAAGCGGCTTGGGTATGGATGGATTCCGCCCCCGCTCCTAGTTAATATGTATGCTTTGGTTCGTTTCGTTTCTACTTATACCTCGCTTTAATTCGTCTACTCGGGCTTGTAGAAGTGGCTAGGAGTGAGCGGAAGACGTGCTACTTCGATTGGAAATGACTTGTTGCGCACACGGACTGTCAGCTTAGTCCCAGCCTTGCGATTCGACTTTTGCACGTAGGCCTGGCCAATGTTGATTCCACCCAGCGATGGCGATGCGCTTCCCGAAGTGACGCGGCCCACGAGTTTCTGGCCGTCTTCCGAAAAGATCTCTGCGCCTTGGCGCGCCGCGGGTCCACGTCCCACGTATTTGAAGCCCACACGAGCCTCCGTGGCGGATTTGTTGTTGATGAGGTCCATGATACGGTCAAATCCATTAAAACGTCCCAGAGAACCGTCTCTGCGACTCTTGGATATGAGCCAATTTAGCGATGCCTCTACAGGGGTAGTATTTTGGTCTAGTTCGTGCCCGTACAAACACATCCCGGCCTCCAACCGCAAACTATCTCTTGCGGCCAATCCGATTGGGCGCACAGCTGGGTCTTTCAAAAGCTGAGTGGCCAGTTTTAGGGCGTCGCGGTTAGCTACCGAGATTTCAAACCCGTCTTCGCCCGTGTACCCGGAACGAGCCACGTCCACCTCAAATGTACCACCCGTGGTTTCCGCGTCCAAAATCGCGTAGCGTCTGCGTTGACCGAAATACAAATCCTGCAACGACTGCGGACCGCCAGCGACAATGGACCCCAATGCGTTCTTGGCTTCCGGGCCTTGCAGCGCTAATAGCCCTTTTTCCTGGACGGCTTCCCACGCGCAATCGAAACCTTCAATCTGCTGTTTCAAAAATGCCACGTCCTGGTCAATGCACCCGGCGTTCGTCACGATGCTGAAGTCGTTTTCTGCCACTTTGGTGATCAAAGTGTCGTCCACAATCCCCCCGTTTTCGTTCAACAAAACCGATAGCGTACCCTGACCTGCAGGCAGGTTTTGGAAGTCCGTGGGGGTGATCTTGTGCAAAAACTTGGTGGCTTCTGCGCCCTTCAGTGTGCTTTGAAGCATGTGGGAAACGTCGAACAGTCCAGCATGCGTACGAGTCCAGTTATGAGACTCGATGTGCGTTTGTTGCGCGTATTTCACGGGCATCGCATAACCGGCATACGGAACCATGTTTCCTCCCAGCTTGACGTGCAAAGCGTAGAGCGCGGTTTTCTGGAGCGCGCCAGCAGCGCTGGAATTGAACCTCTTGAAGATCATCTATTTAGCCTAAAGTTTAGGGGTCTAAAAAATATGCTAGTCAAGCTCACTAGTTTCTTCAATATTACCAGCCTAGAGAGATCAATTTTCTAACAAGTTTCGAATGCCTTCCACAATCTGGCATTGTTTGACATCCTTATAAATACTTGGCATATGAGATGTTCATCTTATCATCGTGTGAACCAGTTCGTGACGTTTGACCTGAGGTTTATTAGTGACTCGTTGGAAAAAAAGCGGTCAAGAGCTCAGATTGACTCGGAGCTCGGTCAGCTGGTCTTCGTGTAAGGTGCTCCATGTATCACGTGGGTATTGATGGGAGGGCTCGGCGGCTATTTGCATGAGTCGTTCGTTCGTTCGTTCGTTCGTTCGTTCGTTCGTCCTCGTGAGTAAAACGTTTGAACATCTGTGTTGGCATCGTGTAGATACTGTAGTCTTCTTGAATGTGGCTTTGCGTAGTTGCCCATTCGCTATTTACAAGTGTTTTTGGTATCTCTGTGACCGTGGCATGTGCTAGTCCTTCCGTGGCTTGTCAAAGAATCTTGTTACAAGCACGTCGCAGGTCGTTATCAGCTTGATAAAAGTCATCACTCCACCGAGCGTCTGGTCGACTTTGTTCCAAGGTTCCAGAACTCCTCGGTCGACCACAGAGCATCTATGTGGTAGAAACGCAGTTGTGAACTCCGGATCGAATATGGTCTCTGCGATGAGTTTCGCCGCTTGGTATTTATGAGCCCCGTACAAATTGTTCAATGCGTTTTCCATGGTCGTGGTAAGGTTTGCAACCACAGCTTCGATGCCTAAAAAAAACGGGTCTTGTTTTGAGACGTTTTCTAGCGGTTTGATGCTTTTGGCCAACGCTATTCCGTGACCAGGAATCCATCCTTGTGCCATACCGTGGCACAACACGTTATTGATAATGTGATCCAGTTCCGCTCTTCTATGATCGATCTCAAATTCGCTTTGACCTCCTACTAGTAAAGTCACCGTTGTGCGCATAGCTGCGTTTTGAATATTGGTCCCCGAATTGTACAAAAACGCTTCACCAGTGGTGGCTTTGAGCGATTCTAAAGATCCGAAAAACTGAGCAGCAGACGCAGAGCTTGGTACGTATTCGCTGAAATCCGGTGAGTAAACACTTCCCAAACCTTGTGGTAATTTCAAAAATTTTAAAAAATCCACATTTTCTTGCAAAGTCAACCCGTTATGGTCGCGAGCAGAATATTTGGCAATGATTGCTTGTGAGTCGACATTTTGTCTTTTATTTTTATTGTTGTTGATGGTTATAGCAGCAAGCGCATCGCCTTTGCATTCTCCATTAACGATGATAAACAAGGACTTTTTTTGTTTTGCTGCGTAATGCAAAGCCGGAAGAACGTTATTGGCATCTTTCAAAGTGCCGTCGTGCACTAGGACTAACATCGGGCTATTTACACTGACCAAATTGTTTTTGGGAATTTGTAAAGATCTCAAATATGCTTCATTCGAATCTATAATACCTGTAGGGTATTTCCAACCTTTTGAGACTTCGGTTTCGTCATCTGTTCTTCTTCCGCGGGTGACGCGGACTACGTCGTCTGAAACCAGGTTGTAATCGAGTTGTGACAAGACTTTTTTAATAGCCGCAGCATTTTTTTGGTTATGGGAGCAAATCTTCTCGACTAACTGGTCAATCTCGTGCGGTTCTTGCACTAATATACGGTTATCCTGCAGAAATGTTCGTACTTTTGTTAGTGCTAATTCGATTCCTTGCGCCATTTCCTGGGTTGGGTTCCTATTGTATCGCTCAAAAAGTCCATTTGTAAGACTAGTCCCGAGCGCTGTTATGTTGTCTTGGTGGCAATCCATAAACATTTGAAGACCAATCTTGCCCAGTTTGGTTGCTGGGTTTCGCTGAACGTTGGGATTTTCTGCCTCTGCTAATTGTACTGACGTTAGAAATTCCTTCATAACATAGTTGACATTTACCGTATCGTTTCCGGATATAATCTGCGGAAGTCTTTTATATTTTCCAGAGTATAGCATTGATCTGTCATAAGATGCAGACAGAAGCACTTTTTCCAGTAAAGCAATGTGATGGAGCAAGTTTTGTCGGGTCTTCAAATCTGATCCATCATATATCGGTGTATGTAGCGTCTTGATAGTTCTTAAAGCTGTATATCGAGCATTTCTTAGCATTTTGTTGTTGTTGTATTTGTAAAGTCCAATAATCAGACAAAGACTTGAATTGATATTGATTGTTTATAATGTGAAGTAAGAAAAAACAAAATCTTGAAAAAAAATTAGGATAGACTAAACCCAAGTGTGTTCAAACTTTATAAACATAGCTTCTACGATGTCTCTTGTGATGAGATATTAAGTTGATGCTTCAAAGAATTATATATTAAAGATGCCTATTGCAGGCATTGCAAAGCCTTTTTCCCGCAAGGGAAATAGGGACTCCGAGCTTGTTTTAGAAAGATTCTGGGGCTCTATGGGGTAGTATGCTTTGCAAACATTATTGTAGTGAGTGTATTCAGCTGAGATCGTAATACTTTTCCTTCTCAATATCCAGCGACTCGGCTTGGAAATCCAAATGCGGGAACAGCTTAGTGGTGTGCGAGATTCCGCCTTTGCTATCTTGCACAATCTTTACAATACTATCAACAACAATAGCGGACCCCACACTATCGGTGCTGCTTGGCATGATAAGATCAGCGTGCGCCCTTGTAGGCTCAATATACTTGTGCATCTCTGGTCTTAGCCCACCCATGTACTCCTGAATGAGCTCTGCCAACGTCCCAGGGTCCTTGGCCCCATTGCGCTGAATCAAATCGATCAAACGACGGTCGCCATCGCTATCCAAAAACACTTTTAACTGTGCCAACTCATTGATTTTGGGGTCGAAAAGTGCATATTTCCCACACACGAGAATGGCTTCCCAAACGTCCGAACCCGCACTATCCGTTAAGCGACTAAGTACTTGTTCAAAATCGTAATCTTTATTCGTGTAAGTTCTTTCACCAGTTTTTAAGGTCTTGTCCAAGTCAGCGATCACCACATCTGTGTTGACAAAAGCCGCTAATAGCGCTTTTTGGATTTGTAAAACAGTCTTGTGTATCTCAGTAACATGCCCGCCACCAATAGATACAATTATCCTAGGCATTGGGTGCGGAATGAGACCTTAATCTTGTACGTGCGTATTTTTTCAATATTCTTGGTTATAATATTGAAATTTTTATCACTTGGAGATGAGATGAGATGAGATGAGATGAGATTTGTAAAGGAACAAATACACGCTTTCAACATCACAAAGCAGACCCTCAAAGTATGTCATTCAGTAGGGAATCCGATGCGAAGCTGAAATTTAAAGTCTCTGGGAAATTAAAAGTTTCCCCGACATTCGAAGCCATGAATTTAAAAGATGACCTACTACGAGGTATATATTCATATGGGTTTGAAGCACCATCCGCAATTCAATCCAGAGCTATCTCACAAATCATCTCTGGTCGTGACGTGATCGCACAAGCACAGTCAGGCACTGGTAAGACCGCTACTTTCACCATTGGAATGTTACAGGTTTTAGATTTCAAATCCAAAGAGTTGCAAAGTATGGTCTTGTCGCCCACCCGTGAACTTGCCACGCAAATCTCTCAAGTCGTCGGTAATTTAGGAGACTATATGAATATTTCGGCTCACGCGGTTACCGGTGGGAAAACCATGCAAGTGGATCAAAAGAAACTTGCGCAAGGATGCCATGTGGTTAGTGGTACACCCGGTAGAGTGCTCGATATGATTAAAAGACGTATTTTAAATACCCGGCATTTGAAAATGCTGGTACTGGACGAAGCAGATGAATTGTTAAGCGAGACTCTAGGTTTCAAACAACAAATTTACGATATTTTTGCTAAATTACCCACTTCCGTACAAGTGGTGGTGGTAAGTGCAACCATGAGTCGAGACATTTTAGAAATCACCAAAAAATTCATGAGCAACCCGGTCAAAATATTGGTTAAACAAAATGAGATTTCTTTAGAAGGTATAAAACAATACCATGTTAACGTGGATCGTGAAGAGTGGAAATTCGATACCCTTTGCGATCTTTACGATTCACTTACAATTACCCAATGTGTGATTTTCTGCAATACCAAAAAAGTAGTGGATTGGTTATCCTCGAAACTGGGACAAGCCAATTTTGCAGTAGCGTCTATGCATGGAGATATGAAACAAGAAGATCGAGACCGAGTCATGAATGATTTTAGATCCGGAACTTCACGAGTTTTAATTTCAACCGATGTTTGGGCTCGCGGTATCGACGTACAACAAGTGTCTTTAGTGATTAATTACGACCTACCAGAGCACTTGGAAAATTATATCCACCGTATTGGGCGAAGTGGGAGATTCGGTCGTAAAGGTGTCGCTATCAACTTCATAACTCGCGACGATACCAAAAAATTGAAGGAAATTGAAAAGCATTATAGCGTTAAGATCAAAGCCATGCCTGCCAACGTTCAGGACATGTAGAGTGTGACCGTAGTATGTGGGACTGTGATACGAGAACGAGTCTTGCTTGAAGTGAGCCAAACAGTGACGAATGCAGAGGCCCAGGCATGTCGAATATAGTTTCATTGCCTAATGTATAAACACCGATTCTCCAGATTCTTTAAAGAGAGATAAATAGAACAATTAGACACACCGGGACCTGATTCATACGAGCGTTCGCGAGTATTGTAGAGTATTTCTCTGGCTCTTGAAGAGTGCATTGCTTTGCCCTTGTGCTTCCCGCTGCCCCCACCAACTCACAGCGTATTGAAAAGACTCTCCAACTGATCGTTTCGCAACCGGTATATCTCCACCAGCCTCTCCAACGGAAGCTCTCGAAACTCCTCACCGAGACCCTCGAATTTAGACATCGCAGAAATCACCACCTCGTGATTGTCGTCCTCCGCCGTCTCATACTCCAAAAGCTTGAACCGCTCGCTAATCAATTCCACGTTCGTCACCTTCAGCCCACCATTCGTCTCAATCACAACAACGTTCTCAATCCCACCATCATCACCCTCCGCAACACTCTCCTCGTCATCCTCAAATATGTATTTCACATTACACGCAAACATCAACGCCTGCGATTCGTGATCCGGGTGTCCAAACTTCAACGCAGGCGCCAATCCGTGCTTGACATTCCGATCCACCACCGTAACCACAAACGCATCCATCCTTGAAACTGCCAAGAATCAACAATCCCACAAAATACCACACCAATTGCACACTCTCTTTCCACTCTCCCTTCCTCCCTCTCTTGCCCAAAGACAAAAAAATAAAAACATAAAAAATTATCGAGTACTGGATCGCTCCAGTACTCAACATTGTTTTTATTCCAACCGGGGTTTGAACCCGGGATCTTCGCCGTGTAAAGGCGACGTCGTAACCACTAGACCATTGGAATTCGGAACACGTGACCTGCTGTCACATTCTCACCCCAGAACCGCTGAACCACTGGGGCTCTTTGGTTCTTGTAGAAAGTAAGTAAAAAAGTGAGGTATACCAGATTATAGTAGGCATGTGACTGGACTGGTATGAAACGTGTATATTTTTTCAGAGCACACAGTAGTGAATGTTTGAGGTTATGAGAACAGCGATAGAGAAACCACACTATTAATGATACTAATGTGAAACCGAGTATTGAAGTGAAGTCGTCCATAGTGAAACCGAGTATTGAAGTAAAACATCAATGAAGTGGATCGATTGTTGTAAGTTTACTGAAATGGGAAAGGAAGATCAAACCGATTGGTTTGGCATCGGTATCATATCTGTTTGTTTGTAAAACCATGAACATTGGATTTTATCTATTTAATGGGCTAGAGGCTTTCACCAGGAACTACGGATGAAGGGCTCTCCAGGCGTCAGCATCCTGCACTTGAGGCTTGTAGTTGTGAAACCGGGATTTTGGACAACAAGGGACGAAGAAACAACACAAGGAATTCTCTTTAGTACTGTACACCTGGAAGCCTTCAGGAGATCTCAATTTAGGCAATACGTTTGCAGTTTGTCCATTAAGTTTGCAGCTCGATTGCTTTGTATTTGGGGCCTGGACGACCACTGCATTAGGTGACTTTTTGCGGTAGGCTCGGCGGCTAAAATGTCCGAAGTCAATGGGCACAATTTCCCTTCCAACGTCGAATGGTTTGCGGAGGGAACGAAAATGATTCTCTTTAACGGCGAGACCATCAAGGTAGAAGAATTGATACCCGGTAGTCAGTTACTATGGGCAGACGGCAGCTATCGTTTCATTGATGATGTCTTTCGTGCGAACGACAATCTGTATCATTTGACCCAGTATACGAAACATCGGGCACACAAGCTTGATCCTAGTCGGCCCGAACCTTTTGGTGTTTTTAGGATGGTGTGTTTCGAGAGAGCTGTCTTGTCATTACAAACCGGCATTCATGCTCGTGTGTCTTACGATAAGAGAAGAGACGTCAAACTTTTGAGATTCTCCAAACTTCGTGACCACTTGACCGACAATGGTAGGGTTATCAAAATGTTGAAATGGACCGAAGAATCTTTTCCGGTCGATACTCCCAATTCAGTACTAGTGGATTTAGTTAAAAAATTTCGAGAAGCAACTGGGAAGAAGTTCGTTGAATGGGAATGTGAAATTGGTGACCTAAAATATCTCATCAATGATATACGCGCGTCCACAAGATTGCTACTGTATCCGATACCGTTTGAAATACCAACATTGAAACCATGGCTACAAAGAACGTTTGAAAGAGAGGTTTCTGATCGCGAATTGGAAGCTATGTCGTGGATGCTGGGATTTTGGATAGGTGATGGTTGTAGAGCAGGAGCGTTGTTCGCCTTAAACATGGAAGATAATGATGTCAATGGAATGCTAGAGGAGAATGCGAAAATCTGGGGTATGTCGTATGAGAAGAGGAAATACGCCAATAGCGGCCTCAGCGCATTTGCAGCCTTGCATACACCAAAGGCAGATGGCAAGGGACGTAATTGGAATGTTAAGAACCCGTTCGTGGCCGTCTTGAGAGGCTTGAAATTTTACAAAAACGGTTTGCTCAACGGTCCCAAGAATATTCCAGAATTTATGCGGGTAGACCAACTTCTAGTACGTAAATGTTTTATGGCTGGACTCATTGATTCAGACGGATATTCATCAGTGGCTGATGATTTTTTGAGCGCGAAGGTCTCTTCCGTTTATCCTCCAATACGGGATGGAATCCTCTTCATTTGCCGCTCGCTTGGTTTAAACGTTTCTGTTTCGTTCTGTCCGGCGCATAGAGATGAAAAGCGGGGTATCAATGAAGCTGATATTTGGAACTTCTTAATAACCAGCGGCACAAATCGTGGCATTCTTCTCTCTATCTTGCAACGGTGCTCTCATGGAAGAAAAAAAGATCCGCCAATATTCCATTATAACAAAACCCCCAGCAACGAGGCCGACGCATATGCGCGGCGACCCAAACGTTATTTGAACTTGTCCGAACCCATTTCCAATTTGGAAAATGAATCTATCTCCGATAAAAGTATGACTGGTTCGACCGCTGTTGACGATGTTTCCTTCTCAGAGTGCGAGAACGAGTTTGACTCGAATACGGAAATTGAACAAGAGCAGACAGTTTCCGAAACCGGTTTTGGTTGTTTTGACCTAGCAATAGATCTGGAAGAAATTCAATTGGAAACGGACCTGACCGAAACCGATCCTGACATTGTTGAACTGGATCTAGGTTTAGACGCAGACATATCAAAAACCTTTGACGAGCCTTATTTTGAAAACGATGGTGACAGAGACTATGCCTCTTTCAATAATTCGCGCCAATTTTTCAAGACAGCTCCCATGAATCAAAAAGGTACTATATACGGAATTCAGCTTAAAGAGCGTGGAATTTTGACAGAGTCTCAAATAGTCTATGAACCCCCATATTCGGTGGGTGACGAAAGAGTACCTTACGAACAGGTGTGTTTGTCCTGTTCCACAAAGGACGAAACTCGTTGGACAACAGTCCCATGGCAATATAATGTCAAAGACAGATTGTGTCGGAGTTGTTATGACTCGTATGTTCGGACCAATACAAGGTGTTCAAACACCGCTTGTAACAAAGTATATCACCTTTACCAGCTCGGAAAAAAGGCCATGAAAGGACAACCTAGGCTAAAAATCAACGTAGAGAATGGTAGTGCAAAACATCGATACCTGTGCAATCTGTGCGGTAGCGTTACGGTGACTGACGGCGCACCCGAAGACGCCAAAGTAAGGAAAGAAGCAACCGTAGAAAGCTGTTGCGTGGTCTGTGGGCCCAAATCAACAGGCAGATGGCGCAAGTTTCCTTGGGATAAAGACAAGATGTGGTGCGGTGCATGTTCGCAAAGATTTCTAAGAACTAGAATCATCTGTGCGGACACGAATTGTCGCAAAATACCTTCCCCCTCAGAATTTGCGAAAATGAAGAGTTTACCTGGTAAGCCCGAAACCTTCAACTGCCTAAAATGCAAACAACCAGTGACAAGAGATCTCTCAAAAGCACTTTTCGTGCCCGCAAAATCTGAAATGCGTACCGAGACTTGCATTTCGTGCGGACCCATTGCTGCAAAAAGATGGTGTTCACTTCCTTGGGACAAGAAAAGCTCTAAACTCATTTGCGACAACTGTAAACGGCATTATAACGACCACGGTCACCGTTGCTTGAATGATTCTTGCAACAAGATATTCTCATACGTTCAATTGAAGAAGATGGAAATCAAAAAGCGTTCGAAACCAGATAACTCTGAAGAATCCTGCTACGTATGTCCCCACTGTGGGCAAGATACCGAGTGGCGTCCATAAATTTCATAGCTTTGTTTGCTGATACCATATGCTTATTTCTCGTACTTCGATTGCAGGAAAATATGCTAATATCATTATATGTCAAGAGTATGTTCTCTGTCGTCGGTCTTGAAGAGTAGACCCCTCCACGTGCCCAAAAAAAACCTCCTGGGAAGCGGAGGGGGGAAGGCATGGGATATTGTCGCAACGACGCAGCACCTGGAGGAATGAGAGAGCGCGCTCGGTGGGAGAAAAAAAGTCTCTGAAGAGTGAGCTTTTGAGATGGAAAAAGGTGCATTTTTCGGATTTTTTTTGTGACGGGGAAGGAAATAGTGATGTGACGGGGAAGAGGGAGTGGTGATGGTGTGACGGGGAAGAGGGGGTGCTAGTGATGCTATCCCACGGTGTCTCTTTCTTCTCTGTCGTCTCTCTTCGTCTTTCTCGTCTCTCTGTCGTCTGTCGTCTGTCGTCTGTCGTCTCTCTCGACTCACTCTGGCTTGAGAAAAATTTATTATCTTGAATTTTCAAAACTTGACTCAAACATACTTGGTAGGACATAATCCTATACACCTCGCAACCCCCACCTCGCAACCCCCACCTCGCAAACCCCACCCCCCGCATCATGTTGGATATTACCCAGTTTATTGAAGAAAAAGGTGGTAATCCTGAGCTCATTAGACAATCTCAAAAGGCCAGACACGCCAAAGTAGAAATTGTGGATGAGATCATTGCCGATTACAAAGAATGGGTCAAGACTCGTTTCCAATTGGACGAACTCAACAAGCAACAAAACAAAGTTCAAAAGGAGATTGGACTCATGTTCAAGAAGAAAGAGGATCCAAAAGAACTTTTGGCTCAAAAAGAGGAAATCGCCGCCGAGAAGAAGAAATTGTCGGAACTTGAGCAACAACAAGAGTCCGGTATGAAGGACAAAGTGTTCCAAGTGGGTAACATTGTGCACCCTTCTGTGGTGGTCTCGAATGACGAGGAAAACAATGAATTGGTACGTAGTTGGAAGCCAAAGGACCTCAAGGAAGTTGGCACAAACGCATCTTGTTCGGGCAAACCGGCTAGCTTGTCACACCACGAGGTTCTTCTCAGATTGGATGGTTACGACCCGGAGCGTGGTGTCAAGATCTCTGGCCACAGAGGTTATTTTTTCAGAAACTACGGAGTTTTCTTGAATCAAGCTATGATTAATTATGGGTTATCATTCTTGGCTTCTAAAGGGTACATTCCTTTGCAAGCCCCTGTTATGATGGACAAAGACGTTATGAAGAAAACCGCACAGTTGTCGCAATTTGACGAAGAGCTTTACAAAGTTATTGACGGTGATGATGAAAAATACTTGATTGCAACTTCTGAGCAACCAATCTCTGCATACCACTCGAATGAATGGTTCGAGAAACCTCAGGAACAACTTCCAGTTCGCTATGCGGGCTACTCGTCATGCTTCAGAAGAGAAGCAGGTTCTCACGGTAAAGATGCTTGGGGTGTCTTTAGAGTACACGCTTTTGAAAAAATTGAACAATTTGTTTTGGCCGAACCGGAAAAGTCTTGGGAAGAATTTGACAGAATGATTGATGCTTCTGAAGAATTCTATCAATCTTTGAACTTACCTTATCGTGTTGTAGGTATCGTTTCCGGTGAATTGAACAATGCCGCTGCTAAGAAATACGATTTGGAAGCTTGGTTCCCTTACCAACAAGAATACAAAGAATTGGTGTCGTGCTCCAACTGTACCGACTATCAGTCTAGAAACCTTGAGATTAGATGCGGAATCAAAAAGATGGGCGACAGAGAGAAGAAATACGTGCACTGTCTAAACTCCACTTTGTGTGCCACTCAAAGAGCTCTCTGCTGTGTTTTGGAAAATTATCAAACCGAAGACGGTCTAATCGTTCCTGAAGTGTTGAGAAAGTATATCCCTGGTGAGCCCGAGTTCCTTCCATTTACCAAGGAACTTCCAAAGAACTCGACTTCTAACAAGAAGAAGAACAACAACTAATGCGCTAACTCAATTTTTCTTTTTAGTTTTATCAAAGTTAGTGAAATAGATGAATTCAATAATACACTGACCAATATATATATATATATATAAATTAAAAAAAAGTCCATTTTAGAATTGCTTCCCTAAAAGCAGCTTTGAGAAATAGAACTTTCCTTGTGCATTTTTTGCCATTGAACCTCTCGTGGACAACTCATAATTCGCTTGTTGGGGTCTTGTAGTTCACGTCCAATATTTATCTCTGTCGCTTTCTTGCTTCTTTTGAAGTCAATCATGGCGGTCTTAACGTCCCCATTTTGAACAGAGTTATACATGTGGTCGTTGGCATAATAATTGGTTAACTGTTGTGCACGGATCTTGCTCAATCGGTTTTCTTCGGTACGACGACGTGCTTCGTGGTTCTCAAAGAATTTTAGAAATACATTAACATCTACCCGGTCGCAATCCTCGGCTCTTAAAGACTCTTCTCCAGCACGGTCGTTTGTTTTACGCTTAAGGATGGGCCTGCGATGATTATAACTTCGTCTTTTAACATCTGCGGCACTATCGGACAGTGAACGTGAAAGTCTACCATCCCTACTGAATACTTTCACAGCTTTAAAAGATTGTGAAGTTTCGGGTCTCTCAAATCTACTAGTTTTCCTAACGTCATACATCAGAAGTTGTGAAAACTTGTCGAATTTGACACTGGAGATCAGGTTTTCACCATAAAGTGCTTTTGATATATTCGAAGTGTCCGAAGGCGATGATTGCTCGTCAAAAAACCTACTATCGCGGAAATCATATGGCTCGTCAAGCTTGGTCTTGGATAAATGGAATAAATCCCTCTCAGTCAGTGTACCATTTCTGACATCCTCAAATAATCCCAACGCATCGATTTTACGAAGACTTTGTCGGAATGTTGGAACGCGCAGTCTTTGAGTCTCGAAGTCCTCGCTTTTTGAAGGTTTAAAAGGCTGTCGTCTTTTCACAGAATTTGAACGACTGCCATTTGCATTTACTCCGCTGCCGGTGGCATTGTTCGTGACTTGCTGATGGTGAACAACCGACTTTAATTTCTCCACAACCCCATATATTTTGTCCTCAATAGGTGAAGTGGTTATGATTTCAGAATTGTCCTTGTTGAGCTTGGACAACGGTGTGAATTTAGGAGTTTTTACTTTTGGCGTGTCAAGATAATTTGCAGGTTCTCTGGCGTCTTTGGTGACCACAGGTTTGTGATCCGTTTCCGTCGATTGTCGCATTTGAATTTCGCTTGCATCGCTCGTATCATCAGTATAAGGATTCCTCATCATTTGTGGATTGTTTGCCAACGACGAAGGACGTTGAATTGTTGATTTGTCAAACGAAGGAGTGTCAGAATATGCCGAAGAGCTATCATGAGAGAAACAATCATCTTCGTTTCCTTTGTCACTTTCTTCATCGAGCTCTTTGTCAATGCAAGGGCGCTTCAGCTCACTTCTAGAGCCAACCACGGCCTCTGAAGATCTTTTTAGACTTTCCTGCTTTGCATCTTCTTTTGACAAGGAATCAAGACACAACGGTGTCTTGGCTTCGCCTGCTTTCAATTTGGTGGCTTCGATTTCCCCCGCGCCAAAGCGCGATACACTGTTATTATTTCTGCTGGCCTCTTTTTCAACAGTGTCGCAAGCCTCAGAATTACCTGGCGCGGTAATAGCGAGATCCTTTCTTGCAATACGTACGTTATTGTGGCCAACAATAAATTCAGTTTTGAATTTTCGAGAAGCTCCACCAACATTTCCGTGTGCATTATCATCATCATCACTATTATTATTATTAGTCATATTATTATTATTATTATTATTGTTATGGTTATTATTTTCGGGAGGATTTCGAGTGTCGATCTCACCATTGTCTCTGGGCCTTGGTGCCTCTGTCCTTTTATTAACGTCAGTTTTCAGCTCAGGATTTCTCAAGATTTTCAAAGCCTTAGAGCTCAATCGCACGGTTTGGGAACCATTCGAAATGCCACTGTGGACCGAACTAAGGGATTCAAATTTAGCCGCCTTGGTGGGATTGCTAAGTGATTTGGTCGCACCTTGCTTTTCCGCGTCCTCAACGGAATCAGCTGTGATTTCAAAATCATCGGTTTGCATACTATAAATGGAAGAGTTATCTTCGTGATTTCCCTGCTTTGGTCCCCGCCTGGAAGATTTGACGCTGCGTCTTGAAGGTCTTTTAAGATGCTCTCTCAAAAATGTTTTCAACCTACGACCGTGAGGTTGATCTTTTGGCTGACATCTTGGATCGATCAAAAGCTCAGCTTCTGTGGCAGAAAGCACCGGAACGTAAGACAATGGGTTAGCTGAACTCAAACAGGCGTCTTCGATATCGACGAAAACTGTTTCATCATCACTGATGTCACCCGAGAAAGATTGCTCCTTGAGGTTGTGCAGCCAACTTCTGAACTGTTTTCTCTTAGACACAAGTTGTTTTGTGTCATCCTTGATGCTGCCAGAAATTGGTTGGAAGTTAGCAGGTAAAGCTTGCCTTGCGTTGGATTGTTTGAGCGTCATGGGTTTGCAAAGTAATCTCAAGTAAGAATAGATAATATGAAGCGCAATTAATCGAATATATCACAAAGGATAAGCTGAATGTATTTGCAAAACGAAGCTTAGGTTTTGAAATCCTTGATGTTTGATTTAAACATGGAGGGGGTTCTTTTTTTTTGTGACGCTGACGCCTTGAAATGTCAGTGCGACACAATAAATTTTGACAAATTATGATTCTCGGCTGAAAACGAATTCGAAAGTAAGTTCATTCAATCAGCTAGCAGTACCAGCAGGTAGAGTAGGCTGTTTCCAGTTATCATTTTTTCTCTCTGTCTCTAGTCGAGTAAACTTGAAGCGATTGAGCGTATAATAAAAATAAATATAAAGAGATCATCCATCAAGTGCTGACATATGCTCAGATGTGGGTAATTACACCTAGCAAAGATTCTCGAGGGTTTTCCACATTATTACGTGTGGGCTATGTCACAGAAACTTCAACGTAGGAATTCAGACAATGTACAAAGGGTTTGGACATGTGGGCAGGCGCCGTGCGGTTGCTTTTAGTCAAACCGCTGGCGATCGGAGATGACATTAAAAGAGCACCGAGTAGGCAATCAGATGCTTTCAGAACGGCAAGAATGGCTTTTGAAACGAGGCTAGTTTTCTAAAAGTTATCGCTACCGGAAGCCTTCCACCTCTAAAACCATGCTCCGAACGCGCGACGACAGGTACAACCTCGGTAGAGAAAATATTCATACAGCAAAAAATTGTGGGGCCATAAAACAGCTTGATCAAAACGAACAATGAGCGTGATGTGTTAAGTGCTTTCGGGCCCATCCCACGTTGGTGTAGGGCTCGTTTTAATTTCTACGAGCTGAAGATCCAAGTTTGGCACAGACGTTACGACTCTGGAAATCCAGACTCGACAAGAATACCTTGTTCACTTACATGCGCAAAAAACGCCACTGTCCTTATTTCAGCTTAATTTTAGAGACCCAGTCGTCTTTTCTCCTACCTCAGTGCCTCTTACTAGTTCTCTTGGACTCGCGATGAGCTGGAGAAACGAGACTGTATAGCGAGATTGCAGAACGAGATTTTAGAACAGGATTGTAGAACGGCATTATATCACGACATTGTATAACGAGATTGTATAACAGGACTATATCAAGAGGTTGTATCTTCATCACTTACAACTGCAGAGACGTGACGACGCAGCAGAGCACTCTTTGAGTATCAAATGTATAACGCATAGTACCAAAAACACGTTATCGAAAATCGCCCATGTGACTTCGAGTAAGTCCGTATAGAAGTACCTTCCAACTTTCAGCGGACTGCTTTTTACACCCACACATTATAAACAGTTATATTTTAAAAAATAATTTACAGAAAAAAATTCCGAAAAATCCTGAGAAATCTCAAAATTCAATAACATCATTTTCATCTTTTTTTGCGTCTAATTTCAAAAGGCCTGGCCGTCGCAAGGTCTGCCTGGCCGTAGGCTCGCTTCTTTCAGGTCCGAGACCTTCTCTAGGCCGGAGACCGATCGGGCTCTGCCCAACTGTAGCACGAGCGTTCTGCCTGGCTCTGCGGATCCTCTGCCTAGGATCCTCTTGGTCTCAGGCCAGCGCTCGCTCCTGGTAGAATCTGAGTTTTCCAATATCCAATAGTCAGAGTGCGATCAGTATATGGAAAACTAGACGTTTTTAGGCTTACTGTATATCGATTTTGTGAATTGTTTAAAGGCCTTAGAAACCCGCATCAAGATGTCCACTGAATTGACTGTGCAAGCTGAAAGAGCTTTCCAAAAGGTATGAAACGAGTCCGGAACCACCCAGAGAAAGAGAGCGAGAGAAAACAAGCGAGAGCCATGACTGCAAAAAGAGCGATGAAAGAGCGTAATGATTGATGATATTTGACCAGCGCAGGAGAAGACACGTTTGGCAAGATACCGTACCATGACGAAATGCGCACTGTGGGAAAGAAAAGCTCGAGAAGTCCCGCACATGTGTGTTTTGGAACTCGCAATGTTTCGCCAAACCCTCGCGACAAAGCTCTGTGGTGTGCCATAATCACATTAAACACGTATACTAACTTTTCTGTCAGCAACCACACATCTTCACCAACCCAAAGGCCAAGGCCAACAGACGTACCAAGAGATGGTATAAGAACGTTGGTTTGGGTTTCAAGACCCCAAAGACCGCCATCGAGGGTTCTTACATCGACAAGAAGTGTCCTTTCACCGGTTTGGTTTCCATCCGTGGTAAGATTTTGTCCGGTGTCGTGGTTTCCGCCAAGATGCACCGTACCATCGTCATCAGAAGAGACTACTTGCACTACGTTCCAAAGTACAACAGATACGAGAAAAGACACAAGAACGTGCCAGTCCACGTCTCCCCAGCTTTCCGTGTCGAAGTAGGCGACATTGTCACTGTTGGTCAATGTAGACCTATCTCCAAGACCGTTAGATTCAACGTCTTGAAGGTCACCTCCCAAGCTGGTAAGGTCAACAAGCAATTCAGCAAATTTTAAATTAGTCGATAGCTAAAATTTGTTATCGGTTTACAAGCTGTTTTGTAATTTAACCAAAAACTCCACACTATTCTCTCTTTAGAATATTTTGTATAATGTTTTAAATATTGGAAAGAAACTTTCTTGTCAATTATTGGCTTGATTCGCGCGATCTCGCTGCGCTAAACCTGTTGGAGCAATCATTGATTGCCATTTTAAAATATTAGGTTTTCAAGGTTTTAACAATTATATTACACTAAACAAGTCCTACCGTTTTGTTGCGCCTGAAAGGTTACCGGATTCCATTGAAAAGCCACCATCGCGGTTGCCAATCAATTCTTTACAAATTTGATTGATGGTTCGATCCTTATGGTATCTCACACCAGTCCTCAATTTCTCGTAGCAGAGTTTCAATTCAGTCCCGGACCACTGTCTTCCTGGCATCAGTATGGCGAGTTCGTCCCAGTCTACTTGCGAATCTTCTGTGAAACCCATATCTCTAAGTTTTTCAAGAATCCAAGTTTTGTCTTCTTCACTAATGTTTTTAATCTTACTCATTGCTTGTTTCTTCAAAAGTTTGTTCCATTTGTATCTGCACTGAATACGGGAGCGGGCACCGCCCATGCGCTCGCTCACAACGGTCCAGTTGATCGCATCCTTAGTATTAGAATCCTTCTTTTTCTTGGCATTTTTCTTATCCTTACCCTCCAACTGAGAATCATCAGCGGTATCATATATTTGATCGTCTGGCAATTCTGCAGAATCCAACAATTCTGAAATGACTGTTTTCAACTGTTCTTCCTCTTGTAACGACCACTTGTTTGAAGCTCTATTGTTACCACATTTCACATAATTTCTCCAACGGTCTCTACAATCTTCAGGCATTCTACCCAATATTTTGCCAATTTCAGACCACTGTCCCTCTTTCTCGAGACAAAGTGCTGCCAATTCTTGTTCTTCTTCGAGCGTCCACTTACCACGTTGTTCAAAAATGTGGTACTTACGACGAACGTGTTTGTAAATGGACGATCTTGTTCTATAGGGAAGAACTTTGCAAATATTGGTCCAAAAGTCATCTTTACGACGCTCGTTAGACCAGATACGTTCGCAGATCTGTCGGCGAGACAAATTTTTGATTGCTTGGTATTCTCCAATGAAATGTTCCAATGCCTGTTCCTCCGCTGCATCAAATGACTTGCCCGTAGATTGACTTTGAGGACTTATAAAGTTAGACGCCTTAGTAGCCGCATCCTGAATCAGGTGTGATATATCTTGATCGTCCGAACCAGCACCAGCACCAGATCCCGAGCCCATTCTAGACATGGGGTTCATGCTACCGGCTAACATGCTGCCGTGACCTACAACTGAACCCGATCCGGTGAGCGGCCCAGAACCAGACCGCGAGCCAGACCCCGAGCCAGACCCGTTACCAGAACCAGAATGTGAGCGCATGCCTGTGTCAGAGCTGGTAACTTTCGGTAGCACTTCAATTTTTCTTCCATGATCGTGAATATTTCCAAGACCTGAAGCGGAGCTCTTGTGTTGTAAAGCCGAAGACAGACGCGATTTCTCATCAGAATCATCCTCAGTGTTCAAATAGTGCTGGAAGTCTGGGTGATGCGCAATAGAATCGGCGTCGAGAATGGCTTTCCGTACAAGTTGTTCATGTTCGGTAACATCTTCTGGATCGTCTAAAGAGGCCAGTTCGGGATCTACAGCCCCAAGATGATGCGGTAGCTTCGAGGCCTGATTGGTTCTTGCATTGACCTGAGGTCCAATGGATATTTTCGATCTCTTGTTGTGAGAATGACGTCCCAACGATGGATTCACCGCATTCACTCTGCCACTTTCCGACACACGAGGTCTTTTGCTATTATTATTGTTGTTGTTGCTGTTATTATTATTATTATTATCGAGGTGGTTGTTATTGTCCTGAGGTGAGGAGCCAAACGCTGCTGCAACAGCCGCTGCCGCTACGGATTGCGGCTCGCGCGACCCGCGCACGTCTAGTTCGGTGGAGGCGGTTGATTCGGGTCCCAATTCGTGCCGCAGAAACCATTCAACATCTGCAGCAGCAGCAGAAGCGCCCGAGACTCCAGCGCCGGGAACCGAAGTGCCATCAGACGTTTCTACCGCTGTTCCTGGCATTCGAGCTCTCTGAGAATGAGAGTCACGTGCTAGCAGTTGCTCCAGCCGTTGGTTCTGGTATTTCTTGGTTTCGCTCGCGGTGTCTTCCAGATCGTGATCATCCTGGTACGAGTGCGCTTGCTCCTGCTGGTGCTGCCGATGCGACCTTCCTTGTCGCTGACGCTGGCTTACGGGAGATTCGTTTCCGTTGTCATTGCCGTGATGATGCTGATGGATATTTTCGCTGGCGTTGTCGTTTTCGTCGCCATGTTTCCCGCCCTGCAGGTCCACGCCCACGTATTTGAAGACCGCCTCTTCCACGGACTCCTGGTGTGTTCTTCCGTGAGACATCTGCTGAAATCTTTGTTTATAATCGGGCCTTGCTGATTACCTTCGCTCTTCGTTGTTCAGGGTAATGTCGCTATTGAGATACCCTGTCTCGTCGTCAAAATCTCTAGCACTGGCTCCTGTCACTACGAGGTTCCGAACGTTTTTCCAATGAAGCCGGTTTACGTTTTGTTCTTCAGGGTAAGCGAGTTGGCAACTGAATTGTGTGCTGTTTCTTGTTTATTGTCTCCAAGCTCTGTGAAAGACTGAACACTAACAGAATCGGTGACCTTAGGCGCTTCTTGATTGAAAGGATTGCCCTGCTTTGTGGCGAAACAACGATGACAGTAATATGTGAGCCTTGTTGATATCCCAGCGTTTTCAGCTTCTTGATTAATCCAATGCCCGTAGGAAATGAGTAAATGTTAAAAAAGGCGACACGGCAGGGTAACATCCGCGTATATAGTGACAGTGACTATGAACCAGAGACGGACAGACTGGCAAACTAGCTAGTTTGAGGTGGATTGAGTTTACTACTGTTGAAAGAACTAGAGCTGTGCTTGAGATTACCGTTTGGCGGAACAATTTCTATTGATATCTTGTCCAAAATCATTAGAGCCATTATTGTGAGTCCCTCGGCCGGTTGGTAAATTATCAAGCATATTCGTTTCTTCAGTGTCCAGAAACTTTCATGTAGTGAAGTAATCATAATCCTACTAGATATCGCTTCCTTAGACCACCTGTAATTTGCTGATAATGTCATCGAAAATATTCGAAGAGAAAGAAAAGTCATGTGTGCCACTATTAAGTTCGAGCGAATTCACCAGCCAGCCAGCTGCATCGCCTCTGTGTCTGATAACATGATGTTTAAAGGAACGCTCATTCAGATCCTCAATAAAAATGATGTAAATTCTAAAGTCTGCATATTTCCTCAATCAAGACCCCTCCCTTATCCTTCTGATGTCACTGGCTTGGTTTCCCACTCAAACAATGTAAACAAACGAAAAGCAGTTCTTCTGGTATGAGAAGGGGCCTATTGATATCCATACTAGCGCTATGCTTGTGCCGATGCATGCACGTAAAGTCTTCTGTTTAGTCACTTCATACTATACTGACATGGTATATAATCTGATAATTACCTGTAAATCTACCGTTCTCCTGTTGGGTGACACCCCAGAGACCTTTAACTATATATATCTTGTAAAGGTTCTAATCCATTGTATCAAGGTTTGTCGCTAAGTTAGTGAATTGATCTTGGAAACTTAGCTCAATATGTGCTAAAAACTTGTACTCGCAATCGCTCGCTGAGCTCTCATAATCTTTCAACACTGCTATAGTATCGAAGACTAAAGACTACAAGCGCTATCGAAAATATGTTCTGTATCCAAATCTTTTTTCATACATTGATGAGAGCTACAATGGAAGCCGCTTATAAATGTATAAATGTTTCATCACCTTTGTAATTTGGTCGAAAGAAATCTGGTTCTTTAGAAGAGAAAACCCTTGAGCGCTTTGCAGACCTGTTCAGTGATATATTAACTTTTTTCTTTATTACATCTATACTTTTTTACGCGGTTAAATCTAAAGCCTCCTAAAAATGGAAGTCTTCATGACAATAAGTGGGGCTTCAAGTCTTACTTTCGGTTCTCTCTTGAGTTTCCCTTAGCTGCCACCAAATGCTAATACTCTGAATCATTTATCATTACCCTGCTTCCGCTCTCATCATTTGAAGTGCAGACTTGGTAACTATCGCTACCGAGCTAGAGTCTTAATGCCTACAATGTCTGTAACAAGTCTTGCCAAATGAATTCTTGTGGCCAGTTGTAGTACGAAGTCATTGTATTTAGCCCCAAGCCTTCTCTTACACATTGTGTAATGCTAGGACATACAATTCGCTATTGAATGCTTAATGTCTGAATGTAAATAGCCCCTCTGCTCAGCCTACCCAATGGTTTCCTTATTGGTATTTTTGTTGCTTAGGCGTTCACATGACAGTGTTCCGACCATTGATTGCGCCTTCACAGTAACGGTGGCGGCGCGTGTGCTTGGTAAAGCTTATCTGATGATGCCTGGAATGTCTTCAGTAATTGCAAATACGTCTCTGGTGTCAAGGCATCGAAGTCTTTGGAATTACTGCTCAGTCGCAGGTAGAAGGTTTGCACTAGTATTGCTAATTCTGCCAAGCAGTCAAGCGATTCTCCTAATATGCTTAGATTTTTTCCGATTTTTGAAGATGGATTTCCATCCGGACCCGCCGACACCGAGGCCATTGCCCTTGAGTTGAAATACCCCATCACATCACAGCACATCTTCTCAAAGGTGGACAGAAAAGCACTGGGGAGGTTAACCGATAGCACCAGAATTCTCTTAATTGTTCCAATTGCTTCTAAAAGTGCGTTGCTGGCCACAAAAGTTTTGTCGCTTACCACAACGGATTTTTTGTATCCTTTTGACGGCGCGATGGCAGGATCACCTCCATTTTTGGTACTTTCGTTAGTACCGTCGTTTCCCTCGCTTCCTAAATCCATCAATTGGGTCCAGCTGGATGGAGTCATATGAATACAAGAAACGATATCATTAACGTCTCTTTGCACTTCGGCTTCGACAATACATGGGGTCCATTTTTCTTCATCAATTGCAGACCGCACGGTTTGAGCGTTTTGCGAATTCAGTGCGGCATTAAAGTTCTTGATTTGCATCGTAAGAACGTCTCTCAAGTATTTGGTCAAGAACTCGCCAGTAATACTTTCGCATTCGCGATCAAACCAAAAACATATACTGCAAAGTTTCAGAAAATGAATATACCCCAGCTTCGCACTGATATCACGCCTAACAGCAATTATTTTACCCATGCGCAGCTGAACAATTCGAACAGCCTCTTGTATCGCGGGATTGATATCGAGTTGTATTATCATTTCGGGACCTGCACCAATTTGATGCGAGCTGTCGGCGTAATTGCCGAGCGCAACATCCAATAGTACTTTCTGATGCCTGGAAAGCCTCCGCAGTGCTTGAATTTCACGTAGAAATATTTTTTGCAGCATCTCTTGAAAGTCGACAGTCGTCTGTGCTCGAATAAGTCGCGAGAGTTTAGATCCATTACCTGTATTTTTGGAGTCTGCAGATCTTTCAGCTGCGTCGAGATCATTTTCAGGCTCCTTTGGTAAAAAATCTTTGATAATGTTTTTCAGCTCGACGATAAATCTCTCATTGTAAAGCTGAAAGGCACTTGCCAACTCTTTACATTTAATCAACTTCTTTATAATTCCTTTGATGCTGTTAGCCAAATCGGCATCCTTTTGTGGATCTTTTGGCAACTGTGAAGTAACAGCATTCGTAAAATGCTCAGATTCAGGTGTATAGCTTGATCTGATTTCCTCCAGTAGAATATCACAGAAATCCATCGAGTAAGCACCTCCAATCTCAATCGTAATGTTAGTCAAATACTCTCTTACATTAGCAAACGCAGGAGCGGACGCCAAGTTACAGAGCTTATAAGGCCACTTCTTGGTAAGCTCTTGTATATGCTTGTCATTATTATCATCCCCTTTAAGCAAGTTCTCAACACGATCTATTAATTCTAAGCAGTCTTCGCGCTTGTTTTCCTTGTAGAGATTCTTGCACTCTGATACAAGTTGAGTTGTAAGCTTGGCTTGAAGTAATCCTTGCTCGAGCCTCTCGATATTCTTCCTTTTGATTTTTTTTTTTACCACGGCAATCTGGGATTGGAATCGATCTTGATCGATTTTCTTTAGTTTCTCTGATACCACGCTTAACTTTTCAATCACGATGGCCGCCTTGGATTCAATTTTGTCAACGTCCTCCAGTGCGAAAAAAAAGCTATTCGAAGATTTTGAGATCTCCGCTATAAGTAGGTTTTCAATGTTGTCCAAATACTCGGTTAGCCTTTCATTCATACTTTGGTAAGAATTTTCTCTTTCTTGTTGTGATTCAGACTGTAGACTATCGAATCCCAAATCTATATCGTCAACTATTTTCCTGAAAGTGCGAGAATCGTCTAACTTAAACTCCTCGTTGAAGTAGAAATTCGGCAGTCCCTTCAGCGAATTGAATTGCTGCTGTGATATAAATTCGTCATCTTCACTACTTTGGCCCTTCTTAGAGGACTTTCCTTCTGGTTCTCCAAGATCATTAAGCGTAAGCCTGCCCAGACCCTTGACCGTCTCCAAATTGTTGTTATGCTCAAATATTTCGTATTCTGATTTGATTTGATTCACATAAGTGCTAGTGTCTTGGCGCCACGATTCAGGCACCGTGTTTTTGCTAAGTATTACGGGCGGTATATCGTCTGTGGTTGGTCGTTTTAACCAGTTTTTACGACGAGTGTTCATGACTAGTTCGTAAACTGAATTGTTTCCCAAAGGAGAAAACTCCATACTTCCGCTGTGCATTTCACTACCTGGTGGATAAACTCTTCCTTGTCGTCCCCAAACAGATGTGGACTCGAAACTTTGCCTCACGGAGTTACTTTCACCACTAATTCCGCTCGAAAGGTACCGCAGGCGATCAGTTTTGTTCGCACTACTATTCAAACTCATCAAATCGTCGTTAAGTGATGCAGAGTCGTCGAGAAGTGGACTAGGACTAGATTCTACATCTGTGCGGGGAAGCTTAGGTACTTGTAAAGACGGTGGTGTTCGATCCGCAGATAAAATCGAATCGGCCTTTAAAGGCATCGAGCCTTTAATCATAGCCTAGCAAAACTTCGTGAAGTCAATTATGGAAAGGAGACGTAGGGTGTTTTTATGCTGAAGTCTTTCCAAGTTATGCAAAGACACTGGAACTTGTCCTTATTTTTATATCATCGTCTACGTAAGCGTTATAGAATGTTAATTTGGCTCATCAGACGCACTATGAAATTTGCCCAATCGAAATGCTTTTGTGCGACCACACAGCCTTAGCACTGCTGTCTATTTTGTTTTGCATTCATTTCTTCCATGAATGCAGATATTTGTTTGCGATATCTCGAGCAGAATTCATCATCTTCTGCACGTTTTCAGGATGGGCGTCGTCCGTGCTGTCATCGTGAGATTCCAAGTGCCAGTCTTCAAGATTCTTGTTCATACGGTCCACGTCCGTAAATTTGGATTTGTCATTGTCAACCATTTTCTCTTTAGCGACCACAGATTGCATTGATTCATTGCGCGGCGAAATGTAGCCCGAAATTGCCACGTCCGACAACGACGTACGAGAGTCACCGGATGAGCTTACCATACTAACAAGTGACCCAGTAGGTATTTTTTGTTCTTGACTCTTAGGCATTGGAGAAACAGCCGTTCCGCGGGTGGGGTCTTTGTAGACATGCTTATTGCTACTTGATTCCGCCCTTGGAGAATCTGAAGCTTTGCTACGTAATTCGACAACATTTTCGTTTTCATTTGAATTGCCACTTTTGTAAGTTGATTTGATTTCGTTTCCAATTTTCGTGCCTTGGTCAGAATCAGAATTTGAGTCAGATTCTGAACCTGAATCAAAAGAGAATTTTTTGGTACTTCTGACAGGTAAATTCTTGCTAGCGGTCGAGATATCACCACTAACGTCCCATGGCTGGTTCGCTGGTCGCAGTGGTTTCCCAGATATGAAACTATGAGTTTGGGGTATGGCCGGTGCTGAAGAATTCAAGTTTTGTAGCGATGTTGTGTTAGACAAACCCAATGAAGAAGTTCTTTTCAAGCCTGGTAGGCCTTCCAGATCTTCATCATCATCGTCACTACCTTTGACTTGAGAATCTTCAATAAATTGAGATTCACCATTAGAGCCATACGAGTCTGTGTCACTGTCCAAAGAAAATCCCTTCTTCCCAGTAGGCCCGCTCGGCAGTTGTGATTCACTAGAGTTTTGGTCTGATAGCATCGGCTGACCTTCATGTTCTTCAATTGGAGTTTGTAAGCCTTCTGGAACATCGACCATATCATAATTGTTCACAGCCATGAAACTTGAGGTATCACCAGTGTAAACCGAATTATAGTCATACATGTAATCGTACCCTCTAAAGGTGTTCACATTATGAGACACTGCATTGTTTCCGTAATAATCATCATCGTCGTCATAATCTTCTTCATCCGAGCCATAATTTAAGGTAGTAGCGGGAAGAAATTTTATAATGGGAGCGGTTATTGAACTTTTGGAGCTTCCAGCTTCGGAACTTAATGATGCGTAGTCTGTTGGGGTATGTATTCCATCAGACTTCCTTGATAACCTGGCATTTATGAAAAGTCCGGCTTCTTCTTCGTCTGAAGATGAGCTATTGAGATCTTGATCCGAATCTGATGTTTGGCGCAAATCTTTATGCCCGCTACGCGATTGTTCTTTTCTAACTTTAGGGTATTCGTGATGAGCAGAGCCTTCAATTCCACTTTCGTCCATGGAATCATCATCAGACTCATTGTCGTCGTCATCATCATCAGAGTGGAATGAAAGAGCCATGCATTGTTCTACCCGGTCATTGAAATGGATATGTCTATCCTTTTGCTCGCACACAGCTTTGGGAGCTTTCCTGCTTGGAGAAGTCAAAATAGACTCCAAAGCAGGAGTGGGCGACTTGTTTGGTGATGCCTGCTCGGAGTTGACAATATCTTCTTCAGCAGCCGCAGACAAACAATCATCATGTTGTGACTTTGTATCTTGTTGTTGGTTTTGCAGTAATTGATTATCGTGACGTTCATCGTCCCCGTGGCCCTCGTGTGTGTTGGGAAATTGTGGTGACGGCTGGGATGGTGGCCGTGAAGAATAATATTGAGCATTCACTTTCGCTGCTAAGACATCATAATCGTCCGCTGCATCCAAATGATTACCGTATCCGTCCATCATGGCCTGCGTGCTGGATAGATTTTTCTTGTGCTGTCTCGCCACATTGAGCCTCCACAGTGAGTTTTCCTCTATTATCTCAGAAACTGTTCTTTTCTTCAAAATTGGTTTTGGACCCTTGGAAGTCCGATTCTTAGGCTTGAAGGTTGTCAATCTCTTTGAAGTCTCGTCGTCTGAGCCGTATCCGCACTCCTCATCGGCGCCCTGTGCTTGATCATTAGACTTCTGCCGCACGACGGGACCATATAGCCACGTGACATCAGAATCTTTTGACCAATTGACAGCTTCAGGACTTACAGTACGCAGGTGATTGCGCGCTTTGGCCCACGTACGCCAAGAGGCGTTTTCAAGCCGCGCCGCATTTACGAGATCTTCGTTCTGCCTCTTTTTCTTTAGTATGATATATTTCCAAGATTGTGAGATTTCGGACTCGTTCCACTGGTGCGACAAATAGTCGACGTGGCGCTTGGGCTCATGCATGATGTCATTATCATCGTGTGGAATCAGGTAATTACCAGCCTCGGGTACGGGCGGCGAAGTGGACTCCGAAGGACCCATAGGAGGACTGTTTGAATCGTGCTCAGGACTTGCGGAGCCACTCATGGGAGTTCCATCTGTTGTTTGCGAATCGGAGTGGCCGTCTAATAGCCCCATAGACCGTGTGCGCTTGAGATTGAAGGTCGACCGCCTGAAATCCTCGTCATTCTCGGCCTCCACGGCCATGGATACTGACGGCCCCATATCATCATCTTCTGCCACTACACCACTCGTGCCGCTCACACCATTTGGGCTGTCCCTCTCGTTGCCAAAATACGATGCCAGGTTGTTCGACATGCGTGTCTGTTGACTGATTTGTACTCGTTTTACCAAACAGTGCAGTCCAACTCTTGATTTCGCCTATTTTTCGCGCCAAAAACCTTTCGTTGCGCTTGTACCTGGTTTAACGTTGCCCTGTAACGCTTTGCAAATGCTCCTTGAACGCTTGAAAGCCTGGAACCCCGGTTTTCGTTTCCAGAGTGTAGATTTCTCCTTTTGCGCTGATCTTAAATAGCTTGTGGAAATTATTGTATGCTATATAGAAGCCAAAGGGGCGCCATCACTATATACTAGTTTTTCAACTATATAAACAGAACATTCACTGCACGTGACTTGAAGTTCTGCACTCAATGTGGTTCACATCCGGTGACAGTGTCCAAAGATTAATCCTTCATTTCATCGCTTGCGATTTCCTGTAGCTCGATATTACACTATTTACGGCTGTAGCAGCGATAAAAGATTAGTCGCGATTCCAGCATGAATATCGATAGTATATTAATTATATGGTTTCAAGTTTCGCTGGATGCCACCCAATGAGACGTGAGCTAGGCTGAGTTTGGAGTTAACCAATGATTGCGCGGGGATCCTGGCATTGAAGTGTTCTTTACAGTTGATTTTTTTTGTTTTACAGGTCATTTATCAGGTCGATGTGTGACGACTCTACAATTGGGGGGATGGCGGAGATCTCAATAAAATATTAATGGATAACAAAAGACGCTTGACTTTTCAGGATCAAGATATGTTCCTTGCCGTTCAAGGATCAAACGGGCTAGTTGGTCTTTGCCTCGAGATTTGAGAAGCACTTGATTCTTTACATATGTTGTAAGACGCACGCAACCAAAATCACACTCTATATTCTAGCATTTTACCATGGGTGTTATCAGTCCCCAGCACCAGTCTCACTCCTACGGTATTGGCAAGTCTAGTTTGTATCGCCATGCTCTGAAATCTGGGGGTGGCAAGTCTATCTTTACTCACACCCAATGGATATTGGAACGAATGCCACTGGCGCCCGCTATGACTTTGGTAAACGACAATTTCTCCGTGATCTGAATTGCAGAAAACATAAGAGCCCTCCCACATAAGATAGTGCGACGTGCGCCGACGAAATCTGTTAGCCATCAAATCAGTGGCTCCCAATTGTCGAAGCAAGTACGATTTAGACCCATCCAGTGACCACATCTTACATTTACCGTCGTTTCCAGTCGTAACAAGCTCTAGAGTGCCAGAGGGGTTCCAACATATATCATTACAGCAGCGCGCATGCGCCTTGCCCATAGTGTCGGGTTCGGTAAGGTCACACAGCGCCCGGTTACTCATTCGGAGGTCCCATACACGGACGTTTCCATCGTTGTCGCCCGTAGCGAGCAACTGCGGACCCGAAGATTCACTGCGAGAGAACTTCGCGGTATTAATCCCATGACGCATTTCGGTACGCTTGACGCCAAGACTGATGGTAGCGCTCATAGACTTGAGGTCGATGAGACGGGGATGCGAGTCCTCAGTAGCTACAGCTATAAGATCGCCATGAGCATCCAGCTGAGACACCCGATGCGCCAAATCCAGAGAGCTGACAACTTGGAAAGCGTTAGTGTCCCATATATTTACTTTTTGATCGTTACTGCCCGTGAAGAACAGTCCATTGTCCGCAGGATACCATTGAACCCTCGTAATAGAGAACGTGTGAGATGCCTCTTGCGGATCACGAAGGGCATTTCTGATACTAGGCTGCACGGACGCGTAGAATTTGCGAGATTCTTGGCCATTACGGCCCGTCTGAAATGCAGTTCTTCTTGCTACTACGTGAGTCTTGGAATGGTAGTCAATATCTCGACCCACGTCTCTAGACTTTCCCGGAGCAAACTGAATTCGCTTATTCACTAGTTGATCTTCATTCCTAGATTCATCTAAAGCCCAAAGACCTACGCTCCCGTCTTCACCAGTTGATAGAAGGAATTGACCTGATGGGTCCAGCGCTAGAGAAGTGATCCCAATGGCAATTGATGACTTTCGGTAGCTATAGACAATAGCTTTAGCTTCTTTGAGCTTGTCAATTTCATTTTGAAGTGCCCAATCGTAGAACTGGAGGCTGCTTAATTTTCCTAGACGCCATTGAAGATGAGTTTTGTTCATACAGCAACGTTAGCTTGTATCAAAATCTCAATATTGGATTACTGTCAAACATTTTTATGAAGACGGATCTGAGAAAAAGGATTCACAACAAAGACCCAAGACTTCTTCTCATCACCCTGCACAATGTCAAACGCTCTGGATCAGTTTATTATGGAAGATGTGGCAAAGAATTGCCCACAACAATTCATAGAATATCATAAGTGTGTATCAAAAAACCGCGAGGACCCTAGTCAATGTGCTTTTAGGCAGAAAGACTTGTCAGTGTGCATTAAGCAAAATGTGCCGAGCGTTCAAAAGGTTATGAGTCACTGCGGTTCACTTATGGCTAAATATGAGTCCTGCTTGCGGGAAAACATGGAATCTAGAACCATCAACGAGAAATGTGTGCCGCTTTTGCTGGAAATGCGCGAATGTGCAGAGAAACAGGTCTCTGGACCTAGTCCCATCAATCAAATGTAAAGATCACAATGCAGCATTGTTGATGATGTGCAATCACGATACTAAAGGTACTGTAGTGGTGAGCATGAAATGCTTTTGTTAAGATTATAGTGCCGGTTTTGACATGTTGATTGGATTAATCCATGTATCAACTCCGGGAAACCCCCTGGAGTGAGCTTTGAAAGCACTGGTGTGGAGGGAACCGCTTTCGCTGTATCGCAAATTGATCACAGCGCAGTTTTGAAGTGAAGCATCACTTTTAGCGATCATATCTGAGGCCGCTAGTTCCGAGCAAGCCACTTTTCAGAGGTAACTTCTCGAGGCAATGTGACTTCACCAGTGCCCAAACGATTTCTAGTAAACGCATTCGCGTCTTCGTTTTAATCAATCCAATCAAGTACTTAATCGCATATGTAGGTTTTGTATAGAATACTTTTTAACTCAGCGAGCCCTCTCTGCTCCACCACTAAGCAGAGAACTTCTCCACAGTCTCGTAAAAGGTCTGGCCTTGAATTTGGTTGACTCTCAATTCGAGTTCCGATGGCATACGCGAACCGTCGGCGCCCGCGATGGTGCCTGCACCCCATGGAGAACCGCCGTGAACCTCAGTGAGGTTTCCGAGATCAGCGCCAACATTTTTGTAGCCAAGAGGCACGAATATAATCCCATGGTGTGCCAACACTGATAAAGAATTTACAATGGTGGACTCATTGCCACCACCGGTACCTGTGGAGACGAAAACACCCGCAATTTTTCCGTGAAGAGCACCTTGCGCCCACAACCCACCCGTGGCATCCCAGAATGCCTTCCATTGTGCCGGAAAGTTACCGAACCTGGTAGGAATCCCAAACAAAAAGCAGTTATATGAAGTGAGCGTCTCTCTGGTAGCGATGGGGTATGCGGGCTTGGGCTGGCCACCTAAAGCCTTGACAACATCGTCGCTGAGCGTTTCAGGTACCTGGTAGATGTCAGCTTCACCCCCAGCAGCCTCGACACCTTTCTTTTGGGCTTCGGCCAAACCGGCCGTGTGGCCGTATAGGGTGTAAATGATGATAGCGACTTTAGACATAGAGTTGCGATTTTGATATGGTTTTTAAAATAGCTCAATTGACCTTCAAGACAATAGTTTAGTGTCTTTAGAGAATTTGTTCTGCTGTTATTGGCAAAAATTATTATTATCCCTTTTACTTCAAACTTCTAATCTTTTTATACACGGACAGGGTTCATCTAAAAGTCTTGAAAAATTCATTTAGTAATTATTACGAGAAAGGTGAATATATAAGTAAAGGTATTAGAAATTGTCACTCATTATCAGTAAGCTTACTATGTTCCTGGCAAGAGCAAGTCGTGGTCATTGAGTATGAAGCACTTGGAGACAAAATCACAAAACCCTTGCCTGCGTCTAAGGTAAGACATACAGCCGATGAACTCAAAAGATATCTGATTCGTGGGATCTTCTGCGGACTTTAACAAATGTGGTTGGGTCAGATCTGTAGGGAATTAGCAGAGCTCATGTAATGCTGAAATTCCACTCAAGGAGAGGCCCGGCGTCTAAGTTTACGAGTGAGTTAATGGCGACTCCTTTGCCTTGATTATCAGTTAGAGTACTGAGGAGGGTAGTTTTCGTAAAATGCTTGAAGGCAAAGTCCAATCTGCCGAGTTTATAACACACAACTGTGTGAACTGTTCGTTTATAACAGGTGATCTCGCGGGCATGTCACTGCCATGTCAACTACAAGTGTAAGCGGAACAGTTCAGTGGTCAAGGATTCGCAACACTTCTGTACTGTCATTACGATCCACAAAAATCGATTCATATGTAGAAACAGGTCTGCTGGGTGGACTTACTCGTAGCAATGAGTCCTTGAGGAAATGGGCTATCATGTAGGAAAATTGCACGTGTAATGCAGCTAGAAGCTGTGGAATCATTAAACAGACATCTGACGGCCTCGCGACTTCTATCTTTACGCAATTGTATAAGATCTAGCGGTCTTTTCGGAGACCTCGTCGTTATTTTCAGTATCGTATCTCATCTCATCTCATCTCATCTCATCTCAAATCTATCGAAAAAAGTTCCAAACTCAGAATTACCTCATGTAAAGCCAGAAATTGGAAATCGTCGCACAAGAGTGTCATGGAATTGCCAGCATTTTTGAGGCAGAAGCCCCCTTCAGGATACATAGCAGGCATCGGGCGTGGGGCTACAGGCTTCACGACACGCTCCGATATTGGGTCCGGGAAAACGCCGGAAAGAATAAGAGACGATCGAGAAAAGCCTTTGAACGCCGATGGGACAGAAGAAGCGGACGAAGATAGGGTCAAAAGTAACGCAAAAGTACGATTCGAAGATTCTAATGGGCTCTCTTTGGTTTCAAATCGCCCCGAGGGGGATGACGAAGAGGCGGACAGAATTTACAAAGAGATTGACGCGCAGTTAGGGCGAAGAAACGCACCGCGTAAAAAAGTCGGCATTGAGAATGCAAACAACTCCATCCAAGACACTTTTGCTGCCGTTTCCGACACGTTCGTTGACCTCAAACGATCCTTGGCTACCGTCAGCGATGAACAATGGAGTAATCTCCCTGAGGCTGGCGATATTACGAAGCGCAACAAGCGGCAGAGACTAGAGTTGCAAAGCGAGCGTAAATCTTACGCTGCACCTGACGCACTCATTTCCGGTAATATTGATCTCACAAAATTGACGCAAGAACGTGAGAAACTGTTGGGTCGTCAATTAGACGAAAGTTTGAGTTCCAAAGGTAACAAATCGGAGCACTTAGTGAGTAGTTCCGAAAACTATTTGCATGAGCTTGATGCGTCTGCGAAGGCTGCGGAGGTTGACCAGCAGGTCCAAGACGTAGAAAGGATGAGGACCATACTAAACTCGTATCGTAGGTCGGATCCTAAGAAACCACAAGGTTGGATTGCCTCCGCAAGATTGGAAGAACAGGCCAAAAAATTTAGATTGGCAAGAAGCCTAATTGAGGAAGGTTGTAATGAGTGTCCTCGAGATAAAGACATATGGCTAGAAAATATTAGACTCAATGCGGCAGATCTCCACTATTGTAAAATACTTGTGGCAAAGGCACTTACGTTCAGTGACAGAAGCCTTGACTTATGGTTGAAGGCCATTGAACTCGAGAAAGAAAATTTCAATAAGCTGAGAGTGGTGCGTAAAGCCATACGAAGCTTGCCCACATCGGAAGAACTGTGGAAGCTGGCAGTGCAATACGAAAACGACAGAGATGAGGCAATCAAGATTTTGCAAAAGGCTACTGAGTTGATGCCGCACAGTCTCGATCTTTTAACTGCACTTATAAATCTGCAGGATCGCCTTGAGGCCAGAAAGACACTGAATTTAGCAAGGCAAAATAACCCTTCCGAAGTTCAGATTTGGGTATTGGCATGCGAGCTAGAGGAACGGTGCAGCGATGCGTCTGTGGATAAACTGGCAAAGCTATTTACTAAAGGGCTCCAAGAGCTTGCGAAGCATGGAAGATCTCTCACCATCGACCAATGGCTACAAGAAGCCGCACAAATCGAGCAGCAGTTTCCGGATACTTATCAAAAGACTCTACAGGCCATGGTGAAAGTCATTATAAGCTTCCTGTACAATCCGCAAGGATATTCCCATACTATTGCGGCCATTGATAATATAAGCCAGCAATGTACTGCTACGAGATGTCATGCATACAAGTATGTGCTTGAAAAAGACCCTAGCAAATTTGGGTTATGGAAGAAGCTTGTGAGCTTTTGCCAAACAGCGGGGCGCATGAGCGAAGCATATCAAACATTCGAAACTGTATTGTTTGGAAACGATGGTGAGGTTTTAGTGAAGTCTCCGGTGCTTGCTTTAATGTATTCCAAACTGGTTTGGAAATCTAAGAACAATATTGAAAAAGCCATGAAGATTCTAGACGTAAGTTTGACATTTCATTCATCTAATATTGACTTTTGGCTTGCAAAGCTCAAAATTTTAACAATGGATTCGCAGTTTGAAAAAGCAGAGGAACTTTTCAACGCGGCTGTTGGTCAATTAGCTAGTCAACCAGGCTACGAAAGGATCTGCCACCGATTTGTTGGTTTCTTGCGTTTCCGGAACAGAACTCAGGAAGCACTCGAACTTCTGGAAACAAAGTTCTTGTCTCAGGTCCCGCTATGCGAGAAGCTGTATTTACAACGCGGACAAATGTATTGCGACCTGGGCCAGCCTGAGAAAGCCCGCGAGTGTTACTTTGAAGGCGTCAAGATTTTACCAAATAGCGCCTCGCTCTGGATTGCCCTTGGGCGTGCCGACAAAGACCTTCTGAATCTGCCTGTCCGAGCGCGGTCAGATCTCGACCTCGCGCTTTTAAAGGTTCCAGCTGGTGCCCAACAAGAGTCACTGCTTGTCGCACGAATCCAGATGGAACAAGAGCTCAACAATCTTCAGCAAGCTAGCTTATATCTTGCACAGGCGCTTAAATCTCACCCATCAAGCGCACCGCTGTGGGTCGAGAAGCTCAAGCTTACTTCCAAAAAATCTCTAAAGAAAACTGCCTACCAGGATGCTTTGAAAAGCACCAATTCCGATTATCGTGTACTCGTTGCTATCGGCATTGACTTATTTTCCGATTCTCACTACGAGAAGGCTCTAAAATGGTTTCAGAGGGCTACTGCTGCTGCTCCACGCTTTGGTGACGGCTGGATCTGGGTTTCTCGCTGTCTCGAGCGCTTAGGACGCAACTTGAAAGATGTTGTCAGCCATGTTGATGACCATGAGCCTCGCTATGGACCTGAGTGGATAGCCGCTGCTAAAGATGTCCGGAATCTCTGCTTGACGCCTTCTCAAGTGCTAGCAGTGTGCTTGAAACCACAAGCATGATAAGCATGTGCTTTTCGCGTGACCGCGATTCCTAAAATTTTCCAGAGGAATTTGAAGATGCAATGTGCTCTGCGATGCGATGAGCGTCAACAGAGATATGTCTGATAGCGACGGATTTATTCAGCCCTTTGAGAGAACAATGGTGCTGTTTGACGATGACAAGAATATCATTCAGTCTCCAACATCGTCTGCTTCTCAGATTTACACGCCTGGCGGCTCCATGAGCTCAGAGTCGACTCACAGTACACTTTTTGGACAACAACACTTGAAAGGAGAAGGGATTCCTGGTAGCATGCACTCTCCTGTGGCAGCATTGGACGATATAGCGGAGAGCACAGACCTTCAAGCCCTTCAAGCCTCTCGGGAGAACACCAAACCAGAATCGCATCTTAGCGCTGCGGATTCTAGTACTACTGCAGTTGGTAATTCTATAAATGAAGACCTATCGCGAGCTGTTGGTGTTAACGTCAATGAACCTGACGCCAAAGCACCACCACCGCCAGCACCACTCGGTGATTCATTAGGTCATGTCGATGTTGGACCGCTTCCCATTGCTCCAGAACAGGTGTCACGTCCAAATGGCGCCGAAAGTAAGGCTTTAAAACGGAAATATTCTCGCAATGGTTGTGCAGAATGCAAGAGACGGCGTATGAAATGTGACGAGGGAAAACCTACCTGCTGGCAATGCGCGCGTCTGAACAGAGAGTGCGTCTATGTGATACGAACAAAGAATCGAAAGCGAAGATCCAAAAATGAAGGCGCCCCGGTGGAGAGTGACCTGCCTTCTCGCGTGCAAAAGGCAAAGTTCAGCCCCAAACCGCCGAGAGATATGAACAGTTTTGTGCATCCCTCCGCTACCCCCGAACTCCCTATAACATCTATGAGCTCAACGTCCCCTGTGCCTGAGCTACCTAGCCTGATCCCCTCGAAAAACGTCAACGCGTTTGACGCCAATCTTTTGATGAGAAATCTTAACGACATCGTGAACATGAAGCTGAATGATTCTATCATATACGATGACCTCAAAACAATTGATTTCTCTGACCTAGACATTCCAGAGCTCAACTTGATTAATACGGAGCAGCCGTGTCCCGCAGTGCCGATATCCTTTCTGGTTGATAGCATTATGACATTTAACATGAGTTTGGAGTCATTTAAACTTGGGGGTTCTAATGACAAGTACCTGGAAGTCTTCTACTATGATTGCTTGGATTCCATCGCACCATTTTTTCAGGGCCAAAGCAATCCACTGAGAGATATCTTACTCTCTTTTGCAAAAGGCGAGCCTTATCTATTGTCTGCCATATTAGCTGTGGGTGCATCCATTGCTCACAGGAAAACTAATAACGTAGAGGACGAAAAATGCTATTGTGCCTATTTGTCTCATTGTTTAGGGCTCCTCACGGAACAGTTCAAGGACGAGACCAATGTCTACAACAAAATAGAACCAATTATTCTAACCGTTCTCATGCTAACATGGGATTGCATATACACCATGAACAGCCAGTGGAGATCGCACTTGAAAGGTGTGACGGAATTATTCGAGAAAATCAATTCTGGAAGCTCCTCAAAAGTTTTGAATGTCGCCAAATGTTGGTTCAAAGTCATTGAGACATTTGCCAGTATCAGCACTGTATCAGGTGGCGCTTTAATAGAAGAGAACGATTTGAATTTGATTTTCGATCCGTATGATTATCAATACATCGAATCGTTGAAGTTTCTGAATATTATGACTCCGCTCAATGAGTTTAATCTTTTGCGAGGGCACAAAGAGGATTTTGATTTAGTAATTAAGGAGGTTTTTAAAGCTTTGAATGCTATCCGGCATTCAGAAAAGAGGTATTTTTCTGAGCAGGATGGTATTTTTGATAAAAACCTGGATTACTTATTGTGGTCAAACCCTAATACAGAGAATTTCAAGCAACAGTTATCGTACTTTAAAATTCAGAAAATATTGGTCGAGATTGACAGACAGTCAGACTACGTTTTTATCGACAAGACAGGGATTATTCCACAGTTCAATCAATCACATCCAAACGTCAGTAAAATTGCGGATAATGCCATTGATATGGTCAAACTGCGAAGTGGCGAAGAAATTGCAATAAGCTGGTATGACATTTCTCACCAAACTCAAGTTCTGTCGTTCCTGTTAATTGTACTCCTCAAATTGCTTGGTATTCCTAAAGAGTCAATCGCAATCCAACAAGTAGTGCATAGAATTACGAGCTTTTTTGGGTTTTTGGACAGTGAGAACCCACCACGAAACTTGCGAACTTGTTATTGTAACTTCGCCATTTTGGTTGCTGGCCTTAATGCAATCGACGAAGGAACAAGAAATGTGATAAGAAGCTATTACAAGCTCAATGGTGATCGATTTCAAAGACTCACAGAGCACAATTTGAACCGACTTGAAAAAGTATGGTACGGTAATGAAAAAGGATATAAATTGGAAGATCAAGATGTATTAACATGGTAGATCTAGGAACATTAATAATAAAACAGGAACATAAGTAATAAGAAAGAAAATTGTAATACTTTTAAAAGCCATTTTTAGCTGACGAAAGAGCTTTGTCAGGATTTCAGTTCACTGTCATGAGACCCAAAAACGAATCTACAACTTGTGCGGCTACTATTGAAGTGATTTCGCCGTTCGAGTCGAACGCAGGGGATACTTCAACTACGTCTGCACCAATAACATTCAAACCTTCCAATCCATCGAGGACTGTGAGCAACTCCCTCGAGGTTAATCCACCTGGTTCTGGTGTTCCAGTACCGGGCGCCACCGCGATGTCCAAGACATCAATGTCGACAGTGATGTATACTGGGAGGTCTGCTACACGTTCTTTGATCTTCTTGACGATTTCTTTAAAACCTAAAATATCGAAATCCCGAGCAACAATCTTTTCAAACCCACAGTCTTGGTCGTGTTTTTCATCTGACTTCATAATGAAGGGTGCTCTAATACCAACATGCATGGACTTTTCGGCGGCAAGGTAACCCCATTCGTGGGCGAAATGCAAAAATGTACCGTGGTTTATGCTTTGAGTCTTCGTGATGCCCCCACCAAGGACTCTGGGGTCCCATGTGTCAATGTGCGAATCGAAATGGATAACGGCCACGGGCCCATTATGTTCGTATGCCGCTCTTAGCGCCATTAGTGTAACAGTGTGGTCGCCGCCCAGTGTGATAACTTTGGGTACTTTCAGCCCATCCTTTACAGTAGTCTTGTTGTAGATAGCCCTCTGCCCTCTGTACAATTGATTTAATGCAATTCTGTTGTCAAAAGGGGTCATTGGAACGTCGCCACAATCCACGATCTTGTATCCTGCATTGTAAGGGTCCAGTTGGCGAAGCTTAGATCCCGGGAACCCCCTTACGGGCAAGTACCCTCCTCCCAACCTTCTTGAGCCCTGTCTGAGACTGTTGGGTCCAAATCTCGCACCGGGGCGGTACGAGACGGAGGTATCAAAAGGAGCCCCCACGATGGCGATGTCGTATTTTGGCGCTTTCTTTGAGCTGCGTTGCTCGAAACACCTGGCCATTGGAACGTGCGCAAAGCTTACGATTCCAGAGAACAACTGAAGATCCGAACTTAGATCGTCGTCAGGATATTTGGCTGGGCTTTGCTCGTAGAAACCGCACATCGCTTGGAACTCTGGATCTTCGCTATCGTCCAACTCGAAGCTGGCAATATGTTGCGACTGGAAGTCGTCAAGTCCGTCGTGAGCTTCCATTACTTCCCCATACAGCTGAGAGAGCAGACCCCGGTTCTTGCTTGGCAAAAATGTCTGGCTCGAAACTACATTACCGAGCGCAGAACTCACAAGACCCGAAATAAGAAGCAGTGATGTTTTCATACCAAGATCCAACCCAAATTGTTACGAACTGATATTCCATAAAATGTGACACCGCCGTTAGAACCATCAAAATATCAAACTTTCTATACGGTTCTATTTATAAAAGTGCAATTAAACTTTAAATTCTAGTTTCCCTGCAACTAGCGATCAGTCACCCGCCATATACCACTCCAGTGCGTCGCTTAGCATTGATGTCCATTCTTTGAAGATAAACTTTACAAATTAGTCAATTTTTCCTTGGAAGGAAAATCTAAGATAGACAAAGATAAGCGTACCATCGAAGTTGTCATGGACGCCAGTAGTAAATATTTTATAAACTTGATAGACACCACGGCAATACAGAGTAACCAATCCGTAGTTTAAAGCGAACGGCTTGGTTATTTTGTAGTTACTTCTCTTGCGAAGCTAACCAATAACATAGACAGTAAATGACTAGCAAAGACCGTGCTGAGAGTGAAGAGACCAGCTCGGGCTATGGCTCGATTTCAAGAGACGTCGACGCAGTCGTGAGAACAGACTTCGATGGCCATACATCGGTAGATGTTACTACAACGACTTCGGGCGCTGAGTTCAAAGAGATAGGACGGAATGCAGCTCCTTTGATGATAACGTTCTTACTGCAGATGTCGCTGTCATTCATGACCGTGGTTTCGGTCGGTCGACTCAATGCGCTAGATTTGGGCGGTGTCTCACTGGCAAATGTGACATTCACAGCCACATCGGCCATTTTCCAAGGCCTGGCAACCTGCTTGGACACATTGTGCCCTCAAGCATACGGTAGCAAGCGGTATCAACTGGTCGGGCTATATTTTCAGCGGTGTGTAGCTATAAGCACACTTTTTGCGGTGCCGATAGCTCTTCTGTGGTGGTTTTCGGCGCATGCTTTGCGCCTGGTGGTGGACGATCCCAGGTTGGTGGTAATAGCGGCGAGGTATCTCAGAGTTATGGTGTCGAGCATTCCGGGGTATATAATTTTTGAGTGTGGAAAGAAGTACCTGCAGGCTCAAAACGATTTCACAACGGGCCAATACATATTGTTCGTGTGTGCTCCGCTCAACGCGTTTTTCAATTACCTACTAGTGTTCAGACTCGGCATGGGCTACATTGGAGCTCCAATTGCCACGTCGGTGACCTTTATGCTCATGGGCATATCTATTGTCGCTTACATTTGGTACCAAAAAGGGAGAAACGGCGATATGGATTGTTGGAACCCAATGTGCAATTGGAGACCTATTTTTTCGAACTGGGAACCTATGATTTCCTTGGCCGTGCCTGGAATCGTCATGATTGAGGCAGAATTTCTGGCTTTCGAATCCCTCACAATCTTGTCCGCCAAATTCGGAACTGAAGCCCTGGCAGCGCAATCTGTGGTCGCCTCAATACAAACTTTAACGTTCCAAGTTCCATTTTCCACCGGTGTGGCAGCCTCTAATCGGATTGCCTACCATATTGGAAAGAAAAGGATCAATGACTGCAGAATTGCAACTAAAACGACCATAATTCAAATTGGAGTTATCCTAGCTATAGCGAACTTTCTCTTTCTGGTTCTTGGGAGGAAGCAGGTGTCGACTTTTTTCAGTAAGGATGAAGGTGTTGTCGCGTTGGCAGTGCAGATCCTGCCTATAATTGGAGTAAATCAATTTGCTGATGTGTTCAATGTCCTAGCAGCAGGTGTTTTAAGAGCACAGGGCCGTCAGAGAATTGGAGGCATTTTGAATATCTTGGCATACTACGTGGTGGGGCTTCCAGTAGCCGTAACACTGGGCTTCTACACTGATTTGGGAGTTAAGGGTTTCTGGATAGGATTGGGATGTGGTATATTTGTCTTATCGATTGGCGAAGTCTACTGCGTCTGGAACTCAAATTGGTCCCAGATCATACATGATTCGCATCTTTTACATAAGAGTACGCAGGGCGGCAACCTGTGAGACTTTTTGAAATTGAGCGTTCGAAAAGGGCGTATTCACGCTGCAAACTCGCCATAACATTTTCATCTATTTTGATGCGATGTAACATCGTACTGGACCGTTTCTAATCACTTGACAGTAACATGAGTGGGGAAAGTTACGCTGCACAAGCGAATCGATAGATAAAATATCGAGCAACACTGCAAGAACATAAATAAAGGCGCGATGAGAGTGAGAGGCAACAACTTTAGCTTACATAAAAAAGTCAAGTCGCAGGTAATTTGAAAGTACAACACATGTGGATTTTGAATTCAAGGTACTACTGGTAGCTGGGGTTGCTAGATACATTTTAGTTGAGAATTTTTAAATTGATAGCCGCATCTTCTTTTAACTATTAAATCAGTTTCAAGGAAGTGAACGAGGGCTGCTAAGCGCCATACAGTTTTAACCACTGACGATAAATTTCTTCGAGAGTTTTGCCTAGCACACGTACTTTTTGCAATATTGTCTGTTCATGTGCTTTATCTAAAATTCTATTTGAAGGTAGCAAAAATATTTGAACATCTACTTCTACTAGCAATCGTTATTCTAGAATTGATACACAAGCACCTGTTATTATTGAACTTGGAAGCGGAAGATGTCTACAAGCACTGAAATTGCAGCCAAACCATACATACACGATTATGGTGCCAGACTCAGCGAGGGCGTCACATATCTAAAAGAGTCACGATCCCTTTTTTGGGTAGACATATTTTTGAGTGAAATACACTTGGTCACCAACATCGATGATCCTAAAGCTACTCATAAGGTCGTCAAGATCAGTATTGACAACTACATCGGGGTGTATCCATTCTCTTCAGAACTTCCAGAACGGGTCGGGGCTGTTTTTCCGCTTGATTCGCCGGAGGGCGTGAAAGAAGCATTCTTCGGAGGTAAATACGGCATTTGTCGTCTCTCTCTTCTTTCGTGTAAGTGGCAGTACGAAGTTTTGTACTCATCATGCTCACAAGTGTCGGGAAAGGATTGGGCCCGTCTTAGATCTAACGACGGCAACGTAGCAACCAATGGGGATATTTACATCGGAATAATGAATGACTTTCATGTGGGTGTCGACACCGAAAAGGAGGCCGAGGGTTGCATTTTCCGCGTCAATGTAAAGCAGAAGAGCATCGATCTAGTAATGGACAACGTTTACATTCCAAACAGCATCAACTGGAATCCTGCGGATGACACAATGTATGTGACAGATTCTTTGGCATTCAAAGTTTGGCAGCTCCCTTACCACAATGGCAACCCTAGGGTTTCTGATAAGACCCAGTTTATAGATTTTGTCCCCATAAACAAGGGTTTCGACAGTCCTGAACCAGACGGGTCAGTGATCGACTCTCGTGACGGATTTTTTTACAGTGCAGTCTTCGGCTCGCACAAGGTTCAGATTTTTGATACCAAAGGTCAATTGCACCGAGAATTGCTGTTTCCGGATACTCCAAACGTTACGTGCTGCTGCATTGGAGCCGGAGGCGATCTGTTTGTCACTACAGCTTCGCTGGATGTAGAAAACGGCAAAAGTTCTGGTCCTGGTGGTTCAATCTACCGTGTCTCCGCTGATGTCGTATCTGGCAAGGGAGATGTGCACTCTTCGAAGCGCAATCCAGAATATTGAAATCGTAAGAGCCAATGATTAATGAAATAAATTAGATACTATATTCCCGACAAGTAAATAAAGGCCAGGATTTTGCGCACTATAGGCGAAAGTATGAAAGAAACAAATACTCACTGGATGTCAATGGTAAGAAACACAAGAAACACAATTTCAAACTGTGAGATTCAAATATACAATTTGGCGCCATTTAGGTACGAAGTGATAAGTGAGATCTGATCCTCAAAAGTGCACTGTGTAATATTCAAGGTAATGCTTGAATCCATCCTTCAGAGCTCTATACGTATGGTCGCCACTAGGCCAGGTTAAGTCCAAAACATGCATTTTTTTTCTCACTTGTCTCGGCTGGCAAAATCCCTATGTTAAAATTACAGCTAAAAACGGAGGGTATCTTGTTTCTTGACCACGATGTGACACAACCGGCCATCCCATTTTGACCTGATCCAGAAGATTGCTGCTTAGTTCTGGCCATCATCGCAAGGATTACAGAAATTTTTCGGCCTGCTATTTCAAAGTATTATGTGTTGACCTACATACACTACAAACATGGGCGCATTCTTTGCAGCCACCATAGCTAAATAGATGACAACAATTGAGCCTCGATTTCAGTGTGTCCAATTAGAAAGTAAGTGCAATCTCAAAGCTGAGCGCAAACAAAGCTTTCTGCTCAACGAAAAGCTCTTCGAACGAAACGAACAAAAGGGAATATCCCTTATATAACATACTGAAGTTGAAACCCTTTTTCCAGTCGTTCAATCAACAAAAGCAGGACAGATCATCGATTAGTATCTCTCAATCGCATAAGTATCCCCCTATAGCTATCATTGTACAACATGTTTGACAAATTGAAGCGTAAGGTCCAAAAGCTGAAAATCTCCGACGACAAGAAGGAAAGTTTGCCCGATGTGGGGTCGTCGGAGGATCTTTCTAAGCGCGAAATATATCGCAACAGGTACAACTTTGGTGTCAATTTTGGGTCCCTGTTCGTTCAAGAAAGTTACATCTATCACTCTTTATTTTCAGAGGGCGGCGACAACGAACACGATGCAATTGCCGCGCTTGTTGCCAAGAGCTCCGTTGAAGAAGTGGCTCGTAAGCTACAACAGCACTACGAAAGCTACGTTTCTGACCAAGATTGGCAATGGCTGCAGAAAGAGGCGGGTGTTACAGCTGTGAGGCTCCCTATAGGTTACTGGCACGTTGACAATGGTCGTTTCATTAGCAAGGATATGAAATTCCACGATTTGAAATCCGTGTATGAGGCGGCCAAGCCTTGGGAAGCAGTTCGCAAGATAATCAAAAGCGCTGCTGACCATGGAATCGGGATTTTGGTCGATATTCACGGTGTTCCAGGAGGTGCCAATAAGGATGCCCACTCGGGAGAAAACAGTGGGCAAGCCAACTTCTTTTCTACCCAGGCATTTGTGGCCCCTGTAGTTGACGACATGGTTCCTTTCATTGTCAAAGACATTTGCAAACCGAATGAAAATGTCATCGGTTTGCAAGTCATCAATGAAGCGGCTTTCAGCAACTCGGCCAAGGACGAAAAGAAGTTCTACGCCAAAGTGATCCAAGCGGTACAGAGTATCGACGACAGTTTGCCTGTTGTCATCTCCGATGGATGGTGGCCCGCTCAATGGGCCGACTGGCTGGAGGAAAACAAGTTCACGAACAGTGTGGTCATAGACTCGCACGTTTACAGATGTTTTTCCGATAGCGACAAAAAGAAGAATGCCGCTCAAATTACGGACGAGCTGCCCCAGTCGGTCAATTTCTCTAATGACAAAGCTGATTACATGGTTGGTGAGTTCTCGTGTGTGTTAGACGGCAATACTTGGGAAAAAACGAAAGAAAACCGCGATGAATGCGTTTCCAAATTCGGCCAGAAACAAACTCAAGTGTTCCAAGATAAGGCCAGCTGGGGATGGTTCTTCTGGACCTTCAAGTTTCAGGAAGGTGATGGAGGCGAGTGGGGATTCCAACCCATGGTCAATAAGGGCTGCATTCCAAAACGGCCGCGTGTCAGCCCGGCCATCGACGACAAGAAGGTGCAACAAATTGTCGATGGGCACGTTAATTATTGGAATGGCAAAGGCAAAAAGTTCGAGCATGAGCGGTTCGAAGACGGGCTTCAGACCGCCATTAGCGACATCCAAGCTTTCGACGAATTCGACCATTCCAGGGTCGGCAGAACCCATTTCTTCAAGTCTTTGAGAAGAAGCCAACACGTGGCCGAGAAAGGCGATAGCGAATTTGTTTGGGAATGGGAGCAGGGTTACGATCAAGGGCTCTCTGAGTTCAATAAGTATTTGTAGATAATATAAGATTAAACATTTTTGGGCATGAGATATGGTAGCGATTGTAGAACATGGTAGCTGTTTTTCTCATGACATCTCGAAGTTCGGTCCTATAGTGTAGTGGTTATCACTTTCGGTTTTGATCCGGACGACCCCGGTTCGAATCCGGGTAGGACCTTTTTTGTCGCTCTTTTTTTCCAACCATCGAAAAGGAATGCGATGTCATTTTGAGAAAAAGTGACTGGATATCGTCATAGCACTATACACCTCCTGATAAGGCGTGAGGAATAGCACATGGTGAGCCCTGGTCGCACATCTAGCACACTCTCTTGATCGGCAGCCAAGAGTTTTCTTACCAGTTTCCCACTTTTAGCCGGTTCTCTAATAAGTGTATTTAGAGATTTTGTTAGTGTTTGTAAGCGCGATCCTAGCCTGTGGATAGTATAATATTCCTCTTTGATAGCTATAGCATCTACCAAGAATTCACAAGGATCGCTGTTGCTGAATTTTCAATCAGTAACATTGTGGAATTGAGAGATCCTCTTTCCAGAGCAAATTTCGTATTCGGTACAGAACTAGTGGGCTATCATAACAAGCGTTATGACATTGCGCGTTTTCCGGTTCGAAACCCTATAATAGCTGGCGCCGATACTATAAGTGAAGCGACGAATCGTCATCCATACCAAAACTAGAAACTCCTTGTCGACACTAAAGCTAAAAATTAGCAGAGCTCACAAATATTGCATTCGACTTTCGAAAGGCTAGATATCGCTATAAAGATGATGATGTTATATATTAGTTTATATCTCATTGTTTACGGGGGAGCCGCCCAACTCATCGTGAAGTTTTTTTAGCAATGTCAGAGCAGAAAATTCCGACTCACTCCACTGTAGGGAACCAATAAGTATTACTCAAGTGAAGGCTCTAACAGTGGTATCCATTCCTTTCTCTTGGATCATTTTCGCCTGGCAAACTGTTGAACGATCCTCGTCATAAAAAAATGTTTATCAAGAACGATCATGTCGGAGACAGAACCCGTCTGGAAGACTGGAGAATCAAAGGCTACGATCCGCTAACTCCCCCAGATTTGTTGCAGCACGAGCTTCCCATTTCTGCCAAGGGTCACAAAATTATCGTTGATGCCAGAGAACAGGTTTGCGATATTTTGAACGGCAAGGACGACCGTTTGGTCATTGTCATCGGGCCATGTTCGATTCACGATCCAAAAGCTGCATACGAGTACTGTGACCGTTTGGCTGAACTTTCCAAACAACACTCCAAAGATCTACTTATTATCATGAGAGCTTATTTGGAAAAGCCAAGAACCACGGTCGGCTGGAAAGGTTTGATCAACGATCCAGACATCGACAACTCATTCCAAATCAACAAAGGTTTGAGAATCTCCAGAGAAATGTTCACTAACCTTGTCGAGAAGATGCCCATCGCTGGTGAAATGTTGGACACCATCTCCCCACAATTTTTGAGTGACTGTTTCTCGCTGGGTGCTATTGGCGCCAGAACCACCGAGTCCCAACTTCACCGTGAACTTGCATCCGGTCTTTCGTTCCCTATTGGGTTCAAGAATGGAACTGACGGTGGCCTTCAGGTCTCTGTTGATGCTATGAGAGCAGCTTCCCACACACATTACTTCTTGAGTGTCACTAAGCCTGGTGTCACCGCTATTGTTGGCACTGAAGGTAACAGTGACACTTTCATCATCTTGAGAGGTGGTAAGAAAGGAACGAACTTCGACCCTGAAAGTGTGAAGCAAACGCAAGCTGAACTAGTCAAAGCCAAGGTTGCTGACGAAGAAGGTATTCAAAGAAGAATCATGATTGACTGTTCTCACGGGAACAGCAGCAAGGACTACAAAAATCAACCAAAGGTGGCCCAATCCATTTACGAGCAACTTGTTGATGGACAAAATGCCATCTGCGGTGTCATGATCGAATCTAACCTTGTGGAAGGTAGACAAGACATTCCAGCTGAGGGCGGTCGCGAAAAATTGAAGTACGGTTGTTCGATTACAGATGCCTGTATTGGTTGGGACAGTACCGAAGAGGTTCTTGCTTTGTTGGCTAAAGGTGTTCAAAAGAGAAGAGAATTCTCGAAGAAATAAGGGACTTTTTTTAGTTAGCTTTATGGCAAACGTTTACTTGTAATTATATTTAATCTTTGTCACAATCAATATGTTCTCTGTAAGAACAAGCAATTATAATAGTGGGATTTTCCATAGCAAAACTTATGAGTTCCACATCAAGTACTAGCACACATATTTCAGTTTTTTAGAACTTTGCGCTCAGCTTGCGATAGTTTCCGTTTCAAATCTTGGTTCTCTTTTTTCAAAAGTTCCATTTCGATATGAATCTCTTTAGATCTGCCGTATCCTAGCATCTTCGCCATATCTTGATTTTCTTTCGTCAAGGTCTCAAGCCTAACCACCATTTTATGGGCAAGCGCTTCTTCGTCATACCTACCAAGCTTAGTGACCGAGTTAGAGGGATTGAGCGCGACAGCTGTAACAAGACTTTCGAGTCTACGTTTGGTCTCATTGAGATCCTTATCTTTCGACGCCAAGCTTCGAGACAATTTGTGGAAAATTAATTCAAGAGTAGCTGGCATATCTACTGTGGAGTCTGTCGCAGGTGCTGAAGGGGTTCGATTATCATACTCGTGCTTTGAGCTAAGCCCTTGATTAAAAATCAGTTTCAAGTTCTGAATCTCAGTTTCCAGAGACTCGATTTGGGTCTCTTTGAGTTGCAACTCCAATTGTAAAGACTCAAGGTTTTCCTGATGTTCAGATGAGCCAAAAGTAGTATTGTAGTCAGACTTCGTGGTATTCATAGTACTATCCATAATACTAGTGGCCGTGAGCGTACCTGCCGTATTTTCGCGTCCCGGTTTCGTGTCTCGTTGATCTAGATTCCAATAATAATTGTCTCTACCACCGGCAGGCCCTTGTGATAAAGAATTCAACGGTCTTGTGTTTAAGACGTTCAGATTCTGGGGCAACATGCCATTGTTGTACTTTGCAGTGTTGGCACCTATCATATGTTTCTCGTGCTCGGAGCCGCCGAAATAACCGGGTTGCGAAAATGTCAGATTGGCTAAGGAAGAATCCAAGTCATGGGCACTGTCATAGATCTGCGCTGAATTCCAATCAGAATTCATCTGGTGATGCTCGCATTACTGTTAGTAAAAATGCTCGACAAACTCTTGTTTTAACTTTCCTGACATACATATCCTGGGAATCGGTTCGTTTGCGCAGATTGTTGATTGTTCATCCTTAAATTGAAGATAGAAGAGCAAACTGGTTGAAAGTAAAACTTTCAGCAAAAAGAATGAAGCTCAAGGATAGTTCATATGAGTATCTTATAATGTCACTTTAATAGGTTTCAGAGATTATGATACAATTCGTGAACAGCGATCGTGGACCCTAATGCTAAACTAACATCTTTGGAAGAGGTAGATGTAGCCATTCTTCTTCAACTCCTCGATATTGGTTTTATCATCGGCGACAACAATCTTCTCATCATTATATAGAACCCATTTTGTCTCGTTCTTGACCTTTTTCTTGATGAAGGCCACATAGTGGCCTGATTGGACCGAGGAGCCCTTGTGACAGATAACTGCCTTCAACAAGTAGTTCGCCCGGGACTGGTCTGGACAACCGTAAACCTTTCTTTCAACTTCGGGCTCGGCCTGTTCTTCTTGAATATTGCTGTTGTCATCTAAGTTGTTGAAAACCCATTCCACACTAGCACTGACATCGCCCTTGTTTAAAACTAGGGCTTTACGGCATAGCTGTGAATCGAGACCCATAGACATCATATCGGCTAGGTGCGATGCCGAGACTGACGCTGTCACATCTATGGCAGCTGGCACCACGAAAGGGTCGTTGAGATCAGAGTCTTCGACGTGCTGGAATAGCCAGTTCATGGCGTCCTCAGTACTACTATTGTTTGTAAAGTAAAGAGCTCTCATGCTCGCGTTTTCCGTGAACCCCATTTCAGAAAGACTGCTCACGCTCTGAGCGCTAGGTATAAAGACCGCGGTCTCTTCATTTTCTGGCAACAACTGCTCAGTCTCGCCATTAAACCCAGGAGATTTGAAAATACCTAGATTCAAAGGGGTTTTGTCAGTAGCCTGAATTCCTGGCATTAAAACCTCTTGGGAGGTCTTCGTGGGTACCCAATTGACCAATTTGATCCGCGTAGGGCTTACCACCAAAGTGTCGGGAAACGATTGAAATCCTGATGACTTCACGGCAGTTACTTGTTTGCTACAGGCGGGGCATGTAAAGCTCACTTCTTCGCCTTCAAAATAACGCGCAATCTGCTCAGCTAAAACCTGGGGTTTGTCTGTTTCTGAAAGGGGGACCTGCAAGTAATCAGAGGCCTGCGTCGAATATTTGACACCATGGCATTGCGTGCACTCGAGCCGATCTTGAAGTGTAAACTTTAAGAGATCATTAGGGTTAGAAGACGCTTTGTCAAAAACTTTGTTATCAAGTAGATCGGTGAAATAGGAGAAAAACTCTAGTGCATCTTGCTGTCTCCCTGAGCTGAATTCCTCGTGTGTCGCACCGACGCAATTTTTGAAAGTAGATGGTCTCACACCGCGGGAATACTTAGCAGGATCAATCTTCATGGCATTCCTCAATTTAATGAGCTGACATTTGAGGTTGCTAGAGACGTAAACGACATCGGTAGGAAAATCGCCGAGTTGGTCTAGAGACCAAGAAGATATGCCGCCATTCATTAGAATCTGGAGTACAGAGTTCATGTAGCAAGAATTGCCCAGATTTATCAGACCGCAGCCATATTCTTGAGAGCTTTTTAAGTGCTGCAAGTCGTGACCCTGCGAATCGACCATCTGAAAATCCCAATTCATGTTCTGCTCAATTTGTAGCTCCACAAGGGTCTTCTCCTGAGCCACTTTGCCGCGGATATCGATACCCCAATGTCCCAATAATTTGGTCCAACTTTCTGCATTAGCAAATTGAACTTCGTCATCGCAGCAGTAACAGTAAACATCTGAAGATGAGTAACTAAGAGATCCCAACTTCACGGCTAACGAATGATCCGGATATTCTTGATAATGCGACAATCCATGAGACTGACCTTGTATACCAATTTGCTGTCGGCCACAGCCCAAGTGGCCACAATGGAGGCAGAGCCACAGGTTGTTTTCCAGTCCGCATTCAGCACAACTGCTACCTATATTTTGTGGTTCGCTTGAAGCAATTGTTAAAGAGTCCACATGAATGCACGGCTTGACTTCTAATTGCCAAGAGCTGGCCATCTGTTGAAAATTGTTAGATCGGGCGCTCAAAATATGGTCCACCTTACTTTGTACTTCAGGATTGGAAGGTTTAGTTTCATGATCGACCAAAGTCGTGGTGCCCTGAACAACGCACCAAAAGGAGTCGTAAGCGTCATCGTCGCTCTTCTCTGTCACTTCCAGCTTGAGCTTCTTTTCAACAGGGTGCTCCGCATCTGGTTTCTTGACTTTAGTGAGCTTTAAATAGAAATCATGTCTTTCATTCAACTCATGTTGTGTAACGTCTTCGTGGAGATTGGTATGATCGGAGCAGAAGCTCTGAAAGCATCTCAAACAGATGTTTAAACTGTGTGATGTTTTCGTATCGTCATTATACATGGTCTCAAAACAATAGCCGCAGTCATCTTTATGGACTACAGAAGGAACTTGGAGGTTGATAAAATCTTCAATCGAAGACATAGCTAGCTGTGTGAGGAAATAGGTTAGTCTCGTCCCCAAACGGTGGCTGACGAAATTATACTTCCTTAAGATGACTTGACCAAGATCCATTGTCATCAAATAAAATTAGGTCACGCGATAGAACCACTACCAGGGCTCTTCCAAAGGTCAAGGATAAAATGGGTTAAAATAGGTATGATATTTACATGGCTATGAGATGTGCTTTTAGCATGCTATTGGAGTACTTTATTTTTCCAGCGAAGCTCGCCGGCGTCGCCTACAGTACATTTCCTGAGACAAATTTGATTGCAGAGATATTGAATACCCGTTTTACCTCTTGAGGAAGGGTTATATTGGGAGAAATATTTGACGACCTCGGCGCGAGACACGGCCAGCGACCTACCGGAGTTGTCGTTGCCTGTTATATAATTCTTGACTTGCTGCTCAGTTGGCAACATAAACTGGGCATGGTATGGGTATTTTTTCCAGGTCTGGGCATCAGGAAACTTCAATAACGACACAGACGAAGAGGCTCGGGGAGATACAAGTCTTGATAGCTCCTCGAGGGTCAAACTAGACTTGGTCCAAGGATACTGATTTTTATTTTTCTCCACAAGTTTGTGCTTCGTGGCTTCAGAAAACTCGGATGCGGGGTCCACGCACATATTGGAAGCAGTGATGAGATCTTGTTTTAGAGCGGATTCGACATCAGACTCCTTGTTTCTGCGGAACTGCTCGATTGTGACTTGCAAAGAAACTGCACTCTTGGTGGCTAGTTTCTGAAGTGTGACGCGAGCGAACTCTTTTTCCTCAGGAGACGCCGAGGTAGACTTCACTATCTTCTCAAGTGCAGCACTGATGGCCTTGATACTAGTGGAGGTCTCTAGATCGAAACATGACTCAATGACGTCGAGCTGAGCGTTCGAGTATTTGAATTGATACTCTTCAGGAATTGCAACAGAAAACTCTTCCACGGCAGCTCCTGTAATGTGCCACATATCTTCGAAGTTTTTGTGAACAGGAAGTTCACCTAATCTGGCTTGCAAGTCGGGTAGGTTTTGACTTGGCACGTAATGTGATGCAAGGCCGGCCATGTAAACGTCAGCTCCAGACAACAAATCCCCTGTGAGACACAAATACAGGGCAAGTTGACCATTGGTACCACCAACCGTAGCTATCTGTGGCAACGAAAATGTTGTTCCAACGTCTGGGAAAAACCCAATGTCAGTTTCTGGCATACACCAGCGAGTGTTCTCGGTCGCTACACGGAAAGGAACGTGAGTAGCAAGCCCAACGCCTCCACCCATTGTGATTCCGTCCATCAAAGCCACGACAGGACGGTTGTAAGTTGCTAGAAGTAAATTGAGCGAGTATTCCTGCTGAAAAAACTCCAGTGACTGTCCAGTGCTGCCGGAAATATTTTGTAGTGCCACTGTGGCGACGTCGCCCCCAGCACACATTGCTTTAGGTGAACTGGCAGAGCGAATCACCACCAAGTTATTTACATCACTCTTGCTGTATTCCACAAGTGTAGGGATCATCTCCGCGCACATCTGAGTGGAGAGAGCATTCAGCTTCTCAGGTCTTGACAACGTCACCACACGAGAAACGCCATTGGTGCCGAACTTTACTTGATCAGACATGAAGCGCTTAATTGGCTGGTATCTTAGCGACGTTCTGAGCATGGGATTGGATTGGCTTAGGACGCAAATGAATGCCTTTTAAGGTGAATAATGGGGAATAGGATTATGAAGTTTTAATAAAATTTGAAAATCGGACTAATTAGTACATAGTGATGTGGGAATAAGATTTGGTATACTACCCAAGTCAAGCCCAGAAGGCTGAGGATGTGCCAGTGATAGCTCCGTTAGAATACCTTATAGCTATTAAATCAAAAGAAAAGATCGCCAGCAAATTCATTTGTTCCCTCGTGAGAAAAATTGTGGTAGTTAGCCTCGGTTTTGCATGAGATGAGACTGTGAATTTAGTCTGTTTAGGGCGCCATTGAATGGTGATCGATTCATTTAGGTTTTTTCTTTATTGTCATTTTACGATGCCAGCGATTTCTTTCGGTGTAATTAAGAACTGTGGACATTTGCGGAAGTTTGGATGGTAGTGGTTGAGAGTTGGGTCATAAGCTGGAATGGCGACCTGTAAGTTTTACGTGCCGAGTTTACTGTTGAAGAACTTCAATCAAGGACTGAAGTACTGGAGACGAGAAACAATTTAATTTCAGTCTATGTCACATAAACATAAAAAGTCACTTCACAGTTTGCTAACATAAGCTGCTAGAAAAACAACATCGGGGGTAGCTAAGATGTGCTTCTATTTTGCGGTAGTGACGGGCTTGAGTGGCCGCTGCCCGATTGGCAAGAACTAAAAAGAGATCGGCGAGCCATGTATCAGGGTTACTTCTTTTCTTGCAAGTCTAACAAACGTGAAGATAACACTTACACACATAAAAACCTCACCAACTGCACCAGTTGGCGTCTAATTAATCAACTAGGCCTACGATCTACCAACGTAGATATATAAAGAACATCACGTGGTTTAAACCAAGGCAGATCTGAAGCCTAAACGAAGTGAAACACCTCGCGCAACTCCAATTCATTACCAAAAATGTTCTCGTCTGCGTCCTAGAATCCACTTGGACCTTACTCGAACCATGATTGCTAAATTAAAAGATAGTCATCTAATTATAGCGCCTCTCCGCGCGCTCCTGTAAAACATCGAACTCAACCAATCCAAATTTGAGCACTCAGGAGCGATCTGCAATTTCACAGTCAGTTGCTATCACCTGTCTCTTGCTATTCCGCCAGTGGTTCAATTAATTCCTGTTCTCTCGTTCAAGCTCCCCAGGCTGAAAAACGACAGGTGAAAAAAATCGTTAAAGATCTGGATCTAGTAACTTGCATTTATTAAAGGAGCACTCATAGTAACACTTGTAAGCCCAGTTTATCGGCATCTAGCATAATTTTAAGTGGTAAAACCCATAGTAAAATTTGTTGCTACTTTTGAAAACATTCTGCTGTGTTGGACGTTAGTGTTTAGTTGTTCTACATGTCTGTCTCACACAAGGGACTAGCGCTGGGCGTAGAAACGCTGGAAGCTCCAGCGGTTTCGTCGGAGCTCCACACACTTCACAACTTCTACTGGGTCTCCCACAAGGAGCCTCATGCAATTAGGAGACACGCAATTCTCAAGTCGCACCCTGAGGTATCAAAGCTCATGGGCCACGAGCCTCGCACCAAATATATTGTCATAGGGGTTGTTGCATTGCAGTGCGCTATGGCGTTTGCGCTCCGTAACACCAGCGCACTGTCGTGGAAATTCTGGCTCTGCGCCTACGTTGTAGGCGCTACGGCGAACCAAAACATTTTCCTGGCCATTCACGAGCTCTCCCACAATCTGGCTTTCCGGAAGCCTTGGCACAACAAGTTATTCTCGGTTTTCACCAACACGCCTATCGGGATACCATATGCGGCTTCTTTCGCTCCTTACCATCAGCTTCACCACAAGTTTCTTGGGGATGAAGTTTATGACACCGATATTCCCACTAAACTAGAGGCTGTGTTGCTTTCAAACGTGATGGGGAAAGCTTTTTTCGCAACGTTTCAAATCTTCTTCTATGCTTTCAGGCCCATGTTTGTCACTTCGATCCCAATGTCTCCCTTGCATTTGATCAACGTGGCTTACCAGTTGGCGTTCGATTATGTGTGGATCCGTAACTTTGGATTACAGTCTTTCCTTTACTTCCTGATTTCGTCCTTTTTAGCTGGATCGCTGCATCCATGCTCTGGCCACTTCATTGCCGAGCATTACCTTTTGAGTATGGAGGAAGCTCTTGCAGGCGGAAAACTTGCGTACAAAAACACTCCTGCTGAGAACGAACTCATTCGCTCGACGGATGAATCACAGGTCTCCCGCAAAGACGTCGAATTCCACGAAGACTATGCGCTCGAAACGTTTTCCTACTACGGTATCCTCAATTTCTTTACTTGGAACGTCGGATTGCATAACGAACATCACGACTTCCCTTTCGTTCCTTGGTCTCGAATCTGGGAATTGCATCGCATGTGCCCTGAATACTACCAGGACTTGCCCAAACACGATTCCTGGTGTAAAGTCTTATGGAACTTTGTCTTCACCGACGACGTTACGCTCTACAACAGAGTCAAGCGTGTCAACAAGAATTGCGCTAAACAAGAATGAAGACATTATTGTTGATGCCAGATACACATACATACAAGAACACTCATGCATGCGGACAGAAATTCACATATTGACTCTCGCACAGTATACCGTATGAAGCTGAAGCCCCGTTACTTGTACAGTGCTTGCGCGTGTACATTTGATAGCATCAGAGAAAGGCACTTGACACAAGTCATAAATTCAGTTTCTTCATGTCTACTTTTTATCCATCTATACATTTTTTCAAATACCCTAACTTATATCGCGAACCGGAGTTTATTTCAGCCACTCTAACTGATATCACAGGAACATGTACTTGACAAGTCCAAATAATCCTAGCGTGAACATTCCCAAAAAGAAGGAGTGCAGGCAAAATGCGTCACCCGAAGTCATCAAGTAGTATGGCAAATGTATGTAGTACATCCAGTATAAGTTTTCACCAAAGTTCGAAACTTTCTCCACAAATGTACCCTTGCTGAGCTCTTCATCAGTAGGTCTATATATAAAGGTACCATGACTAAGTTTTTGAGCGTGAATGGCATCAGTGGAGATCATCTTGGGCATTTGCTTCTTTCTACTGTGTCTTTGTTTTATATTAAGTTGAAATGCTTAACTTGTAATGAGAACTTCAATATTTTAGTAAAAAGTGATGCATGCTATATATATGAATCTGTTGATCAGCTTTTAAACTTGCCAAAGAACGACTTGCGCTTGTTGGAGATGTTTTCTACTGGGGTCGCAGTCTCACGCTTTAGTTGGTCTAAATCTAAGGACTTTCTTCCGCGCGCAAACGATTTCTTCAAATCTGAGCTCCCGTTGTTGGACTTTCGCGTCTGATGCGAAGTCGTCTTGATCTTTTCCAATTTAACGTCCGGTGGTGGAGAAACAGAAAAGTCCATCTCTTGATACTTCAGGTCTAGCGATTGCCGCCCCGTAGCCGGTTGTGTCGCATGCGGTGCTGGTTTTTCCGTTGGGGGAGCTCTCGAAGTGTTTTGTTTTGAGGATTTCTTGCGCACTTCCACCGGGAAACTTTCACTAGAAACTAGGCTTTGCTCAGACACATTGATACTATTCTTGGCCCCTCCTTTGCTTGGCGTTGAAAGGTCGACACTGTCAATGGTCAGGTCTAATTTTTGAGGCTCTTTTTTGTCCGCGCGCGAAAAATCCACTAAGAGTTCTTCTTTCTCGACAGTTGACTTTTGAGAATGAGATTGTGGCTGCTGCTGGGCTAAAGACTGAGGCTGCTGTTGACCAAGGGGCTTTGCTTGTTTCTGAGGTTGTGCTTGCTGTTGAGTCTGCTGTTGGATAAGCGACTTTGCTTGTTGCTCTTGTTTATTATTCGAAGCTTGATAGGGATAATGCGATGTAGCGTGGTTTTCTGTACTTCTCTCCAACATAGGAGAAGCAGATCCACCAAAATAGTGATTATACGGTCCTGGCAATTCAGCATCTTGACGCGGAGGTTGAAAGGATTGTGCTGCACCTTGTTGTTCGTTGAGCTGATAGTTTGAGATTTGTTGATGGCTTTGAACATTTTGAGAGGGATTTAAACCACTATCTGGTGCGAAGAATTGCTGATCGGGGTCCTTTGGCACGCCATCACTATCAAAGATCCGATTTGAGTCCGAATCCACGCCATAATTATCTTGCTGAATAAAAGGAAAAGGGTTGGAAGATTTGTGCTGTTTAGCCGATGTAGTGGACCGTGCAGTTGCGTCTCTAACCATTTGTGATGATCCACTTTGTGGAATTGGATTCTGAACCTGTTTTAAGATAGAGAGATCATCCGGTGACTTAGCCAAATCAATTTTGCTTGAAGAGTGCGAGCCCGTCCCGAGACTAGTCGAAGTATTTGAGTCGTGCCTTCCACCTTCACGTTTGCCGCCGTCGTGTAAGTAAGTATCTAAATCTTCAACAGATGGGAACTGTCTTTGTACCAAGCCGATGTCTTCTTCCCCAACTGAAAGTGTCTCGTTTTGGTCTCCCCCCATCTCTGACGTATCTTCTTTGGATGTTAGAGATAAATCAGAAGATTTGGTAGTATTCGTTCCCATATTAGCAGGTTGCTTGGGTGCGACCTCGAAACAGTTGATGAAGAGATCATTCATAGCGTCAACGCGCTCCTTGTTTTCATACGACAGGTACATCTGATACTGTATCTTCTGTAGCTTTGCCTGGTACTTAGCGTACTTGTCGAAACTGTATGGTCCCAATTTATATTTATCTTCTATGGGGTTCTGACACTTCAAAATGGAACACAGAAGATCCATCACTTGATAGATGTTAGGTCTCAAATTTGGATTCTCTGCCAACATGATAATTATCAGGTTTATAAGCTTGGACGAGTAGTGATTAGCCGGAAACTCATACTTGGAATGTAAAATCGCGAACTGGCCAGTGAGCTCGAAGGGTGTTGTATAAAACAGCAACTTGTATAGGAAAATCCCTAAGGCCCAGATATCTGACTTCTCATCGATGGGCAAACAACGATAAAGATCGATCATTTCCGGGGATCGATATTGTGGTGTAGTGTGAATATAAATGTTGTTCGTGAGAAGAGCAATTTCTTGATGTGTGCTGGCCACGGGAAGGCATATGGAGGTTGAACCAAAGTCGCAAAGTTTGAAATTGTTCTCCGCATCAACCAAAACGTTTTCAATTTTTATATCGCGGTGTATAAGAGGCACCAGCAAATAATGCATTTGTGCTAGCGCTCGCGTAACATCGAACATGATTTTGATGATTTCATGCTCTGTAAGCTTAGTTGCCAATCGCTGATTCATATAGTCCAGTAACGAGTTGTTTGGGCATAGCTCCATCAAAAGCATGACTTCGAAGCCCGCAGTTCCATCGCGAGACCTGGAGGCATGAGAGTCATAGTACTGCACTACATTGGGGCTTCCAGACAGCTGTTTCATGACACTCACCTCGTTTCGCATCTCGTTCAGTCCATTCTCGTCAGTTACTAATACTCGCTTCAAACATGCCAATTGATCCAATGCTAGAGTGACCGACGGCTGTTTTTCCAGTTCGTTGGCATACTCCACAAATTTAACCACGTAGATCTGGGCAAAGCCGCCCTCTGCTAGGTAGCTTACAATTTCTACCCGGTGATTCCCAACGATAACTTGAGATCCGGTTTTCAGTTGCTCCAAACCTGGCAAGATACCACTGCGGTTGGAATTAACCCCAGAAGCCAGCTCGTGCGACGACGATTCCGACTTAGACATAGGAGTTGGTCTTTATAGCTCGCTCAGCCAGCGAAAATGCTCAGATAAAATAGTCTTTGTATAGGGGTTTGAGGATGGATTGTTGAGATGAAAGGCCATCAAAAAAACGATCGAGTCACGTGATATTGAGTTGACCGTTCATACCCATCGGTCGTTCAATGTGATCAACAAACGTCAATGCAGGGTCTTTCAAACATCCAAGACATCTCGCAGTAGCGTTTGCATTTCTGAGTATACGTAGGGAACGTAGAGAGTCTCCGCACCGCTTCTGTTCTTGGACAAGGCAGCCATCTTGTGCTCAATGAATTCACCCAACATGGATCGTAGCGACACTTCGTTGGAGGCAATGAATTCGGCTGCGCACATGTGGTAAAACTGTTTGAACTCGATTCCGAAAGCATGGGAGCCGCGTTTATTGGCTGACATTTTGCCCTGCGCATTTTCCATAGCACCTAGTTGCGTCTCTATCAGTAGCTTGTACATGCGCTTCGAATTAGCCGTCAGGGACTCCAGAACATACCGCGCACCCTCAGCTCCGGTGCTGGTTTGACTCTTACCGAGTTTCATGACATCGCTGAAAGAGGACTCGACTGCATAACTCTCATAATTAGTGATATCGTGGAATACAAAGTTGAAGTTCTGAGCACGAACGTGGTCCCAAAGCAGTGGCGCGTAGACATGGTCGGTGGAGGCAATCAATGCGATTTGACGAATGCGAGCAAGTGAGCAGAGCATATTTTGGAAGGCATCTTTACGAACCATGGGCCCATCCAGATTATGGACTAGTACTATTAGTTTGATTGTAGATGGTGCGTTGCGATATATCTCCGCCATTTTATTGATTTGCAACTCAACGTGGTTGCTCCAATATTTAGTCTCAGACTTGGAAAGCTCCTCTTTGAGCATTATATGAGAAATGGAATGAAATGCGTCTCTATAGTTGCAAGTTGGGTTGTAACCATTGATGACTACGCAAGGGACACCATGTACTAGATCTTGGTCATCGGTGTTGAGGTCCGAGCCCTTGTCGCTCTCAATATCACCATCAGACACAGCGCCATCTTCGCGCTCTTGATCGGGTCCATGATTGAGCTCCCCTGACACTGTGAGCCGTGGGGATAGATATTCGATTGCAAACTCTTCGAGAAACTTCCGTTTTGAGCCCACACCGTAGAACAATAAAGAAAAACCTTGATCAAGTTCAAACCAGTATTGTGGGAACATAGCTCGCTGGATTTCTTGCAATGCAAGCTTACCATCCCGATGAACCCAGGCATTGAGGGTATTGGATAAGAGCGAGAGTTCCTCACGAGTGACTTGGGGCGCCATGCCCATAGAGTTGGTAGATTTTTTGTGAGCACGAATAGGCTTTTTCTGGTCGATGTATCCTTCGAACCCATCGAAGAAATAAGTAAGGTGTTTCTCCTGTGGGGCTCGGTATTCACCTGCGTAAGGCACTGGTGTGGGCACAAAGTTGCGCTTCAAGGTAATCTTAAATGGGGACTGATTTAGTATCGGTTTGACGGGTGATTTAGCTGGTGATGCAAAAACATGAGATTTCCTGGGTGACGAATTTGCCGTGACAAATCCAACATCTGCAGGAGGCTCACTCTTCAGTTTCTTTGGCGACCTGGAAGAAGATTTTGACCTCTCAGCCATGCCCTGTCTCGCCGGCGATCTTGCACGGGAGCTTTCAGCCCTTGCAATGCGCTTTCGTTTTCTGGGTCTCGAAGATATCTCTGAAAAGATGTCATCCTCGGAAGAATCTGGTGAAGAATTGGAGCTGGTGCCAGATTCAACCTGATGATCAAGTTCAGGTGAGTCTTCAACTTCGTTTACAGCGCCATCATCAGCTTGCAAAGCCTGCAGTAAATTTCGCGACTCTTCCTGCTTAACCGAAACCGTGTCGACTAGTCTTCTTCTTGCTGGAGAGGCAGATCCGGCTCGACCAGTGCGTTTGATTCGGCGGTTCAGGAATCTCCATAAATTAGGCAGAAGGCGAGACGTACTGCCAGAGCTTGAACTGGAAACCGCCAAATCCTCATGCCATACTATATCTTCGGTCTCGGACATGTTGAAGAGCAATGGACGCTTTGAAGACCCAAACTTTTGACCCACAGGTTTCTTCTTTGGTTTGTTTATATTTTGATCATGATTTGAAAGTTTACCTCGACTATAAAATTGGATAGATAAAAACCCACCTAAATGTTGTAACCGTGTAATAAGGGTTTTCCCCCATTAAGCATATGTACGTGAATACCATGTACTGGCTGTTATTAGTGTCGTTATTATTACAGCCGAACTCCGACAAGAAAGATGGAAATTCCTAGATAACATAGCTGGATCATCTGTATTTAGGACTACAGTTGTGGACGGTGTCTTCATGAAAAGTATAAATACATCGGTGGCTATCAACGGGAGTAATCTACAATGCATAACATCTGGAAATTTCACAGTGTGATCTGCACTAGCAATTAATTCATGAAGTCTTTTTGAGCGAACACGAGTTACCACTCATGTTTAACCAATTGAACACTGGGCAAATAATGGTGCTATTCGATCATCGTGACTTCTGATGACTTTGCTACCGCTAAACGCTAATGTTTTCTCGACTTACGATCAAATCAATTGGGTAGATAATACGCGGATTTATTCTTTTGCAAATTTTATGTTAGTGCCAAAGTTTCCCAGAGCAACATATATTCGAGATACATATCCAGGTTTTCCCCTTGCTCTTCAAGATATTCTTACTTCTTATAAAGCTCAAGTATATAATCTACTTGGTGTCTGCAGTAGTCGTGGTGGTAGCGAATTGAAGAAACATCAGAGCTCCAGCTCATATAGGATTCGATCCCAAAATTTCTGTCGACTTTTGTCACTTTATACCGATGTGTCACAAGCAAAGCGGCAAGAACCGATTACTATTGCCCATTAAAAATATTATTAGCCACCTCCAATACCTGAACCTATTCGATATGTTCATCTCAATGAAAAATCAGAAGAAATTTGAGAAGTTCAGCAGGGGGAGCTGTTGAATGACATACCCGTCAAAATTTCAACCTTTGGTACATTGCATCAATGCTACTATTTCGTGTCGATCGCATGAGAGGGAAAGACGCTGAACTCCAGAAGCTTCAGCCACGTTCTTGAAAGGCAGACTTTCGGCGAAAGGGGAAGCGAGGCACTTAGTTGCGAATTGGTTTATTCTGCCAAAGACAAGCACCTCTTCGTCACTAACTGTAGTTTGATTTACCGCACTCCACCAGCACTAGGTGAACACGAGCCATCAGGGATTTTTTCATGCTAAGTTCATCCAGCGCCCTTACTTTTATATGCTTGGTCGTAAAGTGTTCCGGCTGGCTAGTGGTACTGCTTAATGTTTCACCTTTTCGGTATCAAAGGAGCAACTTGGGCTAGAAAAACTTCCACCTTTCGCAAAGTCCAAATAGATTCACATTCGACCCAATGGCAATTAAATTTGAAGAGTCATGTTTCCTTGGCGTATCGTTCTGCTTTTATGCGGCTATGCTCTAATATGGCTATGCTTTAGGCGGAGAATATTATTGGAATCTCTAACTTGCCACAATGAGACTTTTTGCAGTTGCCATGGAAAACAATGTCCCGGTATACTGAGAGAATTTGTCCAAGCCGCTCGCTTGTGTTGCGGGGGCATGTGGATTGCTTGTTTGATGTGCTCCCATTTCTATTTCGCTATTGCAAGGAGTGCCTTTCAAAATGAAGTTTGCAAAATTATCACAACAGTAGGATTTTGTCAATTCCTATTTCTGTGCCCAATTCACTTGTGGCGGTGTGAAAGATGGGCTCGTGAATCAAGCTTCATTTCTCATCATAAGGAGATCGCTGATTCCGTCTAATTGTTACGGCATTCGGTTCACTCAACAGTTTCTATCCAAGTTTCATCAACTATGACTCACCTTTCCTCATGTTACACAGCAGCACTATGCTCATTTCATGTTAGATTCGAAATGTGTTCGAGCATTAATAATATAGTAGTTATTTCTCAAGTATGAAAAGTAACAAAAATAGTAAGATAAAGACAAATTTATCAGAGACACAACAAATTCTGTTAGAAAACTAGATTGCCAAGATCGTGCTTTTTAAATTGCTTATTACCTCAATCACAACAACAAACGGAATTCCGTAGATGATAAATAAATTAACGTGTTCAACTAAAACGGGTTCACAACTTGCGACGCACTCAATCTAATTTGTTGTTCCCTATCCTCGGGAACCTTGGTGTGACCTTCACCTACTACATCCATATGAATACTTTCTGATGCAACGGCGTTAGTTTCTCTATTGATTGAGTCTTTGAGGTACATCACTGTAAAGAAAGCACCCAATGCCCCAAGTACGAGTGCTGCCAATGCTGAACGAGTGCAATAAACATATTCAAACCTTCTGAGACATGTTTTGCATAACAAAATTACAAAAACAACAGCAGACGCAAGGCAAGTAATGCTCAATCCCACAAAGGAATACAGCAGAAAGGTCCTTAATATTTTTCTTTGTCGAAAACGCTCTTCAAACGCATCCACAGCATCGTAAAAATCTGCACTACTTCTGTAAGTCTTCTCATTTTGTACCGGAATGATTTGCCGAGGTTTATGCTTCTCCGGATATCCAGAAGTGATTTGTGTGCCACACTGGTACTTTGTGCTTCGAACTCTTTCCAATTAACGATAGTTTTTGTGTGCCATGGACGATGCGGACTGATAGCGGAAACGTCAGAAATAAAGAAACGTATGAAATAAAGTTTAATTTGGTGGTGTGCTGCGGAAATTATGGGAACTCCCTCAGAAAATCTAAATATGCTATCCTTGCACAAAACTCATACTAAATATGTGGTTGATGTAAGTAAGAAAGGTGTTTTCTTTACGAGGACACTTGAATGCGATAAGACTGTCGCCATTTGAGTATGATACGTTGGTATAAAGTGACAAATAAAGATATTAGACTCAGCATGTCGAGTCTGATACTCAAGTAGAGTGCTGAGAGCCAGACGTTAATATTATATAGTGCCTACACTCACAGTGATTCAATCGCAACCTAGGAATAGAGGTTGGCGTAATTAATATACCAGTAAAGAATACTGTCCACTATCAGAACTTGTCAACCAAATCATTGTATGCGAATGGTTTATGCCCTCCGTAGATGTTCTACTCTTGATATTAAGAAAAATCATGAAGCATCCTAAATTGCTGGGTGACACCAAAAAATGCATAAACTAGAATACTTCATTCCCTGTGGTGAAATTCTACTATTTACATCACCGAGCTGAAAATCAAGTATTTAATTAAGTGGTATAGTATTTCTATTGACTTTGTTATGAGCAACGTCACCAAACTAACATTAAGCGGGAGGGAGCCAGAAAGTCTAAGTCTTCATTTTTATAACTTGACTTCATTGATATCACCGTGTCTGGAATCGTAAAATCTAAGTAGTTAGCTTTTGTGTATGCATTTGGTCAGCATTATCATTTATTTTCGAATATTCTAGCTAATTCTAGCACCAAATAAAACTGACGATGACCGAATGAGAGATAGGGAATTATGCCTTTGAAACTCTGTACGCGATGGTCAAGTATTCGGATTTTCACTGTTTCCGCAACTCAGCAATGAATTTGGACGAATCGCTGGAATGGGCTTGAAGAGGTCCACTCTCCAAATTCCAAGTCACCAGTCCGTAATTATATTAAGCTTCGAGACTCTCTTGCTGAACTTCAGCAGAAACTGACGGTTTGGGCTTTATCCTGAATACACGAATTGGCGTCGCATGCAGATGCACCTTCTTTTATCAATTTATACGTCACCATCGCACGGAAAGTATATTTAAGAGGACTCTAGTCGGCGAGTAAATACGCTTGCTTATTATTCCAACACCAAACTATTTCCATTTTGATCCGGAAAGTAGAGATAGAACGTGAACAGTAGATTATTAATTCCCCACTGTAGAGAGAATGGCGATCAGATGTTCGCTACAACAGAGGCCACCGTGTTACTGAGCACAATTTTGAGTAAAAGGGAAAATGGAAGGAGTGGTAGCATAGGTTTGCAGTATATGCCTTAATGCTCAGCCAATTCAGCTACAAACGGAAATACAATCCCTTTACAATTCACGTATACAGTGATTAAAATATAAAAAAATTATTGGCGCCTAAAACGCGATGAGCTGTTGCATTTGAACTACTAAATCTGTAAATTTCCTGTCAACGTCGTCTAAATTTGTAACTAATGCTTTCATTTTGTCCACACTGCCACAATATGCTGTTGGTTTCGCAAGCCGACAGCGGAGCTTATGCTCTACAATGTGGTGCGTGTCCGTATGCTTTCCCCATTGAAGGCGTTGAGGTATATGATCGGAAAACACTGCCAAGAAAAGAAGTTGATGATGTTTTGGGTGGTGGCTGGGATAATGTAGATCAAACTGGGGTACAGTGCCCGAATTACGACCAGTGTGCTGGTGAAAGAGCCTATTTTTTTCAACTGCAGATCCGCTCTGCTGATGAGCCAATGACTACTTTTTACAAATGTGTAAATTGTGGTAACCGGTGGAGAGAAAACTGAGCGGAAATTGGGTTTCGATCAGCGCGAATTTCATTCATGGAGCTTCCTCAAGGTCTATGGTTTAACATTTTAGACCGCACGCCCCGTAGTTGCTTGGAATTACCTGTTACTGCGGAAGCTTTGAATATCAAATTGAATGAGTGTCAGCTGGGAGAGTTGTTTGAGTTACGCTTACAACTATTTTACTTTATGCAACGCAGACAGTTTGAATCCGTGATCATTGAATTGAAGCAACTCTTTAAAGCTCGAAAATGGGTGCATCAACTGACACATCATCTTCAGCGCTTGTTTGTCTCAAGAAACTATGTGTATGCCACCGTATTAAAATTGATAGAGAAAAATACTGGTATTATAAACAACATAGTACCTTGCAGCGGGTAGGATATTCTAGGGAACGCGGGTCCATGGACTCACTGTAGCTGACTTTTTCAAAACCTAAAAGACTGTGGTTCTTTTCGGTCGTTTTATAGTAGCGTGAAGCATTGAAGCAGAGAAAGTTAAATTTGAATAGACTCGGCAACTAATAAGAGGTGTAAAGACGAAAAGCTTGACAGTTGCCGGAAGGCCAACGCCTTACGATGTGACTTTGGCTTTTCTTTTTTTGGTAGTGACAACGCGACTATTCAACTTTGACAGGGTAGCGCGATCTGTGATTGTTATGAGATCTCTCCTTGGCATCGTACAGGCATTACTGGGTATATGTAAATAGTCTATGGCTATAAATTATAATTCCGAATCGGAATCCAACTTTTGTCTTTATCTCGCTTCACACCCAGTCCACTGGGCTTTTGAGAACTTGTAAAAGTTTGTCCTCACGCGAATTTGGCTCTGGATGATGATCATAGAACCAACACGCCGTTACGGGTAAACTCATAAGAATCGACTCCGTACGGGATCCGGGAGTTCTCAAACCAAATTGGGTACCCCTATCTAGAACTAGGTTAAACTCCACGTAGCGACCACGGCGGATCAATTGCCATTGCTTTTCTTCTTCGGTGAAGGGCAGGTCTTTTGTACGTGCAATTATTGGTAGATAAGCAGGTAGGAAAGCATCGAGGCAGTCCTCGACAATTGCTAGAATTTCTTGAGGATCCCGATCGTCCATGTCGTCAAAGAAAATACCGCCGATACCACGAGTCTCCTCTCTGTGTTTAATGTAGAAATACTCATCGCACCATTTTTTATAGCGAGGGTACAGGGTGGCATCATGTTTATCAAGAGCCTTCTTGTGCTCTTCGTGGAATAGACGAGCATCTTCTTCGTACAAATATGCAGGTGTTAAGTCTGCACCACCGCCGAACCACCACGTTTGTGGTGTACCATCAGGGTTCCAGGTCTCAAAGTAACGATAGTTGAGATGCGTGGTGGGAGCATGAGGATTCGAAGGATGCATGACCATACTTAGGCCGCAGGCAAAAAACTTGATACCCTCAGTATTTGGCAGCCCATTTTTGGGATCGACGGGCAGCTCAAGGTTCTTGTGGTCGTGTTTCATGGCTGAGATGGCCTGAGGCGACAATTGCCCGTACACGACGGACACGTTAACACCACCCTTCTCGAACGTGGTACCGTTCTGCAGGACCATCGAAGTACCGCCTCCACCATCATTCCCACGACTCCAGGAGTCTGGCTTGAAAGTCGCGGTGTCCAGAGTTTCGAGACCCTTGGTGATCTCAGACTGTTTACGACGGATCAACTTTTCCATCTGTTCACGAATTGGCATATGTGTGGGGTCTTGAGGAGCAGGCATTTTGGCAGGATGCACGATAGTTTCGTTGGTACTTAGAGAAGACATGTTACGATAGTATCTCGGAGTTCAAAGGTGTCTTATATATGGTATTTGGTACTCTGTGTTGGGCTGACTTTTCTCGTATGCTACTGTTAAACTACGGCTTTGTCTTGAGATTTCGCATACGAGAGTGAGAGGAAACTTAAAATTGGAAAAGGTACGAAGACCTAAACGATGTGTGGCGGACGTGATGGATGGTTCGTGGAGATAGTTGGTGTCGAACCACCTTACAAAGGTTACTAATGGCACGATAACGAGGATGCTGTGCTTAGGCGTGTAGGCGAGAGAAGGAGACCCTCGTATACAATGACACAACGACCTGCGCTCATGAGCAGCGGTGGTTTGGATCTGTAGCTTGTGTGGCAGGTCATGAAGTACTTGTTTGGCATTTATGGCGAGACTTTTGGCATGCTTCCAGGTGTAAATGGTGGTAGTGGGGGAAATTAATGCGTGCGACCGACGGTTGATACCATTGTAGATGTTAGAATGGGCGATTGGAAAGGTGGCGCGTTTGGCATGCGAAGCCTGTAGCGCCGTTAGGCATGCGAAGCCTGTAGCGCCGTTAGGCATGCGAAACCTGTACCGCCGTTTGGCATGCGAAAAACGAGAGCGCCGTTTCATCTCACTTTGTAATATTTTGGCGCAACTTGAAGCCCGTTTGAACGACCGAGAGCGGTCGCATTCGGTTCTCAACGAGTTTAGGAATCTGTGTCCTAAAGAAACTGTTAGTACACGAAGAATGGTGTGAATTGTGGCGTAAGGCACGGATGATAAACAATCGCAGCGCGTTAAACATACGTTATCTTTCATTTCACAAGCCGCTTGTTATGCAGGTGCTTCTGGTGGCTAAAGAAAGGTATGGACAGCGGTGATGCGAGTTGAATTTTCATGGGGGACTCTTGACAATGACGCGTTGGTATAAAGTGATAAAAGCCGGATGGCCAATGGCGCGGGTGTTCAACGTGCGTGTGGAGCGCAGTGAGTGTAGAGGAATCCATGCTGTGATGCAGTGCGTGTAGAGGAATACATGCTGTGATGCAGTGTAATGGAATCCATGCTGTGATCTAGCCTCCTCAAATCGATGCTTCAGCACAAGCAAGTGGGGTAGCGCACCAAGGACCGGTTGGCTAAAACTATTCTGCGCTATTCAAACTGTACAAGCACGCTAGGATGATCACCAATGAAACGACGGCGACCGTTTGAGGCCTGTATGCGCCCTGCGGTGACGAAACCGCCTTTCGCCTATAGAATGGGTTTGGCTCGATTGCACCATTTCTAGTTCCCACGTCAACGCATGAATTCCCAGTAGCAAGACATTGAAGCCAGACAAGGAATTCCGCCGCCACAAACGCTTTGGTCGAAGATGCGGGGGAGCCTTTTTTTATTCCAGTAGTAATGAGCTTTTGTCACTTTTCCCCGACGCGTCATGGCCAGTGCGATGGGTGCTTATCTCGGGAGTGGGGAGTGTTAGGAAGCTACAGCGGTTATTGAGTGGTGGAACACGTGGAGTAGTGGAGTAGTGGAGTAGTGGAGGACCGAGGCAATCAGGTGAGATGCCGGGGATGCGATGTTGTCGCATTGTTATGGCATTACTTCTTGCGCTACTTCTTGCACTACTTCTTGCACCACTTCCTCTACTTCTTCCTCTACTTCCCCTACCCCTTCCTCTACTTCCCCTACTCCTTCCTCTACTTCCTCTACTTCCTCTCCTTCCTCTACTTCCTCTACACTCCTCCCCACTTCCCTCTCGCTATCGTTCAACGCTCTGAGCCGCTTTTTTTTAATTTTTTTTCCATTTTTCCCGCCTACCGTTCCCGAGCAATTGCACCACCATTACAAACACATTGTTACTAATCCTATCGAGCCAGGGACAATCTACGCCAACCTGCGTTTTTTTCCGTACCTGCTTCTCTCTCGCGCATCGCGACGAACCCAAACCACCTTAGCCACACTACTTCAGTGCTGTAGTACTAATTCTCACACTCCTTCAACACTCATTCACAGTCCCTCGCTGCTTCGAGAGTTTCCGTGTTCTCACAAGCCCTCCTCTCCTCTCAGGGTCCTATTTTGGCACTTTGCCATTGGCCATTCCCGGTCCCTGGGAACATGTAGCAGTAGTAGTAGTAGTAGTAGCACTGGAGCACCACTTGCCAAGCTAAAATCCCGCGCATCTACACTGGACGCAGATAATGGGGCTTTAAGCGGGCCGAAGCGGGTCAAGAGGGTCTTATCTTCCGTCTTTGCGCTATTTTCGACTCCCGAACCCAGAAGCCTTTTTTTTTTTTCCCAAACATTTTTGTTCTTGGCGCAAAGACCTGACTGCAGACCCTGAAGGCTTGGCGCACGCCGAGCCAATAAAAATATACCGAAAAATCTTCCAGAGATACCCACACAACACGTATTTAAACACGCAAGAGACGAGGCAGGGTCGTGGTAAATGGTGCTGGTGGGCGATCTGGTGGAACGTTTGGCAAAGGCAAGACACACATATTATACAGTACCAGCTCCATGACTACTCTCTATCGCATGGACCAGCGGCCGCTTCAAGCGCTGGGAGCGCTTCACGCGCTGCCGCTCATGCCCACGACTTTGCACAGATGTATAGCGCTGGATAACGGCCAGGGCAAGCCGGTTCTGCTTCCGGCGCCGGAACTGGACCACGCCAGCATCGCGGACGTGGAAAGCGATCTGAAGCGCCAGCTGGACCGGTGGGCGTTCGGCCCGACGGCCCGCAGCGCGAGCGTGGGGGGCGAGCTGTCACCCGCCACGGCGCGCTCGTGCGGCAGCATCAGCAGCATCAGCAGCATCGGCAGCAGCGGCAGCGGCAGCGGCAGCGGCAGCGGCAGCGGCAGCGGCAGTGGCGGCTCGCTGTCGGGCTCCGCCTCGTCGTCCTATACGCATCTGCCGGAACTGCGGGAACTGCGGGACGTGCGGGCCGCAGGGCCCGCGGTGCCCGCGGCTATCGCGGCAGGCGGGCCGCAGCTACCGCAGCAGCCGCTGGACGAGACCATATCGTCGCGCACGGACGCGAGTCGCGCCAGGGCCTCGATCGAGCGCCGCCGCAAGTACGTGTGCAAGACGTGCCAAAAGGGATTCACGACGAGCGGTCATCTCGCACGTCACAACCGGATCCACACGGGCGAGAAGAACCACGTGTGTCCGCACGAAGGGTGTGGGCAACGGTTCAGCAGGCACGACAACTGTGTCCAGCATTATAAAACCCATCTACGCGTGTAAGCGACAGGAGACGGGTTCTACGCATTCGCATTTTCATGACATTTAGGTTACATACGATTAAAAGGTGTATTTTGGGCTAGACAGGCGGCGCCACCGGAGGCAGGGTGGAGCAGGGCAGAGAAGTGTAGGGCAGAGCGATGATGGCGCCAGGCTGCGCAGCAATGCAAGCCGTGTCACGTGACTTGTTTTAGAATCTCCATCGCGCAACTTGTGAGCTTCTTGAGGGTATCAGTTGCAAGCCTCAATGCGCACGCTACTGGTGCAGTTGGATCAGCCACCTCATGCCATTTTAGTGGTGGGAACCACCCAGATTTCCATATTCGTGGTCTATCACTTTGTACCGTGCTGTCATTGGGCACTATCAGCGTATCAGGCCTTCACAGCTGTATCAACTGCGATCGCGCTCGCAGTAGCCGCCGTAACTTGTTTTCGCATTCATTAAAACCTGTTTTTCATGCTCTATTGGTATTATGTCACCAGCAAACTCTCCTGTCACAAGCTTGTCACAAACTCTCCTATCACAAACTCTCCTGTCACTAGCTTGTCACAAACTCTCCTGTCACTAACTTGTCGGTATGTGGATTGCTTGTTCTGTTACTGGATCCAGGCTTATCCTACCAACGCTTACTTGCTAGCAGGAACTCCTTAACCATGTCCACTGACAACAGCACAAGCAATCTCAATAGAACCGCCTTGTGAGTTTAGATTCATTTCTCATAAGGCGATCGACTTTTGGTTTGAAACCCATGTGCACACCTCTTCTAACCCCCATTCACTTCGTACCAGCCCGTCTTGGCTCCATGATATACTTCCTCCGCCAAATTTCAGCAAATATTACTTACAGTTTACATTGCCGCCCAGGATTCCTTATTCCGTAGCGATGTTCAAAACTCTCACAAGCCATCCACCATCTGGTGTTCATGCCCAAACAGCGAAAACGTCACAAGAGCAATGCAGGTGTTTAACGAAATCCAAGTGGAACTCTCTCAGTTGCCCATATATGCTAGTTTAACTCAAACTAATACCACATCGGCGGTTTTAGTAAGCAAGGAAAGAACTACCTCAGTTTGAATAGATCCAATACTGTCCTCTTTGACTGTGTCACTGTAGTATAAAGTTTCAACAAGAAACCTATTGAGGCACATTTGCGAAACTGGACTTTTGAGTCGTTCGCGATGTAATAAACAATTTTTACTGGAATCTGGGATTCTACTTATCTCTCCGTGATTCTCTCGGATATGAGGATAATCCATCGAGTGAAGTAACTGGTCGGTATTTATATTAAAACTGGCTGGATATAAAAGTTACTACTCGGCTTTCAATAATTGTACGATACATCGTATGGTACACAAGCAATATCCAATGAGTCAACAATCAATTATCAGACCACCATAGGGTATCGCCTGGTACTTGTCTTCAGTTTGAGGGGATGTATCGAATAGTTCATCGACCGATCAATGTTTGAAGATATCACCTTGTACTATTATGTCATGATTCTTCATCATACAATTGACGCACAAATCGTGACAAAACCAATGTTGCAGGTGGGCCTAAATAGCTTATTGTTGCAGCCAAGTCTGTCGTAAATTCCCCTACTTGCGCTCAGGGTTAAAGACATGCCCAATAAGTAATCCAGTCCAAATCATTTCTGAGACTATCAACTAAAAAAACTGAGATGGTCTACCTCGAAGATTTGCGTCTATTATCAACCGTGACGTAGCCTCATTGCAAAGAATAACCAGCTCAACACTTGTACAGAAAACCAGTCTAAGGTTGTTTTGCGAAATCTTTCTTTTTTCAATCTTATATGCACTCTGGCTTATGACACCCTCTCCTCGAAGAGTTCTTCTTCTACTGGTGGACTTTTTGCAATCTTGTGCTTTCCATTCTATATTTTCTCTCAAGGTACTTTTATCTTCCCTGTCCCCATGTTCTTTCTATAATCATATTCTTGTACGTCGACGGATCAATTACCGCTTGACTTATTGATTTGCGCTTGTTGCCGCCATACATGATGTACTTATTCACAAGACATTCAGATGTTCAACATTATGTTTTTGAAAGTTGTTTGAGCTACAGCCTGACTTGTTCATTTGTCAATTATGTGCAAATAATTACAACCATTATAAGCTGATACCCAGAGAGGTCAACCAAAATTAAGCTCACTCTTCTGTCTCAGTCACAGTAAAATTTTTGATAAGTAATTAACAAATGTGTATTAAATAAACGCTTGAATATGTATAGCTAGTATGAATATCTGAAGTACTTGTTCTCAAAGTCAGTCATATCTCTGAAACCGTTGATAATACCCTTCTTCTCATCTTCTGGAGTAACTTCCCCGTACTTCTTGTCTCTTGATTTGTTACGATACATCATCAAGAAGTAATAAACAATAGCCAAAAACATCATTCCCCCATAAGATGCGATTAATCCCTTCATACCCGAAATGTACTTTGGTGCCTCCCTAGTATAGAATATCTTGGATCCCACGATGTTGCCCGCTGTATACAAAAGAAACCACATCATCTTGACCGTGGACGCTTTAGAAGAGCCTGCAATTGTAACGTTGATTAAAATCCAACACATAATAACCGGGCCACCAATAATGTATAGTAACCAACAGCAACCAACTAGCGCCCATTTATGTGTAAGCGGGATGACATGAATTCCAATCAGGCCTGCCAAAGTTGGAATACAAGTCAAGAACAACAAAATTACACGAACGTTTTTTTTCGTTAGAATGGCAGCCATTCCTGTGCAAAATACGACAACAAATTCAATACCTCCTGTGGGTAGCTGTAGAAGAGTAGCGTTCAAACCAGAAAAGCCGAAACCTTTGATCAAAGACGAAATGAAGTTAGAAGTTCCTCCGTTGATCACACCACAGGCAAGACCACAGACCGCCAAAATCCAGGCGTTGAGATCCAGTAACGCCTCTTTGGCTTGCGAGAATTTGAATTCGGTATCTTTGATACCCATTTGATTTTTGGAGACTCTCTCGATAACTTTTAGCTTCTCATCGTGGGTCAAGAATCTTGCATTTCCAGGAGAATCGGGGGCGAAATATAGGAAACAGAGTCCCCACGCAAAGTTTAGTAGCCCAATGACCAGGAAAATCAACTTCCAAGGTTTTAGACTCGAGCTTGTAGCATGACCCAGACCGTACGAAAGCAATGCACCTACCATAGTAGCCACACCGTTCATTGAAAGAAACGTGCACATGCGGAATGGTTGTTCTTGTTTATTGTAAAACATCGAGCACATCATCATATTCGATGGAGAAATGGTAGCCTCCATGATCCCAAGGATGAACCTAAGAGCCATCATCCCCCCGTAGCTCTTGGCTCCAATGTGCGCTACTAGTAGGCATGCCCAAATAAGCAAAGCACAGCCTGTGAATTTGGCGACTGGGACTCTTTGAATAAGCCAGTTTCCCGGAATAGTGCCGACTAGGTATCCTGCGTTAAAAATGGCTGCAATGTTACCGTAATCATTGCCAACCAACTTCAAGTCTGTTGACAATGAGTAGGCATTAGCGTAGTTAAGTGAAAGCTTGTCCAAAAACTGAAGCATGTATGTTACACACAACACGGGAAGTAGCCAGCGATCTATCTTACGTCTGATAGGTGCGTACGTTTTTTCGTCTGTTTGCAGGTCACTGTGCAAAACCTCTTGAAACAAATCACCACCAACCGCGTGGGCCGAGACAGGTGACGCGATAGCATGTAGATCGCTTGATTCCTGCGATTGATTATCCAGGTCACCAGCAGCAATCTCGTAATCGACCTTGGCCATGCCAAACTCGTTGGTACCAGTTTCTTGTTTTTCTTCCTTCATTTCAGCTCCAAGGTTGTAGTCTGTTGCTTGATGAGCTGTGAATGGTTAACAAGCATAGCAGTTGTCCAAATACGATCGAATGGCCCTTCTTTAATACAAATCTTTTGACATGGTTCTCAAGAGTTTCTGTTATCGCTAGCTCGAGATATGCATGTGGTCAGGGAGACCGTATCCTACGAAAATTAGAAAAAAGGTCACTATTCACTGACATTGATCGTTCCCGCCGCTTTGCTTCTCGCGATAGTAACTGATCAATCGGTAAAAGAACATTCAGTACCGATTTACAAAAAGTTCTTTGAAGTTACTTTATCGTGATGATAAGAAAAACGAACTAGAAAGTGCAAAGTATGGTGGTGATAAGAAAAAAAAGAACTCTGGGAGTAGAAAGCTATCTGATAAGGATCTTCACGAGGTGATTTCTGATTAGAGATGGTGATTCTGAACTCCACGTCCCAGATTAGCTGTCGGGATTGACTGCCCACGTACAAGGTGCTTGTTGAACAATCTGGCGGTTTTGCAACGTTGGATCCGCTGTATGGTAGACACTGGAGATTTGTCGTGTTCTACATCTACCGTCTGTTATCAGCAATGTTATTCGCCAACTCGTGCTTTATCTTCGTGAAGTGCGTAAGTATCTGTAAGAGCAGAAGAGATCGCAACAATCATGACGACAAGATTTGAAGATTTGACCTAATCCGAGCGGGTTATTTGATAGGGTTGTCTGTGGGAACACCGATCACATGTAACAGCCCTGCGCGACCAAAGCTGCATCTGTTGTATATAAACCTTGAGACTTGATCAGATTCTCAGACTGAGGTACGGACTTTCGGACTGAGGTATTCCCCACACACACACACACACACTAGCAGAAATGTCCACAACCACAGACGTCAAAACATGCACCGCAGCCAGTTCTTCGGAAACGCAAAAGCTTCAACCTGTGACAGACCGAGGATATAGTTTAGGTTCGCAGGGCATTCACAACCTCGCCTTTGGCGGCATACTGCCAAAGAACCAAAGGCCACGGTTCTCAGATAAACTAAAGGAACGGAGACACGTCCTTGAGCACATGGCCGGAACATTCCGCGTGTTTGGTAGAAGAGGTTTCAACGAAGGGCCTGCTGGCCACATTTCGGTCAGAGACCCTGTCGACCCGGAAACATTTTGGATCAACCCACTGGGCCTCCACTTCAGCCAAATAGACGTTTCAAGTCTTGTTCATGTCAATTCTGAGGGTGAAATTCTGAGCGATGGAAACCAAGCCGCAATTAACGCCGCTGGCTTCAGAATTCATGCTCAACTCCACAAATCGAGACCTGATATAAACGCGGCTTGTCATGCTCACACAGTATACGGCAAGGCATGGGCAGCTTTTGGGAAAGAGCTTGAAATGATAAATCAAGATGCTTGCATTTTCTACAAAAACCACTCGGTATACCAGGATTTTGGAGGTGTCGTACTGGACTCTGAAGAGGGCAAACGGTTGGCAGAGTCTCTAGGATCAAACAAAGCGGTTTTATTGCAGAACCATGGTTTGTTGACAGTTGGTGAGACCATCGATGAAGCCGGCTACTTGTTCACTCTTTTAGAAAGGACTTGCGAAGTTCAACTTCAAGTAGAAATGGCTTCAAGAGCTGGTCTCCAAAGGAACATTATTGGCGATGATGAGGCTTACTACACTTATTACAACACCTCGGATCCAGAAAGTTTATACAGTTCCTTTCAATCCGACTACAACTACGAGTTGAAACTAACGAACGGTGAATTTTTGCAATAATTCAGTAATTCTCCAAACTTTAGTCGTGAATACATCAACTTGCCATAATGCACAAGCCGGACCTTCGTTTATGTTATGTCTTGAAGAGGCTCATAGCATGCTCACTAATGGTCTATGTTGAAAAGCCAATCAACCGTGACACAATCTGAATATCAATCAGCTTTGGATCCGTCACGATCACCAACACCGGGGCGGTCCACATTGAGTGAGGGCAAGTTAGACGATGAAACAAATTACATCCACAACGCATTGCTAAAGAAGCTAAATAGGCTCGTTCTAATTAGAATGGACACAATTAGTTTTATTTAATTTATATTCTTAGATATAAAAGGAGCTGTCGGCAGCACAAGAACGGTTTGATTTACGATTATCTTCAGTACATCGATATTATATTCTTCTGCGGAAAAATCTCAGGGACTTACCGAGTCAACGCTTACCACTACAAAAACTATCTATTATGTCCAATGAAAATATTATTTGCAACATGAAAAAGAGTCGGGTCGCCAGACACCTACATCAAAACATGTCAAAAAAATCTTATTGCTTGACTTGGAAGCAGAGCGAAATAGCACGAACCTTGTAGCTTGTCGGCTTCACCTGTATTCCAAAGAGCAGTCCCATTGTCCAAACATAGTAGGAAGAATATTTAGATTGTGAACCACTGAACAGTCGTATGAACGCTCAAAATCCACCGTGTTTAGAGCGCCTTGTGTATGGCGTCAATCTTACCCACACTTTAAACTCGTTATAGAACTCGTTGGACTGATTTACGAAGTTAACTTAATGTTCACAGTGGTATGCACTAGCACGATTCATACTAAAGCTCTGCACTTTGCACTCTAGCACAGCGTGAAAAAGTCACCCATGACAAATAAAGAATAGCTTAGACCGAAGGGCGGGCTCACCGTCGCTACAAATTGGTGCAACTGACGAATTGAGCATCTGGAGTCGTTGAGGTCGCATAATCTGTATCTGGAAATTTAATAGCGTTGAAGTGAGTCGCCTTGCATTCCTGATGGCATTTGAATAAATCCTGCTAAGGAAACCAATTTCTCAGCTTCTGATAAGATTTTGGGAACAGTGCATCGTACATGGGCCTCAAAATTTCCCTATAATGCCGTAAACTCAGGTCGTTTGCGCTTTCTGAACCTCTAAAAATTTCGAAATGCAACCCTCTGTCACCTCTCAAGAGCGATTACAAGGCTTGAACATTCATGTTGCTTGGTATCTGTGAACACTGCATTGAAGCAATCGCTTAGATAATCAAGCCTGTAAACTAAACTTTGTATGGGATAACGTATTGAGAAACGGTAGTCAGAACCGACGGACGGCCTTGCACTAATTGAAGCTGGTATCGAGGGGCCGAAAATCAGAACTTAAAGCATCCAATGGATCCATGTCTGTACTTAGGCCTGTCTCAGCTACAAAATATATTGGACGTTCCGATGTAGCGCTACTTCCACTACCAGAACGCAGCTTCTTTCTGGGTCGATCTACACTTGTAAGCTCCGGTACTACATCACCGAAGGCCTTGAGACGACAGTAGTTATCTACTGCAGTAACATTACCAGCTTCACACATATAGTCGTTCAAAGAAATAGCTGTTCGTAATTCAGGACAACTTTTGCCCTCTGTGATCGCCATGAGAAGGACAAGGATGGATGAAAAGCAGCACTGAGCTTCAAGAAATCCGAACGTTGAAAACCATCCGGATTTGAGAAGTAGAAGTAATAATTTGACATTGGTTTCTGCAGCTTTTACACATTTCAAAGTCGCCTCTTCCATCGCCTTAGTCTGTTGGTCTCCTGAGTTTTTCCAGAGTGAAAAGTAAAGTGGGCGTACGGTCACAATAATCAGTTGATTGTAACGGAGATGTAAATTGGCAGAGGAGCGATTATTTTCCATCGTTCGAGGTGGCTCTCTTAGATCCGGTTCAAGATCGCTCAAGTAATCTTCAAGGCTCTTCAAGTTTGAAAGAACATTAGTAACAAAGTTGGCTTCATTGGACCCGTATACTTCTCGCGTAATAAGACCGATACGGAGCGCGAGTTTTGCATTAGCCACCAGGAATTTTGGATTGAATTTGTCTAGCGAATGCAGATCGCCGCTTGGCAGATCAATATCTATATCACTGGAGTTGAAGTGAGGAAGTAAACCAAGTCTTGAAGCCCATAAACTATCCATCAGAAATGCAGTCCACCATATTCTTTTTCTAGCCTCTTGCTCTGCTGGTGAAAGCTGAGCGTTATTGGCCCGCCGATGAATACCTTGTGCTACTGCAGTGGAGAGAGCGAGTCCCGTATACGCATACACTGCATTCATTCGATTAAGTCCCTGAGAGTAAAATGCGATCAAAATCAAAGTCCGAACAGAGTCTAAGTTAGGCTCCTCGATAGGCTCATGGAAACATTTCAAAGCACAGAGAAAAAAGGCCATGCCAGGTACATTGTACTTTTCTCCTGCCTCGTTGATGAATTGTTCCCCAACGGCAAAAGTAATCATGAGGTAGGCTAACCAACTCGGCTTCTGATTCCTGTAATTGGTGTAAGTTTCTTCTAGCCGGGTTTCGAATTCGTTCAATGAAAACAAACCAAACTCCTTTGCAAAGTATTGATGAGCCATACGCACCATTTTAATTGCGTACTTCTTATCAGGCAGACTTGGGAATTGGTCCAAAGTCGGGCGCTCCAGTGCCTTGTCATCCAAATGCACATGCTTTTTATCCTGTTCATTGGCCTTCGCTATAGCAGCTTCAGTTGAACTGGTCTGAAAGGTAGAAATGGCTTGGCGAGGTACGATCTTGTGAAAACGCCGTTGTAGTGCACCAGCGAAAGCCTGACATGAAGAGTTTTGAACCAAGCTTGGATCGACTTTCAAAACGTTACCACTGTTCGGGCTAGATGCCAGTTCCTCAGGTGGCTCTAGCGCGGTTTCCACTTGCTCGCGTACTCCACTGGTAGATAAAGCTGCGATACTTCTTAAGCGCGAGCACTCAGACTCGAGATCCTTGATTCGCTCCTCTAGCTTCTTTAAATCCGCATCGAATATAACAATCTTGCGTGGTCTCAAAGGGAACGAGCATGCGCTTTCGTGGTTGGACAACACGCATGCCCTACACGGTGGTGTGTCCCCTTGGCATTTGATCTTTTGAATACTGCATCTTGAACATGCCGCTCTCGTACGCCTTTTGACTTTGTCAACACCTGGAACCACTGACTTCTTCGAAGACATAGCAAGTCCTGCTTGTCAACAGACTAGATTATGGTCAATTGCGGAATATCAAAAACAAATTTCTTATCGAAACTATTTATTACAGTTTTATGATTTGGAAATAGAAAATACTAGTTTAACTAAAGAATTGCATACACTTGACGAACTAAGCAATTTGAAGGGGGACTAACAGCTGTAGCTCACGATCGTTTAGTTTGAGATCTAGTCTTTTAATCGCAGTTGAAAATTCCTTCAGTTCTAAATTTACATTACGACTAGCCATCAGACATCCTTGATGAGTCGTGCTTCTAGGCATGTACTCCACTTGCTATCACTCTACCACTATTCTATCCTTTATTAGTTACGTACATAGTACAATTTAGTGAGCAGTCTTTTCGACGGTTGGAAGCTGTTCCAAAGCCATTCTAATGGCATCAACTCCCTTGCTGAGATCCTCTCTTGAAATGACAAGAGGTGGGGCCAATCTGATGATGTGATCGTGAGTAGGCTTTGCTAGCACACCGTTGTCTTTCATCAACAAACATAGATCCCATGCACTTCTACCGTTAGCCTTGGAAGGGTCAATTACAATAGCAGTCAACAAACCTCTACCGCGGACCTCGGAGATAATACCGTTGGAAGCCTTTTGCAACTTTTTCAATTCGGATTGCAAGAACTCACCATTCTCTTGAGCCTTTTGTACCAAATTCTCATTCTTAACCACTTCCAGAGCGGCAATGGCAACGCGCGAAGCCAATGGGTTACCACCGTACGTGGAACCGTGAGACCCTGGGGCAAAGCAGTGCATGATCTTTTTGGAAGAAAGCACACACGATACTGGCAATACACCGCCGGAGATGGCTTTCCCTAGTAGAACAACGTCGGGCTTGACGTTAGGACTGTGCTCGTAGCATAGCATTTTACCGGTTCTGGCGATACCAGTTTGGATCTCGTCGCAGATCAACAGCACATTGTGCTTGCGACACAATTCTTGCACTTTAGTTAAGTAGTCTTTTGGTGGGACCACGATACCGGCCTCACCTTGAATGGGTTCCAACAGAATCGCGGCAATGCGGTCGCCAGCGTTGGCAAAGGCCAACTCGACGTCCTCGACACAGCCGTACCGCAGACTCTGGTTGGAGGTTCCTGGAATCTTTGCAGTGACGTTCTCCACGAAGGGTCCGAAATGCTTGCGGGAGTCTTCCTCGTCGGTCGACAATGACACAGCACCAAGCGAGCGCCCGTGGAAGTTGCCCTCTGCTCCTAGAACAATGGCCTGGTTTTCGGGAATGCCCTTGACGGTGTATCCCCATCTTCTGGCAAGCTTGATCGCGGTCTCGACAGCCTCGACACCGGTGTTCATGGGCAAAACGGACTCGTAGCCGAAATATTCCGTCACATACTTAGCGTAAGCTGAGAAGACTGGGTTGGAAAACGCCCGCGACGATAGCGTCAATTTCGAAGCCTGGTCCACGAGAGCCCCCACGATCTTGGGGTGGCAGTGGCCCTGGTTGACTGCTGAGTACGCAGACAAAAAGTCTAGATATTGTTTTCCCTCAGGATCCCACACACGCGCGCCCTGGGCCCTGTCGAACACTACGGGAAGCGGGTGGTAGTTGTGTGCCGAGTATTCTTGCTCGTATTTGATGGTTTCCTTGGATGACAGGTTCACCTGGACGGAGTACGCTCTGGAGCGCTGGAGAGTGCGTAAAAACACAGGCGTGGACCTAACAGAGCGAAGCATTTAGAGATAGATGTCTGTATTAGAACCGATAGTAAGCTATATCCGAGAGTGTGATCACTGTGAAGATGAATATTCGGAACTTGCCCAACAGTGCTTAGTTTATATGTCCTGCTTTCGCTATCACCACACCACTTCGTACCTACTTCCTATCCCGGAGCACTGGCGCCCTCAACTACTCATAAGGGCTTTTGCTCGCTCTTGGTTTGCCGTCTATTCCACTGCTGCGGTTCATCACCCTACACCTTCGCTGTCGCTAGCGTTTAGCGAACATCGTGAAATTTCCTGAGAAATTTTTCAGTGCTCTTTCACGGCTCATCGCATCTGGGTTGCCTAGCAGGATGTCAAAAGTCCTGGTGGGACGGCTTGAATCTGATCGGGACAACGATCAAGGTTCGCGATCTTGGCGTCGGTGGATTAGGTAGTAAACTTGGAGCTAAATGGCATCGCAGAGCTTGCAGTCATACGCAAGATATTGGCCTGTATCGGCTCTTGGGTGGTTCTGAGTTTACTGTCGCTTATTGGCCGGGCGGAAAAGAAAGATGACCCTTTAGCAGGCGCAAGGCACTTCGTGGGCTATTTGCATTTTATCAAATTGGGCAACTTCTTTGCAAATCTTTGATTCAAGGGAACTTTACGCTTCCCTGGGCCATTTGTACTCTTCCTGGTGTAGAGATTGAACCTTGACGGGCGAGAGCGATCTGGGCTGTAACGCTCTTTTTGCCGTACAGGAGCTGCGAAAGTCAGTGCCTAAGTAAAACAAAAGTCTGGTCTATTTTTTGATTTATAGATTCTATAGAGCCGGGACTACTAAGTTCTTATGCTGAGAAGCACGATAAGGAGACCTTCATCAGTCCTTCTGTTAATGCGAAATATGTGCGGTAGGGTTGCCAGCACTGATCACACCCTCGAGGCTCTCAACTTATCATAGTTGATGACGGCTTGTAGCAACACTTTGAAACCATCCTCGATTTCTTGAGGCGAAGAGTATTCGTAGTAGTTGTGAGAAAGACCGTCCTTAGAAGGAATGAAAATCATGGATGTGGGAACACGGCTCGAGGTTTGGCACGAATCGTGTCCGGCACCGGAATAGATACGTCTAACCTCGCTCTCGTCGAATTGAGCCAAAGCCGATTTGGTGACACAATCAATGCAAACGTCTTGGAACTTAACAGCCTTTGAGGTTAGCAAAACTTCGTCTTCGTAACGGGTTTTGCCGGCCTTCACTAGCTTGTCAAATTCGATCTTGGTGTCTTTGATAATCTCGGTCATTTTCTCGTCTTCTGGATGTCTGAAATCGATGGTGAAAGTGGTTTCGGAAGGAACAATGTTGATGGAGTAAGGCTTCACATCAATAACACCGCATGTGAATAGACCACCGTGACGCTTGGCCACCTCAGCAGCAGCAACGATCATTTGGGATGACATCAACAAGGCATCCTTTCTTAGTCTCCATGGTGTGGTACCGGCGTGCGAACTGACACCATGAACAGTGATCTTTTCCCAGTGGTATGCTTGGACACCAGTGACAATACCAATCTTCTTTTGCTCATCTTCCAAAACAGGACCTTGTTCGATGTGTAGCTCGAAATGCGCGTCAATTTCATTTTCTTTGTAAGAGGCAACGGAGTCACCAATGTAACCAATGTTTTGGAGCGAATCGTGGACACTTTCTGGCTTGTCCTCGTTCACCGAAAGCATATCGTAGGCCTCTTGAAGCTCCATGTTGTGAGCCCACACAGTTGAACCCATGCAGGAGTGCGCGTAACGAGCACCTTCTTCGTTAAACCAGCAAACGACGCAAACGTCGTAGTTTGGAACGAAGTTGTTCTCTTTGAAGGTTCTGAGAACCTCGAGACCAGCCAAGACACCGAGAATACCGTCGTATTTACCAGCCTCGGGTTGGGTGTCCAAATGGGAACCCATGGCGGTGGGTTTGCCACCGTTTTTACCTGCGAAAGTGGCAAAAATGTTACCGATCTTGTCCACCTTGATGGTGCAGCCCAACGATTTACATTCCTCGATGAACCAGTCCCTGGCGGCGCCGTCTTCTTTGGTACCGGCAAGTCTTCTCATCCCGAACTCGTGAGGCTTGTCACCCCAGCGCAGAGCAGGACCGAAACGGGCACCACTGTCCAAGATGGTTTGGTTGAGACGGCCCGACTGGATCCTCAAATCCGCTACCTCAGCCTGTTTGGCAGCCTTTTTGGCAGTGTTAGCATGCGCGGCGGCGACGGTGCTATGCAACTGACGTAAAGTACGGTGTACAGAACCAGTGCTTCTTGGAATACACTTGGATGAAAACTTTAGCATCTTCGGTTGGTAGATTTCCTAGTTACCTTCTAGTCCAAGCTCGATACAAAGGTTTGCGATGCTTCCGACACTCCGTTTCCATCTCTATAAATACGAATTTTGGATTACCTTGGATCAACTTTACCTACTCAACCTCGCCGTACTTCCAAAACCGATCATCTCTCACCTGAGTTCTATCTCTACGCCTTAATGTGTTCAAATCGCCTTGCCATGGTCGAATTGCCTTTGACATTTGACGGCCACCATTGAAATATTTTACCGCTTTATAACGCTTATAAGCAAGCAACGGCGAGGCTGACTACTTCACGGCTAGGACTATTTAAATTCGACTTCATTACAGGATTTAAGTCTCTAAACGTTCTTCAATTCCAAATGCAGGGCTCTTATCACTCTTCGGTAAGTTGTAAAAGTTACCGATCGTGATAGGTAAGTGTTCCCGAAAGAATTTTTCAAGACGACAAGACGGCCTCGCAGTGGAAAACAAGTAAATGAAAACGCCTATATTATGGGAAAAGGATGTAGTTTCTTTCAGAAACCGCATTGCTTTCCAATCGTAGCGTCTTAGCGGCATCTCACAGCATGCTAAGGCTAGCTGTAGACTTTGATGGTTTAAGTCCAGTTTATCGTTTGTGTTTTGTTACTACGCTGCTGTAATTCTTATGATAGGTGCTTCCAACCGTAGTCATTTGCATTGTGCAGAATGGGTTGTTAACGACACCTGTACTGGATTGTTGCGAGGGTGAGGAATTTGCGGCTTTTTGTATTGTGTAGAATGGATTCTTAACACCACAGGCATCGGACTTTTGTGATGGTCAAGAAGGAAGTCGCATATCACAACCAAGCAGAATAAACGCTGGCAAGCGTGCACTATGGTAATTGTAGTAAATTCTTGGTTGTTTAGCAGAGCCGTGAGCGCTCGAAATGATGCATGATTCTTGGCGGTTTTGTCCTTGACGAACGATTAGGATCATCAGCTATCAGTTGTGAAAATGCTACCTTACATCTTGAGCTGCATGGAGTATTTAACTATGTAGCACAACTTGGCACTTCTGTTCAACGTTGTTGAAAGAGCCTCGGATCGGCGAGACCCCATTACGGTTAAGCTCAAATTCCAAAATCAAGGACTCGACTAGTACCACCCAAGGCGGCTGGTAGCTGATCTTTGAGGATAGGGAAGCTCACGCAAGGCAGTCGGCGTAACAAATCAGATAATAGAATTTAAAACATAATATTGAAGCACAATACATATTAATGGTTCCTTTCCGCTTACATAGAGCCCTCATTCCTGACCTGTGCATTAATCCTAGGCGGAACGCTGAACCTAGAAGCACAAGACCCTCTCCAGCGGGCAGGAAAGTGGTACCGAGGTGACTCCAGAGTTGCTTTGTATTGCAATCACAAACTGTATCTGAACTCTGGGTTCTGGAAATCAGTTAGATCGGCGAATTCCGAATTAATGAAAGATGGGTCCAGCTTTTCATTCTTGGCATCGCGAAGTTTGTTTGCCCTTACGTTGACGTAGTACAATGCTATGGTCAAGGCGAGACAGATAACAAAACAAACGACAATAGCGATTTTGGCGCTTCTGTAGTGGGGTGCTTCTGTTGCAATAAAAGTCTGTGGTCCAATGAGGTTACCTACGCAGTACCCGATCATGCAGATGGCACTGGTTACCACTTTCTTAGTGTGGCCTGCAGTGTTGGAAGAGACACAACTAATGAAACAAATCCAACCAATAACGGCCATTCCTTGTAGATAATAACCAGCCAGCTGTGCGTGTGTGCTTGCAGGGAATGCTAGTAGGCATCCAGAGAAGATGTTGAGGCAATAACTGAACATTGCTGCATACATGCGTCTTTGATATCTTTGAGCAATGTAACCGACTAAGACGATGCCCCCGAACTCAACAGCTCCGAATGGCATACCCATTAATAGCGCCTTCGTGGTGGAAAACCCCATGTCTTTCAACATGATGGAACCAAAACTACCAATTCCACCATTAGGAATTTCAGCTGCAACCATAAGGCAAAAGTATAGGTAGGTTCTGATGTCCATGAACACTTCCTTCAACTGGTCCATCTTAAAATGACGGTTTCCGAACCCTTGCTTGTTAGTACGGATTCTTTCCACAGTTAGCAGCCTTTCCTGCTTTGTCAAAAACCAGGCCGTGGCAGGGGTATCGGGAACATGGACCAGGAAAACGAGACCAAGTGCAATTGTAATCACACCAAGAACAACGTAAAGCAGCCTCCAGGAGACCATTGGAAGGGTCTCCGCATTGCGGATAGTGAGGCCGTAGGCAATAAGCGCACCTAGGATAGCTCCCAAACCAGCAGAAGCACTCCAAATCGATGTTCTCAACAGCTGTTCCTCGCGTTTGTACCATTGAGATGTAAGTAGCATAAAGGCAGGTGTCACAGCAGACTCAAGAATACCGAGAATCGTTCTTGTTACGATAAAGCCAGCGTATGTCTTTGGAAGACAGGTCATACAAAGCACAAAGCCCCACAACAAAATGAAAATGCCGCTCGTTTTGGCTATTGGGAACCGCTGAAGGGCGAGAGAGCTAGGAATTTCGAATATCATGTACCCAAGGTAGAAACTTGTCCCTACCCAACTGTACTGATTGCCTACCATGTTCAGATCTTCTCTGAGACCCATAATGGATGCGTACGAGTTTGTCTGCTTGTCCATGTATTGGACCGCATAGACGACACTCATCATTGTACAGATGAACATATCGGCCTTGCGAAGCAGCTTTTTGTTGGTAGCTTCGTCGACTTCAAGGCCAAGCGACTCATTCGCGACCTTCATTCCCAAGTCCACATCCCCCCTGTAGTGAAGAGTGTTCTCTTCTAGTTCACCCAAGCTGATCACATCCGTGAGTGACTTGCCGTCGTTTCGCTTTTCAGGTAGCTTCTCAGAGGTACTTCCAATTGTTTCCATCGCGATGCTGGATGTCATGTTCGAAGTCATGTTCGATATCTTGTTCGATGCTGACTTTGAAGGTTGATTATTAGACGATAGATGACTTGCCGACAGCCTTTTATAACTCAAAATGCTAGCATCATGCTGTTCCATTTTGGTAAGATAGTTGTCATCTAAACTACTTGTCGTTCTGATCGGGGCAAGCTTAGATCTTTGCAACTAAGAACGACCGCTTTATCACGAGATTGAGGTTCGGTAAATTTGAAAATTCCCGATTTGTAGTTATCAAGAACAATGATATCAGTAAACGCAGGCAAACATGTGGAAGAACTAAGAACGGGATCTTAAATTTCGACCTATCAATCAGATTGCATCAGTGATTTTTTCGATAGTCTGTAAAAGGTTAGATTTCTCGGGTAATCTGTGTCCTAGATTGGTGATCGAACTAATCTGAAGGGAGACACTTTCCCTGTCTAAAGATTCACAAAGGCTTGCACACCAGTACACTTTGAATCGAAGTTATCAGATTCCTAGCAAGCGAGGATAGGTGGAGTGGATCGGTAGTGGTCTTCTGTTACCGTAGATATCGCTGTAGCTTGAAGCTTGGTATTTTGCCAAGGACTTTCTGGCGGCATTCGCCGAAAAGCTTAGCGCTGCTTCCGGGCATGTGCGTGTTGCCCGGCGGACGAGAAGAAGCTTAAGTTTTTTTGAGATGCTTTCATTCGATATGGCCAAACCAACGTAGTATGATTCTACGCCCAAGTCAACTGGAACTGCAATGAGATTCGGAACTGACCCCGAGGCCTTGTCGCAAGTTGTATGATAAATCTTTCTCTATGATCAGCCCTCTGCTGTAGCTACCAAGACTGAGAGTTGTTGTGTTGGCGTTGCATTCACTGAGCCACGGCAGGCTGGAAGCACGAGGTACGCTCGAACTGTTGAACGTCGTCGAGCGCTACGCAATTCGATGTTAGGTTCTGTAGGTTTGGTGATGGTCTACGACTGTTAAGCGATATTTAAGACATATTCACGTGATAAAGCCACCAGTTGCCTTGCGCTATACAATCCTAGACTTTTGATAAAGCTTGGCATTGCCAAGCTCGGCTGATATGCATGTTTGAATATTCACTAAAATTTGAGTTTACCTTGACAGTGAGCATAAGGCCTTTGAACTATGCTTACATACTGAAAGGAGAAGACAACTAGGTACCAAAAAAAATAAGGCATTCGTTAGCCTCTTATTCGTCTCGTTCTAAATATATGGCGATTTCCATCTAGTTCAGGAGAGCTCCGTTCGTGAGATATATTTCCAATTCGTAGTCAGGCTGCATTGAGGCGTATAAGCTCTTGGGATTCGATATGGTGTTGAATGCGCTCTTGGCAATTTTATCCGATATAACTCGTTTCGAGGCACCGGGGAAATTTGCTGCCGCATTTGCAAGTATTTGAGCCTTGCACATGTTTTCAAGAAGTATGTGCAAATATCCGGCCTCGTCGACGGTCTTCCCAAACGTCATGACACCGTGGTTTTGAAGAATTACTGCCATCTTATCGCCAAGCGCAGCGGCCACCTTCTCACCCTCCACTTCATCAAGTCCCACGCCGTCGTATGAATCCAAGATGGCAACGTTATTATGGACTAAACAACTATCTTGCGACATCATCTCAGGCTCGGTGCCAAACACTGAGTAGGTTCTGGCATAGAAAGAGTGAGCATGACAAATTGCTTCTACATCAGGTCTAGCCTTGTGTAATGCAGAATGAACTTTGAAGCCTGGCTCGTTGAACGCCGCCATGCTTCCTCCGATTGCTTTCCCCTCAGAACTTACCTGAACAAGATCGCTTGCACTGATCATGGAGAAATGGACGCCTAAAGGATTTATCCAGTAAGATGAGGGATCGACAGGATCAACAATGGTAACATGGCCAGCACAACCTTCGTTGAATCCTTTTCTGCCGAAGACGCGAAGGACGCCTGCCATGTGTTGGAGCATCCACGCCCGTTTGTCGTGTGGATCTGTGAAGGTTGGGATATCCAATCCTTTTATTCTGGGCGCTGTTTGCGGTTTCGAGTTTGTGGTGGTCATCTGTAGTGTAGGGAAGCTGTAATGTTTTGGTCAAGTCAATCAATCTTGTCCGTTCTTCAAAGATTCATCCATCTTTTATCGATTATATATATTCTTGTCAACTTTCCATGAAATCATATATATTTTGATTAGCTCGGAAAGAAAGAGTTTGGGCCGATCTTGGCAAAAGCACGAGCAAGTCTAGTTACATGGCAGCCTCACGAAGTTGAACTATCTTCGTTTCTCCGAATATGCTTGCCAGGGAAGCTGAGTCAAACAAACGGAAGACAAAGCGCTGTCCGCACATCCATTTTCTGGAGGGACACCTTTTCTACCCGATCTTCCCTTTGTATCTTTCGTTGTTTATAATCTTATCGTATGAATTGCTTATCTTTTGTGTGGAAGAATCTCCGTTTCGATCATCTAACAGCTTGGTGTGGGATGAACAGTCTGTAGGCCAAGAAGAACGGAACTGACAGAGCCCTGCTTGTTGGAGATTACACAGGCACTTGAGACTACTGTATAGTTGCAGATCTCTTTACGCTGTTAATTCGTCGTAGTTATTCACGGCGTGTAGACACAATGTCAAACTTGAAGAAGAAAACATTATTCAGAGGTGTGAAAACCTTAACTAGATCAAGCGGTGAGATACGACTCATTGCCAAACTGTTGGACCATCAAAACACTATTCAAGGATGAGAAATAAACTTCATGCAAAGATGAAAGCCTCAACGTTGCAATTTGCGAGGATCAATGTAGCTTGATCTTTGTATTTACTTCGGCGAGAAAAGCCTAGACATTACTATTCGTGAAGATCAATGGGGTAAGACGTTTGATTTTAGTCGGCGTGGAAAGCTTAGGCATTATTGAAAGATATGAAAGCCCAAACGTTACCATTCGCCGAGATTAATGTAGCTGGAATTCAAGCCGGTGACTCACTTGAACTATAAGTCACAGCGTGTGGACTCAATGTTTAACTTTCTGACGAAGAAAGCACTGTCCAGAATTGCGTCAAGCTTGGAAACTATCCAAAGATATAAGAGCTTATAGTTTATTCAAAGACATAAAAGCTAGGACTTTATTCCAAGATATAAAAGCTTAGAAAATACAGTTTGCCAAAGTAAACGTAGTTAGATCTTTGATCAATTCGGCGACTCAACGTCCAGCTTTCTGACGAGAAAACACTACTCAGCTGTGAAATGCCTGGGGGTTACAGTTTACACAGATTAATGTAGCTGACTCGATGCCTAAATTTCTGAAGAACAAAACACTACTCAGAGGTGTGAGCTAAACCTAATTTAAGAAAATGGAAAGCCTAGACGTTACGATTTGCCAAGATCAATGTAGCAAGATCTTTAATTTACTCCAACTGTCCAATGTCTAACTTTCTGACCAGAAAAGACTATTCAGAGGTTTTAAAAGTCTAGACGTTGCAGTTTGCGAAAACGTAGTTACACTCAATAACATTCCGCGTGAAAAGCCTAGACGTTACACTTTGCCCAGTACCTGGACATTTAACTCACTACAACGGCTGCACGTGCCTCAAGAAACAATCCGCAGCTACTCACGAACTGGCCGACTACGAGCACTCTTATTTCGTGGTTTGTTACTGTGACACGGCAATTACGGACTCCAACAAGTGACTGGAGCGCTCATCCAGCCAGAGCTCTTGTTTACGGCCATAAATAAAAATATCAACTCTGGGCGAGGCGGATACGCAAGGCGCGCCGAGTTCATGCGAAATTAACGCAGATCTCCCACGGTCTCAATACCTGATTCACGTTCACGTAACCGATCCAACAATAGTAACAGAATACAGCAAACGTGTGCCCTTAAATTTCCATCACAAAACGTGGCACCCGTGTCATTATATGGTTCAGACGTACCCAGTGACCGGAAGTACAAATCACTTTGTAGATTTCTGGCGCCCGGCCAAGAACGATGGATTCCACGGTACAGTGCACCCGTCGGGCCGCGAACCAGGTGCGACGGACAAGGGTGCAGACGTCGGCGAGGCGTGTGTGCCGAAGGTGTGCCTAACGTGTGCGCGTTTTAGCCCGCCCCATTCGCACCTGCAAATACTCCAGGTCCGCGAGCACTTGTTCGCGACCAATACATCTTCTCGTCCGTCGCCCGCAAGGTAGAGACAGGCAGGCATTGCCAGCTTCCGGACCTGGGTCTTGCTTGAAACCAACGATTCCGGCATAAAGTCACGTGCCGCCACACGCACACCTACCCAGGATTTCACCTTGTTTGCTGTCCTCCCTCTATCTCCCTCCATCGCTCCAAAGTCACGTCGCCGTGTCTCAAGGTCCTCATGACCCGCCCAAAACATGGAGTGCCAACATGTCTCTAAATTTTTCCCACACTCTCACGCTTGCTCTGCACAATAGAACAGAAGCATCTGGAAATTGCTTAGTCGCATGCTGCCGCAGCAACGACGCCAAAACAACAGTAAATAATGCAATGCTAGAAATCACTCTGTTTTGATAATAATAATAAAAACCACTGTTGACATAACCGGGTGTGGCAACATTCGGCTCATTTCCCGGGCTGGCTCTTCGCACGCTTTCACCGTGGCTCGTTTGACCTTATGACCAATGTTGAAAAAATTTTATGCCTTGTAACTCGGAGTCATAGATAATATTTGCAATCAATCCCACCCAGCACCTAGGTAATCATATCCGCACAGGTGTGGTTTTTGTCTTAGTCAGTCGATGACACACCACGATGGGTGATGAGCAATCTTAAGAACGCGGTAGATATATAATGAGAACAATGTAGCGATGTGGAGATGTTTTCGAGAAGGATTAAGTATACAGTTAGTTTAGAAAGCACAAGTATTCAAAGGAACAGCCTGGAACACACTAGAAGCCTGGACAAGAGAACCGTTTTATTAGGTTTAGTCACAGGAGAGATTTCACAGCTTGAAACAGTTAGCATACAAATAGAAACACAAACGCAGAAGCGCACCCACACAACACATACACACTCAAGAATCGAACGCAATGACATACAACTCGCAAGACCTACAGGACGAAGTATTCTCCTTCTCGCTCACAAACGACACGCCGGCTTTGCTGCATAGTCCCAGCTCGCTTGGATCCACGGACGCCGCAGACATGACTACACGACGACGACTTTCTGATAGAGTCGCCAGGGTTCGGCGCCATGGCCACCGAAGATGACGAAGCTGTTTGCGCTCGACAACGAGCTTTCGATGCTTCCCAGATCGTACGATGGCAAGGCCACATCGCTTGAGGCGGTGGCCTTGTTCCCCAACCAAGACGAGTTCGCCAACGCGGCTCAAGACAACTACAGACTATGGTTGGCCGGCGTATAGCCGGACGCAGTAGTCAGTCAGTCTACAAGTCATGATGAGATAAATGGGAACACGCACACACGATAACACACAAATTAGCATAAATTAAATCGAAAAAAAGGTTACACACTCTATGGAGATACATAGCTAGCTTAAGGCACTTTATAAGTTTAATGGGATAACAACTGGGATAAAACGGTATGTTTCGCGACTTTTTATGGCTTGTAGGTGGCCGTGCGGCTTGGTGGAGCGTAATAAGTAGTCTACATAGTTTAAAGTATTAGTACACAAGTCGATGGAGCCATGGGAAGAACGTGGTATAGGTGGGAGTGAAACGAGGAGTGCGCGACTTTCCCTAGAGATTGGAGTTTTAGACGCATGGGAGCGCGCTGCACTGTGTGATTGTGGAGTTTGACGTCTAACTACTGCACATCTGCCTGGAATCTACTTTCTGAATTTAGTGGTTTCGCTTCGATTTGCAAAGCGCTTGCTCTCCCAGCCGCTCATGCTTTTGAAGATCTACTTGCTTATCACAACAGGCTCAATAGAAGCAATGCTGAGAAAAATCCCAACGATTTCGCAGTTTTCAAGATGACACCGCAATATGACAAATATTTCGTGGACCAAGACTCGTGTGTAAAAATAGCTCTAAATGTACTTGTCCAATGCGCGCAGTTTGCGGGACCCATTGAATAGATATCAAAGAGTGCAGGACGGAGTCAAGAAAGTAGCTCAGCAACTGAACATGCCAGCAACCATTGCCAATCACCCTTAGCCAATTACTTTGATTCATTACCCACCTCTGATGAAAATTACCTCACCTTTTCAAGCTCCGTTTTGCTTCCAATGGGTCTTCAATTCCGCTTTTTCAGTATTCAAATTTGAACTAAAACCTCACATAGATGATACACACTAAACTACTCTTGGCGAAAGCAAACCGAATCAGCGCGAATCAGTGAAACATCATTGGTTGACCGCGGCCATGGTTATTTTCTCTTCTTGCTGACGCGAGTCTGTTCCAACAATTGAACAATTGCTAATATCCGAGGCTCGTTCTTCCATAATCGATTGAGTAGGTGTACCCGTAGATGTTTTCCGTGGCTTTCTTCAATATGAAGACTGGAATCTAGCCACTGGGAGTAAATCACCGGTATTGATACATGCTTCGGTTATACAAGTTCTGTCGTGGAGGATTGTTAGACTTGATTAAAAGTACCAGCCTCCATTCCTCGGACGCAATGGTACCGAAACGACGTGACTGTAGGCACCAATTTCTAGGCTTCAGCATTCTTATTCACTGTCCGAATCGACATGCTGAGTTGAATTCAGCTTTGTCACTTTGTACACTTTTGTCATTATGCAGCTTGGCACTATCATTTCGTGCATCCCATGAAAATGGAGCAAACCACCGAAACTCGGCACAATCTTTCCTTGCGAAATGGAGTAAGCCCCAGAGATTATGACTGCTACATTAAGATGGTATAGATAATGAACCTACTCAGAAGTAGGGGACGTGAGTGAACACAGGTGTATGAAGTAGTGGGCGCAGTACTCATTTTTGGCAAGATACACCAACTCTTAGCTAGTAGCCTACCTTTCTTTCTCTTGAACCACCCAGCCTCAGCATCATCATTAGATATATGAATCTCTATGTTAAGTCTGGTTTCTGACCATTGCCACCCTGCACCGTTCTGTTATTATGCAGCTTTGCACCACCATCATTCACATCACCACACTTCTCCACCTTTGGACCCTTTAGACTACGGGAAGCTCTTAAGGCTTCTGTTTCGACAAATTGGGACTCGTTTGTCAGAGGAACTGTTAAACTTTTTTTGCGCGCATGCATGGCCTGAGATCATGATGGTCAGCCCAGTGGACAATAGACAATCTTAAACGAGTGAATGTCATGTTGAATACCGTGTCATGGCCAATATGCGCTGTGAGTCATAGGTATACTTTTGCCAGGAACAATCCCTTCTCGTCTTGACTCTGTTGATCTTCATTCTACAGTTGATGTTGAAACGAACACAGCGGCACGTGAACACGATGACAGAGAAGGACAAAGCGATATAGAAGCCACCATCGCGCCCTTGCCCATGAACACTTGCGGCTATCTCACGTATGTGCATAGGAATTTCCTCTGTCATTGAAGTTTAATCATCGCGCTGAGAGCGCTTCCAAATTCGAAGAGCGCGCAGTTTCGTTTCGTGACAGCCAGGCACCAGGACCGCAGGTATAAGCGCGTAACAACAGCCAAGCTCGCACTGGCATAACCACTACCCAACAATCCGCGCACTTGCTATACAAAACGCTCAAAGCCCAACCCAGAAAATTCGCCCTCGCATACCGACGACAGAAAAGTACAGAGTGACACACCCTCTGCTCCACCTCTAGACGATCAATTGCGCTCTCAAAACACGTGTCTCTTCCTTGCAGGGCTCCCGCCCATCGCTGGTCCCATTTCCCCACCAATCAGCACCCTCACAACCAGTGCCTGATTGTCACAATCGCTAATCATTACTCGTATCGAACCGCAAACAGGACTGTATTCCTCTTCGGACATTGCACTACGCTTAGCTTCCGCACTGCCGCTTTCCTGAACTATTCCTTTATCGCATGTTCCATTGCGTTTCTCTTCCGTATTTTGGCACGAGCTGATCAACCCTTGTTCCGCTTGCTTCCTTGACTACTATTCAATCCTCCGGGGCGGTTTCCACAGCAAACTGAGCTGGAGTTGAGAAAAAAATATGAATTAGGGCGGATCGATTTTTTTAGGGGTGAGATGCCCGATCTGGGTATATAAGGGCAGAGCTGAGTAAAGTGTGGAGTTTAAAGCTTGGAACCACTTGTGAAAGAAGGCAAGGACAACAAGCGAGACTTCGAGGAGCGCCGTGAACTGACCAGACTGGATAGTATAGATTTCAGATACAGATATCAGCCAGCGACGTGAAAAGCAGCTTAGCGAGGAAGACCGCCGTATAAACAAACCTCAGTCGTAGAAAGTGCCCAGCGCTCGAAATATAAGCGCCCACGCACACGTGATACGTACAAAACGAGAATATAATCGAGTCATCGCGCAAGGATGTCGCAGGTCTACAAGTCGGAACTTAAGGACCAGTTCGTGGACGCAACGCTGGAGGAGCGCCGGCTGCATGAGAACAAGACGCACGAGAAATACTGGCTCAAATGGGGCCCGTATCTCAGCGAAAGGGCTTGGGCCACGGTTCGCGAGGACTACTCTCTCAGCGGAGACGCGTGGACGGCCTTTCCGTTCGAGCACGCCGCCTCGCGTGTATTCCGGTGGGGTGAGGACGGTATCTTCGGCGTCTCCGATAATCGCCAGCTGATTTGTGCCAACCTGGCCATGTGGAACGGCCACGACAAGATTCTCAAGGAGCGTATGTTCGGCGTAACGGGGCCGCAGGGAAACCACGGCGAAGACGTCAAGGAGCTGTACTACTATATCGACAGCACTCCGACACACTCGTACATGAAGGCTCTTTACAAATATCCATTTGCCAAAGCGTATCCGTACGACGAGCTCGTGGCCAAAAGCGGCGAGCGTGGCTACCAAGACCGCGAGTTTGAAGTATACCAAATCGACGGACTCTATACCAGCGAGGAACATGGCGATACGCCATATTTTGATGTAGTTTTCGAGATGGCTAAGGGCGATGATAACCCGAACGATCTGAATTTCAGAATAACTGCTTACAACCGAAGTGACAAGAGGGCGGGTGAACTATATTTAATGCCCCAGGTTTTTTTCCGCAACACTTGGGGCTGGTGTCGTAAAACCGCCTATAAGCCTCAGCTCTCCAAGGGTGGCAACAACTACATTGATTTGCAATCGGACAAATATGGCCACAGAACTGCAGTATTTGCGCCATCTCCAGGAGGATTTGGCGAACAAGATATGGACACTCAAGACGTGGAACCCCAACTGCTATTTACGGAAAACGAATCGAACCTGGAGAAACTATTCGAAAGTGGTCCCAACCCTGCGCCTTTCGCAAAAGATGCCTTCCAGGAGTACGTAGTGGAAGACAACAAAGAGGCTGTTAACCCAGAAAATGTAGGAACCAAGAGTTGTGCCGTTTACCATTTCCCAAAAGTCCCACCGGGCGAGTATGTTACCATCAGGTACAAACTGACCGACATGGAGCTACCCAAATATAACGATGAATTGGTCATTGACGAAGAGGAGTTTGATTCGATTTTTGAAAGACGTGAAGAAGAAGCTGATAATTTCTATTGGAAGATCACTCCTCTCCACATTAGTGACGAACTCAGACGTGTGCAAAGGCAGGCTTTTGCGGGTCTCATGTGGTCCAAACAATTTTACCATTTCATTCAAGATCAATGGTATAATGGTGATCCCAACGTCAAACCTCGCCCTCCTCCAAATAGAGCCAATGGCAGAAACAAAGATTGGAAGCACATGTACACTGATGATATTTTGTCGTTGCCAGATAAGTGGGAGTACCCCTTTTTTGCATCTTGGGATACTGCATTCCATTGCATTCCTTTGGCGATGGTGGACCCTGAATTTGCCAAGCGGCAGTTAGATTTAATGACTCGCGAATGGTATATGCATCCGAATGGACAAATGCCAGCTTACGAATGGAATTTTAGTGATGTAAATCCTCCCGTTCACGCCTGGGCTGTGTACCGGGTATTCAAAATTGAGCGGAACATGTACAAACGTGAAGATCGTGTTTTCTTGGAGAGAGTCTTCCAGAAGCTACTCCTCAACTTCACCTGGTGGGTAAATCGAAAGGACTCAAATGGACAAAACGTTTTCGAAGGTGGCTTTTTAGGCCTTGATAACATTGGTGTTTTCAACAGATCCGAGCCTCTACCAACCGGCGGTACTTTGGAACAAGCGGACTCCACTGGATGGATGGCTTTTTTTTGCTTGCAAATGCTCAACATTGCATTAGAATTGGCAAAGGAAAACCCTGTTTACGAAGATATTGCATCCAAGTTCTTTGAACACTTCATTTTGATTAGTGACGCCATGTCTTTCAACTACACTAAAAATACCGAGAGCGAAGAATTTCAAGAGGAAATAAAGGAGTCTTTATGGAACGAAGAGGATCAATTTTATTATGATGCTATTTCGTGGGGCGGTCCGTTCAAGCAGCAGTTACCTATTAGATCTCTAGTTGGATTGATCCCCTTATATGCCTGCATGACATTAGAACCCCAAGTCCTGGACAAATTCCCAAGCTTCAAGAAACGTGTCGATTGGTTCATAAACAACAAGCCTGAAGTGTTTGGGAGAAATATTGCTTCGATGGAGAATAGAGGAATTGGTGACAGATTGTTGCTGTCGCTGGTGACTAAAGAAAGGTTAGAAGCAATTCTTCGACGTATGTTGGATGAGAGTGAATTCTTATCCGATTTTGGTATTAGGTCTTTGTCTAAGTACCATGAAGAGCATCCATTCACAATGGATGTGAACGGTAATCAGTATACCGTGAAATATCTTCCCGGTGAATCAGATTCTGGTATGTTTGGCGGAAACTCGAACTGGCGTGGGCCTATATGGTTTCCAGTGAATTTCTTGCTGATTGAATCTCTTCAAAGATTTTTCCTGTATTACGGTCCCGATTTCAAGGTGGAGTGTCCGGTGGGCTCTGGGATATATTCAAATTTGGCCGAGATAGCGGAAGAGTTGGAACATAGGTTAATTCACTTGTTTATGCCCGATGAAAGTGGTGCTCGCGCAGTCTACAATGGTGAACACTCAGATATGTTGTCCAAAGACGAATATTTCAAGGACCTAATTCCATTTTATGAGTACTTCGATGGCGATACCGGGAGGGGTTTAGGAGCTTCCCATCAGTGTGGATGGACTGCTTTGGTGGCCAAATGGATTCATGACGCAGGCGTCTCTTGTATCCGTCTGCCACGCAGCTCCAGAAACTCCGTTTGTGTTTCTACAAACACTAGCATTTCCTCACGTACTTCGTCTCCTGTCAGACCTGGATTGGGACGGATGGCGAGACGTAAAAGCGCAAAGTCGCTTGTTAATTTGACAGGTACGTTACTGGACTTGACTGAAGAGGAAAAACAAATGCACCGCTTAGGAAACGTTAGAGACCGCTCTGCTTCGACCGAAGTAACGCCAGACGAGTCGGGAAAGCTACCAGAATCCGCAAAACCTTCTGACCGCCAACCAGATGATAGTGGCTCAAGAGCTCCTAGCACGCATAACTCGGAAGCCGCTGTAATTGATGACCTGAAAAAGAAAATGTCTACCTTTTCTCTGAAAAACGATGCCAAAGAGAGGGCGGACGAGGAGCAGCTTGTCAACGCGCGCGAATGAAATTAAAAGCGGAAAATGCTAGCTTCGAAAGTGATTCTTTCACATTTTAGATACATTTCTACTGATATATAAGGACATTTGATATAAGGTCAAATGCAATGAATAAAAAAAACAAAACTCAACGGTCTTGGCACATACTGTGGTTGAAATACCAGCATTTACTCTTGACCGAATCCCACTAAGCGCCCATTAGATCCGTGATTATACTTCATAATTTATCGCACATGCGCATCGCAATTAGCGTACAATCCTAGCGGTGCAAGTTTTCATAGACCACTTGACAACGGAACAACTTTAATTGACCCTCCAACTTGTTAACAAAACTCGTATGTGACTCTTAGTAGGTGCGTGTACCGAAGCGGCAGCTTGCTAGTTATGAAGCCCTCTCTAGTTCAAAACGCTTCTAATAAACGCCTGAAACTCACGCTCAACCATAAATATAGCTTTTTGCGTATGTAGGGGCTGTTCGTCAAGTGAAATTAGCACTAATCACGCTTACCATAGCGCTTGTACCAACAATGAACATGATGATAGGAAACGAAGTCTTTACAATTGACCGCATGCTACCATTGTCACAATCTTACGATCACGAAACTTGTTTCGATCGCATACCCTTTGTACATTAAAGATTCCCTTCCAATCGATTGATATTCTTCAATCTCTTATCAAATTACTTGAACTTTGCGAAGAGCACAAGCAGAATCAGTATTATCAAAACCGCGATGATTGCGTAACTAATAAATTTGTTAGCAACCAGTCTTCTGCTCATGGTCTTTAGTGTGCGGATACTTTTGTCAACATATGAGTCTGCTTGAAACAGAGTTTGTCTTGCGTTTTCAAGGGTTTCTCTTTGCGCTCGAAGGTCCATCATGACTTGAGACCCCACATTTTCGGTGTCCACGGCCGTACGTGTCGCATCTCGCAGTTTATCGCCTGTGCGCGACAAAATTGCATGATTGGAGAGCATCTGCTGTCTCTGACCACCATCCTGTGGCAAGCCATCGGCACCTGGAACCCCTTGAAATAAGAGATCTCTATTGCGAGAATCTGTAAGCTGTTGCAGCGGTGCTTTCACATCATTGTGAACCTGTTTCTTGTAATCCCGTAGCTTTGCTTTGAACGCGCTGCGGCTTTGGACTTCCAAGGCGCCGTTGTTGACCTCGATGTCCATCTGGTCGATCAAATCCAGGAGCTCATCTTGCTGCTGTTCAACTTCTTGCAAAGTACTATTCCTTTGGCTCACTGGCTGGGTTGGCGCCACAGAGAGAAGTGTCTTACTTTGCTGAAGCGTATTCTTGAATTCTGATTCGTAATTTGAAAGTAAAGTAGTCATTATTTTGAATTTGAGGACTCTCAGGGAGTGAAGTTAGGGTGTATGTAGTAGTAATGTTCGATTTTGAGTTGTAAAAGTTCGAAAGCCGAACGTGAGCTTGAGTGTAAATGTACTCGCCCGAGGACGGAAACTGCCAAGCATAAGAGAACGGCTTGTCTGGAATGAAAGAAGTATAGTGACGGCACTGGCTACATCAGCAGTCGAGCATGTATTTTAAGATAAATGCAATGAAAAACGTCGGATTCCTTCAATTAATGACGGGTGCTAGCTGGTTTCGTGGAGTAGAATAATACAAGAATATCATTGAACTACTAAAAGTGTCACGGCGAATGCTCAAAACCGCGTTTAAATGTGATACGTATGACACCCATTTCGGCGCGTTCTGACTCCGAGAGATGGGCTTATTTTATCGTCACCTCTCACGTATCACTACAATGAGTTGGTGCTCACCAGAACCCACTAGCAGGCAAGCCTCTACTAATAGTAATATTCACGTTGAAACCACGAGAAAGCTGACAAAGAAAAGCTAGTGTGCCTGACGACTTCGACGGATAAAACCTCAAAACAAAAATACGTGTTGTGCAACATAATGAATTCGCTATCAACCGCACGTATAAAACGACATATAGTATTTCGCTATCAAGACAAATCTTGTAAAACTATCGCTGGCTTTTTGTTTATGTGGTTAATAAGTGAGTAGTTCATATACCGACTGCGCTATGAAGTAAATTGTTAGCCTCGCAAAGAGACTAAACTGTTGCTTATCTCCTTGAGATATCCGCTAACCTCCGCTGGCTCTACCTAGTCAAAATATATATTTGAGAATATCAATACCGAAAAAAACTGAAATTAATAGCCAGTAGTAGTCATCAGCGAAGCCAAAATAAAGTCCAGCTCATCTAAGAGTCTCAAGATAACCCGTTTTCCATGCTTAGGATTGCAGCCTTTTCGAGACTTGTTTCCCGTAGCTCGCTCACAGCCGGTCGTGCAATGCCTAAGACCATGCCTCAGGCATTAGGGCTCTCACTCACCCCGGTGAGATTCCACGGTCATGTGCATAAGCCAAAGCCAGGCGAAGAACTTCACGTAACTTTCATTTTAAAGGACGGCACACAGCGGAAATACGAGGTATGCAAAGGCGACTCACTCCTGGACATTGCACAGGCCCACAACTTGGACATGGAGGGCGCTTGTGGAGGCTCGTGTGCGTGCTCTACTTGTCACGTGATCGTCGATCCCGAATACTACGATGCTCTTGAAGAGCCGGACGACGACGAAAACGACATGTTGGATCTGGCTTACGGGCTGACCGAGACCAGCAGATTGGGGTGCCAGATAAAGATGAGTAAAGACGTTGACGGGATTCGCGTCGCGCTGCCTGCGTTGACTCGCAACGTCAGCAACGCCGATTTTGAGTAGAGAAAGAGGTAACAAAAATATCAACGAAGAGAGGAAAAAGCAGTGCTTAAAACCAACTGTAAATACCCACATCACAACATTAGACTCTATTTATTAGCCTGCGATTTCTCTCGCCGCCCGTTCAACCTTTATATATTCAGCTTCTTCTAAGTCAGCTCAGCTCGACAGTTAGTTATTTTACCGTATGTAGTGCGCTGACACCTTTAGCTCTGATTTCGATGTTTACGTTTCGATGTTTACCAAACGTGTTCACGCAACTGAAGCACGATAAAGTGCGGCATACTTTGCTTTGAGACCCAAACTAGGCTTGTTTTTGCTTGTATATTGACTCGCCCGACGATTGAGGGTGATCGGGAAGTTTTTGTAGGCGAATTTTTTGTCGTGTCCCTGTTTCAGCGCCAAACGTGTTTGTCAGACAGCTCTGAAACGTGAATGGGCCACACCAGAATTCCGGGTATTTCAACCCACAAGCGGCCACTGGCCACATTTGAGTCCCTAGGAATGCCCTCTAAGAGAACCCATATTTTAGAGGACGTCACAAACACCACTCCGCTAGCAGATCAGGCGAAAACTAACCGCTCAAAACTCACGATGTCTTCCATAGTGGCTGATCCAAATGCCCGACTCATGAACAGATACTACTATGGTGATCCTAATGTAATCGAAGAAGTGAAGAAGCGGGAACGCAAGATAGCGCGCGATATCCAGCACTTCCGCAAATCCATCGCAGAGATTGACACAGAAACCAAGCTTGTACGAGAGAGGAACCTGCCAGATTTGAGATACGAAAATTCCAAAAAGAGTGCGCTTTGTAATGAGTTGCGTAAGGATCTGATACAACTGACCACCGATCTGGATGAGAAAGACAAAGACTGTGACGTTTTGAAGTCAAATTGGGAGCTCGAAGCTCAGCATACCCAACTAGAGCACAAAGTTAAGTTACAAGAGGTTCAAAATGAACTGGATAAAGATAAGAGAGATTTAATTTCCGAGTGGGAAACAAAACTGCGAGAGATTGAAAATCACAAACCTGATCCTGAAGCTCTTAGGGATTTGGAAAGATACCAAGAGGAAAAACTTCAATTAGAAAAAGAACTTAGGTCTTTAAGCATTGAAAATGCAGATAGCTGTCGACAAAGAAGCCGTGAATTGGAAGCTGGATTGGAAGAGTTTTGGGCCAAGAAGAAGGAACCTCTACGAGAGCTGCGAACGAAGAAAGACGAACTCCAAAGCGAGATTACCGAACTCAAAAATGAGGCAGTTTCAATAGAATCACAAATTGATCTGACCACTGAAAATTGCAATCAGCTAATGCTACAAATTTCAGAGATAAAATCTCTGCTTGCAGAGTGCTCGGAACACGAAAACCAACTAATGGACGCAAAAAACAAGGCCGAGCTAACATACCTAGAAACCAAGTTTGTAACAGACGAAATTCAAACGAAGGCACTCGAAGTGGAGTTGCGATATAATGGCGAATTTGACAAAATGGAGAAGGAACAAACGAGAAGAAGAACCATGGAAAACTCAATCGATGAGCTTAAGGGTACGGTACGATGCTTCGCGTTTATTGGGGAAGACGTTCCAGATGCCTCTGTGATAGATTATTCCCATAAAAAGATATCTGTTGAAGACACAGTGCCTTGTTCATTTAGCAGGATAATACCAAGAAAATTAGTGTCAGAGGGAGATTTAATAGGTCAGGAATGTCGAGCGTTCTTCGAGGTGTGCGTTGCCAAGCGGTTGAACTTTAATGTCGTGTCCCTACCGACTGGACGACAATCGCTGCTGAGAGATAAGTTCTTAAACTACCTCATTGAAAAAGGTAAATTTAAGTTGAAGGCTCAATACGTGGCGCTCTCAGAGAAAGCCGCTTCATCTGATTTGTTTTTTAAATCCAAAGACGGGGATGATAAAGAGATTCAGTTAACTATCAAAGAAGACTCAATTGAAATGAACTCTACAACCCTTGAACTAAACTCAACACAAGATATCACTAACAGCTTCGGCCAGCTCCATGCTCAAGCAGGTTCCGACAACATAGGGATATTGAAAATCGAAATCTGGGAAGAGCATAAAAAATGCTGCGATACATATTACCTAGAGATCAATGATGTTCAGACCGTCAAGAAAATGAGCAGTCTACCCAACATAAACCATGCCGCCAAGACTCCCATTTTCATAATATTACAAACGCTTCTTCTGAAGACCAGGTCTCTTTTTCTCTTCAACCTTTTTGATGAGAACACTACTGACCCACAGATTATCTTGGAGTCTGCTCAGCGTATCGGTCAAATAGAAGTCCCGCGAGTACATGTCGAAGATCGAGAGACCTAAATAAATCCAATTTTTAATGCATTGTACACTAAAAGGCTGTACAACCTTCAGATGTAATGATAATGAAACACGTAGTACTCTGAATCTTCTATCAGTCTTTTGTCAGGATCTGCTTTATGAGCCATTTGAGCTCATCCCGACTTCCCACATTCTTATCATCAACAGGTGTGAAATTTGGCTTTTCATCCAAAAAGTCAGGAAGATCATCAATACTACTTTTTGTATTGACAAGTTCATCATCATTCATCAAACCACACATGTTCAAGTTTAAATAAGCACCGGTTGGGGCAACCAAATTCGGGTAAATGCTCAATGTCTCAGACATTTCCTCATTTGATATTGATCTGATGTCGTGGCTTGGCTCGCCATCCTCGCCCATTTGACTTTCATCATCCCCCGTTACTCCTTGATAGAATCCATCATCATTCAGATCGTAATAATCTGAGTGATATTTCTTTCTGTATCTTACGGTATCTATTGCTGACTCAACCAGATTTTTAAGATAGTTTTCCAGTGCTAGAGTCATAATCTCCACGCATCTTCCATCTACGGCACCTACCAACCCATGCTCGCGGGCTATGCTTATCATTCGTAGATAAAGAGAGTCGTTGTCGGGTAGGGCATAGCTTTCAGTTGCCAATGGAGCAGAAAACCCATTTACTATTTCTTGAGACCATTCAAGAGGCGTTTTTAAGTTACTTGCTTTGACCCTCTTCAATGTTTCGGGATTTGTGACAATTGGAATCTTAGGAATGGTGTGTAAGCGGGCCTGGAGCACTGAACATAGTACGAAGCCCCGTTTGCCTGCTTCTTTTGTGATTGTTTTCAGTCTACCTCTGTCCTCAGCGGGGAGGGACATCACGATCTTTTTATATGTGTCAATTTGTGAGTTGTGTTTGTTTGATCTCTTTTTATTCGCGCTGGTAGTGCCGTTGTTGAACCCCCAAGAGCCTTCTGTGGATTCTCCCAAAGGCGATCCCCTGAGCGAATTTGCCAAAATGGCCAACAAAAGCTGGTTGTGCATTCGTATCAGGTTTCCATGACTAAGTGCAGATCTTTGCATATGTGATAGACCTGACAGATCTTGTGGAAAGTTGAACAATAAGTCGAGTTCATTGACAAGCTCTTTTCTCGAAAGCTTGCCAAGAATGAACAGGCTAATAATATGGGCGTACTTATTCCAGTTTTCCTTGCCGAGCACTTCGCTAAACGATTCCACCATTTTTTCCATGTTCAAACGTACCGTCTGAGTGCCCGCATGTGTCGCCGTTGAAGCCGCAGGAGCAGTGCTCACCGAAGAACTGGATATTTTGACATTGTTAGGGACGGAAACGGCTCCTGGATACTTGGGTACAGTTTCTGCAGTCATTGCCGTGTTTTGAGGCTGAACCATTGACATTTCTCGAAGTTTCGTACTATATTGTAGATATACTTTTAATAGCCCTGAAATTGCCAAAAGAGCCTGCAGTACAGTCCCAGAATCACCAAAAAAAACCTATTGAAGCTTCTGATTCAACGTAAGATACTTCAATGGTTGTCAAAGCACTCTTCAGTGTTACTTTCCGGATTTTTCTCTGCCTCTGGTCAATGCAATGACTTTCAATTAATGCTATTTTCAAAAATTGACTTTACTGTCTGAAATGCGATAGTCAATATAAAACATATACTAATCTAACTGTTGCCCTCGAAAGTCGTACTCACATTCGTCTTTACAAGGTTAATGCTGTAGTCCGTTAAAATTTGCTGAACTTCAATTGATTTGTTGTTTCAATCGCTGGTCGCTTTGTTTCTTCAATTAATTGCGGACTCGATACCTCAGACGCATTGTAGCTTGACGCATACCCTTGGCACAAACACATTTGATCAGAGGCAGAAGACATATTCAATTGCTACATGGCTTCTCTTGGTAATTCTTGGTATGTGTAGCGCTGCCCAGAACTCTATAAAAGCGCGGCCCTTTATTCTTCATTTGATATATTGCTGACTACTTGTGTGGTGCGCATTGGTCTATTTAATACCTAGTTTCTGGGCTACGTAAAGCTGGTTGGGTATAATTGAGGTTCAAGATGCGCACGATATGGTGCTTTTGACGTTTGTGCAGAATCTGAAAGCCTTGGTCGGAGAATGCTTTCGAGCTCTGCAATCCGAGATTGATATCTTATCCTTTCGCGCTCATGTCCAGCTTGAATTTCTTGCTGTTTTAACTCAAGCTGAAAAATTGTTTCGCTGAGTTTGCGAACCTCTTCAGCTCTTTCAATGGACGCGTCAACGACTTGTGTCTCCAAGTCATGCACCCGCCGTTGGGTTTGCGTTGCATTAGTATTAGAGATTCGCAGTCGTTTGTATTTTTCATAAAGCTTGTAGTAGTTATCATATATCCGCTTGGACTGCTTCAGTTCAGATATCAGCTCTTTGCGCATTGTGAAGTACTTTTCGCGGTACGAGGATTCACGAGCTTGTTGATCATCGTGATGGTGTTGAATACCTAACTGTAGCTGTTTAAGCCTCTGACCGTTTAAATCAAGGTCCTCTAAAAGTTGCAGATATTCGGCCGTAAAATCCTTACTAGGGCACGAGAGCTCCTTCGCAGACGTGTGCGGTTTTACTGCAACTTTCTTCAGCGGCGAAGGAAATTTCCCCGGTAGTGCTTTGGGAGGTGAAGACGTTTCTTTGCCGAAAAGTTTGGATATCAGAGGATCATTGTGGTTTGGCACGCGGAATTTCAGACTATTGTTATCGAGGTCCCGAGGTAGCTTCTCCCCACGATCATGCAGTCTTTGTTTACGGCCTGAGAAAGTATCGTTACTGTCTGACTCTTCGTAATTCAAGGGTTTCTCACCAACATCACTGTGAAAGTCCCAACCCTTCACTTGTGTATGCCTTTGCCCAAAAGAATCTGAGTCCTTCCAAACAGAGCGCTGTACGGGTTTCAAAATTTCTGGATCATCATCATCCTGCAGTAAATCGTAACGATGATAAAAAGCTCCCTCAGTGGACGCTGAACTAGATCGGGCCCTAGTCGAGTATTCTGCACCATTCCACTTTTTTGGATCTCGATGGCTCTTTTTTGATTTGTAGTTTGTGTCGTCCTGCGAAGCTTCCTTAAATCGCCTGGAAGGGGATATGCGGCGGCCAAAGAGGGCGTCCATAGTCCATTTATATATTCCTCCAGTGTTGTCATCTCCATCGTTACTAGTATTACTCCATATCATGACCACCAAGAAATGTAAACAAAAGCTAGCGTGAATCTTTGATTGCTAGCGTCAGATTACACTTCTAAACCTCTCACTATCTCCAAAAATCCTGTTTCTTGATACTTTAATTACACTTCACAATTCAAAGATATTATCTTGTGTTGACAATTCCTACGTTTATCAATTGAAATCGTCAACATTTCAAAAATAACCAAAAATTCCAAAATTTTGGCCCTAATGAGCCATGTACAGCGTGTTCAATGAAAACGGCTGGCTAGTGGTAGTTCACAGAAACCAGTTGCTAGTGTGGCAGAATAAGAATTTGGTTATAGTGCGAGAAAATGATAAACTTCGTGACTTTCAGTGCTTCACGACGGGCGATGAGCTCTCAATTTTTGGAAGTAAAGGTGGTTCCTTAATAAGATTATGGATGGATAGGATCAGCAATCACCTAAACGAAGAGTGCGTGTTGAATGCAAGTTTTTCGATATCGAAGTTCCGTGTGTTGCCCGAAGTAGGATGGATCCTGGCCACTGATAGTGTTTCCGGGGTTCTACACGTATTCGACACTATCTCAGAGCGTTACAAAGGTCATATGAAGGTCGATCCCGGCTGTGATAGAGTCTACGTGAATGGAACGCGGGAATTTCAGATTATGACGCGCAGCTTTGACCCAGACTCGCTGGTCATAAAGACATATCTAAACATGTACGAAATTGTGGAAGATGAGACATCTTTAGTCTCAAGCATTCCAATTGATAGCAAGCACAGCAACCGCTGGGTGTGCCAAGGCTCCAACTCCGGCCAACTCTTCGCGGTTATCTCCACCGATGGCAGCCAAGGTTCCAGCACATTAGACTTTTACCTTCCGAGGGCCCAGGTTCCGTTCCAAAAAATCGTACTCGCACAAACGATCCAAAGGGAGCAGACCTGGTTTTCCTCTTCATTTGCTCTGGTGGTCGTGCTCCAGGCCCCGCAAGGCCTCGAGCTATGCGATATTGATGTTATAACTGGCCAGAAAACTCGGTCGGTACTATTAAACGAGAACTCAATTAGTGCGTATTACCATATGAATGTATCCGGTCAGGAACCAGATTACCTCGAGAAGCATCACTTCTCAAACGCTACAGCCCAATTTCTACGAATTGTGCATTGCGTTTCCCGCTCTACTGTTTTTTTCGTACTTAATTCTGCTCCAGAAGTGCTCCTGGGGTGGCACAACTCGCGCTTACAAGCGTGGTGGTTCCCAGCAGCGATCCTCGGTGTCATAACTTCCACAGACTCTACCATCGGAGTTGAATGCGCATCTGGAACCCCAAAGCAGGCGATAGAAATTTTTCACGTTGCGGTTCCGAGGCCCTAACAGAGCTCTGGCGATAACTCATCTACCGTCCACCGAGAAGCCAAATCATTTCGCCTGCTCTATCTAGCTTTGAGATTTCCATCGCTCTTGGCATCACTCTCAACTTTCGTGGGTGTGACGCCTCAGAACACGCCGTTATATTTTCCACGAAAAAAATACACGGTTGACCGTGGTATTAACTACTTTTGGACAAACCAGAAATGAACATCTCAAAGTAAATCAAGACTACACAGGAATTGTTATTGTCATGAATGTACGGTCCACAAAATAACCCACAAGCTATAATTTCGTGATTGTGGTAAGCTAGGTTTTCATGATTGGGGCTTAATTTTTTTCGCGGTCGATTTGATATATAAGGTTAAAGAAGAGCATCAAGTTGATATCCAGTAGGCTTTAAAGAGATCGGTCAAGGTGCAAATCAGCTCTTCAACTCAGTACAATTGGTAGGAACAGCACGGCGGAACTAGTGGTCCTTTTCAAAACTGCAACACATCGCACCAAGCCCTTACTAAAATCCCATCGCTCATTTAACAGGCACCAACTGTTGCTACTCTGTCATTCACTATAAGTTTTCAATGAGCAACTGCAATGATATGCCTCAAGGCTTGATCGTAACTGCAAAGCAGACGTACTACCCAATTGAACTTTCAAATGCAGAATTGCTAGCGCATTACGAGACCATCCAGGACTATCACCAAGAGATTTCCGCCAATGTGATCTCGCAATCGTGCAAGTTCAAGCCCGATCTAAAACTCATCGATCAGCAACCCGAGATGAACCCCCAGCAGACCCGCCACCAGGTTATAGCGGTGCTGTTCGAGCTCTCAGTCAAGACGCGGGTCACCAATGGCATTTTTTTTCACTCGGCCCGGCTCTATGACCGCTACTGCTCAAAGAGAGTCGTGCTCAGAGAGCAAGCCAAGCTTGTGATCGCCACCTGTTTGTGGCTCACGGCCAAGACATGGGGTGGTTGCAATCACATCATAAACAATGTCTCAGTACCTACCGGTGGGCGCTTCTATGGGCCCAACCCTAGAGCTCGTATTCCTAGGCTTTCAGAGCTCGTACACTATTGCGGCGGATCCGAAGTTTTTGATGAGAGCATGTTTATGCAAATGGAGAGACACATCCTTGATACCCTGAGTTGGGACATTTGCGAGCCTATGATTAACGACTATGTACTGAATGTCGACGAAAACTGCTTGATCCAATACGAGCTGTACAAGAGACAGCTGGAGCATAACAAGGGCTGGTTCCACAGGAACTCTCAATCATCAGACAGCGATGCTACCGAGGCCGACGAAGAAGAAGATGAGGATTTGGTAGTCAAAATTCAATTGATTAACGTTAAGAAATTCCTTATAGACCTTGCGACGTGGCAAAATGAGCTCTTGAAGTATGAGATGTTCGAAGTGGCAAATGGAATATTCTCCATTATCAACAAATTCACAGGACAAGACCAAGGTCCGCTTTTACTAGCGCCTCTGCCCACATCTGCGAACCAAGCTGTGCTCCTCAAGATTTTCATCCTCGCGGTAGTTAAAGCTCCTAAAGCGCTTCTTCAATTCTACGAAGACAGCCAAGGTGTCATGGCGTTTGTCGCCGCGGTTCGGGAGTATTATACGTCGCAGCAGAAAACGCTACAACTCGCCTCACAGAAGGATCTGTCCCGGAGATCGACCCTCTGCTACGAGGTGCCCTCCATACCTTCCCCTCCTTACCAAAACGTCAACTACACGCCTCTCAGAAATACATCAGCGCCTTCTGACGTGAGCATATTCAGCACTGCAGAATCTCAACCTTCTCCCGTCACGCCCGTGATGTACTCTTTTGCTCATAAAACCCTGTCCAACAGCGCATGTGGCTCCACGTTGAGCGTGAACAGTCTTTCAAATAAGCGTACTAGAAATCACGACTACGATTGCATGGATCAAGATAAAGAAAACACAAGCTCAACTTTTGTTGCGCCGCCACGCGCTAAATTCGTCGGCAACAGCATTTTCGCATCTGGTGGAACGTCCGCCACTAACAGCAGCCGGTCCTCGCTTGTTTCGCTGGCCATCAGCAACGTTAATAATATGGTATAGCTTTCAACTTACCGGTGCATATATAAAGATAGTATAATAGGACAATCAACGAGAATGACCCACAATATATAGGCTTAGCCAGAATTTCAAAGTCGCCGCTGCGCCTGACCGTCCGAGCTACCAACCAACACCTTCAGGTACCGTGCCAGCGTCAGTAATGGAAAATGTGATTTTGGATGGATGCTAAAAAAAGGCTCGAAAAACCAAGTTTCATCAAATTCACAACTCTTCATAATAGGCAGTATAATCATACAAGAAGTCCTCAAGAATGCTCCAAGCGATCTCAACCTTGGCTATACTAGGCCTGGTAGCCCGCGTGCTATGCGATGACTTACAAGATTCGCTATACGGAACTTGGACTTCGAAATCTAATCAAGTTTTCACAGGTCCTGACTTTTATGATCCTGTGGAAGAACTACTAAAAGAGCCATCCTTGCCTGGCATATCCTTTTCCTTTACCGAGGACGGATACTTCGAGGAAGCTATATATCAAGTCGAGGGCAATCCTAAGGATCCTGGGTGTCCCCTCGCGGTAATCATCTATCAGCACGGGAAGTATGATATACAGGATAACGGCACTTTGACGCTCACTCCTTTTGCTGTCGATGGTAGACAGCTACTAAGCCAACCGTGTGAAGATGATGGGGTCTCTGTTTACTCTCGCTATAACCAGACTGAGGTATACAAGTGGTTTTTGGTACAAGAAAATGACTACCATGGCATTCAAGAGCTGCAAATGTATAAGGCTGACGGATCTCCAATGCAGCCTATGTACCTAGCTTACAGGCCACCCATGATGTTGCCTACGGAAACTTTGAATCCTACCGCGGCTAGCGAGACTAGTGCTTCAAACTCAAAGAGCAAGCGATCTCTGAGAAGTTTAGTAAGACGCAGCCTGGAGAACAGACATAAAACAAATGCGGTAAAACGCAGCGATTCTTTTGTGCATAGTAAAATCTTCAAATGGGCATCCGTGGGCCTCATCGGCGTAGGCTCCGTGATTTTTTTGGTGAGTTAGACAAGGAGGATGAGATTTGAACGTGGAAAAATGTATACAAGAAACTCTCACACTGTTCTAACGCTAGGTTCGACAGGGCTGCCCTTCGTTTGAAGACTTCTTTATGTTTGTGTATGTTAAAATATACCATAAAATAAATTATATATATTTGAAAGAGATCGGTAGTTCAAATTTGTGAAGCCTGCTAGGGTAGTATAGATATGACAAAGCTTCTGTCGATTGTGTTCGAGGACCAAAAAGCCATCCAGGCTTAGTTCGCTTTTTCAGAATAACATTTTTAGCCCGAGTACTTGTGTACTCATTTTTTATATCTTCAAGTTGATATACCACTCCTTTATCATCAATATTTGGCTTTTAACCGTTGCCCCATACAATCTTCACAAGTTACTTTACTCTATGTCAGCATCGATAACAACTCCTGCGCAACTAGAAGCTCTCATTCAAAATGCAACTAGCGAGTCGATTCCTCACGGAGCTGTTGATCTCACAATTGCACTAGAGGTGTCAGATGTAATAAGGTCAAGGAGGATCCTTCCTAAGGAAGGCATGCGCTGTTTAAAAAAGCGTATTATCTCCACTCGCTCGAATCCTAACACAAACCTCTCTTCCTGGACACTAGTGGAGCTGTGTCTGAAAAACTGTGGGATTCCTTTTATTAAGGAAATCTGTTCTCGGGAATTTATGGACGCCTTGGAACATGCGATCCTTGACAATGAATCCAATGAGGAGCTAGAACGGATGTGCAAGGGTATTCTGCAGAATTTATATGTGGCATTCAAGAACGATAGTCAGTTAAATTACGTTTCTAAAGTCTACCAAAGGCTTACTTCGAGGGGAGTTGATTTCCCTTCGAACCTAACTAGTGATTCCGAACTAGCTACCGCGATGTTTGATTCTAAGACTCCTGCAGATTGGGTGGATTCTGATGTGTGCATGATTTGCTCTGTAAAGTTCACTCTACTCAACAGAAAACATCATTGCCGGTCCTGTGGCGGCATATTCTGCCAAGAACATTCTTCCCACCGCATACCATTACCTGACTTGGGAATTTATGAGCCGGTAAGGGCTTGTGATGACTGCTATGATGAATATGAGTACAGACGACAATCAGGGAAAAAACATCAAAAGAAGAAGAAACAAAGCGGCAAGAAGTCAGGGGCATCTGTTCAGGAACAGGAAGATGAACAATTGAAAAGGGCTATTGAAATGTCGTTAAGAGAATCCCGAAACAGCGACACATTTGTGCCAGTGGTGTCAGCCGCGCCGGCGGTAAAGGAGTCAAGTCCCCCCATGGTTGAAGAAGAACAAGATGAGGACTTGAAAGCTGCAATTCAAGCTAGTTTGCGTGACGCAGAGGAACTGAAAAGAAGACAAGAAAATACGCCAAAACAACATTCTGCCGAACTAAACAATATGTCACAGCATGTTCTTCCGCGACCTAGCTACGGAATATCAACTTCTGAAGAGGACGATATTCAGCTCTTTGCGACACTCGTAGAGCGCATGAAGTCACAACCTGCCACTGCAGTACTTGAGGATACCCAGTTACAGCAACTGTATCAGAAGGTTATGGGAACTGTTCCCAAACTCAACTACTCACTGAACGATGCATCTCAAAAGTACAATACGATGGTAAGCATGAATAGTAAAATTTCGGATATTATGAATATCTACGACTCGCTGCTTGAAAAGCAATTACAATCTATTAGTTTGAATCAGCAATATTCCATGCCACAGCTTCCCTCAGATCCATACGCTTACTACAATGTGGCTCAGCAGGATTCACATCTAACAGCATCTCAAAGTCCGCGCACACAAATACCTTATAGACTTCCGGTCAGCATAAGTGACTCAAATTCGTTTGTTGGACAAAGAATGGGCGAGCAAACGCGGCAATCATACTCTACCTCACCTGCTCAGAAACACCGAATTCAGCATTCACCGCATAGAAGTCATGTGGAAGAGCTGCGTGGAGTGGCTATAGACTCTCTTCAACATAGCGACTTGGAGAAAAATCAACAGCGGCCATACCCTGATGAAGCGCAAGACGGGGAGCTGGCGAATGGGGAGTCCGACATAACGTATTCTAAAAACGAAAATCCTTTGAATCATCCATCTGAGCCACCATATCCGAACGAAGACGAGGAACCTGTTAAAAAAATTAACAATCCTTCACCTGAGAGAACTAATGGAATTACAAACTTTGATTTTCCTACTGTCCCACTTCATCAACCGCCTGTAAAAGAGCGAGAAACCACACACCTTGAAGAACCTCATGAACGTGAAGAGCTACTAATCGAACTGTGACGCACATGCGTTCTCCACTGGTGGAAAATGCGAGAAATTTCAGATCTGAGCCAGATAATTGATCAAAAATTTATAATTATTACCTGTGTTTAGTACACAAATCGATATATTCGGTTTCCTTTACATATCTTCAAACTTCATCATTGTTCCAGCAAGATGAGTAGTGCACCACTCTACAAAGCAATTTCCTGAGATTCTAAGCCACAACCAATGCACCTGCGCTTCACCATATGAATACCTTCTTCGTTAACACCCCCATCAATGGCAGCTGAAAAATCGTGCACATGTTCTTTACCATGCTTACGATCTAGCAATTTTCTGGTGTATTCTTGCGCTCTTGTCTTTATTCTCATTTCTTTCATTTTGTCCTTATATTTCTTCTCCCGCCGTTGAGCTCTTCCTTCTTCTCGCCTTTGCCACTCGCCGTCTAGGCCTTCTTCCCCACCCCACTTCTTGTAGGAAAAGGCCTCTACCTGGCACCGCACAAACAACTGCATTCGGGCAAAGGTGCCAGAGTGTGGGTTAGGTTTTTCAAATCTGTAGAAAAGGGCATCATCGTTGAGCTCGGGGTCTGTCAGAAAATAATCTTCTTTGCACTCAGTTTTGGTTAGCAGTGAAAATTTCTCCGGATGTGTTTTGACACAAGCTTTACAGACTTGCAGCTTGAAAACGTCGTGCAACAGCGGATCTAGCTCGGTGTTGATGGAGCACTCGATGCATTTAGGCGCCAACGATGGATGCTCCGGGGGCTGTGCTTCCTCATATAGGGCCCTTCTCTCTTGTTGGGCCTTTTGCCACTCTTCAAACGTTTGCTGTTTTTTACTGTCGGGTCCATCGGGAACTTCATCGACGTTTATGAAACCACCGTGCGAGTTTTTCATTGTGGCCAAGTCGTACTCTATGTAATCCTCTTTGCGCACGGTAGGTCGAATCTTATCAAGCGGCCGTTTTCTGCTGGATTCGCGGTCTAGCTCGATAGACGGATTAGCGCTCAAAGACGCATCTCTGAGATTCTGCTGGTGATGGGCAAACAACTTCTGAGCTTTTGTTCGATTTTCGATCACTTTTTGAATTTCTGGCAACCTCAGAGGTGTAGGCTCCGGTCGTGGCGCATTACGGCTCTCGATCTTTTTAGCTTGATCATCCCTGATGATGCCTCGATTCTTCAGTTTCTCCAGAGCTCGTTGTCTATTAGACTCCTAACGGTATTTTGTCAGTTGAAATTCGGGAGGACAACATTGCGAAGCGGACTGCTCGTTGCAGACCAAGTGTTCTGCACATACTATTCGAGCTTTTTGCTCTGCGTTCATCGCCGACTTTGTAAAAAAACAGGTAAATCAGTGAGATGCTATATGCTCAAGCTCAACGCCAGCACTTCTCGGATATATTGATGAATGCTAACAAAGTGAAAAATATTTCGTATCGTATGATCCAATGCCTCGAAATATCGCTTTCACTTTCCCATCCTTTCACTTCGGCAACTCTACCACCCTTCCATCGTGTAATCGTGCTCAATTCCTGGTGTAACGCTTGCAATGAACTTGAGAAAGACAATTAGGTACTGGTCAACGCGCAGTCCACCTTCGAGCTCGCTCTGTAGATCTTCCCATTCATCTTCAGCATGAGGAGCATTATTTCCAGCAGCACGGCGCCGGCTCTTCACTTCTCTGACTCTCTCCATCAGCACACGCATCACATTGGCATGTTTGCACGGATGTATCGAAACAGAAGTCACGTGGGCGTGTAAGAAGGGAAGACGTTCAATTGTCGCCGTCTTGGCTCGATAGTCGGGTGCGATATCCTGAAACATCTCTTGAGGTGTTAAAGGTGAGCCTTCACTGTTGAAACCAACTAAGTACAGCTTAGGGACGCGGTATGTGGTCGAATACGTGATATAGAGGTCGTAATGGCGCGTGTCGCTCGGCACGGTGGCCATTACCATGTCATCGTCGTCTTGGTCCACAGATTCAAGCTCCATGCCAAGCAGCAAATCATCGATATCCGCGTGATCTACCGCTTCTGCGTTCTTTGACTCAACACGTCCCTCTACCACCCAATCTTCGCTGGAATCGGCCTTGTGCTCCGCCCCTTCATCTCCCTGTTGATCAAAGTCATCTGTCACCACAGTGAGCTGCTCTGCTCGTGTGGCACACGGCACTTTCCGCGTCACCAAAAACTGTCTGTTGGCTGGTAAGAATTCACGGCCGCTCACTGTACTACTCTGGTGGTTCCACTCCCACGTTGGAAACATATGGCACAAATAATCCCCGGCTTCTACAAATTCCTCTGGTGTTATCTGCCCTGTTGATTGAAAAGTTGAGTTATGAGTTACGGGGGTCAAATACTCCCTCCAGCTCATTAGTTTGGACCTAATCATGGCTATGTTGGTGTCTGTTGTTCACTAGCCAACGTTGTTTTAACTTTTGGTTCCAGGTTAAATAGAAGACCTTTAGCTCAAAGACTACTTATATTATCACTTTGTACTGTCATGTCGCAGAAGTTTAGATAAGGACAATTCGTAAGAGTTAAATAAACACTAAATTTCAGCAATTAGCACGCGACGCTTTGTTCTGATATAGCATCAATTCATTGTTACATCACTTTGTGACTTTCTTTCACCACGGAGTTCATATAACATCTGTAAAATAGTAACTACCAGAGGGAGCTGGTACCTTCTGTCCACCTGTAAAGGGATGCAACGCAATAACAGTAGCACATGCCCTATCAAGAGGTACAATGGTAACAACTAAATCTGCCATGCCGGTGCCCAGAAACAAGGGCAATTGATAAGCGATCAATGAAAAATCGTGATATACTGTCATGAAGTAAATGCCAGACGTTTGTTGTATTTTATCGACATCTCCTGCTCAGAGAATAGATTCAAAGCAAATGGGGCTGGAGCCCATGAAACGACGTTCAGTGCTCTGCCCCTGAAGAAAATATCCCTCGAGTTTATGTTCCTAGCGATGCAACAAGTCATAAAGTAGCAAGAAAGTATCGCAAAATTGCTTTCATCATTGATATTCCCGTTTCACCTCCATTACGGCCTTGTGAAGTGTGCTCGAAGATTGAGCGTAGATCCACCGAGCGGCGCAATGTCAGCTCTCGTTTATTTACGAAGAATAAAATTGCAATTGATTACAGCTCGTGTGCTGCAAGGAAATAAAAGTATTGACGCAGAAGGCTATCCATGACTTTGCGAACTTTGATCTATGAATTGAACGTTCAAGACATCGCCATTCATGCATTAATGAGAACTCACGCTATTACTGATACCTTAATAGAGGATAGGGTAATCAAGACTTCTGGAATTTTGCTTGCGCGTGGTATGTGTGCTTCTGAAACGTAGCAGTAGCACAGCTAAAATAGCATTGAATCAAAGCCAATGAAATCGTTTGAATGTTTACTATTAGCGGCAGAGACTTTCATTGCTTGAAAAATGAGAAGCTTAGTTTCCCACTTGCTGTCACTTGTTAATGCAAACCTGTTTTGACATATATATGCCAGGTCCCTAATTATTTGAGTGTACAGTCTTTGTTACTGAATCTTCTGCTGTTCTGAAATGGTGAAGTAACTACGTTTCTACTGCATGCCTGGTTGTGTCTTCATGTAACAATGGATAAATTGTTGTTTGCATATAGATTTTTTCAGTGTGAGTCTGTAGTAAGCTGCTGGAGAGACATATACAGCAATAGCATATTCAGCAATAGCATATTCAGCAATAGCATATTCAGCAATTTCGAAATTCGATATAACGTTCCACCAGGAATGTGGGATTTCAGACATGCACACTTGGGAGGGTTGGGAACATTGACTATAGTATTAGTGTGATTGCTACGGGCGAACTGAAAAATCGACTTCCTTCATTTCTAAAAATTGCTACATCCATCCCAAATCATACATCAAGTAGATAGAACATGCCTCTTAGATGAAAACCATTTGAATGTACATAAATCTCAATTACAAGAACACAACTAGCCATTTCAACAAGACGAAAAATCGGGTCGATCTCAAAAAAACCACATGTAACTGTTCTATAACGCTCTGAATGAATAATTAACTATAGAGACAGTGCCATGACATGATCGAATTTGTCACAACGACTGTGCTAAAAGTTGAGAGAAGAAGCGTCGATTGAACACTATCTGAACACTTGAAACTTCATCTCTAGCATCAATCAGGGACGTTTACGTGTGGCGATATATATAATTTCTTTACTTACTTTCAGAAGTGTCACTTTTTGTATTTCTCTTCTCAAAATATATATAGCCATCGTTTTATTCAACTCAACGGGCAACCCTAAAACCAGCACTTAGTTGAGGTACATCGTGGGTTTAACAACACTTAGTAACTAATCATGGGCGTAACGAATCGTGACACAAAGGCGACGGCTTCTTCCAAGCCCAAGAAGACTCACATATATCATGAGATAGCGAATGGAAAACCTGCTACAACAAAACCTTCACATCACAAAGGCTCCAGGTCAGGCAAGAACTTGTCACACACAAAGAAACCCTGGAAAGAATCACGGCGGATTGTATTTTCTCTGGGCGCAATATTAGGACTTGCCATCGCAATTTATGCCGGTGCCGTTGGTGGAAAATCGAACTCAGTTCTCTTTGAGAACTTCGTTAACTTTGAATCGCTCCAAGACTATGTGGATGACTGGAAAGAAGTGCTGCCTCAGAGTCTTTCCTCCTTGGTATCTGACTTTCAGAAGCGGAGTGCGCATTCGACGTCGCTCAAAGATCTGACTGAGAGTTTTGCCGTGGGAAAACAGCTGCACCGAGAGTTGCATCTTCGTGATAAACATCCAGTGATAATGGTGCCTGGTGTAATATCGACAGGGATCGAGAGTTGGGGCCTCTATGGTGACAATGAGTGCTCCTCAGAACCTCATTTTCGTAAACGGCTGTGGGGATCTTTTTATATGCTTAAAACCATGGTCTTGGATAAGATGTGCTGGCTCAAACACGTCATGTTAGATCCAGAAACAGGGCTGGATCCGCCCAACTTTACTTTGCGCGCTGCACAGGGCTTTGAGGCCTCTGACTTCTTTATGGCCGGCTACTGGATTTGGAACAAGGTGTTACAAAACCTTGGTGCGATCGGTTACGATCCAAATAAGATGGCAACTGCTGCCTACGATTGGCGTCTAGCTTATCTGGACCTTGAGCGCCGTGATAGCTACTTCTCGAAACTGAAACAAAAGGTCGAGCTTGATTTTAAACTCACAGGCGAAAAGGCAGTGCTGGTGGGCCACTCAATGGGATCTCAGATTATTTTCTATTTTCTCAAGTGGGTAGAGGCAGAGGGCCCGCTCTATGGAAATGGAGGTCCTGACTGGGTTGAAAACTACGTCGACTCGTTCGTCAATGTTGCGGGTACCCTGTTAGGTGTTCCCAAATCGGTTCCTGCCTTGATTAGCGGAGAAATGAAAGACACTATTCAGCTTAACGCTTTGGCTATGTATGGACTAGAAAAGTTCTTCAGCAGGAAAGAAAGACTTGACATGATTCAAACTTGGGGAGGTGTTCCATCTATGCTACCAAAAGGCGGTTCACTTATTTGGGGCGATCACGACGTCTCAGTAGAAGATACTCTGCGCAATGCCACCCATTCGTATGGAAAGTTCATTCGATTTGATCGTGAGGTTGACAATGCGGTGCAGAAGCGTGAGTATACAATGAGTGAATCTTTAGACCTTCTAATGGACATTTCACCATCGTGGCTTCAAAAGCGGGTTAAGGATCAGTATACGTTCGGCTTTGCTACATCAGAAGGAGAAATGATCGAAAATCAACGTCATCATTCGCACTGGTCAAACCCACTCGAAGTGCCTCTTCCAAATGCACCCGGCCTCAAGATTTATTGCATTTATGGTGTAGGAAACCCCACAGAACGGGCGTATGTGTATAAAGAGGACCGCGAACATCCAGTTTTGAACTTTACCATTGATTATGAAAACAGCGAGCCCGTATCATTCTCTGATGGAGACGGTACCGTTCCGTTAGTCACTCATGCAATGTGTCAAAAGTGGGCGCAAGGTCTCAGCCCTTACAATCCTGGAAACTCGACTGTGAAGGTCATTGAGATCAAACACCAACCGGACCGTTTTGATATTCGCGGTGGCGCTCAAAGTGCGGAGCATGTTGACATCCTGGGTAGTGCGGAACTAAATGAGTACATTTTGAAAGTTGCAGGAGGTGTTGGCGATACAATCGAACCACGCCAAATTTCCGACATGAAGCAATGGGTACAAGACATGCCATTTCCTATGTAAAAATTTGGACTCTTCAGCCTTTCTTCAGCAAGAATAGTCAACGCATTGTGAACACGAGTTGTGCTTCCCTTCCAAATTAGCAAAGGACGTACTGAGGCTTACCCAGACAGCTCAAGATCAAATTTGTTAGTAGTGGCGATGTATGATTTAACGATTTATGGAAAACCATTAAATTTTCCGTATCTGACTCAGATAAACATGAGTTATCACGAATCGCGGCGGTTACGGTGAAGACTACGGATTATCTACTACTGCACAACTAAACATTATCAACATTTATGAAGCGTCCGTGAATTTTTTAAGCGCGTCCAAAAACTGCGACAAACTGAGAAATAATCATCGCACCATTTGCACTGGTCTGCGTCAAACTCATCCGGTGATTCCAACCGCCACCAATATTCTCCTGATATCGCTTTTTGTCTTTTCGTCTTTTCCTCCTATACCACGAAATTTCCACAATCGGCGCGTCGCTAAAAATCGAAAACAAACACGTCAAGTTCCTAAAATTTACAAAATTACAGAATAAGAGCTTTTCACACCCTGGAACCAATAATTTGTAGAACTTAGTCGTTAGCATCATCCAACACATTTTATAGAACGTCAAGCATACATGACAACAGAATACGAAAGACAGCCGTTGGGAACGGTTTCGAGCTCCAGGATGAACAGGCTTAACGGCAAAGCAAGCGTGGAGTCCGGGGCTAAGGTGGCGGCACTAGGCATCACAAAGCTTCCATCGATCATGTCTTTGATTCATCAAGACTCTAACCTTTTCCCAGCTCACAGAGAGCGCGAAGGTGGAGAGGACATGACTCTGGGCTCTGTCGTAGATTTCGATCAAGTTTCTCAAAAACTCAAGATTCGCATGCAACTGGCGCACTACAAGTTAAAAACAAAACAGGCACATCTCAAATTCAAGCAGCTGAGCAAGCCTCAGAGCTCTCGCGATCCTGGCCACGCACGCAGCCACCCGTTCGAAACTACGTTATTCTCAAAGGCCCAAACCTCCAATACCGTTGCCAAACCACCCAGAAGGCTTGTTATGTCCCAGGGATCGCTGAAGACCCCGGTCAAGTCACGGCTGTGGAATTCTAACTCCTACGACAGTCGACCTTCGCTTCAAACTACGGATTCTGACCAAGCCACGCCGAAGTCTGTGAAGGCCGCGAAATCACTCATAGACCTGTTCACTAGCAACCACTGAATTTAACAAACGTTGATAAATTACACTTGTTAACTTCCGAATAAGCACCGTTTCTTCACTGGTGTCTATCAGGTTCGTGGAGTTGACGATATGAATTTTCCTCTGTCATCTGATCTCGTTTGGTTCGTTTAAGAAATTTTGATGAAAAGTAGGCGACTATAAAAAGATCCACAATTTGGAGCTTTAGTCTAACCGCTTTCTGACAATCATCGGCGGAAGAGTAGGAAGCATTAGCCAAAGATGAAGTTATTGTTTGTGTTAGCATTTATCGGAGCAGCATGGTACGCCATGGAAAAAACACTTTACACATGGTTGCCCACCAATTATGCGTTTGATCAGGATACTCTGCATGCCATTGCCAACCGTGTCATTGCCACGCACAACAGTTTGGGCGAAAAAACCACCACGGAGGCTTTGTTGAAAGACGTAAGAGATGAATTGGCGCTATACTACGGTGACGATTACATCAACAAATATGTGAGTGAAGAATGGGTCTTCAACAATGCAGGCGGGGCCATGGGCCAGATGCTCATTTTGCATGCGTCGTTTTCCGAATATTTGATTCTTTTCGGCACGGCTGTGGGCAACGAAGGTCACAGCGGTGTCCACTTTGCCGATGACTACTTTACTATTCTCAAAGGTACTCAATACGCCTCGCTGCCATACAATCCTTCACCTGAGATTTACACTGCGGGCATGATGCACCACATGAAGAAGGGCGAAGCCAAGCAGTACGGCATGGCTCGTGAATCGTTTGCGCTTGAATACGCACGCGGTTGGATTCCCTGCATGTTGCCATTTGGGTTCCTAGATACGTTTACCAGTACTCTGGACTTTTACACCTTGTACAGAACCGTGTATTTGACTGGTAGGGACATGCTAAAGAACCTGGTGGTCAACAAAAAGTTTTAAATTCTCTAGACTCCGCTTCTAACATGCTTCAAAACTTACTAAAACGCACTGACGGACAGGCATCAGTATAAGCCGCAATCATTCGCTGTTCTGAAAGCACTGGTCGAACTGTCGCTACAGCATTAGATCGACCTCGTTTATCACTCTTCACGCTCGGACTACATAAGATATAAATGAATAGAATTCTCGATTGCATCGTCATCCAAGAAGCCTTTGTCTCAGGAAACGACTAGCCAAAACTCGGGCCCTTAAACATCGTAAAAGTCTGCGATACCCAACCGGCTTCAGCTTCAATATGAACCCACAATTGGCACAGATCGAGTCTCTATTGGTTCCCAATTCCCATCAGTCATCGCCAAGCATTGAATTTATTCCCCAGTTGTACTATGCGCTCCATCAGCTGAAAAAAGATCCCAACAGTAGTACCAATTCCCTAGATGCAGCAACTCTGTCTATAAGGCACCGTCTAAAGCAGTGCAAAGCTCATCTGGCAGAGAATGACGAATGTCGAGAGCTTTTGAGCCAAACACCCGCCGAGTGGGATAAAACGCTCACCCAGCGACAAAATCACCTGGACTCAAAACGCGAAGTATTCCGGGCCCTCGAGCAACAGGTCCAGCAGCTATAAGATAGTAGTAGGCTCTCTCACCACTGCAACGATGTCGGTTGTTTAAGTACCTTTCGCCGTGGTCTCGTGACTGTCACGCGAGATCCACGTTCTTCGAGGTCATGTCAGACGACTTGAAAATTTTTATTTTGGCAAACTCTTTCAATAGTGGAATTCAGCCTAAGAAAAGTTAACAAAACTCACTTTATATCCATAGGAACTTTCTGACCATTGAGGCCTTAAAAACAGCAATTAAAAGTAGTTGCAGAGTCTATAATGTCCTCCACGGCACCTCTTCCATTAGGAGATTTTTCCAAGATTTCTGCTATTCCAGGTGTTTCGCCAATGACGGATGCGCAACAGAAGGAATCGTTCTGGTCCTCCAACCCCATTTTCAGCTACTTGAACAACGTCTACAATAACATCCATGAGCATAGACATTCGCTGGCTTTGACCAATCCAGGCACGATTGAAAACCTGAACAAAGAAGTCTCCAGAGATGTGCTCGTCAACCAGTATTTCTTCACCGGTTTAAGGGCTGATCTCAATAAGGCATTTTGCATGAACCCCGCCTTCCAGACCTCGCACACTCTGTCGGTTGGCTCGGCCAATTTGCCTAGCTACGCGTTCTCGGCGCTTTTCGCCAACGACAACATGTTCATTCAAGGTAATGTCGATAACGACCTCAGTGTCTCTGGTAGACTCAACTACGGCTGGGACAAGAATAACATCACCAAAGCAACCTTGCAGTTTTCGCAGGGTCAACCAAGCATGTGTCAACTCGAACAGGACTACCAAGGCTCCGATTTCTCGCTAAACTTCAAATCCCTGAACCCATCCGTTACGTCCAAGGGTGATTTCACTGGTGTCGCCGTGGGTTCTATTTTACAAAGTGTCACTCCACAGTTTGCGTTGGGTCTAGAAGCTATTTTCAGCAGAGGTCAATCGGGCATGCCTGCCGATGCTGCTGTGTCCTACGTGACCCGTTACGTGGCTCCAAAGCAAGACTGGATCTTTTCAGGTCAGCTGCAAGCTAACGGTGCTCTAGTTGCTTCCTTCTGGCGCAAGGTTGCCGCCAATGTCGAAGCAGGTTTGGAGACTAGTTTGCAAGCTGGTATGGCCCCAATTGCTGATCCTGTCATTGGAACACCTATCGGAATTCAACCTATCATTGAAGGTGCCACAACTCTAGGCTGCAAATACGAATACAGACAATCTGTTTTCCGTGGTTCTTTGGACTCTACTGGTAAAGTCAGTTGCTTCTTGGAAAGAAAAATCTTACCAACTTTGTCTGTTCTCTTCTGTGGTGAAGTTGATCATTTCAAGCAAGAAAGTAAACTAGGTTGTGGTCTGCAATTTGAGACTGCTGGTAGTGAAGAACTTTTGATGATGCAACAAGGCTTGGACCCAAACGGTAACCCGTTGCAGGCTCCGCTATAGGTTTAAAAAACTCCAAAATCTCGAAGAATAAGACTTAAAAAGTTCTCTCATCTGAATAGAACTCCTTCGTGTAATGACTTTAGCATGAATTAGCTTTGTCATTGGCTCTTGTTTATAGCTCCATTAATCCTATCATTATCATTTCTCAACTTATGTAACATTTCATTATATGAAGCAAATTCATGTTAGACTGTTATATGGATCCTTCTCTTCGGCGGCTGACTGCTATATTAAGGGACCTGCCCCGTCTAGCCATTGGGAAAATGGGTTTCCTATTTTTCCGTCAGATCTTCAGAGCTAATATCCATCCATGTTCCGAGACTCAAGGGAGAGCTATCATTATTAAACACTTGAAGGCGCATAGGTACCGATATAGACCGCACTATTGGTGACCTAGGTCCAAACCTGGACGTTAGCAGCGTACCATGATACGAGTTCAACCTCTTGCTGTTGAAGCCATTTAAAGTTTCGGAGTTGTCTGAAGCTACGACTATGTTACGAAGCGCTTTTCTAAAAGCGTCATTTATTGTTTGCTCTTCATCTCGGGATTCGTTGTCGCTTGTGGTGTTTGTATTGTCAGAAAAGCTCTCTAGATCTTCAAGCAGGTACTCTAAATCACTTTCATCACTCTCCAATGGATCACTATGTTGGTTGAGTGAACTTTGCAGGGTATTTGCTTGTGCTGGGAAAATCTTCAAATTTGGTTCGACCTTATAAGAGCATACGCTGCTTATCATGGATTCGAAATCTTTTGTTATTGTGTCATAGACCTGGGCCAGCCCAGGTTCAGGCAAGAATTCTATGATCCAGTAACGCTCTGGGTTGAGCAGCAAAATGGAGATTTTGAATTCTGGACAACCGAGTTTCGTGATTTGCAACTTCGGCAGTATTGGATGGAGTATGTTGTCTTTACGTCCTAAACACAGATATGCCATTTTTTGAGCAGGTGCTTTCACATTTTGAGTAATGATCTGGTAGATTTCCAAAGGGCCGTCGGACATCAAACACGTTTCCCGCCTAGCTTTGGTGCTTCCAGTTGTAACATCATTCGAATCGAGGCGTCGGAGAACAGTAGATTGTGAGGTTACAGTTGAAGAGGAAGACGACTCCGAGCTACTTCGGTGACCATGGGCCACAGAATTCATGACCTTCACATGATTGTATTTGAAAAGTGTCACTCTTTGCGCAGACAGTCGCTGTTGGCCTTTTGGAGTAGGCCTTTCTTTTAGCAAATCATTAATCGCAGACTGATTTCGCAGTTTGGGGTAATCGGGTTCCGAGGCGCTCGGCTTGGGTTCACTTTTCCTATGCTTGTGATTCCTGAGTAACAGAGTATTCTTTATGCTTTTGAAAGGTGAATGCTGCTTCTTGTCTGTAGTTTTTGAGCCATTCGAAGGCTCTTTTCGCCCTGTTTTTGTCGTCTTATCACTGCCGTTGATAAGCTTAGTTTTGGATCCGTTCATTACCTCCCAGGTGGAATATGATGGTGATGTAGACCTGATGCTGATTACTTTCACATCCAAAGTTAAGGGCCGTACATAACAAACAACTAAACAAGTTTCAATATTTTTAAAAAATTGACCATCTACGATGAAGTAAATAAAAGTGCACATTAATACTGCGTTGCTGATCAAGCACTTTGATAAGTGCCTTCAGCCGTAGCTACCTACTCGTCTTTCGACCTTGTCAGTTTTCATTTATCGTTATTACTCGTTAAGTATACAAACCGTTTCATAAAAGGGCGGGCAAATCAGTCTATATCATACATTTCGTTGCGAGGCGTCGTAAGCACAAATCTTGAGCAACATTCCCCTCATTGAATTTGGCCGTGCCAATTGACTCCCATATGAGGAACACTCCTATTATAATTGACCAAGTTATTTGGCATCCACCTTTTTGCGTCCCACTAAGCTGTCGGCAATTGCTCTTGTGCTTTCCCAGTGAATAACCTTTGGCATTCTCTTTGCGATTTCAGTTTCGAAATCGTACAACTGCCTGATCGAGGAAAAGGCCACGTTAGAACCCTTGATACCTAGCACGGCTGCGGTAGCAGAGATTTCACTGTCATCAGGATCAAACTCCTCGTCATCGGCGCGAGCGCTGCAGATGGCTTCTTGATGATCCTCAATGAAGCCCACAGCCTTGATCGCCAGTCTAGTAGCTCTCGTTCTGTCAATTGGTGAAGGTAAACCACCTTGTTGAACATGGCCCGGTTCGGCAGACTTAGCGTTAAACGCACCCTTGGCTTCGGAAGTGATTACTTCAGCCAAAACCTCTGGTGTGAATACCTTGGACGCATTCTTGGATTTCAAAATCAGTTTACCATTTCTCCCTCTACCTTGAGCGGTTTCAAAAGATTCAGCCAAGGTCTCGATATCTTGAGAGAGCTGATCCAAGGAGATACCTTCCTCTGGAACGTAAGATACTTGAGCACCCACAGCCAAGGCGGCATTAGTGGCTAGGAAGCCAGAGTTACCACCTTGCACATCAACCACGAAAGCTCTTCCTCTGGTGGAAGCAGCTGACTGTTTGATGATATCACAGTAGTCCATCAACGCATTCAATGCAGTGTCAGTACCCAAAGAATACTCAGTACCTGGAACGTTGTTAGACAACGTGGATGGTATCAAAACCATTGGGATTCTGAAAGCTGGGTAGTTGTCTCTGGCTCTCTCTAGCTGGTGCAAAGACACAAATGCTTCGAAACCACCAACAATGATCAAACCATCAAATTTGTATTTTTGGAAATAGTAGGCAACCATACCAATGTCCGCTTCCTCGGGGGTGCATCTGTTGGTACCAATTTCAGACCCACCACGGCTTTGCCAGCCTAGCATTGCTTTCCAATCTAGAGACCGGACACTTTCATGTCTGGCCAATCCGGACCAACCGTTGTAAATGGCGTACGGTCTGTGACCTTGTGACATACAGTAAGTTGCCATCGAGTACACAGCGGAGTTGGTACCACCAGCAGGGGCACCGACGTTGACAATTGCGATTTTGAGTCTCTTGTCTTGTGGAAGTTTTGGTGGGTTGTGGTCAGCGGAATTTACTGCCATGAAGTTGTTCAAATGTTCCACAAACTCTGTGTCTCTCAAACTCATGGCCTTCTTGAAGTCTTTGGCATGAATGGCTTCAGCTACAGACTTTGTTAGTCTCACAGAGTCAACCAAAGATTTACGGGTTATTTTGTTTTCATTGATTGCAATCAATGGAGATGGGGTGTCTGGGCTAGATTCCAAGACAGCGTTAACAGCTTCGACACCTTGTAGAGTGGCTAAGATACGATCGAAAGCCACAGCGGTACCACCTCTCTGAACATGACCCAGGGTGGTAACTCTGGTATCAAGCTTCAATCTGTCGCACAGAACCTTGTGCACATCCTTTGGAGAGATTGGGGTGAGGTCGTTAGCGATAGCACCTTCTGCGACGATCACAATGGTGGTTCTCTTACCTCTGGATCTATGCTTGGTCACGATATCGCACATTTGATCTTGCCATTCGCGAGATGATGATGGCTTCTCAGGAATTAAGATGTAATCGGCACTGGTGGCAATACCCGCCATTAAAGCTAACCAACCACAGTTTCTACCCATGACTTCTACAACGAAAGCTCTGGAATGGGAATTTGCTGTAGCTTCAATATAGTCAATTGCTCTACAAATTCTGTCCAGCGAAGAGTACGCACCGATGGTAGCATCAGTCGTCGACATATCGTTATCGATGGAGCCAACGGTACCACAAATGTTCAAATGCTGGTATCTGGTGAATTGTTCCGACGAAATTTTGCTAGTGTCTTTCAACTCTTGCAACAATGAAGGCCATTCGGATCTGAATAGATCAGCACCAGTCAAGGAGCCATCACCGCCGCACACAATGAGAGCGTCGACACCGGCCTCAATCAAATGCAAAGCACCTAGTAATCTACCTGCACGTTCTCTGAATTCCATGCAGCGAGCGGTACCAATGTTAGTACCACCTTCGCTAGACCAGCCACGAACGTCTTCCCATGAAAACTGTTTAATGTACTCGGGGCCACCGCGCACCAAACCTTCGTAGCCTTCCATAACTACGTAAGCACGACAACCTTTTGCGATGGCAGTACGAACAATAGCACGGACATTAGGATTCATACCAGGGGCATCACCGCCTGATGTCATGACGGCAACAGCCTTCTGACCAGGAGCATCCGCAGTGGGTCCAGCGGTAACACTGGCATCGGTGCCAATGAACTTATCATTATCGACACTGAGTTCCACAGAAGATTGAGCCGAAGAAGGCACTGTTGAAGTAAATGTGCCTTTGGAAGCTGGAGGAGCAGTAGGCATCGTGCTGACAGCATTCTTAGTTTTAGTGACACCCACCACGTTGCCCACAGGATCAACTGCGTACAGCTCCATAGGGAAGAGATCCGTGGGGTATGCCTGGATGTTGTCGAATTGAGCGTCAAGTGCAGCTTTGCACTGAGTCACGTCGGTAGCTTTGAAAACCAAAGACCCAGAGACCAAAGACCTCCAATCACTTGTGCGGAGTTCGCTGGTCAACTCTTTGAAGCGCGCTTCACTCTCGGCTTGCTTCGTAGAATCTTCCTGTAAGAGAATCTGGAGTGACACACCAGAGTTACGCAGAGTTGTGGAGCGGGCATCACTTGTGTCCTTTTCTAACTGCAAGAACTGCGAGTAAAATTCAACGCTTGCTTCATAGCTTTTTTGGGAGTAAGCGGTAACAGTGCATTGTGATGTACCGTTGACCAATGGTATATCAACAGTCATCTTCGAAAGTCTTTTGACAAAACCTCTAATTTTGATCTATAAAGGAGACTGAAATTTTTGAGATTGCAAACCTCTGCGAAGAATTGAGTTCTTTTAAAGATCCCAGAAGCCGGCTTCTCTTCTCTTTCCCTTCAACTTGTCCTTTAAATGGCCAGAGGATGAGGTGATAAACGCGCAACTCTCAATTGCGCATGCGAATCTCTCACAGGTGATTTTTTTGAGCCGCCCCGACAGACGCTGGCTTCCACTACGTATTCAGCTTCCAGTTAACCGGAAGCAAAGGCGAAGCTTGTCAGATAAAAAAAAAAATGATGAATTCGTGCCAAAATGCGTAGCCCTCAAAAATCCCGAAAACGGCCTAAGACCCTGTCATGCTTTGAAATCGAACTGAATCAAAGTCGCAGGATGGCCATCACTTGCGGAAAATGGGACGATAAAAAAGCAATCCCACATACTGCAAGCCAGAGATTCTGATAGCCGCGTGACATTACTGACGTTCATAATGACATGTAAATGATGGGTCACCTGCCTTGGTGTATGGCATTATGAACGGATTCTGCGTCGTACTTGTGTAGCCACAAAGACGAGCGCTAGAGCATTCATCCCAAGCCTAAACACGGAACGGCCCACCGCCAATCATGCAAGTAAAGCGTTAAGGTTTCTGGATACCACAGCGAAGTGTACGCTTGACTGAAGCAGAAGACCTGCGAATCGTTTACCGCAACACTTCTTCCCCTTGCTCATAATTCTCAAGTATTGGAGCGACAAGTTTCCTGAGTTGCGACATTTCGTCGAGTAATGATCCAACTCGTCAGTTTTCCGTTGCTGGGGACGCTTAACCTCCAGTTTCTCCTGCTTCTTGTCTCTTTGGATCTCGGCGGCAATTTCAAAAGTGTTGAGTAGAGGGCTGAGATACCTCATCACTTTATACTATTTAGTCCAAAAAATCTGACGCCAATACAAGAATAGCCTTGCAGGCTGGTAATAGGAAACAAGCAAAGGTTGCTTTTGAAGTCCAGCTCGAAGACTAGCGCATGTATTTGATGTCGAAAATGTAAAACAATCTGCGAATGAAAGGATGCGTGGAAACATCTAAACGCCATTCATTCGTCGCCCTTAAAATGTATAAAGTTTGCATTATCTGTAGAAGCACTACATACTCATTGCTCATAAACGTCCTATCTTTCAAGTGATACTATATTGACAACCATTTCTTCTAGTCGGGGGGTGGGGGGAATCACACGACCGCTTCCTCTCTCTAACAACACAATCCGTATGGTACAACTTCAATGGAGTATCCATCTGGGTCAGTAATGAAAGCTAGATTCTTCATTTTTCCCTGGTTAAACTTGACACCCCATTGTACTTTGTCACCATACTTGGATTCGATTTCCTTGCACATTGTCTCTGGATCTTCAGAACTGATGCAGATGTGACCGTAACCCTGAGGTTTTTCGTTACCGTTGTGGTACTTGAAATCTGCATCATTTTCCGTACCCCAGTTGTGAGTCAACTCCAAAATGCCTTCTTGACCCCACCTGGGAGCGTCTGCATTATAACTCAAAAAATATAAGGTAAACTTAGCATTCTCGTGCTTGTTGACATCGATAACCTTCATACCGAGAACATTTTGGTAGAATTCCAGAGACTTCTGAGCGTCTTTGACGCGGATCATAGTGTGGTTGAACTTGTACCCTTCGTTGCGATGGGCCTCGGAGTCTGCTCTGTTGTAAGAGACAAGCTCGATCCAGTAGCCATCGGGGTCCAATGCAAAAGCAATGTTCTTTTGACGACCATCGCTTAATCTTTTCTTGAAAGAAACACCGTTGGCCTCGAGACTTTCACACGATTGTTCGATGTCCGCTACGGAAAAGCAAATGTGGCCAAAGCCGCGATAAGGTTCCTCGTTACCGTTGTTGACTTTAAATTCCGGGTCAGACTCTGTGCCGTAGTTGTGTGTGAGCTCCAAGATACCATTCTCCTGGAAAACGTCAATGGCGCCATCTTTGTTGTGTTTCAAATCACTTTTTGGAAACGACAGAAAGTACAGGTCAAACTTCATGTCTGGGAACTTCTTATGCCCCATCAGCTCCATGCCAAATTTCGACTTGTAGAACTCAACACTACGCTGTGGGTCCTTAATCCGCACACAGGTATGGTTTAGTTTTAAAGAGGCGTCATTTTGAGCGCTAAGGATCTTTTCAGTGTAGAATTTTGGGTGAGAACTCATTTGTCGACAGTTGAACGGCTTGATCTTTCTTGATAAAGTGCCAATTAGTTCAAATACAGATTTCATAGGAGCCGGATAGCTACTTCGTATTGCTCTTATAGTTTAATTATCGCAATACTTCAATAATAGCATGTGGCACGGCAGAGGTAGATGAATCTAAAATTCACTGGCGAAGTGTCAATATATTATGATCGATACAGTAAAGCAACTAGCATTCAACCTTCTATCCTGTTATTTGGCTAGTCATTATCATAACTCAGAGATTATGGGATGTCTTAAGTAGTGTAGATATTGCGTTCGTAGATCGCTAGGCAATTTTGGCGGCAGAATCCGAATGACAGGCATACGATGGAGTATAAAACCACAATATGGATTCGTAACCTAGGGCAGCGATATAGCCAATATCCTTCGTTAAGAAATTCGAATTCAAGTGTGCTAGTAAGCCGTAGTGAACCTTCACTTTTATATGTTACAAGCCATTGTTTTTGATTAACCGCCGACATTTCAAGAACATAGTAGAGTGGAAGATGAAACATGAAAGAAAAGACAGATTTATTTACCACTGTCTTTCTTGCACGATGCAAGCTGCTTTTCAAGCACAGAATATGAAACATGATGGTAGCTTCAGCAGCAATGACAAATGGCGTATAAGTCCTGCGTTCCAATTCTTGCCTGAGGCATCACTATATATGTTGAGGGACTCAATGATTCATGACAGGATCAAAAGCCTCTCAATATACCGGAGGATACAAGCCAAAAGATTCGTTTAACTGCTTTCCGCAGATTTTTGCGCGGCAGCTTGATATAAAGAAATGACACTTTTCGCTTCGAAAATGTCAATGAAAATGTCATTTGAAAATTCATTGGACCCGAATATGTAATGCTCCCACTTTTACTACCGGTCAGCTAACGACGCGACTGTAGGGTTGCTGTTTTTCTATAAAATTGCCGTTATCTTGACATTCATAACCCTGCTCACGTTAAACAGCTGCCACGCTCGTTTTCTTTACGTGCCATGTGGTTCTTGATATGCTGGGCGCAAAGGTAAAACACGATTAACTTTTAGCTTTGAAATAATGGGGGACCATTTCATGTAGCCACTCCTCGCGCGGTATTGGCAAACAGTCTCTCATGAACTCCTTAGATGTCAAAACTAACCTTTGATAGAGTATAAATCGCGTGGGTTTAACCATATCCTTCCTCAAGCTCTGAAAAACTATGCTTGTTGGATGCACACTTACGTTAACTCCACCTTGTTGTGCACCCATTGTATGATATCCTGAAGCGCCTAGCTTTGCAATGTTTGACGGAAAGCCAGAAATGAAACTTTTTACAATGCGAGGTTCTGCATTGTCGTCGCCATTTAATTGCTCAACTGCTTGTTCATTGAGTGCCACCAATCCCAGTTTGTCACAACATTTCCACAATTGATCTCGAATATTACGAACCCGCACCAAAGTTTTGTACTGAACTTTGTGATCGAAACACCACGATCTGGAGTAATTCATGTCTTTCCAACTATTGAATGTCTCCAAATAAAGGATGTGATCACTGGATACTTTGCCCACAACACTACTTTTATTCCCTTCGCGATCAGCTTTTCCTTGAGCGAATATGGATGCCGTTTCGTGAAGCATTGCGATTATTGTGATCACCTCTTCCAATACTCCTTTGCAGCTGCCGTGAGTGGCTGCCGTATGCATAACTTTACCAAAGTCTGGCTCACAAGGAAATTCACACATCATTCTTCCAAGCCTTGTGATGGCGCCTTTGCTATTCAGTGCTCCTAACACGTATAGATTCTCTAAAGCTTTGCTAAGCGCGGGTATGCTGGGTTTATCTAATAAGGGAAAATCGATGAGGTCCGTGACTCCTAGTGAAAGAAGTAATAGCACGACTTGCGATAAGTTAGTCCGCAGTATCTCTGGCTTCGGCAGAGGATCTAGTTCGTTGAAATACGACCATTTGGTAAATATGCGGAAACATTTCCCAGGCCCCACACGGCCTGCACGTCCAGCACGCTGATCAACAGATGCCCGTGAACAAGGCACGGTTAATAGCTGCGACATTCCTGTAGCTGCCACGAAAGAGTTCTCTTTTACAAACCCGGGATCGATAACATATTTTATTCCATCAATGGTTAAAGAAGTTTCTGCAATATTTGTAGCCAGAACGACCTTTCGGCAATCTTTCGGAGTCTTATCGAAGATTTTAGACTGCTGTTCCTGAGGCAGATTAGCATATATAGGAGCAATTATCATGGGTTTGATCTTGGAGCCCAGAACATGTGCAATCTCTTCTAAGCTCTGTTGAGCAGCCTCGATCTCTTCTTGACCTGTGAGGAACACCAAAATGTCCCCAGGAAGCGCCTGCGTTGTATGTATTTGAAAAATTGTGGTAATGGCCGCATTCAAGTAATTAGCCTCAGGTTGAAGCGTGTAATGGATATCAACAGGGAATCTTCTACCTGGCACATTGAAAATGGGAGCGTCATAAAAGAAATCTGCAAATTTTGCTGCGTTCATTGTAGCCGACGAAATCAGAAGCTTCAAATCCTTGCGGTGCGGTAGGATGTCTTTTAGCAATCCTAGTAGCACATCTGTAGCCAGCGTTCTCTCGTGAGCTTCATCTATAATAATACAGGCGTATTTCTTGAGTTCCGGATCTGCCATGAACTCCCGTAAAAGCATACCATCAGTCATGTATTTCAGAATGGTCTTCTCGGGGGTAGTCTTATCATCAAACCGAATAGAATACCCAACCTCTTTTCCCAAAACGACATTCATCTCATCTGCTACTCTGGTGGCTACGGATGTTGCTGCAACACGACGCGGTTGAGTGCAAGCAATTTGAAACTTACCATTTTTGGTGTATCCGTCCTCGACCAGGTACTGTGGTAATTGAGTAGTTTTACCAGAACCTGTTTCACCCACTATTATCATAACCTGATTTTCTTTGATAGCGCTAAGAAGCGAGTCCCGGAATCGGTAGACAGGTAAGCTTTGGCGAGTTTCTTGAATTGTTTGTAGTCGGGCCTGCTCTCTGTCCAATTCATTTATCAACTTTTGGTCGTACTCCGATTCCAATTCAGGAAGCACATCCTCATTTGAGTCTCCCGTAAACTCAATAATCGCTTCATCATCAAAGACAAATTCGTAGTCCTGGCCGCCCTCTACATGAATGTCATCCACACCAACTTCCCCTTTTGTACTCTGTACAGCATTTCTAAGCTGTTGATTTTCCCAGAGCTGCTGTCGGCTTTTGTTCTCAGTCTGAGGAGCATACTTTCGCTGCAAAAGCTGTCGTTTGCGGTTAGAATCCTCTCGTCCCTCCTGATCGATGTAATCGTCTTGGAACTGAAAACCTTCATCATTGTTTTTATCCCGCTGTTGAACCAAGGCTACCAACTCTCGTTTGAGTTCAACTTCGTCTTGTTCAGATTTACTCAACGAGTTCCACCCGTGAGTTTTAATATCGCCTTCCAAGTGAGCCAATTCCTCAATTAGAACTTGTAGCTTGAGCTCTTCTCGCTTATTTAAATAACTCTGTCTGGCTAATACCCTAAGATTATCCATGTCCGGCTGGGGTTGTCTATCCTTTGAAGCACTTTGATCTTCCTCATTGCTCGTTGGACTATCCTTCAATTCTGGGTCACTTTTCTGTCCCACATCCAAGCCACTTTGCTTTAATCGGCCTGCAATAACTTCATCGCCTACGTTATTTCGTTTCACACGCCGCCTCCCGATGCCGTTATTGATATTACCCATGTTGGAATTGTGTGTTAACGGCTTCAGCTGTTGTTTATCATATCTAGCTCATCGCTTTGCATAACAGATGCTGAAAAATTTCGGTGATGGCTTCAAAGATAAGCTCATCGCACAGTTATCAAATAAAGGAAAGAACGCCTTTAGGTTGGGTTCAAGACTCTAAAAAGTACGAAGGCGTATTTTGACAACAAGTTCAAGTTATGGACAGCTCTTCTTCTTTGTTTGTGAGTCCTGAGCACCAAGCCACACAATTGCGTCGAGTAGTTGGCGGGGAAAATTTAAGACCTCGGTATACTCCACCATGGACAACGCCGTACATTATTGGGGTAGGCGGAACCTCTGGTTCAGGAAAGACGAGCGTAGCAGCAAAAATTACAGCTTCAATTAATACGCCTTGGACCGTCTTGATTTCACTGGATAACTTTTACAAGCCATTGACACCAGATCAGCGTCAATTAGCATTGGAAAATAACTTTGATTTTGACCAACCAAGTGCTGTTGACCTAGACTTAGCATATGAGTGTATGAAGAATCTCAAAGAAGGCAAGAAGACATCTATTCCAGTATACAGTTTCACCAACCATAACCGGATTCCTGGGAAAGCTATTTCGATCTACGGTTCCAGTGTCGTGGTAATTGAAGGAATATACGCGCTTTACGACCAACGTCTTTTGGATTTAATGGATTTGAAGATCTACGTTGACGTGGACCTTGATGTGTGTCTGGCTAGACGTCTCTCTAGGGACATTGTTTCCCGCGGGAGAGACCTCGACGGGTGCATCCAACAATGGGAAAAGTTCGTAAAACCCAATGCTGACAAGTATGTGAAGGGCACAATGAAAAACGCTGATGCTATTATCCCATCAATAGGAAATATTGCTGTGGCAACGCAGACTTTAATCAATCACATCAAGTCTAAATTGCAGGAAAAGTCTCGTCAGCATCTGGATGAGCTGACAAAACTTGGCCATGTCGAAGAACTCAAACTGTTGTCTGAGATGACTAATGTTCATCAGTTGGAAGCTACGAGCCAAGTGGTCGCAATTAAGACCATGCTTTTAGACAAATACACGTCAAGAGATGATTTTGTATTCTATTTCGACAGAATCGCCACTATTCTAGTATCGCGAGCCCTAGACGATATTCAAGTACATTCCAACAAGCGCATAATTACCCCGACTGGTGCTGAGCTTGATTCGTTGATGGTTGACTTCGATAAGGTGACTTCTATCAATATTGTGCGTTCAGGAGACTGCTTCATGAATTCCTTGAAGAAAAACGTACCCAGTATGGCTATGGGCAAGGTTCTCATTCAGTCAGACTCGCATACCGGCGAACCACAGCTTCACTGTGAATTTTTGCCCCCAAAAATAGAAGACTACGAGCAAGTCTTGCTGGTAGAAGCACAAATCATTTCGGGTGCAGCTGTGATAATGGCAATACAAGTACTCTTGGACCACGGAGTGCAATTAGGTAAAATCAAGGTACTTGTTTACCTGGCCACAGAAGTTGGCATACGAAGAATCACCAATGCATTCAACGATGCAGTTCAAATTTACGCGGGAGAGATTATCCCAAGTGAATCGTTAGGCGCCGAACATTGTAGCTGGGCAAGAAAGCGTTTCATTGACTCCAGGTATTTTGGATGCGATTGAAAGAGATCGGATCCAAAAAATTAAATAGAAGGAATTAAGTTTATAGATAGACACTTATTTGATTGCACTCAAAATTGACATCAATAACCAATTAATTTCATCAGTCCATAACCGACGGTCGTGATGATGAAGTATGACCAAAGACTGGCAGGAACACCTCTGGTAATAAAGTTTCCTACAGTCAAATACCGATTTCCTAGCTCGTCGATCATAGAAATAGCAGTGACATTCGGAAATCCTGAGGTAGGTAAGCCCATGGCGCCGGAACATATCAAAGCTGCCATCATCACGAGCAGGCGAGAATGATCGCCTGACGGTAAGTTTTTGCCAATCTCGCTCATCAAAGGCACGATAATCATCGCAGCCACTGTGTGGGATACAAATGTAGCCATTGTTAAAATAACGATACCAAAGCTCAAAATGATAACGAAAATGGGTTTATCTTGAACTTGATCTTTGATGGTAGATGCCATGGAAGCCAAGAGACCCGAAGAAGTGACCGCCTTACCTAGTGTAGTTCCACCCATTGCCAAAACAATAATGGTCCACATGAAGTTGTTGAAATCACTTGAGCTTAACATACCAGTACCAAATAATAGCACAATTGGGATAATGGAGATAACGCCCATTTCTCCAAATATACCAGTTAACTGTTTAGCCATGCACCATAGCACAATTGTTCCTATAGTGCAGAGGGTAACAAACCACTGTTGTATTGTAAATGGGTCTCTGATAGGGTGTAATTGTAATAATTTCAAATCCTTGTCGGCTGGGAAAGACAGTAAAAGCATAAGCCATATTCCAAGAACGCAAATGAAACACACGGGTAAGGCAACAATGAACCATTGAGTCCATGTGGGCTGTGGGTCCATCATTCCAATTGAGATAATGTTTTGGGGCGATGCGATTGGTGACGCCATGCCACCGATGTTGGAAGCCAACGCAATTCCCAAAATAAGTGATTTGGCGAAAGAACTATTTTTGGGCAAAGTCCGCAGCAAAGGCTGAATGATAGAATAACATAATACTGGAGCAGCAACATTAGAAACCCACATTGAAGCAAAGAGAGCCACGCACATATTTGTCAACAGAATAGTTTTTGGATTCGTTCCTGCAGAGGCCAAGACATGAGTTGAAATCACTTTTGCCACGTTGTACTTTGACAAAGCGGCGGCGAGGGTGAAACCACCTAACAATAGCATGATAACGCTTGACCACATGGTGGATAAAATGTACTGAGAGGCCTGTTGCGGGTTCATGACATGACCATCAATATCCTTCAAAACAGGAAGAACGACTATTAACAGAGGAACAATTAATGAGGTGACGAAAAGTGGGATCGTCTCTGTGGCCCACAGCAATGATGCGTATATCAAAATGGCCAAACAGTTTTTTTGCAAGATGTCCTCAAAGGGTGATATTCTCAAAGTTATAAGAAAAACCAGCGTAATTGCACAAAATTTTAGAAGACCTCTCGATTTGACCAATAATTTGAAGTATTGAGCTGGGGTTAAGTGTAAAGCATCCGTCAAAGTTCCATTTGGCAGTTCTTCTGGATTTGGAGAATCTTGAATCTCGTCATCAAGCAGTTTGATCTTCGTAGGTTTGCGTTTTATGGCGCCAGAAGTTTTCACATTTTGAGCTTGACGCTCTAAGTTCATCATATCTTTCCAGACAGTATTTCTCTCCCAAACAACGTGCTCTCTCAAATGAACTGAAAGTTCTCGCTCTGCCTCCTTGAAACTGACAATTTCGTCGCCGGCTTGGGTCGAAGTCCCCATCAAATTGGCATACATGCCAATTGTGTCATTAATTCTGGACTCAATTGCGGAGGACGTCTCCGGACGGAAAATCGTGGCCCTGGCCGGCAAGCGTGTCATATACTCCGCCTTAATACTGGTTTCCAGACTTTTGTCGAACTTTTTGCAAATCTTTGAGAATCCTGTTTGATTAAGCTCGATAAAACTCTTGAGTTCTGACAGTTGGGTAAAGGCAACTACAAGTCTCTTTTTAAGATTTATCTTGTCCTCCATAAGCGGATCGAGTCTTGCCATGTAGTGCGTACTACGGGATACCATTGGGGCTATATCGCTAGTGGCCAGTCCAGTTCTGTTGCTGGAGTTTGCGTTGTCCTCATCGTCCGAGTAAGAAGCCGTGGGACGTATGTAAGCACCTGAAGCTCCAGACGCTTCCGATATATTAGAAGCGCTGCTCCGCCTGCTGCTGAAGTCATTAATCGCCTGTTGCGCCTGAAAATCAATTAGATCGTCCCGAACCTCTTGGTAGGAGCTGAAAATACGAGATTCCTGCTGAGCGTAAAATTTGTCGATCTTGTGGAGTTCTTTATCCAGGGCCTCAACAAACTTCCGAGTATACGAGTCTAGCAACGTTACGCTTTCGGGGTCTGTGAAACTGCTCTGGTACAGTTTTTCCTTTTGCAAGGAGTAAATAAGCCGCTTCAATTGTGAATACGCCAAATACCTGGAAGACCATTCCGGTACTGCATTAAACTGTAATGAGTGCGAGAACTTCATCTTGGCCTCGAAAACTCTCTAAGAGCACGTCAGAAAGTCTCTATAAGAGTTTTCGCTGAAAATTAACGAGTTTCCTATTCGAACTGTTTAATAAATTATTGAAATTATATATATATATAACATAGAATTTATCAACGCATGCACGAGTTTCCGATCCGGGACGAAACAAAACGAAACGAAACGAGACGAACTTGATTTGACTTGGACTGCTTAACAGTAGATTACTTGTAGTGTAGTTAGAAATGTGGTCGATTATGGAGATGTATAAAGTTTAATTGCGTCTCTCAAACAATCTTGACAGGGAAGCAGGGATGAGTCGTTCGAAAGAGTTTGACAGTAGAATTTTCGCATGGAAACTGTTGTTCCAGCGATTCGGTTGTACGATATTATGACTGAAGGCCGATGCCAGAGTTTTGCATACTACTCCGAAGGAAGATCATGCAGGTTAAGGTATCGGACCAGCATTCGTTGCAGGATGGTCATGTGGAACTGTAGTCTGCATTGATGAAGCTCTGGCACTCTGATGGCATAAGAATGGTGGCGAAATTGTTGTTGGGTCTATCATTATTGTTAGATACAAGCAGTGGAGGTATGTGATAACAAAAACTGCAAGAAGTAAGTCTCTGCTCGATTGACCTTCAGACAGCGAGACGGGGAGCGTGGATCTTTCAACTAGGACAGGAATGAAGAATTTTTCAACCAGGCTGAGAATGAGGGCCCCTTAACAAGTGTCGAGGCTCGCATTGCTCCCGGAAGTCATGCCAAGCTTTTTCAAGAAATACAAGAATTCAAGTAAAAGTCCGGCCCTTAGTGGCGAGCTGTATGGAAGTAATCAAGGCATAGGTTCGCGGAGCCTAAAGGAGAAGCTCGATTGGGAGCTTCGGTCATCGAACTATTTCCAGTATCTGCGCCCAGAGGCTAATAGATCAGAATACTGTGCAAAAAAAGTCTTAGAACCGGTGACAAAATACTGGTCGCATTCCTGTGGTCAGCAAAACTAAAGAAGAATTTCAGTTTCAAGCTGGGATTTGAAAAGCTAGGGAGAAGTGTCCAGTGCCGAGACAGGATTATCAATTCTGAGAGTAACGGGAGTGAGAAATGTTATACGTGGCATCTCAAATTAAGCCGGTCAGATCAAACCAATGGTCTCCCCAAGAAAACACCATTCTACACAAGCTAGTTGGGCCGTACGGTGCACAGCTAGCAGGTTTGGATTCTGTGCCAAGCATTCAAGGAGGGGGACACACGAGAGGTTTTTTAGGTCAAGTGCTTTAGTTCCATAGGTTCTACGCCTCCTGGTGAGCCAGCGCAGTGCACCATAGCTGGAATGCTCACCAGGCGGCTTCGCGATACTGATCTCACATTATCACTCTGTACTCGCGCGTCACCAGAGAGTGAGTTACATACAATATGCCTTCTTAGCAGTAGCAGTGATAAAGCAAGCTCACATACGTCTAAGGAGCTACTGCGAAGCAGCTACCTTATCAACCTCCTGGTATTTCGCTCCAGAAACAGCATATCGCCGGTAAAAGATTACGTCGTGGCACGCTACGATTTCCGCCTGAGCGTTGCTATTGCAAACACTCTCGGTTCGTTGCCATCCCAATGATGTGGCGGGCCTCTCTTATAGTAGATCCCTCTTGGCTATTCATATCAGAGACAGCTATAGTATAGGCCCCGCGTCTGCTCCCATACTTGGCCCATCGCAAGAACTTACTGATTCCCATCTCATTGAGATCTACCCAAAAATTTATCTAGTGGTTACGACATCATCCATCATCTCTTCGTGTTGAAAATGCCGGTTCGATCTCCGAGGCACACTCCAAACATCAGGGACAGCCTCGGCAGAGAAACAATCCTAAAGTTGTCTACGGTGCCAACCACCACCACCGCAACACATAAAGTGCACCTGCCTCGAACAGAAAACTGCTATATTTTATTTCACTTCTCGCTGAAACTTCCCTCAAGCAAACAATCCGGTAGTTGCTACAGACCATTCCCAACGTATTTCCCAAGCCCTAACGGCGAACCGGTCATCTGCTTCTAACCCACTGTCTCGATGACTACCTCTTCCACATGGCAAGGCTGGAGACACATCGGCGCCCCTCGCAGCCAAGTCGGACGATTGTTCAGCCTGGCTTCGAAACCCGCAGATCATACTTTCCAACACACTTTCCAACACACTTTTCGTAGTTTCTTGCTCCAAACCCATCAAACACCATGCAACCCCTCTGTGACTCTCTGCTCATCGCTCGCCGACCTACACTGAAAAGCCCAAATTCTTGCGTTAAAATCTTGTCGGGATCCTACGATGTCTAACTGTTTCACATTCCAGCTGATTGTTTGCTGCGGATGTGATCAGCCCCACAGTCTTTGACTTAGCGGTCGTTTCCCTTTAAGGGCCTATTACCAGTTTCTTACTTGCTCTGTCACTATTGCGACCGCACGGCGAAAAAGGCAAAGTATATAAAGCACAAGGGCACTGGAATAGGGATGGATCATTCGGATGGCGTTATTTTGCCAACTGCTGGGTTCTAGATCAGAGAATTTACTAGGATTTTCAGATCTTCTCAGCAGAGTGGTACGTCCGGGACCCTTATGGTGCTCGTGTGTCAATAGAGTGTGTAGCAGTTACTAGCATAGGTAAGATTTATATAAGTGTTGGCAGAGCCAGCAGAGCGAGAGTTGAGGACACGCTACGCCAGGAGCTTTTCATTCAGCATGTCAGGGAACGGAATCGCACCGGTGGACGCACACCTGGTGGTACGGTACGCACCAGCGGACGAAGAGGGCTCTGAGCGATCCACGCGACGAGCTTCAATCCAGGGAACGTCCATCTGCGTGGCAGAGTCCTGGGAACCTTCAAGCCCGGAATCGCCCTGTTCACGCAGGGCATCGGCAGCACTAAGAGTCTGCGATCTGTACCAGTGCATTCATCAGCATGCTGGGACGGGATCACAACCACAGCTGCGTTCGGCTTCGTTCGTGTCGCGACCGGGCTCTCAGGCACTCCAGAATGAATCCAACCCTTCCGGTTGTCGAGAAGAGGACGGCCACCCGCGGCGTTTCAGCGATCCCGAGTCGAATACACCCAGTCATGGGCTAACCTTGGGAAGGTCGGCGTCGTTCGCAGCCGAATCAAATCTGCCCCAGCCTCTGGGATTTGGGGAAATGATGTGGACGGTGCCCCGGTCTAGAAACTCGAGTCTCTCGTCCTCATCGCAAGGCCCCTCGTCCACGAACCACGACTTCCAAGACCACAGCCATCAACAGGAAGAATCCATCGATCAGCCTTGTGATAATCAAGACTCAAGCATTCACGGCCCGCAACAACCAGACTGCTGGGTCGATCTCAGTAACCCTTGCTGCAGACACCATCATCGGCGCAATTCAACGGCAATCAAGTTTCGCAAAGCACTTTACGAAGAGCAGGAGTAACTAAACCAGCCAGTTCTGTCAATTGATACCTAGTTGATCCATTCATATTCATTTATATATATATATATATGAATTCATAATTAGTGTGAAGTCAAAACTGTTATTTGGTAGCCGCACCACATTGCCCTCGCCCTTCACTTCCAATTCCCTTATCAGTGATTCGCCTTCAAACTTCTTAGACTCCGTTTTGTTCGCATCATCACATTCTTAAACATGACTTGAGTCGGACTATTTAGCTCCACAGGGGAAGATGGCTTGCTCCGCACCTCCAGCCAAACTCCATTGCTATCAGGTACATCGCTCGTATCGCTGGTGGTGCTGCAGAACAACTCATCTTCGTCGTCAAGTCCACTGTGGGCTGTGCTCTGCGAACCTTGTTTCCGTACGGACGCTAGCTGCAACTTTTTTGGGTTTCTGATTTTCTTGCTGTTCTGGTTGGGGGGTGTCACATTACAACTGAACCAGGTACCGCTTTTCGAATTGATAGATCCAGTCTTGGAAAATTGTGTAATGGGGCTTTCCCCGTCTTCTTCATCCTCGTTGCCATTTTGCTCTTGTGTGGCACCCGTTTCGCATCCTTCGCGCTCAAAATAGACCTTGACTCGTTCAAAGACGGTAGGCCCGTTTTCACAGTTTATTGGCTCTGTACTAAGCGTGTTGTAGTTTTCCAGGAGATCGCTAAGTAAATCCTCTGTAAGTTCATCGTCGTTAAAAAATTTACTCTTGCGAAGTTCCTGCAAGATTTTTGAATTGCGTTTCTGGATAGAATTGTTGTATATCCCGTTGCTGCTCTCCTTTGCGTTGTCCGCGCTTATCTGGGTAGTCTCAGTTGTGTCTACTGCGGAGTTATTAGTTTGAGGAATAACTGTCACATCTCCGAAAGACGCAATTGATGGATTTTGCACTTTCGTTGGCATCTTCGGGGCACTTGCTGAAAAATCCTTGTTAATTGGAGTTGAGACCACCTCGATTTCTTGCGGGACGCTGTCCTTGGTCAGAATTGGTGATTCGAGGTTGTTCTCCTGAGCTGTATGAGTCGCAGTAGGTATTTGCGATGTGATACCACTTTCAGTTACTAAAGTCGCAGGTATTTGTGATTTTAGATCATCTTGATTTGCTGTGTTTGTTAGAACAGGTTCCTGCGATTTAGGTTCACTAACATCTAGCGAAATCCTGTCAGAAACTTGTTCTTTTTGGTCACTGTCTTCCTTCTCAGGGGATAGGTTTTCCTTCGCCTGGTCTGCACTTTTTGTCACATTTGGACCCTGCTTTATAACAGAAGCATCCTCATTGATGGAGATTTCCGACTTGACAGAACTCTTGTCGTTTTCAAACGAGTCTGCTAAGTTTTCTAATGTCGTAACGCCCGCGTTGACATTTTCAATCTCATTTAGACTTGAAACCATTTCTACTGGCTGAACATTCTGCTCTGCCTTGTTTGCACTGGCTCTTGAATCCCCTTGTACAACCTCCATTGCACTCTTTTTTATGGTTATAGACTCTACCATAGGACTCAAGGACTGTTTATTGCTTGGGGAGCTATTGCTGGATGTAACTCCTCTTGGTGAACTTGAGCTCAGAGTAGTGTAGGTATGCCTCGGTGAAGACTGCTGAAGGGGAGACTCAACAATATGAACATCTTTCTTCAGGTCAGAAGAATTCTCTTTTAGGTGGGTTTTACCGTGTACGGAGGAAGTGTTGAATTCGGAAGAGGGCCTTGAGCTCATGCCCAAACTCGAACGTTCCGAGAATACAGGGTTCGCTGAATCAAGTAATGGTGAAGACGATGGTTCCCCGAGAAGGCTCGGTGGAGGCGGTCTAGATTTGATAGATGATAAGCTGGGCGAGAGTGTGTGAAACTTTCTGCTGTTCTTGGAGGCTGAAGGTGGGGTCTTAACAATGCTTGGCTCGGTCAATTTAATAGGTGCCGTGTAACCATATTTGTCAGTTCTTTCATCCATAGCTATCACTAGCCATTCGCAATCGCCGACTCGTTTAGTCATTTTTATAACCAAGGTATTGTGAACTTTACCCAGAAAAGTTTCGTATTTCCAAGATGAGATAAAGCATTCAGAAATGTCCACTTTGGAGATCCGCACAGGAGGTAGTACCTCGATGTCCTCCGCTACTGGTTTGGGGAAACTGAAACCCAAGGCTAAGGTGCCCTCTCCATGGTTATTGTCGTCGAGGACAGACAGAAAATCGTTGAACCCACGTTCTTTACATGAATTAATCCAGGTCGCAACAGGAGCTTGATCGCCAGGTCCTAAGGTGGAATATCTATCATTCTTCTTGTTCAACGTTTTAAAAAAGTCAACGTCAAAGTGTGGGTCAAATTTGTCTAAATAACGCTTAGACGATCTTGAGAACAAAGTGTTCACCACTTTATAAGGATCTTCTTCAAATTTGTCCAGAAACGAGTTTTCGAGCTTGGAGAATGTGTGGTCAGAAGAATACGTTCGCGTTTGCGCCTTGGCTGCTACTCGTATGAGCTCGTTAAAATTATTGATATTTTGGCTCCAAAGCTGTGGGACTGTTATAGTCAATGCGCGCTGAGTCAAAGGCTTGTAAGGCTTAGGTGGGTACTCGCTGATGCGGAAATTATCAATCAGATAGAAATCCTTTATCTGTCCCTCTTCAGCAAGAGAGTTGAGAAACGATACAAATAATCTGTAAAGAGCTTCACCGCGAGCACGATAAAGTTTTGCTAGTGTAATGCAGTCGTTCTCTTGGTCTGATTTGCGACTAATGTAGTTGAGAAGCTCAGGGGTTTTCACGAAGCACACTTGCGCGGCTGTGAACAATAAGTCCATTTGAGCGACTTTGTCAACCACCAGGTCCACTTTCGAGATTATAGCTACCAGCATTTCCATGAAGTCAAACGCACAACGCTTGTAGTCTGCGTCTGGGAGGACTTGGGGCATAAAATTATGGAAACAGAGTTTGGAAAAGTTCTGCTTAGATTCCACAGTGCAAAATTTGAGGTAACATTCCCATGGAATGATCCCGCGTGGCAGCTGTGACCAGATGATGCGGAGAGACAGAATAAGCTTACTTTTGGAGCTGCTTATCTTGTTTTTGATTTCGGACGTTAATGCGTCCCCCTTGAGTGAGCATCCGTCGCGTGGGAAAAATGACTCCAGAATAAGTGCGGTTTCCTTGATTTCATGGGGGACGTAATGTGACAAGTTGGGCTTGAAAATCTCCATAGCAGCTTTTATGTTATTGATGTTCTTGTCGTTTTCGCCAGACGCATCGTGTATGAGGGTATCTTTAAACTGACGCACCAGCGCGTGGATTACTTCTCGTGCCGACGTTGGGTTAATGCCATTGGGCTTCTCGAAAATGTGAAAAGTTGGATCGACCGGATCTTCCTTCTTTGGATCACGAAATGCGCGAGCGTCGTACACGTAGAACTTGCCATTTGTCTCTAAACCATTTGTAGCGTTGTGGGTATCGGTGCTAGCTGAAGAAAGTGTGAACTCTTGAGTTGGCAAAGGAGGCAGCTCTGTGTTGATGTTGCGTGTAGAAGAGATAGCCCGTCTCCGCATGCTGCTGCGAGTTGATTTTGCAGAATCATGTTTTCTGTCGTAGTCTGAGACGGACCGTTTGTTTTGGGAATGAGAACCGTCAAACCCACTAGAAAGTTTCTTGGTGAATGCTCTGAGCTTGATCATAGCTGGCACTAACTTTGGCGATGGTACTGAGCTACTAGTCCTGGGTTTGTGGTGAACACTCTCATCGCTCTTGATGTGCCGCCGCAGGTTCTTAAATTGTTGTCTTTATATCTAAGTTTTCGCGTCCGTCGAGAATGTCCAAACCCGATTGCGGAAAATCTGAGACAGGCCCTCAAAATGCACAACGCGTTTCAAAGTCAGGAACGGTGCGAATTTGAAATACGCAGTAAGTATGCTCTGGCGGAGCCGTTGAAACTCCGGGGTGGTAACACCACGAAACTAAACTAGGCTAAACAATAGCGAGGTCGCTATAGAAAATGCTAAATAATGACATTACAGAAGGGACCGGAGCTGGAATCGTTGTTTTTAGACAGGTATTACGCGCATACTCGAACAAATACAAGTCGCACTTGCTGTTAATTGACGATGTTTGTAAGATCCAGGTAAAGTTCTTGTAAAGTGGAAAAGTTCGAGCCAGAAATGATCTAATTTATTATTGATTGTCGTCGTAAATGATGCGTTTCCTTGAGTCGATCTTCTAATTCTTCATGTCTTTGGAACTCTACTCGGTTATGTAAGTGATTGTCTACTCCATCATCTACTTGTGACCGGATCTTTCACTCGCTCTTCTAGTCAGTGGTTACTATGTTTTTCAACTAGAGTAGGCATCCGAGCTTGTAGCTCATCGCTGGAAGAATAGATTTAAAAAGTCGAAAAACTCACACTGCTAGGATCATACGCCGTTCAAATGGTCACCTATGCAGGTAAGTTGGTTTTGGCGCCAATGGTGCGTGCTGGAGAACTACCTACACGGCTTTTGGCGCTGAAATTCGGCGCAGATCTGGTCTGGTCGCCTGAAATCATCGACAAGAAACTGATCCAATGTAAACGAGTGGAAAACCAAAGCTTGCGTACTGTGGACTTCGTTCTTCCCGGACCTAGTGAAAAGAAGCCGTCGAGTACAGTTTTCAGAACTTTTCCGGACGCAGAAGCTGGAAAAGTGATATTCCAGTTAGGTTCTTCAACTCCTGACCTGGCCGTTCAAGCTGCACTGGTCGTGATCAAAGACGTCGACGGGATCGACTTGAACGCAGGCTGCCCCAAGCATTTTTCGATCCATTCTGGGATGGGTGCAGCACTTTTGCAGAAGCCTGACAATCTGTGCTCGATTCTGAAGTCGCTGGTCGAGCAAGTGGGCAAACCGCACCAGAAGCCTATAAGTGTGAAAATCCGGCTGCTTGAAGACGAGGCCCTCACTGTACAGCTGGTGAAGCTGCTGTGTGGTACAGGTATCTCGAATCTAACCGTTCACTGTAGAACCACACCAATGCGCAACAGGCAGGCGCCCATCAGAGACTATATTCCAGCCGTCTACAAAGTTTGTCAGGAGAACAACGTTAGTCTTATTCTTAACGGTGCCATTCAAAGCCGCACTCATTTTCTGGAACTGCGCGAACAAATGGGAATCTCGGATCAGATTGGTGGAATGATGGCTGATTGCGCCGAAGGGAACCCTACTGTCTTTAGCAAAACGCCGTTGCCCTGGTTCGAGACTGTCAAAGCATACCTGGCCATTGCCTCTCAGTTCGATCACAATGTAAACAATGCCAAGTACATGCTAACCAGAATTGTACCGGGGAAATCAAAGTTTTATCAATATTTTACTCGTTGCAAGAGCATGGCAGAGCTCGAATACGTGGCAAAGCTTTTAGATGATAAAGGTCAACCGCTGGCCGATCCAATAGAATACTTGGAGAATTGTAGACAGCAGGAGAAACTGGCCAAACAAAGGGCTGGCGATATTAAATCACAGTTGCATCGAGCCAAATCAAAGACGCCTGGTGCTGCTGAAAACGCGGAGTGTGAGCGTAAGCGCGCTGTAGAATCTGATGGCAACACGGACAATAAAAAGTTCAAAACTGCCTAAGAGTTTTGTAATATCTTATATTAATTATTCAGGCTACTTATACCAACATAAGCTACCGAGGATCAATTTAGCCAATAATTATTGTCGTGACAAAGCTGTTGTCTAAACATACAATTCTAGAGACATCTTTATTTTCCTTTTCTAAAAGTTCCGGATCATAATTATTATCATCTTCCTTTACAAACAAATAAACGGATTATCCTAAGGAGTATCTAGAGGAACAGTTTTATTCAGGACTCTCGAAATCGAAAATTCTTTGATACGTATGGCTATTAAGGGGAACAGTTAACAATCCATAAAATCTCAAGAGCTAATGGGATGGTTTACCTTACGTTTTGCCAGGTGAATGCAAAGTATTCAACCACTCATGCAAACATGCTTTGATATTCAAAATCATTACTGTACACAAGCATATATCTAATTATATAAATATATTTCGTAGGTTCAAAGCATTAAAGTCTTTGATCAAAGTCCAACGATATGCATCAGGAATTGATTGGCGTACTTTTCGAGCACGTATAGGACTTCCAACAACAAAAGTTCTTCAGGCTCAAAATGCGCAATCTTTATTTTTATTTCGCTGACACTCCGAAGGTGATTCAATTTTTCTAAGACAAGTTAATTGGCATTTTACCTGTCTAAGAAGCGTTTTATTTCAAACTGTTCAAAATCTTTTCCTTGTCATCTGCTGATAAGAGCTTCAACACTTCAGTTAGGCCACTAATGGTACTTTCGTGGTCGCTTCTGATGGACTTCGCAAGGTTTTGAGCGAATGACTCGACCTTCAAAGCCTTCAAGTGCTCTTCCAAAACATTGAAGTTCTCTTCGATCCAGGTGGCAACCACTCTATCATCATCTCTGTTAACAGATGCAGGGTACCAGGAATTTAGCCTGGCGATCTTCTCTAGTCTTTTGGCAGTTGGTAATTCGGCATTTAGTCGCTTCATTAGATATTCCTCGTTTAATCTTCTTCTCAATCTCCAGAAGAAGAAGCGACGAGCCTGTGGCCAATCCAACTCTTTACTGATAACGTCTTTGGCAATCATACGACCCGTCCGATCATGCAAGTCAGCGAACTGCACAGACACCTGGTGATAAATTGGCATCAGCAACTTTTCACGAGCTGCTAACTTGACAGCGAGCTCTTGATGCTGCTCTGCTGTTAAGCTTGGGTCAGCCAACTGGTTTTTCAAGTCTTTGTATTTTGGATCTAATCTAGCCATGGTAGCCAATAGTTTTTCTCTACGGTACTTGATACCAACCATACCTTCTGGCTCTAGAACACCAGCTCTTGAGTTGATATCCGCGTACATTTCCATTTGATCAGCATTGATTGTTGGGTCAACCACAACCCAAGAACCACCTCTTAATTCACCAGTAGGTGGAATATAAGTAAAAATGGGTTGCTTGTAATCAACCAAGGCATCAACGATGAAAGAACCGTACTTCAATACCTCGTTGTACATATCACGTTGACCACCAGAGAAACCCCTCCAGTTAGCCAAAATCATTAGTGGTAGCTGTTCACCATAGTTGAAGTCATTAATGGCTTGGGCAGTCTTGAACGCAGAGTTAGGATACCACACCTGGCCAGCTTCTTGAATCAAAGTCTCTCTCGAATCTGGGTTTGCAGGGTCGGCGGGAATCATGTTCTCCACGAGTCTCGTTTCAACACTAATAACACCGAGAGGGATACCACCTAGACGTGCTCTGCCGACGACCACACCTTTGGCCCAGCCAGACAGTGTCTCTTGGAATGAGCCCTTGTCGAAAAGACCATACTCAAATCCTTCACTGGTGTTGCGACCTTCAATCATCCATCTGACATCGTAAGGGGCTTCGTTCGTTGGAACAAAGTCAATTTCTCTATCCCACTTATCTTCACTTTCTAAGATAGGAACAGGCATGTCACGCTTGGCTGGCACATACGACAGCCACTCCATGATCTTTTCGACACCAGCTAAGTCATCTTGAGCGGTCAAATGAGAGACACCATTGTTGTACATGATTTGAGTACCACCTAATTGCAGATTAGAGGAATAAACTTCGCTTCCCAATAACTTGTTGATAGCAGGTGCACCAGTTAGAATGATAGGTTGACCTTCAATTTGGATGGCTCTTTGACCCAACCTTACCAAGTACGCACCAATACCAACGGATCTGCAGGTAACAAGGGTAATCGTGAAAATGTCCTTGTAGGCTCTTGAGGTGGCACCGGCGATCAAACCGGAACCCTTCAAACACTCAACACCCAAACCGTCATCAGCACCGATGATAGCCTTAATAACATGACGTTCTTTACCATTTTCGACAATACGTTCGGTAACAACTGATGCTTCCTTGTGTTGAGTTTTCAATTCCGCCAATCCTTCAGAGGTCAAATACAAGTATTCGAAACCCTTAGATGGGTTCTCAGGATCGTTCCATGACACGTTGAACAATGGGACCAATTCTTCAGCAATACCAATTCTGGCACCTGAGTTTGCAGATAGGTAGATTCTGGGGATACCGCGCTTTCTGGCATACTCAGTAACTTTATTGAAAAAGGCATCTTCCAAAGGACCGAAAGAACCGATCTTGTAGGTGATGTCATTGGCAACAATAACAAACTGACGGCCACGAGGGTATTCAGGAGTTTTGACAGTGACTTTGAAAGCAACCATACCAATAGTGTTGGCGCCAGCCTCGCGGTCAATTTCGGTAAGCTCACCGTCTTCTTCCTCAATCAATTCGTTGGCAATGAAAAACTCATCTGACAGCTTGGTTTTAGGAGAAATCTTTTTCCACTGCGACACAGTAGCTTGACGGAACAATTCTGGGAAATCGTAAACGTAAGTTGTGCCCATAAGGTGAGCCTTGTAACGCTTTGGTTGAAGAGATTCCTTTGCTGGGTAAGGAGTAGCAATGGGTCTGAGGTGCATAGAACCTGGCTTGTCCAACGACTTGAAAACCCATTCTCCTTGAGCATTCTTGACCTCGGTGTAGAGCTCAGTCTTGACAACGTAACCGGAAACATTGTTGATCAATGCTCTCAAAGGAATTGGAGCTCCAGTTTGAGGGTCTTTGATGATAATGCGGATTTCAGCAGCAGCGACACGCAATCTCAACAATCTCTTCCCGAATCTTTCTAGGAAACCACCAAAAGCAGCTTCAACGTCTTCGAATGAGACGTCGAAAACAGCAGAAAAGTGAATGAAAATGTGATTCAAATCCGAGTTAGATGTGTCAATAACCTCTAGGTTGTCTAGAATGTTACTCATCAAACGGTTAGCTTCCGAGGTGAGATATTCTTGAATGGTGATGTCATCACTAATACGACCGGTTCTGATAATACCTCTAGTGAAGAATCTTTTATCAACTGCAGAGTTCTTGCCCGTAGCCTCATACACATGAATATTTCTGTTTTCTGTGAAGATTTGCTTGATGTTGAAGTTAGACATTCTTCCTAGCTCAAGTTGGAAAGCTAGTGCCGGTTCGATGTGACGGATAGTTTCATCTTCCACGTAACCAGGGCCTCTGAACGTGTAGTATTTTGGGTAAGTACCGTCATTATAGCCGAAGACGAATGTAATACGACGAATGGATGCATCGACAAGTTGTTGCTTATTCAAGTCCAAGATTTCTCTTAATCTAACCAGCACGTCTTCTTCGGTTGCAAAGCCATCTGTAGAGGATACTGAGACATTAGCAATGTTGCTCAAGGTTGCGCTGCTACCTGATCTGTCTGGGGCGGGACCTGTAGAAGAGGAGGAGTGGTGAGGTACCAACTGAAGACCCTTAGCAAGACCATCATCAACATCATCCAAATGGTTTGATGCAACTAAGATACCAGTCCTTAAAGGTTGGTTGTCACCCTCAGAAATGAAAGTTAAGTCTGAAACGGAAACGGCTCTGTGCATTCCCATCTTGCTCTTGACTTGAGGGACGGAAGCAAAAGCTGCGGATGGAAGCTGAAATTTCCATGCTACGACAGCGTTGTTAGAAGTAGTGTAATGCTTCAAATCACCGATGGTGTAAGCACGGTATGCACGACGGATGTAAACCTCAGCTGCGGCCGCTGCTACGGAAGCATCGCGGTGAGTGAGGAATTGAGTTAGAACGTCAAATACCACATAATTGGAGTCAATCAAATCTTTCAAAATTTCCAAATCAGGGTCATTGCGTTTGCTATCAAAAGCACCATACGCAGTCTTGACTACGGAGCTTCTTAGGATATGTTCAATCTGATCAGTTCTCTCTCTGACAGATGGCAAAGCGGCTTGAATCAAAATTTCCCTTGCTTGCAAAGCAACCTTGGCAGTAGCTTTCGATTCGAGTTCAACGATGTGTTTCAAAGGTTCAGCAATAAGGGATGAAACTTCAGAAGACATTTTGCACAAGGGTTGGTAGTGCTTTAAAATGGCCAGAATCAAATTGTTCTTAGCAGAAACGCGAGAATGAGACAATACGGTAACCACGACGCGGTCCAAGTTTTCAGGGTTCTCGTCACGAAGTTTCAAAATAACATCCTCCTCGCGAACATTAGAGCCACTGAACAACTTTTCAACTTGATAGTAGTTTTGCAAGAATTTGGCGAAAACAGAATGTTCATGCGAGTCCAAGCCGTGGGCGTACCTATTGGTAATGTCCAACAATGGTTCAATGACAGTTCCAAAGAGAGGATCGTCGGATTCTTTTAAAGCGTTTTCTAGCATCTTTCCTAGTTGAGAAGATGGAAATTGGGCCTTTCTGCTCAAAGAACGGTTAACTAGCTGTTCTAGTTGTTCATCGAGCTTGATTGGCAACCTAGAGTGCAAAGCAGAGGACTGCATTTTCCATTCGGAATAAGGTAATTGTGGATTTCTCAAAACCTCGATCAACTGCTGCAAAGAGGCGTTCATAATAACTTGGTTATCATATCCATTCAAAATGTTCTCTAGGGTAGAAACCAAATATCTGAACTTGTAAGCAGGCTTAGTACCTTCTACAATAGGAGCACCCATGTCAGGTAGCATGCCTTCGTATGGCAAAGCATGTTTCACCTTCGTGGGGTCATCTAGGGCTAGGATTGCCAAAATGTCACCGGCTGAAACAGTGGAGCCAGGTTGTTTCAACAACTGGACTACACCGCTTTCTTGTGAAATCAAAGGCATTTGCATTTTCATGACTTCCACTTCGGCATAAGGTTGACCAGCTAGAACATGATCACCACTTTCGACTAAGAACTTCACGAGTTTACCAGGAGAAGGAGTACGCAACTGGGTTGGGTCATTTTCAGCCTCCAGCAGAGTGGTCTTGGAGTCAACAGAAAGTCTAGTAGCGGAGACCTCTTCCTTCCAATAAATTGTGTGTGATTTACCGCCCAAAGCGATCAAAAGACCACCGTCTGAAAGCTTACGAACACCAACCTCGCACTTAGAACCATTAATAAATAAAGTGTAACGATCATCGGCAGATTTGGCCACAGTGAATTTATATCTTTTCCCGTCATGAATAAATTCTACGGGGTACATGGTTTGCAACAAAGATTTGTTGGGAACCTGGCCTTTTTGCAAGCTGGTAATATAATCTTTGCGGCCATTTTCGGATGCGATAAATACTTTCGTGGCGGCACCACAAATGACAGCCAGAGTTGAATCAGGCTTCTCCGCAGTCATCTTCTGAGAAATCAAATCATCTAGCCAGCCGGTAGTGATAGAGTTATCTTCAAAGTCTTCAGTTTCCAAAAGTTTAATTAGATACTCCACGGTAGTTCTGAAATCACCTCTAATTGACAATTCTTTTAACGCGACGACCATGTGTTTTCTGGAGGCCTGTCTATTCTCGCCAAATGCAAAGATGTGACCAAATTGTGAGTCCGAGAAGGAGTGAATACCACCACTGCTGGACACGGAGAAGTAACCCCACACGTTAGAAGAAGAACGGAAGTTCAATTCGTGCAAAGACCCCCCAGAAGGCTTGAACCCTTCATTTGGATCTTCGGAAGTAATACGACAAGCGGTACAGTGACCTTTGGGGATTGGTTTTCTTTGAGTTTGTAGAGAGCCTTCAGACTTAAACTCGAAGTCGATCTCGGAAGCGGTATGAGGGTCGACACCATAAAACAATCTAATGTCTTTAATTCTGTGCATGGGGATACCCATTGCGATTTGTAATTGAGCCGCTGGTAGATTAACACCACTAACCATCTCTGTAGTTGGATGCTCGACTTGTAGTCTTGGGTTCAATTCTAAAAAGTAAAATTTATCATCATCATGAGAATATAGGTATTCAACAGTACCAGCAGAAACGTAGCCCACCAATTTACCCAGTCTGACAGCCGACTTTTCCATCTCTGTAAAAGTGTCGGGTTTAGCAATGGTAACAGGAGCTTCTTCTATAATCTTTTGGTGACGTCTTTGAACGGAACAATCACGCCCAAATAGGGAAATGTTGGTACCATATTGATCGGCCAGAAGTTGGACTTCCAAATGACGAGCTTTACCCGCCAATTTCATGATGAAAATTGGAGAGCCGGGAATCTCATTGGCGGCTTGTTTGTAGAGAGGAATGAAATCTTGTTCTCTTTCAACTTTTCTAATACCTTTACCACCACCACCTTCGGAAGCCTTGACCATAACTGGAAACCCGATCTTTTTGGCCTTAACAAGACCATCTTCAGGGGAAGTGCAACAACCATTTTGATAAACATCGTCTTGGACTGATACCAAGCCATTTTCATCCATGTGAACTTTGTCAACCCCGGTACCAGACCATGGGATACATGGAACTTTGGCGTGTTGAGCTACGATAGTAGAAGAAATTTTGTCACCAAGCGATCTCATAGCGTTACCAGGAGGACCAATGAAAATGATTTTGCGGGCAGATAGAGCCAATCTCTCGGGCAACAATGGGTTTTCGGAAGCATGACCCCACCCGGCCCAAACGGCATCGACGTCTGCTCTTTCGGCGATTTCTACAATGAGATCGACATTGGCGTAATTGTTGTTGTTGGTTCCACCTGGAACTTCGATATACTGGTCAGCCATACGCAAATATTCGGCATTGGCCTCGAGATCTTCGGGCGTGGCCATTGCGACAAATTGCACGGTGCGTTCGTCGCCAAAAGTTTCGTAGGCCCATTTGCGAACGGACCGGATTTCTTTGACTGCGGCAATACCGTTGTTGGCAATCAAGACCTTGGATATGACGGTGTGACCACCATGGGACTTGACGAATTCTTTGAGTGGCGAGTCTTCGGCCTTTTGGATGGTATTCAGACCGATGAAATGTGACGCCAAAGCTTTGTGTTGAGAAAGGTAATCGGTGGTTTCGTATTGTTCCTTTTGGGAAACGGCCACTTCGGACAGACTTTCCTCGCTCATGGTTGTTGAGATAGAGCGGATTTTGTGAGGGGCAATAAAATGTTGCGTAGTGCTGTAACTTGCGATGCTTGCTAGCCTGTTGTTGTTGTTGTTGTGGCTAGTTGGAAGGCAACGAAAGCGTGAGCGGATTCGGAAACGAAAGCAAGGGCTAAAATAAAAGCGTCTGGCTAAAAAAGGTTTCCTGAATAAAGACAAAAAAAGTCTAGCGGTGTTGTTGTCGTTGTTAAGACGGTTGCTGCTGGGTGGAAAGTTAGTGATGAGTCTTCTTGCAGAAGGCGACAATTTTTCGGAAGAGAAGGTAAAACCAATGCGCGACGCTGAGGACAAGCCAGAATTTCGACCGAATTCAAATTCTTGAAGGCCAATTGTTAAATTCAATTTCAAATTCAAAATTCAAATTCAATCCAGCTCTGGCGCCCCCTCAAAGGATTGTAACCGCCCGTATAAGGCACAATCTTTATTTGCAGAGACCACGACGCAGCGTCTGTGCGATCGTACGCGCGCTGGCTTTTTGTTGGGTCAGGGCCGCCGTGTGTGAGAATAACCGAAGGGGAGAACGGCCTGCGGGTCGGCGCGAAAAGCCAACAATTTTTTGGCCGGTGGGCCCAACCCACCATTATAACGAAAAAAAAAAAACATCTCACACACGCGCTTTCCACGTGGGTCTGGCACGTCGCTCCACACGGGGCGAGTAACCGCCCAGCTCCCACAATTGCGTCCCTTGCACCGGAATCTCGCGCTTCTCCCTGAATTGGCCTGCCACTGCTGATACATACATGTTGCGAAAGTCTCAAGCTTGTTCGTTGGCTCGTCTTGTTGCTGTTGTTGTTGTTGTTGAAGTGAGAACGTAAAAGCGCCGCCAAGAACCTGCTGCAGCTGTGTTGCGTAGATCGGTCTTCTCAGAGTCGCAAAAGTCTAGCTAGACAATAGAATACAATATAATAGAATGCCAACTAATCTGTATCTGCGTGTGTTTTGGAAGGTCTGTTCCAGCTACTGTTTCTCCAAATCACTCTGTTATTTATACTCCCGAAAAACAAGAGCCTGTCAACGCCCCTTGAAACACGAACAGAATCGAACAAGCTTCTTTTGTTGGGCCCTGGGCATAAAAGTCTTTCGTGTAGAGCGATAGGCTATTCGTACGCGATGGGCGCAGGTTAGTTTTTCTCGATAGTTTGCAGTAGTTAATTCTGACATTTTTTTGTTGGGAAAGGTCGAAAAGGCGGGCAGAGCCAGGCAGTAAGAAGACGCTTGGGTCAAGGTGATGTCACTAAAGCTGTTGGGTGGATCGAGCCGTGGTTGAACAGTTGCGAGCGATAGGGAGATTTGTGGGATGTTTTTTTGTATAGTGGTGAACAATCGAAAGGGAGCTGCAATAAGGGCGATGCGAGATGTCTTGGCACAGCGGTGAGTGAGAGAAACAAGGGAGCTGGGATTGTAATGGGGCGGAGGTGTCGCTTCGAGAATGTAATGTGATGAAGGCAAATACGGCTAGCGAGCAATTACATTGAATCTAGCATTCTGGCTTTTTTTGGGACGCGACGCGACGTGCTAGCGACGGTCGCATGATATGTAGTTAGATTTCCGCGAGAAGCGACAAGAGATAGTTTTTGTTGATAGTGGCCAGCTGGGACGTGACAGAATGGTACAAAGTGATGTGGGTGGGACAAAGGCATCAATTGCGCTGGCGCTCAAGATGAGCGGGTAAACCTGCGCCTCGCTCGGAGTTTCAGATGGTCTTGTACTGTAAATCCACTGGGAGCCATCCACGTTGGTACGAAGCGCATAGTACGAAGTGCGGAACGGAAAAATCATCAATGGTAAACTTACCGTTTTGCACTAAGAGGCTAGAGAGTACAGTAGGGTTATGTGTTTCGATCAAAAAACAGATTCGTAAGTCGGGTAAAACATTCAAGTGTCGGGACCCCTGAGCTGTTGCTAGTTAGCGTCAATTGCATAATGAAAAAACAAAAACGACAGAATGGTATGAAGTGACAAAGCTTGAAATCTAGTTCAGCATATCCATTCAGATTGTGGATAAGAATACTGGGGTCTAGACCTATAGTCATACTTTTATCGGCCTGGAACGCTTCTCGTTACTAAGAGCCGGTGCGGAATCCTGAGCGCTAGCAAAACTAACCGACCGCCATTGCACTACTATAAATTCAGTCTTTGATCCCAAATGCAAGCTATTAACACAATCACTAATTCTCAAAAAAAAACTGGCTGTGACGTTTCCACACTAAATAATAGACTTTGGAGGCATGATCCGTTGGTCCAGAACGCTCATAATTTACAACACACAGTTATGAATTGGCGTGTTCATTAAAAAAATGTATTGTCAAGCTTTCTGCCGCTGAATTAGACTCTTTTCGATTGCATGATTCTTGGCGTTGCACAAGCAAAGTTTATTTGTCGCATTCGTATGTAATTCATCTGTCGTTAGACTTTGGGAAACAATACAAAGGTGCAAAGTGATAAGCACCCTGTAGAAGGTCAAGACAAAAAGCTAGACAATAGGCCACTTCACATCGTCCGCCTGATGGTCAAAATTTGATGTCTCAAAAAGTCCCTTATCAAGTGATTGGCGGAAAGCCTTCCTGTGGTACTCGATGTTGAGTTCTTCAATCATTTTCCGGATACTAAATCGGCGAGCCACTATGATTGCCACCTGGTACTGTTATGTTGTGTTCAAAAAATTGGCACTCGTCAACCGACATATGGTATCTATCCCTGTCCTCCGTGCGTGATGCTATTAGAACTCAGAATCATTTTCTCATACGTTTAGTTAATCTACAAAGAGCCTTGCGTGTTTAATACCGGAAGCGTTTCATCCCTATAGTAAGCTGCAGATTCGCGATTCGTCCCTTGTGCTGACTTAGAAGACACTTTGTCGTTTTCTACCAACCTGTCATTATCAATACTCAACATATTGCCAGATCATCAAGCTGCCAATAAAACATAATGTCGGCAACAAGGAAAAACTGTTTATATAATTGCACGCGTTGTTTCGTATCTAGTAAAGTGTTTTTATAGTACGCTAAGCGCAGTACCGGTCTATACACATATGTCAGTACATTTTTAAACGTAAGACGCTTAAAGCAGAAATTGTCTGGGCACATAGAAATAAATAATCAAATGCATCAAAACTTTGTTAAAAAGGGCTCAATATTTACATGTTCGTTATTTTCATTGAGTCCCAACAAGGTGGACGTGGTGGCCGTTACTTTGGAAAGGCAGGTTTTGGTGCCAAAACACAAATATTTTCGGTAAACTTATACACTCGATTTCATTCAAGAGTCCAACAATCTTCAATTGGATTCACAAAGCTGTCCATGGAGTGAATGAGGTCTTCCATTGTCGATCGTAACATAACTAATGGTAGAAAGACCCACACGTGATCCAGAGATACGATGATCACGAGACATGCAACTATCATATCTAACGAGTGGAAAATTTTTTATTAGGAAAAAGATCTCGAAGTCATAGTAAATATCCATCAAAGCTAAAAGCGACTAGTATAAGCGCCTAGCACACAAAACCTAAGTTTTACTTACACTAAAATGTCGTGGCTCTTCGGCGGATCCAAAAAAGAGGCTTCCAACTCGTCCCCTGCGGCGGAACAGCTCTTTCAAGACGACCCAAAAGTGCAGGATACGCTTGGGTTCGATCCCAACCAAGTGACAAATGTATCGAGCATCATTTCGACTCCTGGCGCACTGGATACCTCAAGACTGCATCCGTTGGCCGGTCTAGAGCGTGGAGTTGAGTACCTTGACTTGGAGGAAGAGCAACTTTCGACAATGGAAGGATCCCGAAGCTTGATCCCATCAAGAGGCTGGACTGACGACTTGTGTTACGGTACAGGTGCCGTATACTTGGTTGGTTTGGGGCTCGGAGGCTCTTACGGGTTCTTCGAAGGTCTCAGAAACATTCCACCAAACAGTCCCGGAAAATTGCAGCTTAACACTGTGCTTAATCACATCACCAGAAGAGGACCATTTATCGGTAACAATGCCGGTGTCTTGACGTTGACCTACAACCTGATCAACTCAACAATTGATGGGTTCAGAGGGAAGCACGATTCTGCCAACTCCGTTGTCGCTGGTGCGCTAACTGGTGCTATTTTCAAGTCCTCCAAGGGTCTTAAGCCTATGGGATATGCTTCAGGAATGATGGCGGCCGCCGCGGCTACTTGGTGTGGCATTAAGTCGTTTGTGTTGTAAGAACAAGAACAGAAAAAATGAATTTTAATGACAAGGGCGAGAGCCATGATTCTCGCCGTGAGCCCGGGCCTAACGTACCAGCTCGTGGACTCATCGACCTAGACACTATCAGAACTTCTACATTGCATAATAATCTGGGCACATTCATTCATGTACATTACCCATTCTAGCCTGGGATTATAATGGTGCAGTCTCATCCCTACGCGCAACGCTCTCCAGTTATGATCTCATCCTCACGTTTTTTTCTCTTTGATTTATAACCGCTGCACAACTTGTACATAAAGTAATTGAATTTTGTTAAAGAGTCAAGACTCATTTTACGCGGCTGTGGTAGTGTAGATTGGTTTCACCCAAGGTTCCAATGTAACCTGAGTCCGCTTTTTGAGTTTAATCTCTCCCAGTGGTAACGTTGCGTCATCCTCAGCAACGTGTCCATCCTTGTTGTAGCTTTCCAAATCTTTAACCAATTGGTCAATATCAACACCAGGGTAAATTGCATCATCGAAAACATCGTCCTGTTTGTCAACGCCTGAGAAAAGAACTTTATTGGGAGTGCCAGGTTTAAAGAGTAAGCTTCTCTTGTGGAAAATCGAGTCTGTGGACATCTCTAATAACTCAGTCCTGATATCAAATGGATGAACACCACTGTCCAAAAGGGTAGCGACAATTCCAGACACAATCGGCGAAGCCATAGAAGTACCAGAATAAGCGACCGGCTTGAAAGGCGGCATGTTCGAAAGGGAGTTTATCTTAACGCCCGGTGCAAAAATATCCACACAGTTCCCCCAATTTGAGAATCTGGCAATTGTGTCAGTACGATCATCAAACGCGCCCACAGCAATAGCAGATAAAGATGATGCCGGGCTGCTCCAACATGCATTTGCGTTAGAATTTCCTGCTGCCACAACTACAACAACCCCAGCTTCCAGAGCCGCCTCTACCGCCTGGTTTAACACGGAGTTTCTAAAAGAACCCAGGCTCAAGTTAGCCACGCAGCCGCGTCTACTCTTGCGGCAGTGGTTCACGGTGAATTCAATTGCGCTAATAACAGAAGTCAAATTACCTTGACCTTTGGCGTTAAGAGCCTTGACCTCGATTAAGTTAACATCTTTTGCCACACCAAAAGTCCTAGAGCCAATAAGTCCAGCAACATGCGTACCATGGCCATTGAGATCACCAGGCCCTTCACCTACAAGATCTGCACCAAATTTTGCGCGCCCTTCAAATTGCTTGCTTTCTTTGTAAATACCAGTATCAATGACATAGGCATTGACACAAGTGCCCAAAAAGCTTTGATCAAAATAGTAACTGAAATTAGAATTTACAGTCGCTATATCATTCGGGTTATAAGGCAAAGCAGATCTGCGTGAAATTCTGGCCAAATGCCTAGGTGCATTCCTTTGAATGGCCACGCCCGGCAAGTCTGAATTGTCACCCTCGTCTTCCTCATCCTTTTCATCATCGTCATCGTCATCATTATCTTCTTCTTCTCCGTCGTCTTCATCGTCATCCCAGTCTTCATCCCAATTATCGTCTTCAGGGAAGCTTTCTTCATCAAACACGTTGAACTCAACATTTGGGACGATCTCCGCAATTAATGGATTGTTTCTGAGTTTTGAGATTGCATTCAATGGGAAATCTACGGTAAAACCTTCGAACTTTCCAAACGAAAAGGTTTTAAGTATTTTCCCCTCAGAGAATACGTTCAAGAAACCGTCGTTAACTCGAGACTCGACTAATTTTGCCAAAGTCCTGGGGGATTTCAATCGAATAAGAAACTCTTCAGCGTTTCCCAAAGTAATTGTAACCGCCAGCGCAGTTGCCACCTGCGATATTCTCATGTTGCTGGCGTAAGAGATTAATAATCTATGATTGAAGGGAGTGGAGAGAACAACTGAATTATAAGTACAGGGAAAGTCAAGAGATCTCGAGCTTTTATACTGGGTTTGCAAATTGGCAATAGAACTGACACTAAACCGCATTGTTTATGACGCTGACACTTGTTGACATATACTGACATTACACTTCCAGTTTGAAATGTGGGGTGTGGGTGTAGAGAATTACTATCAGATCGGAATTCGGTCGAGTTAGTAAAGCGACGTATGGCCAAAATGAAGCATACACGGGAAACTAGCAACTCTTCGCTCTGTATCTGAAGATGACATACGCATACTGAATATGAAAGATTCTCTGAAGAAAATCGGTATGGGTCAATTTAATTTGTTATTTGCATTCTATAGGTTCATATCACTGATTAGTTAGACATTGACAAAGGAATACACACAACGATATTGATATCGTCTACATGCCCTTAGTCGAAAAAGATGAGCTTCGAATTTGCCTTAGCAGCAGAAAAATCACTTCTTACCTGGACGATGTAAAAAGGCTAATCCAGGTCCCTTCTTTTCCTTCGTGGATTCTAGTACCGTCATGCCCATAATGTCCTCATAGAATGGCACAGAGCGCTCCCAATCTGAGGTAAGAAGCAAGCTCCTTCGCAGGTTATGTGCTGAGTCAATTACCTCTTGCACGCAACTGACTAGCCATCTACCAAGACCTTTACCTTGGTATGCAGGTACGACGTGAACATCTGTCAAGAAGAAAAGGGTGGAATAGTCTGTGACACAACGTGCGAAACCTATGAAACGCGCCGCATCAATTTTGTCGGTGGGCGAGTCTATAAAGCTGTCACATTCGTCCCCAAGGTCATAAAGCCCGAAACAGAGCGAGTTGTCCAATGCTTCCTGCAATACTCTTTCCGGGAGAGCATTTGTCCAGTACACGTGGTCAGAGGCGAACCAGTCGTTAAGCGTTGACACTGGGATCAGAGCACGATTGGTGGATACGACGAAAGAGTCCTTTCTCCATACAGATTGATAACTGGGGTTGAGTTCTCCTGCCATATCTATCGATGTCTTGGCTGAAGTTACCAAATGCTTAGTTTTTCCATTCTGCTCAATCTGCTTTATATAAATTGACCACACATCTGGCACAGCAATTAGTCATTTAATGGTAGTTTTCGGGATATCAGCGTAGGGTAGAACTGAATCAGGAAGTTTCTTAGAGATTACGGCGTGCGGGTGTAGCAAGGGCCAGAAGTTCACTATAAAGCAAGACTTTCTAATTATGGCTGCAGGGCCTACATCATAATGGCTGGAAGAGGAAGGCGGTTGTACCCTCAAGTCTATTCTATACTACTGGCGTTATCGTCAGCGCTAAGTTTGACTCATTGAGAACTTTTTTTTCACCATGTATTGTCGTGAAAGGGTTTATTGCAAAGTTGTTGCAAATCAAGATTAGATGAGATTATTCAACGTTTTATTCGAGCTGAGCTAGTCTGCCGGTTATTCGTGCTGGTTTTGCATTTGTGGCTTGTTTTCAAGCTTCCCAATCAAGCACCAGTATATAATAGATCCTGCTTGTTGGTTTACGAGCTAACTAACGAATTACCTTTTTAAGAGTTATATGCTGGATACTGAAGGGAGTATCTGGTCGTTCGCTAGCCATAAGTTTCTGATAGAATTGATGGACTAGTGTATGAACCTATCGTATCTGAAAACTTGCTTTCCACTCTAGGACTTTCTACCCGTCTAAGACTCATTTAGTGCACTCCGGGTAGTATTTCTACTTTGGTCAACAGGCGAGACAGCACTGCCTAAACATACTTACCTGACTCAACGGCTACTAGAGATACGTGCCTATTAGTTAGTCCGACCATGTCAGTAACGTACCATTAATTATGCCGCCAAGAAAGATTGGTGGCATTAATATCCTATGCTACCAGAACTATATATTTATGATAAGCGGCAAGCTATCCGTTGGACAGAAGAATAGCGGGCCTATCTATAACTGAAGCCATGGAGCGATTTACGTTGTCAAGTAAACAAGTCAAGATCAAGCAAGTGCCACAATAATTCTGTTGATGCAATAATAAACAATTTCAACATAGACTCGGAGAATTTGAAGACCAACAGCACCAAGAGCCCTATCTAATCGTTTCGGTGATAGGGCACAATAGTCTCGAAAAGTGCAATGATGCCCCATCTAAAATCGAACGGCATATAAATCAATTCAAGATGAGATGGTAAATTTTGACGCGTAGGAGGTTTTTTTCTCGAGATAAATCAGCTGGTAAATGCTTATGTGGTTTCAGATAAGTCATCGATATACAAAAGATCTTGCATTTTGTCTTCCTGCTAACTGAAGCATTGGTTTCTATAGAGTATATTCTACAGACAGCCAGAAAGAATGTCTAATCCTTCGCAATCGGCTTTACCAAAAGTCTCCAATGAAATGGCTCAATTGAGTGTATCGGAAAACCAGCTTTCCACTTTCGGTCTTTCTACGCAGTTATCTCTACTGGGTCGTAACACTGATGAACAGTATGGTTTCGTGAATCCGCCTTTGTATAGGGGCTCTACAGTTATCCACAAAACGCTTGATAGTATTGAAAACTCTAAAGGAAAATTCTATTACGGGGCAGCTGGCTCCCCCACCGTAGCAAACCTAGAAGATGCCTGGTGTCACTTGACTGGTGCAGCCGGAACGGTTCTATCGCCATCGGGACTCTCTTCGATCACAATAGCTTTGTTGTGTCTTGTGAAGGCGGGAGATCATATTCTAGTCTGCGACAGTGTTTACCAGCCAACTCGAGTGTTTTGTGATGGCCTGCTAGCAAAGCTGGGCGTTCGGACACAATACTATAACCCATTGATAGGCGATGATTTAGAAGAACTCATTGGCCCAAACACAAGCCTCATTTACTTAGAAAGCCCCGGCTCCCAAACAATGGAGACACAAGATATCCCCACGATAGTGCGGATCGCGAAAAAGCATGGAATCAAGACAATTTTGGATAATACGTGGGCTACTCCATTATTTTTCAATGCGCATGGCCACGGCATAGATATATCGCTCGAGGCTGGAACTAAGTACCTGGGAGGACATTCGGATCTTTTTATAGGCCTTACATCTGCGAATGAGGCCTGTTGGCCTGCATTAAGAAAAACTTATGATACGATGTGCGCACTGCCTGGCGCTGACGATTGCTTGCTGGCCTTACGAGGAATGCGTACCTTGCATTTGAGATTGAAAGAAATAGAACGGAAAACTCTTGAGCTGGCCACATGGCTTTCGGAAAGAAGTGAGGTTGCAGAAGTTCGTCATCCTGCCATGAAAACTTGTCCCGGACATGCCAATTGGTTACGCGATTACAAAGGGTCATCGGGAGTGTTTTCCATTGTGCTGAAAGATGCTTTCACCAGAGGAGGGCTGGAAAATATGCTAGAAAATATGTCCCTTTTCAAACTAGGTTTTTCATGGGGAGGTTATGATTCGCTGATCATTCCTATAAACCCCAGGGCGTATAGAACAATTTTGGAATGGCCTCAAACTGGTTTCGCAATGCGCGTCCAAGTTGGACTGGAGGACCCTGAAGACCTGAAACGGGATCTTGAGCTAGGATTCGATCGTTTAGCAGGGAAAAATTAACATACCAGGGATCGCTCCCCCATGGTTTCATAGGTTAAGGGCTGATGAGGAAGAAGCGAAGTCTCGTTTACGGGAGAGGTTTGACACGAGCACCTTACACAGCAGGTTCTCACGCGCCATCTGCGGTTTGGTTGAGAATTCTGAATATAAGTGGCATCGCTCGCTGAGAGCTTTGCTTAGAGTTGGATAGTCTGTGTAGTAAAAATCGGCTTTGTCAAGTTTCAACGGGGACACGTAGGCCCAGTGGCAAAACAGTACGTGTGAGGGAGGAGCAGAGGGAGTTGTACAGAGCAGTGTAAAGAGAGAAGTGTAAAGAGAGAAAAGAGAGTTACAGACAAAAGTTCCGAGAGAAGTGTAAAGAGAGGTCAAGACAAAAGTACCAAGAATGCTGGATTTCGGCTCGCAGCGGACTGCGCTATCGCATTACTACAAAAGGGAAGAGACTCAATCGAGCGCGCCCGTACAGCTACGGCGCTGCCCTGTGCCTCCCAGATCACTTTTTCCCCACGAGACGCTCTCGTCCACCCGCACACCACCACCCTTCCACCACACTGCCGCCTTCTCCACCAATCACAATCGTTCCTTGGCTTTTCTAAAGCCATAGCTGTGGTCGTCCTTCACAGCGCTTCTTCAAATTTTTTTAAATTGGAAGCTCTGAGGGACCTCTGAAAAATTTCATCTTTTTCCCGGACTTAACGACATGTCAAAAATCGCATCACATAGAAACTGGAGAAAATCCCAAATACTGATCGTTTACGAGAGGTAGTAACACACCTGAGCGTTGGTACCATCTCTTTCGTTCAGACAATTAAGACCAGCATTCTGATCTCTTCGTTCAGGGCTTGCGTTTCCCATTCTTTCGTGCACCCTCATTGTTCTCAGCTGTAGATGCGACAAACGAGCCGTTTGAATTCTTGAAAGTCACAGCGTAAACACTCTACATAGTCTCTAGCTTGCGTAGCCGCTTTCCAGCACTTTCAAGGGCAATACTAGGGCATTGCCAGGACAGGCCAATAGTCATGCGCTGGCCAGGAAGGAATTTTCATGGCATGATTGGACGTAGCGATGGATCCGTTGCGGCAGTAAGGCCGGAGAAAAGCCCGGATAGATAGATATCAGAATGGGATATATAAACGTAACTCAGAACGTTTTGGACACTAAGCGTGCAAGAAACCTCTGGCCACAACACAAGCGAAATAATAATTAAGCAGTAGAAGAGATGAAGATCCTTACAGAAGAGGAGATCGAAGCACACCACTACCACACGCTGTCAGGCGGGTTGAAAGGTGCCGTGGCAGGACTGGTGATATCGGGGCTGGTCTTCAAGCTGGCGCCCGTTAAGTTCCCCAAATTCCAGCCTTCCAAGCTGCCCTGGTCGTTGAGAACCGCCATTTTCATCACACCTCCCACGCTGCTGACGTCGATCTGCGCGGAAGAAGCGTCGACCGGGTTTGAAAGAATGATGTACGGAACTGGCAGCTCGTCAAACGCTGCGGTCGAGGAGCACCAGCGCTGGAAACAGCTGCCGTGGTCCGAAAGGTTCATCGAGGGCGTCTCCAGCAACAAATACAAGATCATCGTGGCAGCGTGGGCCGCCTCAATGTACGGTTCCTGGAAGTTCGTGGACCGCGACCCTATCATGACCAAGACCCAGAAGGCAGTTCAGGCCAGAATGTACGCCCAAACCGTCACCGTGGCACTGCTGCTGGGTTCTATCGGGCTCTCGATGTACGAGGAGAAAAAGCACCCTGACGCGCGGAAACTGGAGGCTTCTCGCCGCTGGGAGAAGGCCCTGGAACGCGCAGAAGAAGAGGAGGCCCTGGCCTCGCAGTCCGGCTTCAGATCCAACGAGGACCGTGTCAAGGCCAAGATTTTCAAATAAGGTCCTTGGTCCTGTTTGAAAACAATGCGGTCGGGAGGCCTACATTCAGTTACAGCGCCTTCCGCTGTCACGAAATATCACGATAAACCGAGACACAGAGTTCTTTCCCAAGGTCTTATTGTATAACGTTAAAAGCACCTATACTCTAATATATTATTTACACGAGTTCTTTTGATTGTGGTCATTGTGCACCATCATCCATTAAACGCTCTTGCTTTGGGCCTCTGAAGCTCACCTCCGCTTTCTCATACCAGCTTCCAAGTCTCCGACGTCCAGCTTGGTGTTTCTGATGTAGTAATGCTTGCCTCTCTGTCTTCTGCCGTCAGCCCTTCTGATAAGATCGATTCTATCAATTAGCGGCGAGAAAATGGGCACACGAACCTCCACGAACGTCTTGGCGTATTGGTTTCTCAACAGGATTGATGCATCTTGCGTCAAAACCTTCCGGTCCACGGAAAGCACATATCCCATCAAATTGTCGTATTTGCATTTTTGCGAGTTGTAAGCCACACGAACAACATCACCGGCCCGTAGACGATCTTTGTTATGTGTCGAAATTAGTTCTCGTCTCCATTTCTGTGGATCCAGACTATCATTAAGGTCTTTCTCCGATAGTTGCTTCAGCAAGTTCGATTTGCATTCTTTTTCTATTGCTGGATAGACCGGTATCGTCTTTCTGGTAGTGCTACCAACTTGATAACTTCTTGCGAAGATCTTCGCAAAGCTCGATAGCTTAGCACCAGCTCTGAGGGCCATCATTTGGGTGAGTTTCAAGCGGTTTGAGTAGTTGGTAATTTCATTTAAACGCTATAAATTTTTTTGAAAATATGTTAAGCAAGCATCAATTCAAGACTAAGTATAAACTGACGTCGAACACAGTATATATTGCAGGGCACCAAAGATTTTCGTGCCGTGGTCAGCTTACTGCTCGGTAAATAATCCTTCTCTTTTCATTCCGTTCCTGTACGCATGTGCTCACCTTAAATCCTGAGCTGGATCCAAATGTAGCTTGACGCTTAAACACTCAGACTAATTAATCCACATCTCGAGATTTGAATGAGTTTTTGTAGGTATATAGTGTGTTCTGGACCTGGTTCAACTTTGGTGTTATCTACATAGCGCCACATCTATGTGCTAGCAGATATTCCCCGATCGACTCTTCGTCACATCCATGTGTTTAGTATATATACAATCTAGAAGTATAATGCGCCTATTTATACAAAATGCAAGTCTCACCATAGATTCAAAACCGACTTCTACGCTTCCGGCCGGTAAACTTGGAGTCCTTGGCCACAGATCTACCTCTCTTGCGCATGAGATCCTTCTTACGCTGAATGTAGTTCTTGTTAGATTCCGTGAGCTTCTTTCTATCGCGACGAACCTTGATCATTTCATCTGCGTTCATAGTCACACCTTCCAGATTGACCTGTTCGTCCTCGTTAGAAGAACCAGAACTTAAGACCAGGTAATACTTCTTGTTCTTTTTGGATTCTGGATCATCTACTACCAGACCACCACTGAACCCTGCCACCTTTGCGGCGCCCAAGATTTGCTGGATCTGATCGTCATTCTTTGGGTAAAATTGGGCCACAAATTTACCGCCTTTCTTCAAACATGCGAAAAGTGTGTTGAAAAAACGCATCAAACGTTTCTTAGGATCATTGTATGAAGTGTCTGCGTTACACAGCCACTGGATGGCACTGATACTCATAGCCGCGTCAAAAGTACCGGCTCTGAACGGCAGGCCTTGGCCCATATCGTGCAACATCAGATCACCGTCAAGTTCTCGGGTGAGACCTGTGGCCAACATTGAGGGCGAAATATCCACGCCGCACCAAATGTGACCTTCCTCGCTCAAAATTTCCCCACTGAGACCTGAGCCACAACCTATATCGAGTACGAAGGACATGTCTGATAAGTTCAAGAGTTCCAAAGCCCGTAAAGACATTTTGGCTTGAATGTGTTGAACTCTAGTCGAAGACGTATACTTTTGAGACTCGGTATCATTGTAAAAAACCTCTGGCGGCGCCAAATCTTCTGGACGAGACATCTTTGGAGAGCAATGGTCTTCAAAAAGGTTTTAGTATATGTGCAGATTTCGAAATTTTCTAAAAGCGATGAGATGAGATGAGATACAATTCTTAAAGCAGAAATTTTTCTAAGAGACTACACTGCTTAAAAAGTTTAAAGAATGATACCCAACAATGATGATTGATACGTGAACCTACTTTTCAATGCCGCGGTGAAGTTATTTAGCGTCTCGTAACAATGTCGCAGATTTTCTTTAAGCGCTTGCTAGTTTTCGTTAGCTTCGATGATGGTCAAGTTCCATAGAGGCATAATCAATTGAAAAGCGGGCAGGTGGAGTGCCTGCGAAACCTTTGTTTGGTCGATTTGACGCAGTGCGGGCTATACTGCTCTACTTCGGAGACTTCAAAAATGATGTAGCTCTCATCCGTCTTGTCAGAGGTTGTCGAAGATACTTGTCGTCGGCTCCTGATAATTTCTGCGAAATAGTGGCATTATACGTAGAGCTTGACAGGTAAATTCTTGACTAAAGCGATTGCTCTTGTGACTAGAATATGCCGCGGATTTTTTAAAGAACACAAATCAACGGAAGATGAGTTTCGTGACTACGGAAAGCCTGCATAGGCTTTTAGAATCTGTTTGATAGTAGCAACGTTTTCGGAGTATCACAGAGTGATCCAATCCGTTTCCGTTTGGTAGTTATTCAATTGTACACCGATATCACCAACCTCGCTTTTTTTCAAGCAAAAGCCATGAAATTGTACCGTATAGCAGCTCTATTTACTCGTAAAAATACTCTGACTGAAATAAGGAAGAGATTTAAGCCACTTCTCACTTGTACGTACCGTTCTCATCATTTGTTTTCACGGCACATCATATAAAGTACTAATATATTTGTCAACGGTTATCAGACCATTCAAAAGAATTAGAGCTATTCAAAGGAATTAAAACCAGCCAAAGTTCTATAGTACAACTGTGATTTGAAGGGCAATGAAACACAATCACAAGCCTTCGGGTAAGCTACCCAAAAAAGAAGTGCGAAGAATCAAGGAGATTAAGCGGCAAACAAAGTCTCGACAGCTCCTTCCAGGGGTTGAAACTGGGTTTGAGGAATACAGCTCTGAAAATGAAAATAAGACGTCTGAGGAGTACCCAAAATTCAGATCATATGCAACAAGTCTAAGCAGCAAAGAAAAGTATCGCTACCATCGGGAAACAGGCCAAATGCGATCCTTTTTTGGAGACGTCATGTTCGGTCACCGGAGTACGATCATGGACGATCTGGTATCCTCATCGCTTACAGAAACGTCTTTCAAAGGTGCAGGTTGGGGCAAGATCAAGTCTAAAGAGTCTGAGAAAGATGCGGCCAATCAAAAAGAGCCTGCTGTGGTCTTTTTCAATTTCTCTGGATTTTATGTGCTTTTCTGGATGATTATCGCATTCATCGTGCTTCGAGTTAGCGTCGATTACTACATTGCACACGATGGTGATCTTTCTCAGTCTGAAATTCTCAGGTTTATGACCTCAGATCTAATATCGATCGCCTTGATCGATCTTGTCATGTATTTATGCACTTATTTTGTGCTGTTTGTGCACATAGCATGTAAAAGGGGATGGATATATTGGAACCGTACTGGTCGGTTCTTGACCTACACATATGAGATTGGATTCTTGTGGTGGTTCCTCTACGTCGCAGAAACCGTAATGCAGTTCCACTGGGTTGCTAAGATCTTCATATTCTTGCATTCATTGGTTCTTTTAATGAAAATGCACTCATTTGCATCCTACAATGGGTACCTGTGGGCGATCTTGGAGGAACTCAAATTTTCGAAGAGAACACTTGCCAAATACAAAGACCACACAATAGAAGACGAATTGAACGACGCCCTTAAAAAGAGTTGTGAATTTTGTCAGTTCGAACTCGATCTACAATCTACCAGGGTAAAGTTTCCAGCAAACATAAATCTCAAGGATTTTTTTGATTATTCAATGTTCCCAACCGTTGTGTATCAAATCGAGTATCCAAGAACAGAGAGAATCAGATGGTCTTACGTCTTCGAAAAACTGTGTGCCATATTTGGTGTGATCTTTGTCATGATGATCATTGCACAATTCTTCATGTACCCTATAGCGATGCGCGCTATGGCTGTGAGGGACATCGGGATGCCCATCTTCTGGGACAGAATATTCGAATGGTTATACTTGTTACTGAAACTGGTGCCGAGTTTCATCATGATGTACCTGCTCGTTTGGTACTTAATCTGGGATGCCATTTTGAATTGTGTTGCTGAATTGACTCGTTTCGCAGACCGATACTTCTACGGAGACTGGTGGAATTGCGTGTCGTGGGATGAGTTTAGCCGCCAGTGGAACGTTCCAGTTCACAAATTTTTGTTAAGACATGTTTATCACAGCTCGATCAGTTTTCTACAGCTGAATAAACTGCAAGCTACTCTAATGACGTTTTTGCTCAGCTCTGTTGTGCACGAACTGGCGATGTACGTGCTCTTTCGTAAATTGCGGTTTTACCTATTCTTTTTACAGATGGCGCAAATACCTCTTGTTCAACTAGGCAATTCCAGGTTTTTAAAGTCCAGAAAGATAATGGGAAATGCTATATTTTGGCTAGGTATCTGTACAGGGCCTAGCCTGATGTGTACGCTGTATTTGACGTTCTAATAAGGACTGAAGAATCCTTTGTATATATACAGAAGGTGGAAATATTGTGATTGTTTAAGTGAGAGTAGATCGTACCATTCAGCTCTAGAAGCCAGTATAGGAACTACCTATAGATTTCTTCAAAAGGCCGCGTGTCGCTAAAACAGCTATCCCATACCTCGTCTACTACTTTCTCGGCATGCTGTTGGTCTTTGCAATTAGGATTACCCATAACACTCAGGGTTGCGCGTCTACGAACACATTCCTGGTGCCCGCTGCTGACTTTGAAACCCAGCCCTCGCCGCGCAAACTCCTGCATGAAACGACATTCGCCGCTGAGACTTGACGCTCGAATCTCCGAACATGCGTGATGCTTTAAATTGAGCCAGTCAACCTGCCACCGTGTGTTATCATAGTAGTGCACCATTTCATGCGCCAGTGTGTCTTCAAGATGCCACTTGTCACGAATTCGATTTTGACATAGCAATATTCCGAGTTCTGGATGAAATCCACCGCTCCTCCATTCTGGACACACATCGCAGATAATCTTTGATTCGTCAAACTTTAAGTCTTCTCCGCTGTTACTGCCCTGCGCGCTACCAGTCCTACTGCCTAGTCGGGCGATCTGCTGTGCCATAAAGATAACCGTGGGAGAATACTGCAAAAGCCAATCTCGGTTCTTGTAGCATTCATTACACTGATCGCGCTGCAATATGAACTTATAATCATTCTCGTACTGCTCCTTTTCAGTTTTTGTTAGGTTCAAGCCGGTCTTATATTGAAAAGTTCGTCTCCACCACTGAAATCCACGCACGGAAGAATCACTCACTGGCGGCTGAGGTTTGTCTATAGTCTCCACAGGAGGAGTTGGCTCGATCATGGCAATCAAAGTGCTTATAACAAACACTAGACACCCGACTCGGTCTAAATTTGGGTTCTCTAATAATATATCAAAATTTTTATTTAAATGCAAGAGTTCAAGCTCATCATTGAATTTTCCACTAGCTCGAAATCTGTAAAAACAGCGTTCTTTGATAACCATAACACCGAAGATATGAATGTGTGGATTGCTGCCAGTGACGGAAACATCCAGAAGGTCGAAGAGTATTTTTCCGAAGGTTTTGGACCAGAGTCCAAAGATCCAAACGGGTACACGCCTATACATGCTGCTGCGTCGTATGGACATGTTGATATGCTCCGTAAGCTGTGCTCAGAGCCTTATAATGGTAGTGTGAATGTACGTGACAACGATGGTGACACTCCGCTGCACCATTGCGAGGATTTGGCGGCTGCTAAGGTTATTTTGGAAGAGCTCGGAGGAAACTTTAAATTGACAAATAACGATGGAAACACGGCACTCGAGGTATTGGAAGAAGACCAGGAGTTTCCCGATTTGATCCAGTACCTACGAGGACAGAGTGGTGTCGCGGAAGAGCCTTTGGGCATCGACAGCGAGCAAATGGCACAGTTCAAAGATAATCTGCGCTACACACTCGAAAACGAGCCCGAGACAAACGATCCTGAAAGTGCAGCTCGCCGTCAAAGGATAGAACAGATTTTGGACGGCGGGAATCCTGAGCAGGAATTAGAACAATACATCCGTGATCTGGTCCGCTCCCAATGGTCTGATCAGGGCGCAGAGCCAGATACCAAGAGAAGAAGGGAGTGAGATTATTTATTGCCAATGGTCGATAATAGTACATGAAAACCGCTTGCCAACCAAAAGCTTCAACACGCATGTATTTTGACACGCATAGAAAGAGTCCACGCAGGAGGACAGTAGACCAACTGTGTGTTATATCAACGGGCTATGGTACGTTAGGCATAACTAAATGCATAGCATCGAACAAGGTGCAAGAGATACTCATAGTGTACAGACAGGGCATGAGTTTTGAGGTTTCTTTTTTTAACGGAGAGCCGTTTTAGCTATCCAGCGGAAGGCACATCACAGCCGCACGAGCTAAAAAGCCTACAAAGAAAGAGCGCGCTTGAAATCCTGCGCAATGAAAAATCGATATGAGAATACACGCCTCCAGCATTTATTGATTGCGTAAAGACGAAGCTAGCACAACAAATCTTCCAAACAGTTAAGTTCTATCTATGAATAACGCAGAATAGAAGTTTGAAATGTCTCAACCAGTGTGTGGTATTCGACCGTCATGTCATTGGACAACTTAAATGTTGTTTGTGTCACAATCCTCAATCAAATAGCTGTAGCCTATATAACGGTTCATGAAATTGAATAGATATGATCCTATCAGTCAGGCGCGCCATTACATTTATTCTGTCGCCAGAAGTCCAAACTATATGCAATTTATAGTTATACTAAAAGCCCCTACCACTATGAGAAAAATAAACCTTATAAAAGCTGCATGATTTGGACGCAACAGGATCAAGCATTACGCGAGTAGGAACATTAAGAAAGATAGAACATGATAAGCATATTGACTTCAAAAGATGGATTTACAATCGGTAATTATTTGACACTTTTGCCGAAATAACGTAAGAGGTCAGGATCATCTCACAAAGCATTCAACTTGAAACTGAATTATAAACTCACTGTCGGCTTTGCCGGGTGGCAGCACTCAGCATAGTGCCCTTAGAACGCTCAATTTTTATAAATATGTGTACTTTATCTTTATGCTTAGAACTAACTTTGAATTGTAGTCTGAATGGGGAAGCAAAATCTCGTCACAAGCAGCAAGAGGATGTTTTCCTTTAGACGTGCTTCTTTGTGATCAGTCCTAACTCACCTCACATGAGTTACCAACAGATTGAAAATTTACTCTCTGTTTAGCGATTTCACTCGATATAAAGACAAAAATAGCAGTGATATATGAACATTCAACGTATCATGGGAAGACTTAAACTGCCAATGACGGTAAGTTGACGTACCCAAATATCTAAACACCTTTCACGGTTTATGATTTGGCTATCTTCTTTATCATGTGATGGAGAGTGGTTATATTGATAAAGCGCCATCAAAATTGTCAAAGATCGTCGAGATACACACCTTTGAACTTTTACCACCCAAGCACTCCGAAATGTCCTTCCTGGAGCCTATAGTCAAGCTTTCTAATGCTGTCAATAGCATAAATGAAAAGTATATGGCATTGACCTATCAAGAGCAGAGCGATCTCACTATCTTTGGAAGATTACGGTATTACAATTGGACTTTCGAAGCATGGGCTTTGGGAGCTGTGGCATTGGTTTATGCTACCTATTTATTTGGTACTAGAGTCAATAAGAGTCGCGCTTCTCAATTGTTTCAAGCCTTGGCTAAGGGATTTGAGGACCTTGCCTTTGCTAAGATTGGATTTTCCACTAACACCGCGAAAAACGAGCTGTTCGTTGCTGAGAATAACAATACCTGGTTCACGAGCTTTGTCACTGGTCGTGCTTGTATTGAGAGCATTACAGTTCGGGCGCACTTGCTTGCACGTTTCAACCCAATGTCAATTTTGATGGAAAAAGTGCTGGGCTTGTTTTTCTCTAGCCTCGTTGCCGACGCCTTAGACGAATTTGTCGAGGTCACCATTGTGCCCAACGGCGTATACGTGACAAGCTCTGCAGCCGATTTGCCAAAGGAAACTAACGCATCCGCCAATGTGGTCTCGAAGTTCAAATTTATCTCTTCTATTGTGAACAAAGGTGATATGACTAAAGCCCGCGAAGATAACTATTTTCTGTCTCTAACCCATACTTCTGAGAGCGAAAAACTACCATTTGAGTACGTCTTCATGTCTGAAAGTAATCAATTGAGCTCCATTTTCGAGCACTACGGTGGCCCTGAGTTCAAGCAATTGTTAAGCCGGTGCGCTCACTTCCTATCCTATGTTGCCTTTACCGACTTGCCTGAAGAAAAGCCAGTTACCGACAAATTGTGGGAACGCAGCCAACAACCTAGATGTATTATTAAGACTAAAATGGTCACGGGTTCGGTCGACCTTGCAAGTTTGAATGAACTCATCAAGGCCGTTGTAAACATTTTTGATTCCGCCTCCCAAGAGTACGCTCAGAATCCAGCTAAAGCCTTTGTTACCAACGATATGCTAAGAAAGTCTGCAAACTTGCGTTCTCAAGAACTTGCCAAAATCGCGAAAGTTATGAAGCAAGCCGAAAGAGACTTGCTGCAAGAGAAAAAGCAAGACCAAGAAAGAGAAAAAAGACGCGATTTGAGAAGTAAGATGAGTGGAGAAGAGCAGGATAGGTTGGAACAAAAAATGCGTGAAAAAAGAGAAAGACGCCAGCGTAACAGACAAAAGGTTCGCATGTAAATTCACGAACAATTCAAATATCGGACCTGCTTGATGCTTTTGTATATCTCCATTATGTTACGTGCCATGTTAGACACTTTCCTGTAATTACATTAACTACGAGAATCTATTTACAAGTGCGGCAATCCTTCCAGTACTTAATCTAGGAAAATTATCGATATTAGCGGAAGAGCTGCCACATAAACAGATGGGATCAGTTCAGTCTTTCTGACATATGCGATGACAGCGAAGAAATTTACAGGTTAAGACTGAGCACTCCTTCAAATAATTTGAAAAGTGTTCATGATCCATTTAGGTTTCCAAACCTACTGCATAGCTTGCAATCAAGCTAAATTTCTAGTCCTGGTATTTTAACATCCTTTAGCGTGACTCCGCTGCTGAATATTTTTTCCTCGACCTCCTTTGCATCATCTTGAATGCTTTGTTCTCTGAGCGGCTTCTCTTTCGCAACATCATCTTTCTTCACTGACTTGACAGCAATTTTCGTTCTCAGCGTAGCTGCCTCAACCGATTTTGCTTGTAGCAGCGCATCTATATCGGTTTCTTCCTTAATGTAACGGGCCCCGTTTCCCCAGTGCAGGTAATTTCTCATCAAAGATGGACTAACCGAGGCGACTTGGCCCTTATACAGTTGGAATTGCGGAAAATCTTTGAGTAGTTGGACTTTCACCTTATTGGTACGCTTTGAAAGCGCCGAATACGACCTAAGCGATGTTAGCCTTAACATGATGCAATGTTCCTTTTGCCTCAGGTTTTCAAGTATGTTCTTGTCGAAACGCTTGGGTTTTAGATGGACTGCCAAAATTTTTTTGATTTCGATCAATAAGCAGAATAGAAAACTGAATATCACACAATCTAGAGAACATCAAAACAGAGAGTGGCGCAAATGAATCAATTGGTGATGAGTGTGACACCCTTTATGGCAATTACGTTGGTGAATTAAATATTATTGAGAGATCTTGAGACAAAAACTGTACTGTCTGGACACGTTGATGGAGAAGCCCAACCCGCCCGAGCGAATGCTCAATCCAATACAGTATCAATGAGTGACTTGCGCCAATACGTGAGAGAAATTAGGGCTTACTACAGATGATTTGACCAAGGGATTGTTTTTAAAAACTAATTTCACTTCAATACCATTCAACATCAGTGTAATCTCCTGCGAAATGCCCCTAGGCCCTCGCGATTCCTCGTCTCTGTGAGTACTTCGCGTCATGACATGCAGTTTTTAGTAAATCATCTTGCATTTCACGCGTTCTATATAAATAAATGAAATTTTGAATTCGAGCTGTCTTGTCTTTAGCTTCTCACAAGGAGCACGCTATCTAAGTGCTCAACTCAATATCATAGGTTTTAGCTCAATGCATTGGCAAGCTATGTTTTAGGTCACTCCAACGGGCGACAGACTAGTGAAAAACGACACATATATAAAGCAGCGCGAAATACCACATTCATCTGCGTATCAGCTTGTAAAACCATTATTCAAGTAATATAGAATCACAACTGATTTTCGAGAATATATACTCGAGTTTAAAGATCTGAATTTGCAATGGTAATCGAATTAAATTGCGGTACTGACTTCACTCCTGATGCCGACTTACTGAACTACTTTAAACTATACGAAGAGCTACAGCGGAAAGGTGCTCACAAGGCCTCAATTTTGATTCGTAGCAATTGAATTCCGAGTCTCTAAGCGAGTTTTACATACGAAGTGAAAAGTCATGTCCTGCAAATCCTCGAGAGACGATGGAGTGTGACTGCAAATCAAAGTAATATGTGAGGCCTGAGGAGGTCAATTCTAAAGGCTTTTGAGTTACTCTCAGAAGAGACAACAATTCAAAGATTGTCTAAAAGGAAAAAGATTCGCAGGTATCTGTCAAGACACTCTTACAATTTTTTGAAGAGCTTTCCAAGCTTTTTGAAGCTAGCAAAGTAAGTCAAAGTTATTTCTTTGGTGAGCTCTTCACCAACCTAGGCAGACTAGTCTCCATTTTAGTAAGTCATAAACGTATAAAACGATATAGATAAACAGTGTAAATTATTAGCGTGCCCGATTGAATCGTCAAGAAGTAATAACATTGCCATATTATTCAAACACGAGTGGCTGTCCATTTTCACTATGTCGAGAAGCCGCAAACAGAGCAACGTGCCTGCTACAACCCAACAAACAACTCCCGTCCCGATAGCTCAGCCGACAGACTCGTATATCCCACCTTTCTTGGCGGCTCAGGTACCTGAACTAGAATCTTACAAACAGTTATTGGAAGCGGAAAGCAAGATAGACATCTATATCAGCCGCAAAAAGATTGACCTCTACCAGTCCGTATCTCAGTGGAATAACCTAAAACAGGAAACGCAGGAAAAACAGTATCTGCGTATCTTTGTCTCTAACATAGCAGAAAATCAACCATGGCAAAACCAAGAGCCAGGAGTACAGCCTTCATGGACTTTGCGGGTCGAAGGTAGACTTCTGAATTCACAGGACGTGGGCGAGCCGATTAGACCGAAATTTAGCACGTTTCTGCAGGGCATTGCGGTAGATTTCAAGAAGCCGGAGACTATGAACAGTGCAGCTTACGTCGCTGGAGAAAGTGGCCAGGATATCTCGGAGCAGCAGCAAAACCCTAACGAGGTTCCTTCAATTGTGGAATGGCACTTTGATCCTGCGAACCCTGCTGATTTTGATGGTCTTGATATCAAACGAGATGGTTCCGAAAACATCCAGTGTACAATAGTTATTCAGCCCAGAGGTGTGACTGGAGAATGGATCCAGTTTTCGCCCCAACTTTCTTCAATAATTGGAATGTCCCGTGGCACGCTCCATGAGGCAGTTTACTCTTTATACAAGTACATTCTGCTCAATGATCTATTGAGCGACGACGAGCCCGATGTGCAATCTACGACGCAAGCAGCACAAGCCTCCCCAAACAATACGAGTGGTGAAAGAACCATTGTCAAGATCGACAAGTATTTGGCAGCGCTTTTCCCTGAGGAACGCAAGAGAATGAAACTGGGAGAAATTCCAACATTAGTCAATCGCCACATCTCGCCTTTGCCACCCATCAAAATTGATTACACCATTCACGTTGATAAGGCGTCTACCTATGGTGAGACCGTGTTGGACGTTGAAGTGCCCGCGAAAGCAGACGATGAAGTTGCCCGTCAAGGCATGTCTCTACTGGCAGAATTGAATAAACTCAGTACTACCCTGGAACCTCAGATGCAGCAGTTGAACCAGGAGCTCAACATTCTGCAATTGCAACTGAACTCTAGCGCCAACAAGCACCAATTCTTCCAAAAGCTAGCTAGCAACCCGGCTCCCATGTTAGAGGAGTATATACAATCCTCGTCCAGAGCTTTGAAAGTCTTGAGCGGTGATGATGGGTTCAATGAGGACACTGTGAGAAGGGCTCCGTTCTACAAAGAAAATGAAGCAATGCTTTTCGAAAACTTGGGTGTGTTGCTGTCAAATGGGCGAATGTGATTATTTTACAAAGCCAGTTTCAACTATAAGCATTAATCTTAAGAAATTCGTTCGGCTCATGTAAGCCTACAAACCTGCTCTACTGGGCCGCGGTTTCTGATCGGAAGGTTTCCCGCTTTCTTCATCTCATCTGATTTTGGTGGACTCGTGAATCTCTTGATGAATACTTATTACATAATCCCATGAATCATCAAAATTTTTCACCCGTCAATAATCATGATCATTGTCAATCTTCCAACCAATTCGTGTTCATCTGGCAAATTCAGCGTTTAGGCGGTTGAGTTTAGTTGTCGATATCAATATCGGAATGTCCCAAAGTTACAGATCTACTAGATCTTCTGCGAAAGAAACGCAATCTTTTGAAAAAACCATTATTCAGGGTTTAGCTTCTGATGGTGGTCTTTTCATCCCCTCCGAGATCCCAAGGGTGAGCCCCGAAACATTAAAGCAGTGGTCTCAGCTGAGCTTTCAAGACCTGGCCTTCGAAATCATGAAGTTGTACATCTCCAGCGAAGAAATTCCAGAAACGGACTTGAAGGGCTTAATTCAAAGATCCTACTCTACTTTCCGCACTAACGATGTCACTCCATTGGCTAAAAATGTTACTGGAAGCGGTGAGCACTTGCATGTGCTAGAGCTCTTTCATGGGCCAACGTATGCTTTCAAGGATGTGGCTTTGCAATTTGTTGGTAATCTGTTTGAATTCTTTCTTCAAAGAGCCAACAAGGACTTGCCTCAAGACCAACGTAAGAAAATCACTGTTGTAGGTGCCACTTCCGGTGACACAGGGAGTGCAGCTATTTACGGTATGAGGGGCAAGAAAGACGTTTCTGTTTTCATCTTGTACCCAACCGGTAGAATATCTCCAATTCAGGAAGAACAAATGACAACTGTACCCGATAAGAACGTTCAAACACTCTCTGTAAAGGGTACTTTTGACAACTGTCAGGATATTGTCAAGGCTATTTTCGGCGACGTTGAATTTAACAAAAAGCACAACATCGGTGCTGTGAATTCTATAAACTGGGCGAGAATCCTGGCACAAATCACCTACTACTTCTATGCTTACTTCCAAGCTACTAAAGATGTTCAGAGCAAAGTCAAGTTTGTAGTGCCTAGCGGCAATTTCGGCGACATTCTAGCTGGTTACTACGCCAAGAAAATGGGTCTCCCAGTCGAAAGGTTGGTCATTGCCACAAATTCCAATGACATTCTAGACAGATTCATGAAGACCGGTGTCTACGAAAGATCCGACGATGTGGCTGCTACTTTGTCACCTGCAATGGACATTCTCGTATCTTCCAACTTTGAAAGATTGTTGTGGTACTTGGCTCGTGATGTGCTGGCCTCTAATGATGACCAGAAGGCCGGAGAAATTTTGAATCAATGGTTTGTTCAGCTCAAAACCGAAGGCAAATTCGAGGTTGATCCTGCTGTCATTAAGCATGCGTTGATCGACTTCGACTCTGAAAGGGTTTCAGACTCGGAAACCAAGGATACTATCAAGACTACTTACGAGACATCCCAAAATCCTAAGAACTACATTTTGGACCCACACACTGCCGTCGGTGTATGCGCTACAAAGAGACAAATGGTCAAAGACAACGACAAATCTATTCAATACATTTCTTTGTCCACCGCACACCCCGCCAAGTTCGCTGAAGCTGTGAATGATGCTTTGTGCTCCTTTGAAGGATACTCGTTTGAGAGGGATGTCTTGCCCGATGAGTTGCAAAAGCTCTCTACCCTGGAAAAGAAATTGAAATTTGTTGAAAAGGCTGATATCGAGCTTGTGAAAGCCACCATCGAAGAGGAACTGGCTAAGATGGGGTTACTGTAGCTAACAGCAGCCAGCAAATGCGCTTCTATACATGTGTAATAAGTTGAAAAGTTGAAATGACAGTTGTTTTTTTAGGAGCCCTGAGGGTGTGCCAGCCGAATTTTCCCGTTATCATCCACATCGATTTGATAACCGGCAGAAGACAAGGAATCGTCTTGGACTGCAGTTTTGGACTCAAGCTGGGCTACAATAGCTTGATTCTTTACGTTGTCTTGAAGTAATACTTTTATGCACGTAATGCTTCTTTCTTTGATAAATGGATCATTGTCGTCAATAACACAATTACTGAGTACAGCTTCCAACCCCTGCAGTTCTCGAACTTTGTCTTGGACATCTTTGTTGTTGTATATCAGGAAGCTGAGAATTTCTATTATCAGCAGCTTACACTCTGGGAAGTTAGTTGCTTTGATAGATCCTGTATCGGGATCAACACGAGATGATATCAAGGTGAGGTCAATGATCTTTTCACCCCTGCCGTTTGTTGCGCTTATGCCAGCCTTCTTCGTGAGCTTTTGAACGTTCACCCTCAAAAGCTTCTCTTGGAAAAGGTGCAACAATTCTATCAGTAACTCCAAGCCATTGTAAAATAAGATAAACTTGCGAACATGCTCGTATTGAGCTAAGGTAGTAAGAATGTCGAGAACTATCAGCAGCCTGCTGTGAAGAAGCTTGGCGTGAGCTTCGTCCTCTCCCTTTTCGCTGAAGTAGGACTTTATCTCTTCTACTAGCGATTCAAGTAGCCTAAAACACCAAGTCATGATACCGGTAAGTTGGAACTGATTCCATGACTCGAAACTTGTAGTGAGCAGATGAGCGATATTGAGAAACCTTAGAAACATTTCTGGGTTAGATGTTTCTACGTGGATTAGAAATGGTGCAAATGATTCGTGGCAGCAGACATTCAGGAAAACAGACGCTACCAAATTATCTAACGGTGAGAGTTCAACATGTTCATGAGCCCTATTCTCTATGATGCTGGTTAGTTGACTATTGCTCTGAGATATATCGCGAAGCAGGAAATCGTGAAGAATCCTGACCGCCTTATCTGATTTGAGAAAGTAATATACAAAATCATCATGGGTAGTCAAATTGCGCAGTAGTAGGGCGAACGATACAAAAAGGTTCTCGTCATTGATCTTGTCAATAGGATAACACAGAAAAATTGTAGTGTCTTGGATCGTTGACTTGTCAAAAGTCACAGATTTGGTTGTTACATTGCAAGAAAACTCCAAGAGCGTTTTGAATAGCGCAACTTCTACCTCATCATATTGAAATTCAGTGCTAAAGCTGTTGAATGTCTTTACAAATTTCTCTCGAAGCATGAGGCGTTCTGGAAGCTCATGGTTATCGACACACAGGTTTCTCGCTAGTAGTATAATACCTCGCAAAACTCTTAAATACCAGAATCGAAGCTCAGGCATTTGGTTGAAGAACTCACATACGCCAGAGTGACCCGTACAGTCTCTTATGGTCTCCCATATTAAACTTGAAAATGCTAATGAGTGACGGTAGTGTTCATCTTGCGAAGAATTGATGACAATGAAATTTAAACCTTCGATAACAGCTTCAAAGTCAGCTTTTTCATCTGGAAACTCTCGAAGTAACGAGGCGACATTCCGAAGAGTCGACTGTTCACTTTCAAGCATGATTCGCGGCTACGTAACAATTCCCTCCGATCAGCAAGTCCAATTTCTGAAGTAAGGCTCAATTTTTTTCAAATCCGTGGTATGCGATAAATAGATAGCCTTGCGCCAGACGAGTCGCGAATGACAAATAAATTGAAAGAAAGGTCTATCTATCTATATTATAATGGGTTTAATCTACATAGTTACAGCCCTACTTGCCCCATTTCGATGGACTGTGAATATGCTTATTTAAATGAGTTCCTCGTCTGATTCTTGGTCTTTTTCGAATGGAAGTGACTTGTTCTTGGAATCAGAAAATCCAACCCACCCTTCATCGTCCGACGCATCTTGCATAATTTCATCATCCGATTCATCATCTTCAGCTGCGCCATTAGAAAATTCGATACTTGCAGTCTCATCTTCGTCCGACTCTTGATTTTTGGTTGAGCCGTCCGTAGATGTTAGGAAAAAGTATGCGTACTTGTTGTCTTTGGATGCAGATACCACATCTTTAGCGATACGACCAATAAAACGTTGTACAGCACGCAGTGAAGAGCCGAAATCTTGTTTATGAGACGAAATGTAGCGACCATGGGCAGATAGCAAAGCTTTTACCCATATCAAGTTGAATTCGAGGTGCTGCGATTCCATTGAAAAGTCTCCGATGAACTTGAGCATGCGAGCAAGATACACAACCGGTAGTCCACTGCTGACTAAACCAATGTCCTTCAGCGGTACTGATTCGTAGGTGCGTTTGATCAAATACTCTTCGTTGAGTCTAAAGGCCATAACCAAAGCATATAAGAATTCTCTCTCTTGAAGCGCTTCAGATACAGCCTGAGGGGTTGTGTCAACGTCTAAATCAAATGGATCGAAAAGAAGGGTTTCGTCAACTGAGTATACTAGAATTCCTTCTGTAGAAGAGGCAGCGAACGCACTTGACGTGGGAGAGAATTTTATACCAGTGACTCTGACTTCAGGTCTTACTCTCCTTGTCGATAGGTCACCACCTCTATTTGAACCCGGTAGCGTATTGTCTATGCGGTCTTCTAGATCGGAATTCTCACCGTCGCGATCAATCAAGTCCAAGGACCCAGCCTCAGTCATTCTTTTGCTATTCAAGAATTGTAGAGTACCGTTAAGAGACATGTTTCTTGAAACAATGAACCTCTTGAGAAGAACACTGTTGGAGATATCATAAAGGCATATGGAATTGTTGTTACCACCAGCTACTAAGGAAAGACCATCAAAGCTGTAATCAATACTGGTAAAGTACTTCGACCTTGCTGAGTTTTTCGAGGTGAACCTGTCCTCTAAATGCCTACCTGTGATAATATCCTTTTTACCATCAATAGCATTCACCTGCTTACCCTCGTGCACATCAAAAAAGAGAATCTGTCCATCAAGTGTTGCTGCAGCTACCTCGCCACCATCGGGCCTCATGGAAATCGATAAGACGTCAGCGTAAACCTCTAGGGGCTCCACTTGCTGGGATCTACCAAAGATCGACCAGATTCTGATCGTTTTGTCCCAAGAGGCTGAGGCTAAAACACTGTTTTCATTACTGAATGAGAGGCACGATACTGGTCCTTCATGGCCGTCTAGAGTTTCTACCAGCTGGCCCGTTTGAACAGACCAAACATGAATAGCAAAACTATCAACAGAGCCAGCACAGACGACTTCGCCCGAAGGATCTGCGGCTAAGCAGTTGAACTGAATCCTCTCAGCGGCAGTGAATGTCCTAAAATTACGGTAACGAATAAGGTCCCAGGCTCTCACAGTGCCATCCAACGACGACGAGAACAATACTTGTCCTCTTTTCGCAAAAGCCAAACCAGAGACAGCTGCTGTGTGCTCTTGAAATGTTACAAGACAAAACCCAGAGACTACATCCCATATCTTTATCTTACCGTCATCAGAAGCTGTAACAACACGAGACCCATCTGGAGAATAAGTGAGCGCGTTCGTAGCATCGAAGTGACCTTGCTGTTTCAGTATGTAGGATTCAGACTGCCATTCGTAGACCAGGAGTTGGCCAAGTTTACTGGAGCCAAATGCCAACCATTCGCCCGTCTGGTTTACTGAGACTGCATTGACTGCATTTTGGCCCATGCTGAGCTGTTGGATCAGAGTAAACTCTGGTAGTTCGTAGAGTCTGAATTCTCCATTGGTGAATCCAACAACTAACATGTTTGAATTTGCGTGAAAGGTTACACACTTGACTTTAGCCTGCGACGCATAGAAGTAACTTTTTTTAGTTATACGCCAACTGTAGGAAGCTGGATCTGGTTCCTGATCTCCATCAGGCTCCTCCCTCGAAGTATATTCCCATTGAAATACGGCTCCATCTTTACTGACGGTATAGATGCGTTCTTGATCAGCAGAGAAGAAGGCTGCCATAACGTAGTCCCTATGACCGGCAAACGTGGTTGCTGCTAGGTTTTTTTCGTCTGAATCCAAAGACCAGATACGTGCCGTGAGATCCTTTGACGCAGATAGTAGGAAGCGCGAGTCTCGCGACCATGTTAGGGATAAAATCGAGGAAAAATGGCCTGCATGGACTCTGTAACGCACAAACGGCGCAAACTGCCGGTCTTCGGCAACATCGGGAGTCTTCCAAATTTGTACAAATCGACCACAGGCAAGAGCGAACAGAGAGCCGTCTGGCGAAAATTGGAGGGCACTTACGGGTTCTTTGAAGTTGAAATGATGTAGCACTGTTTTGGCTCGGAAATTTACGAGTATTGCTCTACCATCCTCGTCGACAGATAGCAGAAGGGTACCTTGAGGATTCAAAGCCACGCATCTTACGTTCTTGCGATGCTCATACTCGAACGTGAAAGAACGACTGTTTACCAGGTCGAAGACTGACACTCTATTTCCAACAGGAGAAATTAGCTGTGTACCGTCTTGTGAGAAGATTATATTTCCCTGGCGGTAAACCGTACCCAGTAGATTAGAAAACTTGAAATCTGACTTCATGAATCCAACGTCTTACCTATCTTATGTGTCTTTTTGATACTTGACGTTATGCTCATCACATCGATTTTTCTTCAGCTATTTTATTTTTCAAAATTTTCCTGGCCATCGATCGTCAAATTGAAATTCACTTGCTGAAGGCATATCTTGAGACATGATTACTATAGACACAAAACTACCGGGACACGATCTAGAAAATGTCAGAAGAGGTTAGCGGACGGTTATCAAGCCGCGTGCTGAACATGAAGTTCATGCGAGCTGCCGACCATGCTGAGGAAGTCCAAAAAGTCGAAGAGCAGAAACGGCAGTTGGTAGACTCCAGTGAGTGGAAATTGCAAGGAAATGAGGCTATAAAGGCACAGCTGCGACCACAAGGGAAAAGGGTTGGGGCCACTCAAATCTCGGAACAGTCGCAATCTGAAGTGATTGTTGGAAGACGCAAAATGGGCGTACCCGACAAGACGGAAGAAGAAGCGAAGACTACGGATTCATTAGATGAACTTTGGGAAGGTCAGAAAATGAAAAGAGGAGCAGAAGATTTGGAAAAAGGTTCCGGCGAAATTGACGGCGACGAATACGACGCTCATGACAAATTTAAGGAAAAATCCAAAGAGACATTTAGACCGCGTCCCAAGCGGGCGAAACCTGATACAAGTACCAAGGCCTCAAAGAAATCGAATAGGAAAAATCCTCATGACGCATCTCACGTCTAGGGTAGGGGATTTTCATCCAATGCCAGTAGAAGCTGCAATATGGAGATCAAGCATATTGTGATTATAATAAATTGCTTAAAAGTTCAATGGCGCCTTTCGCAAACTCATGACATAGTAAGTTTCCGCATTAGAGATTTCGCTGCAGTTTTCAGATATTATGATGATATAAGGGCAAGATCTTTTTATAGAGACTATTTTTTGGCCTCTCGCCAGACCCATGTCCTGTGCCGCATCTTTATGTGCTCTAGAGTAAGTCCATCGGAACATCTTTTGCTATGTCCTGAATAACTTCAACGGAGGGCACAAAGTAATACCACGCATTTCCTTTACCAAAAATAAAGGCAGCATAAGACTCAGTAATATCACCTAATTTGACCTTCTCGTCCTTATGCGACCTTTCGTCCTAGTAAACGGGGCAGGGCCCAGCAGTAAATTGTATTTGATGCAATTGGAACAGAGCTGACTCATTATTTCGTAGCGTCAATTGAGGATATGATTCAAAAATAAGTCATAAATACTAAACTCTATAAAATCTATCATGGTATGCAAAGTAATATTGGCTCGTAATACTAAGTAACTGCGTCGCAGCTATTTCTGATTGTGTGCTAGGCACTGTTTAAGGTTTGTCTTCGAGAAGACTTACAACTCCGGAACAGCTTGGTTCTTTTCTTGGGCGAAGTGTGTGGTCTAAAGCGTTCAATAGCTAGTGCAACATAAGTGCACCGTATAGCATGCCGTTGATTGCCGACAAAACAACTTTAACACTTAGAAACACTTCAATCTGCGCCTTACGAAAAGTTGGTCTTATGTTTGATCTTAAATTATTAGTTTTCTCACGAGTGGTATACTTGTTTGAACTTGTCGGGAAGAAGAGCTGGGTTATCTGGCTAGTAAATAACCTTGAAAGATTCCCAAAATTTGCCTGGGATCATCAGCAAGTGGGTCCACCACCTTAGAAATTCATGTCCAACAGCTTCTGTTTCGCTTACTTTTTCTTTTTACCGGCTTTCGAGGCATCTACAAATGAACCTCTCAGTACCGCTTCACGAGCAGTGGAATTTATGTGCTTGAAGCGGTCGGGCCCAATATGCGTTCCGGTAAACCATCTTGCAACCGCAACTACAACATCCCAAGCGTCCATAAGCGTGAGCAAATGCAGAAGTCTCCCTCCCGCAGCGGTTTCCCCATCATCATCGCAGTCTTGAAAATTTACGTTGCCAGAGCCGTGGATGCGCCATGCTGTCATTACATGCTGGCATTTGCTAACTTTGGAGTCCATGCGTAATTGATCTAATTTCAAGCGGGCGTCTTCCTCACTAGTGGCCTGAGCGGCGAATGCTATAAAATTAGAGCCGCGATCAGTCACTGGGTCACTCTGGAACCAGTTGACATCAAGACCTGCCAAGCACTCCTCAAGTCGCAGTTGTTCCAGCTGTTTTGCAAGTTCCAGCTCGTCTGCCTCGTGGCTGTGAGATTTCAAGTCTTGTTCGCTCAACTCCGAACAAGTTTCTGCGACTTCAGTTAAAAAATCGAAAATGCAAACATCCGAGTTCCACAGAGCGTCCATCAGCCCTTGAAACTGTTCACGCAGCGCTTTGCTGTTGCTTGTTCCGTTCACCTCGAGTACTTGTGGAGCCGCTTCTGTAGGGTATCCACTAGGGAAAGAAAGGTGAATGCTGATCGACTCATGCTCGGGAACTTTTATTACGCACTGTGTGTCGGACAGTCGTTCCATGAAATCTGGATATATAGCATCTATGGCATCGAATTCTTGTTGCAACTCTTCTTGGCACATGGTAGGGTTGGTGGCGACAACTGTGGGCGACCCTCGAGATGAAGCATGATTTCGAATTTTCAAATCGAAATTAAAAGTAACAGGACGAACAATAAGAGCCTTTGGCGAGAGGGAAGTACGAAAATGAGAATACGAGCATCAGCGAAATGCACTACTGGGAATGTACGAGCAAGTGATAATTGAAAGGGGCGTTAGATTTGAAGGTTTCAGAGGTCCTGTGTGAGAAAAGAAGAGAGCGAGGGGAGAGGTTGGCATAATGAAAGGAGTGGTTGGCATAATGAAAGGAGTGGTTAGCATAATGAGAGAAATAGTTAGCATAATGAAAGGAGTGGTTGGCATAATGAAAGGAGAGGTTGGCATAATGAAAGGAGTGGTTGGCATAATGAAAGGAGTGGTTGGCATAATGAGAGAAATAATTAGCATAATGAGAGAAACAGTAGAATAATGAGAGGAGCGGTTGGCATAGTACGAGAGCGCGTCATAGCTATTTACCATCCCTCACAAGAAGAGAGCGAGTATCTGTCGCTGTGTCTTGCACATCGAAGATCGAAATGGGCATTCAAAAACAATGACGAAGTAGTACAAAGTGACAAGTCTGAATTTTCAATTAGGATGTGGATAGGAATGCCGAGATCTGATGAGTGAACGACGGGTTGTAACGACTTGAAGGACCGTTTCCGAAAGCTAACTACTACTGGCACAGATATGCCTCAGTACAACTAGAACCCCAGATCGTCACACGAAGTAGCGTTGCACGCATCAGCGACTTGAGCGTTGCTTGAACGTAGCTCGGCCATAAATGCAAGAAATGCACGCCGCCACAGATACTTGGAAATGTCTTTTCTGAAGCCAGCGGTTTGGGATCGTGTACAGGCGGGTGGCATCGCGAGGCTGGGCGGCTAGCTCGACGCCCGTCGTCGAAAGTGATCGAACAGCCACCCGAATGCTGATGTGCGAGTGTCGATCTACGAGCTTCGGCTGGCTGGCTGAACTGGCTCAAACGCTCCCGGGCATCTGTTTCCGTCTAGTTCTCCTCGACGCCCGAAAACTGTCCTGCTGCCCGTAGGCACGTGCCCAACTACGCCAGCCCCTGCTTGTATCCTGCTGCCGCCTTACTTTCCTCTATTCTAGTACATAGTGACCTCCCGCTCATCTGCGCTCATCTCCACTTTTTGGCCGTTGAGCCCAATTTTTCTCTCTTCCCAGCATACCACCATCTTGCGCAACAGCCCAACTCTCCATTTTCGAATCGCATCATACAAAAGCTTTGGTAAACTTCGCTCCCTTTACTCATCCAACACATCCGTGGAGCTAAGCGTCGATTCATCATCAGGAGTCTGTTATTGAGGCATTATTAAGCCAACGGGAGCCGGTTTTGTGTCCGCCGTGGCAAGCGACTCGATCTCGGCTTGTGGAACTACTATTAAAAGTTAGGCGTGTATGTATATATATAAGGGGTAGGTAGTTCACGGCCATCGAAGGGCACTGTTGTTGGCACTACTCGGATAATCCATTAATTAGCGCAGAGGGCTGCCGGTCGTACAGAGTGCACGGAGAGCGAGAAAAAAGCACTGCTAGCACAGCGGCTAATTTTAAGGAAGGAAGGAAAAAAAAAAACGAAAAAGGAGGAATGAAAAGCTGCAGCAAGGGCAAGCGCTGGGCGCTGGTGGTGGTCACGTGGGCGGCGGCTGCGGCCGCGGCCGCGGCCGCCGATTCCGCGGGTTCTTCCGCTTTGGCTCCGCGGGATATGCTCATGACGGACGGCGGAGGCGCGGATAACGGCTCGGCGCATGTCATGCCGCCGCGGCCCGTGCCGCATGAGCCGATGCACATGCACGACGTGCCGATTCTGGAGACGCAGCTCACCGCGAACGAGCGGCTCTACTGGGAAAACTACTCCACCGCCACTTTTTTCAATTTGCCCAGCGGTCACATGCGCGCGCGCATGCAGCTGCACGTGGCGCTCGTCGGACTGGTCACGTGCGTTGGTTACCCGGCGGCGCTGGTGCTGGGTCACGTGGCGTGGTCCCACCATGCGCAGCGTAGCAGTAGCGCTAGCGCCCGCATGGCCGCCCCCCACTTGCTCCTCACTCTTGTCGACACTCTGCTTCTGCTCATCGCGATGCTTGCGCTCGCCAATTTCCACTACGATCCACTCACATATCCGGGAAACGCCTACCGCAAGACCTGTGTCATTGTCGCAGTGTTGTCCATCGTTCATCTTGCGGCCACCGCCGTTCGGTACGCAGTCCACCGTAAAAATCAGCGGACCAAAAACCCTGCGCTTTCGGGGTTTTCGACTCCCCCACCGGAATCTGAACTCTACGAAATGGTCGCGGCCTCTTCCGATCGCCATTTCTCGCAATCCTCTCACGATTCTGAACTCACCGCTGCCGCGTCGGTGGGTTCCCCCGGCGTCGCCCCGCACAACAAAACTTCCGCGCGCCAGGGTTCTCCGCTCGAAACGGAACGCACAGATTCAGATCTCGAGGCCCACCGTCGTTCCTTGACGTCTTTCAATCACGACCAGCCTCTGGTATTTCGCGCCGTGTCCACAGTTCTCCAATTTACCAGCTGGCCGCTGTTCATTATACTCGCGGTTCACTGCGTAATTGGTATAGCCGTTGGCAATCTTTTCGGTGAAGGAATACGGGTTTTCAACATCCTGGCACATTGGATTAAAGGTGGCGTATTTGTGACACTTGGAATCGTTTCGTTGGCTCGCTACTGCGGCTGTGGTGCTAGCAACGGCTGGGCCTGGAACAAACATACCACTCAAGCGCACCCATCCAATGCTCTCCAAAACTGGAGAAGACTGATCCTACCATACGGCTCCGTCATCACCGTTGAATTTATCGAGTCGTTTCTCATCTTTTTCTACGGCTCCACCAACGTGTTTCTCGAGCACTTATCCAACGAGGATGGTCATTGGCACGCTAAGGATTTGCAACACGTTTCAATTGCATTCATGTACATTGGCTGCGGGCTATGTGGATTGATTACTGAATACAAATTGTCAGAGTGGCGGAACCAACACTCGGTAAATGATAGAATTCCACACTCGCTCATGATCGGAACCCCCGGATTCTCACCCAATCCTTTCCCAGCCTTCACTATTTTTTGGACTGGGATTCTCATGTCGCAACACGCACAGGCCTCCGCTACCTCCACCGCGATTCACGTACAATGGGGGTATTTGCTGTCGTATGGTTCATTTTTCCGGTTGTTCACCTTTTTGTTACTGATTTGGAAACCTAATAAGGACGAAAAGCCTGCTAGACCCTTTACGGAATTAATTGTCTCTTTCTGTTTGTTGTGCGGTGGTTTAATTTTCATGGAATCAACCGATCAAGTTGTTGAGGCCCTTGAGTACCGTGGACTGACTAGTATGTTCACATTTAACCTCAGCGTTGGCTTTACCACTCTTTTCATGGCTTGGGAAATGATATTACTGTTATGGAAGGACTGGCTGCAAAAGAGGTGAATAGAAAGGTGGCGATGAACCTCGAAAGTAAAAGAAGAAAGAACCAAAAAAAAAATACCAACCCCAAAGATCAACTAGCTCAAATGCTGAAAATCTAGTACTAACAACTAGCTTATGAAAATCACACTAATCTTCTAATATATCGGCATCACTTATGAGATTTTTAAGGGCTGTCCTTAATACGGGGGAGCTTAAAGCGATTGAATATTACAGCCTCTCAGCCGAAAATCCCGTTTTTTGGTGCCACAATGTAACTACACGTATAATGTCTACTTATGTGCAAATACCTGAAAAACAAAGCAACTGTACTAAAGTACAGGTCAAGCATGTTTATAGCAACCTTTGTCACATCGTCTTTTGCGGTCGTTTGCTTAAACAGAAGAATTCATTAGCGTGGCAAGATGATTGTGAAATTCATATCGCGTCAATTTAATGCAAAGCGTCTAAAAATGATTCGTATGCAATGGTAGCTCCTAGTTACAACAGTCCGAGTTTCTTCAATTCTTTTGCTCACATTGTTTGAAAGGGTGGGGTGTTGCGATGTGAGTGACGATAGTGCCAAATTAGATGACATAATAGTACAAGGTGATATTAAGTGACTGGTACTAAATACCTGTTAATAACAAACTCAGAGTCAAGGGCCAAAGGGGCTTAAAACGGTGTAAAATTCAACTACCTATTAGTGCATAAAGGATAAGATGTGTCTGCGTTTCATCCATTTCTCGTCCGAATATTTACCACAACAGAAAAATACGAAGTATTACTAAAGATATTGTAAATATCCTATACTTCATTGATGACACTAGCGCCACTTGGTCACGATACTCGACCAGTTTTTTCTCGTCGCGATAAGTGCAATACTCTTGCTTACATGTGTCAGGATCGCTGGGCTATAGCTAGATAGCGCCAATTGCATAAGGAAGAACCATGGCAGAATAGTAAAAAGTGACAGAGCTCGATATTTAATCCAGCATATCCATTCAAATATTAAATAAGATTGCCGAGGTCTAGACATTGACGTTGACTAGCGCCTATAGCTGCACTGTTTATTGCGCCCGAGGCATGGATGTTGAAACATTCACTTTGGGTCTGGAACAGCTCTCGATAAAAATACCCGTTATGCAATTAATTATATGAATTCTGATGATATTTCAATGTATCAAAATTATGTTCTTTTAAATATGGTCACGGAGAGACTTACCCACCTAACGCTAGTAAGAACAAATTAAATATGGCCATTGAGAACATCACATACAATCTCAGACTTGAATCTGATCGACAGAGACTAATGTCATTCAGAAACAGCTTCATAATCCGAACGCACTTTCCAAGTTAGCACGAAATGAACGTATAACTGCAGTCTAACACGATAAAAGGTACGAATATATTGGTAAAACTATAAATTCAAGCGAAACTTGAATAGAATCTGTAGGATGACCGAACTCCAAGAATTGTATACAAATAGACGGAATCAGCAATCTCTTTATAAGGAGAAATACAACCAAATACACGAGCCTACCTTTCGAAGCGCCAAAGCAAATCGGGCATAGAACGATAAATTGACAGAATCCTGTTGTTGTGATAATTCTGCAAACTTCATTCTGAATGGCACTCTTTTCGCAATGGAAAAATATAAAAAGGAGCACATCAAACAGCCAATCCACAAATCTCCGCAGCACAAGCGAGAGACTAGAAAAAGTACTCTTAGCACGTCGCGAAACTTTGTACCATGGCAACTGCAAAAAGCTCAATTGTGGCAAGGTAGAGCTTACAGTAGCGCTTTTTGATTAGAAATAGAGGGTTTCAATATTAAGCAAGAGGTTGCGTAAAAGCAAAGCGACACAACAAGAAGATCAATCTTCAAATAAAAGTGTCATTATGTCAAATCGCATTATACTAAAGTTTCCCGAGCTCTAGTCGCTCCTAAAAAAAATAAAAAGTAAAACCTTTAGCAGGACCGCTGGTCAATCATTAATTGCTCACAGCCAAGCTACTAAAAAACAAGCGCATTTGGTGGTGTTCGCAAAACCTTTTCTGATAGCTCTGTAAACATAGTGCTATCGAAGCACGATAAAAAAGAAACTACGGTAGGGGTGCTAAGAGATGCCCATTTTCTGGGCAGAATCCAGCATTCTCAAAGACTCGGGACCCTAAAGTGACGATAAAGCTCCCTCATTGGTGCTACAACTATGGAGCTAGCAGAGTCGTGGCTATCAAGTATGATATTAAAGATACGAAACCTATTTTCCGGGGATCTATGCCAGAATAGTACGAAGTGATATCGAAGATGTCGTAAATATCTTATACTAGATTGGTTTCACTAGCAACGCGATGTACCAGCCATGCGCCGGACTATATCTTGTCAGAAAGTCACAATCATCTTATTTGTGTGGATTGAGAAGATGACCGCATCAGGACGACCATCAAATGTATAAAAATTGGTAATATTTCAACGTGTCGATACTATATCCTCACCCGGTATTATTACAGCAATGAAGCAAGAAAGACGCTCTGTTGAAGACTGCTCAATAGTAATAATGCGGTGATCTTTTCGAAAAGTCACTCTTAGAAGACTATGATGTTTTAATCTTTGCAGCCAAAGTGTCTTAACTGATTGTTTATGCTTTTACAGTCACTTTGTATATTTAAGATTTCACATTTTGAAGAGATCTAAAGCTTCCTATAGAACTTTCCTTGTTCCATTAACCTACTTCGGATTTTTATGAGGTGAGATTTCACCAACACTCTAACACTCGAGATTTGAGCCCCGAATGTTTGGCTCACGCCCTAGCTTTTCTTGTTGAAGCTATAAAAAGTCTTGGGTATTCACCAATCAAATGTGCAATCATTCTTGGATCATTAGACCCCCTGATTTGATTCTTTTCAAGATAGTGTACCTTCCTGACATAAACTCACAAACGTTTTTGCCCTCGACATAACCGGCTAAAAATTCATATTACCATCAAGCCTAGGACCCTAAGTGGTTCTACGGTTTGCACATTGGGAGTTGACGGGGATTCGAACCCTCGATTCTCCAGGGAAAAAGTATTGGTCATCCGATACTAAAAAGTCAGTTTGGCCGAGAGGTTAAGGCGATAGACTCGAATCTTTCGATTGAGAAATCTATTGGGCTCTGCCCGCGTCGGTTCAAATCCGGCAGCTGACGATTATTTTTTGGCCTTCATTAGGTTGTACTTCAACAACTCAATTTGTTCCGTATTGATATCACGCCTAACGAGGCATCGCTAAAGTCCCATCTTTTTTTTTGGGAACTAACCCATAAGCGCTTAAAGATGGCCAATTATATCAACTATTCTTAATCAAAGCTCGATAAACGCTTTCCCTTCACATTTCTACACAAGCTTCCTAAGTGCTCCATACGTATGCCACGAATCAAGACGAAACGCACCAAGACGGCACCCGACGGTTTTGAGAAAATCAAGCCCACTCTGGTGGATTTCGAGCTGCGTTTAAAAGAGGTACAGGACGACAGAGCATCCAAAATAGGCGCAAAATCGCAACAGGGAAGTTGGGACGTGTTCCAGATCTCACACGAACGGTCGCGATACGTTTATGACTTGTTCTACAAACGCAAAGCTATATCAAAGGAACTCTACGACTGGCTGCTGCGCGAGAAGTACGCCGATAAGATGTTGATTGCGAAATGGAAAAAACGCGGTTACGAGAAGCTGTGCTGTTTGAAATGCATACAGAGCAACGAATCGACCGCTCAGGGCAATACGTGTATATGTAGGGTTCCGCGGTCTACGTTAGAAAAGAATAGTAAAGATGGGGTCGTGACGTTCACCAGATGTGTCCATTGCGGTTGCTCCGGATGCGCAAGTAGCGACTGAGCGGAGAGGTGGGAAGAGAAGCCAGGAAATCCCAACAGCTGAAAGTGAAGCTGCCTGCGGTCAACTCATAGATAGCTTATTTGAGAAGCATAATTGCCGTTGTTGATAGTACACCAAACTATCGTACCAAAGAACCTAAACCATAGCACGTTATACGATGCAAAACCGTGATAGAGCTTTCTTCATGTTCCAGTCAGTTCAGATCGCACCACGCCTCGTCGCGGCTTCCCAGAAAACTGGCGTCTGGTGTGGAAGCGAAAAATCCGAATCTAGGTCGTGTCTTTGGTCAACTTCTTCACATCACTATATGTCGAAAGCGTCACACCTGTCAAAACTCTTCATGGGCCATCGTCTCCGGAATACCGCCTACAGCCGACTCTAGTTGCAACGTGGCGGTTCGAGCACCCGAATGGCGCTACTTAATTGCTCTTGCAAATCTGTAGTTGGCGTTGAGTGTTTCTCTCTCACACGCGAAAACGCGAAACTTTAAATTGATTTTCTCATAAAACGCGTTGTCCTCGCCAAGACGCGAAAAGTTCCTGCTGCTCAAAGAACCTGCCAACTTTTAATGATTCGCGATTTCTAATATATAATGATGATGGTACGAGAGGGTCGTGCCGGGATTAGTGTCTGCAGGCGGGTCCTTGATTCTTTTGACAGATCTGTAAAACTCTGGTCAAACTGATCTTTCATCACACCTCTACACATTCAATGGATACTTGTGTGGATGAGAGCAGTGCCAAAAGAAGCTTAAGCGATGAGATCGCAGATGCTGAGGCGTTGACGCCTCCAAGCTCCACTCTGCGTAAATCCGGAACACCCATGAAGCGAGAGAAGACGTCGCATCCGCTGTCGCCGGAGCTATCATCTCCCATCCGGCCCCAAAAAGCTCGCAAAACCTCGAATAGATCCGATACACCCTTGATCACCACTAGATCCTCCAACTCTCAAACATTGGAAGAGCTCATCGAAGCCTTCACAGACGAGAAACGATTGGTGCTTCTACAAGATCCCCACAAAAAGCCACCTTTTTCCTACGCTATGCTTATAGGTTTGGCAATTTTACAATCAGAACAGGTAAGGCTAACACTATCGCAAATCTACCAGTGGATCACGTACCACTTCCCGTTTTACAAATTGAGCGATTACGGCTGGCAAAACAGCATTAGACACAATCTATCACTGAACGAGGCTTTTATCAAAGGTGACAAATCCCCAGACGGCAAGGGCCACTATTGGCAAGTCAAAACTGGTTGTGAGGGCAAATTTTTCAAAGGTGGGCAGTCTGACGATGAGATACGAGTTAAGCTTTCCAAGCTTTGCTCGAATGTGCTGGCTGCTACCGCTATTCAACTCCCTACACCGAGCGCCGAGACTTTGGCTAGAGATTTGTTCAAACAAACTGCTCCGGAAAACGCAAAAGAGCGTCGCCGAATGAAGGGTAAGAAATTAGAAGAACCATGTCAGTTGGATATTTCCTCTGACGAGGAAAGTGACGATGAGGAACTACAAGGCCCTGGGAGCAAACCGTTCAACCTAGCTTCTTCCCCTTCCGGAACAGAAGCAGTATTCATACCATATGAAGCAAGACGCGGCTCTGAAGACCAGGATGCTTTTATCGATCATTCCCTGTCTCATAAGTTGGAACTAGGAAACATGACTGATGCTTTTTCTGCGGGCAGATCACAGTCCGCAATTGAAGGGTGTTTTTGGAACGAACCATCACTCACGCTCTCGCCGGCCAAAGAAATCAAGAAGTATTCTTGTTCTTTCAATACCAATTTCGAAACCTCACCACACCCGAAGACTCCCGTATTAGATTCATTTCAGGGAAAATTCGGATCTCCAGAACCCCAATCAACCGGTAAAAACGCTACAGGATCTCTTGATCTACTCAAAACACCACAACTCAGTTCAGCAAGCGCCGCAGAGTTCTCTTATACCCCTCGAGACATCAATTCCATGCGCAAATGGCGAACGCCAACAGCATTGGTCGACGATTTCACACGGTCTCCAGTTTTGATCAATTCCTCCCGAACTCCCATGCTACTCATTGATCAAAGTATAACCGACGACATTGCCTGTGGAAAGAATACAGGTAACATAACGTCCAACACTCAATCCCGTAAATTCTTCGAAAACATGCGGTATTCCTCTGGGCTTTTCGGCGTCGATGTTTGTTCTGTTTGGAAACGAGCAGTAGAAAGCCGTCAGGATAATTCAAGTGTACCTGCGCCCAAGAACAAGAGTGTAAGACTTGATACTCCGTTTCAAGCTTCTAATAAATGAGAGCGAGGACGAACAAGATGATGTAATGAATGGAAAAAATATTGGGATTGTTGGTTTTTATCTTAACAGAGTGGCTCTGTAGTAAGTTTGTAACATTAAAGTAAGAAGACATTTGCATTTGGGAGATACGAGATATTCAACAACGAGTATTAGAGAAGCAACTACGTAATTGACTTTGGCAATCTGGAGATGTCGCTTTCAAGCGATTTTGACACTCACAGAACCTCTATACTATGAGAATGTATGTAAGGAAACAGTGTGAGAGAAATTCCTATTTTCTATCTTATAAAAGTTTTGTATTTCAGAAGAGTATGCTGAATTTGCTAACTTTCCGTTTTTCTTATAGAATATCACGATTTCCATTACGCCAGCAAAGTTCAAGATAATTGAGCAAACGCTTCGAGTTACTCAGCACAGTTTTCGAATCTTCCTTGAATGGTAAGAGGTGTCTAGTACGACTTGTATTATTACTCGGTAGTAAGCATTGAAACGAAATGCCCAGAAAGGCGAAACTAGAGGAACAAATTAGCAGTGTAACCGACCCCAGAGACTTTTTACGAACGCAAATACCGGAGCTTTCGGATGTTGATACTCTACTGCGATGTCATATATGCAAAGGCTTTTTGAAGACCCCAGTTTTGACACCTTGTGGTCATACGTTCTGTTCTCTGTGTATCAGAGAATATCTGAATAGAGAGCTCAAATGTCCACTATGTTTGGCAGAATTGAGAGAATCAATGCTAAAAAGCGAATTCATGGTTAGCGAATTAGTAACGAGCTACGCAAGTCTGCGAGCAAAACTGCTCGAGTTTCTGGATAGCTCAAAGAACAGTAGAACGGTAGCGCTCACAAGCGATACCTCAGTTATTGAAATTCCGGAGCACCACACCAAAATTAGCAATGACGACACTAATGATGATGACGATATACAAATAATTGAAACCAGAGAGAGTCGACCTTCTAAGCGAACCAGCGACTTGGTACTTATGAGTCACAAGAAGTCTCGTAAGGATTCTTCGAAATCTGGAATTACATCCTTGTTCAGCAAGACGAAAAGTCCCCCATCACAGCAAGACCTGGCAAACTGTCCAATTTGTGGAAAATCTTATCATGTAGAGCATCTTCAAAGAATTCACCTGGATGAATGTTTGACCTTGGGAGCCCTAGATCAACCAGAGCCTGCCAACAGCTCGTCAATTGCAGAAAAGGCGCCTCCAACCCCCGAAAAGTCTTCAGCAGTCGTTGAACCGATTGCTAAAAGGTCAATCAAACCGTCAGTGAATGTTGAAACTACTCACTACAATCGCTACATTGAGTCTGCCCAAAAAAAAAACGTTACAAGGCTTGCCAAACTCAACTTTTCATCCATGAGCCTGCAACAGCTCAAAAACAAACTATCATCTCTTAAATTGCCTACAATAGGAACGCGGCAGCAGATGATGAACCGCTACAACCACTATGAAATGTTATGGAATAGTAATTTTATCGACTCGATCAATTCTGTGGATGAAAGAGAACTGCGAAGACGCTTGGCTAGCTGGGAAGCGAGTCATAACGGTTCTGAGCCAATTCAAAGAACAAGTGCTATTTCAAAGTTTCTAAACAAGAATCCTACATCTGTTATGGAAGGTTTCAAGACCGACAGGTTTGACAGAAAAGGCTGGATGCGCTCCCACCAAAAAGTGTTTCGTAGATTAATGAAAGAAGCCAAGGAAGGTCTCAAACGGTCAAGGAAAAGTAGACCTGAAAACGTTTCGGCAGATGAAGCGAAAGAGACCTACGACAGTAGTCTTCAACACAACGAGAGCATTAGTAGCGAGACAAACGCTGTTCCTAGTAACCAACTTTTGACTAAGGCAGATACTTTTGCAACATCAAGCCAGAGTTCAACTGCACTTTGACTTGTCAATTTGTATTACAGCATCTATAGAATAATAACTAACATGTGCGTATTCAGCAAACATTACCCTAAAGCTCATCATGAGTTAGCGCTTCATCGCTGTGGTCTTCTCCCTCTTCTCTCGACGCACCCGTCGACGCCAAATTAACATCTTCAGTCAAAAAAGTCTCGGACTTCACTTGAGTGTCCGCCGTAGATTCTGGAACAGGTTTTACCTCCTCGACAGTTGCAGGCTCTTTTTGAACTTTGGATGCCGGATTTGGAATTGTTTCTTCGAGCTTGTCAACCTTTTCATTTTGGCTTGAAACATCTGGTGTAAACTTGTTCTCAAAATCATCCGGAATAGCATTTGAAGCATGCTGCTCGGAAGCTGGAGAACTAGATAAGTCTTCCCATGAAGAGGTGTGACGCAAGCTAGATGCTATCTCATCAGAATGCCTGGAATTTTTTGCATTTGGAGTGCTAATGTATACTTTAGCAGATCCTAAAGTGTCATCTTCTGGAACATTTGAGGTATGCAATTCACTCATTATAGTTTGTGAAGCCGTCTTGTTAATTGCAGACTCTCGCATCGTCCCCAGGATGTTTGTGCTGTTGACAGGCGTCGCAGTTTTAATATTGCTCGTGTCTGTATTCTTAGATGTCAAACGGCCTGCCTTCATAGAATTTGGTTCAGCATGCTTTTTCTCTCTTGCTTCTACTGGTGTGTCGGACGCTACCTTGGAAGCATTAGATTCTGTCTCTAATGAAGTGACATGTTGCTCTGTCATCTCTGTTGTTGCTTCTCTCACTGTTGTAGTCGTGGTTGTTGAGCTCTTAAATTGACTATTGGAAGCCGCTTTTACTTCAGTTTCTTCAGCATCTGTATAACCAGTATGAGCTGAAGTATCAGTTGAATGGTCGTGGGCGATAGTGGTCAATGACGAATCATGAATATTACTAGTTGACGTATTCGCGCTCTTGGTGGATGACTGTAAGGAATCTGCATCTAAAGGAACGTTACTTAGATGTGATTCGTTTTCAAGCCAGTCATTCACCGAACCACTAGTAAAAGATCCAATCGCAGCAGAATCTACTTTATCGATTGGTGTACCTGTTGTAGTTGATTCAGCGTCATTATCCATTTTAGGCAATTTGCTGGTACCTGAATTTAAGGTGTCTTGCAACTTCGTGACTTGGGGGCCTGATTCCGATACTACCTCAGTTGTCTTCGTGGTCTGAATAGTAGCATCATTGTTTAAAACAAAGCTTTCGTCAACCAGGTAGGATGATGTAGGTGTAGCCAACGAATGTGTAGAGGTGAAGTCTTCTGCCGAAAAACTATTTTCAGATGCTGTCACTGATGACAGAGTTCTGGGAAGCTCGCTAGAGGAAAAAGACGTAGTGACAGAGTAATCCTCAGTTGGCGCAAGCCTAGTATGGGTCTCTATACTAATCACATCACCCACCAATGTAGTTTGCCTGAACACATCATTCAACCTGAAACTATCTTTTCTGCTGTTCCACTTATTCAGGGCAAAATGATAGGTTTTGGAATGCAAATCATACTTGTAGGTGACTTGCGCAATAGCTGCAATAAAGACAATGAGGACAAAGTTAATGAAGAGCTTGATAATCTTTTCAATAACAGACGTTGCTGTGGCCAGTTTGTCCGGAATACTGATGACATGAATAGTATTTGCAGCAGAGACACTGGCAAGGATTTTGCCATTGGGGGAAAATACAACCCTTGTAACGGCAAAAGAGTGTACCTGTTTAAAGAACTTGGCGATAGTGAAGTTTTTCAACCGAACTATAACAATCGAGTTATCGTTGCCCGCTAATGCCGCAAGCTGTCCCGCAGGATCAACATCCATAGACGTAACACCCTTAAACTTTGTGGTGATGGTTTTTGTCTTTAGCACAGAAGTACTTCCCGATTTCAGGCTCACTTTGCATAGAACAATACCATTACCTTTTTTTAATGCCGCTGCGATTAAAACGGTATCTTCAGCTATGAAGCGGATCTTGGAAAGGGCCCAGTTTTTATCAAAGTCGGTTTTCCGAACAATAAAGCGTCCAGTAACGATAGAAATGACTTCAAGGGTAGAAGATGTTATGTAGCTGAGTACTTTACCATCGGGGCTGAAATGCAAATCTTTGACGTCGTTTCCGGTCTCAATCTCGTAAGTCTCAGCCAAGAGGTTAGGGTTGAGAATCCTAATCACAGTGGGGAGTTTCGACGAGGCTATAGCAGCCACGGTTCCATCCTGTGACATGTAGGTGAGCTTAGTGTAGTCATCACAAGTACCGGAGCGGTCCATATCAACGCTTGCAACAAACTTCAAATGGTCGTTCTCGAAGACGTACTTACGCAAATGATGATTATCCGCACCGGCTTTGATTTTGGCAGATGACTCGTTGCAGCCCATCAGAATGACATTATTCGCAGCATCGAGTGTTGTTGGAGAGTCGTCGTTTTCATCAAGAGTCAGTTCCCGGTACCGCTTGATAACTTTCCGTTTTTCGAAATTCACTTGTAAAGCTGTCAGCTTATTAGGAATCCCATTATTTCCTTCCCCGCCCCCACCAGCAACCAATAATACCGATTCATTGAGAAACCTAGCGCCGTAGGCTGGATATCCAAGGCTGTATAGCGATTCTTGGAACTTCATGGCCTTTGATATGTTGAATTTTATATCTTAAGAAGTTAGCATTGAAAGGCGTAACATATCCAATTTTTAACTAGTTGAATGGTAAAAATGCAAAAATTATCACAGAGGGAGAGAGCAAATAGTTCAATGGCGCTCAGAATATTCTGTATTACGAGCCTATTTATCTGATCGGATTTCTGTAATAACTAAGTGTCTGGGAAGGTCATCTGTGCATACGGATTGAAGAAACGATCGATTGTTCCTTCAATACTGAAAACTAGATCTCGAGCACAACTGTTCTCTAGGTTTACAGAGCTTGGGATGGAATGATTAAAAGTTTGAAAGTCTGAAGGGAATTTGCTCTTGTGTTGGCTGATTCAAATCATTTACAAGCTCGACGAAGTTGCTATTTTAATTCCTAAAGTGCTATCATAATGTTGGCTTTAGTAACGATGCATCTCAAAACGTATATCGTTGCCAAGTATCATAAGATATTACCAAGAGCAAGCTGATCAAACACTGAAGGTATATTCATTAAAACAGACTACGGTCAAAAAGAAGTAAATGTTCCAGAGAGTTTTCCTGGGCGAAACCCTCTTATAAATACAAATGTAAATCCATGGCCAATTGCAACTACGTGTTTCAGCTTCGAATCAAGGAAACTCGTAAAGCTAATGGTAAAAACGGCCAAAAAGGGAACATTGAACCACTTTTGCTTGAACTAAAAGGTCGCAATAATTTTTCTCTCGTCAAATCGGGACGGAGAAGAGCACAATTGAACCATTATCGACGTCGTTCATAGTAGTAGTAGCCTTCATCGGCCCTCGCCACTTTGCATAAATACGGCTTTATCTAGATGCGTATGGGAAGTGCTCTTATCGTTATGTCAAATTATGGTATATTTTTCAAGTGTCTGGAACTTATACGTTGTCGATCTTAAAAGCGTCAAATGAGATCTCTGTGAGTGGCTTTGGTAGCAGAAGAATCGCTCGGCATCCGTTGATCTTAAGTCTGTACCGCATTTTTTTTTGACCACAGCTTCCTTCTTCTTCTTTCGAGCTATCGTTATACTGTCTCCGACTCACTATGGCTCGCAAAGTGCTATCGATCCAATCTCATGTAGTACATGGCTACGTCGGCAACAAGGCAGCAACTTTCCCGTTGCAATATCGTGGGTGGGACGTCGATGCTTTAAACACTGTTCAATTCTCAAATCACCCGGGGTATGGTCACTTCAATGGATTTCGTTCCAACGCCAACGACTTGCGAGAGATAGTCGAGAAAGGGCTTTTGTCCGGTCTAGAACTCAAGTACGACGCTTTACTTACTGGCTATATGCCAGATGTGCAAGCGCTGCGGGAAATTGGCAGTCTGCTCTCGGATCTGTGCGAATCTGACCGTGACATCAAATGGGTTCTCGACCCCGTTCTGGGCGACAACGGAAAGCTCTACGTTTCCCCAGAGGCAGTACCAGCGTATCAGGAAATTCTCAAGCGTGGAGCTGTTTTCTTGGCCACGCCAAACCAATTTGAAATGGAAACGTTAACCAATGTGAAAATTTGCGATCTCGAGAGTCTCAAACATTCGGTCACACGCTTCCATGAGCTTTACCCGAAGGTCCCATACGTCGTAGTTACCAGCGTCGCGTCTGGTATTCTCGGCCCTAATGACATGGTATGTGCCTGCAGTGAACGGTCGAACTCTAATCTCGCTTATTACTTTAAAGTGCCCACAATCGACGCCCAGTTCAGTGGCAGCGGGGACCTTTGCAGCGCACTACTTCTTGACGTTTTTCTACGGCAGTCAGAAAGTGCTAGGGATCTTCCAAAGGCCGTCAATGAGGTTCTTTCACTGGTTGACAGCATTTTATTGAAGACTCTGAAAATTCATAAAGAACAAATGACGTCGGAGGACACTCTCAAGATCAATGACTTGAAGTTAATAGAGTGTCGCGACCTGCTCGGCGATGAAACTACACTCAAATACATACCAACACAACTATAGAGATAAACAGGTAAATCGTGTGTCTTCGGGTCTATATCATGAGTACTTAAGTACTTGTGGCTGTCTCACGTATTATCAATGGACTCATCAATTAATATATAAATCCCCCTCCCGTTCATACACCGAAAGGGGAACAATTCTCTGAAACTGATTCTCATGGATGAGAAGCAAGCATTCAAGCGTACCAAGCGCTTCAAAAGCGTGAAGGCATCTTGGGCGATCAGTGCTGTTCTGATAACTGCTCTTTATGTTATCATTCTCCAGCTCAGGAAGCTCGAATCAGACATTAAGGGTGAGCAGCCAAGTCTAAGTTCCTTCAAGCTTCATAGCATATATAGACACGGTACTAGTGATCACTCTTACATGCAAGTTATGGAAATAGACGATCAGATCTTAGAGGGAGGAGAAGCGAGGTTTTCGGAATTTTCAAGTGTTACCAATGATCCAGACGACAGCGACCATGAAATGTGGACATCCAGTTCCAAATATGCCACAAAAAATCCTTTAGATTACGAATTTGGTCTGTCATTTCAACCTCAGGTTTTGAAGAGGATGAGGTATCGAGACCCTCAATTTGTGGAGTCTTACATGAATTTTGCACACGAAAATCCGCACATGGCTTCGCAAGTGCACCTAGACTGGATTGACGAGACGGTGCTGGTACCAAATATTAGTGACAAACAGACCGTGGTTAGTCTAGCACTTATGTCTTCAGATGCCTACGTCAGGCTCCCTCACACCGGAGACTGGAGAAATTTGACAGGGCCTTGGAACCACAGCGTAAACTCGGGCCACGGCTGGAATAGTGATGGTCTCAGGGGTCACATCTTTGTTAATCAAGAACAGGATATTGTTGTAATTGCAGTAAAAGGCACAAGCGCTCAAGTACTTGCTGGATCAGGCGAAGACGAAACAACTGTCAATGACAAAATCAATGACAATCTGTTATTTTCATGCTGCTGCGCTCGAATAAGCTACCTGTGGACCACTGTTTGTGATTGCTATCTCAAATCTTACACTTGTGACGAGACGTGCCTGGAGCGCGAATTGAGAAGAAAAGATCGTTATTATAAAGCGGTACTGAATATATATAAGGAGGTGGCGCAAAAATTCCCATCATCCACTATCTGGGTCACAGGCCATTCCTTGGGAGGATCTCTCGCAAGTTTGTTAGGTCGCACATACGGTCTTCCCGTGGTAGCTTTCGAGGCAGCTGGCGAACTCTTGGCGACAAGAAGACTTCATTTGCCTATGCCGCCAGGATATCCCAACTACTTGGAGGGTGTTTGGCACTTTGGAAATACGGGAGATCCTATTTTCATGGGAACTTGCAATGGAGCTAGTTCTTCCTGCTCCATAGGAGGATACGCTATGGAAACTTCATGTCACACTGGTAAAGAGTGTATCTATGATGTGGTTAAGGAAAAGGGCTGGCACGTCAACCTTTTAAACCACAGGATCCATAAAGTCATCGACGAAGTCTTGGAGAAATACGATGAGCCTGCGAGATGCATTCCTCCTGGTCCTTGTCATGATTGCTTCAATTGGAAGTATGTTCGCGAAGTGAGGTCCTCAAGCTCACCACCAACAATGACAACAACTTCGTCAACTATCACCACTATAACTTCTGAGCCCACCATTACAAGCAGTTGCGTGGGCCGCAACTGGTATGGGTGGTGTACGCAATACTGATAGAAGACAAGAAAACCTATGCTGGCCTGTTTTAAAATGCCAAAAATTGACGCAGAGCTGATAGCATCTGCTTGCTTGAAGATCCCGTGAAGGTTTTATAAATAGTCTTCATCAACATGAATCTCATATTCAGGGAACTTCTCCTGAAGGCATGCCTCGATCGCCTTGTGATATTGCAAGATGACACTAGGGACTCTCAAATCAACTTCTTCAACCCAAAAACTTTTGAGCTCGCCCTCTCTTATTGTTTGAAGCCTCAAGCTAAACTTTTTCACGTCACTTAGGATATGTTCGAGGTTCTCTTCTCTTAAATGACCAGCAGTAGTATAGTACAGATTGTGCGCTACCATAAGGCACATTAAAGAACAGTGTACGCATTGAAAAAATAGCTGATCAGATAAGAAACGAAAGCTTTCAAAACTATCATTTATCATGGCTTCAACTGACCTATGAGCGTGCTCGAGCATTTTAAACTGTGAATCTAGGGGCATTGCAGCAATGACCTCTGTTATGGGGTAGTCCCGATTCAATGTCTCTCCAATGGACGTTTTATCGTTTGACTTAGAATAGTTTGGGTCTTGAGAGTTGCTGTTTGTATCACCTTTGGTTTCAGCTTTCTGTGCTCTGAACTTCCTGTGAAACCAAGTGTATAGAACAATCGTATGACCATAGTCTAGCGCAAATTCGGCGTATTGTTTGGAAGGGTATATGGGTTGAGACAATAGATACCTCCATTCTTCAATCCAAGTCAGCAACTCATCCTGAACTGCATCTAATGCAGCTGAACTTGCGAGGTCCTTACGAGACCCCAAGTTACATTGCTGTACGAAGTTGTAAAGAATTAATTGCAGTGATATTTCTGCTACCATTCTTCCATCGAAATTGGTAGATTTAGAAAAGTCCAAAGTGCGCCGACACAAATCAGCCCTGACACCATCGATGATACACATTCTTCCGGAGAAAACGCAATTTGTAATATGTGCCAGGCACAGGTGGTTCCAGAGTCGAAACAGTTGAAACCTATAATATTGAGAGTTTGTTACGTTTGCACCATAATCCGAGGAATCTGTTCCCCCTGGTAATCCCAGCGCTCCTAGTCCGCTGGACTCGTCACCAGGCCTGTATAGACCATCTGTAATGCTTAGAGTAAGAAACTGTTGCAGGCCAATGCCTGAAATATACCACGCATCAATAGCCATAATGTCGCTACTAAAGGAACATGCGAACATTGAGAGAAGCACCATAGCTTGAATAAACTCAACGGTCTGCGGAACCACCCTCAAACTAACTTCCAAGTCGTTTTTCAATTTGTATAGTAGATTCTTGTATATGCGGGTCTTGAGATCGTGATGTTTAGCAGTATATCGGAGCGCGAGCACACAAATAGTAGTCAACAAGAGAGAAGCGTTACGCGTCTTGAGGTTTTTCACCAATTTTTCCGACGGTGCTGTGTCTGGAAATGAGCACCATTGACCGTACGCTTGGCGAAAATCCTCCATCAAACAAGTTGTTTCTTCCAGTGTCAGCAGTTCCATATCGATTACGTCGCTTATTGGATCCTGTAAAAGAAGAGCACGCTCTTGCATGTTGCGAATCGGAAGTGGCACGTTACCTCGAGATACCATCTGAGAAACCATAGTGAAAGGACATGTCAGATACGGCGCTGAATGACGCTGCTCAGTCTTGAGTGACATTTGGATGAGGTCCGGCGATCCTGCCCTAGAATTCGCCGAGCTCAATCCCGCCAAAGCCAGCTGGTCTAGCCCTACTACTCGAGAAGAAACCGCCCTGTCGGCTTCATTGGCCAAGGCTACGCCAGCATCTGTAACTTTGTCGTCGCTTTTTTGCGATAAGACTGGTACCGTAGCAGTGGATTGGCCTTCCAGCATTCCCAAGATTTTGCTAACGTTCTTGTTGACATTTTGTAGAAGCTTGGAGTGTACGGCGAAATGCTCTGGAGAATACCCGCTTTTCAGCAATCTTTTAGTCAATTCTGCAGATTCATAGCTACCATTTGTTGAACTGCTGGTCCTGCGCATTTTAGAGGAGTCTGCATTGCCGCTATCTTCATCCTCACTCCACAAATCCTGGAACGAGCACCTTAATTTGAGAGTGTCGCAACGAAGACATTGAACCTCGTCTGGTAACGGCGAAGGAATACACCTCGTCTTCATGCGTCGGCAACTATCGCATGCTTTTAGTGCACGGTGACTATTTCGCCTGAGTTTCCTGGGCTTGATTATTTTTGCCACGGCTTGATCAGCCATCTCTTGGAGTCGTTGTGTTGATGTGTGTAAATTGTTTTGGTGAAAGATAACGAAGATATCGAATTCGAAATAAAGTTAACTGACACTACTTAGAGATAGAAGAATCTAACGATAATTAAGAATCCAGCACATATAGCAATTTGCTACATGGTGGATCATGCTTGGAGTGAGAAGATAGAAAAATAATGAGTTATGGTTAAGAGGTGTAATTTGATAGTCAAAGATAGGACGTGACATTAGAATCTAGATTATAAATTTGGCTCTTTAGCAGACGTGGTTCTAATCTTTCAAATAGCTGGTACTAGAAGCCAGTGCCTCAATGCTAATTAATTGTGCTTTTTGCAGGCAGGAAATGCAAAGTATCACGGATAGTTGACTGATTGGTGCAACTTTATCATCATGAGCTGAACAGGCTCCTGGTTATTATAAATTGAAACAAGCGTTCATGAGAAGTGTTTAGCCTACAGCAACTCCAGATGATGCGCAAAACTTCTATCCAGCTGGGATTCAATAAAAATTGTGACCCTGAGCACTGGACAGCATACACGGCGTTGAGATCGTCGGTGTACTTGAGTTCCCAGAGTGCGAGATTCTGTATAGTGTGGATTATGTTGGTTTGGTATACCGTGACGGTGGCGACAGAGACGTATGAGCCAGTATACATGGTGACAATACTACCATTACGACAGATCCCTTTCCGGTAACATAGTCGAAGGACGGGCCGCGTAACTTTGAAGAGGGTCTGAAGCCTCACAGCTGCCCCAAGAGGATTAAAAACTGCGATAAAAGCCGTTTACGCAATACACTCGCGCTCCTTCAATCTTCCAGTTGCGCGGTTCGTTTCCATCCCAAAAATTTCAAGAGTGGAGCGCTCGGCCATTCGAGATACCGCAAGTAGACTACAATGAGCTCAGCCCGCTCTGAGGTAGCGCAACAAGAGCTATCAGTAATAGCTTCGTGAGTTTACTCAGATCACGTTGTACTAATATGTCACCCGTAGATTCAGAAGTGAATGGCAAAGGCACCAGAACTCCCACACAGTCCGATATTTATACCATTACAAATCACCTTACGCAGTTGCCAGCGGTCAGCATTTCAGACTAGGAATTCTATATCGCGTTCTGTAAATGTTGCCAGCAGTTTTAAAACAGTATTTATCAGTAAGTAAGCTGCTGAAGTGCCAAGTTCTTGACACATCAAAGGCTTCATTGATATCTAAGTCGAGCCGTTTGTAATATCATAGTTTGGCAAGCGGAAAATAAGCATTGCACGAACAAGATTACTTGTCATTTTCATCAAAATCCTCGGCAGATGACGGTTCAGATCTCAAATGTGAACAAAACCCTTCTAGCTATTTGATACGTTGATATATTTCCTTCCTCAGTTTCGCTGCTTTTCACCCTTCGTTTCCTTATTCTCTTTGAAGATCGCTGGCCAGGTGTTCTTTGCATGAATTTTTCAGTGTATAAAAGTATGCAAGTCGAACATCTCCGATATCTTCCAATTAACCATAAACACACAGAAAAACGCACTCGATATGCTGACCAAGTATCTTTTGTGGACCGTGTACGCGGTCATTGGGTTGGTCAATGCCGCCCAAATTACAAATGGGAAGACTTACGAGCCAAATCCACCAGTTACCCACCGCGTTTTCTTTACCATCGAATATACGGATAAGGACACTGAAAAATTGCAAGAGCTTGACATTACTATGGAATTGTACGGTACAGTGGTTCCCAGGACTGTTGATAACTTCGCCAAGATCGCTAAGGGTGTTACAGCCGTGATGAGAGGCAAAGATGAGAAGACTGAACGTTTCACACTGGGTTACCAGGACTCGCTTTTCCACCGCGTCGTGCCCAACTTCATTATCCAAGGTGGTGACATTCTACCTGGTGTGAGCTCCTTCAATATCTACGGTGGTCTTCACTTTGAAGACGAGAACTTCACGCTCAAGCATGACAGACCCGGTAGAATGTCGATGGCCAACCTTGATAAACCCGACACTAACGCGTCTCAATTTTTCATTGTCACTTCTTCAGACCCTCAAACGCATCTGGATGGCAAGCACGTAGTGTTTGGCCAAGTAGTAGCCGGTCTAGATGAGCTCATGCAGAAAGTGCAGTTCGTGGAGGTAGACGGAGACTACAAGCCGTTGAAAGACATTCTGTTGAAGTATGCCCTCGTTGAAGAATTACAAATTACCACCAAGGAAGAGCTTCATCAAGACTGGTTGGTGAGATTGCAGAAATACCAAAATGGGGACGTCACGCAAGGCACCACCATGGACTTCACATTAGCACAAGGTCAAAAAGAGGAAGCAATTATGAGGGATGAAAAATACGCCCAGCTTCACCACCCTGCTGTCAAGGTCGCCCTGGGATTCGCAATTCTTCTAGTTATTTACTTGCTTGTCAGAAACAGAGCCCGTATCTTTGGTAGAAGTGCCAAAATCGTGTCAATGAGACATGATTAAAGAAGTTTTCCTTTCCTATATATCTACAACTTTTTCTAGGATTTGTAACAAGACAGGCTCCGATATTCCTTTGCCGATGAAGACCATTTTGCACTCATGCGCTTCTTCCAAACAATTCCCTGGCAAAATGTCAAATGTTTCGCGGACGCCTTGGATAATTTTGCATGAGTCGCCGACTAAGATCATCCCTTTAGTCCTATGAATCTCCCAATCACCTTCTAATTCATGACCAAAGTCTTTCCAGTGTACCACTCGTAGAAACCCGTCACGGAATCTTTCAAACTCGCTCTCATTCTTTAGAGGTCGAAAACTGATGGTCACAGTACATATTCGCGGATCATGTATGACTCCTGACGGACCTTGCTCAAATTTGAACGATTCGAATGCGTGCAAGTTCATTAATTCGCTCAGTGGAACTTCCCCGTAGCTAGCATGATGAATTGGCGCTATTGAGTTTATTTGACGAATCTTGTTCTCGATTTTCTCTGCTAGTCCTTCACTACTTATTTTGTCCATTTTATTCAAAATCACGGAATCGGCCATGGCAATTTGTAAATGCGATATTGTAATGTTTTCTTCCACCATGACTTCTTCGCCATGCCAGTGAGTCGCAGGCGATACATCGTCTAGACACGTCAAGACGTTTTCTGCATCCAAAACTGTTATAATAGCATCCAAATAGACGTTACTGTAAAGACCATCATCTTGCCAAAACATTTTGGCAATAGGTCTTGGATCTGCAATCCCTGAAGTCTCGAGCAAGATGTAATCAATTTTGCCAGGACACCGAGAAATCAGACTCTCGATAGCTTTCACTCCGACATCTTGGAGGCTGCAGCACAAGCACCCATTTCCTAAGTCTAGCCATTCTTCGTAAGAATTTTCGCCATCCCTAATGGTCATGGATTTTTCAATTTCACTAGAGTCACCAAACTCATTTAGTATGACAGCTATCTTTTTGTCAGAGCCTTTTATGGCGATCTTTTCAAGTAAGGTCGACTTACCTGATCCTAAGTAGCCTGTTATGATAGTGACTGGGATTCGAACCGCGCGATTGCTGGTGTCAATTTCCAATTGCTTGTTCGCTTGCTCAATTTTCTTGTTACTGACGATAGCGTTTCCTCCATCGCATGTAGTAGATCTTAAAATATCGTTCAAATTTTGTTCGTTACCTCGCACAAGTGCCGGAATGTCGCCGTCTTCATCTTCTTTATAACTGAAGTCTTTGAGAGCCGACATGTACAGTTTTTGTTTGAAGGTGATCAATTAGCGATTATCTAAAGCTTTAAAAATAAATTGGGATTTCCACAATTCATAGCTAAAATAAGAAGGCAGCACTTCCAGATACAAGAAACTAGCACTTGATATGCGTCAATTGGATTGGGCCTGTGATGTGCTGATCTTGACTGCAATTTTGGCTCATATGTACTTTTCTCCCTACACCAAGGTTGAAGAGAGTTTTACAACTCAAGCGGTACACGATATTTTGACATACGGCGTTCTAGATATTTCTGAGTATGACCATTTACAATATCCCGGGGTGGTTCCTAGAACTTTTCTTGGTCCATTGATTTTGGCTGTGCTGACACAACCTTTGCTAAAAGCGCTCTCTTTTATTAATGAAGCAGCTGCAGTTAATGCTCAATTTGTGGTGCGCTGTGTCATTGGCGTTATCAATGGATTGGGCCTCATCTATCTAAAGAACCAGGCCCAGGCTCTCTTTGATCGTCGAATTCAGGAAGCAAGCTCAAAGAAGAGCGATGGAGACCAAAAAGCTACTAGAAATAGCAGCATTGGTGCTTTTTTTACTATTTTTTGCATTTCTCAGTTCCACCTAATGTACTACGCGTCACGTCCTCTACCTAACTTCGTGGTTGCATTGCCGCTGGTGAATGTGTCATTTGGTCTGGTTCTTGGTCAGCGTAGCTTTGGCCTCCCACTATTACTTTTATCGTTCGCTAGCGTGGTGTTCCGTCTTGAATTGCTAGCGCTCACGTTAGGACTAGCTATGTCACTCTTGTTATCAAAAAAGATTGGGTTGGCTAAGGTCATGAAATTTGGAGCACTTGGAGCAATGTTGGGTGCCTCCGTGTCGCTCTATATCGATTCCTTTTTCTGGCAAAATTGGACGTTACCAGAGATGGACGCCTTTTTCTTCAACGTTGTTGAGGGCAAGTCTGCTAAATGGGGTATTATGCCCTTCCACACCTACCTCACAAGATCTCTGCCGATGATATTTTTGCCTCCCACAGTTTTACTCCTAAATTACGTGGGATTTCGGTCAGCGCCAAAGGAACTGAAACTGATTGCGCAGGCTTCTTACTTTCACATTTTTGTGCTTTCTTTCCAGCCCCACAAAGAATGGAGATTTATTGCTTACACAATACCAGCTATCACCTTAGTTGCTAGCTGCGGAGCCTCTCGCGTTTTCAGAGTAAAAGGGTTTTCAGTCCTTAAATTTCTAGTTGCTGTATCACCATTACTATCACTGCTAACTTCCATCTTATTTTCTATGATCTCATCCTTAAACTACCCTGGTGGAGAAGCTTTGAGACACTTTAACGATTACGTTCAACAAAACGGCATAAGAAATGTCACTGTTCACATGGATGTTCCTGTGTGCATGACAGGAGTTACGCTTTTTGGTGAGCTTGACAAAAGCTTGAATATCCATTATGATAAAACGGAAAATTTGTCCGATCTAAGAGATGTGTGGCCTTCATTTGACTTCCTGATCACGGCTATCTCTAACCCTGAACACTTTGTTGTTCCAAATAGAATGGAGTGGAAACTCCTACATACCACTAAGGCATTCTCTGGCACTAACCTGGGATTCTTCAAGCAACTATTGAAAGCGGAGATCGGCAACGATTTCCCGTTGATGCGTCAAATGGTGGATCAGCGTAGCGCAACTCCTGTGATACGGGAGATTCAAGATCATATCACCAGCGATACTCTGTTCACCTTCCAAAGGAAAAACTCGAATTTGGATTCATGAAAAGCTCACTATTTACACTTATATACATAGACACACTCCCGTGCAACTGTCTCTCGTCTCAAAACGAGGTAGAGAGCACATTTTTGACCTTCCTTACGACATCGCCCTCGATGACAATTTTTTTGGCTTGCATCAGCACTTTAAAAGAGCTCTTGGGAACGTTGGTGAGTCTCGCCTGGAGATCGTTCCGCAGTTGAACAGGATCGCCATGAATTTTGCGAATTTCAGTGACCACTTTACCACCACTCTTGAAGTCCGTGTACACTGGTAGATTTCCAGTTGCAGACCTTTCCACGAAGTAAGACTTTACACCAAAAGGAGTGTATCCAACAATTTCCTCTGGCCTGACCTCATGAACTGTGGGAAATATACTAAAATTGGGCTCACTTATAGCTTGCGACAAATCAGAAATCTCCTGGGTCGTCAATTCTCCCACTTCGCTCTCACGAACCGACTCTCCCGCTTCAACAGGAGTCTCCGTGCTTACGAGTCTTACGGCACGGGAATTGGCAACGAAAAGGCCAGATGCAGATCCTGTTTGGCGTTTCACCATTCCAAAGCCTAATCTACTCAGCATGATGCTATTTGAAACGCCTGTGTGCTATTAGCATTCGATGTTCTTGCATCATCAGCTTAAACTACATAGCTTTTCAACTCTGGGTCAAATTTTTCGAAAGTGACATGCGTTTAGAGTGATAACGAAACAAATACTGACGCTCAGCTATTGATACTTGCATCTATCGTTTGAAGGCTCTCAAAAGGATCGCTTAAAGAGACCATTGTGTCTATAACTTTGATTTTATACATTGGCTAGTTTACAGATTCAAGTTTCTAAGCTCCAGGAATAATAAAATGCTAAAACGAAAAAAAACCATTCGTAATATTACAATTAGTGCGTCCAAATGCGAACCATTTTGTCCTTACCAGCGCTGCACACGCGTTTTCCGTCGATACTCCAGTCTACCGTATATACCTCGTCATTATGTCCTGGTAGATCAACAGATAGTTTTCTAGTTCTAATATCCCAAACTTTTAAAGTGGTGTCCTTAGAGCAGGAAACTAGCAACCTACAATCAGATGACCAGGCGACTTGGTATACGCTCGCGACGTGCCCACGGAATGTGGTTACAAAGTTTCCGTTCCGGCCATCCCATAATTTTATGGAGTTGTCGAAGGATGCGGAAACTATATATCTTCCATCGGGCGAAAATGCGACATGATTTACTAATTTCTGGTGCCCCGTCATACGTGTAATGGGTTTCGTTGACTTTAATGGATCCCATAGATACATAGTGAAATCGTCACTGGCTGTAACCATGAGTTCCTCAAGTTGGCCATTTTTCTTGGCGATCTTCTCGTAGTTCTGCAGAGCTTTCTGTTGCGCCTCCAGTGGAGAAGATGGTTTTTGCCCTGTATGGTCAAAAGCACCAACTCTAAGAGCATAGTCTGTGGAGAGCGATAAATGATTGATCCAATGTGCGTGTGATTTGAGAATGTTAATACACTTCCCAGAAGCGTTCATGTCCCAGGCTCTGATTGTTTTATCATGAGAACCACTGTATATCACATTGCGACCACCCCACTTGACGCATGACACGGAGTTAGTGTGACCGCTCAATGTCATTAAGCACAAGCGACTTGTAGTATCCCAGATCTTGATGGTGCCGTCCTTGGAGGCGGATGCCAGCCTTGGCTTTTGACCAGGCGTGACCAAATGTATTGGCTCCCACGCCAAAGAGGTAATCCATTTTCCATGTCCTTTAAGAGCGTCACCACAGCTCTCGCCCTTGCGAGCTTCCCAAAGTCTGATGGTGTTATCCATAGATCCAGTAGCGATCATTTCGCCGTCTGGAGACCATTCCACACAGAGAACCCAGTTGAAGTGGCCCTTGAGTGTGTGCATAGGAGTGTTGGTATTGCAATCCCAGATTCTGGCAGTGTTGTCCCCGGAACCTGTGACCATCCTGGCGCTGGTGTTTGGCGCAAACGCAGAACACAAGATTGTAGATCCATGCCCCGCGATAGCTGATGAGCTTCTGGTGACTGGACGAACTTTGAAAACTGCACGCGGCGTATACACTATGGTGATGAAGTCTTCGGTGGTTTTATGGCCTGGCTTCAAAATGGAGCTGTAGATGTTATCCTTGATATCCACCAATTGTTCTACTTGGCCCTTTTCCGTGCCAACCAGACAGCTGAAAGTATAGGGAATCGGTTCATCGGACTCTCCCTGTAACTGATTTAGAAGCTGCTCGAGCTGCTGCTCTGTTGTGCCACCATGCACTCGCAATGATCCTCCGACGTTTTCGCCTGTATCGAACGCTTGAAATTTAACCAAAACATGAGGCAGATCGGCCGGGATCAACTCCACTTCGCGGACTTGCTGCGCCTGCTTTTTCTGCTTCTTAGAAGGTGGTGGGACTAGCGTAGCCATGATTTTTTGATAGCTTGCTGCTAGCTCAAGTGAAGGGTTTTTGAGCTCATCGCCTAGCTCATCTCTAAATACTAGGCCCAAAATTTTTCAGTCATCTGGTACGTAAATGCTAAGAAATATATGAAATTAGCCGCCAATGATTTAAAACCTTCGTTATCCTATGATCCAGCGTTAAGATCAGGAAACTCAGGGACCAATATTCAAAATATAGAATGAGCAGTGCTTGAAAATTATGTCTTCTCTCAACTGTTTTAGCGCTTGCATGTACAATGCAACTTAAACCATCTTCAAGTTTACCAAGATGGTGTTATATTGTGGGTTTTGGTGTGAATATCGGCTCTGATTCTTACCTGTTATTATATTACTATTATCTAATTTGTACTCATACATTTGGTTACACAATCGGAGTCCCGGCTTGTTGGTCCGAGCCGTCATCCTCAAACGCCAATTGGCGGATTTCGACCATCCACGGATCACACAAAAGCTCCATCGCTGTCGCACGTTGGTTCGGGTCTTGTTTCAAACATCTAAGCAGGAAACTGATGCCCTGTGATGAAACCTCGTCCTTCGACGGCAGTTGCGGCACATGGCCGGCGGCCACATGATACATGATAGCCCATTCATTGTCTAAGTTAAACCAAGGCCTCCGTCCAGTTACCATTTCTAAAATAACGCACCCAAGCGACCAAATATCACCAGAACCAAATTTACCCTTTTCGGCTCCCGTGACGGATTCTGGAGACATGTACATTGGCGTTCCCATCATACTGTTAACCCCTTCGCCCTTGTTCTCGGTGGCAGGATTTGCAACCTTGGTGCCATTTGCAGCCAGCGATCTGGCGGCTCCGAAGTCCACATACTTGATTACCCCGTTGAAATCCAACAGAATATTCTCCGGCTTTATGTCCCGATGTACCACGCTAGACTGATGCAAGTACGCGAGACCTTCCAACATCTGTAAAGCGTAGACTTGCGTCACCATTTCATCCTCGATTCTTCCATGCTCCAAAAGCTGGGCCAAGGACCCACCCTCGCAGTATTCCATAAATAAGTTGACTTTGTCCCTGTGGACCTCAACACCGTAGTACTGGACCACGTTTGGATGATTCAACATCTCCAGTACACTCATTTCTTCCTTGATGGCAGGGAAAACTTCCTTCATAGACTTGCGATCTTTAATTTTGATCTCTTTCACTGCCAAAATTTCACCAGTGTCTAGATTAACTGCAGAAAATACAGTTCCAAAAGATCCTCCGCCAACGAAGTTTCGCTTCTGCCATCTAATGGAGACATTAGACAGGGACGAGGCCAAGGACTGCAAATACTGGTTATCGCGATCGGATTCATCCAAGACTTTCCCGATGTGACGAGGGTTTCCCTTGACTCTCTTCTCTAATTCTTGAATAGCTTCAAGACGAACCTTTGAGTTGACAGCGAGAATGGAATCATTATCATCTTCGCAAGTACCTATGGTAGACCTGATTTGAGGATGACTTATTTTCTCTGCTTCCGATGTTCTGGCACCCATGATATCGAAGTGGGAAATAAGCAAAGACATGCATCCTGATATTTTCTCTTGTAAAACAGAGAATTGTTTCTGGTCCAAGCCTAAAATGTTCCATCCCATGGTCATCTGCATAGCAAATTCCATTGCCGGCACACACCACCTAAAAGTCCGCAAATCCGTAGGATCGCAATCATCTACCAAGAACGTAATCCAGTTTATACTAATCTTCATGAGTATTAGTATTATTATCGATTTCTTTTCATAAGTTGCCACATTTACTCGAAGGAAGTTTCTAGCAAAGTCACGACAGAATATGAACAAGTTGTTCAAGGTCTCGTTACCACGATAATCTTTTTGAACAGAATCTGTGATCTTTTGCATGTTCGCCAACACGGTGTAGGTGATTCTGAAATAAGCTCTGTTGATTTTCTGAAGGGTGTATTCGATAGTGCTTGTTGAGCATCGTCTCTCGCTGAAGGAAACTGCGTTTCCTACAAAGTGCTGAAATTTGTCACATTGATATTCCATAGCATAAGTCGAGCCTTGATTGAGAAGAACTAAGGTGTCACTTGGTAACTTGATATCAAAATCTCTTTTCGTAAGCACGAGACCTTCGGAGAGATTGAGCATGTCTCCTTCCCATAAGATAGGCTCTTGGGGACAATACGCGACAATGTATCCCAGAGATTTTAATTTCACTTCAAGTTCAAACATTTCGTTTTCCTCGCTTTTCAAATCTTCAAATGCGTTGTTGCCATTTTGATTGCCCGTACGATTGCCTCTGACTAGAGTATTTCTGCCATGAGCTTCAGATTGGACGTGATAGTAGGTCACACCATTAGCCCCGTATTCCTGAAATAAAATAGCGTTTTGATCCCAGCCACTTTCGAGAGCATTGTAAACGCTCAGGCTGTTCTTGATTTCCACATTTGGAAGCAAATCTGAGCCAATTTCTGAGTTATGAAGAATTTTCAGGATTTCCTCGTCAGAGCTCCCTAACAACTCGCCGCTGCAAAACAAGTATACACCGCTCCCTTCCAGTTCACCACCTGTGTAAATTAGAAAGTGGCCACTATCCTTCAGATTCTTTAGAAGCTCTTGATTATCGTTAACCTTATAGTTGACCGAGTTCTGGAAAGCTTTGGCAAGAACGTTAGAAAATCTGTTTATCTTTCGCTTCACCGAGCCAATATTCTCTATTACTTGAATCAACCACTTCTCTGCATCAGCTTCTTTGTGAAAGCGAGGTGGGTGATTTTGTTCGCGAAGAATGTACGAGTGTAACCGGTTTAGTAGTCGCAGAGTTAGGTTTGAAAAGCCTTCGGCAACAACATCACCAGCACCAGAGATAAAACACCCGACATTTTTCAGCTGATCCCAGAACTTCAACAGCTCATCTGGTTCTCTAAAAGTTTTGAATGATTTTTTGGCGCTGTCAATGAGTTTCAAGTGAAGAAGCTTGAATAAATATTTAATCGCCTCATTAACTGCATCATCAAAATCGGCATCAACTTGAGGCGAAAAACTCCAATCCGAGCAGTATACCACTACGGTGTGCTTAATCTGTACTGAAAGTCTGATGTATGAACTGAAATCATCTATCATTTGATCGATCATCATCATAGTAGGGTTATTGAGTTTCTTGGCATAATCCAGCCGAATTAAAATGATTTCTTTCACTAACTTGAAAGGAAACATGAGTAATATTTCTAGCTCTCTGTGTAAAAGTGGTATTTTCATCTCCTTTACTGTTTCTGAAAGTGTGAATATAGACACTTTTGCTTTTAAAATCCACGGCGCATGACGGTAGAACAATTTCCTTTGAAATATACTTTCGATATCGCGTTCTTTCAATATTTGTTCCGCGAATGGCCGTTCGTTCTTATAAACGCCCTCGATATCGTAAAACGTTGACGTGAATTTTACGTCTAGCGATTCGTTACCGGTCCATCTCTTAAGAGCCTCGATTTCACATTCGAAAGCATCTTTCAAAGTGAGAAAGGTGTTCATGGCGGCAATGCGGTGCGTAAATTCGTCGCGGCCTGTCAGAGGCTTTTCATATTGCATATGTTGATCATTTTTCCAGTATGATGTGACTTGGTGATACCTGTTTATAACGGGCTTGATCCTGCTAACCGCGTATTCGACTTCAACATTATCATCAAATTTCATTTGCATTATCTCATCAAATACCGAATCCGTAGAGTTTCTGAGATACTCGAGAGTTTTCCGTTCTTCTTCAATTGACCTGCAATTCATCCAAGCTTTCAACTCTAGCCATAATTCATCAGCATACTGGGTACCGGTGTTTATATGCCCCCCTTGATAAGAGATTTTACTTTTTTCGCTCTTGACGATGTCACCTTTTAACACATTGGCTAGCATTGCTTGCCATTCAAGCCTATCCAAAACATGCGAATTTCTCGAAAGGCGCTGGACATATGCGTAGCTGTTACCTTCAGCGGTCCCGACTGTTGTAGAATACATTGTTCTCCCGGTGCTGGGACCAGAAGGGATCCGTTGTTGTGTCCCAAGTAGACCTTTAACATCGGGGTTCTCTGGATCTGCTTGTCTGAGCCAGTCCATACGACCAAGCAAAAACTTCGAGCTCATGGTGACAAGCTCGTCATCAAACGTTAGGGTTCCGCCTTTTTCTGTCGTGGTGAAAAAATTGGTACCGAAGGAGGATTCATCTGCGTCCGTATCGTCAACTTCTGCTTCTGTGTCCGTTTCGTCATCCTCATCATTGCCCGAAGCTGCGATTCCACGGGTGTAATAGTCGTCAAGGTTGCTCTTTTTCATGCGATTAAGGTATAGCTCTTCATTCAGCACGTATTGCTTTTGCATGGGTTTGAAGGAGCGGTACACGGAATTCGAACTAGCGGCATGCGAAGAACGAGTAGATGATGTCGAAGAAGCAGTTGAATCGTGATGAAGAGACGAAGAACTGGCATTATTAGAAGCGCTGTTCATTCCTGCACTGAGCTGGTTTTGGGGCGAATTTAGGGTCGAAGTACTTTGCGAGTTCAGCGACGCCAAATTGGGTGGCAACACGAGTGTGGGTGCTAAGCTAGAATCCAGACTGAGTGTCGAGGGCACTCTACTGCTGAGCGAGTTGGATCGAGTTTTCTGTCGTCCAGGAGACATAAGCCCAGTCCCGGAGTTATGAGAGCCGTTCTGACCACTCTGCTTCCCGCTGGAGTTGCCTGAAATTGACGGTTGTCTGCTGGAGCGTACGGAAGGCGCGCCTGGGGGAGGTGAAACCATGCTCATGGCATGCTTCAGACTACTTGTACTGAGCTTGAGAGTATTCATTGGGGAATGCCCCTGTACTCCTGATGGACTCCTGAGTGTTGTAGCTGTGTAATATCCCGGACTTCGGGGCTGCTGGCCTTGCAGATTGCTCATCTGTCTGGACGGAGAAAACGATCGTGTGTTTCCATTTCCTTGCGTATAGCTCTTGTTTTTCGACCGTCCTTTCACCCTGCCAGAATTACCAGCTTTCTCCTCGAGCGTATAGCCCTGTTTGAAGCTGAAATAGTCCTTTTCGGTCATTATTGCGGTCTTGCTCTGCTCTTCGGAATGTTGTCTTAAAGTTCAATTTCCTATGCTCAAAATCTGAAAATAATGAATTTCATACCCTGTATAAATTTCCAGCCAAGACTCACTTATCTATCTTTTATGGAGCTAGATAGATGTCTGGAGCTGCTTTATGCTGGCCAATTGTTGCCTGAGGCGACATTAAGGGCACTCTGTTTCAAACTGAAGGAGAAACTGGTGAAAGAGTCTAACGTAGTACATATTTCGACACCTGTGACGGTCGTAGGCGATCTGCATGGTCAATTCCACGATCTTTTGGAGATTTTCGAAATTGGCGGCGCAGTCCCCAATACCAACTATCTTTTCTTGGGCGACTACGTCGATAGAGGCCTTTACAGCGTCGAAACAATTTCGTTGCTAATTGTACTAAAGTTAAGGTACCCTAACAGAGTGCATCTCCTACGCGGAAACCATGAGTCTCGACAGATTACACAGAGCTACGGATTCTATTCGGAGTGTCTGAATAAGTATGGTGGTGCCAGTGGTGTATGGCAATGTTTCACTGACCTTTTTGACTATCTGGTGTTGTGTTGCATAATTGACAATGAGCTGTTTTGTGTTCATGGCGGACTTTCACCGAATGTACAGACCATTGATCAAATCAGAATTATTGACCGCTTTCGAGAGATACCACACGACGGAGCTATGGCAGATTTGGTATGGTCCGATCCGGAAGACTCCGCTGGTGACGCAAACAGCCCCAGCTCTACTTCTACAACAACGCATTTCCAAGTTTCACCACGCGGTGCGGGCTATACATTTGGCCGGAGCGTCGTGGAAAAGTTTTTACAGCTCAACGGAATGTCCCGCATCTACAGGGCCCATCAACTGTGCAACGAGGGATACCAGGTTTATTTTGGTGGTCTTGTTACAACAGTGTGGTCCGCTCCCAACTACTGCTACCGCTGCGGCAACAAAGCCTCCATATTGGAGCTTTATGACAAGGATCACAGCTACTTCAACGTTTTCGAAGAAGCTCCGGAGAATAAGCTTCTAAATAATGCAGCGACTGCCCCGAATGGCACTTTCTTGCGGGACTATTTTGATGAAACGGTGGGGCCCGTAGATGTGTTTTCGGATGAATACCAGGTAGCCTCGGCGTCAAAGAGACATGTAGAATATTTTCTGTGAGCTCATAATTAGAAAGGGCGTTCCTGCAGGCAATATGGCAAATAGCATGCAACGTTGATTGAAAATGTTCAGTGCAACAAATAATAGGTCCCGCATTCTCGGAGCACAAAATGCGGTTTACATCAGTCTAAGAAAAAGCTCAAGGGCTTATCGCATAAAAAAACGTCACTGCTGTTACAACTAGATGAATTCGACCACATGCTACACACCAACTTGGATACTCTTCCTAATGTCTGACATCCCCCTTCAAGTTCCAACTGATATGTTCGGCAAGTGCTTCAATAAAAAGATGCGATACGAACTCCTTTCTGGCCAAATGGGGGCATGTCTATGTTTGGGCAATGCACGATCCATTCATTGCTTCGAAGAGACGTAAACGGGGTATTGCACAGAAACAAAAGTTGCGATGGCCTCCGGCGCCGGTTTTGGTTTGAATAGTTCATGGACACGTTGCTAAATCCTGGATTCGAGAAGATCAATTTCAAGCAAAGTTCCGTCACGAGTCCTCCTTTGTCTCTAGTATTATTCTGCGTTATGAAGTATCCGAGCTTTGAGCACCCACGCCACTCGAGCCATTTGGCAAAGTGGTTGGAATATTCCTTTTCCTTAAATAGAGAAGACCTCGCATTACTTGCGATTCACAGGATATCGGATTTGGCATTTTTTAACGTTAGCGCTTGCTGTTGAGAATCTTCAAACTTAACATTGAAAGGATCCTGTCAGGTAGCATGTATCATCAGTAATTTGGCGCTTGTAATAGAATCAATATTCACCTACCCTATAAAAGGGACACTTCACGGAGGCGAGGCACTTATTTGAGGTACCTGGAGAAAGGGTGCCTATACCATGGTTTTATGATAGTGCATAGTCAACGTTCATACTTGGAATTGAAGAATGTGCAAAATTATCAGACTCAGTCGTTGAGACTTTGCAAAAGAGTCTCGCGGTTCACAAAAAATTCGATCTTCAGCTCACTTTCTTGTCCCATCGGCACCATTAGAACGCAATCTGAATCTTAAACCGGCATCAAAGTAATACAAATAAAGTTTTCATGAAATCTAATCGCAGGTATTCCCTGCTCTTCATATGTTCTTTTCGAAGATATCTAGACGATAATTGCTTGAAACTCACAGCTGCATCAGCAGGCTCGTAAGAACTAGTTACATAAACTGCCATTGTGCTTTCGATGCCTCTCTTTATAGCATATCCGAAGACCTGAACTGCTCGGGGAATCTCGCTATTCTATCAAATATCAATAGCTTTTGGGATTGGGGAGAATAATAGAAACTACTTATTACTGGAACCCTGCTGTGGCAATCAAAATGAAGAGCGACAAGTATGATGATGGTCACCTCGGAATATCAGAAACGATTCCCCTTTGACTGTATTGCGCCAAGACACTGTATCGGGTCCGATGATGTCTACTTTGCCCGATTCCCAAGCACCATGCTAACTCTGCAAATCTCTGTATAAGGATATATGAGAGATGATCTTTAGCTAAGGAGACGGAGCACCAAAAAGCCTATTCAAAGCCTGAGAACAGGAACACCGCATCATTGATTCAAAACCGATGACTCCATTTGTTGGTAACAATTTGTAATGTACGAAACTTTAGACGGATCCATGAGAATATTTTAACTTCGAAGCATATATCGGCTGTTAGCCATCTTTCCCGATGGCCATCTCACAAATACTCCAGCGAAACCATAGGTTGTGTCATTTCTCAACAATCTCGTTCCGTTGCCTGTCTTACTGATCATTTGACTCACAGGTAATATAGTTCAAGATAGGTCCCATCGTGGACCTCATAATCTTCTAAACTAATGTGATCTTTCAAGACAGAGCCCCCCTTCTGCAGCACAATCTTGTTCCATGTGACGCCCAATTGAAGCGCCAAGACTTTCTTGAAATCGCCAACGAGATCCTCACTCATACATTTGACTCTAATCTTCTTACCCAGTCTATCATTGACCTCTACTTCGATCATTCTTGATTGTTAGCTTCTGCTTGTTTCCGTGCCTGTTGAAAGAACAAGATTGTTTTTGAAAATTTCAAAAAGGGTCGCGATGAGCTTGTTGGAAAGTAATAAAGCCGAGAAAAACCTACCACTTAACATCGATCTCCGGTTCATATTGGGACATGGTAGTCAATGTGCTGTTCGTGGACTCTTACGACTCCTTCACTTACAACTTAGTGAACTTGATTAGAGCTCAAGACAAACAAATTCACGTTACGATTATTCATAACGATACTTTTGCCACTTTCGATGAAGTGCGGCCGTTTTTAAGCTGCTTTGATTGTATTGTGGTTGGTCCAGGTCCAGGAAACCCGGAAAATGGTTGTAGGGATGTGGGACTCCTTCACGATATGTTTTCCCAAGACTTAAAGGTTCCCGTTTTGGGCATCTGTCTTGGTTTTCAAGTGATGTGCCGGGCCATGGGATGTCCTGTCAAGCAGCTGAAAGAGATAAAGCATGGTCAGGTTTATGATATTACTGTCGCCAATCTTGAAAGTAAATCACAGAACGAGCTGTTTGCAGAGTATCCAGCTGCTTTCAAATCCGTGCGATATCACTCTTTGCATGTGGCAGTGGACTCTGACAGCTCTGAGGGTATCATACCGCTTTGTTATACACATGACGAAAATGGACCCGTGCTAATGGGCGCAAAGATCGCCGAAACGGCGTGGTACGGTGTTCAGTATCATCCGGAATCGTGCTGCTCAGAACTGGGCGGCCAATTGATCTCAAACTTTTTGAGAATTGCAAAAGAGTACAACGACTCCAAGGACAGAAAGAACTCCAGCTATCAATTGCTGGACAATAGCTCGCAAAAACAAACGGCCATTTCATTTTTGGATAAAACTATAGATAAAAGCAGCGTGTATGAGAAAACCGAGCTCAAAGATTTACCCATCTACGTTGAAGACATACCTGTCACTCCAAATGCACATTTGGCCCTGATTATTTGCAACGTGCTAAATGTTCCTTTCTTTTTAATGTCATCGTCAACAATCCAGGATAACAGAGGCGAGTATTCTATCATTGCATTGCCGAATGAGAGATCGACCGTATTCACGCATTACGATCAAAAACACAAGACTTTGATACACAAATGGCGTGACTCACGCCTTTCCCATGAAAAGTACATGGCTGCGGTAAACGATAGCCATGCGCCGAGCGAGGGACTTGAGTCCATTAATGAGGATAAATTCGACTTCTGGAAAACTGTCGGAAATTTTATGAAAGATCGTATGGTTGCCAGTAGACCTGATATTCCCTTTATTGGAGGACTAGTAGGAGTTTTGGGTTATGAAATGGGACAGTTTACGGTTAATGGGGATAAAGAAAAACTTGTGCCTGATGCCAAACTAGTTTTCATTGAAAACAGCATTATTGTGGATCTCAAAAAGGGAACTGTTTCTTTTGTATCACTGAACAATAATTTCCCAGAGAGCGTTAAAGGGACGGTAAGAAGTTTGATGCAAGACAATAGCGATAGCTCCTCGTTGCTGAAGTCGAAAAAACTGCCACATGATGTCGGTTTCGATATTCGATTACCAACCAGAGATGCGTACGCCAAAGCATTCAAAAAGTCTCAAAACTACTTACACAATGGAGACTCATACGAGGTTTGTTTAACGACACAGACAGAAGTAAAGCCCAGTAAACGCGTGGAACCCTGGAGACTGTTCCAAACACTGATTCAAAGAAATCCAGCTCCCTTTTCCAGCTTTTTCGAGTTTAGCGACTTATGCCCTGGGTCTTCACATTTGTGCCTGCTGTCGACGTCACCCGAAAGATTCTTGAAATGGGATCGAAATGGCTGTGAGTTACGGCCAATAAAGGGTACAGTGAAGAAGGACCACTCGGTCACTCTAGAATCGGCTACGAAAATTTTAAAGACACCAAAGGAATTTGGTGAAAACTTGATGATCTTGGATCTGATACGCAATGACCTGTACGAGTTATTGGATTCGGTGACAGTGGATGAGCTTATGTCGGTCGAAGAGTATGAAACCGTTTATCAATTAGTGAGCGTAGTCAAGGGCCATAATCTGCGGCAAACAGCGTATTCCGGCATAGATCTTCTACGGCATTCGTTACCCGCGGGTTCGATGACAGGCGCCCCCAAGAAAAACACAGTTCAATTGTTGCAAAATGAGATAGAGACGGAGCTCAATTCTCATATCTCCAGTGCAGGAGTGCGTGGCGTTTACTCTGGTGTTACTGGGTACTGGAGTTGCAACGACCGTGGGGATTGGTCTGTGAACATCAGGTGCATGTACTCGTACGACAACGCAAATTCTTGGCGTTTGGGAGCAGGAGGGGCAATAACAGTGCTGAGCACTCTAGATGGGGAATGGGAAGAAATGCATACCAAGCTGGAAAGCGCGTTACAAGTGTTTCAGGATGCTTGACGTGCGAAATACGTTAAATAGCTAAATACATACTGCAGTGCTGGCGGTAACCAGTTATGGGAATGCTCAGCGACATACCCGTTTGATAACAATTTTAGGTATGAAGGTCCTGTATGCCAATTCAGCGAGCTTCAACAATGTGATTCATAGTGGAGAGGACCTCAAAAATTAGAGCACATTGCTCGATTCCACATTTCTAAAAGTTCATTGACAGGGACAAAACTTGAATTATCTGTTAACTTTGACTATGGAGTGAGATAACATCGAGGTGAGGACCTGTGCCGTGTGAACAATATTCGGAGGTCTTTGCAACGTTTTGTTAGTTAATGTGTATACAATGAAGAAGAAGGGCGTGAAGAACCAAAGTAATATACCAGTACAGTAGATTCAAAATAGGATCACGTATAAACTGATAGAGCACTTTTCGAGTGTTCGAGCACAGGAATTTGAGGATGTGACCTTATACACTATCGGTGAGAATATAAAGCGCTTGTTTGCGCGAAGTCAATCTTGTTTCTACATGGGCTGTCACAGCAGCAATTATCACTTTTTACTATTCCGTCATCGTTTTGTGACATACGAGCCTGCACCTTATTGCATTGTTGAGTCTTATAAGTTTTTATGAACGAGTAGGATATTTTTCTCTCGCTGCTAAGTACTGTTGGTATCCTAAACTGACTAAAGTACCCTTCAAAACTAAGCGTATTCATTTGTAGACTCTGAGGAAATGAATTCCAGAGATGATGCGATATCTACGATTTAAAGTACTCACCCATCTTATAGTACTTACGAAAACTGTTATGATATCTAGCAAAATCGAAAGGAGAGCTTTGACATCATTAGTAACATATATATACCCTGCTTCCTGCCTGTTTGAGATCAAATAATAGGTTTCCAGATCTGAATTGTTTGATTCGAAACAAACTACTCAAGAGATAAGAAACTTTATAGACATTGCGAAGAAGGATACGAGAACTGACAAACTCTACACTTATTGAAAAATCAGGGTATACGGAGTTCTACGGGACGAAACTATCGGTACTGTGAAATACATGTCGAATTACAAGGATTGCTCCTGTTGATCAATTGAATTCATACCAAGTCTCTGCAATCATCGAGATGTGCTCCTCTTACGGTACTTGAGGCTTCCAAGCTGCCTCAAATCATTCTTCACTTGATTATCACTTTTTCACAAACTGTCGGCGTTGTTGATCATTGGCTTCTCTCCTGACAAAAAACAGTGGCCACTTAACATAATTCTCCCCTGCCTTGTAACGAACATCAAAAGGCTTAAAGAGCAGAAACAAACAAGGGACAGGGAGTTGATATTAAAACACCGATAGCGCGTGTAGTATTCAAAAGCTTCATATACCAGTTGAAATCCTAGGCGGCGAAGCAGAGTCCTATTGTTATATTTCTGGCATTATTTAGTGATTAAAACTCGCAATTGCAACTTTCAAAAGCCATCTCTCACAATATCCATAAGAGCCGTGCATAGCTCCATACCACGATGACGACAACTGTGCCCAAAGTGTTTGCATTCCATGAGTTTGCTGGTGTCGCAGAGGCCGTGGCAGACCATGTTGTACACGCGCAGAACCTGGCGCTATCTAAAGAGCCGTTCGCGCTGAAGAATGGCGGCAGTGGAGGCGCATCTCAAGGTGCTGCCAATACCAACGGATCCCTTTCAGTTCCTCAACTTTCCGGCCAAGTTTCTCGGCAAGCGAGTGCAAGGAGTATCTCCGGCAGAGAGCATAGTACCGCTGCAAGCGGATCTTCAAATCCGAACCTCAGAGCTCCTAGCAGTAGCAAGCTGAAAAAAATTAAGGAGAAAAGATTCAAAATCGCACTCTCGGGTGGCTCCTTGATTCAAGTGCTGCACGAAGGGTTACTCAAACGACACGACGTTCAATGGGGAAAATGGGACATATACTTTGCAGACGAAAGACTGGTACCTTTCGACTCTTCTGAGTCAAACTTTGGTCTTACGAAGAGAAAGATAATCGACCATATTGATACAGAGATGTACGGATCGCCTCGTATCTTCCATATCAATGAATCACTAATCGAAGACCCTCAGGAATGTGCCGACGACTACGAGAAATTGCTCATCAAGGGCTTTGCAGGCAGAGACTCCGTGAAACTACCGATGTTTGACCTTTTACTTCTGGGATGTGCACCAGATGGCCATATTGCATCCTTATTTCCGAATTTTCAAGAAAACCTTAGAGAGAATCTCGCGTGGGTTATACCGGTGACACAAGCTCCTAGTGGACCTTCTAATAGAATTTCACTCACTATTCCAGTAATTTGTCATTCCCATCAAGTTACATTCGTGGTTGAAGGTGCCACCAAAGCCCCTGTGGTGAAAACAATCATGGAACGCCCAGAAAAGAGTCTACCCAGCAGCATCGTAAATGAAGGCGCTGCAGGACGCGTGGCGTGGTTTGTGGACGATGATGCATTAACTGACGTTCTCGTAACTAAGAAAAAATACAAATTCTTGGTGAATGTCGACGAACCCAATCCAACTAATGCTGAAAGCTAACAACATGAAATAACTAGCCTTCACGTACTCTCTTAATCACCGTTATTTCAATGTTACAATATTAATGTTTCCACCTTTATTTTCGGTTTCCCGCTCATGAATCAAAGCGAAGGTGAATGGAGCTTATAGCTATCTACTCTAAAAACACCTGATATTCAAGAGCACATCCTGTTCTATTCTCCATACAAAAGCCATTGCGATATGTAAACGAAGTTAAAGAATAAAGTCACCAGGGCAATACCAATCCTGCCGAAATTAGCGCTTACCACCTCTACCGTCAGAATCGGCTCGTCGCGCGCTATTTGCAAAGCTAATTGTGACAAAGAGCAAACGCTTCCAAAGACATCGCACACAACGCTCTGAATAGGGAAGCCCTTCATGCTTTTACGTTCGAAATTGTGTTTGACCTGGGGTATGTATTTTATAAGAGACATGCTGATCTTAAGCAAGTATAATTTATTGCAGAATGCCAAAGTATCCGCGTTGTTCCAGCCATGATGTGCTTGCTGCCACATAATCTGTACCGTAGACGCCATACACACGGCCAAACTGAACGCTAAGATTCTACCATAAATTGGTTTCATTCTTGAGGTGCTGCCCTTCTGGAAATTCCAAATCCTCGCGCCCCAAACCACTTGGCTGAGGACCACTAAATTCAGGATGAACCCATGCAAGCAATACCAGAAGTCGAAGTTGGTGACTTTCGGTCTAGACACATTGCCCGAGTCTTGCGAGCCCTCCAGCCAGCAGAAAAGCTGTAGCGAAAGCGAACAAAGCAGATAGAAATATCCAACTATATTCATCATTACAAAATCTAGTGACATTGCAGCAGCCGAATTCCGTCGCCAATTATGGTAGACTGGTGGGTATGCCGAGATTGACCACGGAATAACATATCCATAGCCTAGTAGCTTCTCGAGATCCATCTAGTTCCCAGTATGGGGTCTAATTCTTCTTTCAATTGACTTTGCCAGTTATCAAAAATGTGACAGTTTTAGATCAACAATTTCAAGGCCGGTTCTAATGCGAATCTTAAAAATAGGATATATAACGAAATATGTAGAAGCTGAGGAGAACTGCTGTGACATCTCAAAACTCCTTTTGGGACAAGGCGATGGTGGTCTTCAAATAAGCAAGTAAATGCTCATGAAGGCGTCCCAACAGAAGTTGCCCCACTGAATTGTCCACAGTAGTAAACTTCGGGATAAAGACATCCTGTATCACCAATAATCTATCACGTCTGTAGCTCTTTGTGACCAAGAGCTCCAATATGGTTTCCTTACATGGAATTGACCTTTGCAAACGCCTGCGTATGCAAAAAGTAAATTAGAATGCCATCTCGTCCTAAACGTAAGCCTGCTGTCCAGATACGGTGTTGTTATCTACCATGTGGTGGTTATTGGTAGCTCTCTGGAACAGATATCTTCCGTCTTGCAAAGAATATTCGTAGTCCTCGTCTAAGCGCGACCTGCTAATTGCTTGCGATGTTTCTTGAGTCGCCGGTGCGAGACCTGTCCGAGGAGAAGCAGGATCCGTTAATATGCCAAAGAGTTCGTAGCAGTATTCTTTGCCTAGCACTCTGACAAGTACTTTGTTTTTTAAATCGAAAAAGTAGCCCAGGGGCACGACAATGATGAAGACCACCGGTAAGTATCGATTCAAGATATCCACGAGCGGAATTAACTTCAGATCCCGATACAGTACTTTCTCAAAACTGCACTCCTGTGTTCCATTACCATGAGGCATGAGCGTAATAAAATTGAAGCAAAGTGGAAGCAATAGTCTGCTGGAGTACAATGAGTAATACAACGCGTTTTGAGGGCTGCTCTGACCATTGGGTATCAAGTGTAAATTCGCAAACTTGAAACAGCTCATTGCATACAAAGACACCAATGTGACGTAAACCAGCAAAGAGATTTCCAACAGGAAGTTCATCCAGCTTTTCCCTTCAAATAGTTTCCCATGCCCGAAGCGAGAAGGTGTTATTTCTAGGAACACCACTAGAATAGAAAGGGAGAGGCACACAATTCCGGAGACCCACTTTCCGATCTTCTTGGTCCACGATACTGGATGGACCTGCGATCCTGCCAAGGTGTGGATGATAACGTCGGATTTAGCTTGGTAATACAGATAATTGTAGTACTCCGTCTTGAAAGCATTGAAACGCTGGTTTATCTTGCTCAAGTTAGGAGATGCTTGTTCGCTGCGAGTTGACGTTGGCAGATGAATTTGTGTTTCATTGACTAAAGACTGTACCTCCAATTTGCATTCGTTGATAGCTTGGTTGAGTGCCACATCACCGTTTGTGACTTCTGGGGTCGCTAAAATCTTGCCTGCGTACTCAGTCATAGCGAGTTTTGCATCATTGGACTCATCGCTACTCTTACTGAGCTCTACAAACAGCTTGTTTTCGTCATCATTCTCAAACAGAATTGCCTTCGGGAGTAAAACCAAGCCCATAGAAAGCAAAATCAATGTGTAAGAAAGCGAATAAAGATGCGAAAGCGAGATAATGAGGGGTTTTAAATCTGCAAGTCCGCGCTTGGCACCAAACTCCAAATAAAAAATTCCAACGGCCAGTCCCACAGCACAGAGCGCATAGAACTTGATATTCGTCAAAATGGCTTTTCGCACACGCTGAAGGATCGTGCTACGTTGTGAGGCGCCTTGGAATCTGGGAACGAGATATTTTAGGTCCAGATACGAAATTAAAACGGGCAAAACAAACCAGCAAATCACAAACTCGACCCAATAAATAGAGTACCACAAGAAAGCCACATTAGGCATTGGATCTTGGGTTTCAGCACCATTCTGTAATGATGTCAAATCTCGAGGTTTCTTGAATTTCGGTTGCTGAAGGGCCTCAGAGCCATTTCCGGAGCCCGGTAGATCAATTGAAGAAGCTCTAGCCGCGTAGAATACGTCAAGAGGCAATAGGTAGGTAATAGATAGCAGAATCCACATATTAATTAGCAACGTAGCCAAAGCAAACGGAAGCGTGTTTTTATGGCGTTTGAACGACAGGTATCTGTTAACAAACACGAAAGAACAGAAAGCAGTAGCCACTGTGGCGGAGAGAAATACTAACCAGAACATTATAGCCTGAGATTGCTCCTTTGGCGATTTAGGTATTGTTTTGACGGTTCAGATATAATATAGTGAGGTCAAGTCTATATTGAAAAATATCTAGTGATTTGATGACATGGAAACTTTGAATTAACAGAATTCAAAAGACTGAGCCTTGGAGTTCAACATGAGCTCTGATTCGGTGAATAAGATTGACGTGGCACAGTTGGTGCCTAATGCAATTGGCATGCTAGTATTCGACGAAAACTGCAATGTAATTGACGCATCCGGGGTAGGAAAACAACGTTTGGAAGATATCGTTGCCATTAACCAAGTAGAGGTGGATAATGAAGGTTTCGGAGCCTTGAAGAGTGCAGACACCCTGGTGGTGGTTTATAAACAAAATGGCAAGACTGTGGCTGTTTATACAGCTAAAAAATAGTCCTGTAATCAACGAATTATATGTATACTAAATTCACACTATGTAAGCCAAAAATTGCAATCTTAAAGAGAGCCTGAAACCGTGTAAAAATGTAAACGCCTACCACGGTGACCCCTTTCTAAATAAATCCACCCCCACCACCTTGATAGCCTTGCCTGCCGAACGGGTCATCAAACTTAGCTCCAGGAAATGGCGGCTTCGGACCGCCAGGTGAGGGACCTCCCCGCAGCGGATTGGACCTGGAGTCATCTGGAACACCCCGAAACGGATCAAATATCATTCCGCCTTGACCCGGTGGTTGACTTCTCGCTTCCGGAAATTGTGTACGCGGATCTTGTAAATTAGGGTATTTTTGTCCACCTGGGTATAAGTCCTGATCCCCATATCCTGTCTGAAATTTCGAAGGATCAGAAGCCAAACCAGGGACCCCGAATGTGCCTGTTACAGGAATTCCAGCTTCCTGGCGGACTTCGAGCTCGTCATCGAAACCTGGCATATCTGGTATGCTTTTGCGGCGATGTGAAGTAAGCTGTGGGTTTCCAAACTTAAGCTTTTCAAGCCTCTGATGTACAGCTTCGTACTCAGAGGGGCGCCCAGCTGAGCTGCCCGACCGATCTGTTTCCTGTAAATTTGCGCCTCTTAAATTAAATTTAGACTCCAAATTGGAATCCAAGTTTGGGGTGTAGTAGTCCATAACCTGAGTTTTGTCCAATGGAAACTCAATTTGTTGCGAATCAATGAACAGCTCGTGCTCATAGTTGAATCTTGCCTGTTTTACCGATTCATCGTCACAGCAGACACTAATCATGCACTTTTCACCGCTGCTGATATCCATAAAGATAACCTCTAATTCATCGCACTTGTCGCCGTTATTTTTTGAGCAGGCAAATCCTCCATTGACATTTACCGTTAGCTCGATGTTCTTCTTAGAGATTTCTTTGAAATGTACGTTGGCATCATCTGCTAGGAGCCCTGAATGACCTAAATATATGAGAAAAAAATGGGAAGCAAGTTCCAGCTTGTTATTCACCTTATCAGTATTCATCTGTGTGCCCAGAACTCTTTCAAGTGCAAAGTGTGAAGGGTTCTGATTGCTCTTTTGCGGATATTATAAATGATTCAGTAGAAGAACCCAACATAACCTTAGTAACGTGATCAATCGTTCATTTGGTATAATATAGTACACAGTATTTAAAATCGGTGCATAGGCGTTCCGTTGCTGATAGCTCTACTTGAGCTCGCTAATTTCTCCATCGCGGGCTACCAAACCCATGACGTTTAAGAACAAGTTCAAGTCTTGATACAGTTTGTCCCGTTGGTAGAGTGCAATCTGTTGTTCCTCAACAGGCACAGTGGACATCAGCTGTTCTGCCCTATTAATGGTGCCAAATATCTCTTCTCTAATCTCATCAATAATGACACGCTGATGGTTAAGCTTCCCGCTTAGAGCAAGCGAGGCCAAAAACTGCCAGATGTAGGATTGATCGTAGAATTGATGTTTGTTTGATTGGCCGACAGTAGCAGAAGTTACGGTACCTGTGGAAGAGGTATCGACCACCTTTGCTGTGTACTCATCCGGCGGGAAAACCACGGCAAGCTTGGTTTCCAATGCTGTGAATAGTTTGTCGTATATTTCGTTCCAGGACGAGGCTTCCACCGAAGATAAGACGTTACCCCTACTCACGTCTTGTTTGATGAGTGCAGCACGAGAAATCAACACTGTTATGAGGTTCAACCCAATCTTTGAAGTGCTGATGAATGACACGTTGTTATTCTTCACCAAAGCTAGGAGAAGTCCCAAAACTTCCAAAAATTCAGCAGAGCTGGATAGGAATGATACAATTATTTTGAGGAACACCGACTGGAAAAGCTCAAGTTTTTTGAGTTGCGAGTCAGTTGGGTCTGAATTGGTTTTGTAAGAACTGGTCACAATAATGTTCAAGTGCGAAAGCTCACTGAAGAAGCAGTAAAGCAACTTGAGCTTTTGATCTTTGTCCAGAAAATTGAAGATACGAGGCATAATCTTCACACCTTTGTCAAACGACAATATAGAGATGAAAGGGGAAACTTCATAGGCATCATCGGAAATGTGCAAAGATTCCCACAAGTGGCTGCTGTCGGTTTCCTTACCACTTCTCAACTGGGCTTCCAGTTCTAAAACCTCAGCATAAACATCTTCAATAAGAGACAAAACAAACTTTCTACCACCAGAGCGGGACAAAACAGCGCGCTGGTCGACAGAGCGGAAGGCGTACGAGGAACGTCTCCGTGCTTTCGAAGAGGCCGATAGCTCAACGCCGTTCAAAGTCTGGACAACATCCTCTATGGCAGAGGAGGTGACGTCATCATCATCGTCTCTTTGTAGTGGAATTTGAAGCTGCCTTCTAGGAGCTTTACTGTTTCTTGCTGAGGAAATCTTACCCAAAACACCTTCTTTGGCGCCATCTAAGTTTTCACGATTCTTTTGAGGTCTTTCTTTAGCTACTGTAACAGCCTTTTCAACTTGACTTTGCATTCTTTGCAATGCCACATCGGCGCGCTTGTAACGACCACCTAAACGATGCCCTGAGTGTTCCAAATAAGCACGAGCGATGAGACCTTTGTTGGATTCACTGACAATACCGCCACGCTGAATGATCTTGTACACTTGGAAGTAAAAATCCTCGTTGTAAGGATCATCGGTGACAATTTGGGACAACTGGTAACGGGTGATGAAATCTTTGTCGCGAGGGGTCATGACACCGCTGTGTCTTAATATCTTGTCAACTTTGGCTTGACGAACTTGCAGCCTCCTGAACTCATCCTGACTCAAAGGCTCCTGAGGTTTGCGCATGGAACCACGACGACTACCTCTTGGAGTACCCTCGCGCAGATCCTGGTCGGGAGTTAGAATTTGAGTCCTTGGTATTGGTGCCGGGTGAGCAGATCTCAATACTTGGGCAGAAGCCGCATTACCTGCTGCTGGTGGTTTGCCAGCGACCAATTGAGAGGGCGAAGCAGCGTGCTGCTGACCAACTTCAGGTGATTGAGGCGTCCCGGAACTTACTTCAGGCATCTGAGGTGGTTGTTGGGGCGCAGAAGCTGGTGGGTGTTGCTGCTGCATAGCCACATGCGACTGTTGGTACTGCTGAGGAGGACCAGCCATGGGCAAAGGCATAGGCATAGGTACTGGCATTCCTTGAGGAATTCCTTGAGGCATTCCCTGAGGCAATCCCTGAGGCATTCCTTGAGGCATTCCCTGAGGCATTCCCTGAGGTAAACCTTGAGGCATGCCCTGTGGGATGTTTTGGTACCCAGCGCTATTAACATTTGGCGGCAAATACGCCTGTGGAGGGTATCCATAGCCCATGTGAGCTGGCGGAGGCATATTGGCGTAACCATGTTGTTGCATCTGTTGGTGCTGCTGTCTTTCTAGCTCCTCCATCGAAAGTGCTTGATGCTGTTGCAGCTGATGGTGCTGCTGGTGGGACATAATGGCAGGCTGGTTGGTCCATAAGGACTCCATGGGGGTAAAGTCCATTCCATCGTCCATGGCGTGCGCTGGCCCAGCATGGTATCCTGTATTCATCACACCAGGTCCGGCAGATGCGGCAGCGGAAGCATACGACCGGTTCACGGTCTGCTGATCTATGTGCCCTCCCGCTTCCGCTTCGTTCTTGCCATAGCCAAAGTCGAAGTCAGCGCCCAACTCCGTGGCATTGCCAAAAGTCTCATCATTCAAATAATCGTCCTCTTCATTTTCGTAATCCCCCAATCCCCGATAAGTCTCCTCAAAGTCCACAGGATTTTCTGCACGCTTGGCGTTACTGCTGGTTTTCTTCCGCGAGTCTCGTCCAGAACCTTCGTTATGGCCTGGACGTGACGTATCGAACCCAAAAAACGACATTTTGGGTCTTGTGCCCGGTCAATTGACTAATGTAGAGGCTTTAACTATAGACAAAGTGCCCGTTGAGCTCTAGTAGATGTGGTTCTTAACCTTTTAACGCTGAAGAACTTATTTAGTTATCTCACTGAGGGTCGTTGATATTCAGAGTTAGGAGCAAATGAAAATTTTCGTGGAAAATCGCGATATACGAGGTGAGGATATGATCAAGCTTTTAATAAGAGGCGCTACGTGATGTTTCGATGCAGGCAAGTAGGCCATTGATACTTCTTGGGATGCGTGGCTATTAGTCAAGCTTGGAGTGCCTTAGTAGATCATAATATTTCAAAATATCATTATATATCATGTTAGACGAGAACCAGCAGATCGACGGTATCTCAGCGTTTGTGCTGACGCGTACCCATTGGCAATGATCCTGATACCTATAGGTCTACCAGGATAGCCTGTGGGCCGTTGGCTTTGTGCCTTTCCCTTAGAACGCACTGCATTTTCAAGCTTTGTTCTTTTAATATACAAGCTTTCTCCCAGTGATTGTCCTCCTCGTCTGGTCGCCATCGTCTTTTTCGTCAAGCTTAGCACGATTTAACACCTTGATGAAGGTGTCGACCCTATACCGCATACGAGAGTGCATGTATGCCTTGGAACACTTAATATGGTAGTGGAAGTAGTTTCTAAACAATGCTAGGTGACACACGGAAGAGAACTGAAGCTCTGGGGTTTGGAAATGGCGTTGAAACAACACAAATGTAATAAAACGTCTGTTCTTGTCTGCCTTGCGACTGGTCATCACGGACGCGGCTTCCAAGGGAGGTTCGTGCGAGAAAAGCACTTGTGGGGCGGATTGAATGCTGCGATTACGCTTCCTAGCATCTACAAATTCTTGCAGGAAGACCTTTCCGAATACTTTATCGGTCTCGTCTTGGAAGAAGGTCTCAAAAATCACCGTGATACGATCATTCGAGGGTTTGATGAAGATATTTTCGTCATCGCGGTACTGCAGCTGGCGAACGGTTCCGGTATCATTGGAGCCAGAAAACGAGGCCGGGTCTTGGGCTTGCTGGCTGAGTAGCGAAAATTCGTGAAATGCCAGTTGGAACGCAAAGCTCATCATATGGATCTTGAGCAATGACAGCTGCACAATCGCATCTGGTTGCAGCTGTGCCAAATCCACAGACAAAGTATAATCGTAACCCTGTTCCGGCTGGCCCACTGGTGCGATTCCGGAAAATCCACTATACTTGCTCTGCAAATGCTCTAGAAACCCGTCGCCACACTTTGAAACACTTTGCCATGCCTTTGTCTTGATACTCAACCACAGCACATTCTTATTGTCGGGGGAGTTAGAAACGTGGAGCGTGGTGTAGTCGAAATCAGAGATCACTCTATCCAAAGTCAATGGAGATCCTGACTCAGAAGCGTTCCACGCTTCTGTCAGGGTTTTTTGCACCAGCAAGTTTTCTGGTCTTAAATGCAACATTGCAGCGGAGATAGTGACGCTTCAAAGAACACCAATCGCTGTTTAGAGATGTTAGTTTTTGAATCTAGATCGACTTTAAGGTAAATGCCCCTATGTCAAAATATCATCATTTACCAAATAAAGCCAGTTATCACAAAAAACGATGAATCATGACGTTTGGGGCCGCCTGAGGGCCCTTGGTTCCATTCTATATACATGCTACTTGCTTTAATTCTACGCCTTTTGGGGCTTTTTAACACCGTATTTAGACCGGGACGTAATCCGGTTTACCACACCGCTGAGATCACCTCCACCGCGGATAACACGATATTTGACACCAGGTAAGTCCTGGCAACGACCTCCACGCACATATACTATACTGTGCTCTTGAGCATTGTGACCCTCTCCTGGGATATACGCCGAAATAACTTTGCCGTTGGTCAGTCTCACCCTACACGCCTTACGTTGTGCAGAATTAGGTTTCTTGGGTTTGAGAACCATAACTCTTAGTACAACACCTTTACGAAGCGGGCACTGGTACAAATCAGGCGAAACAGTGTCCTTCTTGCGTTTTGGAGGCTCTACACCTCTTTTTATTTGATTTAGTGTGGCCCATTTAGGTTGACACGTCGAGAAAGCACGACTTGTTGCAAATACAGGCGATATCGACCTTGTAAGTGACAATTTCGGTATTGTCGCCGGGACAAATAGCCTAGGTACTGCCAACCTGGTAAATAAACACGGAAAAAGCATTGCCTGTGGTCCCTGATAGCAGTGGAGAATCAAGCGTCAACTTTTGTCAGAATAATCAAATTGAAGGTAGTTTAACTTTAAAAATTTTTGAAGTGATGAGTTCGTAAATGATGATATCACAAATCTTCTATGAAACGGCGAGGGTCTCGTCCCAACAAGGACCTTCAATGCCCGCACGAGTGTAATTAATGGCTGCGAATGCGCCAAGCTTTGTTTGTATGTGCTATGTTTAAAAAAAAACGCGCGGAGAAGAGGTCCACTTTATTTTAGAAATTCGTATAGCCTCCAATTCTGTCGTACTAAAAACAATATATGTTCACTCCATGGAAACCCCATATACAGATGGCAGAGTCTATACCCCTGGGACAAAGAGCTTCGCGACCAAGGAATTTTTAGCCTGGCGCATCTCATATCCACATTACATCACTTCGTACCTTACTGTCGTTGACAAATACTGCTTTCGCGCCAGAGATGAGTTTGCTAGCCTTTTCAAGTGAGTCTTGCCCACCTTTCCTAGGAACTGAAAAACGGATTTTCAAGCACACTTTGGTGGGCCATCCTTAAGTTTCTATCGGCATTACGTGGTTAACTTCTATTCTTCCAGAGTAGCGATTACTTTAGTATGCTGCATATATGAAGCACTTACAGATGATCATTCCTGTAAAACATGAGACAATTTCTTCGACATCGTAGCCAGATTATTTGATTAAAGTTCCGTATTGGAGGCGAGTCTAAAAAGTACGGAAATTGCAATTCCTTTACCGGCTGGTACTTCAATGAGCGGCTTACGTGAAGGTTTTCCTACAAATGGCCAATGTAGTTTATTCAAAGTAAGAGCAAGAAGAGCCATCCTACTTGGATCAATAAACATCCATCCTATCGACCCAAGCGCGATTTATGAAAGTAATTGCAAAATACCTAGAGGAGCCAAACAGCATAATCACTACCTGCTGACTCGCTTCCAGAAATTAAGCACGCTTAATTAGCAAAAACAGCATCGGTTGACAACATTTGGCGTGTGTTTGTTGTTTATTTTTCTCTTCACAGCATAATGAACAAAACTAATTACTTGCTTTCTAATGTGCGGAATAAGGAAATTCAAAATTCCAAGATTCGATTTATCCAGTATCGGTTATTTTCAATCTTCGAGCTTGATTGGATATGGGGAAGGCCCAACCTTTTGTGCATCTGAAACCCGCAAACTTGGTTCTCAAATCATTCAACAAACAAAATGCTAGTTCCTCTGCTCCACTTACTGCACCCCTCAATGCCAAAGGAACTTCTTCGCCTATGCTCAGAGTTAATCTCAACAAGTTCCCGAGCTTCATAGGGCACTGTACTAGCAGAGTAAATCGAAGAGTTAACGAGGACACTTACTCAATCAATATGCTCAAACTACCGGCTTCAGGACAAGAGATGCAGTGCCTACGAAATAAAAACATCAAGGATAAAAAAAGTTACTGGGATAACGAGCTGCCCCTCAAGAAGTCAGTTCTAAACCTTTCAGTGTTTGACGGTCATGGCAGTGATCGAATTTCTAAGCTGTTAGCTAAGGAACTACACCATGAGATCGCAGGAACATTACCATCACGGGAAGCTTTCTTTGACCTATTGAGAAAGTACAAGGATGTAGTCGGAGGAAAGTACTGGAGTAAGCTATACACAAAACGCGAAGCATACTTCCACCGTTTCATAGCCAATTGTAATACAAAGCAAGAACAAGTTCTTTTTGAAAATGACAAGTCTGGTTCTCGAATGATTTTCGATACATGGGGCAACATTATAGACAAGAACAGCCTCCTTACAGAAAACGAACGATTAAGATTATTTACTGCATATCTCAATTTCGATTTCAAGCATTGTTGTGATGCATCTAACGTCCCAGAAGCAGAGAAAGTTGATAACAGGCCTGTTGGCGGGTCCACAGCGTCTAGCGTTTTCATTACTCCTTATCACGAAGACGACTCGTATGACGAAACTTTCCTTGCAAATCCCGAAAGCCTACTCAAGCTGATAGTGACCCAAGTAGGTGACACCAAAATTGTATTGTGCGACAAAAATGGTATCGCACATAGCCTTACTAAAATTCACCATCCTACATCATCTCGGGAATCTCGGCGACTGGGAACGAGTTTTCAAACCGATTCTTTTGGCGACACCAGATTTTTGGACAATTTTGCAAATACTAGATCATTTGGCGATTCAATCGGTAAACAAGACGGTTTGTCCTGCGAACCTGATATTTACTCGTATCTCATTGGGAGCACACGGTCACTTCCACATTCTGAAATTAGTAAATTACAGTTTGGCGGCGACGAGTGCTTTGTATGTCTCATCACTGATGGGGTTTCTGACTTAATGAGCGATCAAGAACTTGTGGATCTAATAACAAGTACGGTAAATTTGAGGGGTTTCAAAACGGCTAGCCCACAATTCGTTAGCGAGGAGGTAGTACGTTTCGTAGCCGCCATTGGCGGCCAACAGGCAGACAATGCTACGTGTCTAGTGCTGAGATTGCCTAACTGGGGGAATTGGCCCTGCATTGATCGTACTGGCGCTATCAGAGAGGAAAAGCTACTTTCCGCATCATCTGGGAGCGAAAGGTCGAATGTTTGAGGAAAGGATCAAACAAGAACAAAAAATTGGCCATGCCTTTGGGCTCTCAGCCCAGTAACCGGCCATATAAACTAACCGCAAGGCTGACAAGCGTTAGTGCGGAACATAGAAAACAAGCTCATTTTGAACCATTAATGAGAGAAGAACCAAATGATAGAGAACACGTCACTAATCGAGGTTCCCACGAGTTAAGGTAACCTGCCATTGCGGCAGAAGCTTCCATTCAACAAGATAACAAATTATTAAAAAACGAATAGCTGACTTCGCGCCGCTAACAGGGCCCATCGAAATCATATTATTGCATTTTTTATACGCTTATCAAAAAGAGTTTAGGATGAAAGTTCATCACACTATAAACAAAGGCCATTAATCTCCAAAACGTTGCATTCGTTACTATGTACATGCTTAAGATTCCTTGCATCTATTTATTCTTAGTTTGGGTGTAGCTGAACCTCTTTCTTGTGGGGACAAACTCGCCGAGTTTGCTGCCGACCATGTCTTCTGACACTTCGAATGCCACGTATTCTTTCCCGTTGTGAACCTGAAACTTCAAACCCACGAACTGTGGCAGGATTGTAGCAGACCTCGCATTTGTTCTTATGGGAGCACCCTTAGCAAGAGCTTCTTTTACCGGCAGTGGCACAATGTTGGGACCTTTCCATACCGATCTAGATAGCAAATACAAACTTTGATGCATTTCCAAGTGGCTATGAGGTCTGATAAGCTGGAAGGAAGTCTACTTACAAAGTCTTTCTTCGTTCACTTGATTGTATTGTTGGAGTTGATCAAAAAATTTTTAGACAGTGCTTCGTTGACAAGTTTAATTCAGGCGATGAGCTAACAAATAAGGACGATCATCATACAAAAAGTCCTATGTTTGCAGCCAGATTTGATCCCACACAGGTCCAAGCTACGAATGAAGATTCTAGTGGCTTGAAGACGAAATTAAAACGGGTCATTCCACTAAAAAGAAGCAAAAGCTCTCACGATGAGAGCGAAGATGAAAATGAAAGTGAAGCTGACGAAGATGGCGGCTATCAAGCAGACCAGACCAGCTCGTACAAAGGTGGCATAGACTCAGATGCCGACGTTGACGACTCAACGAAGCCTGAAGAACTACAAAAAACAATTGCTGGCGAAGCGGCAAATGAGCTACAATCGAGCAGCGAAGCCGAGAGCGTTGAAGAAAACGGTGATGGGGAATCGAGGCCTAATAGCTCCGATCAAGCTTTTGGTGATAGACACTCCAGCGTATTCACTAGATTTAAGCAAACGCTATCGATTCAAGAAAAATTGAAACCTTCAGATATGGTAGAGTCGGAGGATGAGAAAATGGACGTCGAACACCACGACTTGGTTCCAATTCCACAACCTGCCATTGTGAGAGGTACTCAGCTCTCTGGAGAAGTTGCCAGTTCCGAGAGCAAATCCGCCGCCTGGCTTAACACTCAAAAAATACAATATGACAACTCGATGGTCAAACCCTTCGCGAGCTACGAAGGTCAACTAAATGAAAAACTGCTCACCAATATTACCACCAAGTTTTCAGAGAGTACTTTCCCCATTCAAACCATCCTTTTGGACACAATTCTGCCGAAACTTAGATTTGCTCAGTCTGTGAATAAAAAGCACTTCCCGCGGCGCGTGGGAGACATTTTGGTCAATGCTTCGACAGGTTCAGGTAAGACACTAGCGTACTCCATTCCGGTGGTCCAGTGTCTTTCATCGCGTACTGTCAATAGGCTGCGATGCCTCATAGTGGTACCAACTAAAATCCTCATTCACCAAGTATTTGAAACTTTGACAAAGCTTTCTCAGGGAACGAGTCTCATCACAGGTATTTCTAAGCTCGAAAATTCGTTGAGAGATGAACATAAAAAATTTCAAAGCCAAGAGCCGGATATTCTGATCATCACCCCCGGTAGATTAGTGGACCACTTACAATTGAACACTTTTTCATTGAAAAATCTTAAATTTCTGATTTTGGACGAGGCTGATCGTTTGCTGAATCAATCCTTTCAAAACTGGTGCTCAATTATCATGAGCAGACTGAAAACTGACAAGGGCGAAGCTCCTCCGGTAAGTGTTATCAAAATGATCTTTAGTGCGACACTGACGACCAACACGGAAAAGTTGCATGATTTACAACTCAACAGACCCAAATTGTTTATGATGGACACCGTAAAGCTGTATCATTTGCCCAAATTGCTTCAGGAGTACAATATCAATATACCCACTGCCAAGAGCTTTGCCAAGCCGCTATTTACGCTACAACTGGTTTCAGGGCTTATTGCTGAAGAACTGCGAATTTTGGTTTTTGTACGCAGCAACGAAGCTTCCATAAGGCTCGCCACGCTGCTTAATATAATGCTGTCGAAGGATGTTATCCGCGGCAAGAATGAAATTCAGGTTACTTCAATCAATTCCAACAACACGAAGGGTCTCAACAACAAGTTAATCAAGCAGTTTGCATCTGCTGAACCGGGCAGCTCACAGACCAAAATATTGGTGGCAACAGATCTTATGTCAAGAGGTATTGATATTGACAATGTTACTCATGTCATCAATTATGATCTGCCCGTGTCTTCCCAGCAGTATGTTCATCGTTGCGGCAGAACTGCCAGGGCTCAGGCCCACGGAACAGCCTTTAATATCTTGGTGGGTAAAGGTGAACAGAAATTTTGGCTAGATCACATTGATAGTGACCTGAGTAGGGATATGGACGGCTGCCACACAAGGCCTTATGAAGAGCTAGATTTGAAAATTGGGGAGGAAACTGAGAGCATTTACCGCGAGTCTTTAGAGCAATTGAAGACTGAGGTAGGCAGTAATTAGATAATATAGAAGTCTTTAAAGTGTAGGCTATGCTTGCTTCGGGTGACGCCCACGATCACACAGATTCAAACTTTAGATTAAATTGATATTTGCCCGGTCTGAATGCCGCCCCATACATCTGGAGAAAACCATACGCTCTTCCAATCTATGCTTAAGAAGTTCTTGCATTGCCAAGCCCATGAATTTCGCAATTTAAAGCCTGTCTGGGTTTGTTTTCAGCACTATTTACTTCAATATAATATTCTCTACCACCAAAGATGTGAAATTAATCAAGAATACAAATGGCGTATGAATATGCAAGCACTTATCTCTTGCACAAGAGCTACAATGTAGTGTGAAGAATAAGTGGCACTTCAGAAGTGTCTTCAGAAATTTAAGGCCAAATGTTTGTTGAGAGAAGCAGCGGCTTAAACGTGAAGTGGCTAGATAGGCTTCGAAGTGAAGAGTATTTGCTAAGGGGCTAAAAATGGATATTTGGAGACTTGCGTATGCGTCTTCCTAAAGATTTGGCGTAAGTTGTTGTCAACGACATATTGGTACAGAGTGACAATGCTAGGACTGGATTAAAACCGCTGGCTAACCAAGTTGGTTAGCACTCAATGACTACATGCTCGACATAGTTAAATAGCATTGTTAAGTGCTTTGTAGAAGCCAGAATCTCTAAGTTGAATACTCAATTCGTGCAATTGCTTAGTACAAAATGATAAGATCGATCGTAGAAGATTTCGCTGTCTATAGGTCCATTAGTTAAAGATTGCACTAAAAGTTCGGCGAAACAAGCAAGATAAGCCACCAGAGAGCTCGAACCTCAGCCTTACGGCTTCCGGGATATTAATGAAATGCCCAGTAAATATCTCTTAACTCCCCCGGAAAGTTTGCACTCCTTGACAACTGATAGTCGGAAGAGTATATATCCCGACTTTGATCCATGGAGGCACACACCAATTGAGGATAAGATATTCCTAAATTTTGTATCCAAGGGATACTACAATAGTGCGAGAGTGAACTTCGAGAGTATCTCGTCAAGGTCGTCTCTACAAGAGTCGCTGCCGGCGGTTTCAGGGCTACTTGCTGACCAGCTTTCCCAGGTCGTGTGCATCCGGGAGGACCAGGTCAACAAAATATCCGCCAAGTCACAGGACTTGAAGACAGCACATGCTGCCTCTACAGATCTCTGCGGTCCTGGGTTTCTTCTACCTAAGAGGGTTACTCTTACGGATCACAAAAGAGAGCTCTGGCTCCAAGAGATTAGTTCCCCCCATTCATCTCTCGCAGAGACTGTCAAGACGATTCCTCATGGACTGAAAAGACGGCAGCTTTTGGAGCAATGTTGCTTGAAACAGATACCCGTACCTCGGGCTATTTGGTTGATTAAATGCTGTTATACACTCGAGTGGAAAACTTTGGTCAACAAACAAAGTTTTCAAGAACGCGACGAAGCGTCTACAAAATTATTGAAGGAATGGTCAGACACGATGGCACATATCCTCGAAAAGTTGGTTTTCGAGATGACACAGTTTTATAATGAACCTGTAAAGCTGAAAAACTGGAGACAAAGGATTGCATACTACCTTAAACTTCTCGGTAATTGTTACTCCTTGGGTTTAATCGAAAAGGATGTTTTTCATCACTGGCTGGTGGATTTCGTTGGTAAAATCGAGAACTTTGAATGCCTCCCGATGACCCTGCACATCTTGACAGTTTTCTGGACTGGAATCTTTCCAAAAAGTCAAGAGCACAATAGTCCCCAGCAGTTGTTTCAAATCAACAAGATGACCGAAGCTCTGATATACAAGTATTACATGGTATCGACAAGCAAATCGATGATAAACGATGAACAGTACCTCATTAATGATGTGAAGAAAAACAACAAACTATCAATGATTATCTCCAGTAGACTGAAAGACCTTATAGTAAAGATTTTCGAAGAACAACCGATGGAAGCTTTTGTTTTTCCAAGCAGCAATTGGGAGATCTATAAAAATTGCCTTTACAAAATTCTACAGGTCGACGGCCCCCGAGATGGCTCTAAAAGAACAACAGAGACGTCAAAGAAACTCGAACTGATAGTGTATAGAAACGACTCACTCAAGTTCAACACGATCCTTCATGAGGCCGATGAAGACAGATCAGTGTCAAACAACGAACAGTTTAATGACCTCGAGAGTATTTTCATTCCAAAAAAAATCTTGAAACTTAGACATATCGACTACAATCTTACAAAGTTGCTGGACGGCAACTCTGCCGGTGATGATTGGATGAATTTCGCAGACCAGAAGCTCACCCGAGTTGACCAGCTAATTCAAATGATCCTTTGGGCTGTACATCCGTCACGAATCCATCATTACGAGGCATCTCAGTTAGTCGCGAAGCTTTTTCTTCTTAAGATCAATATCAAAAGTGGTCTTATGGAATACAGTTTAGAGGATAAGGTATGGGCCCTCATTTTCGTTTTCGCCAAAATTAAAACGGAAGACTTAAAACTCGTTGTTAATTTGCCTAGACTCCACCAGCTTCTGAACGTATTTATTGGATACGGCCTTCTAAAGGTTCCCACTTACATCCGAAAATTGATCAGTTCGGGAGTGTTGTACCTACCTGAGTCAGGCGACAAATTCTTCCATTGTGACCTTCTTATCAATCTCAAAATTTCTCCTGTGATGAAGAGTCAATACAATATGGTTTTGCGTAACGTCATTGACGCGAATCCTCAATACTATGAGGATTTCAACTATGATAGGCTCATGGAAAGCTTGGAGCAGGCGAAAGCATGTCTATCTGAGGGAAAATTTGACTTTGTAATAAGAGTACCCTACTGCATCAAACTAATGGCTTCTGAGTGGTACTTAAACCATATTTGCTCTACTGTAAATGGGGTTTTGACACCTGTCACGAAAAAAGACGTCATCGAAAAGTTAAAAGTGTTTTGCATCAATCTCGAAGTCTATCATCAATTTTACAAATGGGTAGAGTTTATCGTTTATCACAAACTGCTTGAGGATCTTGAGGCTTTGGAGTGTTTGGTGGATATTTTGATTTATTATGACAAATTGTTTTCGCTACTGATCAACGATCATATTCTATTGATGAAAACAATTCTGCACCTTTACTCTGATAAATTACTCACGGATAGTCCCGAGTCTCAAAGTCTAATTCTTTTGAGCGAATTCTGGCATTTCTTCATGTCAAAGTTTCCGCTTGCTCTGGAAATTGATATAGATTTGCAAACTAAACTTTTAGAGGCTAATGAATTCGAAAAGGCTAAAATCGAGAAAGTACTGAAGCAGAAGCCAGGCACAGACGAATTCATCACTAATTATGAGAGACACACCGCACACACGCTTCAAAATGACAATGATGACGCCTTCAACTTTCCTAGCATCTTTCAGCCTAATTTAAAAATTTTGTTAACTTCTGTGGTGGAAGATGAAATCAGATGTGCAAGGAAAATGATGAGAGTATTGATGATAATGAATTTGTCTGAATACAACAAATTTATGTCCATATTTCTGAAAAGGAAAACTGCCAGTGACGAAGATTTGGCAAGGCTGGTATCACTCAAGATTTTATCTCTAACTTTGATTCAAAAGGTTTTAGGAGAGTACTCTCTCGTTACTTTACTCAACACAGTGTTCTACGAGCATGGGATGGCCTTTGAATTGCAAAAAAGAAGTTTTACGAGGCACAATATCAGTACAGTGATGAATGCGTTTTGTGATACTTCGCCAAATGATTATAAAGAACTCCTTAGTGTGTTAGTCGAGTATTGTTCTTTCAGATCAGCGCAGGAACACGCTTTGAAGATATTCGACTCCATGGAAACAAGAGGGGATAATAGCTTACACTCGTTTGCTGAAGAACTGCTCACTTTTGGGGTTGGTGAATCTAATTTTGCTGGATTACAGAATCCTTTGACCAATAAAAAGTCTGCTCATGTTATCAACGATGATGGTGATATGACAGACGACGAAGTGGACGTTATTGATCTTTATTCAAGACTCGACTTTACGAATTTGTGGATATTTCAAATCTTGACTTGTCACTACTTAAGGCAGTCTCAGGGATCCGTAGAAAGCCGTCAAAGTCAAGCACGATTCGTCTTGGATAGTATCAGGATGACAAACTTCGACCTTACGGCCTCTAAGTTATTCGATAAAGTAACAAATGCTGATGTCCTCCAACAAACTCTTCAAACTTTAGAGGTAGACTTTTTGCGTGGAGGAGCGGAACAAGATTCGGAACAAAACTCGGAGCAGAATTCTCAGTATCATACCATCATCGAAACTATCATCAATATCTCCAGAAGGCTCAACAAAGTTTTGGCTGGAAATATACCGATAAGCGACGAATCATTCAATCTCTTACAAACATGCTGTCGAGAGTTTGCCTTAAAAGATTCGAATGACTTGAGCTCTTTTGAATTCAGACTAGACGTCTTTCTCAAGATTCTTATTGTGCATCAGAAATTTATCATAAGGGAAGGCCTTCAAAATTCTAGGTTGTTGCTGGAAAACAACGGCGAGTTTTTGAGAATGTTGTGTCTTCTTTTTCACAAAATAGGATTCAGCTTAAAATTGAAGCTGTTGCTGTATGATGTGTTGGCATCGCTAAAATCATTTGTTGTCTATTCCTCTACTGGAAAAACTTCGCAGCTTTCTTTCAAGGGGCAATTAAAAGTTCCTCAAGAGCTTCTTGACCTACCCCCTTTCAAAATCACTTCGTTTATGCCGGATTCAGCATTGAGCAGTGCCGAAAGCAGTGTTGCGTTAGGGATCGAAAACATGGCCTCAAATAAAATGATCGAGAAACCTACGTTTTTTATTTACAATAAAAAAATGGAAAGATTTGAAACCAAGTTGATAGTGAGACCTTTCCATGTATTGAATAATTTTCGGGAAGAGGGTTCTGATTTCAATAACACACCGTTAAACATGTGCCTTTTCAATGCATGCTTCGATAGACGAAATCCAACATAATCGAGATTTGAACGTGGAATGCTCTCATCAACTCTACTTTTTAGATAGAGTAGCACTCCTTTTGAATTTCATGAGCAGAATAGGTCGAGTATTAGAACAATAAACAATTGAAAAGTATTTTCATAGCCGTCTTTCGATTTCATTATAGTCTATCTATGTCAATAGTGGTCTCTACTTTTTTGAGGGTCTTTCGAACGCATTTATCTACTATAGTTCGCAGATTCAATTCGTCATCGTTGGAGCCGCCAGAAATGCGAATTCTCATAAGCACAACATATTGCTCAAAGTTTACTTTGATGATCGTCAAATCTTCATAAGAGAGTTGACAGTTAGCGCGAAACAGAACAAGTTCTTCAATGGACTCCTTAATCCTGGTCTTGACATAACTGGGATCACATTTTTTGTTTTCCGATGTCTCCATTTGGCTGTCATCATTCACCACTGCTATTGGTAAAGTACTCTTTGATCTCAAGAGGGCATTTCTAGGAGGTTTGTCGTTACTGCTTTGCGCAACCGTGTTGAGCATGAGCCCATTCAGAGATTCCGTAGAAAACCCCATAAGTAACACAGTTGAAGTCCATTTTGCGATTTTCCAGCCGTACGTTATAATAAAGATCGACAACAACCCGGTTGCAAAGTAATCAGATGAGCTTGTAATCTGGGAAATCCACGGATACAGTGCGAGGTAGGCAATATAACTGCAAGTAATGATTGGATTCTTGGTTTTGAACTTAGTGTGCGGACTGGAATGAAATGTCTTGAAGAGTGTAAGCAAAGACAATGCAAAGTTTGGTAATAAAATTCCGTACCATAGTTGAGAGTCTGCCGCGGTGTGAAGAAATGGAGAGGAATGATGAGAATGGGGTATCTTGGGTGCAATCTCATCGTGCTGTTCATGGTTAGCCGTCTCTACAAACAGTACTATAGTTTCTTCAAGGATGTGGAAAAATAGATCTAGGCCCATGAAGCAAAGTGATATGGCCAGCGCAAAGCTAAGAAGCAAATCCATCCGATTAAGACCAAATGGGAAAGTTATTGTACCTGTGTTCCAGACTTGGAATTGTGATAAATTTTCGACCACAATGATGGCGAGGGACCCTATGATATCATAAAGGATGAAATGCGAAAGTGTAATGAAGTTGTTCCAGGACTTAGAATGGCCCAAACGAAATGTAATTATGCAGGTTAGAGCTTGTAAACCAACTAAGGTGAGTTGTACATAGCCATTTGGCCATGGAATGTTAGTCCTAAGATCCGCGAAATCCGGAATAGGAAGCGACTTGGCGATGTTTAGGGGAATTTTGACTTCTGGTTCTTGAAAAAAATTCATCGACACGGAAGAATGCTTATATCGATGACCTTTCCGGAATGAGGTTCTTGATGCAGAGCCGCCAGAGTTTGGAGGTTGCAATGTAGAAGACGAGAAATTGAAGGGTTTGTCGAGAACCAGCGAGGGCCGTCTCTTGGTGCGCTCAGGAGAGGGCGATCGGTTCAGTCTTGGGGGCGATTTGGAGCGCGAGGACAACGGCGGGAGTTTGGGTCCTGGAACATACTTAAGCGAGTGTCTTCTGCTCTCTTGGGATACGTTGTTTCCACCAAAACTGAAGGCTGGGTTAGCGATCAGACTGTTACTAGAATTGTTCCCCTCGGCCACTGAATAAAAGGATAGAGGCCTTTGCGGTGTGCGACATTCTGTCTCAGACTGTGAATCAGACCCTCGCGGTTCTTCCTTGGTGTGATCTTCCTCGACAATGCAGTTCATTCTTTGGGGTGTTGATGAAAACTCTCCAAACGGTGAATTGATCGGAGGCTCCTCTTTGTTGCTAACATGTGGCGAGCTCATGGCCGATAACAGCCGCGATAGTTAACTTTTGAAGGGCCAGATGTCAGTTTTTCAAGTTCAAGAATTTGACCACCAAGGTAACAAGAAACTGAAGATTGACATAAAAGATACCACCGTGGCCTGTGACGACACTAAAGTAATGAAATGATAATGCAACGAAGTGTCAAAATATCCACGAGTAGGATCACGGAATTCATTAGAAGTGTTTATCTGCTCAATGCTCGCTTCAGGGTTGCAGAAAATGGGGAATATATCGGAAATTTGGTGAGGAAGTTCACCGCAACATTTCAAGTTGGGAATGTTCGTAGTCAAGTTTGAACGTCCCGAGAGGTCGTCATGAGCACCTGGGTAAAATGCACTTCAAAATTAAGATCGTAGATAGATCTTTCTTTGGCAACGTGGACTGCTGGAAGTCGTTATGATCATTTTAGTAGATTTATAACAAATCCCGGGGCAGCCACATAACACACACACGAGTAGGATTTGCGCAACGGGCTAATCAACGAAACAAACGACTTTTTGTTCACGAGCCGCTAGCACACATATCTTGATGAAGTGAACTGTTCCAGCGAGCTATATACGAAAGCGCCACTGGTACCAGTTGATGAAATCTCTATACTAAAGTCCTTAGTGGTCCCTGCGGAAAAGCTGAATGATCGGCGCCTGTAGTGAACTAGTGTGTATTGCCGTCGACACAGTTTTTCGCGTAATATTCATCTCATCATAACCACAAAATCCGTGCGACACTCAACCGCTCAAGTCAAAAGCCATTAACGACATTAGTAATGAGACGCTATTTCGTTACGAAACACCAGCGTTCCAACGTAAAAGTAGAACTAGCTCAAACAGCCAAGTAAAGTGCGTAATCAGGTAGTATTACGCCATGTGTTTCCAAGAACTAGCGTTTACGCGATATTCTCCCCAGAATGATTAGAAGCGTTAACGCAAGTCAAACACTCCACATAAATAGCCAAATTGGAATGTAGAGGACGCCGAGTAAAGCATTGAAAAGTGCTCAAATGAGCTCTTTATCATATTTTTGCTTGTTGATTCGCTATCTCAATGATTTTATTAAATATCTCTTTTGATAATAAGGTAAACTATTTGGAGCTATTCATAAAAATAAAACCACATCGCGAACAAGGGCATTTGAACCATGTTGGGCCTCAGGGGTGTGCCAATTGGCCTAGTCAAGAGTACTGGTCGTCAATTGTTTTCTAGAAACCAGAGACTTATTTCTAATACCCTCGTTCTCTCGAGATTAAACTCCAGCCTTACTCAACACGAGAAAGTTGTAGCATTTAGCACAGAGCAGCTGAAAGAGGCACGCGAAACAAGATTAAAAGGACTGGGACCGTATGTGTCAAAACTTCCAGCTAAACTAATACCTTATGCGGAGCTGATGCGTTTAGAAAAACCAGTTGGAACTTGGTTGTTATATATTCCATGCACATGGTCTATCACAATGGCAGCTACGCAAACTATGGCACCAGTATCATCAACCCTATGGACCCTCTTTTTGTTTGGAGCAGGTGCATTGATCATGAGAGGAGCAGGCTGCACAATTAACGACCTGTTGGATCGTAACCTCGATAATAAGGTGATCAGATCTGTGGAGAGGCCAATTGCTTCCGGTAGAATCACACCAGGAAAAGCTGTCGCTTTCTTAGGTGCTCAAACAGCTGCTGGGATGGGCATCCTGTCTCAATTGCCGGCTGAATGCTGGTGGTTGGGACTTTCGTCATTGCCGCTAGTGTTCACTTATCCACTGTTCAAAAGATTTACGTACTATCCGCAAGTAGTACTGAGTGCTTGCTTCACATGGGGTGCTTTATTGGGATTTCCCGCGATGGGTGTGATAGATTGGTCCGTGATGATCCCATTGTACACTAGTAGTTTCCTGTGGTGTATGACCTATGACACCATCTACGCTCATCAGGACAAGAAATTCGATATTAAGGCAGGTATAAAATCTACTGCTCTTGCATGGGGTGACAAGAGTCGCAAAATCTGCACATTGATGTCTGTAGCACAAATGGGAGCACTGGGAACCGCGGGCATCACTAGCGGATTGTTCATGGGGCCTGGTTTCTTGGCAGGGATGGCAATATTTGGATATAGACTGTTTTCCATGGTGCGCACAGTGGATCTCGATAATCCAGCAGATTGCTGGAAACATTTTACCAGTAACATCCGCTCGGGACTCATATTTAGCGGTGCGTTGTTAGTCGATTACTTCCTCGCAATCATGGGATTATTGTAAAGTTATGATGATAAAAACGTATATACAGGGACAATAACTCCCAAAAAAAAAAGATGCAGTAGTAATTTCATTTGCGTTTCATCACAATGTCCTTGGCCTTAATGGAGTGCTCGTTGAGCTTTGGTCTGCCTTGTTGTTCTAGTATTAGCTTTTGTAAAGAGTTGGAGTCGTCGACAGATGTAGAGGATGCCTCTGAGAAACGTTCCAAGCTTTTCACGGAATCCCCGCCAAAGAGCGCGTCAAAGACCCGTCCATCCTGACCCCAAAACTTGCCGGATCGATTCACCACGTAGAATCGATCCCACGAAGGTCGCTGCGTATCTGTAAGTAAAAAAGCGAACGAGCCTTTGTCTTCCGTACCTTGGGGACCCACGCCGGTATAGACTTTTGTCTTTTGATTGCGCACAATTGTGTTGAGCGGTCTGATTCTGGACACTGGTTTCCCAGAAAACATGGCCCGCCGTGTCAACTGGCATGCACCATTGGGAAGATATGTGACGCCTGTGGCTATCCTGGAAGGTACATAGATGGCTAGCGCCGATAGCGTAAGTGGTATGATGGAAAGCAGAAGGGAGCCTGCGGTCCTGGCCAAGAGCAGCAGTGTAGGATGCTTCCACCAGCTTTCCGGTGGGGCGGAAGAACGTTCCTCATGGTACAGTTCCAAAGCGCTGGAAAGCGACCAGTCGGCAAAAGAAACCCCATACACAGCAAAGACGCCAGCAAGGGTCCAGGAACCAAGTTTCACGAGCCGGGACGGCGTGTAGACGTATATTTGTTCCGGGCCTGTCTTGGCGACTAGAGCAGCAATTTTGGCCGAAAACGGTACCTTGGAGACGGCATAAAACCGACTACCCGGGATTCGTGCCCTTGGCAGACCCAATCGTAGCATGGGAAGGCTTGAAAGTACAACTTTGGGAGAGCTTCGCTTTGAATTTTGAGAAGTTTGACATTTTTATTCGAATAACGGTCTTTTTTCAAGTTTATTATTATGTATGAGCTGGTTGGTTATGCCAACTACATAACAAAGTAACACACACACACATAAATAGACATTCCGGGTTCCTGTTTAGTTCTTGAGATCCTCAATAGCCTGTGTCAGGCCTCTGACGTCTGCGCCCACGATTTTGCCCACGGTCTGGCTCTCCTTGGCCAGCAGAAAAGTGGGCATCGCGCTGACACCGCAGTATCCGGCCACGTCTGGCGCTCCATCGACGTCCACACGGTAGAAATCCACGTCTGGGTATTTGTCGCTGAGCTTCTCGAAATGCGGCGCCATGGCTTTGCAGGGTCCACACCACGTAGCGTAGAAATCGATGACACTGAGACTCTTGTTGGACACGGCTTTCTGGAAGTCTTGGAGCGAGTTTAGTGGGGCTACGTTGGACTGGAATCTTATCGCGCGTAGCGCAGCGGAACGTGCCACTATAGGGCGCTGGAATGCTAGCTTGAACATCGTTTGAGGTAAGCAGCTCGAGGAAAGGTGCAACAAAGGGAGATCGAGCTTCGAATTGGCTATTTGATCTTACTCTCTCTTAAAATCCACGCATCACTTTCCACGAAACGGATAGCAAACCGACCAGAAAAGCGACTAGAGATCTGAAATCTAAAGAGCTTTTCCAGTCGACGCAATCGCCCCGCGCATATGGCTTTATTCCAGGCCGCTTTGCTGGTGCACCCAAAGTGCGCCAGCGCTAGTGTATGTCTCGTTATCTCTCGTTAAAAGTTTCCTATTTACATATCGTGAAAGACCCATCCGCTCTGGTGGACCAAGTCGCGACCCTCGTCGCTCGCCAGTAGATACTGCTCAACGTCTACCCCGTACTGGTGCCAGGGCACGCTGGGGATCGGTGCCAGGTCCTTCCTGCTAGAACCATTGCGTTTTCTTACCCTGCCACCAGTCTGTCGTACCGAGTGCTTCTCCAGTGCGAAGATCTCGCTCAGCAGCTGTCGGCTGCCCATGAGCGTGTCGACGAACTCCTGGTAGTTGCGGGTCTTGTCCAGCTGTGCGTACAGCAGCTGCAGCTGTTTTGTCAGGTATTTTTTCTGCAAAACCTGGTTTTGCAGATGTGCTTGCGTGTGCTTTAAAAGGGCGTAATCTGAGTTTTCGTCTAAATCTTCAGCCTGGAACTGCCTTACAAAGCGGGCCGCTGGCATTTCGACAGGCTTCTTGCTCATGCAGAAACGATTTGTGAGAAGTGTGTGAGAAGCCGAGCGCGCTTTGCCAGTGTTGTTCAGGAAAACAGATGTTGTTTGTTGGCAGAGGTGGCGTATAGCGAATATCTTGACTTTTTTCACTCTCGCTGTATTGGGAAAAAAATTGGTTCTGACGAGGTAGAAGATTCGAAAACTGGAAAATATCGATGTTTGTTGGGCGTGATAGAAAAGCTGGCAGGCTGAAGAGGACGCAGTGATTGAGAGTGGTATGCGACGATTTGAGACAATGTAGCAGCTGGAGTAAAGGATGACGAACGGGGGAGAAAAAACGGATTTCGTAGATAGTGCTCATCACTGGACGTCAAGAAGAATAATTGCGGGATCTGTGACGAGTAGCGTGAGAGTGGGAGTGTGGTTGGCCACTGTAGCTTGGGAGCTGGCAGCACGCTCGGGAAGTTTGTTTCGGAAATTTGTTCCGGAAATTGTAGTGTCGTTTGTCCGAGCTGAACATTTGCGGGACAAACGGCAGTTTTGAGCAACAGGGCTAACAAGTGCTCTATCGCGACTGCTCCTTTAACATGCTCGCGTAGTGGTGGAACACCGCTCTGAACACTTCTTTTCGCAGATCGGATCTCAGCAGATGAGTCTGCGTCTGAATACTTTCCTCTCTGGCTTACAGTAGTCCAATAGTCTACTTTCATCCCTCCTACAATAGCTCAACAGCCCACTTACCTTGCTCGCTCTTCGCAAGCGCTCCTGAATGCTCGCGTTAGCTGATTCCTTTCCATTTCTTGGTAACGCTCGTAACTATTCAATAGTTATTCCCCCAAATGTTCACAGTAATGCTTGCAATTGTCTAAAAGCTCATGATTTCTCAGTAGGACTTCTCGCTGTCAACAGTTTCTCTGTAACGCTCGCAATTGTTCAGTTGTTCTTCCTTTCTCGCTGTTCGATAGCACTTCCCTCTCGCCAAATCCGATCAAGAAAATCTCTGGAACCAATACGGGTCAATACTTAAACCACAATCAATATTAATCGACCCCATACCCTCAGATACTGCACCTACAAGCATGCTCAAAGCCCATTCTCTTCATTTCAACGGTCAATTAATGAGCTCGTTTAATTACATAAAAAAACCATATCTAAAATTTCAATCTCATCAATGACATTTTACAACAAACTCGACAACACAACGCCCAATGAGTGTTTACACGGCCTCTACGACCGCACCGGTCAACATCGCAGTATGTGGAAACCTCAGGATTGAAACGGGGCTTCGTTTCTTGAGCGAATGCGACTCTCATAGCTTTTGTAGTGTTACTCGCGTGCTCGAAACATGTAAAGCTACATCTACTAACCTCACTCCTATGAACAGACCCTCAAATACTGGGGTAAAAGAGACAAAACCCTAAATTTGCCCACAAACTCTTCTATTTCCGTTACTTTAGCACAAGACGATCTGCGTACTTTGACTTCTGTCGCAACAAGCAAATCGTTTTCTGAGGACCAATTGTGGCTCAACGGGAAGCTAGAATCTCTTGAGAGCGAGAGGACTCAACATTGTTTGCAGGACTTGCGTAACCTGCGTGCCAAATTAGAATCTGGAGATTCCAGCCTACCACCAATGTCCACTTGGAAATTGCATATTGTTTCTGAGAATAACTTTCCTACCGCTGCCGGTCTAGCATCTTCGGCTGCCGGTTTTGCCGCTCTAGTTGTCGCTATTGCCAAGCTGTACCAACTACCGGAGTCAGCGTCCGAAATCTCGAAAATTGCTCGTAAAGGGTCCGGTTCCGCTTGCAGGTCGGTGTTTGGTGGCTACGTTGCGTGGGAAATGGGGTCTGAAGCCGATGGTTCAGATTCAAAAGCTGTGGAGGTGGCTCCTCAAAGTCACTGGCCCGAAATGAAGGCCGCTATCTTGGTAGTTAGCGCTGCGAAGAAAGACACCCCTTCCACCAGTGGTATGCAGCACACTGTTACCACTTCTGACCTGTTCCAACAGCGTATCCACAACGTGGTTCCTCAGCGCTTCGAAGAAATGAAGAAGTCCATTCAGGACCGCGATTTTGACCTTTTCGCTGAGCTCACGATGCGCGATTCCAACTCATTTCATGCTACCTGCTTGGATTCCTACCCTCCCATCTTCTACATGAATGACACATCTCGCCAGATCGTCAAGTTGTGCCACCAGATAAACGAGTTCTTTAACAAAACCATTGTGGCCTACACATTCGACGCGGGCCCCAATGCTGTGCTGTACTATTTGCAAGAAAACGAAACGAAATTGATGGCTTTCATTCACCAAGTCTTCCAACGCAATTCTGGCTGGGAATCCAAATTCTCCAAACAAGACCTAGCTGCCTTCGACAGTTATTTCGCAAATACCGTGGCTCCGGAGATGGCTTTTGATCTTGATCAAGATATGCATCAGGGTGTTTCTCGCGTGATTCTAACCCAAGTAGGCCCTGGACCACAAGATACTAACGAGTGCCTCATTGACGAAGCTACTGGCAAGCCTAAAAATTAAAAAAAGCGGGCAGTGATTAGACCAGTTCCTTTAAATCTGCATAAGAAATCTAACCGAACATTCTATTCAGGACCCTGCTTGGTGCGGCGATGCTATCAATATATCGACAAAACCTTAATACTCAACTCTATGTATTGTTAAGTATCGCTATTCAGCCGAAGTGTCGCATTGGCCAAGAATTGAGTAAATCCTTTCAGTAAGTCAGAGATTTGGAATAAAATACGTATTTAAGATTTTGACGACTATATTTTAGTTAAAAAAATGCCCTCTTTGATAAGAGCAGTGGCATCCTGCTAGCAAAAATGAAAAGAAGCTCCACCTTAGCTCTATGGTAAAATGGAGCTGAGTGGTGAAGTGCCGCAATACAAGGAACTTCCACATTATATGGAGGGTGGCGTTAAGAAACGAAAGAAAGCCGTCAAACAGTGCTTGTTCTGCAGAAAACGGAAATTGAAATGTGACAAGAAGAAGCCCACTTGTACAACTTGTGTGTCTAGAGGACTCGACGAGTGCACATACATGGAGCAGTATGGCCCCGAAATGACATCTAACGAACTGTTGAAAAAAACCCCGAACTTGGAGCTCCTAAATAGGATTACGGTTCTCGAGGAAGAGTTAAAGAGGCTCAAAAAAGGAGACCCCGACTGTGCCAAAAATATCAACCCTCTTGCCAAAGTGCAGGTAGCTATGTGCAAGGGTGACCGGATTATTATCAACGGTTGCACAAACCTTAAAGTAAGTATGTCAAACAGTAAGATAAAGTTTGATGCTTACTTTTCTTCGGTTTGGCGGAAAATAAAAGAAGAACGACGTCGTTGGAAAGCCACGAGTGGCTACTCTACTCTCAAAGAAGTAACGTCCATAGAGCTAGCTCGAGATACCTGTCTGTCTGTACTAGACGCTCTGTGTCGGACCTTGCCATCTTACGAAGTAATCGAGCAGATCTTAAAGCGATTCTTTGAAAATAGCCATTCCGAAGCATTTCAAGTTCTTGATCCTTTGCTGGTCTTCAAGAATCTGGAAGAATGTTTTATCAAAAGTTCCAGGGATCCAATAACCGGCACGCACTCAATAGTGCATCTCATCCCTGGTTTTAAAAAAAACTACTATACTATTGGTGTTATCATTGCAATAATGATGTTAGACAATTGCTCCAAGCCTACCTCTCAAGCCATGGATCACTTTAATAAGTTTCTACTATCGAGTGTAACAGCCAAAGTTTTCTTTGTGGAACGAGCGCAGTACCTCTTCTTGTATAGACTGCACATGATGTTGAAGGGTTTAACTGGCGGCGATTCTAGCAACACTGCTTTGATAACTAATCTCCTTTGTTCTACGGCTCTTCACTTGGGACTTCACGCGGACATGAAAAAGCTGTTCACTCCCAGTGAGGCGTTTCATGGCGGATCAAAGTTCTCAGAAAACTTATGGTTATGGACCGTGTACGCTGATATTGAAACGTCGATAGGATTGGGAACTCCGAGTCATATTCCCGAAGTATTTTTGAACTATGATTTGATTGAGGACAAGAACTACGGAAGCACTCCACTTTTGCAAAAGATGGTGAGACCATTGAGACAGATTTTGCATGAAATACACGAGAAAGATAAATTGCCTGATCTTGACGCAATGACTGAGCGAGTCAGAGGAATTCTTCGAGCAGAATTTAGACCTATCGGTTTTTACATGGATCGTGAAAATTTAAAAACGGTCCTATACACCGAGGTTGACCTAGTACTTCAACTACTCACCCTTCTCAGCATACTATCAAGTTTGAAACGGACGTACTTCAAAGATTATCGTCCTAGCGCTGTCAACAATATTTTGCAGTATTCGATACAGTCTGTATCTATATCTATTAGCGCAACGGAAGCCTATTTTGACTTAGATAAGGCCGATACCAGCAAACGCAAAAGGCTCTTAACCAAAGGAATACCCTTCAATCTCAAAAATGCGGTTCTCCTGCTTCACAAACATTTTCCTCGAAACATTACAGAAATTTATCTTTTGCTCCAGTTGGTAGACACATGGGACACTTTCGAAGAGTTAAGACTTAAGTATCCGCTATCTCCAACATTTGATCTTCCTATGAGCACTTTGGATCCCATCTCCGATCACTACGTGTCGTCTAAACATGTTCACGAATTTGTTTCTAAAGTGGTAGGCCGATGGGAAAGTGAAGATAACGCTGACATGGTCAATTGTCTGAAACGCTTTTCATATGGATTTGTCATAATTTGCGCTATTGAAAGATCGAGCAGAGAGTTGTTCAATCACTTGTATAATAGGAGACAATCCTCCACGACCTCCGCCTCTTCTTCAAAAACTTCTGGCGGGCCAGATGGGACGGACGATGATATTTTGCGTAACAATCAGACAGGTGCCGAATGGTCAGACGAGATGCTCAAGACTATGGCCGACGAATTTTGGTGCAACTATGACACGGAGTTAAATGGCTCGCTAGATATTAATGAGGAACTTCGCCTGGCTTGACCCGGCAAAAAATAGTACGAGAAAATTGAGTCTAACGGAAATCCTGGCTTAATCTGAAATAAAACCAAACTTTTAATTTATAATGACAACTGTAATTCCAACGTAGCATAGCTGAAGCAATCTCTATTACCAATTATCAGCACCGAAAATATTGATTGCCTCCAAATGCCTCATTACCGGATCCACTGGCAATTTAAGCGATTAGAGCTTCAAGTCGTAGTAAAACAAGACTTCTTATCTGCAATAAAAATATCAACTCTAAGAACTCCGTTCAGAACCCTGCATAGTGCGGCTGTGCTTCCAATATTAGTGGCGAAACTCGAAAGCCTCGACTATAAATATCGTTGATTATCGCATATCCACCAAAGTACTTTCCTACATAAGTGAATGAATCGTTTCAATAGTTGGTGAGTCAGAGATGCCCGCTCAAATACATACTTAAGATTTTGACAATATATATTAGAATGAAAAATGCCAAGCCTAATTTCCTCGATGAACCTTTACAGCGTCAAGCTTGAAAAGATTAGTGAAAATCCCAATCTTAGCTCTCCAGCAACATGTCTCTGAGTGACGAAGTACCAGATTCTGCGGAGGATCCATATTATATGGAAGGGGGCGTCAAAAAAAGGAGGAAAGCCATCAAACAATGCTTGTTTTGCAGAAAACGGAAACTAAAATGCGATAAGAAGAAGCCCATGTGTACAACTTGTGTGTCTAGAGGTCTTACCGAGTGTGTATACGTGGAACAGTTCGGCCCTGATCTGACTTCTTCTGAACTGTTTAAAACAACTCCGAACTTGGAACTCCTGAATAAGATCAAGGAGCTTGAGGAAGAGCTCAGGAATTTGAAAGAAGGAGGCCCCAATCAAGGCAAAGGTATCAATCCACTTCCCAAAGTACAGATAGTTATGAATAAGGGTGATCGAACAATATTTTACGGGTGCACAAGCCTTAAAGTGAATCTTTCGGAAAGTAGGCTGAAATATGACACTTACTATGCTATGGTTTGGCGAAAAATAAAGGAAGAACGGCGTCGTTGGAAGGCCACGAGTGGCTACTCTACTCTCAAAGAAGTAACTGCAATAGAGCTAGTTCCAGAAATTGGCCTGTCTGTGTTAGACGCCATGTGTCGAACGTTACCATCTTACGAAAGAATTGAGCAGATATTACATCAATTTTTCGAAGACACCCTTTCAGCAGGATTCCAAGTGGTCGACCCTACATCGGTCTTTAAAAACCTGAAGAAGTGTTTTATCACAGGCCCTAAGGATATGATTACCGGCACACACCCAATAGCACATCTCGCACCAGGTTTCAAAAAAAACTACTACAGTATTGGTGTCATAACAGAAATAATCACATTAGTCAGGTACAATGTGCCTATTTCACAAGCCATGGATTGCTTCAACAAGTTCCTCCTATCCAGTGTAACAGCCAAAGTGTTCTTTATAGAACGGGTGCAATACATTTTTTTGAGAAGACTATACATGATGGTAAAGGGCCTAACTGGCGGCGACCATAGCAATACTGCTTTAATAACTAATCTTCTTTCTTCTACGGCCCTTCATGTCGGACTTCATGGAGATATTAAAAAGTTGTTTGCAACTGGCGAGACGTCTCATGGCGAGCCGACTTTTCATGAAAACTTGTGGCTATGGATTTTATATGCTGATATTGAAACCTCAACAGCATTAGGAATGCCTCCTAAAATCCCAGACGCTTTTATAAACTATGAGTTGATTGAGAGTGAGAGCTACGGGAGTGTCCCACTATTGCAAAAGATAATAAGGCCAATGAGACAAATATTGAATGAAATTCACGAGAAAGACAAATTGCCTGATCTTGACGCAATGACTGAGCGAGTCAGAGGAATTCTTAGAGCAGAATTTAGGCCTATAAGCTTCTACATGGATCGTGACAAGTTAAAGACAGTCTTATTCACCGAGCTTGACCTTTTACTGGAACTAGTCACCCTTCTCAGCGTGTTTTCTAATTTGAAACGATCATACTTCAAGGACTATCGCCCAAGCGCTGTCAACAATAGTTTGCAATACTCCATACAATCTGTGGCTATATCCATAAGCGCAACTGAAGCCTATTTTGACCTAGATAAGACTGATGCCTGCAAACCAAAAAGGCCTTTGACCAAAGGAATTCCTTATAATCTTAATCTTGCGGTCTTCCTCATTCACAAACATTTTCCTCGAAATATTTCAGAAATTTATGTCCTGCTGGGGTCGTTGGGCACCTGGGATACTTTTGAAGAGGTGAGATTCAAGTATCCGCTATCTCCAACATTTGATCTCCCAATGGGCTCATTGGATTCTGTCTCCGATCACTATGTGTCGTTCCAACAAGTTTACGAATTTGTCACCGGGGTGATAGATCGATGGGAAAGCGAAGATAATGCCGACATGGTGCGCTGTCTAAAACGCTTTTCATATGGATTTGTCATAGTTTGCGCTATCGAAAGATCGAGTAGAGACTTGTTCAGTCACTATTTTAATAAAAGAAAACTTTCATGCACGGCTTCCAAATCTTCTCCTTTTGCCTCCAGTGACGTGGCTCGTGCGGAGAACGATTTTATGAGCACTGATCAGACAGGTGCCGAATTGTCGGACGACATACTCAAGACCATGGCTGATGAATTCTGGAGCAATTACGACACGGACATGAACGGTTGGCTAGTTGATAACGATGAAGAGCTGTACTCAACATGGTTCAAGCCTGCAGAAAACAACCTAAGAGACTATGAGTCTAATGCAAACCTTGACTCAATCTAAAATGTAAATAAACTTGTAAATAATTATAACTGTGATGTTAATTGAGTATCACCGTAGCAATCTTGTACCATCAACTGTTGAAATTCAGTGATTTAGGTGCTACCTTTTAACTTCCTTTAACTTCCTTCAATTTCTTTTACTATTTATCTAAAATACAATGAAGTTCTTGCTTGTTTATTCTTTGACTTCTCTAATCTTGGATTCCGTGTTTGAACTTTTCTTCGTATATTTCCAGATTCTTGCCTTACAATCGCCGCTACCAGTAGCAAACACGCCATATTCGGGACCCAAAGGATGATCATTTGCCACCGCAACAGAAATTACCGAGTTCCTATGACCCTGGAGCATCAATAATGGGTTTCCCGAGGGTGTATCCCAAAACAAAACTCCGCGGTCTTTCGAACCCGAAAGTATGTATTCATCGTTTTGTGTCGTAGCCACAGACAAGACAAAATCTTTGTGACCCGTGTAAGTAACTTCGCTAGCTGCGATGTTGGCCTTCCCCTCAGCAGCCCCCCCATTAGCACTTCTCAAATTCCAAAGCTTAACTGATCTATCCAATGAACCAGAAACGACACCATGACCATCTCTTGTGAATACAACGCTGTAAACTGAGTCCTTGTGTCCTGTTCCTAGTTCATTTTCGGAATCTAGTCTCTCTACTAGAAAGCCTGTCTCTGAATCCCAAATCCGAACCGTTTTATCAAGAGAGCCTGCAGCTATCAACTTCCCATCGCCTGGAGATACTGCAACTGTTGTCACGCCATCTTCAATTGACAAAGTCAAGGAGCATTGACCAGTGCGAAGATCCCATATTCTGACAGTTCTATCGCCAGAGCCTGAGACAAGCTTATCGCCAGATGGGAAATAATCCAGTGAGTATATGTCTTGTTCATGTCCTTGCAAGGTCATAACAATTCTCCTAGAGGTCAAGTCCCAGATACGAATTAGTTTGTCTTCCGCACCCGTGGCCAAAAATTTCCCATCTGGAGAGAAACAAACAGATCTGATGTATAAATCCGATGAAGCGGAGGAAGAAACAGCAGGGTTCGAATCGGTACCTTCGGCTGGCGTGCCATTGGCACCTAAGGGGGCGGAGGCAACATCCTCGGAAAGCCTTGCCACAAGCTCACCGGTAGAAACCTTATAGACCTGGGTAGTTTTATTGCAGCCAGTAGCCAAAAATTCGCCATTATTGCTGAATCTCACACAGCAAACCACTGAAGAGTGATCTAAGGAGACGTGAAGATCTACATCCAACTCACGAGGCAGCGCAGGATTGTACAGGATGTAAAAGTCACTGGTTTGCTTTTTCAAATGCTGAGGAACCAGTTGAGAGTCTAAGTCGAGTAGAAAAGGAGGAATTGGCTTGGCATGAGAACCGCGCTGGTGTGGTGGAACTAAATAGTATTCTTGGGGTTTGGTTTCAGACAGAGGTGCAGTTGTAGAGTTAGAGGCTGTAGGTGGTTGGATTGGTGGGGCAGCCACCGTAGGAATGGAGGCAGGAACTGGCGCAGCCGTTTGACTTTGAGGAGGAACGGAGTTAGGACCTGGCACCTGAGTTGGAACAGTGGAAGCCGCAGGAGTCACTGGAGTCACTGGAGCAGATGTAGTTGGTGGCAGCGACGTTCCCGCGGATGAAATTATCGGGGCATGTCCTGTGGACGTCAGTTTTTTCATATGTGGTGCTTGGTTTGATGTTGATTGCGACGTTTCTAGAACTGGTCTAGTTCCTGTAGGAGTTCCGGATGTGTTAGAGATGGGATTGAGCGTCGGAATGAGTGCAGGCTGTGACGCTTGAGAGTTTAATATGGGTTTGGAAGACGCTGAGACTGCCGAAGCGGCGGCAGCTGCTGCAGCTGCTACTTGCTGTTGTTGTTGTTGTTGATGTTGATGTTGTTGTTGTTGCTGGGCCTGCTGAACTTGCTGCTGTTGTTGTTGTTGTTGCTGTTGTTGTTGTTGCTGCTGTTGCTGCTGCTGCTGCTGCTGTTGTTGTTGTTGCCGTTGCTGCTGATGATGAACCTGCTGAGCCTGCTGAACCTGCTGTTGTTGCTGGTGGGCTTGCTGGGCCTGCTGAACTTGCTGCTGTTGCTGCTGTTGGTGTGCATGCTGAGCATGTTGTTGCTGCTGAGCGGCAGCAGCTAGTGAAGCCACTTGACGATCACGCTGGTCCAACTCCAGCTTCAAGCGCCCAATTTCCTCCTCATACGCGTCTTTCATTTTGCGGTGGGTGAGCTCCAGCTCGTACACAGTGTTTCTAATCTGCTGCATCTCAGCAAGTTGCTGGTTTATTTTGAAGTCATAGTCCTTTTGGTTTTGCAAACGGTATGTATTGGCCTCTTGCGAAATCTGACCGAATTCTTGACGAATCGCCTCCAGTAGCTCGTTAAGCTTGTTTTGTGAAGCGCTCACAGCACCGGATGCCATTGAAAAGGATTGAATTGAGATCTTTCACAGCTATTTATCGCGCTTGTCGAGGGTTTCCAAGAGACTTTGAAGACTTGCGTTGTTGTTAATTTGGATAATTTTTGATGTTGAGCAAAGAAAACACTACGTATATGATGATAGTTCTTGTTTGTGACACTTTACTCACGAAATGATCTTACTGGCCACCTACATCGAACTTCGAGTTTTAGGCAGGAATGAGCTGTTATTGACGTAGCTTTTTTGGGTTTAATTTTTGAGCTTTTTAGTGTACAGTTTGCAGATATTACAGTTTGTTAGGCCTCAAAAATTAAGCGAAAGCTGCCTACCGTAGTTTCGGGACGACAATACAATACCGAGACTCAATATACTGCCAGGAAGGAGTTATATAGCTAAAGATGTCTTTTAAGCACATTGTTGTTATCATTTTGACAACAGAGTTAGAATAAACAATCTTTCGGGGCTATCCGCTAATTTCGCAAATTTGAGGGCAGTATTTCCCTTCTTGTTCTAACCAAATCGGAATATCTTCCATTCATATAGAATACACTGTCTCCCAACTTGGGACGCACGGAATATTGATAGTTATTGGGATGTGAGTGGTCGTTGTGTTGGAAATGACATAATAGTACAAAGTGATATCGTTTGAAGCAGAGCGCCAAATGATAACTAGGACAGGCTATCCAGGTGTCCTAGACCTAATGATAGCGCCAATACTGAGAGAGAGACCAATGGCTGATACGAACAACCACACTTGCACGCCTAACCCGATCATGATGCACATCTCAAAATCACGCGGATACCATTGATTTGTTTTGGGAGCACGACATCGATCTTGGACGGGAAACCACGGAGCAATAATTACAACATTTATGTATGAATTCAACGTAATCCCAGTTAATTATGGACGAGCTGAAAAAAGTACCAGTAAGCTTTCTCTCGCTGAATCAGGCTCATGTCAATAAAGTCAACGCTTATCTTGGCATATTTGCTAGACCGTAAAGACTTAGATACGCACCACACGCACTACTCAAATAAGGTGTCAACCACATAAAAGAAGTCTCGAAATCTCATGCCCTTACGCGTATTCTATCCTTCTGAACTGCCTTATTAATTAGCTTGCTGTTGGGTAAAAGCCGAGAAAGCTGGAATATCTACCTTATCTCGTTTTATGTTCGGATCTGATCAAGATAGGCTTTTGACCCCGTCGTATTATACTAGCAACATTGCATAAATCAAACAACTTCTGGTTCACAACGAGAGTTGTTTAAAGCAGCTATTGCACACAAAAACGGTTTACAACTGTGCGTCGTTAAGCAAGGGACTGTTCGAGCACATTCAACTTTTTCACAAGCAAGTTGTCAAAAGTGAATAGAAAGAATGATTCCTAGCTGCGACACTCTTAACGCGGATAATTTTACCCCAAGCGACGCAAGACGGCTAACATACAGACACAACCCATGGAAGACGTCATAAGACAGAAAATTGTGATGTAGTTTTAGATACTAGCCCCAAAGATAGCAGCGTCTCTGAAGCCTGAGGCTCGAAACATATCTTTCATGCTCCAAGCAGACGACCTAAATCCTCCGCTCAATCAGGCGCGCGATGTCACTTCAAAAGACTTCCAACATTTTCTAATCTCAGAATAGGGATATTTTGCTTTAGCTGTAGTTCCAAAACCTTCTTTGGGTGCTTTAAAGCCAGTCTTACGCTTGCACAGATACATTTCATTTAAGCTACATTTCAATTCTAAAAACAACGATTTTCGAAATTCAAAAATCAGCTCTGGAGACAACCAGTTTGAAGTGACTTTTGCAATTGCAATGGATGTTCTATCCCAGTACAAAGCATCGATTCAAAGCAGGCTTGATAGCGCAGATGTATTGGTATCAAAATTAGTTCATGAGAACCGTATGCTAGCTCAGGAATCTGAGAATAAAGATGACGAAATCGAATCTCTGAAACGCCAATTGGATGTCATGAAGAAACGCAATGAGGAATTTGAAAAGCGAGCGAGTGCAGCAGAAGAAGAGGTTGACATTGTGAGAGATTTATTTGAGCATCTGTGCGGAGTTAGGGTTCACAAGTCTTACGAGGATGATTCAGGTCTTTGGTTTGATACATCACAGGGTGGAAGGTACGGCGTTATGGACTACAAATTGGGCTTCGTGAAAGCAGGGGGTGAAGTAGGAGGTACCGAAGTGGTGTACGTTCCACTGCTGAAACAGAGAAGTGCCGAAGAGCTGCAACTCTTGCAGAAACAGATACCGGGATACTTGTTTGACACTTTGAGTTTCCCCTTGAGATCTTTGAACCAGTTCTACATGAAGCTGGGTAGATGTTTAGGTAAAGCTGAAAAAACAAGTGATTAAACTCTTGCTTCGGTTAAGGTTTTGAACATCAGTGCCTTATCGGAAAAGGCGAAAACTCTGACGAGATGTTTGCCAGTATGGGTCGATTGGCAGTTTCTTGCGACTTGTCATTAGGTGACAGTGCGGGAGGACTGTCGGATGAATACGAGAATGCCGACCTCAGCACATTTTTTACCTTAGAATTTTCCGGCGCCAAATGCTAGCTCATCGGCCAACTTGATGTTTGATCGATCAGCATCACAAAATATACGCTCTAGAGTCCAAAAACTAATGGAAGTTGAGGGATCATTCTGAACTTCATGCTTGCCACAGAAGTATACCACAAGCCACATGTGCGCCAGCAAGCATCTTCCTCTGTCGAAAGGCCATAGGACCATCTTTAGTTCATGACTCAAAAGAGCGCTTCTGATGCGTTCATAAGACCGCCGTTACAAAGGCACACTCCGCTATTGCTAGTTAAAGTTGCATTTACTACTATCAATACGTCAAATATGTACATTTATCAAACCAATTTGGCATTAAGCTTCTCGTGGATTAGTTCTGCAATACCAAGTGCCCGTCCTTCTCCACCACTAGTTTCTTGAGCAGCTCCTTTTTTTCGTCTTTGTTCTTGACAGACTTCAAGATCTTGTACAAGCTGGTTCCTTTTTTCTGGGTGAGTAGAGATCTCGAAGCAGTTTCTGTTTTCGTTTTTGACTTAGATTCGGCTTTCTTCGTACTTTCCTTCTCGCTGGATTGCGGCTTCTCTTCCTTTACCGTAGGTTGAGGATCGCTCTTCACCGGTTGTTTCGCTTGGGTTTTACCCTTCTGCTTTTTACCTTTGTACAGTGCTCCTTGGTACCTCTCATCCTCACTTATACATTGCGTGTGAGCTTTATATGAAACTCCGTCATCAAATGTGACATTACAATCAATGCAAGTATAATAAGCTTGAGGACATCTGTAATAGTGCTTCTCAGTATTTTTCTTGGGAACTGTGTCGTTGCAAACCTCACAGTTGAATGTGACCATTATTAACTCAAGGAAGCGTCAGAGGATTTGTAGTATTACTCAAGATTTTCAATTATGGATGCGATGAGCTTTTTTACTCGAGCTTTTATTTTTCTGGCGGCAGAAATTTTTCATTAATTTTTAGGATGAGGAAAAACGATGTGTTAGCCGCCGTCGTTGTTTGGAAAGCCTTGTCGAAAAGACCTGTTGTTAGCGCTAGCTTGCTTGATGACGATCCGAACCTCTTTACCAGATGAAGTATATTGAGGCATATCTTTGTCAGTAGTAGTTAACTTGCTAGACTGGTCATTTGAATCGTTCGTTTTGTGTCCAATCAATTCGAATTTGGATCTAGGATTATATTCATCTATCGTAGCTCTTTCCGCTATGATTTTGATCCGTTGGGTGGAGTAACTAGTCGGTGCTTAAATTGACACTGGCTGAGCGTAGGAATCTTTCACAATCTCGAATATGGCGAGATACACCGCATGATACATCAGGCATTGCCAACAAAGTCGCTTATCACCCACCTTAGAGTATCGTCTGGTATCTGTCTTCGATGCTAGATGATGCCTCGAATAATTCATCAACCGATTAATGTTTTGCTCATATCACTTTGTGCTATTCTGTCATAGTTTTGGTTCCCATTCCGCTCTACCTCATTTTACCATTGAAGCTTTCTAGCATTCTGCCAAAATGATATGTTGACCGCCAGGGAAGCGATAGTAGATGGTAATCTATGCAATTCTTAGTAGCAGGCAACATTTTGGGACCGAAGAGATGACATGACCATTTTGTCAAGCTGTTGTGACTGATTTGAACCGCAAATAATGCTCCTACGATCAACCAAGAGTTTGATACTCGGAAGCTCATTTACAAAGATCATTTATCTACTGTAGCGGGGCAGCGTCTTACTTATATATATCAACTAGCTCTGCTTTTAAAACGACTCAGAATGCTGCATCCCACGGGAAAACCCCGAGATGGTGGCGGCGTAACAGTGGGATTTTATAGATTTTCTCCTAGTGATCCACCACAAAGCGTTCAAGATAGAAGTCGAATGTCTCAGAAGATATAGGTTCAAGTTTTGGAATAAAAAGTTTAGATAAATGACAGCACTAAACATTATTGTGATGTTTTATCCGGGGCTTTCAGAAGTGGGGCACCGCGTCAATAGAGCATTTGAAGTCTCCGATGAAATTTTAATGTGCCCCACAGCTTCCTGAACTAACAATTTCCCATTGGCATTCAGTATAGACAATATTTGGCTCTTTTTGGTTAGAGAAAATCTCTAAATCGGGAACTGAAACATGTTGTACAACGTTTTCATAAAACACATAGAAGCTTCAAACCTCAAATGAGTCTCTTCCACTCATCAGTCTACCATATTGGTGCGGAAACTGTATTCACGCTTGATTCAAAGTCTGCTATAATTTTATAAACAACGCATGAGAGCGCGAAGTTTGCAGCTATGCAGACTTAATACCCTGCCCTTTGTCCAGAAATGATTAGGAAACATTCACAGATACCTACAGGTGGTCGTATTTCAATCTTCTCCTCCTAAACTTCTTTACAACCTTTGTGGAAACTCGGTGTCACTATATCCAAATTTGACATCTACGTTTCCCATCAATTATTTACTGCAAAAGACACATTCAAGCACCCACATATTCTCCAAGCTTATAATAAATCAATTGACCTACTAGGAGCCCAAAAGCTCCTGCGATTCCCATCTTCTGGTTCCTAATTCCCCACTATAAAATCAAAAATAAAAATATATACCCTCTTGAAATCCTCGAACTATGGCGGCAGTATTTTGGGTAATTGAACCTTGCTTGGAAGCCAACTGAGGTCTCTTTCCTCTTACTTCCGGTCGGTTTTACTGTTTTTCAGTTTTCAACATTATTTAACATGGGACCAATAGGGGTCTTAATTCTTACTCGATCTCAATCATAAACTAACAACGCCTCAAATTTGAAAATAAGACTTAAGACACCCACACAAATGGCTTTAGAACCAATTGACTATACTACACACTGCAACGCTATTGAGGAAGCGTTTCAAAAGGTTGTTCGCGCTTCGGATGCTGAGATTGACTGGTTAATTCTCACACCAAATGGCCAAAAACAGTACACTCCGGATAAGACTGGAACCGGCTTCAGCGAGTTTCTGGGATCCTTCGAAGACTCCAAAGTAGAGTATGGGCTTGCACGCGTGAGTCCTCCAGGCTCTGACGTACAGAAGCTCGTTTTGGTGGGATGGTGTCCTGACAGCGCGCCAATGAAGATGAGAGCGTCTTTTGCGTCTAATTTTGGTGTTGTTGCAAACCAGGTTCTCAAGAGCTACCACGTTCAAATAACTGCACGAGACGAGGATGATTTAGACGAGAGAGAGCTTTTGGCCAAGGTCAGCAATGCTGCCGGAGCTCGCTATTCGATCCAAACCGAAGGCCCTACTAGAACCTCTTCTGCTCCTAAGCCGCGTCCTTCTGCACTTCCGAAGAAAGTTGAATCAGAATTCAAACCAAGCGCAATTGCCAAGCCTGCGGCTGCCAAACCAAGTTTCTCTAACACTTCATCTAAAGCCGTTTCTAATTCCGCTGACGACGACTGGGATGAACCAGAGATTGAGGAGCGCGATTTGCAGTCCAACCCACTGAAACCAAACCAGTCAACTTATAAGCCGGTAGGAAAAATTGACCTGCAAAAAGTGATTGCCGAGGAGAATTCCAGGCAAGACCCGCGCCTAGTGAACACAGTCAAGTCCGAGACTTCTTCAAAACTGAATCCAAGAGATGATATTGAAAAACTGAAGAAGGACTCGAAAGCGCAAAGAGATGCTGAGATCAAAAAGTACTTAGGCACCAGACCTCACACCACCACTCTGCCTAAGAAGAGTGATGATATGGTTGTAAAAGGTTTCCAAAATGAAAAATCCCCAGCCCAAATTTGGGCCGAGAAACACCAACAGGGACAACCAAGCACTAACGTAAAGCCTGAAACTTCGGACAGTACTGAAGAAAGTGAACCTGAAGAGATGGAGTCACCAACAGAAACAGAAGAACAAGCGCCACAAATTTCCGACGTAAAAGCCAAATTTGAGAAGGTGAGTATGAAAGAGCCTCAAATTATTAAACCTGGTCAGGTTAAAACTCCAGTTCCAGTTACTGAGGAAAAATCTACCCAAAGTGCTCAAAAAATGCCCATGGGTCAACCTCTACCAGGAATGCGTGCCGAAATTGATACTGATTCCGAGGGAGACAACGACGACTGGGATGATGAAGACGAAGAGCAGCCCACCCCAAAACATGCTCTGCCAACCAAAACAAGCACTGCTCCTACGCCTGTGCCTGCAACTGCGCCAAGACCGCAAGAACCTGCGAGAGAAGCTGCTGCCCCAGAGCCTAAGGCCACGCCTACTCTACCTACACGCACCAGCGAAACCACGTTTGTACCCCCACCACCACCAAGAAGAAACGTTCCAGCTACTACGACTCCTACGCCTGTAGAAGAAACTAAACAACCTGAACCAGAAGAGCCAGAAGCTCCTGCGAAGCCTGCTGTTCAAGACGAAAATGAAGAAGAACTGCCATCTGCAATTGCTGAATATGACAATGAAGCTGAGGAGCACAACGAATTGGGTTTTAAAGAGGGAGATAAGATAGTCAATATCGTTTTTGTAGACGATGACTGGTGGTTGGGTGAGCTGGAAAACACCGGTGAAAAAGGCCTTTTCCCAAGCAACTACGTACAGTTGCTCGAATGAAAAAAACCTCTCGACAACAGTCTGGGATTTCTTTACTTCAAATAAGACTCAATTAAAAGTTTAGATAGAGCTTTTTCTCAAACTTATGTAAATCTTGATGAAACTGTTTTATTCAGAAACCGTTTGAATTTCTAAAAAAACATCAAACCAAAATGAAACATCTAAAAAAGGCAGATCTCTAATCGGTGAATGTCTACATTTCAAATGTTTGAGAACATACAATGCATTAAATGAGCCCGTGCTTATTCTTTTTTTATGCAGCTGTCATCTAGAACTCCTTGGGGTGCGTACAAGAGCTTATGTGCAAGAGATGTGTTCGAAAACTGCACTATGAAGATTTAAAACAAGAAGCTTGTGTGTCTCATGTTTACAATAGAACAGAGCAACCAGAACGTTATATAAATGAGTCCTTTCGGGCTGTCGACACTCTGGGATTATAACGTGTAGTGCACTTATTTTGTTCAAGTTTAGTCTCAGGTATTGACCCAACCAGGAAATATGAAATTATCAAACCTCTTGATCAGCGCCAATACGGCTTTTGCTGCTCTCTATCCAAGGGTGTATTACGGAAATAGCAGTTTAGCGCCAACTTCAAAAAGTACTTCCCTGGACCTTACCACTGTGACCCTAAGTTCTGTCAATTCGCAAGGTTCTACCAGCACGTATTCGTCTGAAGCCCTTGTTACTTTGACTACGTTTACTGTCGGAGATGCAGTCACAATTGTTACTACTTGGTGTCCCATGCCTTCGAACTCGGATATATCGTCAAAAGTTTCGGCAACGTTGTCATCAAGCGACGTAAGTTATGTAACAACTGAGACCAGTACTTTTACCTCAGAATCTATTTCCACGGATGTGAGCGGTAGTGAACGCTTTGTTACAGCAACAAGCCTTCACACTTACACCATTACCGTTTGCCCAACCTGTACTCGCCACCCTGCATCAGCTTCTAACAGTGCTGAACAGAAGTCCGACTCAATCACGTATGCCTCATCAACAAAATCTTCACTGATTGAGAGTTCCTCCTCAACAGTGACCAGCCCTTCTTTATCGTCTTCAGATAGCGGTACTGGGACAGCTAGTAACTCGGGTGAGTCTAGCACTCAATCTACAAGTACCCCATCAGCAAGTGAAGTAACAAACACTAATTCACATTCTGCGATCTCATCGGTGCCCGAATCTTCGAAGTCTAAATTGTCATCATTATTGCTGAGCTCTTTTGCAACTATGTCAACTCAATCAGTCACCTCCGGGTCCTCCCTGGTATCCAACGCAGGTTCTTCTTCTTATCAATCAAGTCTACCCCGAGAATCTAGCTCAAGTCCCTCCAAAGAATCAGCTTCGTTGTCTTCAACGGACGTTGAATCGACACTATCCGCAACTTCCTCACTCCGTAGCACCGACACTGGTTCGCCACTGCTAAGCTCCATGTCCAGAATCCTCACAACGATCACTTCAAGTTCCGTTAATAGCGCGAGCGCTACTATCTCTACAACATTTATAGCCGAGCAGACTTTGACCACGGCTACTGTCAACGGGGAGACCACTGTTTATACCACTTGGTGTCCTTTGGAAAGCAAGTCGACAGCGTCGACTCCTGCGGAACTAACAACTGTAACATCCAGCTCAGTGAACAGTGCAAGTTCCACAGTGCTGACAACGTTTGAAGCTCAGAAGACTCTGACCACGGCTACTGTTAACGGGGAGACCACTGTTTATACCACTTGGTGTCCTCTGGAAAGCAAGTCGACAGCGTCGACTCCTGCGGAACTAACAACTGTAACATCCAGCTCAGTGAACAGTGCAAGTTCCACAGTGCTGACAACGTTTGAAGCTCAGAAGACTTTGACCACGGCTACTGTCAACGGGGAGACCACAGTTTATACTACGTGGTGTCCTTTCACGTCGCAGCAAAGTTCCGAGCAAAGCATCATCACCGTTACTTCGACCTCCGTCGATAGTGCAAGTTCAACCTTCTTAACAACATTTAAGGCTAGTCAAAGTCTAACAACTGCAACAACAAATGGTGGAGTGACTGTGTACACAACGTGGTGTCCTCTCGACTCTTTACCAACTTCCTCGCAAATCATCACAACAGTCACTTCGACAACGGTTAATAGTGCAAGCTCGACCGTGCTAACAACGTTCGAAGCTCAGCAAAGTCAAGCGACTACAACAGTGAATGGTGTTACAACGGTCTATACTACATGGTGCCCTCTGGAGACTCGTTCCACAACCTCTGTGGCATTCAGTACTGTTCTTGCAAGCTCCATATCTTCGAGCTCAAGTATGCCGGAGACCCATGTATCGATCCCTTCAGCAAGTACCACTTCTGGCACTACAAGCGATTTGATTTCGGCTCGGTCCTATGAATTGAAGTCTTCTCTAGAATCAAAGACAGGCACGGTAAGCACTGAAGCATCCGAAACTCATCAACTTTCTAGCGAACAAACCACCACAACACCACAAGCGTCACTTACTCAAGCTTCGAATAAGCCCTCAAGCGCCTCTTCGAGTTTAAATGAAGTTACAACTTTATCGAAAAGCACTATTGTTATCTCAACTCTTGTGTGCTCTTTAGGCCGTTGCCATTCTACTCTCCTTTCACTTACCCAACCTGCAACTTCAGAAACTAAAGTTGTAATCACTTCTTCAGTCTCGCTCTCTTCTGCTTTTCCAGCCTCTTCAGCACCAAAGACCAGCGCCACATATTCCGTCCCATTGACGACAACTGACACTACTACTTGTACTGAATCCAGCTGCATATTATCAAGTTCTACACCGTTCACTGTCTCTCTAAAGAGCTCTTCTTTGCGTCTTTCTTTTACGACAAGCGGGCCTAATGAACAATTTTCGAGCTCCGCCATCACACTTTCAACTTCAGAGGCAAGCTCCTCAAAATGTGATTCCTGTCACGTCGAATCCAAATCAACAGCGACGACCTTACAGCCTACAACTGATTTCGTCAGCGTCTCGTCACCACAACTCTCGTCAACATTTTCAATTATTACCACAACTAGCGGAAGTGTTATCACAAGACTATACAACATGGTGCCCTCTTACTTCGGCTCCATCTTCGAGCACTTCTGTAACGCAGTCAACTAATACTGGTACCACAACACTGGCAGCAAAGACATTTTCCTCAACCTCGACGGTACCAACGGGTAGTGATGTTCAAAGTAGTCAAACTTCGAGCACTGAAACAACATTAACTTCAGCACACACCAGCACTTCAACTATGCACCCCGAACTCTCTTCTAGTTCAACCCAGTCTACAACTCATTCTATTAGTGTTTCGTCGACACAGGTCTCGTCACCACAGGTCTCGTCAACATTCTCAATTATTACCACAACTAGCGGAAGTATTATCACAAGCTATACAACATGGTGCCCTCTTACTTCGATTCCATCTGCGAGCACTTCTGTAGCGCAGTCAACTAGTACTGGTACCACGACACTGGCAGCAAAGACATTTTCCTCAACCTCGACGGTACCAACGGGTAGTGATGTTCAAAGCAGTCAAACTTCGAGCACTGAAACATCATCAAATTCAGAACAGACCAGTACTACAACTACGCATCACGGAGCTACATCTGTTTTGAGCACTTCAGAGGCATCGATTGAGTCTAGTGCATCAACTCTTACACCACGCAGCTCTACCCCTACCAAGCCTGTGACAAGTTCGCCTGAAAAAGGTTCTGATTCAATAAGCAGTACCACGACTGTACCGTCTGCGGCTACTACTGTTGTTAGCTTTTCAAGTACAGGGTCTTTGCCAGTGATTTCATCAGTTTCGTCAGAGGCCACAACTTTCAGTCCAGTAACCATTACATCAAACACGAAGGTCATAACGGAAAGCTGCCAGTCGTGCACAGATCTCAGTAAGTCTACGCAAAGCAAGAGCACTACAGAATCTTGTCAATCCTGTTCGCAAACTAGTGAAATACGCTCCAAAACAAATTCCATCGATACTTGCTCGTCCTGTTCGCAATCCCTCACAATCACGTCAAGTATAACATTAACCACAACATGCTCGACTTGCACGCCTGCCGCCACAACGCAGTCTTTACCATCAAATTCTGATGCACGCTTAACCACCTCGAGCAGCTCCGGAACGTCTCAGAGCACCTCAGTTCAATACACTTCGAAAATTGTGACAACTACAAGTAGTGGAGTCATCACCCACTATACTACATGGTGTCCATTGACAGATTTTAGTTCGGTTGCGGCTGGCTCGGCGTCCTCCACCTCTGCTCAAGAAGAATCGAAAGCAACTACTGAACAAGCGTCAAGCGCATCAACTACTGGTTTGTCAACTATACACACGGTCGTGACGAGCTCAATAGCCACAACATATAGCACGTCATCTACCATCTCTGTTACCACTGTGCTGCCATTTACGCTAACGTCTACCAGCAGTAACGGACAACTAGTAACAGTCGTAAGCTCACGTTCAAGCGTAATTCCAACTGTTACGACGATGTTATTCAGTACACACATTCCTGTTTCCACCTTCTCCACCACCATACCGATTGGAGCAGGCTCTCAATCGACTGTTAGCGGTGCCGGTTCTTCGACATGGGTCACCACAGCCGCTATTTCAACATATGAAGGCGCCGCCGCGGGTACGCAATTGGGCGGGTTTATAAACACATTGGCGGCGCTGGTACTGATGCTGCTGATTTAGACATTGACATTTTATTTAATGCGAATTTGTGATATAGAGTATGTTAAACGTTACACTACGATTCAACCTTTAACCCCCATTTACTTGCCTTTCACGACTTCGAACTTAAGATCAACAATCGAGGCCTCTTCACTGGCTTTATCATCGTAGTCGTACCACTCGTTTTCGTCCTCGAAGGAAGCTTCCATGGTGCTTCCCGAGGTCAGCTGGACCTCAAATATCAAGTTTGTATAAGCCAAGTTTATGACCTCGCAACCCCGACAATCCAGTGCCAGCAAAATAGCCTGCGATGCCTCAACCTTTTTTATGCCCTGTTTCTTCCTTTGCACTTTGACCTTTTGCACTGCTTCCGTGTTCTCCTCAATTTCCAAGTTGTACAGTTTCTCCTCTGTCTTCTCCAAATTTATCGAGCATTCGCTACCACAAAACTTGCACTTCATTACAAAGGAAGCCTCGCCTCGACTGCCGCTCATTTCATGCTTTTCTAAACGGTTTACAGTAACTCGAGAATCGTTTTTCTCTCTACAGTTGGTACAAACTACTTCCAATGCGTAATCTGCGAGTTCAGCATCAGTATCTTTCACAGAAAGACTGCTGATATTTTCGGAGAACGTGGCTGAGATTGCAACGTATAGCATTGATATTTAACTGGTGAAACGAAGCTTCCAAACTATCAATTCGAGAATGTCTTTAATTGTTTTAAGAAAGCTCAATTTTCGATGTCTGAAAATTACAATAGTAGTATTCACATCTTCAAAAGTTCAACATCGAAAAGAGAGCTAGTGATTCCAGCGGTTCCACGTCGTTGGGTACCTATCAATACGGCTTCCAAATCTAAAGGATGTCCATGTATGGATTCCGGCGATATTTTGCCGGTGGTACACCGTTGGAACGATTAAAATGGCCGACCAAGAAATTCTGCATGAATAATCGATTTTTCGGTAGTGGAAGAGCTCCTCGTCCTTCCCAATATGGCCTTCGACCTGCTAGGATGGGTAAAGTACTGTGGCGGTATTTCAATGCGCCGGGCAACGTTATGTTTGTAACTACGAATGTCGTTACTCTGGTGGGAATTATGTCGTATACTACGCTGCAGGGCATGGCTCGAGAACGGGCCATGCAAGAATATCTCCAAGACAAGGCGTGGGAATTTAGCTCTGAGGAATCGTCGAATGTGGTCTCGGGGAAAGCTGCTCCGTTTCGTAAATACAAGGCTAGTGATATCTTACTCCAAAAAAATGGGTCACCCGCTACATGCCACATGCAGCACGCAAAGATGTCGTTATTCCACTTGTTGTACTCGTTTTATCTGTGTCGAGATGCCACGGCACCAGATCAAGGTTTGTCGGAGAATGATTCGACAGAGTGGATTGCAGAAGCTCAACAACTGCGACAAGGGCTGCCGAAAGGTTCGCAACAGGTGTCTCCACAGACTTTTTACAGCATCTGGCGTCAAGAGTTTGACCAGCTGTTCAGCAGCCTTAGTCGCTCACAACAATTCCACATGCCCAACTGGACCCAATACCCTCACAGCCTTCAAGCCATCTGTCAGAAACTTCATGACAATGAGCTGCGAACACTTTCAGATTTCATGCAGTTTTATCAGAGCGTGAAGCCAGGATCAATTCGAGCTCTATTGCGAGCATGGCTCTACGACAATTTCCGGCTATTCCAGGTTACCACGGATGTCGACAACGAAGGGTTTTATCGGCACCTGGTTCAGACTTGCGGTAACGACCGATACTTATTTACACGCTATGCATCGATCCTGCTCAATCCAGACAACCCGCGACGCCGAGCGTTCTTCAATCGTCATAGCCATGAAGAAATGAGCGTTTCACTGGATACAGTTCTAGAGGTGCTGAAGGGTAATCTGCAGGCCGCTACAGGCGCTTTGAACAAGTCCAATTGTCATGAATCCATCTTGCGACTCGTCGCGCTTATCCGGACCAGCTGTGTGACAAGCAGGGGCTCCATGGGCAAACCCGAAGTGCGCGTTTTGCTGCCAGACAATAATTCGCAGTCTTGGGACTCCCAAAACGAACACCGAACCTCCTCCAAAGATAGGAATGCATGCTACAAGTTAGTTAGCCAAAATCCCGAATTGATGGCTGTTCTAGGAGCGATATCTAATTTACCATCCTAGAAAAAGACAAGGAGAACCCCAAGAATACCGTTCACATGTCTACTGCCACAAGTTCGAGTTCTACAAGTGAAGCTCGCTACTATACAGCTCTACAGATTTTTGCATTTCATCGGTTATTGAGTGATGGTTTTCCATCTGGTCTAGCTTTTTCAGTAGTGGAAACCAAAAAATTGAAAAAATTTTGGTGATGCGATGAGGTAGATATTCGAATTCAAGAACTCTAACAACATTAAGAACTATCCATTACTGTTCTTACCATAAAGATAAGCTGATCGTAACGCAACAATGAAGTTCTTGACGTCTAACTTTCTCAAGTGCTCTGTACAGGACTGTGACAAAAGCAACGATAACTTCCCTTTGAAGTATAATGGAGAAAGCTGCCAACTGGAACAAGATGAGAGCTTGGATTTCAATCCAGAGTTTCTTCTCCGAATCATCGATCGAGTGGACTGGCCCGCTGTCGTCAGTGTAGCATCAGATCTAGGGAATACCAGCTTGCCCAATGGAAAGCCGGATTTCACAAATGAGGAATTGAGCGAGGAGGACATGGTCATTTTGAGAGACTTGCACACCCTTTTGATTCAGACTAACATAGTGGAGGGAGAAATGACGTGCCGGAACTGCGGCCACATTTATTACATCAAAAATAGCATTCCAAACCTCCTGTTGCCTCCTCATTTGGCGTAGGCGCCACGGAGGCTGATAGCAAGAGGGGAAGATAGAGCTTTTGCCGGATCTAACGGTAAACCACAATATCAGAGAGGGGCAAATTTACAAACGGGTTAGCCTGACCTACCTTTACACAGAACAACGGTCCGCATGCCCTGTAAAGGATGAAAACTACGTAGTAGCACAGTTTCATGTAAAATATATAATCAAAGATACTGACGATTGCTAGGGCTTTGGGGAGGGAGGCTCGAGAGATTCGAAGCAATTGATCGAGGTTAAGCTCGTGGGGTTCGCATCTCGTCCAGAAAGGTTTACCTTCAGTTGGGCCTTTTCAGAAACTAGCGAAAATGCCAGTGAAATTACCAAAGCAACTTTCTCATGATGCCAGTGATTGCCAAAGAGTGCATAGGCGGGCGAGTGTGGACCAAAAGTCAAAAATCTCACTCGAGTCACCAATCCACATAATTGGCAAATTTCAACATTTACGGTGGTTGAAATATGATTTCTGTGTTAGACTAAGGTGATCAAAATCGGCTGGGATAATAAAACACTATAGTTGATCAGCTTCTATTAACGGTACATTGGAAACCAATTGAACCGCTTTATTTGCCTGAGCTAAAATTACAGGCCGTAACTCGCATTTCGCGCTAGATATTATATGTAAAGCAAGAGCTAGGACGACAGTTTCCGCTGACACGTCGTCGTTGGTAGAAAGCAAGAAAGCAACACCGGGTCATGAAAGATGTTTTTCAAATACCAAGTGCCTCGTATGCGTCCATCACCCCTTGGCTCGTGGGCTTTGAACTGCAATAGTGGACTGCACGTTCCAAGTTTGTTTTGACACGCATATAAAGAGCTCACGGCTTTTGAGCGAGCCTAGTAACCCCAGTCGCGTCTTGTTTGAAATTCTATTGATAGTTGTTCAGTGCGTCTTCAGGTAGCGAAAGCGTAACGTAACAATGTTGGACCAGGCTAAATCCCTGTAAAGCTGTTGATAGTGAGAGTGGACGCAAGTGGAAGAGCCATGAATTGGTTTTAGCTTCGGCTTATCAAAGGCTATCAAGACCAGTAATAAAACTAATAAAGCTTTTTCGAAGCGGTTGGTTACCAGGAAAACGAGTAGAGCTGGAAACTATGCACGATGATGATCTTCAGCTGCTTCGGTTGTTACGTAAATTCTAGGACGTGACGTGCTAAAGAGGGGCATCCTCTGTAGCTCTAGCTTGCCGCGGCATTGGTGTCTTGTTGCTCCACTGCAGAACCACGAAAAGACCGTAGTAAGGCTCCGACTTGATAACAAATGCTCCGTGTTGTACTGGTGGCCTGAAAGTACCGATTAATAGCATTTGTTGCTCAATATACCCTGAGCTACGAGAAATATCGCAATAGGCTAGTCCTTTCAAGTTGATTAAATTCAACTTGAAAGGACCAAAGAAGAAGAGCAATATCTGCAAAGAGTGTAAAGTGAACACACTCTCTACACGAAATTGCATGATCAAGTTCATGGCCTTCACTCAAAGAGTATCTGAATTGTTCATCGAGAAGCATTTTTGGCCACAACTCAACGACGCCATGTGCCACCACTAGCACCTCTATCCACAACTTTAATGGAGTTTGTGCATTACTGACATTCGCTACAGTGGCATGCTATAGTTTGTCAAGCATTTGAAAGCCTTCGACTTCCAAATTGTGATTTTCCAATATTTAGAGAAGTTAAAGATATGTGAATTTAATTTGTACATAAGTCTATCAATATGAAGCTCGAGGACCGATTGCTGATATAAACATTTCAAGTACCAGAGAGACGAAGCACACATATGAGCTTTAGTCATGAACTCGGTAACACGCTATTTTATCTTTTGATGGCATCTTTTGCCCTTTCAGTAGTCCATGCAGTTCAAACAGGTAATGGCTTCGAGCCAGTCGCTGCCGACACGATTTACACGGACATGCAATTGGAGCCTTTTTTGAAAGAAAACTACGACGCTTTGAACGGTACCGACAAAGTTGTGGTCAACACCACGACTGGTCTGGTCCTTGCTGGATTCGTAATCAAAAGCCCACACGGTCAGGAGGGAATACTCGCAAAAGATACAGATATTCTGGCATGGTGGAACCAGTACCAGGTGGCTAAGCGCGGTCATTGGTGGTCGCCTTGGTCTCCTGCTTCTTGTTGTGTATGGAACGGTATAGGGAAACCCACGAGTTACAGTATGAGTTATACGTCGTTCAGCTCCTGGTCTTTCAAAGCAGGTTTCTCTGCGAGTTGGAACTTGGTTCAACGGGCATTGGAGATGTCCATACATTATCCTGTAACTGAGTCGTACAACAGAACGGGCACGCAGACTTGCGAATTGAATGGCGTAGGGCCAGTGCAGGTTTGGTATCGCCAGCATATGGTATGGGCTGATATGCAGAAGCAGTTCTGCATTGTGGGGACTAGTCCTTCGTTACATTGCGGGTCGTGGAGCGCTTATTATAGAGTAGACACACCGATCTCGGGTATCTACGAAGTCAAATGCAACGTAGGTGAAGATAAAACTAAGTGCGAGGCTCCTGGTTTGCCCTGCTTCTATCGTACCTAACTGGGCCGTGCTTAGGTATTCTAATGTAATGGGATAGCGATGGCCGGTTAGCAAGAATTGGTGTCCTCAAGGATAGGGGAAACATTTAAGAACGCCGCATCGAGATATAGCCCTCAGCATGATCTGGTATTTGTGTAACTGATGATTCTGTTTCGATAAGGTCTGGCGACGCTGTACAAAACAAATTTGCGGCAGCTGTCTAAGCAACACGGGTATTACCTATATGCATGGCCACCTGTGCAGAAGAACACATCCCTATATCAAAGCAGAGAAATGATCTAATAGCATGTCATTGCGGATTGCGAGAATCCAAGATATCTTTTGTAGGTCCCTATAGTCGGAGAATGCTTCCTTACTATGTCAAAACAGAGACGCGTCGCCGACCAAGGCTCTTGATAGAATAGAGTGTATCCAGCACCCAAAGAGATCAGGGCATAAATAAAAGGTCTTGACAAAAGCCAATGGTGATCTGCTAAGCCAAAATAACAGTTTCCGAACTTTACCTTTTCGATGCGGAAAGGTAAGCGTGCTATTCGTCATGATCAAGGACGGTTGCAGAGTTCAAATGGACTACATATTGCCAGCCATTTTTTTTTTGTACATCGGCGGCTTGAATAGTCCGATATGAAGGATTCCTATCCCACCTTCAGCCCCAAGACCTGCACATTTAAGCCGCATATTGCTGACTCAAGGTATTGAAGTGAGCTTGTTTTTGTTCGCCCCAGAGTGGTAAGTGTTGACCTCGATTGAGCGCGTTATAAACGGACGTGAAAATTCGCATATTGCACTTTTGAGCCTTCTTCAACTCTTTTATCAACGGTTCAGATATTACGAGACAACAATGACGGCGACTTGTACTCATAGCAGCGTTTGACCACCCTCTATCATTTGTGCATGGAAATTTCAAAACCACTTATATTTCAATCTTTTTTCCAGAGCATCTCAGTCAAAATGGTAGCACCAAAGCGCCAACACATCACCAAGGCTTTGTTCTCATGAATAGATGACAAATTCCTCTAGTCTGAGACAACCAACCTTCTTTTAAAATAATAATGAAAAGTTTCGCGCACGCGCGGTTGGAGAGCTGAAACTCAGCCAAAATCTTACAACAAAAATCCGGACTACATAATTGACAGCCTAGGTCTTTGAAAAGTGAGGTGTTAACGTCATTAGAGTGCTCTAGCTCTTATTTGTACACCATTATTCCTTCCCATTGAAAATAATGGTCGTGTGTAGTGCTTCGCTGGTTTCGACTTAATATAATTGTCATGTAATTATCACAACAGCAAAGCTAGTGGCATGTCCCGCTGATAAAAGACCCTACATAGAACCATTGGAAGCGTCTTGTAATTGCTAGTCGCTAATATTTGTGTATTGAACGCCCTAAACGCAGTGTTGTTGAATTTTTTCCGCAACGGCCAAATTCTGATACATGGACAACTTGCAGGTATTATCTCAGCCTAGTCTGGTGAATAGTGGTAATGCAGAACGGTCACGAAGTGTCTCGTTCTCAAAACTGATACCACGCTCGTTTCGCAAGCCAAGTGGGAGCAGCCCTGGTGCTGAAATTGTCGCTGGCTCGACAAGCTTGGCTGAGGGAGCGGAAACAGGAGAAGCGTTGGATTCGGAAGATCCATCACGTGGTACTGACCCGCAGGTAACTGAAGAACAATTGTCAGAGGCAACACCACCACAGCAGGTTTCGCCAGACTTGGCGACCCCACAAACGGGCAAATTATCCGCGCGGCTGAAAAAAATGTTCAAGAGTGGATCGAAGACCCCAGACCGCGAAGCCTCTGAAACTCCGGACTCAACACCAGAAATACGCAATGATGAAAAGGGTGAAAGCGAACAACATCAGGCTTTAGAAGCAGACGAGCATCTGCAGACAATCGGTACTCCAATAGGACGAGCTAGGTCACCTTCCACACCAATCATGCCTAGTCACGTTTTGCAATCAAAACTGGACAACACTTACAGCCCTAATCAGCCTGTATCGAGCATTAAAGACGGAAGCAGGTCCGCCGTAGACCGTCGCAATACCAGATCAGATACTGTACGCAGCAGCAATCCTTATTTTGCTTGTCAAGGACTACCTCCTCATGCTCTGTCATCCCAGGACTTCGATCCCGCCAACGTCTCAAACAGTACTCGCTATGATGACTCCACGATTCTTATGACACCTCCTCCTACCAGCTCTACAGGGGCTACATCTTATTTCCAAAACGAGTACCGGAATAACAGCAATAAGTCTCTCAACGATATCAACGAAAATGAAGAGGTAGAGGAATTCAAGTCCTCCGGTCCAGTTGATTATCCGCCGACCCCGAAAAGTCCCGCTGAAAGAGTGGCCTCAGCACCTACAGTACCTTTTTCTAGGAGTTCTCTGAGTCCCCAAATATTTCCAGAGAAAATGATTCCAAGTCCACTAATCATTGTGAATGCAAATAGTAGTGACTTTTCCGAGCAGAATGGAATGCCACCCTTGCCGCCTCCAGCTATACACGAACTATCTGAAGAATCTGAGGCATCTCCTGTGAAGCCGACTTTAAGAAGAGTAGCGTCGGAACCAAATGCTTTGAAGAAACTGCCAGCGCCTGCATTGGCCGCTGCGGCAAAATCTCGTGGTAGGCATAGCGGGTCCGCCCCACTTTCTTCTTCTGCTATGACCTCCCCCACGACCGAATTTCCAGCAGACTTCGATGAACCACAACGGTCTCGCCGTTTGAGAAACAAGTCATTCAGCAGTAAGTTTAAAGAGGTCATCGTTGGACCCAAATCATTTGAGAAAATTAAGCTTTTGGGCCAAGGTGATGTAGGGAAAGTCTATCTAGTCAAGGAAAAGGAAACTAATCGACTTTACGCACTGAAGATATTTAGCAAAGCAGAGATGATTAAAAGGAAGAAGATTAAAAGAATTTTAGCGGAGCAAGAAATTTTGGCGACTAGCAATCACCCTTTCATTGTTACTCTCTATCATTCATTTCAATCAGAAGATTACCTCTACCTTTGTATGGAGTATTGTATGGGAGGTGAATTTTTCCGAGCTTTGCAGACTAGGAAGACTAAATGCATTGAAGAAGAAGATGCTCGTTTTTACTCCAGCGAAGTGACAGCTGCTATTGAATATTTGCATTTAATGGGTTTCATTTACCGAGATCTGAAACCGGAAAACATTTTACTGCACAAATCGGGACACATCATGTTGTCTGATTTTGATCTTTCCGTGCAAGCGAAGGACACAAAAAACCCAGTGGTGAAAGGTTCTGCCCAAGCTTCAATGGTGGACACTAGAATATGCTCTGATGGGTTCAGAACTAATTCTTTTGTTGGAACCGAAGAATACATCGCACCAGAGGTCATTCGAGGTAATGGACACACGGCTGCGGTGGATTGGTGGACTCTTGGTATTCTCATCTACGAGATGCTATTCGGATTTACACCTTTCAAAGGTGATAATACGAACAAAACTTTTTCGAACGTTCTGAAAAATGAGGTCAGCTTTCCGAACAACAACGAGGTCTCAAGAAGTTGCAAGGATTTAATCCGAAAACTACTTATTAAAAGTGAAGGGAAACGTTTAGGATCCAAGTTCGGTGCTAGCGACATCAAGAAGCATGCATTTTTCAAGAAGGTACAATGGTCTCTTTTAAGAAATCAAGAGCCGCCTTTGCTTCCTGTCTTGACTGAAAATGGGTATGACTTCACTAGGTTATCAAGCAACGCAAACAAAGGAACAGTCAAGAAAGAAAGCCCCAGTACGCATTCGGGAGTTGTAGACGCGATGGCCGAACAAGAAAAAATAATGTTTGAGGAACAAGTTGAACGCGATGATATTGTTTCCGATGATGATCCGTTCCATGATTTTAACTCCATGAGCTTGATGAAGCAAGATAACAATTCATTGATCTATGGCGACAACAATTCGTATGGAAAGATTTCGTATACACCGAACCAGAATAGATCGAGGAGCAATAGCCATCGCTTCTTCAAAAGATGATGATACGTTATGATGTTGATGAATTTTCAGTTATGCAATTCTATAAAGTCTCTTTCTGAGGCGCTATTTTTTTAGAAATCTAACAGTTTTGCAACTTTCTGCTTGCCTGAGAGATTTTTACTTGCGATCACCTTGCTCAAATGGTTCGTAAAATTCAGGTTTTCATCGCTTTCAATCTGCGCTTTGGATTTCTCAGAAACCTCATAAGCTTTGTTTATGATGTCGGTAGGAATCCTCGCAAGCCTGGCGACATTGAGCCCATATGAGTCATGAGCAGGACCGCGTCTTAACTTATAAAGGAATACGACAGTTGGCCATTTCTCACCAGAGCGTTTCTCTTCGATATATGCCATATGGTAGTTATCAAGTAGTGGTGATTTGATGGCACCTAAAATGGGGTAGTGCGTGATAAAAAGGATGAAGGGGCACTGCTTCTCCAGGCCAAGAAAATAATTGATTATCGCATATGAAATGCTGATACCATCTGTTGTTCCCGTGCCTCTTCCTACCTCGTCCAGCAGAAGCAAAGAATTCTCTCCCGAGTTTTTTATTATGTCAAGCATTTCAAGCATCTCAACTTTAAAAGTTGAGTTGCCTCTGATAAGATTATCATGAGCTCCGATGCGCGTGAAAATACTTTCAAAAATGGGCAACTCTGCACTATCCGCAGGAACATATGAGCCAATTTGAGCTAAAATACTAATAAGGGCAACCTGGCGTATAAAAGAAGATTTTCCGCCCATATTAGGGCCAGTAATTATTGTCAATTTGTTCTCATCTTCTTTCATGTGAACGTCATTTGCCACATAGTTGACGTCAAGCGACTCGATTATGGGGTTTCTCCCATTTCTGATTCTCACACAACGTGATTGCTCGTTAAATTTTGGTCGCACATAGTTTCGATTGAATGACATTGCAGCAAGTGAAAGGATACAGTCAAACATGGCCAAGTTATCAATAACTTCTTTGAGCAACTCGTAATGTTGACCGATGCAATTTAGAAAGTTCTTGAAGTGCTCTTCGCAGATAATCGTCAATAGCCCCTTATGGTACTCGAGCTGGTCTACCAACTTTGTCGTTTCTGGAGTCCTGAATCTGCTTAAAGTTTTGGTATCGTTGACCTTGACCCAGTCATTTGGAAGCCCAGCAAGCTGACTATTCCGCACCTCGATAAGATACTCAATTTCATCTTTGAATAAGAACCGCGGCCTTTTCAACAGACGTCGAATATTGTCTAATTCTCTCTGTAGTTCTTCTCTAACGTTTTCAATGTCCCGTAATTTTGATGTTATAACATCAGACTTGTCATAATTGCTCAGATTGAAAAATTCAACACAACGCTTCTCCTTATTCTTATCTAATACAGCGCCAACGTTTATCATACTGAGAAGGTTCGTTACGTTTACTTTGCGTAAGGCATCGTCTAAACGACAAAAGACAGAGGTTAGAAGAGAAGACTTGTGACGAACCCTTCCACCAGATTCAAGAACTTGCTCTTGAAAATAGTAGTGGTGATTTGTAAAGTGTTTTGCGATAATATCAAGGTGCTTAAGAAAGTAGTAAACCTCCTTTCTTGAGGTTTGGCCATACGTAATTCGGTTCAAATTCCTTAAGAAATCAGGTGTATCTTTTAAAGTATTACCCAAGCCTTCCATGAAAATATTCGTTATTTCTTGCTTCAAACATTCGATGGCATCCAGTCTTTCATTGATGGCTTTTCTATCGATCAGCGGCTTAGAAATCCATTCGCGCAGTAGCCTATAGCCATAGGGTGTTCTCGTATGGTCCAATAACCATAGTAAAGATCCTCTTCTACTGCGGTCAGTTTGATTCTCAAATATCTCTAAACTTTCCAAAGTATTGGGAGAGAGCAACATGCTGATCTTACAGCTGAAAGGTTTATAGACATGAGGCATGTCGAGAATTTTCTCGGTATTGTAGTTTTCAAGGTATCGACGAAGTGTGCTTCTCAACTCCTTGAACTCCTCTCCCAAATTCAATTCTTTAAATACTGCAGAGCTAGAATCGTCTGGGATTAATGTGCTGCAGTCGTGAAATTGAACTTCAGGTTGTATTTGTGCAAAAAAGCTTGTAACATAATTAGGAATTTCCAAATTCGAAACAACCTCAATCGGTTTGAGGTAAGAGACTCTTTTATCAAGCTCAATTTTTGAATTCTTTCTGTCGCTGAATTGATCGTAGATTATTTCTCCTCCTGTTAATTGTACTGAGAGTATCCAAAAGTGATAGAAATTTTGATCTTCATCCACTCGCATTGCCCATATTGTATTGAGTTCTTCTCTGTGATTGATATCCGTGCCACTGAAAGTTTCATTGATGGCAAAAGTAGCTCTCGTAAATACTTTGTCCACCTGTCTTCGAAATACACCACTGGAAGTTCCGCTTATTTTCTTGATAGCCTGGGTTTCTGACTGTTCAACAACACCGACTCTTAAATTATGGTGGAGAAGTCTCTGCAAATGCACTTGAAGTCTATTCTCTGGTATACTGCAATACGCAAGCTGCTTGTGGTTGTAATCATCTGGGTTTGAGTCGTCAAGAGACAGTTTTCCTTTTATTAGCATAATCTGCAGTATTTGACTGACTACTACAGCATCCATTGCAAAGAATTTATATTTGTAGCCAACTCGTACCGCCAGTACCTTGTCCATATGCTGAAGTTTTAGATCTTTTACTTGTTGATCTAGTGGTGTAAGTTTACCCAGCTTGACTCTTTTGGCGGCAGGCAAGCTATCCTCATTGTCTATGGATGATTCGCGATGGCAGTCTCGATCTATGACGCCAGATGCCCTTTTGGAAAGCGCAGCAGAAACTCTTGACGAAAATGCTTCGGAATCGCGATAGTCGCGAACAGTAGCAAGTGGCTCAATTCCGCTTCTATTTTTGGCAAAAATGTACTCATTCAATGCCGATTTTGTTGCATCGAGTCTGTGGGGAATCCCAGGTCGATACTCAGGAGTGGTCACGGCCGATTCCTCTGGCACAGACTCGTTTAGATTTTGGTCTGAAGAGATGCTATCATTTGGACTTTTGGCATCGCTTCTGGATGAAATCTTCGAGCTAGACTTGAAGAACTTACTTATGGATGGCTGATAGGGCATGCGACGTTTATTCTGAAGCTTTTCCGGCCTGTATATAGGTAATAAGCATGTCTACGTAATTGACAATATTCGAAATCGTCGTGAAAGGCGATACTCATTCGGGTTGAGAAATTGGGAAAACACTTGGACTGACTCTGTAGGAGCAATCTCTTAGTTTGAGTTCTGTGAGTGTGCTTGGTTCGTATAAAGTAGAGTCAGAGGGCTATTCAGTCTTTTCTACGTCCCGCAAACTTAAGGTGTGAAAAACAAGCGCTAGGGGTAGTTATGACAGAGGTGATGCTACAGTATACGTTGCCCCTGCTAATTTGTTTCGATACTTTTTTCGTGGCCTCATTGTACCAAGTAGAAGTGCTATCTTTTACAATAGCCGCGTGGCTAGTGGAAGCTGCATCCTATGAGGACGATGACTGTATAGTATAAAGTGATATTCATTAATGAGATATTCGATTAACATTTTGGCGCGGCAACGAAAAGAACGAAGTTCGCAGGACAAGCTGATGGTGCTCCAATAAAGTGCCGTGTCTTTGAATAATATGATTAATCGTAGAAAGCTGCATGAGATGGCTCGCTGGTCAACCTCAATACCTGTTCAAATACCCACTAGTTTTCCCTACGTGGCACTCTTCAGTCAAAAAAACTGCAAAGTAATATATACGGGTTTTTTCCAACAATAAGCTTGCAGAACCAAACAATTAATAGCTAGGCTTCTACCTCTGAATCAGACTCGCCTCGATTAAGTATGACTTAATGTAATTGGTTTGTCGACCCTTTGAGACTGCTTGCGATAACACTAGTGGACACTGTCAGGTAGTTCTTGATGGCATATGATTTCTGGCTTAATATATGTTCTGTGATTTCTACCTGCATCAGCAGTAGTTGGCTTGCTGGACTGCTCATTCAAGTCGTTCATGATCTGTCTACTTAGTCCGTAGTGAAACCTGAGACTCTGCTTATCTCTCCGTAGTTTTTCTATGTGCAAATATCTGTCAGGATCTATGTGCTACTGTTAAGATAGCGTCGATGGCATGGTGAAGGGCCATGACATAATAGTACAAAGTGATATCATCAAACATTGATCAGTCGATGAACTATTCGATACATCTTCTCAAACTAAAGACAAGTACCAAACGGTATTGGTCTGATAGTTGATTGATTACTCATTGGTTATTACTAATATACCATACGATGTATCGTATGATTATTATAAGCTGAGTAATAGCTTTCATGCTCAGCCGATTTCCATATAAATACCGACCACTTACTCCACTCGACGAATTATCCCTCATATCCGAGAGAATCACGGAAAGATAAGTTGAATCCTAGCTTCTAGTTTAATACATCATGAACGACTAAAATGACCAGTCCAGCAAGTTAACCACTACTGACGCATATGTGCCTCAATATATACTGCATTAACTTCACTAGCAACGAGATGTAACAATTGTGAGCTGGTTCTGTCTCATCAGAATATCCAAATTAGTTCGTCTAAGTGGATTGATAAGACGGGGACATCCTGTCGACCAAAAAAGATATAAATAACGATGGTTTCTGCGCATAGAGACTAGACTATCATACAGAAAATCATGGAGGATCATCCAGCTAAGTTTATAATTTATTGAGAGCTACTGAAAATATATATATAAACGAAACGAAAAGCAATTTCAAAGAAACCTGATTGATGGAGGCCAATCTCAATAAACCTCGTAGCCGAGGTAACACGAAGTGATATATAATTCACGCTCTGACAAAACCTGGACAGATGCACGGTGGACAGCTCTGCAAGCTAGCCACTATTGACACATACATTTTTTTGTAATTATACTATTCTCACTTGAACTTGAAATGTGAAAAGAGCTAAACTGTAGGTAGTGATGTGGATGGTGCTCCGGCGGGTATAATTGCTGATTCTCACATGCCATTTTTGCTTGACTGCAGCTGTTATTGATCTCTTAAGATCGTGTCATCGCCAGTGTCAGTTTGGCATGAAAGCTAACTTATGGTCTTTATGGCTTTAACTTTGTGGTTGTTTTCTAAGCTTGGTTTAGAGGCTGAGAGCTTTTAGAGTCCAACTATCTATGATAATTTCTATGAGACGTCCTGGTCACTGCAGGTTTTTGTCAATGCGAGAGTTGATTGTGATCCTCGATTGCTCCCTTGAAGGAAACAGAGGGTTCTTGAAGCGCAATTAGAAATTAGACTGTGATGGGTCAAAGAAGAGAGCAATTGTTGGAAATGTTTGCAATGGCAAACAATTAGAAGGTTGCGGCAAAAGTGGAGTGCGCTGCCAACGGTTTTTCGCTTCCTGTCATTGGGTGTTCAAGAAAGAAGAAAGACAAGATGCTCTCTATCAGCTGGTGAAGATATTGATATTGTCTTTCTTTGCTGCATTTGAGCCCCGTGGGTTTTAATATTGTTCTGTGAGACGCAAGGAAGGCCAACTTTGATTCCAAATTACATGATATTATTTGCGTTAGTAAATGATCAAAAAATTGCAGAAGCCACATAATTGGAATACTAAGGGTATTCAAATGAGAAAAGTCGGCTGTCATAACGATTGCTCTGTCTTCCGGCCGTGTTTTTAAAATGTGTCGAGACTTGATTTTATTGTTTTTGTCCAAAAATATCGAATTCAGGGCCGTTTTAAGTCAAAATAATTGAAAAAAAGGCGGCAAGTACTAAAGTTAGTCAGGTATTTTTACTACATTTTTCGCCGTGCCACATCTAGCCCCGTAAACGTCCGCTTAGGGGTATAGAACCCACCACAATGATATAGAAAAGTTACGGGATACACTCAGAATCACTAATCAAAAAAATAGCTCACTTTTGTAATTCCATCTATATATGGCACAAAATAAAAACACGGTTATCGACATTCATAATCCACAACCTATTTGCATATCAACCCAAATTAAATAATTGTTGGCGAGACAATATTTACGCCAGCAGCGATGCTCGCACATGCCTATCGGTGGCGGTTAGCGCATCAGATCAGCATACATCACAGTCGGTGGCCATAATTAGACTGAATGACTTTGGCTTAAGAACGCCCGAAACCTCTGAGAAAAGCAAGAACTACTCACAGTTGTTCTTGACTGGTTACGAATGCCCGTTCGGTATTTCAGACCGCAGTTGTGCTTCAAGAAGTAGAAAACCACTCTAATTAATGCGTTTATAAAACAATTAGCAATTCAATGCATCGTACTGCTAGCTAAGCCATCCTGTTTTGCTCGCCTTGCCAGGGACTACTTCTCAACAGGACTTACTGTCACTTTATTCTAAAATGTCGTCTCTGTAGCCGGGTATCACTTTTTTGCAGGGGCAAAATTTTCAAGATGTAGGTAGAACTTCAAAATCACCAATTTGGCGGTTTGGAAGTAATCAATCAAGGAGTTTAAGTAACAATACAACGACCACAACACGAGGCTTATAACCTGCCACAAGAGTCTATAGGACATTACAAGTATGTGCAATTGGACTGGGCTAAGCAAAGCTTGTTGCCATTGCCCCGATCACACAGAATTTGGAACGCATTTCGCGTCCTTTTACGTTAACCTTGATATTAAATGCGAAACATTGTTTAAAGGTGGCATTTTTACGTGCGCTGAGCGATCGCTTTCTCAATTTTGCATCTCATTTTCCTTTCGACTCTTTACTAACTTTCAAACGTGTGGTACAGACCCTCCTATTAACGACCTTTCATTACATGCATATAAAGCAGCAGCTTCAACCAAACAGCGACGGAAGCAAAGAGGATATAGAAGCTGCGCAGATCACTGTCACGCAAATCAGTGTTCTTATCACGAGCTTAAACGCGCAAAACTACCAACAAGTCGAGCGAGAAATCCACGGCCTACTGGAGAGATCGCCGCTTAACGTCTATCTCAAATACTGGAAGAAACTCCTACCTTTGGCATCGGTTCACATCAAACAGTACCACAAGCTCGACACGGACACTAACCCGTTACATCGCTTACTTTACCGTTTGTTCCAAGACCTCAAGTTTAGGAACGCTAACGTTGTTGAGTCCGTGAGAACCCAAGTCTTGCTAAACTCTGAATTTCAAGCTCAAACCTGCTTACAACTTCACGACCTCCTGCAAGTTCTGGATCCCATTCAAGATCAGCAGATTATTAACCAGATTGATCCAGCAGCAACTATTGACCGTTTGACCAGATTGAAAAACCTCAGGATGAATGCAGCTCAGTCCTTGCAACATTTTTTGGCCACCGAGTCTCCCAACACCTTCGAACAGAACTTGAGCAGTTTATTATGTTCCCTAAGAGGCGAAAACCTCAATGATTTTGTGGCTTTAATTTTGTCTGAAATTTTGGCCCCGGGCTCTCAAAATATACAACAGCCCAGTTCCGCGTGGTTTACTCCCGTAGCCATAGGAGAAGCCGGTCAAAGAGGCGCCCAAGTATCGAATGCTTTGACTAAGCTAGGCCCCTCTGCAGTGAATTGGAATCGCGTCTTCAACCTCATGTCTACAAAATACTTTTTGGACCGCACAATTTCGGTGTCCTTGGCCTCGTTGAACGCACTTTTGACAGCTTTAAACAGAGGCCGTCTCATCGATCAATTCCTAGGCTGTGATTGGAATGTCCAATTCAAGTTAAACGTCTGTCTCCTCTTTCACAAATGGAACCTACAGCAAGGTTGCGTCGATCTTTTAAGCATGCCGGATATCAGGAAAGTTTCAAACAACCTCGCTAATTCTAATCCTAAAAACACGCTGCTTTCTCTCAAGTCAATCGCGCGGCTTGACGTCGAGATTTTTCTTTTACGGGAGGAGCTAACGGGCAATCCAATGTTGCCTATTTTTCAAGAGTGTTTCTTCGATGATTACGATCTAGCACCCGAATATTTAGCGCTAGCTGTGATGACGGACTCAAAACATTTTGCATTACTAGTTGACAACGCGGCTATCATTGATGACCTTCTAATCACTCTATTGGTAAAGGTTTTCGAAAAGATGCCGATGGCTTTATCGGACTTGATCAAAC